ATACGTGTTGCGCTCTTCTTCGGCGACAGGATACTGGCCAAGAAGTCGATTGACCGTGCAAGCGCGTTGGTAGAGAGCGGTGGTGACTGGGATCGCCGCAACCGCTTGAAGGCATACACTGGTCTACACTACCTCACCGTGCGATCACACTCACAGGCTGCCCCGCTGCTCCTCGACAGCTTGTCGACATTTACCAGCTACGAGCTTTGCAGCTACTCAAATCTCGTCGTTTACGCTATCCTCGCCGGCTCGGTATCGCTCAAGCGTGTCGACTTCAAGTCCAAGGTGGTGGATGCACCTGAGATCAAGGCTATCGTGGGAACTTCGGAAGAGAAGCTCTCAGCACTCACTGGTCAGGCATCGTCAGGACCAACAGCTGGTGATGAAGACATGGCCGATGCGTCAGGCTCAACAGCGACACCAGTACCCACCCTTGTCAACCTTAGCACCCTTGGCGGTCAACAGGAGAAGGAAGTACCCGTTGACTTTACACCGCTGTCGAAGCTTGTCAAGAGCTTGTACGAGGGCGACTACAAGACCTTCTTCGGCGCTCTTGGTGAAGTAGAGACCAACTTCCTCAGCCAGGACCGCTACATGTACGAGCACCGTGGCTGGTATGTGCGTGAGATGCGCCTGAGGGGATACCAGCAGCTTCTCCAGTCATACCGGGTTGTCGGTCTTGAGAGCATGGCTAAGGACTTTGGTGTCACGGTTGACTTCCTCGACAAGTAAGTGACATTCTGTGCCCAAAGTCTAGTATCGTTTACTAATAACAAGCAGGGACCTCGCTCGATTCATCGCTGCCGACCGCATACCCTGCACCATCGATCGTGTCAAGGGTATCATCGAGACGAACCGACCCGATGACAAGAACAAGCAGTACGCAGACGTGGTCAAGCAGGGCGACCAGCTTATCACCAAGCTACAGAAATATGGTCAGGCAGTCAGGCTGAGGGGCAGTGAGCGTGGCTAGATGCCGCCATGATGAGGTGCATGTGTAATGATCTTGAGGCATTGTAGACTTAGACGAACCAGCGCAAAGACCGCTGAATGAAGCAAAAGCATACCATGACTTTGCCTGCGCCTGTCCTGTCTCAGCTTCCCCGCGTCGCATTGCCATATTCGCAGCACGGCTCTAGCTCCGATATCTCCGTGTTGCGGCTCAACGAGCATGTCATGAACGTGCGGTGAGATAACGCAAAAGCAACGTTCCTTTCAACTTGACAACAAACCCACGCGTCTTTCCAAGTCTTCCAAAACTATTTCTACACCCACGCTTACATTATATCGCTCGTAACAAGCTCCAACCCAAGCAGTCGGTTGAGCCCCCGCCAGGGTGGGGTCATCGCCTCAAGCAGCCGCCGATAAGCATCAATCAGGGTCCATCAACATGTCACCGTCATCGGCGCGGGCATGCGCCCGTTCACTTTGCCCTCATGTCATGGCAAGTCGACGAATTGGTGGCAACCTGGGTTCTAGAGGTATTTGACTTTCGCTGTTCTTTTGTACGCCCGACGAGTAGAGTAAGAGACTGGCACATCCGCAACGCGCCGAGCTACGGAGGGGTAGCATCGTAGTGGCTCTGCCCTACAAGTAGTGGGGCACCACGCGACGCAGCATAAAAAATATAGACCAGCCATTGACGCATATCTTCTACGTGTTTCGAGTACGTCGCGGGATTGAGTAGCGCTGAAAGATATACTTTTCGCCGGAGCTAAGTTATAGTCTCGACGTGTGCTCACCACCTTAGTCCTTCATAGACCATTCACCTCTTCCACTCCCCAAACCCTATCACCGTTCCTCTCTGGGCACGCGCCGACCCAGCTTTACAACCCACCGTCGCACCTTCCGCATATTCGAAGCATCATGTCCAAGGCACCACAGAAGGTGTTGCAGATTGGCAACATCAACCCGCACGTCAAGGCAGCCAAGTATGCCGTCCGTGGTGAACTAGCCGTCAAGTCGGAGGAGTACCGCGCCAAGCTGGCAAAGGGCGAGGGCAAGGACCTTCCCTTTGACACTGTCATCGCGGCCAACATCGGAAACCCACAGCAACTAGACCAAAAGCCCATCACATTCTTCAGGCAGGTCGCGAGTATACTGGAAAACCCTGGCCTATTGGAGCACGAGGATGTTCTTCTCAAGAGTCTTGGATACAAGTCGGACGTGCTTGAGCGCGCGAGGAAGCTGCTGAAGGAAGTCAAGAGCGTAGGCGCATACAGTCAGAGCCAGGGTGCACCAGGCATCAGGCAGAGCGTTGCAGAGTACATTGAACGTGCGTATTTCTCTATATCTATACCTGGATTCGACTAACAAGCGGCAGGACGCGATGGTTACCCAGCAAAGTTCGAGGATATCTACCTTAGCAATGGCGCCTCATCAGGCGTGAACACCCTCCTCCACACCATCTGCGCGAAGCCTGAGACCGGTATCATGGTTCCCATCCCACAGTACCCTCTCTACACCGCGACCCTTTCCGTCCTCGACGCTCGCTGCGTACCATATTACCTCAACGAAGAGCAAGCATGGGGCACGTCACTTGATTCAATTGCGACCGCATACGACAAGGCTGTTAAGGAGGGCACAGATGTCAAGGCTATCTGTGTCATCAACCCAGGTAACCCTACTGGTGCATCGCTGCCTGCCGAAGATATCAAGGCTGTACTCAAGTTCGCTGCCGAAAAGGGTCTTGTTGTCATCGCAGACGAGGTTTACCAGACCAATGTCTTCATTGGCGAGTTCATTTCCTTCAAGAAAGCTCTGCGTGACCTGCAGAAGGAGTCACCCGGCCAGTACGACCACCTCGAGCTCGCTTCGTTGCACTCAGTGTCCAAGGGCATGGTCGGCGAGTGCGGTCACCGAGGTGGCTACTTTGAGCTTATCGGCTTTGACCCAGAGGTCGCGCAGGAAGTCTACAAGTTCATCTCTATTCAGCTGTGTCCACCAGTGTTGGGCCAGTGTATTGTGGAGATGATGGTCAACCCACCAAAGGAGGGCGAGCCAAGCTACGAGCTGTACAAGGAGGAATACGATGGCATCTTCAATGGATTAAAGAAGCGCGCGTATGCTTTGTACGAGGCGTTCAAGCAGATGGAGGGTGTTGAGTGCAATGAGCCACAGGTACGTACCAGGTGTTCCGCCACATATCACGCAGCTAACCCCAATATTAGGGCTCCATGTACCTCTTCCCCACTATCCACCTGCCTGAAAAGGCCGTGCAACAAGCCAAGAAGGAAGGCCGCGCGCCTGATGAGTTTTACTGCTTCCGCATGCTGGACGCTACAGGTGTCTGTGTTGTCGCTGGCACAGGATTCGGACAGAAAGAGGGTACGCTGCATTTCAGAACAACCTTCCTCGCTCCTGGAACGGACTGGACAGGGCGCATTGTCAAGTTCCACGAGGAGTTCATGAAGGAATTCAAGTAGACGTCATAGCCAATAAAGGCTAGACGCGAAGTGAGGGTTGTGATATGATTTACGGTTTGGATGGCATAGATCTCACATATAACACTACTTCCTTTACTAACTGCTAGTTTCTCATCACGCGTGATGTTTGTAACGCTGGCGTACCATGCAATGATGGTGGGGGCGGGGTAAGGAGGACTGTTACATCCGAAGACGATCGCGACATTGCAACTGCCGTGCATTGTACCTGAATGGACCCTTGTCTTGGCTTATGCCTCATGACATGGGACAAATTTATAAGTCTGCACCATTGGTCTCACCATGTACATCGCGTGCCTTTTAATTCTGCATCCTTTTCTGTTTCCTTTGTTTGCATTCCTGGTTATTCCTCCATGACTTCACGCAATTTCAACATCAACAACTTCTCATCATCATTTTGATCTGCGCTCACACTACAAATCCCACTAACACCTCCTCAACCCTCTACCATGGCCACTTCAAGACTCGAGTCCCTTCCTGAAGAACTTCTAGACCTAATCCTCCACCACATCCCAGATCCCCCTAGAACCACTCTCCACGCCCTCTGCCTCGTCTCCCGCAACATCAATCGCCTCGCAACGGCCCGCCTCTATGCTCACATCACCCTCCTCGGCGACGACTTCAAGTATCTCCGGCCCTTAGCCTTTTTATTCTGGACCTCGGAACCACATCGTCAGGCTGTTCGTTCTTTCGCCGTGCATCAAGCTTATGGGGGGAACTTGGATCCGTGGCCGAAGCACGTGAAGCAGGAAGAACTGGATGGAATTATTAGGTGCAATGTGGAGAGGTTTGTCAGGGAGAGTGATTGGGAGGTTTGGTGGAGTGACGTGAAGGATGGGAGTGATTCGACGCGGATTGCGAGTTTGTTGCTAAGGAGCTGTCCGCATTTGAGGAGGATGCAGTTACCGGGGTTTGAGCTGGTGGATCCTGGGGCGAGGGGATTCGTTGAGAGAGAGATGCGGGTGGATTTTGGGAGTCAGGATTGAGTTACCACTGAAATGGTCGAACAAGAGGAGCCTACTAATATCTGGCTACGCGTCTCCACCGCGATCCACAACGATAACGGGTATCTTTCGTCAATATGAAGGGATCTTGTACATTGTGTGCTCTCATAGCTGAACCTGTCAATGTCCTTGCATCGTATGCGAGCTAAGTCGCTATCCATGTTTGGGTTGGATGTAACGAGGGTTCTCTACCGTGGTACGGTACCTACCTCCTGCGGACACACGACGACATATTCGTAATCCAACAAGCCTCGAGTGGTGCTTTGTCTATCTGCTGGAAAGAACGGATATGTTGAGCTAGGTAATGAAAAAGATGTCTGTGTACACAACAGAGTCAGCGGAACGAAGTCTTCAAAGCGACCTTTATGTTTAGCTGGCACCAACGTGGACCCGGTACCGCACCCTGAGTCTGAAAGAGTTTTTCCTTGCTGAGCGATATGGGTTTAGAAAAAGTTGCTCCCTTTGCATTTGTCTCTTCCTACTATCCAGTCTATTACGAGAATATTGCGGTACCATTAGCCCTTCTTTGAAGATGTCTTTTTCCTCTTCCACTATGACTACAACTACAGCAACTACAGAGCACAAAGTCGACTTCCTCATAACAGAGGAAGAACTCGGAATTAAACCGCTTCCCGAAGTACACCAAGACTCCCATAATACCCTCTCCCGCCGCCTCAGCCGACCTACGCTACCTCCCTCCCTTCCATCTCAAACCCCCTCCGCCAGATGGACTCGATCCGAAGGTTTCTGGCGCTCCTTCATCGCCATATGCATCCCGCTTCTCCTCTCCGCTCTCGAAGGGACTGTGACCAATACCGCTCTCCCCACCATCTCCGAGGCCTTGGATCTCGGCACAAAGTTCTCCTGGGTCGCCACGGCGTTTCTCCTCGCGAGCACCATCTTCCAACCCCTGTATTCCCAGTTTGGAGACATGTGGGGGAGGAAGATACCTATGATGGCTGCTGTAGCCGTTTTTGCTGTGGGTTCTGCAATTTGCGGTGGTGCGCAGAATGGTGCTGTGCTCATTGCTGGACGCATTGTTCAGGGTTTGGGGACCGGTGGCATTGATCTGTTTGCTGAGATGGTTCTTTGTGACATCGTCCCGTTGAGGAAGAGAGGTCCGTACTTGGCTATCAAGCATGTTGCTTTCGCTATTGGCACCACGCTCGGTCCACTGTTGGGAGGTGTTTTTGCGGAGCATGGCTGGAGATGGTGTTTCCTCATCAACATACCTGTCTGCGCCATCTCGTTGGTAGTCATCTGGCTGTGGTTGAAGGTCGGTGGTGGCATCAACACTGCCGAGGTATCCCTCAAGGAAGAGTTGAAAAGGGTGGATTATGTAGGAAGTGGTATGCTCACTGGCTCCATTCTCATGCTCCTCGTCGCACTCAGTACAGGTGGCGCACCAAAAGCCTGGTCTCACGTCGCTGTTGTCATACCCATGGTCTTCGGTATCCTCGGTCTTATCGGATTTGGCTTCTGGGAACGCTGCTCCTACTGCAAATACCCCATCATGCCGCCCCATGTCTTCTCAAACCGCACCACTAATATTACCTTTACACTCACCGCAATGCATGGCTTCATAACCTATGGCTTCCAATTCTACCTACCGCCCTTCTTCCAAGCCGTCAAGGGTTCCTCGCCGACTCAATCCGGTCTAGAAGTCATGCCCGCCACCCTCGTCGTTGTCATCCTAGCAGCAATCGGTGGCCCCTTACTGAGCTTCTGGGGCAAGTACAAGCCCATGCACATCGCCGGCTTCGCCTTAATGACCCTCGGCCTAAGTCTCTGCACACTCCTCAACGCCAAGTCCTCAATCGGCGTCTGGCTATCCCTCCAACTTGTCACCGCAGCAGGTCTAGGTATAGTAATCAGCACCATGCTGCCCGCTGTCCAAGTCAAACTCCCCGAGTCCACAACTGGCGCGAGCGCAGGCTCCTGGGCTTTTCTCCGTGGCACGGGTTCACTCTTCGGCGTCGCGATCCCTGGTGCGGTCTTCAACATACGTTTCGCCTCCTTGCTCCCCACCATCTCTTCTGAATCTGCCCGCGCTAGATTGTCCAACGGCCAAGCCTACCAACGCGCAACTGCTTCTTTCATCGCCACGCAGGCCACCTCGCTTACCATCAAGGCTGAGATCATAAGCGCCTTCACCCAGAGTCTCAAGTGCGTGTGGATGGTTTTTGCTATACTTGCTGGCATGGGCTTTTGTCTGACGTGGTGGGAGAAGCAGTACAAAATGCGCAAAGAACTTAATACGGCGTATGGGCTTAAGCCGAGGAAGGTGGGTGGTAGTGCGAAGACGAGCTCTGATGGGCTGGATACGGGTGTTGCTACGCCTGTAGATGTTGATGAGGAGGAAATTGGCAAGACGGTGGGAACAATGGGAGAGGATTTTGGGTGTGCAATCGAGGTCGATGGTGATGTCTAGTTGAGTGAGATTAGGGGATGGGTGGGGGAAGTATGATGATAAAATCGGAATTCGAATGCGAAGTTTCTAGTGGTTTAATGTTGTTCTTCTGGGTTCGAATAGACCGCGAATTGTTGTACTGCTGCCCCACTATATTCTTCATTCGATGTATCGTCTTTCCACTGCTGTCCTCAGTGGTTTGGTTTTGTTTGTAGTACGCGATCTTACAAGTACGAATGAGTACATCGGAAACGAAAGACCCATGCGTTGAAAATAGTGTTATTTATTCTGATTAGCAAATGTAAATTCGCATATCTCATGGTACTTCCTCATCCGAGTGAATGATAAAACTGTAGTAAAGTTCATTACTGGCTCGCGAGACATGAGGCAGGCACTTGAGAACAAAAACGACGATGACCTTTTAAGCACGTCAGATTTCCCTACAATGCTCCATCAACGCTTTTTGAGCCCAACATAGACTGCTCCTATCCCGAAAGATATCAAAACAATGTTGGTGTTGACGCCTCCGTGCATGATGCAGTGGAATCTTCCATCGCGCACGAATCTACGCTTACGCTATATAATGTTGCCCTCGAACCCTGCAAGTCTCGCAGATCGACCGACTCATTTATTTGAGGTTCCGGATGTCATTACGGGTGTGAGAAGTCATCATCGACCCTGTGGCAACGGTCGCACGCTTATTCATGATTGACGCCTTGTTCAATGATTGACTGGGTTTCAGCCTTGCTCCGCCACAACGCCGTCTAAGTTACTTAGCCTCATCCCCAACTTGCGCATCCTCCGTTCTACCAATACACCTCACTGACGACTTACACTCGCCTATCCAACTATATGATCGTGGTTGCCTCTCGTCGTACTGCCCCTGCTCTCATATGAACGTCGCAGCATTCCTAAGATACAATGACCGAAGCTCATACACGTGCGCCGACTCGCTACAAACATACGCCCCTGGACTTCGCGAAAAAACAAATTCGTCTCATCAGGCTCCTTTCACAGTCCGACTCAACCGCCCTTGAATGCGAAATATCAATATTCGACGCCGACGCGCCGCCAGAGTACTATGCTCTTTCCTACACCTGGGACGACGAGCACTCGCCGAAACAAGCACTCTCGGTACTCGGAGACAATTTAGAGATCGGAGAGGCTATGCACAACTTTTTGCAAAGCTGGCGAAGGAGGGCAGAAGGTTGGAAGTGGCTTTGGTGCGACCAGCTCTGTATCGACCAAGGCGACAACCTGGAGAAAGGTCACCAGATTCCGCTTATGGCATCAATCTACTCTCGATGCTACTGCGTAATTGTCTGGTTTAGTCTACATTTCAGCACAATAGAGGAACTGCTTGATCATCGCTACTTCACGCGACTCTGGATCATACAAGAAATTCTGCTTGCACCACAGGTAATATCTCTCTGTGGTGATACAGAGATATGTTGGTCTGATCTGTACGCACATTGCGTGCGTCTACCTGAAGGAGAGTACAATGAAAGCTCAGAAAAGACGAATCGGGCAGCAACCACCGCGCTGTTCTTCACTCGAAAATCCGAGTTTGAGAGCAACAAAACAGAGAGCTTCTCTCGACTGTTCATAATGTATGGTCGAAAAGAATGTAGAGATCCACGCGACAAAGTCTATGGCCTGCTTAGTCTCATCGATGAGCGACACCGACCCGTCGTCGACTATAGCAAACCGGCCTTAGAAGTGTTCTAGGATGGTCTCAAAACTCTCCACGACCAGCACTGGGAGTACATGAACCGAAGGCCAGAGGCTAACCTCGAATCTTGCTCAAACCCATCCGAAATCTTTTCAAACTACATGTATGAGACTCCCGGGTTGTATATCCAAATGGGTCTCCCTGCACAGTGGCGAAGGAATTTAGCTGACATTTCGTTGGCATTAAAGAGGAACCAGAAGTCTGATTTGAGTTTCGAGTGGTTTCAAGCCACCCTTACTAGTAGCCCTCCGACTAGGGCACACAAGACTAAAGATGACTCGATTATGCGTTGGATGTGCCGTGTACTCCATATCAGCGACGTGTTCCGCAAAGCAATCCACAAGCGACCCGGCAAGCATGACCGCTGAGGAACGGAGAGAGATACTTACGGGTACGCTACGACGATATGCGAGATAGCTGGATGAAATCATGGGTCACTTCGAACTGCGCTCTACGCCTGACTATCACTTGGTTCTCCCATATGCTGCAAAAACAAGGTCTGTTTTAAGGAAGGAAGAGCCATCCCAGGGACCGATATTTAAATATAGAATCATTAGTTTTCGATCCGCGTGCTCACGGAATCATAATGCCAGACCAGCTCTACTGTTACCATCACCGCCACCCACAATTCCTTCTCGCCCCATCCATCCTCCTCTTCGCCTCACTAAACCGTCTCCTTGCTTCTTCAAACGCCCTCTGTGCTTCTATTACTTGTATCCTCCGCGCATTGAACTGATGCGTCGCCCTTTGCGCTGCCTGTATACGAGGATCTACTGTAGGCGCTTCATACCTTCCACCCATGAAACTGTCCCAGATATTGCTGTTTTCAAACTGCGGGTATGTACTCGGCCGAGTCGGACATGGAGTATCTGGGTCACCAAATTCGTGTTTCAAACTGTTGAAGAGCGGCGTAAAGGAGGAGCATGGAGGGATGTTTTGGGGGGAAGTGCTCATGGGAGTGTTGATTTCTGTGGTACGAATTGGAGGAAGACGAACGCGGCGTTGGGTTCGAAGAGTTGTCGGAATTGATGGGAGGGTTATCGTGTTTTCTGAGTCTGGGGGCGTGAGCATACCAGGAAGATTGATGGAAAGTGGTGTGTTAGGCTCCCTATCGTCTTCTGGGATGATATTGAGCTCTTCTTTTAGACGTTTCGCTAGATTTTCTCCGTCTTCATGGTCGTCCCTGTTGGTAGCGTTTAGCTCGTGTCTGATTGAGTATTTCCTCTTCCTTGGTTCATCTTCTTTGACCAGAACAGGACCTTGCATCTCGCGACCTCGGCTCATCTTCCTCAAGCTCTCACATGCCTTTTCCACATCTCCAATCTCCAGCATAGCGAAAATATTTTGGCTTTTACCGTTATACGACCCCTCACGGATGCGCGCCTGGAAGTAAGTGTTTACCAGGTTGTGCGCACGGTCTCGTTGCCCGATCGTTAATGTAGAAAGCTGATGGACAGCTTCCACAATTCCTGCTGGTAAGCAATTGAATGGTACTCCAGCAAGTAGTGAAGGCGGGAGAATATCCTCATCCTCAGAGGCGGCTTGAATGAACCAGTTCTGTTGGATGGCTTGGATGTGGCTCGTCACATCCATGTAGCTTTCGGCACCGACCAGATTCGATACTTTTGCAATATTTGTTAATCCCATCTTGATTATCGTGGATAGCAGATTCTAGTCCAGGAGAGGGCGCCGGGATGCAAATGCAATCTGCAACGCAATGTCACGACCATTGATGTGACTCCACCGTGACTGATAGCGAGCAGCCCTACAACAAAGAGTCAGCGGCTACAAAGGTTGTGCAATACCTCTCTGCTTTGTCTCAATCGTAGTCCAAAGACTGGTTTCTGGTCGCTGGTGGCGCTTTGTCTTGCAGCTTTAGAACAGTGTATGAGATTGTGCTCGTTGTAGCAGACGTTGTTCGGGAGGCGAATGTTCTTTTATACAGATCTTGAGACATGTTTTAGACTGGTTGGGCCAGTAGAACGTCATTGGTGACCAGGCAGACGCATTAGAGTATGAAACCTGAATTGTGAACTATGCTTGTGCAGTTGTAAAAGCCACCCTTATCTAATCCTAGGAATCTAATAGCATTGATAAGAATTTCTATTTAGCTGTAGAGCTACAAGCAGCGCTCTGACAATGCGGAGTCTGTGAGGGGTAGTTATAGGCAATAGTATTTGCTTCACACTACAAGAGAATAGTAAGGTAAAGCCCTGTATTACTACACTAGGTGGGGCGGTCGTGAGAATAATTCTTGTCCATCTCCTGACGCGCGGAGCGCAGGTTATGAGCAGGTTTAGAGGCCAAGGCGCGAGCGAGAGAAGCAAACATGTTGGGACCATAATCGTCCTCCTCGCTCAGCCTCTGCCATCCCGTGTTACAGGGTCTTACCCCCTGCCGGTACTTCTACTCTTGACCAACCAATTAAAGCGATCGCTGACTTTCGCTAAGGTCGCTGTGCACGTCCCTAGCGTGCTCTTTATCTTACTTAGTCAACAAGCAAGTGCGTATAGTAACCTTCGGCCTAGCTTAGGCGTCGTAAACAGTGCGCTCGTGCACGTGACCGAGATATCGTCGAAGAACTCAGCGACTAGGCTTCAGCCTATCGTGTGCGCCGGTAACATGCGGAGCTTAGTGCCCGCTCCTACTTGATATACTCAAAGAAACGCCTTTAACGCTATTAACATTAGCACGTGACTGCTATATTCGTGTTATAAGACCGCGACTATTAGGTTTCATTCAAGTTCTTTGAAATTCCGATATGGCAAGACCAACGCGTATATATACACGAGCATCCCCGGTCCCAGCAATCAAAGAGGAGTTATAAGAAAAAAGAAAAAAGAAAAAAAAGATCACGAAGCAAACAAAGTATTAGTATGTGCTAATGTATACGGCTAGGAGAGGATTTAGAGGTTGATACTACAGACCCATACTCTTCCTGACCCAACACCCATTCCAATCATATTCCCGCACACAGACGAGCATAATAGTCAATACTCAGGAGGTATCCAGAGCAAGTGCTTGCCATTATAGGTAATCCATATATTGTCAGAGCTGACGCCCGCGTCTAGGTACTGAGGACGCCAAAGTACCGTAACACTCTCTGCACCAGAATCTATAGATGCACTAACATCAATAGATCCAATTTTGGTGAGGAGACATAAGCTAGTAGCATCGAATGACAAGTTAGAAAGAGAATTGCTAACGTCAAGCGTCTGCAGACACGCGCCGCTGTTCGCATCCCAGATCTTGACAGTCCTGTCGCTAGACGCTGACGCCAGCCAGGTCGAGTCGTGCGAGAAGGCCACCAAGTTAACAACACTGCTATGGCCCTCGAGCGTCTGCAGACACGCGCTCCAGCCGTCACTCAGGCTTAGCTTTAGACCGATGCCTTCTAGCCTTTCGTGCTGGAACAGCTTCCTCACTACACTCTGCTTTGGACTAAACAGCAGCGCAGATCCATATGCCTGAAGAGGGCTACTCTCAATCGCTTATTTGTAGTACATAACAAATCGGTATACATCGTATATAAGCTAAGTAAATAAAGTTGCCTCCCCTTGTCCCTAACTACAGTTAGCAAAGAGAACGTCTAGCGGCGTTACTTATCGTAGACACGCCTGCGCTAATATTCGTAGTTCCCTTATAGAGACTATGCCTTTCGACATGCTCTTACAAAGGCTAAGAGATTCAAGCCAGTATAGACACTTTTCCCTTAAGAATCTATCAACAACGCCTCTGTCTCGCAGAAATTCTACATAGATTGCAGAAGACGTAGGGTTCAAGTCGCATAGATGGTCGACCCAGTGAACACACAAGTAGCGCAAGGCTGCCAGTGGGTCTAGCTCAGGCATCATCTAGCGAAGATAGTCTGATAGACGGTCTCCTGTCCAGCTGGGAAAACTTCCTGAGCAGCCTCGGCTAGGAGAAAGTCCTTAGCTGACTGGTGCACAAAGTACACAGTCTGCTCCCGCAGGGTAAGGAACGAGCCGCAAAGGCCGATAATCTCCAGTAACTCTGTCTCGTCGGCTATGCCTTCGAGCGGTTCGACAAGGGTCACCAGCTCCTTAAGCGTGATTGGCTGATACACGAGTGCGACCGCAGCTAGCACCTGCTTGCATAGCCTGGCATCATCCGTCTTGCTAATCTGCTGCATCATCCGCTCGTACAGGGCGTCTAGTCCAGGTGAGAACAATTCGAGCTTCATTAGAACGTTTCGTCTCGCTGTCGCTTGAAGGTGCCGACACACCAGCGCTACCCAGAGGAAGGTGTCGTTCGCATTCGACGTTAGATGCTCGAGCACGGCGCGCTGAGTTCGCTCGTCATACCTGTTCTGCTGCGCGAGCTCAGAGGCCCTTTGCTCGATATAGGCTTCGACTGCGGTCGACACAGACGCCGCATTTAGCTCAAGGCTCAGCCTGACCTCGTGGCCTGCCTGCTCTAGGCGTCCCTCGATCTCCGGCCAGTTGCGGCTAGAGACAATCCACTTAACGCGGGAAGAGGCAGACGACTGCTTTGCGACAAAGTCAAGCAGCTTTGGCAGGTCAGTGACGCACTCGTCCAGCGCGTCGACGATCAGGTACGTAGTGGTTAAGCTCGGGTCCCGTAGCACGTCTGTGAAGATGTCCACTAGGGCAACCCACGCGTTTGCATCCTCGAACATGTTCTTGCCCGTCTCGTCGTACCTTTTACGGACGTGCGATGCAAGCGACGGCTGCTATTTCACGAGCATGTACAACAGCCCTCGTAGCACGGCTGTGGCGCTGTTGATGCGCGTCGGTAGCCTGGCAGAAGAAGTAGGACACCTTGTTTGTCTGTGCGATCGCACTCGACGTCTGCAGCTCATCGACGATACCACAGCGCAGCATCGTCTTGCCCTTGCCAGGGTCGCCCTTGATCCACAGCAGTCGGCTCTGCGGGTCTTTGTGCCATTTCTGGAAACTATCGTTGTGAAGGACCCAGCGGTATGAGTCTTTCAGCAACCCACCCTTCGTTTGCTCAATGCGCTTCTTGTCGGCATGCGAGTCGGTGCTACATAAGTCTTGGATACATCGTTTTGTCTTATCGATCTCGTCGTGGAGCCGCTTAAACGCCCCATCCACACCTTCGCCATAGCATGGCGCCAGCTCAACACCAAGGACACCTAAGAGTGAGTACACCTTATCCTCTGGATGCGTGGTAAGCCGGTGTTCGATCTACCGCAACCGCTTGTTGATGCTGAATTCAGATAATGGAACTCCCTGCAGTGCTGAGCGCGGTATGCCTGTGACCTCTTGCACTTGCTGTATCAGCGATCTTTTGTCACCGAGCTTCTCCCATTCTCGTGAGAAGAACTCGACCGAGCTTGGTGCGAGAAGCTCCTGGAGTGTCCAACCTCGAGTGAACCATTCGCTTTTTTCGACCTTAGATTCGTATGCTTGCGGACCGGAAACATTTAATACGACGAGGAAGCGTCGAATTATAATGTGATACCAGCGAAGTATAGGATAGATAAACAGCAATATCCAGATCCAAGTGAACCGATCGGTTCTCTGCAACTGCGATTCCTGCGGGTTGCACGCTGGGGTGGTGTCTAAAGGTCGGCTCGAGACGTCCGACAAGTAGACATAACATCGAGCCGAGTTGCGGTACCAGCGAAACATAGACTGAATAGCCAGCGACAGCTCGGCCTTGTTTGCCTTGTTAATGCAGCAGGTATCAACCCAGAAGTACTGCAAGCCATCTCGCTGAGCTTGTTCCCCGCAGAAGCGAATCTTCGCATAGCCAGGCTTGTTCTTGCCCATGTTCCCTGCCACGTCTTCGAAGGTTACCTCGTCCGCTTCTGCTCCCCACCTGTGGGAAAGTATCGCATACGGCGGCTTTGTGTCCTCGTTGAATTCGACGATAGATAGTTCTTCGTCTCCTCCATACTCGAGAAGACGCATCGCTCTGTACGGGTGCAGGGTCGGCGTATGTAGCAGAAACGAAATGTAGGAGGCTTAAGGCGGCAGCCTAGTAGCAAGAGCGTGGGGCGGCGAGGCTGTCTAGCAAGACCTTCGCACCTTATGCAATTGCGATAAGAAAAGGAAGGACAGTGGTGCACCGTACGGCATTATCGCATTGCAGAGGTGCAGACTGCAATTGCGTTCTGAGCTAAGGCGGGCGCTCGCTGCTGTGAAATGTGGTGAGGGTGTCGCATCACACCTCGGGCGGGGTAGGCATGGCTGAGTGCATGCGCCTGAACGTCGGACACAAGGCTGTGGCCTGCCTCCATTGGATACGGCATCGGAGCATATGCGAAACTCCTTGGTGGCGCGCACTACTTAGACGTGCGAACTCTTTGATAACGTGGATAGATGGCGAATAACGAGAACATCGACACGGCACAGCGGCGGACAACCGTGGACGAACGTGAGCTAAAGATAGTATGAGCCAGGTGGCTGTGTTAACTGTATAGAGAATAGCGTGCTTTTCGATACATGATAACAAAGCACGCTCAATCAGATGCCAAGCTCTGTGACAATCTCCCCTCTCGATCGGAGATACTCTCGGATTTCTCATCACAGATGCGATATGCCACCAGAGCTTTAGAATGAGGACTCTTGTGATAGAGCCTTCGCCCTATAGTTTCGAGAATCGAGAATGTGTTATCTGTTGCGATATAGCAGGGGCAAACAGGTGACACGCGAATAATTGTCGCGAACAGAACCTCCGACAACAAGCTTAAGAATGCTGTAATTTTTTACTTTAAATGCGACAGTGTGTGTAAGGTTAGCAAACTTATTAGTGAGCTATGTATTTACTCTTATACAACCGCGTTGGCACCTTCTAAGTAGCAAAGAAGAGGATGTTGTTCCGTTACGGCGGTTGTTCCGTTACGAGTGGATGGACGTTAATACAGTTTCTTGTGTCACAAGCTTGACCAAAACATGCACGGCCAGCTTTCAGCATAGCCACGCGAAGAGGACACTAAGCCAAAGCTATACCGTTTATAGTATAGCGAGCGGCTTGATGAAGTTGATTTGGATGATTTAATCATTTCAATGCTTACAGGCGCACTAAATTCTATCCAAATACACCTTAGTCATATTCATACTCCTATAGCAGAGTGCTATCTATTGCCCTGTAGACATAGATGACGTTGCTTATGAATCCGGCGTCCACTCACTGTGCGCCACATATCTCAGCCACCTCACTCAGCCACTTCGCTCAGCCCCGGAGCCTACTATATTTTAGCTTGGTTACAGTTACCGCCGTGGCTGCCTACGTAAGTGAACAGAAGAATCACCGCTGGAGATACACTACTCTACAGACTTTCCATGCGTAGACTTAGTGATGTTCTCGCCATACAAGTATCAGGTTGCTTAATTGTAACACAATAAGCGATGGCACAGGCATCGGCGTCCAGTGGAACGACAGTGCAGCAAGCAACTACAGCAGCTGATCCCTTCGCCGAAAGAAATGTCCGAAGACGACGACCTGATCAATTGGAACATCTAGGTGTGTTAACTCAGCTGAAATATACAGTTAACAGGTTCGGGTTTTGTTGTGACTGACATGCGCTGTAGGGGCTGAAAGGCTTCAGAGTCAAACGCGCATTGATAATATTCTCGTTATTGTCACCCATATTCTCTGGGTCAATGCAGTAGTACTTAAAACCTTGCAAGATGGGTACTATGGATTCCCGCAAATCATTTCCAGACTCGACGACGACTTCGAGAAATTGATTACCGAAGAGGAGACGAGCCTCGCCGACAGAGTCGAAGACTTGTACGAGCCTCGCATAAAAGGTCATATCATGACATATCTAAGGAAATTGACGCCAAATGAACGACTAGCTTTCATTACCGACGATCAGCCGTGCCAATTCTATCGCGAGGCGTTACGTATTAGGGTCATCAAATGCACTACATCGCATCGAGCGATGGCAGCCGTGGAAACCGATCCAAATTTAGAAAAGCCGGAATTCTATGACTGGTGTAATACGAAACAGCAATACATCGGACAACTTGGCGTGGAGGTCGAGGAGAATCGATATCAGCTTGCCGTATTCTTGAACGTTCTCAAAGACCTTTTGACTTCGATTCAAGCAGCCGCCAGACTGGCTCTTCTTTCAGAAGAAGAATCACATGCCCTTCGAATCAAGTTACAGGCGATAGCAGACTATTATCCAATTGCATATTGTGTTGCCCATGGCGTGTCTGGATCAGAGCAATATCTGTTGAACTCGGCGCCTGAGAGCTGGTGGTAAGTTTGTTTTTGCGCTATGCGTAATCAACACTGACCTCGAGTAGGGACACGAGCACTGAAAGCAAAAATGACACCCCTGGGCCAGAAACCACCGTTTTCACCGCGTATCAAGCCTCAGAAGTCATGCGGTCGAATCTCAATGTCATCGTCCCAATAGTGTCATTGGTCTCTGTAGTACCCGCCGCGATTGCCTGGAAGTATGGCATCGTGGAAAAAGTCACTTTCACAGATCCCAACTTCTACCAAGCGATTACCGGAAGCATTTTGCAGGTGCTAGGCCTTGTCACATTCATGTGGCCAACTTTAGGCCACCCTCGACTATCCCGTCTGAATTGGGTCTGGATCTGGATTCTGGCTGGCTTCAGCCTCTTGTGCGCGCTAATAAGTCCTTTTGTTTATTGGTTCCTTTCTACCACCTGGAGCTTTGTCATTTCTTTTGTTGGTGCAATTCTCCAAGCCGTGATTCAACTTCAAGTTGTTAACTCGATCTGATGGGCGGATACCAGATGTTTGCAACAGCGTTGGCTGGGAGCCGACATTATCCATTTCGTTACCAGTACGATGCCGACGATGCGATGTTACTCTCGTGTAATATGACACGGTTTGTGCGATGAATGAAGTGCTGTATACTGGGGGAGAGATGGCGGGGAGAGATGGCGGGGAGAGAAGGTTGGGGGTGATGACGGAGGGTAAATGGGGCTCGAGACGACGCGTCACGTCAAACGCGACGCGGAAAGCACAATCAATGGTAAGCATCACACCAAGAGCGGCACAGGTTTAGATAAACTTTCGATGTTCCGCAATCACAACTATATATATAATCGTGTGGGCGCTGTTGCACAGCCCCAAAATCAAATGCGCAAAATGAAGATATATAACACGAACGAGTTCGGGAGACTCTTCCAGAATGCTAACGATGTGTCGTAGCTCTCTAAGCCTAGCACACTGATGCTATGACACGAAGATGTAGCATATTTAAGTCGTGTATCAACTTCAAACCGCAAACGAGCAACCCTCAAGCGGAGCTTGCTAACTTCATCGCAGCCTCTTTACTACCTGCTGTCATGAAGTATATCTCCAACCGAGCACCACAGGCTCTTATCGGGTAAGCCCCAAGCACCTTGCGAAGCTTTCAGGTCGGAAGTCTTTGGTGGAGCGTACTTGTATGGACAACCACCATTCATACAACCGTTCGAGGTCATCTGCCATCTGCATGGTATCTCCAATTGAGGCATGTTTCGCGGGTTCTCCTTCTTGCCTCGTCCTGCCGTCTGGATCATGTCGTCAAGGGACTGCTCAATATTGGTTTGGGGAGGTTGGTGTTGAGCAGGCGACTGTGATAGAGGCAGCTTTGCATATTTATTCCTTTTGTCTACTGCCGTGTTGATGATATCATCGAGGGATTGTTCAACCTGAGTTTGAGGAGGCTGATGTCGAGTGGGTGGCTGTAAAGATCGATGTTCACAGTTGCTGGAAGTACCTTGGCCGGCGTGGGAAAAGTCATGACCGTGCCTTTCTTGACCATCGCCAAAACGGCAAGTGCCGCTTCGGAACTATGGACATGGCTGGTAAGCATACTGGCAGTCGTCGCCTGCGTTGCATCTGCCCTTGAGATTATTCTTGCAGGCTGCTTCAAAGAAAGCAGCCTTGTCGTGAGGCCCCTGGACTACATCGGATAGGACAATGCGCTAATCGACAGCGTTTCTATCATTGGTGGAAGCGGAAGTCGAACCTTGTGATGAGATAGGCTGATCGTTGGTCGTTATTCTATCGAAGAACGCGTTACGCCCAGGAGAACTAGCTTGGAAGATCATAATAAGAAATTCCGGAGAACCAAGTACATGGTGACAGTGACAACGAAAGAAATGGCCTGGAATAATCTACGATTTAAGGACGATGGAGGAGGAAGAGAGACTTGATCGTGGGATCCATGGATATCGGCTGGCTTGGCGATGCCGGCCCTAGCGCGAGATGGCAGGCACGGGATGCGGAGGGCTGATCGCGACGGCAAGGGTGACCGAAGCAGGGTCGTTCATCCACCAGTCGATGTTTGGCTTACACATGCATCGCGACAATGCGCAATCCCGTCGCGTGTGTGTCTTGTCGGTCAGCAAAACAAAAGTGCATCCACGAAGATAGGCCGCCATGCGACAGGTGCAAGCAGAGCGGACGCGCGGACCGTTGCGAGTTCCCAGGTGCGTTGAGCTTCTGCCACCTCCTAGAGCGGCGTGTTGACGGTTGTGATAGCACCAGGAACAAGTGCGATACACCGCAAGCCTAAGCGACCACGGCCATCCGAAGATGCAGGAGAGACGCCGACATCGAACAATTCGAGTACAACGGTTGTAGCGCCCCATCACGGCCGCAATGACGCACATCTGCCGAACGGCAACAATGCCGCACAACAGGCGTCGCCGAATGCGGCATCGTCACTACTCGACGGCCTGGATCCATTCGAGCTCCTGACGGATGAGGTCAAGAACAGTTACCTGCGATGTAGTTACAAGTGGAGTTTCCACCATACGCCGACATTGCTGCGCAGAATACGCGATCGCACTTTGGAGCCATGGATGGCCTGGGCGATACTTGCGCTGGCTATCAGGTATGCTATGGCCTTCCTCCTACAATCAATCGCCTGTCTGACATGGCTTAGATTCGTCCAAAATCCCCCGTCGCCTTTCACGTCTCAAACTGAAGCCAGCAATGCGTATGCTGCCCACGCTCGCCAGATTTTGCAACAGGACCTCGAGACCCCTTCGATAAGCCGCGTGCAAGCCTTGTTGATGCTGACAGGGCATGATTGGGGCGCTGGAAATGGAAGGAGAGCGTGGATATATCTCGGCATGGCGATTCGCCTGGTCGAGGTCATGGACCTGACGCGTGAGACGGGCATACCGCGAAATCGCGTGCCGACCCGAGAGGAATTCATCGAGGCAGAAGTACGCCGACGGACTGCCTGGACGTGCTTTTTAATGGACTCGCTGCTAAGTGGCGGCAAGGGGCGCAAGAGGTCGTTGACTGCCGTCGACATGTCGGTCCAGCTACCCTGCGAGCGCGAGGACTTTGTCTTTGGAGAGCCAGTATGCACACCACAGCTGGACAATACACAACGTATGCCGCCAGTAGCATTGCCTGTAGGAGAGATTGGTATCATCGGTTACAGCATGCGTGCTGCCAACATCTGGGGCAAGGTTGCGCGCTGGGCCTGCTCCGATGTCCTCAAGAGCGAACTGCCGTGGGCGTCATCGTCGCAATTCCAGCAGCTCATCTACGAGCTTGAGGGCTGGAAGGCCTCGCTTCCACAGCGTCTGCAGTATGATCTCTTCACTCTGCACAGCCATAATGCCGTCGAACAAGGCCAGGCGTACTGCTACATGCACTGCATACACTTTATGAGTTATATGTTTTTGCACCGCGCCTATCTGCCAGTCCTCGGCCCTCAGCAAAATGGAGCAAATCCTGAGGAGACACCAAACTCCTACGACGAGCACCGGGACATGTGGAGGAAGTGGGAAAAGACCTCACGCAAGGATCTGTTCAAAGACTCAGTCATGGTCCTAGACATGCTCGAGGAAATGCGTACGTTCGGTGTGTATTTCCTGAGAGGCTTGGTGCCGTGGATCGGCTTCACCATCTATACAGCAGTTGGCGCAATGTTGTATTCTTTCAACTTCCCGAGCGGCGATGACGACCCTCGCTGGCGGGAGAAGGCGCGTAGAAGTGTGATACAGGGCTGCAATTTCTTGAAAGAGATGAAAATGCAATGGCCTATGGCAGAAACTTGGGTGAGCGACTACGCAAGGTCAACACAGTACATACTGACAACCCCAGTATGACACTATCAGGCGCATGCAGGCGTACTACCGCTCTGTACTTGGCCAAGATGGACCAGCATCACCCGAAGAACGGCAAGCCTTGCGACATGCCATGATAGACTATGGCGCATTGCAGCCTTCGCCAGTACAAAAGCCAGCAGATTCGTCTAGAGACGTCACCATGGTGGTATCTAGCAGGTCTCCTTCACAACCGCACAATGATGTACGCCCCCAACACCGCATTTACCAAAGTCTGCTAACATATTGCAAGCGCAAACCCATGATTGCCAATCTTACCAATCCACCCGTTACAAGCCCGTTGCCGGCCACAGCGCCTACGCCTAACAGCTACTCTTCTAACTTCTCGTGGAATACCCCTCCAGCGGTGCCCCCGTTGGAAGCTGACGAAACTTTCAACCTCGACTCGTTCGACTTGACGAATGAAGAGTTGGAGGCTATGATGATCAATGCGACACAAGACTTTTGGGCCAGCTTTCCGGGTGAGGTTGGTGTTGGTTATCAGTAAAAAGCGGATAGGGCTGGTATGGCGTTTGAGGTAGCGACAAAATACGGAGACGGAGTAATCACGCTTCATATATGCGCTTATTTTTAATGATTTGAAGCGAGAGTTCCTCGTTGGTCAACGTTTCGTTTCTGGGATCAAATATCAAACATACAGAGAGTTGTCTTTCAGGTTTGACGACGAAGGACTAGGCCCGAGATCGTGCAACATTAAAACATTAAGAAAACCTAGACCAATTCGATACATCTAACCTCGACGCCCTTTTCGCCGAAACATTTGGCGTCTCCATCCGCACAATCGTCAAACCGCGAGTTCCACGAGATGAAGCCCGCCCCGATCCGAGAAAACACATTTTCCCGTTCTGCAACAAGTTGAAGCGCAAGAACCCCCGCTTTGTAACCACGTATAGTGATCCTCTCTGACCTGCCTCCTTTTACGGCAATCTTTCCCAGCTTGAGAAACCAGATGGGCTCTTCTTCACCAACCGGTTTAGCATCGAGCCAGCACTCTCCCAGGGGACGACCAAGGCTGTCTTCGAATTCTTGTTCCTTGCTGGCATCGAATGGAACGATCCGGAACTTGTTCGGTTCGTCGCGGGTCGACGCGCAACCATCATCCAATCTAGCCTGGCAGAGCTTGCCCCGAACTCTGAGTTTTGACGATGCAAGCCTGGAAGTCATGGCCAACCCGTCCCAAGCCACACTAGCTTCGAGGATCTCAATCTCTTCACGCTCAAAAGGACCTGTGCGACCCGAGTCTACCCAGGAAGGCTTCATGATGACAGGCTCGTCAAGTGACAGGAAAGTCCAGGACGGAAGGGTGCCGCCAGTGTTTGACAAACCAGCCGACGGTCGTTGCGCGAACCGCCGCACATGCCACAGCAAGTTTCTGGGCAAAGAGCGTCTCCACATTCCGAGGATTGGAACATCGTCTTTGACCTCGAAGAAGCGTTGTGTGATACCTGCCAGGGCGGGCAGTTTGTCTCTCCGGTAGGTCAAACGCCGTGTGGTGTAGTCCTCCATTATGTTGTCCCAGTGCTCGTCGTGCGACCCGGGATATCGGAACTTGAGCACCTCGTGCGCCCGAATCGTTGCTCGCAGCGAAAACATCCCACCGTTTTTGACATATGTCCTGACTTTGTCGCCGTCGAACTTTGGCATTTGAATGTCGCTCAGGTCATTCAGGCCATCCTCTGACTCCTTGAGGCAGTAGCATTCCCAATGCATCTGATCAGAGGCGAAGTGAAGGAGGCGTGGCGACAGAAATGCCTCCTGTAAAGTCCAGGCTCTTCGGTTGAGAGGTTCCCTCAGCATGTTGTGAGCCGTATAGTCCCATTGAAGATGCTCTCTGGCACGCCAGCCGATATCCTCGACTTCAAAGCATGCAGTAGGGCTACTAAGAGGTTGTATAAGACCACCACTTCCGTCCGGCGATGCCGTCGCCGCAAGTGTGATGAAAGAATTCCTGTATACCGAAGCCATTCTGGCTGCCTCCTTTTCCCAGTCATCTGGACAATCTTGAATGATGCAAAGTGAGTCGATCCACAGATACCGAATTTTCAACAGTCGAGTAACTTCTATCGCGTCTTGAAACGTTTTCGTCAAACAGTCGAGAGGAACACTGTTAGTATATCCCTTCAACGTGCTCCTAGTTGTGCGAGGTATTGGGCCAGTCCCCCAGCAGTGGCTCAGGGCTGCATACCTGCCTTTCGATGATTTTGAAATCAGCAACCTGAGGGCGCCTTGCACGCCCACATCCAAAACTCGGGTGGGGAGCTGTGGAGTAACGTCATCGGAACTTCCGCACAGAATGTGCTTCTCGAGGCACATGCTTAGCCACTCATTGACTCTGGAGAAACGAGATGGAAATGACGGGTAACGCTCCCGCCAAACCGCATGCCCTAGCAAAGTGCCTGTTGAATCAAGGGCGTCAGTTAGTCACTAAACCAGCCAGGCATCAAACACGACCTCTTTTCAAAAGCCGCGACAGAGAGCAAGAACGCACCTGTTTCTGGCATCAATATCACGGGTGCCCCCCGATGTCGCAGGCAACGTTCCTCCTTGCATCGAATTTCGATGTATCCGTCGTGGCGAGACGTGGAAAAAATGGCAGGAGGAGTGCATTCCGAGAAGTAGAATGGTAGAGTGTGCCAGGTTCCCGCTGGGCGTCTGTGAGCATCCGGGGATAAAGATGCAAGCAATTTCTCACAGAGAGGACAACAAGCTGCAGATTTCACTAGTGCCTCGATGGTCTCGTGGTGAGGTTCGCTGTTTGCGGTTCGGTGTCCGACTTTCCAATCTAAGCGGAATGAATACAGTTGTCGCTGGCAACATTCGCAGAGCGCGTTAGAAGCGCCAACAAGATGCGTAGATTCCACATCCATAATCAGTGGTAGTTTGCAGTAACAGTGCCTAACTAGAACAGAGTAGGGTTGGTATGGCGTTTATGATGGCGACAAAATGGCGGGGGCGGAGTAATCGCGCCTCATATATGCGCTGAATTCCAATGATTCAAGGCTAGGGTTTCTCGTTGTTGGTTATGGTTTACGCCGCTAACGCGACGTCTTCGAGCCCGACTTTCACTTTCGCCACTTCGCAGATTGATTAGCCTTGCCATTGCCGAGAGAGCAAATTGAAAGAGAAGTAACACGATAAGATTGAGAAGGAGAAAAAAGAGCAGAACTTGGACATGAATTGGAACATTCCGAGTCGTCATGAACATCCCGCGGAACCATGTTTGTTAGGCCACCATCAAATCCTGCAAGCATCCCAAAGCTTGACGGGAAAGCTTAGCACTCATGCTAGGCCGTGGCAGATATGTACCTGACATATTACCTCTTTCGTCAACGTGATGTGATGTATGCAGGGCGAAGACGGAAGTCGGCACACTGGCGGCTCGTCATGTGGGACGATGGGCAGAAGGGGATCTGCGAGCTTAAATTGACCACATACCATAGCTTCCCAACGTGTTCTCTTGCAATGAAGTTCGTATATCGCTGATGATCGCGTATCGCGACCTGACTGTTGTTGTTGTTGTTGCACTTGCTGTCTTTCGGTCCTTCTCCGCCTCGGTGGCGATGCACCCATTTGGACTAGCGCGGTTGCCGTATTTGAAGAGAAGGAATTCCATGGGGTAAGGAGGTTGCATCGCTCACGCTGCACTTTCGACGCGTAGTGCTTCCTACGCGGTTTGTTGAAAGAGATATGGATACATCCTTGGTTTATGGGTCGCTCAATTGAATGCGTCGCCGGGAATGTATGGAGCAGCCCAAAGTTACAATCCAAGGATCGTGGTTGTCGCTCATCAACATCGCACTTTTGCTCGTGCTTTCCTCCAAACGGCTCAAACCTATGAAACGAAGACTCGGGTCTCCCATGCCTAGTGATTGGGTGTCTGGATATCGCCATTGCGTCGCACGTGTTTCGGTTACATTGGCGAAGAACACACTATCCGATCTTGCTTACGAGTACCCTGCAGACATTCTTGATACCGTCAAAACGGCATTTCCACTCAGTTATGTCTCATACGTTGTCGTAACGATCGCATTGGGATCATCTCGCTGGAGGAACCACCCGAGACATCCTCCTAATCGCTGAGGCGTCGCCACCACGATTGCATATTTCCAGCGGCCAGGTGATTCACAGCTGCTGCGTATCACTTCTCCGAATACTTCCCGCTGGATCATCCCATGTACATATGCCAAGAGACCGAACTTACTGGTAATTTCATGGCAAACATAAGATCGTCTATGCCAATGACGAATCCACCAAGGAATTGTACCTTATCGCGACTGGCGGGCCAAGAGGTCAGCTCTGCTAGTACGCGGAACCCAATATGTGGATCGTACCACCGAGGCATACCCGTTCATGCGATGAGGTTGACCCGCAAGGTGGAAACGGCTTCAGAGATGTTATTTGAGGGATTGCCGCTGTTTATTATGCAACACAGCAACACCAACTATACCACACAACCTGCAATAGCAGCACAGCTTACAGTTCGAGGCATTCATACGGGAAGGTTGCGATAGCCCCAGCTACTCGCAGGTCACCAACATCACACGAGTGGCACCATTGTTCTTGCAGATCGAATCCCAACAACCTCTGGATCCTTACGATACTATAGAGCTACATCTGCATGATTCTCCAGGGCCAGGTGCTCTGATGCAGGTTCACTGTTGGTCAGAATCGTAGCCTCGGCCTTCGCGAAGTGTGTGCCCGGAAATCGCGCAGGAGTTGATTTCATTAGACGATATCTTAGGAATTCACAACTCGCGATCTCAGTCGCAGAGATCCACCGGCGTTAATTTGATTTGGCTTGCATGCTAGAAGTGCCAAGGTCGTTTGTTGCAAATTTCTAGGCCTGTCCGTCAGCTTTCGTGTACTGTTCTGGAAGGTGTATCAATGCACGAGCAAATAACAGGCGTGGGAGAAAGGTAAGGATCCGGGACAGTGGGAAGAATCGGTTCAACTGGTAGATGGATGTCGACGTCTGTCGACCGTTGATGTGACCCACGTTTGCCCGAGCGATGATCCTATTGGCCAGCTTCTGTACACACGACTACTCCACGCCCCAGCGCCACGAGGAATGCCAAGGTGAGACCAAGGAACATAGCAGCTATTGGCATCGGCTTGATATCTTCTTGGAGAGGTCGAGTGCCCATAGCGCTAAGCTCCGCCGTCCATCACCAGAGTTGCTTCAGTACGTTAGTGGGAAGATCCTGACGGCCTTGGCAGAGAATCCGCCTTCCTCCCTCTACATACCCAATCACAACTTCGTTTTGGGCACACGTTCTCTTGGCAGAACTTCTCACGTTGCGGTCTCTGAGTGGTGGCTGTACGTTAGCTGAAGACGCAAGGCGTCGGATGTCACCCACCGGTCTGGATCCTGTCGCAGATGCGAAAGGCTTTGACGCCAATACGGGCCTAATCCGCTGCAAAGAGCTGCGCGAAGGACCTGTTTCATTATATATACACGTCTCATAGACGCCCTTCCTTACTTTCGGCATCCCAGCTCCAGCTTCGGACCATCACTCTTTGTTACTGAGCCCACTGAGCCCCTAGAGCATCAGTCAAGATGGCACGTCTTACCCAGTACAACTATGTCTTCGCTATCGGCACTTTCTTTGCCATGCTCGATGCCTACAACAACGGTGCCAGTACGTGCAGAATGCTACCACTACCTCGTCCTCTAGACTAACACTACCCAGACGATGTTGCCAACGCATGGGCTACCTCAGTCTCTTCCCGTTCGGTATCCTACCGCCAGGCCATGATTCTCGGTACCATTTTCGAGATGGTTGGAGCCATCACCGTCGGTGCTCGTACCGCTGAGACGATCAAGAACGGTATCATTCCTCCTACCGCCTTCAAGGACGACGCTGGTGTTCAGATGCTCGCCTTCACCTGTGCTCTGGCTGGTGCTTCCATGTGGGTTATGTGGTGCACCAAGCACTCTGCTCACGTCTCGTCTTCCTACTCGCTCATCTCTTCCGTCGCTGGTGTCGGTGTTGCCGTTGCCGGTGCTTCCAACGTACAATGGGGATGGAACAAGGGCAAGGGTCTAGGTGCTATCTTCGCTGGTCTTGGAATGGCTCCCGCTGCCTCTGCCTGCTTCGGTGCCATCATCTTCATGTTGATCAAGATGACAGTTCATGTCCGCAAGAACCCCATCCCTTGGGCTATCTGGACAGCGCCCTTCTTCTTCCTTGTTGCCGGAACCATTTGCACCCTCTCCATCGTCTACAAGGGATCGCCCAACCTCGGTCTCAACAAGAAGCCGGCGTGGTATGTCGCAACCGTTACCATGTCCTGCGGTATCGGTCTCGCTGCCATGTCCTTCCTCTTCTTCGTTCCTTACCTACACACCAAGGTCGTTAAGCGCGATCATACCGTTCGCTGGTACCACGTCTTCCAAGGTCCTCTTCTTTTCAAGCGTCCTGCCCTTGAAGGTGCTGAGGCTGCCGTTGTCCCCGACTATGCCGTCATTCAAGAAGAAGAGGAGATGAAGAAGCCTGAACACCGCAGCGACTCTGAGGAGGGCGTCATCGGCCACGATGGTGAGAAGGGCGTCGTTAGTGCCGATGTTGCCGAGCACCAACAACTCAGCTACAAGGAGCTTGTCGAGCAAGGCCAAGAGCGATTCCACTCCAGGCTCAGGCAAAAGAGTGGACCTCTCGGCTGGGCTATGCGATACCTCCACGAGAACAAGATCCAGACTGGTGAGATCTACGAGAAGAAGAACATGCTCATCACCCTCAAGCGTATTCCCGCTATGATCGTCGTCGGTGCTCTCTACGGTGTCAACTACGACATTCACGCCGCCCAGACTGGTATTCACGGTACTCCCGAAGGTCGCCGCATGGAGCGCGTCTACAGTCATGCTAAGAAGTACTCCAACGAAGTCGAGCACACCTACTCTTTCGTCCAAGTTCTCACTGCCTGCACTGCCTCCTTCGCCCACGGCGCCAACGATATTGGTAACGCTGTCGGTCCCTGGGCTGTCATTTACGGTGCCTGGAACACTGGCAAGGCCGCGTCGTCCAAGGCTCCCGTTCCTGTCTGGCAACTCGCTGTTCTCTCCGCCACATTGTCTCTCGGTCTCATCACCTACGGTTACAACATCATGAAGGTCATGGGTAACAAGATCACATACCACTCTCCCAGCAGAGGTTGCTCCATGGAGATGGGTGCTGCTCTCACTGTCCTCATCTTCTCGCAATACTCTCTGCCCGTCTCGACATCCATGTGCATCACCGGTGCTACCGTCGGTGTCGGTCTCTGTAACGGTACCTTCAAGGCTGTCAACTGGCAACGAGTTGGTCTCTTGGTCTTCTCCTGGATCATGACCATCCCCATTGCCGGTACCATCGGTGGTCTCTCTTGCGCCATTGTGCTCAACGCACCCCACTTCGGTTAAGCGCACGCGTAGGTCAGGCATGGTAATGCTTGTGCTTCCTTGATCGGTCCCTCGGTGGTGGATGATAGTTTGCTTTAATACCCCTCTTTCGTTTCAGTCTTGCCATTTTGACTTTGATTTAGCATACGAATAGACTACTTTCCTGCATTTGACCTTCAACTTCCCTCCTACTGTCATCGTTCCAACAGTGATATATGAATACGCACATGACTCTACTGAACATGTGCTCACTTGTTCAATCAATTTCCCATCTCTTTGCGCACTTCTTCACGCACGATTCGGCGCTCTCGGCTCGGCGCTGTACATGTACTGGTGGGATGCCATTTTTCTTGCTATGTGCATGGCTACGCCGCACACTCGCGTCAAGACGACCATAAATACATGGTCACATGATGTGACGACAGGTAAGATCTCCGCGCGTTTAATGAAACAGAATTATTGGCAACGGTCTACAACCAAACTTTAGGTTAGTGTAACCACGGGCAAATGGAGAAGAAAAAGTCGTAGTAGGATTGAGACTCTTACGATGAATAGAAGCATAATCTAGAGCACTCTAGAAAAGGCAAATGAGTATCCTCAGTTCTTGGGGTCCTGTACGCCGTACTAGTGCACAAACCTAGTTCAATCCACACCGAATGCCTGAATTTTGAGGAATGGAAAGGAAAGGTTGAAAAAGGTGATAGTATGCCTAAACATTTCCGAGGAGTAGTGTAAAGTATGGATAACACTGCCACCTCACCGAAAAGACTCGTTGTCCGACAATCCATTGAACCGAACTATTCCGTTCCCACGGCTACGGCCACGGCCACCACGACTACGGCCTCGACCGCGGACACCAGCCCGGCCATGACTAGCCTCACGGTTGACACAATGAGCAGCCGTATTCTCAACATTGGCACGGTCACGACGGACACGAGCCTGGTTAACTTGAAAGTTATTCCGGCCGTCGTAGAAGGTCACGTTGTCGCCCTGGTTGCCAGTCGCCGTATGATGGCCTCGGCCTCAAGTGGCGCCACGAGGAGGAGGAACTGGAAGTATGTCAGCGGTATCCATAACATGATCTAGTGGAATAATCCTACGGGTCGTTTCGCCACCTGGAGGTGGTCTATCACCACGACGAGCAGCGCTACCACGACCAGGGAAGATACTGCCGAAGTGATTGCCAGGGATGGGACCAATCGGTGGCAAGGTCATATTTTGACTAAAGCTCCCGTTCTGCGGCGGGTGCTGTGCGGCGGCATGGGTGGCCAGATCATTGCGTTACGAAAGATTGCCCATCTACATCCAGCTGGGCTGTGGGCCAGCTTAAAGGGGCTGAACGGATACGGGAACACTGGGGTGGTTTGACCCAGGGGTGATGCGGCGAGGGATGACACTCTGCCTGCCGCCGCGAACTTCTATAGATGGCCCTTCCTCGTCCGTGGAAGGGAATTGCCAATCATGAGTCTGTGTAGAGGGTGCTAGGGGTGGTCCTTGGTATGGATTCATATCTCCAATAATGGACACGATGAGTGAGGGTTCCGGGGCAAGGGAAACGATGGGAAGAGGGCTCGAGGACCTGAAAGCTGAGTATCAAACCGATGAGGATGAAGGAATCGGGGGGCTGGCGACTATAGCCTCTGGGAGTGGAGAAGCAACAGAAAGAGGGATTGAAGATCCGAAAGGTAAGTACGGGACTGGCGCAGGTAAAGTAGCCGGCGGGTTAGCAACTTCAGATGGTTCAGTGAAGCCGGCGGCGAAGTTCGCAATAGCGGCTTTTGGATTCATGATGCGATCGAGGACATCTGAATGGCATTAGTAAAATTGATTTTCATCGATTATGACTCTAATTGACAAGCTTGGCAAGTATGGAAAGCGTTTGTTGTCGCCAAACTACGCAAAGGTATCTTGACTTACCTTGGCTGATATTGTTGAAGACATCCACAAGGGCTCTCTGGTTCTGAATCCTTCTATCATTCATTCGTACAACAGGCAGGTTGCGGCTCTCAACAGTCTGCATCAAAACAAGAGCAAAGACCATGCAGTTACTTCCGATCTGGGTGCGACCAATCGCCTCGGGACAATATTCTTAGAGGAATGTCATAACTGCATCGATGTAAACCTCAGTCGAGATGTTCATGATCAGCAGCACGCGACTCCGTGGATCCTCCGGAATATTGGGATTCGGGGAAGGAACACGAAGACGCACAGACATTGGGGCCTGTTCCTCCCAATCGTGGTCTTCGTAGTGTTGTGGACAGGCACCTTCCTACGACGCTACTCTGCAACACGAATTGCACGCTCGTGCCCTTCCCGCCTAAGTGCGTCTTGGCGGATTAGCGCTTCTTCTTCCTCTCGCTCTACTCGGGTACGTGCGTCCTGTGATTCTTAGATGAGTGTTTCTTGTTCGGATGTGATACCGAGAACTGGGAAATCTGATTCCGTGAGAGTTGGGGTTGTAGAGGGCTGCCCAACCGGGGTAGATCCAGTGTTATTGTCTCCAGCTCGGATGAAACCATCCTGAGTGGTATTAGCTAGATAAAGGTAAGCAAAGAGACGATACATATCGACGTAGTTTCCAGAAGGCGTAGGCATTATGTTGACGCGCCGACCACAGATATGGCGGTTCCGGAAGTTCGTCCCGACAACATTCCTATCCTGGGTAGTTGAGGGCATGGCGTAGACACTGGAGTTGATCCCCACCCTGGGGTAGATAGCACGGGTTTGGTCGATGACGGTGTAGCTGTCAAAGAATTGGAGAATATCATCCTCAGTCGCGTCGTAGTGTACGTTAGTTAGACGCACCATCCGAGCAGTTGCGGGCCCGGTGTAAGTGAACATCTTCGAAGAGACCATCTAGCTGTAAATGATCTCTCAAGATTATCAACGAGACCACGTGGGGTATAAGGAAGTTGCGGTAACGAGGAGCAAGTTATATGGGATAAACAGTATGAGATATATTTGGGTCAGGCGCTAGCGTTATGTATAGAACAATGGTACGTACGAGAAGCGCAAACGACTCTGTTTGTCACTTAACGAAAGAGCCCTTTAGTGGTCGTATCTGGGGCCGATGCGAAGCAAATCGTCGGTTCTTGTGACGAGCCGGCGCACAACGATGAGAGAGTGACCAAGAGAAGAAGCGACTCATTGCAAACACCATCCAGAGTGGTAGCTGATCAGTATAACTCCATGCCCTTCGTTTGTCCTGTATGTGTGGAGTAGTATGGTATACGTTGATTCAAGCAGGAAAGTGTAGTGGAAAGTCGAAATAGCGACAGACGATATGTAACCTAGAAAGGTCATTTCGATATAACGGAGATGATAAGTAAGTTGCGAGAGGCAGTGAATTGGATGATAACACATCAAGTTATAAGGAGCTAAGCACGATCGGAACAGCGAGAGATATCGTTTAGACGTATTTGCAAACGTTCATACCATGTGCCGATGTCGAATGAGATGACATATGATGTTGAAGAATGAAAGAGCGTCTGAGTCCTGAAAGTTGGCAGTTCTCGTCGGATGGAAAGCGGACTAGCGTGGGGATCGTGCACACGTGTTGACGACGCATCAGTTTCGCGTTTGACATTACCTCCAACATTTTGGGTCAGTATGTTTCAAGCTTCATGAATCTATTGCGCTGAGGTCTATTTCTATTGCGATATCGTGTTCGACAACCCACTCTACTGCGCTCCGTGTACAAACAGTCTCTTGCCCTGGACCTCCTGGAACTGCTTCTCGCCAGGCTCGCCTGCGCGTCCACCAAAGACCAACTGGGCCCTGAGCTTCCACTCGAGAGGAATGCTCCACTCCTGTGCGGCCTTTTGGTCGATGATGGGGTTGTAGTGCTGAAGGTTGGCGCCCAGACCCTCGGCCTCCAACGCGACCCAAAGGGCATACTGGTGCATGGCGTTGGTGTGTTCAGACCAGTCGCCGAAGTGGTGAGCGTAGAGAGCTGTAATGGAGGTAAGAATAAGCTAGACATGTGCTCATAGTCACTTACGGAAGGCCTTGCGGAGACCCTCGACAGGCTCAGGGTCCTCGTAGCAGAGAATCTACGCGTACATTGTCAGATAACGTTTGTCGAACCTAAGGTCTGCACTTACCGTTCCCTTGGCAGCTCCGAATCCCTTGATCTTCTGTTCCGTCTTGGGGAACTGCTCTTCGGGAGTAAGAGGCTTCAAAACCTCGAGGACGAAGTCCCAGAACTTTTCATGGTCCTTGTTGAGCAGAACAACCAAACGGGTGCTCTGTGAGTTGAAGGACGAAGGGACGTGGAGGAGGGCCTTCTCAGCAATCTCCTCGATTTGCTTGTCGGAAATGGGCGATTCCTTGTTGAGCTGGTAGTAGGTGCGACGCTCCTTGACAGCGTCGAAGAAAGACTTTTGAGAAGACATGGTGCGCGATGTGGTTGAGAGGGCTTGAGAGTTGTGGAAGATAGGAGTTGGAGTTGAAGCTGGAAAACGCAGCGACGATGCGCTTTTGTATCCACCGACCCACGCACGATGCCTAGCAGTGCGGAGGCTATTTTTCACTACTTGCGCCATTGACTCGGATAGGTATAGCGGTGTAGACGTTGAAGACGTGTTGCGACTATGGAAGACCGGCAGATGGAATGCAGGCACCATTTGCTGCATTAACCAAGCAAGAAATAGGCCCGTCACCAGGCCCATCATTAGGGAGCGTGGGGCAAAGACAGCCATGACGTGATGACAACGCCGGAAGTACGAACAAGTTGCGAACACCGAGATGGCTTAATCATGGTAACACAATAAGTCCGCCTCTCGAATTATTTTCACGCATCTCCAGAGTGGATATGACGGGTACGGGAATCTGTAGTGCCGGGGGATTTGCAATCCATCTGTCAGCCGCTTGATGGCGCGCATAGATTCCGCTTGTGGGGCTCCGCGAGCAGATTATGGCACTCCTCATCCGAACTGCGAAGAGCTTTTAGAAACATCACTTTAAACATACCATTATAATCGACAAGATATTTAACAAACCAAGCGCGGGGTATTACAGAAAGGTAAATCAATCTGCCGTTACTCATGCGGCTTTTCTAGATAGTACGCTCAAAGTTGAACACGATGAATCACATCAAAGTGAGGCATTGAACCTGCTGTACCCATACCGCAACCACGCGATGCCATCTACCAAAACACGAGACCAACTTTTCGTCATGTCGGCAGCTGGAGAGCTTCTATTCGACAAAAACAGATCCGCCCAGGCGAAGGCGCAAATGCAATCACATCTCCATACAAACATAACCGCAAGCAGCGACTTGAACATCTCAATGCTCACGGTGCGCAACTGGTTCACGGCCATATACCTTCTCATGCGTGTCAAGCGAGGACGCATCACCGCGCATGTGATGTGAAACCCATTTCTTCGAGGTTCGCGGCGTAGTCTCAAGCATGCGGTCGACCTGCTCGAGAGACAAACCTTTGGTCTCAGGCACCAGGAAATATGAGAAAAGAACGCAGATGGTGCATGCAGCGCCCTAGATAAAGAAAATCTTCGCCTTCATGTTCCCGTAGGTCTCGTCGAAGATGTAGGCGGTGAGGAAGCCGATGACGAAATTCCAGAACCACTGTTTAAATTAGCATTCAAGTCAGAATCATTCGAGGATGCGCGCTACTTACGTTGCTAGCTGTAGAAAGGACTACACCCCTGGCACGGATAGGGAGAAGAAAGATCTCGCCAGTCAGAACCCAGGCATCTGGGCCCCAAGTTGATGCGAAGAAGAGGATGTAGATGCAAGTGAAGACGATCAAGCATAAGCTGGCGGCTTTGCTGCCTTCGTCGACCGTACCGACAATGGCGATAATGAATTCATAGACGAGCATTCGAACAGCGCCGTAGATGAGGAGCGCGCGACGGCCAAGCTTCTCGATGGTCCAAAAAGAAATGGGTGTGGAACCTACATTGACAACTGTCGTGATCATAGAGACTAGGAAGGCATTCTCTATGCCGAGTATCTTGAAAAAGGTGGAACCGTAGTATAATACTATCATGATATGTTAGTATTGTTATATTAGGCTGGTAGATACATAGGTCACTTACTAGAGTTCACCCCAGTCCATTGCTGCATCATTTGGAGTGTCATTCCGAGGACCACGCGGCGGAGATTACTAGACGGCTTCCATTCACAACGGAAACAGTCAGTCCAGCCCGCTTGCATATTGTGCCTCTTGTACTCAGGGTTGGTGATCAGTTCCTTGAGTTCATCGGTGACATAGTCCGAGTTGGCAGGCTGCCCACGAAGGGTACCGAGAGCACGAGCAGCATCCTCATTGCGACCTTTCTTAACATACCAACGAGGCGATTCAGGTAGTAAGAAGACGCCGAGGCCTAGGACCGTGGCAAACAGCCACGGCAACCCGATAGGAATGCGGTATGCACTAGAGTCCATACGGCCCTTGGTTCCATTATCCCCCACCGATGCTAGGAGCAGCTCCGATAGTGATACAGAACTGGTATCCCGATACAATGGCTCCGCCAAAGCGCTTGGGTGCAACCTCGAACATGTACCGGATGATGACAGTAGAGACGAAACCGATGCCAAAATCTGCGATTAGGCGACCTGTAGAATGACACCAGGCAAGATGGTGCACCCAGCGATTATAGTGGCGCGACGGCCGATCCAGTCCGCTATAGAACTTGCGATAAGAGCCCCGAAGAACGTACCAGCAGAAAGAATAGAGATTATGAGAGATATCTCCCACGTCTTATAAAGAAGCCATTGTAGGCTTCCTTGTTGGCAGAAGGTCCAAGTCGTCATGCTACTGTGAAAGCAGGAAAGGTATGTGCAAGTCGGACTTGCCTCCAAACTGCTGCTTGAAGTTCATACCTAACATGCCATTGATGCAGCCCGAGTCATAGCCGAAAAGGATGCCACCCAACGCTGCGAAGACGCACAGGAGGTAACCTCGCACTGTGACCGGCGCTTCTATACGGTCATGTACGGCGGTGCCTTTGCTGGAAGTAGCCCAGGGATTATTATCTTGTGGTTCCCTAGTCTTGTTTAATGACGGGCGTATTAGAACACAATTAGAATTTGGTTGTTAGCGAGGGTGTGGAAGTTAGTATGAAAGCGGAAGCAAGAGCTGGGCGGAAAATATATCTGTGCGTAAAGCGTTTACATCACCTTAACCCACGTCAGTGGACAGGCGGAAGCAACCAGTGTTTGAGCTGGGTGAAGTGCCCGTCAGCATTTTGGTGAGTGCCACTGAGTGAAAGTGTAGAATCAACGTTCGTGGAATGCCGCATTCCGCTAACGAATGAGTCTTTCTTTCCAAGGTTGCATTAACCAGGGACTATTACAGAATGACGTATGAAATACTATGTCAAGAAACAAATTGATATCGTACAGGTTTCATACCACCAAGGGAAATTGGAAACTCAAGAACGTCTTACGTTGTGGCGCATGGCATCCTCGTAACTCGGCGGTGGTTCTTCGTTACTGACCCTTTCTACGTCCACACTTGGCCGTCTGCTTTCGTACTGTGGCACGCTTGGTTGCTCTCGACGTGCTTCATTCAGCGCCCGCTGGGCCTCTTCACGTTTTTTCTCCGCCCTGCTTTGCCGCTCTCGGGTTGTGATTGGTGGTGGTGGGGCCGATGAAGAAGAGCCATATATCGCTTCGTGTTGCTACGGTAGCTAGTCAGCTCGTAGTACGACAACTTATTCAGATCTACACCATACAGCAATAGCCTTCTTCTCCTTTCGCTCGAGCCTTTTATCGGAGATTGTACGTCCTAGCTTCTCGGCACCGAGGCCAATACTGACTGCGATAAGACCAGCCTGTGCTACGTCAGTTGTTTGTCTCACACAGCTCTTATCTTGGCTTCTTACCATAGTAAGCCGTTGGGGCGAACTGTTCGCGTCGAAAGTGCTTAGACGTAGTTTACAACAACCTCGCCTAGGTGGTGAATACAATAACTGTTCAGAGGATCGCTGTTGGTTCTTTCTACAACACATGGTGAGCGGAGTCCAAGCCAAACGTTTGCAACGTTGAAGATTATGTTGTAGTATCAAGCCTTAAGAAGTTGATGCTCCTCTTTCCTGGTATTCTGCTCACCTTTATAGACTTCTGTACAGTGCAGCCGTACAGGGAGCAGTATCTGACGTAGTTGTCGCGATGATCGCCTTTCTGAGGTGCTTGCAGCAGGGAGTAACGTTTTTGGTTTGGATCTCTTAATGGGCAGTGTTGTTGCACCAGAAAAGTTCATCAGATTGTGCCGGTGCAGTGGTTACGTTCGACTTACGGCCGCAATACGGTGACGTATGCCAGGAGTGGCGTGGCCCCCATTGTTCTGATTGGTTGTCTAGCGTACTATGAGGCATCCCATTGCTAGGCGAATGCGAACTGCTGTGTTAGAGACTACCATCTTCATTGCCAACTTTAGTGTATCTTCGAGCCGTAGCTTGAGGGAGTATGATTCTAGTCTCGTTCGGAGCTGTGGCTTACTTCAATGTTGCGCGATCTCAGTCATCAGGCTAATAGCTGTAACAGTCTTAGCGACCTCGGGAGAGTGGCGTACATCATAGATCCGACTAGTCAGGCATCAATCAAGGCCTTGGAACTTCCCCACAACATGCCCTACTTCAAAGTCATATCGGCAGCGTTTCTTCTGCCTCGTATCGCACTGGTAGTCAACCCGAAAGCGCCACCCCCTTGGGCATGTGCGAAAGAAAAATGACGACCGATGGTGATTTTTCGATACATGTTACAAGGCCTGGTGATGAGGGGGAGTCATAGTGGCCGGAGAGATAGCGCATGAATGGACGGCATGTCAGATATCTGATTGGGCGAACAAAGCAAAGAAGCATGGTACACAGCCCGAGTGATGGACGAATCAGTGTCTTCCCACTTCCCAGTTGCACGGGAAATGGGTTTCTTCAGACCCCTTGGGCAGCCCCGCTATGTGAAATAAGTGTAAAGACGAAAGACTGCTATTCGATGTAACTTGCTTTTGATCCGAGTGTGTACCGGCATGCCGAGTCTGGATCTAGGCACAGTGATTGGTAGAAAAAGCCGAGAATGCGTCTCTGCCCGGTGTAGGTGATGGCACGGATAAGAATGTTTGGACGAGTGTCGATAGTCAGATAGCGTTGGGCTCAGCACACGGGAGGAGCAATGCCAGCGTTCCAAGGTTGTTGGCCCGCAGATAGGGGCCCGTCCATGAACCGTAGTTCCGTGGATCAAGCGCTGCATCTTGGGGCCGATCGCTTCCATAGCCCAGCCCACCGCGATGATGATGAGGAGAGGCTAAACCCAGCCCTGGCTATACTCGACGCCGCTAAGACGCGGCGGGCCAACAAGACTGCAGGCAGCCCAACGAGAGTCGTCTCGCCATGGAAATCGAGTACTGTGGGTACGCAGCGCGTCGTCGAGTGGTTGAGATGGGGTACCTGTGTGACGGGGGAATCCAGGACTCGCACAGTAATCAAATTAGCTCCGACGCGCCTTCCCTGGGCTCATCACCAAGAGGCAGTCGCGCCCCGTCAACGCTATGCCTGGGAGGTTTCACTTGTCCTTCTGCCGCTTCTCCTCCCCTCACACTGCCGCCCCATCGCATGCCTCTGCCTAATGCCCACCCTCTCTGCTTCCAATTACTAGATCGCCCGCTACTGTAGTCGACAGGGCTCGCTTCTGCTGCCATTGCACCAAGGTTTGGCTGCGATTCTTGCCCTCAAGCCCATTGGCCGAGTGCCAGAGCCTCGACAGCGCGCATTGCCCAGGCCCACCGCCCGCCCACGCTCACACCCTCGACCGCTGTGGCCTACCATTATCACTGCTATCGACGCCCATCTTTTGTCCTGGTCCTGCTGCCACCGTCGCTATCACCGTCGCCATCCCCATCATCATCACCGCTATCTTCCCACCTGCCAACGCGCAATTCTTCTGCGCCGCCCGCGTCAAGGCTGCCGCTGCCGCCGCCGCCGCGTCCTTTGTCCTTGTCACGCCCGCCGCAACACCTTGAAGACAAAGGCCGACATGGCCGCCCGACCGAGTCCTAGCAGCACAAGCCCCTCGAACTTGTCCAACAGCCCGTTCCCCCACGGCTCCCACGGTTCTCACAGTAGCTCCACGTCGTCGTCGCCGCCGAAGCCTTTTGCGTCACACAATACCATGACGGCCGACGTCTTCGCACCGCCCATGTATGGCATGCCGGGTGCCGTCGGAGAGCGCAGGCCCCTCGAAAAGAGCCTCACCAACAGCGCGCGCTACTCCATTCTTCTGCGCAGACTTCCCAGCAGCAGCGATCGCGATGCCGTGCGCAACATCCTGCTCTTCGCAAAAGACCTTATCGACTGCGAAATCCTTCCACCGTCCCGGAATGCGGATGACAAAGGTTTCGCCTGTGCCATTGCGCATTTCCAGACGCTCGAGGGCGCAAAGGAAGCGCGCCAACTCCTCGACGGGAAGCGCAATGCCACCAACGATGCGACGCTGGTCGTCGAGCTGACACAGGACGTATCGCCTGGTGCAATCGGCTCGCGCCGCAACACAGTCGACAGCACTTCTGCGCGACAAGCCACAGGCACAGGCGCCATGACCGGCGCTACAACCAACGCCCGACAATCATCGCGATACAACGGCACCTTCCAAAACATGGAGAACATGTCCCCACCCAACGGGACCCCAGGTCTTGGCAACGGAGAGTTCCCGGTCAACAACCTATTCTCGCCGACATCCCCCGTCAACACCTCTTTCACGAGCCGCAACTTGGGCAAGTCGGTCATCAACGAAGACGCCGACGATGACGACGGCCTGCTTAACGAGTCAATTGGATACGCCACGGGCGGTCCGCCAATGCACTCCGGCATGCAGCGTCGCGCCACGAATCCCCACACCCCTTCCATTCCCATTCAGCGCTTCGGATCTCTTTCTCTAAACACAAACGGCGTGCCGAATGCCACGTCTCCGCCTCTATCCAACTTTGCTTCTCCACGTTCTGGATCCAATATGCAGTCGCCTGGTCCGGCCTTGTCAGCCTTGTCACCACATAGTATCCCCTCCGCACTGAGCAGCGGACCTAGCACTGGCTATCAGCAGTACACGCAGCATTTTGCGCGCCCCACATATCCTCCAGTGAATCCTGCTGACCAAAATCCACCATGTAACACTCTCTACGTGGGCAATCTCCCCATGGACACATCAGAAGACGAACTCAAAGCTGTCTTCTCGAAGCAGCGTGGATACAAGCGACTCTGTTTCCGTACCAAGCAAAACGGGCCCATGTGTTTTGTCGAATTTGAAGACACTTCTTTTGCTACCAAGGCTCTGAATGAGCTTTACGGATACATGCTTCACAACAGCGTCAAGGGTGGTATCCGCCTGAGCTTCTCCAAAAACCCCCTGGGTGTGCGTAGCGGCCAGAATTCAGTCATGGGACCGCAATCTGCTATTGCCCCTTCTACCCCTCTTCCGGGTTTCGGTAGCAGTGCCGCAGGTCCCCCAGGCTTCTCTACGGCTACCGGCCCACCGCCAGGATTATCCGTGCCTCCGGGCCTGTCTACTCCAGTGCACTCCAACAACAGCTCCGGCTTTGGCATGTACTCCAACGGTGGTTTCGGTATGGGCCACACCGACATGGCGGGTGCTATGCGCCAGCCACTCGCGTCAAGTGGTGCTAGCAACGGCTTTTCGGGCTATTCCACTTACATGATGGGGCGCTAGAGACACCCACCTCCATGATGGAGCGCGAGAGACACCAACCTATATCTGTTATGCCGTTATGAGTGATGATCGAGGAGTTGGGGGGTGCTCATCACGGAGCGTTTGCATATCCGGCCTTCATTTGTTGTTGCCACTATATCCTGTCTTTTCAATCATGGCGAGGTGTTGAGTCGTTTGGGTTGTGTTTGGCTTCATTAACGCAAGGGCATGGGTACTGGCGCGGGGTGACTAGGGCTTTCATGCCCAGTGGGTGTGGCTCTCTTTGCAGCATACAGCGATGATTCCCCCTTGTGCGATTTGCTTGTTTGATCATTACACCGGAGTACGGAGAATGGAGTTTCTCTTCGCTGCAATCGTACGCACTGTCTTGGCTCTGCGTTGACGACCTTCACCACTTATTCTTTTGTATCCTTTGGGGAGAGCTGTTCATATTGTGGTGTATGGCCAAGAGTTCGAACACGTCCCTGTTTTATCATGTCCCTTGGGAAATTCATTCAAGGCGCAGCGCTCTGATTGAACCTTCGAAATGCGTTTCCTGGCTAGGTGTTGGGTCAAGGTTGATAGTGGAGGGATCCTCTCTGACGGCCTGTGGCAAGTTCTTTCCCAGCTCACAGTTCCCAGTCATGTTCGGGGCTTTATGCACACTGGGGTTATGCATGATCCGGTCGCTATGGCATATTTTTATGATGGTAGCGGCTCTCTTTCTTGACTTTTTCGCGTCTGCCTCGGCATCTATGTAACGGCCTCTTAGTTTTCAATACCATACTTCGGCGCAAGCAATGGCGTTAGGTGTGTGGCATTCCGATAGCACTTGATAAAAGTCATCCTCCATTACCGAACATGTAGTTCACAAAGTTGTACGATTATACTGTGTTGCCAAAAGGGCGCCATGCCAGGTGATGTTCATGGTTCCCATGAGCGCCAAGGCGCTAACCGACATCGCGCGTCACTAAGAATTTCCTGCGAGGTCCCCATTCTTCTTCACTCAACTCTACTACTCCCTCTATCCAAACTTACTCACGTGTCCACGCCCTTCTTTCCCTTCCCTTCCTATTCATCTTTGATACCCGGCGCCAATGCGGTAGCCCCCTCATATTTTCCAACATGCCCCCTCGGTTACGGTGTTCAAACTTTTCAACACCGGCCGCTCCATCACAGGTCACTCAGTGCTTAGTTGCACGGCCACAACCCGTCTCGAATCCGTCACGGCATTCGCGGCAATTCTCACAGACACCATGTCCACAAATCACATTACGGCGGCGGAAATTCTATGAGTGGCTCAATGGGCCTGGTCGGCAGCTCAAGGAACCTATTCCAGACTCAACAAACTACCTGGGAGCTTACGACAAGTATGGCAACCTAGTACGTGCTGGTCCTGGATGGAGGAACGACGGGGGCGCAAAGGCTGCGGCCTCGACCAAGACAGAACAAGCCGGTGTAGAAGCCAAGGCAGAAGAGACCACAGAAGCGGCGCCTGCAGGACAGGAGAGCTTGGACGCACTAGAGGCCGCAATACAGTCTGGTGCAGCTGAAGAGAAGGAAACCAAGAAGAGAAGCGAAAAGCAAGATGACAGCAAGCTTCCACCTGAAACGGCAGAAGACTTGCGGCCATTCCCGCTCAATCAGTACTTCCGCAGCCAGCCAGTTCTGAGCGAAGACCTACGGGAAGCAATCTACCGCAGAGTTAAAAAGGACGGCGCGACAGTATCGCTTGCCAGTGTCGAGTTCGGCGTCAGCAATGAGCGTGTCGGCGCAGTAGTGCGACTGAAGCAAATGGAGAAAGAGTGGATAGCCCAGGTATGTTTTCACCCATGCATCAACCCCCCTACAACACGACATGATGAGCTTCTTAAAAATCGATTAGTCTTTAAGACATCCACATGGTTACAAAACTTAAGTCATGCTCTTGCTGAACGTCGTCGACTTGTTCACTCAACCTTGAAGAAAGCACTGCTATACAAGCGCTAACACAACGTGCTCAGGGCAAAACACTCGCACTTCCCTACTCCAAGGCGGTGCTCTCCATGCTTCCAACAACTCCACATATCGACACATCGCTTCCTAAGAACAAGGGCAAACGGCCGATTACCCACGAGCCCATCAATGACCTGATGGTACATCCCGCCACACGCCAGCAGCTTTTCGTGCCTGTTGCCGAGTCTCGGCGCTTCACGCGTGAAGACGCTGGTAAGGCGTTTGACAACACGCTATTACCGGCCGACGCACGCATCCCCCATCCGGAACTTGTGCAGGCGGAGCGTGAGTCGGAGTTGGGGCTCTCGTTCGACGAGCGCAGAAAGCTCGCAGAGCAGCGCTTTGAACAAGAGCAGGAAAAGAAGAGGAAGGAGGAGAGGCGAAAGGAAGAGGAGCTTAGGGCCATGAAAGTGGTGCCGAAGCGGAGATGGGATTTCGTCTTCAAGGACGTCAGCGTAGAAGCTGCGGGCAGAGATGGAAGAGGAGCAGCCGCAGCCGGATGGCGGTATGGTGTGCCGCACCAGGACCGCAAGAGAGGCATTCCCAAGATTCCTACGCGGGTCGAGGCATAGGGTAGTTTTATGTATAATGCTGTATAATACATGGCCAACGAAGACACTTGTTCACCGGTACTGCATCTTCTGTCCACCTCGCTTCTCCATCTTGGCCTGCCTCTTGCTCGCCACTTGCGGCTGGGGCACGCCCGCTGCGTCTTGATATCCACCCCTCATACCCGTGTACATGCTCCAGGCGGAATAGGCACTGTAGGCGGGGATGACGACCCATAGCCACCAGGCGTAGTCACCAAGAATGGCTGCCATGGTGATGCAGCCATAAGTCCAGTAGACAACATCCCACATGTACTCAGTCAGGCCCTTGGCGTCGAGGTCCTCGCCAGCTCGCTTCACGGCACCATCTGCAGTGAGGGTGGGGCGGGAGAGACGCTCGAAGTACAGCTCGATGAGGAGCTGGGGAGCCGAGAGGAGTACATAGACGAGCAGTGATTTGCGTGATAGAGAGGCGCGGAAAACCAGGGCACGCAGGAGCCACCAGAGTCCATGGACGGCGAGGGTTATATACAGGGTTTGGTTGAGGCGCTTGGTGTTGGAGGCGGCGAGCGTCTTGGTGGCTTTCTGTGGGAAATTGTCAGCAAACGGTGCGTGGTATTTAGCGGCGGACGGGTCTGCGTACCTGCGCCATGGTGAAGGTGCGATCAATGGATGGCTGGGACGTTGGGGCTGGGCTGGCTGGTTGGCTGCAGACAAAGCGTGTGCAAAAGACGTAGGTGGAACATTGTTTTGCTGCGTTCCTTGGCGTCCATAGCGCGTAAACCAACAACCTTGACCGCGTTGCACTCGCCTACCCGCAACACCACCACAACCCCAGCCCAGCCGCCATAGCCAACAGCGCCTGGACTATGAGCGCCCCATATTGAGGTTCCGTTTTGTCGTCGTCGCCGCCCAGCAAGCATGTCAGCACCCCCAGGCGTCAATGCCCAACTGCGCCAGCTCGTACACTACCACCTGGACAACGGCTTCGTTGAAAACGCCCTGTTCCTTGCCGGCCGCCTGCACGCTCTCGACCCCCGCAGCCCGGACGCAGCGCATCTCCTTGCTCTTTGCAACTTCCGCCTGGGACGATACAAGCAAGCCTTGGACGATGCGCGATCCAAGAACGCCCACACGCAACATCTGGGATGCGCCTATGTCTTCGCCCAGGCCTGTCTTGCCCTCGGCCGCTATGAGCAGGGAGCCCAGGTGTTGGAGAAGGTGCGCGGTTTATGGGCAGGACGTAACCACTGGAGTAAGAAGCTGTAATAGTAGTAGTCACCCGTGCCTGTGACTAACAACCTTCCAGACAAGCATTCCGAGACGTCACGACGACATGTACCCGATTCCGCCGCCTGCTACTGTATGTTGGGAAAGCTATACGCAGCACACGGCGACTCCAAAAAGGCTATTGATTACTTTGTCGACGCGCTCAAGATCAACTCCTTCATGTGGGATGCCTTCACCGGCCTTTGCGATATAGGCGCTGTCGTCCGCCCCCACAACATATTCAAAATCACGCCCGATATGCTCCCTCCCGTCCCTGCTTCCTCCAACTTCCACTCCAGGCTGAACGGCCGCAGCACACGACCCAACTCATATCATGATGCCGAAAACCCCTTTGGCAACGGCCAGGACATACACGACGAGCAAGCCATGATGGGCGAGGTCGGCGGTCCAGTCCAGATGCGCCCCATCACTTCCAGAGTTCGCACCAAGACCAATCCCGAGGGCGACCAGACGGACATCCCCCGGCCCGTACACCAGAACGGACATAAGAGAACCGTGTCTGGCCATTCTCTGCAGCAATCGCAGCCACAGCCACAGCCCCAATCGCAACCACCTCCACAACCTCACCCGCATTCACAACCACAGTCGCAACCGCTCGATCTCACGGCAGCGCCCCCACGACGCAGTGTACGATTGTTGAACTCCATTACTCAGATTCGGCCCTCGAGTAGCAGACCAGGAGGTACATCAAGCAGAGAACTTGAGTCGAAAGAGCGGCGCGAACTGCGGAGAGCAAGGGCGGCAGCTCCCACCAAGCCGCGATCAGCGACTGGCTCGACTGTAGGCAGAGTTGTTAGTGGCAACAGGAAACCCCATGTCGACACCTCTGAACCCTCAAAGCCAGAGAGCAGGCCGACGAGCGTGGCTGCCACGGCTGTTGCACCACCCCCTAGAATGGCTCCGCCTGCAGATACTTCGCGGGAGCGGGAGCGGGAGCGGGACGCCTTGAGCTGGTTACTTGATCTACTCCTCAAGATAGCTTCTGGATACCGCCATCTGAGTCGATACGATGCAGCAAAAGCACTCGAGGCATTCGGAGTTGTGCCCAAAACACAACGAGAAACGCCTTGGGTCCTGGCGCAAATTGGCAAGGCTCACTATGAGCGCACCCATTACGCAGAGGCAGCCAGCACGTTTCGAAAGATACGAGAAATGGCCCCTTCCTCTGCAGAACACATGGAAGTGTATTCCAACACTCTCTGGCAGCTCAGAGACGAGGTAGCTCTGGGTCACCTCGCGCACACGCTGATGGACCAGGACCGCCTCTCCCCACAGGCTTGGTGTGCGTTGGGCAACGCCAGCTCTATAAATGGACAACACGACGAGGCTGTCAAGTGTTTTTCTAGAGCTACGCAACTGGATCCAAAGTTCGCCTATGCTTTCACCCTTCAAGGTCATGAGCATGTAGCGAATGAAGAATTCGACAAGGCCATGGCGGCCTATCGTAATGCTATTAGCGCGGACAACAGGCACTACAATGGTTGGTATGGCCTTGGAAATGTTTACGAGCGTCTGGGCAAGTACGAGGTGGCTGAGAAACACTATCGGGCGGCGGCGGAGATCAACCAGAACAACGCCATGCTCCTTGTTCGTGTAGGCTTGGTAAGTCTTTCTCCTACATTCGCCCGCCTGCGAGAAACTAACATTAGTGCGCAGGTTCTGGACCGCATGAAGAAGACTGAGCCTGCGCTGTTGCAATTCGAAAACGCAATTAAAATCGAACCGCGCTCCGTCATGGCACGCTTCCGCAAATCGCAGGTTTTACTCAAGCTGAACGTACCGCAAGAGGCCCTACATGAGCTGCTCTACCTCAAAGACGCTGCACCCGACGACCCGAATATCCACTTCCTGCTTGGTAGGTGTTACAAGAAGTTGCGAGACCGCGCGAGCGCGATTCGACACCTTACGATTGCTATGAACTTGGACCCAAAGAGTCATGGAGTTATTAAAGAGGTCATGGAGAGTATTGATCAGGAAGATGATGGCGCATGGAGCAGTGAGGATGAACATTAAGGTGCTTCCTGCTCTTTGATCAAATCCCTTTACGAATTGTACTCGAAATGACTCTTATCCCTACGACGACGACGCACATCATCATCTTCATCATCATCCTTGTCTATTAGCGCATACCCTTTTGGCTTCTCTATGCACCTTTTTTCTTCTATACCCATCATCATGGAGCTTGCATCATGGGCGCATTGGGGAGGCGTAGCAAAATCATGCATTTTAGATTGGCGTTTTGGAGACCAACGACTTGGACGCTGCCTAGTTGGGCGGCGCGGGGATTATATTGGTGTAGTTTTGGACGAGCGACCACGATGGCATACCCTCCATGACTGCTTTTTGATAATCCCCGTCTAGCCTTTGTAGAGCCGAAACACGATTTGCGATTGTACTATATATCAAAATGCATTAGGATATTTTTACCTCTACATGCTGTTCTCTCGATTGCTCGGTCCAAGTACTTTTGTTGGTATTCACATGAAACGGTTCTCTTCTCACTTGAGCACAGCAACCAGTCGTCCTCCACTGACCTCTCTCCTCCTCATGCGATCCAGACCCGCATTAACGCCTCCCAACCCATCGACCGTACCCACAACATCCGGCGGTACCAACAAGCCCTTGGCTAGTAACCGCTCACACCACGCACTGAGCGCCTCACCCACTTGCGGAACCTCATGATATAGCTTGATAGGCACGCTGTGCATTTCAACGCCCTTTGGTATATCACTTTTTGGCAGACCAGTCAGGCCCACAAGATGGGATTTCTGACCCGCGGAAGAAGCCTCCAGGGGTGTGGAAGGAGGAGACGGTAACGAAGATGGTGTAGGGATGGCAAGAGAGTTGAGCAAATACCCTGCTGTATCCTTGCCCATTGTATCAAACCCAAAGCGTGCGCCTCTGCTACCAGTATTCGCCTTGATGACTTGAATCGCTCTTTGCGGATCATGAGAGTCAACAACCAGGTCTGGCACAATGGCTTTGGTGGACGACAACCGAGATCCATGTTTCGCTGCATCGGCGACGGAGATTATCTTGATACCCGCAAGACGCGCTATCTGCGTCGTGACATTCGCGCATACTGAACTTGCGCCCCAGATGACTAGGTAGTCCCCAGCCCCAACACGTTCTTTCTCACTGATGCCGTACAGGCACTCTTGTCGTATATCCGTCGGGAGACTGTTTGGCTCGAGGTTGCGTACAATGTTGAGGAGGTCTGGTCCGGCTTCTATGCTGGAGAAGTCTAAGCCCATGCATATCCCTAGTGTGAGGGCGGCGGATACAAATGCTACGCCTAGTATACTGCCCGAGTTGAGCGATATGCTGGGAGGGAGACGGATGGTGTTGAATGAGGAAGCAACACTGTATTCTTGGAATGCTGCTTTGCGGAGATCGCGATAGTCTGTTGATGGGATGAGGACCAGGTCTCCTTCTTTGATGTTGCGAGGTGATGTTGCATTTGGTACTTTTACTATTGTCCCGGCGAACTCGCGGCCGGATATGTATGGTAGGGTTGGGATGCCGAAGTTGTAGTCACTGGCTATTTGTCAGTGTGTGTGCGAGTATGATGTTGATTCACGTTACTTACGGCGCCTTCCAGTCAATCGGGTTGAGTCCTACTGCTTGCACTTTTACCAATAGTTCGGAGTCATGTTGAATTGTTGGAAGAGGGTGGTTCGTAGTGACATCGTATGGTTGGCGTATCATGTGTAGCTTCAACGCTGACTGTACTGGGGGTAGCGTGACTTCTGTATCTTTTTCTTGAACATCCTGATGTGTTCTGCTTTTTTTCGATATGGTGTCTGTTGGAAGCGCTGCTGCTACGCTGCGGGCCCGCTTGCTTCGCGTTTCCATTCTGTTTGGGAGACCCAGTTTGTCTGGTTCCTTGCGTTTGCGATGATTCTGTTTTGGAAATGTCTCTTTGTATGGGTGTCTTACTCAGGTTTTCCAGGTTTAGCGGCTTTAGTGTTGGTGAAACATAGATTCTAGAGGCGGTAAAGTCGCCTTGGATGCGAACCCTCGAAATGATCTCCAGTCTCCAATCTTCAACCTCCAACTTTCGGATTTCCACGTTCGTATCTCCCGGGAATATGCAAGTCGATCTTCAAAACGGGCTAGGGGAGCTCCATTGCTCCCCGAAGGCCGTGTAAGGTGGAGCAAATGATAGTCGCAATTATGGGCTCGATGGCACAATACAAGTGGTCGGCAAATTCCCAGATCCGCAACCCCAACCTACCGTAGCGTAGTCTCATGAGCGTAGATAGAAGGGCCTATATCGGAGACAAACATGTAGTGAGTATAGTACTTTGGGTATGGTATGATGACATCCCGCAGATAAGCGATCACGTTCGAGAGCGTCCAAAGCACACCATCGCCTCTCAGAACCACGATACTTCTTCCGCACGACACCATTCGATACATCGCGGAAAAACAACCTATCGCGACAATGGCAAAAAGACTTCGAGAAAATGGAAATGGAGATACGAAAAATGCAAAGCCAAAGATTGGTGCTGGCAAGAAGTTAATCATCAATGCATTCGTTGAGATGTGTAAGTTCACGTGACGAACCCCTCAAGAACCCAATCGTTCTATATCAATAACAGCTCGACTGACTAGAACTTATCATTGGCTGACAAGTAATCTCAAACAGGTAGTGGTCATCAGTCACCAGGCTTGTGGAGACATCCTGACGATCATTCGCACGAGTTTAACAACGTCGAGCACTGGGTAGAGCTTGCGAAGCTACTTGAGGAAGCCAAAATACACGGAATCTTTGTAGCCGACGTGCTCGGTGGGTATGATGTTTATAACGGCAATCTTGATGCTGCAAAAATCTCAGGCGCGCAATGGCCAGTCAACGAGCCTTTGGCTATTGTAAGCGCAATGTCTGCAGTGACCAAGAGCATTGGATTCGGCGTGACTGTTTCGACAACATATGAACAGCCATACCACCTTGCTCGGAGATTATCGACCATCGACCATCTTTCGAAGGGAAGGTAAGACAGCCGAGTTCCCTATCCTTTTCAAGGACTGACATGCTCTAGACTCGGTTGGAATGTAAGGAGAACTTGGCTCCTTGATAATTCCATGATTGACAGTGTTTACAGATCGTGACAAGCTATCTCGACTCGGCTGCGCGGAATATGGGTATGAAAGAGCAATTACCAGTTAGTATCGTGGCCAGGTTGAGAAACTGCTGCTAATACAATCCAGCACGATGAGCGCTATGCCCAGGCTGAGGAATACGTAAAGGTCATGTACAAGCTGTTAGAGTCATCTTGGAGAGATGATGCAGTTGTGCTGGACCGGAAGAAGGGAGTGTATACGGTACCTGATCGGGTGCGCGAGATCAACCACGAAGGGAAGTATTTCAGCGTGCCTGGCCCTCATATCTGCCAACCAAGCCCGCAACGCACACCTCTGATTCTCCAGGCGGGGGCATCGAAAGCAGGTAAAAGCTTTGCAGCACAGAACGCAGAAGCAATATTTGTTTCCGCCCATGCGCCTGAGGTCTGTGCAAAGAATGTCACGGAGATCCGACAAATTGCCTCATCGCAGTTCGGTCGGGACGGAAAGAACATCAAATTTATTGCTCTTGTAACTCCCATCATTGGCCGCACTGAGGAAGAAGCTCAGGCTAAGCTTGCTGATTATCGAAGATACGCGTCTTTGGAAGGAGCGTTGACGCTGTTCTGTGGTTGGACTGGGATTGACCTTGGTAAGTATGGAGACGACGAGGAACTGAGACACGTAGAGAGCAATGCTGTACGATCTACTGTCGAAGGCTACGCTCGCTTTTCCCCTGGGACCTCAAAATGGACGAAACATACAGTCGCGGAACACGTGAGTATCGGCGGGAATGGTCCCATCCTTGTTGGAACTCCATCGCAAGTAGCGGATGGGTTGCAAGTTTGGATTGACGAGGCCGATATTGACGGTTTCAACGTGGTAAGTTTTGTCTGACTCCCGTGGCACGATTGATTCTGATGGACATAGGCGTACGCTCTCTTCCCGCAGTCTTTTAAAGACGTGATTGAGTTGCTACTTCCTGAGCTGAAGAAGCGAGGTTTGTTCTGGGATGATTATGCTGTGCCTGGTGGCACATATCGAGAAAACTTTTACGCGAAGAAAGGACAGAAAGGTCCGCTCGAGGAGCACGTAGCATCAACATATCGATGGAAGGCGGGAATTGATGCTAAGGACCATGTTATTCCAGAGTAAAAGCAATTGTCTTTTAGTAGCATGCTGTGTACGCAGACAAATCTCAAGACATGTAAAGATATACGACGATTTCAGGTTGAGCGTGCAGTGTGAGAAAATCAGGTTACAGTAGTACGCAACGATATTAAACTTGCTCTACAACGCGATCGTTTTCGGAACCGTGTCTTGCACTGCGAACCAATGCCACGGAATTTGTGTAGTTTTGGACGCACATCATTTGTCCTCGCTGCTGCTCCAATTCCAGGAGCGCGATGTGGCGTCAACGCAGGGGAGTGAGCACGACATCCACAACGGTTGATACGGCGAAATTCCGACAGCGAGTGGGGAAAAGGCGTGCTTACACTTCTGCAAGACCGGCTCTGCAGGCCTGGAACAGATACCGGAACTGATAGCGTCTTACGGCTTCGGTACTCATCAGGAGGTTTAGCGATAATGAGGCGGCTCACACCAGAGCTTTAAAGTCGCCATGGGAAAAGACGTACGTCTGGTGAGAGGGTATCATCGCAAGAGAAGTAAAGAACACGTCCTGCTGATTCCATGATGGCGCCAAGTTCAGTCTTACCCAATTTGGTCAAGCCAACCGCTGCGGGACCAGAGTCAACGCCATCGCGACGCGTAGCACAGCTCACGGAACACCTCGTACCATTAGAGGGCATCGAGCAGGCTGGAACTCACACTACCCTGCCGACTCCGTATCCCGCCTCGAAGTTGAAGTTGGATCCAACCCATTGCCTCGATCATGCGCGCAAGGTCAGTGTTGCAGTCATAGGTGCTGGTCTATCTGGTATCAATGCAGGTATCCTTTTGCCTGCCAAAGTACCAGGCATCGAATTGACCATCTTTGAGAAGAATAATGATGTTGTAAGTGCATGCGATAGCCATGAGATGGGTGAACTGACGATATACAGAGCGGCACGTGGCTTGAAAATGTCTATCCCGGAGTGCGATGCGACATTCCAGCTCATGTATACCAAGCGACATACTCACCCAACACGCAATGGTCTGAGATCTTTGCGCGAGGCGCTGAAATTCGCGACTATTGGCAGACGCAGGCTAGGAAGCACGATGTTTACAAATATGTCAAACTTCAGCATCGCGTTGACGAAGCAGAGTGGGATGATGCGCAGTCCAAATGGCGGGTGACAGTGCACAACCTTAAAGATGGAACTACGTCAACGGAGACTTTCGATTTTGTGATCACCGCCATTGGCCGATTCAACCAATGGAAATTACCTGATTATCCGGGCTTGAATGACTACCAAGGCCATTTAAGGCACACATCGAATTGGGATACATCGTTCGATCCAACAAACAAGAAAGTCGCTGTCATTGGCAATGGCGCAAGCGGTATCCAGGTTGTGCCAAATTTACAGCCCGTTGCAAAACACATCACCCACTTCGTTCGCAATCCAACATGGATCGCAACATCATGGGCTGGCGATGAGCGGACTTTTGAGCCTCAGCCATACACCGAGGAACAGCGCAAGGCTTTAGAAGACCCTGAAACGTATCTGGCCTTCCGGAAGGATATGGAAGATAGATATTGGAGACGATTCCGAGCCATGATTCGTGGAACGACCGAGAACCAAGGCATGCGAGAGCAGTTCATTGAAGTCATGAAGAAGCGTGTAGCGAAAAAGCCCGAACTGCTTGACGGACTGATACCGGATTTTGCGCCGCATTGCAGGCGACTCACACCAGGCCCTGGATACTTAGAGTCTCTCACCGAAGACAATGTGGACCTTGTCAAGGCGCCTATCAAGCGTTTCACACCTACAGGTATTGAAACGGTCGATGGTAAAACATTCGAGTTCGACGCGATATTTTGCGCGACCGGCGCCAATACCGACCTTGTTCCACCATTTTCGATTAAGGCGCGTGGGGAGGATCTACATGAAGCATGGAAGCCTGGAGGTAAATGGGGCTTCCCTTATACATATTTTGGACTGGCTACACCTGGATTCCCCAACCTGTTCTTCCTAGCTGGGCCGCACGCTACTGGTCCTTCCGGTACGGTACCGCACGGCGTGGAGACGTCGCTTGCATACTTTGCGAAAGTATTTCGCAAAGTTTCCACACAAGGCTACAAGTCTATAGCGCCATCAAAGGAGGCAACAGACGACTTTGTCGACTACAGTGATGCTTTTTTCCCTACTACAGTCTTGACTGATAACTGCTCGTCTTGGAACAACGGTGGAGTTCCTGGACAGCGCATCCATGGCTTATGGCCTGGTTCAGCTGCGCACTTCACCATCGCTAGACGGGAGCCACGTTGGGAAGATTGGGAGTACGAACGCGAGCACAAGGGCAATCGCTTCGCCTACTTTGGCAACGGTTATACGGAAGCAGAACTGGATGACTCGACTGATTTGACTTCATATCTTAGGGCGCCTGGTCAAGAAATAGATTTGAGAGATCTTCATGAACGCTGGTGGGATGTGCCAGGTGCAGAGAGGAAGTCATAGATACTAGTACCGAGTCTTTCGAATGCTTGGCTCCGTATATACTCACACCAAGATACCCTGCTTGCGCAATGGTACAATACGAAAACTCTTTGGTGCACTAGATTTCTAAGCGATAAATATATTTAAGCCAAGAACGAAAGCATTGAGCTCTATCAAAATCCACGCACTTTGTCGCTATGAGGCATGCTCGTTTCGATTGCTAGACTACTTGCTCCTGGCTCACAATTCTGGATGCAGATTGCGTGATCTTGCTACTGTCCTTATCGTATGTCCCCACCTATTCACTAGGCCTTATTTCGCGCTTACGCACCAGTCCCCACGTGTTGGGGTTAGCTGTCCCGCAATACATCGTCAGGTACCTCCAAGATGGCGTGCTGTCCCATCATCATGCCACTACAGGCGATGTCCGAAGTAAGACCGGGGCAGCATACGGAGGTGCTTCTCGTTAGGTCTGGAGCATACTCGGAAGACCTGGGATGATTATTTAGAAATACCAGAAATGTGGCTTACCAGGCGTCCTATCGCGTCGTTCTCGGGTTTTTTCATGTGCAGGGGATGGATGATTAGCTGCACTAACGCAGTGTAGTATGAAGCATTCCTGTGCCGCGTTGTCGCTATATCTATCCATTGCCTGGTGGACGTTCAAATCAGAAAAGGTCACGGTTTCTCTACATCTCGTGTTGTGATTTTGCAGAAGCATTGGGTATGGCCAACTCAGACACCTCCGTCGAATATGGCAGTGATGAAGGGGTCGAGAAGCGAGACTATCCAGGTGAGTTCTTACAGAATCAGACATCGAGACACCACGGGCTCACAAAAGAACAGTCAAGTGGTATCGCTCCACGTTCTTCAACATGACCATTCTGGGACTTTGCAACTTTAGTGCACCAGGTATCTGGGGCGCGATGAACAGTCTCGGTGCTGGCGGGGCACAATCACCACACCTTGTCAACGCAGGCAACGCGCTCACCTTTTGTCTCATGGTTGTGAGCTGCTATTTTAGCAGTGTGATGGTGCATTACATCGGAATCAAAGGAGCACTGATGTTTGGAACGTAAGTGGAAATATCTTGTGGACGAATGTCAGTTTTGACATCAGCAACAGCATCGGTTACGCTCCCTACGCAGCAGCGCTTTATACAAACAACCGCTTCGGAACTGAGTGGTTTATTTACCTTGGTTCCTCACTATGCGGCATCTCAGCAGGTGTCTTCTGGATGGCCGAAGCCGCAATCGCGATTGCATACCCCGAGCCTTGGAATAAAGGAAAAGCACTTGGCTATTGGCTTACGTACCGACTTGCTGGCCAGATCCTTGGAGGAGCCATCAACCTTGGTCTCAATGCAGACCGCGATCAAGCTGGCAAAGTCACGTACACGGTGTACTTGGTCTTCATTGCTCTGCAATGCGTTGGTCCGGTAGTAGGACTATTCCTGAATCGACCCAGCAAGGTACAAAGAAAGGACGGGAAGAAAGTCACCCTGGCCATCTTGGACAATCCTTGGTTTGAGATTAAGCAAACTACTAGGCTGTTCTTCACGAAACGCTTCTTACTCATCCTTCTTTGGATTGGCCAAGCTGTTTTCTCTGAAGCAGTTTTCTTCACCTATCTCGCTTGTAAGTAACAGTACCCATCCTCAGGAAGTATCAAGAGGGCTCGTTATTAACTCGCAAACAGTATGGTTCTCCGTCCGTGCCCGCGCCCTCGGATCGTTGCTATCCGGCATTGTCGCAGTAACCACAGGAAACATACTCGGCCAATACCTAGACCGCATCAAGATACCTCTGAGAACCCGCGCACGTAGTACTTTCTGGGTTATCGTCGTTCTGCAAGGCGCCTGGTGGCTTTGGGCCACAGTACTCGTCACTGAGTTCCGCGATTCGAAACCGACATACGACTGGGTCTCGCCTGGCTTCGGCCGTGCTTTCGCCGTCTTCATATTCTTGACTGCCGGTTTTCAAATGAACTACCTGTTTCTATACTTTGTGATTGGCCAGCTAGCGGTAGACGAACCTGAAGTTATTCGCTACGCCGCATTGTTGAGAGGAAGCGAGAGCGCTTGGCAGGCAGTTAGTTACGGAATCACGAGTGTAACGGTATTCGCCGAGGTTGGAGCTGTATACTGGAACTTTGCGCTATGGGGAGTAGCGGTCTTGCCAGCATGGTTGGTCATAAGGGAGTTTGGTGCTGATAAGGTAACCAGCGCGCAGGCTGTCGAGAGTGGGTCAGAGAATTGCGATCAGCATGAGGTTGAAGAGCCTCCAAAGAGTGTATTGAGTTGATACTCGTGTTGAGCAGCCGTAAGATACGGGGCGCACGCTCGAGATATGCCAGACTGGCTGAAGGTATGGATGGGTGCTGTAACCGGTTCGCCACTCCAGAAGAAAAGAACAAACGCACAATTCCCAAGCTCTTGCTCGTTGCAAATGAGAAATTCTAAAGTTCCCGCCCGACCAACGATGGTGAGTCCTGATACTTGTAGCACAACACACCCCCACCCTCTCGGTTCATCGTATCCAGAACGGCGCCAACATTGACATCCTCGCCCACGAAACCCATCCATACCGGCGTATTTGCTGTAGTTTGCTCGACGGCATCGGGACCGGGGCCGAAGCCCTCTATGGTTCTTGGGCCACTGATATCGGTGAGGCGGGCAGGGTCGCGGGTTTGCCAGAGTGTCCACATGTAGTCGAGTTGGGCATGGTGGAGCCAGAAGAGAGGATCATTGGGGGAGGAGTAAATGTCGCTTATCTAAAGGATTGTGTTAGCCTGTGGGCTGCCATGGGTACTTATGAGAGTAGTATGACTAAGGAGCGGCGTGTTTGGATGGAGTTAAGAGTGTGGCGAACGAAAGAATACGTACATCACCACCAACAGTCTGATGTCCTAGACCATGTGGGTTGATACCTGCTTCCGTGGGGATTTTATCCGCATCGTCGACAAAACTCAATCCATCGATGAAGTTCTGAAGCTGATAATAATTATTCGCCTGCATGGTCGCCGGATAAATGGCTTGCCAAGTAGAACCCATATTGAACAGATCGACATCAACAGCGCGCGTCAAGCAGCGCGGATTCGGTGCCAGTGACTCGACAGGCCCAATATTCAGGAACTCAGGCCCGGAGAACGGACCCTTCTGAATGCAGCCCGACGGCTCGACACCATTACCCCCGAAAGCCTCCAAAACGGGTGAGGTTAGGATGGAGCCGTTGCCTGTGGACGGGTTATCGAGAGTCCAGTCCCAGTACGGTTGTGCGCCAGTGTAGTTGCATTCCGAGCGAAGCACAGATTCGAAGACCCAGATGGCGTAGCGGTGCCAGGGGAGGAAGACACCAACGGTATGAACACCGTAAAGCGTAACGTTGGCTAGAGCCAGAATGGTTAGTATAAGGCTTCTGATAGCTGATGCATCTCGCAATGGTCACTTACGAGCTGGAACATCTGGGTTGGCGAGTGACGGGGCATCCTGGCCGCCTGTCAGAGGTTGTTAGCTGACATGTAGGCTGGTGAGTGGTGCTTGCAACCGACCTCGCGTGGCGTTGATGTGTAACGCGACGAAGTCATCATATCGCGTCTTCAGGGTGCTAAATATCTCAGTGCCCTTGGAAGGTGCGCGTTTCAGGCACTGAATGGCATCGATATAGGCATGTTGTTCGGAAGAGCTCAGCGTACGCCTAGGGGACTGTCAGTGGAGGTCTTGGGAAGATGATTTTTTTCATGATACATACCATTCTTTCCTGATGCGCGGGTTGGAGCAAGTACCTGCAGGTTGCTCAACGATAGGAAGCGTGCTGCAAAGCGAAGCAATCGTTAACGAGAGTAGGATGGATAGACGCATGATGATGGTATTGAAAGAGAAAAAACGAGTGTGTCATGAGTCTAATTGCTACTACAGATGGATATGCCACCTCTATATGAGCTCTACCATATGTGTACACGTCCGAAGTACAACAGTGGTTTAATCACAATGAATACGATGAAACAATGTTCGACAGGTCTGCCTTGCAGATCTTATGACACGCTAGAGTTCACGAGTCGTGCTTAGGTCGTAATTACTTTGACGTTGTTGCAACGCATCTGTGGATCTGGGGAACAGACACCTCCTACTGGTGATTCGCTGGATGGCATTGGCGTCGGCGTTGCTTGGTCTTGGTAACCTATTTTGACAAGTAGTATGTGGTGGAGTGCATTGGGCTACCATGTTTCTCGCGTCGTATTAGAAAGTGAGTTATGCTCACACGCGCCATCTAGAAATAATGTTGCCGTTTTGGGGTAGACTGCGCCAGCATTGATGTACGCGTTTCGGAGGTTTTCTGAGGCTTGGGCTTTCAATCTAGTTTAGTGGCGACATTAAGTAACCAGCCAAGGCGTCCAAGCTCATATCAATGCGAGCAAGGTATGTGATGCAGGAGGTCGGGCTGTGTAAACAGCGCAAAGATGTTTCCAAGTATACGCGTTTGCGTAGTTTGATGGAGGAGATGCATTCTGGGTGCGATTCCCTAATACGCGCATGCGATGCGATATGCGGTCGAACCCTGCCAAGTCTCGTCTCAGCAGCCAATCGGGAGGATGGGCGGTCGCGGAATTGTCACGTCGGCTTCTGTCAGTTCTCCAGCTCCCCACCTCTTTCCTTCTTTATTCCTTCCCCCGCCTTTCACGTTTCCTATATCAATCTCTCTCGCTTGTGCAGGCCGACAATGCCATCACTCATGGAGCTGCTGCCTTTGGCGGTAGCGTTTGCCGCTGTCCTGGGCGGCTTCCTTTGGTACAGCAGCAGTAGCGGTGGGAGCCGCAAGGTGCTGAAGCCGACGGAATTCCAGGAATTCAAGCTCTCGGAGAAGACAATCCTCTCGCATAATACCGCCATCTACCGCCTCGAGCTCCCACGTCCGACCGACATCCTTGGTCTTCCTATCGGCCAGCACATTTCCCTCGCCGCTACCATCGACGGTCAGCCAAAAGAAGTAGTGCGCTCGTACACACCCATCACATCCGACGAAGACAAGGGCCATGTCGACCTCCTCATCAAGTCCTACCCTACGGGCAACATCTCCAAGCACGTCGCGAACTTGAAGATCGGAGACACAATCAAGGTCAAGGGCCCCAAGGGCGCCATGGTCTACACACCCAACATGGTCAGGCACTTTGGTATGATTGCTGGTGGCACTGGTATCACCCCTATGCTGCAGATCGCCAAGGCTATCATGCGTGGGCGCTCTACAGGTGACAGGACAGCTGTCGACCTCATTTTCGCCAACGTCAACCCCGAAGACATCCTACTCAAAGATGATCTTGACGCGCTAGCGGCCAAGGACCCCAAGTTCAATGTTCACTACGTTCTGAACAACCCACCCGAGAACTGGACCGGTGGCACTGGATTCGTCACCGCCGATATGATCAAGGAGAAGTTGCCAGCGCCTGCGAACGACGTTAAAATTCTTATCTGCGGACCACCTCCTATGGTCGCAGCCATGAAGAAGGCGACCGAGAGCCTGGGCTATGCCAAGGCGAGGCCAGTCAGCAAGCTCGAAGACCAAGTCTTCTGCTTCTAAGCGCTGGGGGGCGCTGTGTCGTCAAACATAATTTAGAAATCTGCATTCCCACGAATTGATGCCTTTATGCGGGTCTACCCAACATTGTCTCTTGTCCCTTTGCCTCTTGGTTCTCTTTAGCATCCGAAGAGCACGTTGCCATGATGATACATGAACACAAAATTTCACCTGACACTCAACACCTTGCCTAATCAATGTAATCGTTGGCGGCCTTGGCTATGCTAGCGAGATTATTGATCTACCATATTTAATCTTATTCTCTACGAAGATCACCGTTATGAAGTAAGAAAAGCAATTGACAATAATTAATATATATATCTTAATTCTCGAAGTCGGATGGAACATCGTAAAGGTATGTATGATCCCAACCCGAAACGCCTTGCAGGAAAAAAAGCAGCCGAATGCCAACAAGACCCAGGGTATACCCCCACAGGAGGCGCAACACAAGTCCAGCATCTAACAGCCCTATAAGAACGCCCTAGACCTAATTACAACACGAACAGTCCTCTTCCGTTTGATACCACCCACAGCGCTATCCCCATCATCCCCAACCTTACTCTCATCATCCGTAATCTCAACGTCCATCTCTTCAACATCATGCGGGGTACTCGGGATTTTGTCCTCCGCAAGAACCTTCGCTAGGGTATTATATTCCTCCTCACCCAACTCCACCGTTCCGGTAACGACAGGACGTTTAATATCATCAACAACTCTCGTTGCAAAGCCCTCTTCTTCTTCCAACGGCGGACTCAGCTTCATTATTGGATACCGGGACCTCCATGCACCCCTCCCCTCAGAGATCCCATCTACTACAAAAAACCCTTTTGGCCACTGACACGACGGAGGCCGGAGCGTAGGCTGCCGAATTTCCCTTTGTCGTTGGGGGCTACTTCGCCCATCTCCCCCATCAGGAGGCCAATCGAACTGCCTCGCCTTGAACGCGTCTCGCCACCTGCTTCACTGCCTGGTGCTGCGGGAAGGCCAAGGGTGCTGCGGCGCTGGCCCCCCAGGTTCTTCCAACCTTCCAGTTCGCGCTCGAGACGCAGGGTCTTCTCTCGTTCTTCGCGGAGTTCACGCTCGGCACGCTTAGCAGCGAGTTGATTCGTGGAGTCAGAGGATTGCAGATCGTCGATAGTGGCGAGCAGATTAGAAATCTTGTCGCGAGATTTGTTAAGATCGTCCATGACTTGGGCGTTCTGCTTGTCGCGACGCTCGATTTGTGTTTGCAGGTCTTTCACTGTACGGTCCACATTGCGGACACTGCGAGACTCGGAAAGACGAGTGGATTCGCTGCTTTCGAGGGCCTTTTCAAGCTGATGGAAAAGTTAGTATCGGTCAACAAATTGGATTCGTCACGAAGGAAGTTGACATACCTCTTGAATACGTCCATGGAGGAACCGGACGTCCTTGCCAGCTGATCCGCTGTAGCCCTTCGTCTCGAGATCTACTAGCCGAAGCTGTAGGTCCTTCAGCCCCTTCTCGACAGCAGCCTTGTCCTTGTGAAGCTTCACGTTCGCTTCCCGTTCAGCTACAATATCTTTTTGCAGTTCTTGAGCAAGAGCCTCTGCACGACGCATCTTGCCTACTGCAGCGGCAGTAATGTCCTCCTGTTGTGCCAAGCCGGACTTGAGCTCTAGCAAGTCGCGATCGTAAGCAGCCGCATTGCGCATAGCTGGAGACTCTGAGCGAGACAGTTCATCGAGCGCATCTGCAGCCTCTTGGAGACGCGACTCGAGACGCTTCTTTTCCTCAATGGCGGAATCGCGCTCAGCTGCGAGGTCGTCGACGTTGGTTCGTAGATTTCGAACTTGCGACAGCAGACTGACGATCTTGGATTGCGCTTCATTGTGCGCATTGGCGGCCTCGTCGCGCGAGTTAGAGATAGTCTGCAACGTCATCTCAAGACGGCTCTTCTCCTTCGCCCAAGTCGATGAGTTCAACAGTTCATCGTCCCATTTGTTTCTCAACTCCTCAATTTCTTCCCGTAGTCGACCATTTTCTTCGCGGACGTGGATGACATTCTCGCGCTCTTGGTCGATTTCCTGGGTAAGGGATGCCAGCTCGGACTGATACTTCTTTCGTGTTTGCTCTAGCGAAGTTTCGCTGTCTTCAACATCGTGAGCGTGCTGGCTTCTGTAATCTTCGAGCTCGTTCTGTAATCGTTTCTTGGCTTGCAGAGCCGTCTCCAAGTCTGTCGAGAGGTCTTCAACGCGTTCATCGTACCGCTGGACTTGTCGCTGCAAGTCCTCGACCATGCCGTCCATCTCTTTCCGCTCTGCCATGATCGTCGCGCATGTATCTTCAGCTTCCCGAGCTTGCGACTTTGCAAATTGTTCTGCACGAGATGCTCTCAATACGGCAATCTCGGCTTGTTCCAACTTGCTAAAGTATTCGTCGGCCCTGCTCTTGTACAAGTTCAAGCTCGACTGTGCATCAACCAAGGCCGATGTCTCGTTATCCAAACGGATCTGGAGATCAGCAAATTCTTGGAGGAGTTGGTTGTGGTTCGCGTGCTCCAGCTCTCGCTCATCAGTGATGTCTTCAAGCTCAGCCTGCATCTCGCGAAGCTCAGACTCCAAGGAGAGCTTGGCCTGCTTGATGTCGTCAAAGGCCGTCTTGGCGTCGGCGAGTTCATTGATAGCGGTGTTGTGGGCCTGTACAACGGATTTACGTGACTGCTCTTGCGATGTCAAGAGATCAAACAGTTGCTCGTGTGACTTGGTCTGAACTTCCTGGTAAGAGAGTTGGCCGGAACGAAGGCTTCGCTCAAGTGAAGAAACCTTGGTGGCAGAGTCATCAAGCATATCGTGCAGACGGTAGTTCTCGCGCTCCAACTTCTGCACCCTTCTGACAGAGGGGCTGTCATCTTGCCAGTCGTTACGCATAGGCGAGCGTCCAAGCTGATCTTGGAGATGTTTGTTTTGCATCTCCGACATCTGCAACTGGTTCTGTACCAACTCGAGCTCGGCAGCCATGTCCATGCGGTTGTTGAAAGCAACCGTATCAACGGTTCGATCAGAACGTGCGGAATCGTTCGTCGCATTGCTGATGTGGCGCTGGTTTTGAGGGGTGTTTGTAATCGAGAACGGTCGCCTGTTCTCACTGTCTTTCCGGTTGTGTGTAGGCGATCGACGAGAATTGGCTTGATTGACTTGGCTGCCGTTCATTTCCTCTAATAGCGCACGCTTTGAATTGGTATGGCGTGCATCCAGATCATGGAGCTCGCCCTCATGCCTTTCCCGGAGCTCGTCAAGCTGAGCCTCAGCACGTGAATAGCGCTCTGCTGCTACACGCAAAGCTTGGTTGGCAGCCTCGAGGCGTTCAGCAATATCCACCGTTTTCACGATATCAGGCTTAGCGGCTTCATAAGTGATTGCAACATCGGCCGAGTCTGGGTCAAAGACCTTGCGAAGAAGCATAAGTTGTCGATGGCATTCCTCTAACTCGCCGTTCGTGTTATCAAGCGATGTTTGAACTGCACGCGTGTTGGCCTGAGCTTGTGTACGCAACTGGCGCTCGGTCTCAAGCTGACGGTTGACATCTGCAAGTTGTAAATTGATGGTGGAGGAGGCCTTCTCCGCATTGCGGCTTGTCTTGTGCTCCCTTGCAATCTCGTGGTTGAGGTCTTCAAGATCCAGCGACAACTTCTCTTTCTGCTTCTCCAAAGACGCAATTGTGAGCTGTGCGTCTTCAAGTTGGCGGAAGAGGCGCTTATTCTCTTCCTCAGCCTTAGACTTCTCGTGAGTCAACTGTGTGAGCTTCACACGTTGCGTATCACTAGCTCGTGAATTGGACCGTGCAATGTCCAAGTTCTTTTGTTGCAGCTTGTTGAGAAGTGCACGGTTGTCGTTCTCTGATGCCGTAAGTCTTCCCTTGATGGTGACTATCTCGCGTTCCAAACGCTCTTTTTGCTGGTCATTGCGCTCCTTGAATGAGTCTGAGTCGGCAAGCATCTGCGTCAAGTTGTGGACTTGCTCAGCTAGGTCATCGCGCTCCGCCTCAAGCTGATCAAGTTGTTGATCCTTTGCTTCAAGCTCGAGTTGTTGTACGGCCTGTCGCTCCGTAGCTAACCTTGACTGCGCGCGTTCTGCTTGAGCATCGGCGTCCAGCTTCTCTTCCTCCAACTTCAAATACTTCTCACGAAGGGTGCGAAGTTCAGTCTGGTACTCTTTGCGTTCCTTCTCATGGGCCGTGCGAGTCTCCGTAGCTCGCCGAAGAACATCCTGCTGGGCGTACATCTCTTTTTCAATAGTGATCTTCGATTCGTTTAACGCATCGTAGTCACGCTTGAGTGTGTCGTATTTGTGTTCGCCAAGCATCTCGACATCGTCACGCGATTGTCTTTCCCGACTGAGCTCCTTTTGTACATCAAAAAGCTCGGTCTTAAGACTTTCAACCTGCTCTTCCATTAATTTCCGGCTTTCGCTGTATTGAGTATCTTCGGAAATCTTCTCCTCGAGTAGGCGTTTGGCATCTGCGGCTTCGCGTTCTAGTTGTTGCTTTTGGGAGCGCACAGCATCGAGTTCCGCCTTCGCGTCTCGGAGACGGCTTTGAAGATCATCGTGCTTGGACGCCAAGGTCCGCTTTTCGTCGTCAAACAGCCGTCGGTCGTTTTCGTAGTTCTTGAGGTCGGTCTTTAGAATCGCCAACTCGCTCTCTTTACGTCTGATGAGGTCTTCATAGCTTGTAGACGTCGAGGACAAATCTGCCATCTGTTGGCGGATCTGTCGGTTCTCGTCGAGAAGTTCTTTGATCTGGTTCTTGCCGGCCTGTACCTCCTTCTGAGAAGCCGCCAGCTTGATGTCAAGGTCTTGATCTGTCTTAAGAAGTTTTGCTTCAAGGTCCTGAATCTTTCGTTCCTTCAAGCTCAAGTGGCTCGTGAGCATCTTAATCTCCTGGCTTAATGATTCCTCGGCCTGACTTCGCTGAGACTGCATGACTTCAAGTTCCTTGAGTTGCTGATCTAGCCGTGCGTTTTGCTCCTCTAGCTCCTGTGTTTCGTTTTCGAGTCTGCTGATGATCTGTCCAGCTTGTTCGAGCTCTTTGCGCATATGTTCGGCCTCCTCCTCAGTCCTCTTCTTTGCTTCCACGAGAGCGTCCAACTGATCTTCGAGTTGATCCTGATCTTCGATAGCACCAGCAAGCTTCTCTGAGAGCTCAGTTTCACGAAGTTGAAGACGCTTGAAGATCTCTTCCTTGTCAAGCGCGAGCGCACGTTCGCTCTCAAGCGTCTTCTGGATACGTTGGATGTCCATCTCTGCGCGTCTTCGCTCGTCCTCGACCCGTTGCTTCTCTTCAGCTTCTCGTTGCATCTTTGCCTCGAGTTGGTGTATCATCTCATCGCGCTTCTTGACCTCTGCTGCTTGGCGTGTCGCTCCAAGCATGGGCCTCATGCGAGCGAAAAGCCTCCACCATGGGTTCGACTGCAAATCGAGGTAGACCTGGAAGTTACGCTGGATGATCCGAGTGGCTTCGGCTCGATAGAGACGCTTGTGGGCTAGGCGGCGTTGAACAAACCCGCGAGCTACGGACTGAAATCGGATCATAATATCCCGAATGAGCGCATCGCGTTGATCCTCTAATTCGGCAAGAACACCAGCCCTGAAGAAGACCTTTGTAATTCCGACACGGTATAATGACCGGTCGAGGTTGATCTTTTCGAGAATCATGCTCGCCGCCACTTGCCCTTCGAGGTAGCCTTTGGGGAGATCTCTACAAAGCACCTCGTATCTTTGGCGGAACTCCACGAAGGGAAGTCGGTTGGGAAAGCCAGTACGTGCAATACGTATACCCTCCAATACACCGTTACATCGCAGTTGGTCGAGAACGAGAGGGGCGCTGAACTGCTTTGGTCGTTTCTTGTGATTTGGAAGGATACATCGGACGAAATGAGGGTGTGTGGAATGGAGCTGGGTCATCAACGTAGACAGTTGCTCTTTATGGCGTTGAGCGACGGTACGGAAGAGGCCCTTCTTGACACGGCTACGAGTCCCGCCTATGCCATCGTCCGCATCAGCACAGTCCACAAAAAGGTTGGCGATTTGCTTGTCAGTGGAACCAGCCAAGAGACGTGTGACATTGTCATTCAATGGGTCCTTGTTCTTTTCTAGCCAATTCTCCGTCGAATACTCTACTTCAGCAGCGTAATGTGTGAGAACGAAGCCTTGAGTCAGCATTGATCGCTTGTACTTGGTGCTCTTGCGATCCCATAGTGAATGCAGCTTCTCTGTAAAGCTCTTATCGGTGGCTTTGGGCATAACACTATCCTCGTCCAGGCAAGAAAAGATACCGATGGGGTTTGGCAACTCGATCAGATCGATTGTCGGTTGGAGATCGCGGCCAAAGTCGATGAATTTCCATTCTATCTGTTCGCGAGCGTATTCCTCTTGTTCCAGGACGAACATATGGTGGTTGAAGAATTGTTGCAGCTTTTCGTTAGTGTAGTTGATGCAAAGTTGTTCGAAACTGTTTTCATCAAAAATTTCGAAACCAGCGATATCAAGGACACCAATGAAATGTGAGTCGTCACCGCCGCCACCAGTCTGATCGAGCTGACGGTTGATGCGGTCGACGAGGTCACCGAAACCACGCTCATAGATACCCTTTGCAAGGGCATCGATAGAAAGGTTGACCTGCTCTGGCGTCTGAACCTTTTCAACCCACTCTCTGCCGGCCTTGACACGAGGATGTAGGAGGGCCTTGATGAAGTCATCGGCAGAGATGCCGAGTAGTTGGGCGACTATCTGAGCTTGCTGCTCAGCTGCAAGATTGAGGGTGGCTTGGTCTGCCCGTCGACTCTCCTTGACGGCCCGGATGTTGCCCAAGTGTAGGACTGCAGCGACAGTCTTCAAGATACCCGATTGCTCCTTCTCGGTAAAGCCCATGACATGGAAGGCCTCAATCAAGCCATTCCACTCCTCGCGATCATCCACACCGGAAATTACATCGTTGCCGTGTCTAGTGTAGTCAAAGTCGTCGGTGTCTTTGTTGTTCAAATAAAAGTCCTGCTTCATCTGGTCCTGTGCGCCGCGCAGCAGCTGATAAAAAACGTGGTAGTTGCGCTCGTTCGAGTTGAGGCGCACGACTCTTGACTTCTCCAATAGATACCAGTCTATGTACGCGCCAGCGATGTGACCGGTGCGAGAGAACTCGATCCTGATGAACTTTCCAAAACGGGACGAGTTGTTATTCCGCACCGTTTGCGCGTTACCAAAGGCTTCGAGGATAGGGTTCGCTCGTAGAATCTGCTCGGAGAGGTTGGAGAGGTTGCGTCCTCCCGATTTTGCGCGTGGGGTATCTGAGTTGGCGACGGCAGCTAGATATTGGATAACCTTCTTGGTATTCTCAGTCTTACCAGCACCGGATTCTCCGCTGTAGAGGGTCAGTTACGGTTGTTCTAGTGTTGGACTGACTCACGTCACGAGGATGCTCTGGTTGGTGCCTTCCTCTATAAGATTCCGAAAAGCGTGGTCAGCCATGGCAAAGATATGTGGCTTGGTCTCCTCCCTGCTCCGCCCACGGTACATGTTGATGTACTCTCTTGAATAGATGGGTAGTGGGCAGTAGGGATTTACGGTGACAAGAAAGAGTCCGGAGTAGGTGTATATCAGATCGGCCTGGTATCGCATATGGAGGTTATGGATGACTGAGGGCTCATTCAGATGTGTGAGTTCAGCCATGTCGTCGGCCTTGTCGAATTTGGCGGGATTGACCTTGTCAATGGCATCGGCGTCGACATCTTGCTGGGTGCCATTGTCGCATTGGACCAAGATACGTCCTCCTGGCAGGTCCTCGACAACCCATCCACGGACGAAGGCTGTGGTGGGGTCTCTGAGCCAGACATAGCGCTTGCCGGAGAAGTCGTTCTCGCCCTCTACGATGCCTCCTAGACGCGGGGCCTCGTTGTCGTCTTCGGAGATGAACTGCGGGGCAAAGGTGCCGACGGGTGTGCTGTTGCGGTGCGAGTTGGAGCGCAGGCGTGCAGAGTCACTGCGGCCCAGTGGCGGGCTGGTGAGGTTTGTGAGGGAGCGATTGCGCAGATGACCCATGGCAGAGTCTCCGTTCTCATGGAGCGGCGAGGAGACCATGGCCGCTGTATTCCTGGCAAAGGGAGTGTTGCGCGAGTTGCGGGCGAAGGGGCGGCCATTTGGCGCGGGCCCGGGCGCGCTCATGGTGGTGGGTGGTGATGGGGTCGTCCTGTCCGAGGCGGTGATGTTGTCGTATCCGAATTGGTCATTTGGGCTTAGCCTATTGACATTGTATGTACAGTGGTATGCGGGGACGCGGGTGCAGGCAGGTGCAAAAGAAACCCTAGGGATGGTTTCCTGGTACAGAGACGCTGCACGTAAACAATGACAGCCGCCCGCGGCCCCTAGCAACAGCCACACATGACGTGATTGGCTGCGGAGCGGTATCACGTGCCGCTTGCATTAGCACGGGAGCTCTGTCGCGATTCGCGATATTATCTCACGAACCACCCACTTTCTCCATCGCGCGTCATGGCGAACAACTACGCGCATCCGCCGCCGATGCAACAGCTTCCAGGCATCAACTTCACCCCATATGCGCAAAATGGCCAGCAACCCCCGTTCCCAGCATTCCCGCCTCCCGATCCCAGTCTCTGGGCCCTATTCCAGAATGGCTCTTTCCCTCCAGGTCCACCAAACTTTCCGCCGCCGCCGCCCTTCCCCAACATGGCGTTCCCCCCGTCTTCGCTGCCTGCGCCATCTTCTCTGCCTCCACCTCTACCTCCACCTCCAGAGCGCATACAAGAGGTCATGGATAGCGACCGTGAAGACGGCGAGCTGAGCGAAGGCGGCAGCCAACCGCCGACGCTCATGGACAAGCTACAACAGGATCGCGACGCGGCCAAGCAGTTCATCAAGCTCTTGCATAGCAACAACGTCACTTACCGCGCTCTAGCTCACGAACAGCTTGATCCCGAGCTGCTGAGGGGGCTGTACCAGAGTGCGAATCTGCCATCGGAGCCTGCGCCCATTCTGCCACCCAAGGGTACTGATGGCGCTGTTTCCAAGGCGCCTTCCGTTCAGCCACTAACCCCGGTTGCGCAAGATACGCCCAAGTCTACCGCGTCGCCAAATGGCCCAGGCCATCGTCAAGATTACATTGCACGTCTCCAGGCCGCAAAGGCTGCGAAACAGGCCGCCGCCAAAACCACTACTCCTGCGCCAGCTACCAGGACACCACAGCCTGCGACCCCGCCTACTTCTAAGCCGCCTGTGACAGACGAACAGAGAGCCCGTAATACCGAGTTGATTAAGCAGCGCTTGGAAGCTATTAAGGCGAGACAGAAGCCGCCAGTTACGCCAGGGTCGCAGACACCCACGAATACCGCCTACATGCCATCATTCTCTGCCATCCCAGGTCTCTTCATGAATGCGTCTTCGACGTCCAATACGCCCGGTCCAGTCGTACCTCAACCGCCGTCCTCCTTACCAATTTCTGTCACTCCTCACACCCGGCCTCTGGGTCAGTCTCCGCATGCTGACCAAGAAGATGATTCGATGATAATAGACGTCAGCGAAGATGAGTCCAACGGCAGCGACATGGACATCGACGACGACCAAGCCCCTCCCCAAGCAAGCCAGAATTCGCACCTGGGTTCTGGCAATCTTCCTAACTTTCATTCTGGCGCGCCACCTGCGACCCCATCAGCCGCTACTGTCGGCACGCCTGGCGCGCAGACTCCTAATACGGTCGCGCGCGAGAAGGAGCTAGTGGACAAGGAAAAGCAACTGGTGGCCATGCGGGAGACACTTAAGAGGAAGCTCGCGGAAAAGCGAGAGCGGGACAGGTTGGCGGCAGCTACCACTGCCGGGGCATCGCCTTCCTCGGTTCAAAAGCCTTCAACGCCAGTGTCATCTCTCCAGACCTCTACCCCAGCTACGCTTCCCACATCGATAACCGAGCATGCCACATCATTACCAACACGTTCGCATGATGCCAAAGACCCACACCGTGTTCGCCGAGCGGAGATCCAATCCAGGCTGCCTACCTTGGATGCCGAGATTGCAAACAACGCAAGTAGGATGGCTCAACTGACCAAGGAGTTGGAGCAGCTGACAGCGCAGAATGAGAGGATTGCAAGGGACAAGGAGCAGCTGACCAAGGAGCTGGAGGATCTTGGTGTTGACACAGAGGGTATGTCTCATGCACAACTACGTGCCAAGAAAGATGAAATCGAGGGCGAACAATTTCCAGACTCCAACACATCTTCAAGAGAAACCCAGCCCGCATCGCAGTCTGCATTCAACAAACCTTCTCCGGTTCAACCTCAAGCTTCATATCAACACCCGCCAGTGCACACCACGCTTCCTGGACTTGGACAGGGCACAACCCAGCCTGATATCTCAACAGGGTCACATAGTCTGGATCACACTCGATTGCCAGAACAGGTTATGCATGAAGATGCCACTGTAAAGCCGGTCGGTGCTTCGCAGGTGTTGTCTCAACAAAACGACATCTACTCAGCACAGCACCTGCCTGTCAACGGCATCATGACCCCTAATGTTCCAGCGCCAGCTGACACTGACGTGCAAACTGCAATTGAGGTAGCTGAGGCCGGTGCTAATGCTGCCGGTGACCAAGGAACTCAACAGCCTACCACTGCGCCTTCGCCGTCAGAAGAAGGAGAAGAAGTCGACATGTCCGTTTCCGAAGGCGATGATGACGAGGAAGAGTACGAACCGGAATACGAGCCGGAAGAACCTGTCGTCGTCGCTGAAGTACCTTTGGCAGAGGAAGTTGAGGCCCAGACCAAACCTGAGTTTTCTCTCGCAACCTCGCCAGCCGGTACGCAAGAAGAAGACGCCTATGAGCCGCCCGACGTCGATGAAGATGTCCTGGAGGTCCAGGGCAGCGAGGATGCCACCGCAAACCTCGACGTGCCCACGGGTCAGGCTGAAGCGGAAGATGGTGCTATGGATATCGCTACATCATCTGATGAAAGCTCAGATGACAGCGAATCAGATGATGAATCTACTCCAGAGCCGGATATTGAGACTATATCAGCAAAGAACCCGTCATATCAGGACGCTGAAACGGCTGATGATCTAGCGCCCGAGCTGCAACGACCAGAGGTAACGTCTACGGCGACCGCTGGCGAACCTGTACGTCAATCACCATCTGGGAAGCCTAGCTAATCTGGATTAGGTGTCTGTGTCTGAGATAATCGAAGAACCAGAACCGCCCAGGTTCACACCGTACGAAAGCCCGCTTCGAATGTTCAAGTCTTACCGCTATCATCCCTCTTATGCTCAAGATGTACAAGGTGGCTTCTTGTCCCTGACTTTTAGTCATCAGATAAACCCAGAGAAGCCTCTCTGCCAGTACGAATCAACTGGTGGCGTATGCAATGACCCTGAGTGCCCTGATCAGCACTTCAGGGAGGTTGTTATTACTGGTGCGTTGTAGAGGAGCTTTTTCCTTTGTTTCGATTTCCCATCTCTATTCGTCACTACTGTTCTTTTGGCTGTATACATGCGCAGAAGCTAACTCGACCTCATTGCAGGTGACAGACTACTTGTCCAGCTCGGAACAGCAAATCCTGGCAAGACATCCGAGGAGAAGCAGCGCTGGAACGACGGTCTCCGCGGCGTGCTCAAGGATCTCCGCCAGAAAAACATCAAGGACCCCAACAGTATTGCCGCGGCGATTGCGAGTTTCCGACGTGAATTTCTCCAGGATGATACTCGGGTTGTCAACATGTAATACTTCTTTGCTCCCCCCACTCTGTTCTAGGTCCGGCTAGGAGGGGGGCGTGGCTTATTTCTCATTCAATCTTTGCTAAGTGGTACTCGCGTACCTCTACTTTGTACTGACCTTGATCACTCAGCAGCCCGCTTCTTCTGCATATCGATCTCCACTCGCATGGAAAAGAATTCTATCCCGAATATCTGGAGAACGAAAGATTTCGCCAAGAGCTAGTACGCCAACAGGAGCTGGTGCACAAACAAAAACTGGAAGTTAAAAAAAAACCGTTATCGTCTTGCCTTCCAAAGCGATGAGTTCTAGCGTAATAGGCGACATTGGGCGCTTGGGGACGCACAATTCCTCTCGACTGTAAGCATCGATACCCCTCTGCATTGGCGTGGAGTCTGGTTCTGGTCTTGTTCTCGATCATCTCTTGGATGAACATGGTATAGAGGGGGTTTGGGCATTGGTACACTCTTACCATCGCTACAACCTTACCGTTAGTACAACCTGGCACGTACTGCTGCCAGCTGCGCTCAGCCACATGAGATTCGGTCATCTCCAATAGTGAGTTGATGGCAGCTACGGGGACATGGTTGTAGTCATGGTAGCAAATTAGTCTAAATACAAATGAAATTCCATATGTCAACTACACACAATCACACATGTAGTTTATGTTGTGAGAGGCATGGTCTGATTGATTCAGCTATCCTAAGACTGTGCGCTGCAAAGTGGCATGTAACATCTAGTTGGAGATGCCAATGACACCGCAGGCGGGGCGAGCGCCAGCGTTACCAGTCTTCTTTGACTCCTCGTGTCCACCCTTGCCCAGGTCGTCGGTTCCGGCGTGGACGACAATGGTGCGCTAGTCACGGTATTAGCATTCCAACTCGCAAAAAAGTACAAAAGAAGTCGGAGAAACGTACGCCGATGACGCTCTCAGAGCCAATCAACTTGATGAGCTTGTCTGTGACGCTTCCCTGTGCGTTACCCTGACCGTCGGTCTTGAAGTTACCCAAGTCACCAACGTGGCGCTCCTCATCCTCGGGAGCACCGTGGGTCTTGTTGTGGGGGTTGAAATGGGGACCGGCAGATGTGCAGCCGTTTGTGTTGTCGCCGAAAGCGTGGACGTGCATGCCGCGCTCAGCGTTGGCGTCGTGGCCGGTGATGTTCCATGAGATGGTAGTGTTGGACGACTCGTCGGCCTGCTCAAAGGTGACGGTTCCCTTGACGTTGGAGTCTCCACGGAGGACGGCGACTGTTGCTTTGTGTTAGTGCATCTTCTTTACACGCCTCTATGGTTTGCAGTAATGTTCTACTACTATGCGAGCATGTGGTAGAAAGCCATCAGGGTGTCTCGGAAGAGGAGAGCTGATTGGAGAAGAGACACAAGACAGGTCCACGGTGCTGGAGTGACAGCAGGGTCCTCAATACAGCTCCAAAGCTGTCCAATTGACCTCTTCCCGGCGTTTTGATACCGCTGAGTACCGTGTCGTTGAGATAATCTGCTCAATCTTACGCACCCGGACGACCCCACCATACCTCAACAGGACAAGCTTGTGAAGCTACACTAAATAGACGTACCGGCTTTGACCATTGTGACGGTTATGTGATGTGTATTGACGGTATTGATGTGTGGTTTGGGGATTGTGATAGTGTAGGCGTTGATGGGAAGGAGGGAAGATAACAGACAGCTGTCTCGGTTTGGGTCTCGAGGTGAGCTTTGAAAGCCGAATGCGGGGCTGTCCACATGTAATGACGCAACTCCACCCGAGCCGGGCTAGAGCCGGGCGAATGATTAATACCAATCATGCCCACGACTTGACGTGATTTCGCATACGTTCATAACATTTCACAAGGATGACCTTTCACAAGGACCAAGTTGTTATTTTACATCTGATGTCAATTTTACTATCTATCTGAAGAAAGCTCCAAAAGTATTCAGATGCTTATCGCATCGCCGCTATCGGACTATACAATTTATGCCTGCTGGATCTTCTTGCGGAGAATTTCCTTGAGAGTGACGGCATCAGCAGCGAATTTCGAGATACCCTCACGGAGCTTCTCGACGGCCATTTGGTCCTCGTTGAAGTAGAAGCGGAACTCGGCCTCGTCGTTGATGTAGCTCTTCTTCTCGAGATCGAGCTTGCTGGCATCCTCGGCGATGAGCTTCTTGGGGACGTCGTCTTGTGAGTTGTACAGCTCCTCGAGCAGGTTGGGCTGTATTCGTTAGTCACATGTGTAGGGAAAAAGCCTGTGGGCAGCACTCACAGCAATGGTCAGGTAGTCGCAGCCGGCAAGCTCTGTGACCTCGCCGACGCTACGGAAAGATGCGCCCATGACAATGGTCTTGTAGCCGTGCTTCTTGTAGTAATTGAAGATTTGGACGACGCTCTTGACACCGGGGTCCTCCTCCTTGGAGTACTCCTTCTTAGTTGAGGCCTTGTACCAGTCAAGGATACGGCCAACGAAGGGGGAGATGAGGTAGGCACCGGCCTCAGCAGCGGCGATGGCCTGGACTTGTGAGAACATGAGAGTCAAGTTGCAGTTGATGCCGTGCTTGGACTGCAGGATCTCAGCAGCCTTGATACCCTCCCATGTGGATGCGAGCTTGATGAGGACGCGCTCCTTGTCGATACCGATCTCCTTGTAGAGGTCGATGATGTGCAGCGCCTTGTTTACCGACTGCTCTGTAGAGAAGGAGAAGCGCGCATCAACTTCTGTGGAGACCTTTCCGGGCACAATCTGGAGGATTTCCTTGCCAAACTGTACCAGCAGGTTGTCAAGTGTGGTGTCGACCTGGTTCTCGAGGTCGGTGCCGTTCTTCTTGCCGTATGCGACGGCCGCGTCGATCAGCTTCTCGTACTCGGGCTTCTTAGACGCAGCGAGGATGAGAGAGGGGTTGGTGGTCGCATCTTGGGGCTGGTACTTCTTGATGGTTGCGAAGTCACCAGAGTCGGCGACAACCGTCTGCAAGGCGACTTGGTTAGCTGTAATTCTTCCGTTGCGCTTGGTGTTGCGACTGTGAGAATACTTACGGTGCCAGAGGCCTTGAGTTGGTCGAGAGAGCTAGGCATTGTGGGTGGGTATATATGTGTGTATGGGGATTGGGAAGTTGAATACAAGTGTCTATGTGTGCACTTGATGTTGGAGGTGAGGTGAGTGTTTTATGAGTTGGTATGAGGTTGGAGAGTAAAAGTGTCTGTTGGGACAGCTGCACGGGTGGGGCTATTTCATACGTAGCGCCCCTCACCTTCCGGGCCCCTCCATGGAAAAACAGCGTCACACTGGGTCACAGGTGGCAATCACGGCAGAAGTCATCGCTCAGTCAGCCCTCTCACCACATCAGGTAACCGCTAGCGACGGAAATTTTGGCGCATCGGAGCACAGTCGTCCGAGCCATGAATTCTCCACCGGCGAACAGGAAGCATTATCAAGAGGCTTGTCTATGGCAAGTTCTGGCCAGCATCCTACAGCATTTCCGAGTAGACATTGTCTTGTTTGTTATGGGCTTACTAAACAGAATGCCAACATTAATCCCCACGTGGGTGGTCTACACCGATACATTCACGGCAGGATCGGCCAAAGGCCGACTTGCGGAAAAATGAGCATCTTCATGCTGTCTTCTTCTGCTTTCTGCGCTCGGACCCCGATGGATTCATCACGATGCCTTTTGGTTGAGAACATTGGATGCTTCCTCGAGTACTTGGTGAGCGTGGTTTGTCCATTGTCTAGGTCATGGTTGAACATTACAACTTCGCCTTGCCAATTCCTCCACCCCATCCATCTTGCTGCAGCCACTCATACACCTCCCTGTACTGTTCTTGAAGATTGCTGACCGTATGTCCTGCTCCGCTCGGCCCTGGATCGTTCTGTATCACCAACCATCAGCACGCACAACGCCTGGAAGATTGTCCAAGAATACATACCAATGCCTCAACTAGCCTCGTCTGCTTTGCGCCCACCTCAAGGATCTTGCCTCCGCCCAACTCGGCTTCTTCCAAGCATCTCAACATACCGACCGCCACTTCTTCGGGCGTTGCCCACGCGTCCTTGGTCTCGTCGAGGAATGCCATCTTCTCCGGGTGCTCGGTCCACAGCGGTGTTTTGATAACGCCTGGGGCCACGCCATTGACGCGGATGTTTATTTTTGCCTCGAGGGTGCCTAGGGAGCGTATGAAGCCGTTCATGGCGTGTTTGCCCGCCACGTATAGAGGTGTGTTAAGATTAGCATTCTGGCCTGCAATGCTGGAGATGATGATGACTCTCTTTGGATTCTGCGCGCTCACTCTGTCCATCCCAGGAGGTGGGTTAAGAAAGTGTGCAATGGCGAGTTGTGTCGTGCGGATGGGGTGTGTTATGTTGATGTCGAGACTTGCGTATCGTCCTCCGTCGACCTTGTCTCTACTCTTGCCGCCGGCGACGCCTGGAGGATGCCAAAAATTACTCCAATGCGGATCGTAGATGCCTGCTCCAGGGCATACAATATCTACCTTTCCAAATTCTTGTATGCCTACGACGAACATGCGCTCCAACTGCCGCCAATCCGTCACATCGGTCTTGAGGAAGACGGCTCGTGGTCTCCCTTGCTCTTTCGCACTGTAATCTTCAACTAGTTTCTGCGCTTCAGGACGAAGCGAAAGGTCGGCAATAAGGACGGAACAGCCACGGCTGAGGAGCAGGGATGCAAAAGAGAAGTTGATACCTGACCCAGCGCCGGTTACGATGGCACTTTGCCCTTTGACACTAAATGCATGTCCAGTTGTTGTCTCGTTCTTCAGACCGGGTTGTCTTGCTGCCATGGCTTCCTTGAGTACCCCTTCTTAACTTTGCATGAACTGATTTAGATAGCGAAATATCCTCCAGAGACCGCCAGAGCATGGTTATATATACTACACAATGTCCAACATTCACGCGTCTATTCAGAACGGAATGCCTCATTCGGTAACAGGAGGGGTAGCGTGGGGTAGCTCGCCCCGAGCACTCTTGCGAGCGGGGAAGGTTTGCCGAGCTTTAACCCTCTTACCCTACGGATGCGCTCGTATTTGTTTAGCTATACCTAATATACAAAGCTCGTCCTAGAGGTATTCGTCTTGTGTTACATAACTACTAGCATGACGAGGAAGTTAGTTAATACATTTAGGGTGCATTAGTGGCACAACTCAGAGAATACAAGCTTCTTCGTACTTGTACAAAAACTTACTCTATTCCAAATGAACATGCCGATGGGATGACAGATGATAAATCTTTCGAGAGCACATTGGTGCATTATATGGGACAATTTGATCTTCTTTATATTCAGAGTATGATTATGTACGTGTCATCCAGTCAAACAGTATCGAACCTGTCGTCTTTGGGATATCAATAGGTATATCAAGTACCACCCAACGCCATATGCGCCAGCGTGCAAATGCTAATTCCGTTTCCTCAGCTCACTACGCTCCTGCCCGTCAAGTGCACTAGTTCGCGGGAGAGGCTCGCCGTTGCCCGTGCCCGAGACGTGACTCAAGCGAATCAGCTCATCCATCATAGCATCTCTTGTCTTCTTGACCAGGCCATCGACATGCTCTGGTCCCAATCCTTTCGTTTGTATTGGGGGTAAGACTGACACATCTACCACGCCCGGGGTGAATCTCTTGCCCTTGACGTCCAGAACGTGGTAATAGTTACCACAGACGACCGGCACAATGGGAACTTGTGCTTGTACTGCGAGATGGAATGCGCCCTTCTTGAAGGGCAGGAGATCGGGTTTCGAGGCATAGGATCGCGTTCCCTCGGGGAAGATGAAGACATTCTGGCGCGTTGTTTTCATCGTGTGGGCGGCCGTGTCGAAGGCGGCGCGGGAGGAGGTGCGGTTTGCGCGGTCTATGAAGACGGTTCTGGAGAGGGCCATGAACCAGCCTAACAAAGGCACAAACTTGAGCGATTTCTTGGCCGTGACGGACGTGTATTTGGGGAACATGCAGCCGAGCATGAGGACATCGAGTTCACTATGAAAAACGTCAGCGCCGCGGTCAAGACTTGACCTGGCAAAAAAAGCCTTGGAAACCCACGTCTGATGGTTGCCCACAAACACTGCAGGACGGTCCTTGAGGGCATCTTCTCCACTGAGACCTCCCTCTTTCTTCATGCTCCCGGTCACTCTAAACGTTACGCCAGTGCCTAGCCACATGCACCACTTGAAAGCCCGCCCAACCGTCCATTGGATAAGTCCACCATAGCCCACCATGCGCAGGGGAATAGCCACGAGTGTGCCATATAGGGCGCAGCTCAACATCAGAACGAAGGAGCTTATTGCGAAGGCGTAGTAAGACACGAGCTGGGCAGGCTTCGCTGGCAGCACGAGCGAGAGCAGGCGCATGGCGATGACGAGCACGGCGGGCATGGCGAGGTAGATGAGCCAGCCCATAGCGAAGCCTCTCGTAGGAGAGAGAGAGGAGGGGAGTGCGTATGTGTGTAGGTGTAGGTGTGTTTGTCTTGAAACAAGTTGAAGCTTGGTGGGGGACTTTTTTGTCACGCGCCGAGGTTCGCACCTGCCTCGCTAAATCGCTAAGTTTTGGAGTGTGACACCGCCATGTGCAATCAATCTATTCATCGAGCCCCCGTCTTCTCCACAGAGTCAGCAGAGCTTGTTCGTGCCGCCACATTTCTCCTCTGCCTTGACCAAGCTACCACTGTAACGTACAATGCAGCCATATATACAAGTAAAAGAGGAATCAACATCCACCGCCAGGCCACCATGCTCCTAACCCTACTTTTGATCTGGGCGTGTTGCGCTCCGTCTGCCAGAGGAAGATCGAGGACGGCCTGGAACCACGTTTCAGGTGTCCATGTCTGATACGGGTAGTTGATGCCGACTGAGTTGAGGGCGATGGGTTCGCGAATGTGCTGACCAGTCGTCTGGTACGTTACTACGAAGACGAAGATGAAGGCGGACAGACTGAACATGGTACCGAGCAACAACAGAATGGCAAGGGCGCTAAGACTTTTCCGGGCCTGCTTACAATCATCAGTACACTGTTCAGATAGATGGGAACAATTCGTTTGCCATACTTGTCCAGTCTTCGTCATCCTCCATGCTGTCAACATGCCAAAGACGCCCAAGAAAAACCCATACACTGCCAAACCGTTGCTCATGTGCCCTTGGTCTGTCCACAGCTTCTTAGGCTCAACGTTTATTTGTGTAGGATTTCCAGGCCAGTCCACTCGATATGTGTGCACCTGATGCTTCTGCTCAAGAAGCCATGCCACCATGGAACTTATCAAGCTGAATATGGTGATTGATAGAGCGCAGAGCACTGCGCTGGGAACAAAAAGCGGCCAATGGATACCCTGTCGTCTTGCCACCGATGCTTGAGAGGCGGGGGCTGCGCGAGATCGTTGAAATATGCCCATGTTTATCGAACAGTGTATTGGGAGTTGGGATTTTGACAAAGAGAGAAAGATGAAAACATCTCCCCACGGTTCGTGATCCAGTGTTATACGCTTCAGATCTGGGGCTGAGCCTTTTCCCCAGCATGGTGGCACACATTCGGGGCTGATTGATGAGATCAGCGCTTTTCAAGCTTAGTTGCAGCAGCCTTGGACGCTTCAGGCAAGCTGCTTCTCTCACATGTCCTAATATTAGCAGAAAGCATGGTATTGTCAGCAAGCATGTAGGTATGCTGATGCCTAGTCTCCTAGTTGTTCAGCTTGGCGTGTTTAGAAACTCAGCGGCTGACGCCAGGGTTACCATGTACATCAGCTGTATCAAAGCAATAGACATGCACAAATCAGTATGAGATCCTGAAGATTGCCCGTCTTCGAAACAATGGTGAGATGACGCTGGTGCATTGTTTCTTGTTTCGAAACATGACAATTTTTACGAAACCTGTTGGCCTCCGCGTTTGCTTTCGCAATCAACACTAGAACAGGGCTCCAGTGGTTGCGTCCCAGAAAAGCGAGCGCAATTGCACAATTCGAAAGTGCATCTTCGTTCTTTCGCCAAAGAGAGATGAATAGCGGACGGGATGTGATTGGATGCTCATGAAGGCATTGGTCGGGTTCTGTCGCGCTTCGGGTCGATCTTGCCCGCCGCGGGAGAGCTAGCTCAACCACCTACTTTACCAAGAAGCGTCTTTGCACTTTTCGTTCCATTACTTGAGCCGTCAAACAATGAGCTCACATAGGTGCTGCAACTTTACATGCTCGGCGCCAAAAAAGATGAGGACGGAACAGATACAGGTTGACGGCTCTGGACGACTAATGTAGCTCTGCTCCTGGCCCTCGACGCGACCTACGTCACGTCTGGACAGCGCCTAGCCGTCACATACGCACACATCCACACGCGCCGAGTCACACACGGTACAACCCGCTCTGCCACCTGCCCGAACAATCATGTCTCAGTACAAGACAGAGATTTTCACGCGCGAATTCGAGACTAGAAGATGTCAGCATCGCGCGAAGCTTGCTAACAATACTGTACCCGGGGAACTGTTCATCTTCGTTAGGCTCATGCACAACGCAGAAGGTATTCAACTTTACATGATCACATTCTATCGCGGAAGCTGTTCGAATTCGGACCGGACTTTGGCTACCTAGATAGGATGGCCGTTTCGACGACCGACGTGAGCAGGGCGGCTATTGCATGGTCCACCTATAACCCATACGGGGAGCGCAGAGCCAATACCCAAAACCGACATCAATTACAATTCCAGCCTCTTCAGTGAACCTGTTCTTAACCTTATAACAAGGATGCACTGGCAACCAATCAAGTCTGCCTGTGGTAGGCCTTCGATTGGATGTCGAGCATTAGCATGAGTACGGCGTAGCTAGAGTGAAATGCAAGTTCGGCACATGAAGCTTATCACCTCAACAATCCATGGACAACACTTTATGTGTTCTATATCTAACTGACCTCTGAGTATGTACCAGTTGTTATTTTCGTCCACTCTTTGTTCTCTCATTCGCTTCCTACAACCCTGAGTATCTGGCTGGTCCAGTTTCGATAAGGTGGATACTCTCTTTTAATATATATTTGAGAACTTTCAGTTGCATCCATGCGGCTACCTCACCGGTCGATCAACAGCATTCAACCACTTCCCAGCATTTATACGGCTTTCCCAGCCAATTACGATAGCTCTCAATCGACGGACACGCCTGGAGTCAACTCTGGAACATGCCTCATCAAGAAGATCGAGGATGGGATCGAGGCGGTTCCATTCGAGAGGAGTAACATCCTCTCCGCTCCCATACTTAGCCCAGATCAAGAAGAGAAGGAGGTTTTTGTGTCGTCTTGCGAAGAGGTTGATGCTCTTGAAAAGCCTCTCCCCAGCCTCCCAAGATGCATGTGGCATCGAATGTCTCTGCGGCAACGCATTTTGGCGTTGTTGGGATTACAATTCCTGATGCTCCTTACGATCGGGCTGAGTCTTCTGGCTGTCAAAGATCGATCTTCCACTAGGTAATAGCTTCAAGATCCTGTAGTTGAAATGTCGTTAACAGCGTTTTCATAGCGAACAGGATTCTGCAGTACACGTTGCTAGTGATGGTTCTCCAAGTAAAAACACCACCGGCGGCATACGACGCGGTATTTTTGCGCTACCCATTCAACTTCCACGACAGCAGAGTTCGGTATGCTTGGCAAACGACAACCAGATGAATACATGGCATTGCTCGTCCAACTCAACCTTTCAACTAAGTATACTACCCACCCCGGCGGGCAGCGAAACCGCGACCATGATAGCGGTGGGATCGCCGCCCACTGATAACAGTATTCGCCGTGGCGAACGCGTTCCCAATATTCCGCCTTTGGAGTTGTTAGCAATTACCGAGGCTAACAACGAAGATGAAGCTGTCTATCACTTTCGCGCTACCTACGATAAAGTTGTTTTGTTTGGTGAGGATGAGCTCTCTACCACTGGGGGGCTACAAGCGCACCATTCGACGCTAGGTACTTCGTTCCAACCTGGGGATAGTCTGTGGCAGTGCAACTTCAACGAGACCCTTATTGACGGTTACATCCACGTGCCCAAAGTCAACAATACTGCATCAGACATTGCCAACACAAAGAAGCTTGCTCAGCTTCCGGAATTTCCCTACTCCATCAAGTTGGTCGAAGAGTGGATGCCCAACGGCAAGGACCCCTATTGTGGGAAAATGGCTATGGAACTGGATGGCACCCTGGCTCCGCTCTCTGACAAAATAATATTACGCTTAGAAGACCCCCAGAGTAAGGTTGCAATGCCTACATCACATCCCACAGAGCGCATCAGGAATCGAGAACTACGACAAGAAGTGCGCTCAAGCTCATGTCAATGTCAGTGGGTAGTTGATAGTTGATTCGTTCTGTGTAAAGCATATGAAACATAAACCTATGGCTGTGTCACAATCGCCGTCTTTGCGTTGGTGCAACATGTCTATTGCCCTTGGCCATGCTTTCAGCAAAGATCGACCATACCAGGGTTCTCATCTTAAAACCAGATGAGAAGATGTTGTAATCTACAGAAGGTTGATTGGACCTTGGACACATAACTCCACCCAGGACCGCTTCCCTCTAATACGCCCACACACGCCATGTCGAGAAGATGACCAGCAAAATTCATGAGCGTTCTGCACACCCCACAGAACAATATGTGTCGCAGCCGTTCCTTAGGATCTACCACCAACCAGTCGCCATCCGGACACGCATCCAGCGGATTATATCTTCACTGACCCACCAAGCCTTCGTGGTCTGGAAACTGTGTCACATGCCCATCTCCCTTCTCTAGATCTCCAGATCTCCAAGACAGTCAACCCCCTCCGATATCCAAAGTCGCGTTGTCGAGCGTCCGCTACCTGATATACTTTCTTGAGCGAACCGATCTTCTATCTATTCAGGCGTGACGAGAGGCTCTTGTAGCACATAATCGTACAATCGTCAATCATGCCATCAGTCCACATCAGAGTCGAAGACGGAGCTCCGTTAGCAGCCGGTTTCGAAATACCACGGCGTTACACACTTTATGTGAAAACATCGTCTCAAGCCCCAGTACATGTCAAAGTCGAAGAAGATGCAGCTCCACCAGCAGCCAGTCCCGAAAAACCACGACACTACCGTTCCTTTTCAGCCTTTACCGAAAAATGGTCTCAATCTCCACTTCGTGTGCCAAGTCCCCTTGCTGAAGAATTTTACCGGTCTACTATAGTCAAAGTGGAGGGCGAAGAGGCTTTAGTACATAAGAAAGGGCTGCCACTTCTGTGCCATGATTGTGAGCGGTCGGCTGACTTGATTGACAAAAAGAAACCACCTTCCGAAACCCCTCGCGATTTGGCTTCGCAACAGCCAGTCTCCGCTATCAAGACGGAAGCAGAACCTTCACCTGGATTCTACATCCCTACAGGAGCACACAAAGCCAAAAGTACAGCGCCATCTGCCTCCTCGAAAATCAACCACCAGATCTCCCCTACCACAGATCATTCTAGGTTATACCACGAAGCGCGGATCCCGGGTCGCTGCACTGGCACATCGTCACCAACACCATGCCGCCCTAATACCGAACTTTCGTACCTCCTACCTGTCACGCCAACACCCTTCAGCACACCGAATGCCCCCGTCAATCCCTACAATCGTCCAGCACATCTACATTGCGTACCCGGCTCCTTGCTCGAAGGTATGAGGAGGCGGACAAAGTGGGGCAACAGGGACATCAGAGACAACAAGGACGACAAGGAGAGACTTGCCAGACAGGCAAAGCAGGAAAAACGAGCAAAGCAGTACAAAAAGGCAAAGCAAGCAGAACCCGTAACGCAATTGCGATCCGCGCCTCCATCTGAGAATGTCGCTGAGAACCAGCACGAGAATCCAAACGAGGGAGCAAAGAACCCAGAACATGGCAAAACCTGTACATGGTACAAGATGCCCTTTTGCAGATGCTGCGTGTGCATCATGGTAGTTGGGTCAAAGCTTCTACGTAACGTATTCGTTCCGTCAGTGGTTGCTGTTCCCCGTCCCCATCGAAACACATCCATGATACCAACGCCAAAGGGGTGGGCCAGAAGGAAGAAGTGGTGGCATTTGCAGAGATGCAAACAGCCTCGACAGAACGTCGAGAGGCTGGTAGACGATGAGTCGCATGCTGTCAGGCGGAATGAGTTTTATGCACCGGGTAGAGTAGTAGTGGATAGGGAGGTGCGAGTAGCGTGTGAGCGGTGGTCGAACAGAGGGCAGGAGTAAAATGGTTACGGTGGATCGAGTCCAAGTGATGTGGAGCCTTCTTGGGGTACGGCTATCATGTTTCTCTGCGTTTTTCTAGATAGGTGTCAAAAGAGGGAAAAGATGAGCGGAAGTAACGGCAAGTTTGTTATCACAGCTGCACGAGACCAGTATGATGATGAAAAGTTCATTCATTGACATCAACGGTGTTTACGTACCATTTTGTACTACCCATACACTTATGCATTGTCTTCGTGGAAGAAAGGAAAGAAGAAAGAAGTTAAGACGAAGATGTTTCTCCATCGCCAAGAATATGGCATGCGTATCTAACGCGTAGGCCACTTGAAAGTATTTACAACAACATAATCCCACTGCGAGTTTACCGTCTAATCTCATCCAACTTCAACCAAACGACTTTAAAAGGCGAGCAAGACGGCTCCTACAACAGCACCGACAAGACCACTGGCCTTGATATGACTCGCTGCACCAGTAAACTCTGCTGGAGGAGCAGAGAAGGTAGCGTTACCAGATGGCTGGGGCAGGGCACCGGTAGGCGCCGAGGGTACAACGACACCAGGTGCGGACCTAGTGTCAATCTCCAAGCCAGACTCAGTAGGGTAGGGAGGAGATGAAGGTGCTGCGGAAGTGACAATGGGAGTCTGAGCAGTGCTGGCCAATGGTGTCTCTGCAACAGACGAATCGACACCAGAAGGGAGGATGGCAGAGTATTCAGTTGTGAAGGTGGCGGGCGGTGCGGTAGTGATTGCTGGGGGAGCGCCGGTGACAGTGACAGTAGCAGTACCACACTCGCAAGGCTCATCTCCGTTGTCATTGTTGGAGGGAGAGTCAGGGCTGCCTGACTTTTGGGGGACAGCGGCACCACCAGTGGGGTAGTCGAAGTCGGACTTGCCACCGGCCGGGGCAGGTGTGGCTCCTGCTTGCTCACTCTCAGTGCAGGTAGTGGATGCTGCACCTGAAGGGTTCGAGTCGGGACCACTGCCAGCCTCACCAGTGGCGGTGGGCGCGTCAACACCAGACTCGATCGGCTTTGCTACGGGAGCAGCAGCGGAAGCTTCAATGGCTACAGTGTTCTGAGGAGCACCTTCCGTGTTGCCAGCATCGATGACCTTGATAGATTTGAAATCACCGGTCTTGTCTGTCCATTCGTACTCCTTGCCAGGTGAGTAGTTGATGACCTTGATGCTCTTGACAGTCATGGTAAAGGGCGCATCGTCGTAGGTGACGTTGCCACCCGCCCACTGACGAGTGCCCTCGTTCTCAGAGTCACCACCAGGCCAGTTTCCAAGACGGACATTGCAGGGCGTCTGTGGGTAGTTCTTGCCGCCGTTGGCATCAGCAAAGTTCAGGGTACGCGTAGGTTTGTCGTCAACAATCCAGGTAAGCGACTCAGCAGTCCAGTTGAGAGCGTACTTGTGGAAGTCGTTTTGGTTGTTGGCTACATCAGCCTCAATCATGCGATCGTATGTAGTAGTGTTGCCCTGTCACCCGTGTTAGTTTTTCGAAAAGACAAACCGAGTTTGGTTTTATTTAAATACCTTGCCGAAGTAGTTTTGTTGTACGCGACTGTCTACACCTCCAATCCATTCCCAATCTACTTCATCCAAGTTATCGGATTGGAGAACAATAGAGGAGACAATGCCGACGCCGGGTGCTGCCTTCATAACGACCTCGACGTATCCAAAATGAAGAAAGGCCTCGGATCCAATGGTCGGGGCATCACCCTTCTTGGCAACGGAGAATTCGGCACCCTCGGGTCCGTAGGTAAGGCTACCAGCGGTCTGCTTCCAGCCCTTGACAGCGTCCTTGCCGGCAGTAAAGTCGGTTTCCCAAGTCTGAGGCATCGCAGGGTTGTTGGGGCACTTCTTCTCCATGGGGTTGCAATCGGTGAAGGTTTGAGCAGTGGCTAGAGCAGCCAGTACGCTCGCCGTGGTGTATGTAGAAAAATGCATTGTCGTGGTTTCAGAATCAAGTTGACAAGGTCCAAAAGGAAGGCTTCTGAGCTCGGGAGAAAATAGTCTTCACAGAAGAGCCTGTTGGTGTACGATAGAGTCGTTTCACGCGCAAAGACACAATGTCAACAATGCGTACGCTGCGGCAGTAGTGAAAGAATGCAAGGCTCTGCAAAGAGAGTGTTGGAAAAGGAATGTAATGAATGAGGTCGTCCTGGCGTCCAGACGTCTGACTGAAGAGAGTGTGAGGTATAAAAAGGTCGGATAAAGAATGCAAAGCAAAGCTGCGTGTCAGAGGAGCTCCGACTATTAAAAGTTGCGAGATGGTTTACGAGGCAATCTCGGTACCCACCGGGATAAGCACAACGACCAGCGGTAGAGTCCATGCGGCTTCACCAGCCCATCCATGGTGTCTCCAGTTCAGGAGCTGCGCAGACCTGAGTGGTCGTGATGGCACTCCTGAAGTGTTTCACAAGCCGGCGGTGGAGACTAGGGTGTGTCAGAATCGTCCAGCCGCCTTGCCCGTTATGACGGCGACTCCGGCTAAACCTATCAGAGGGCCGATGTGCCTGGCCTGTGTTTCTTCTGGCAAGCTACTAATACTTTTGCTTTGGGCTGAGTTCGACATGCTGGGTTGATGTGGCTGTGTTGCTGCGCACATGCAGTGGGACGGATGGACGTTCCCCCAGATTGCGATGCGCAGCGAGACGCGTTCCTATCTTATCCTGTAGGCGATCATCCGAGCCATGACATCACTTCAGGTAGCAGAGCAATGTGACATTCTTGGCTGGGTGTTGAGGCGTAACCACCCGATTTTCCCTCTACCCCTGGGTGACATGACATTTCTTGGGGCCGGTTGCATCGGTTTCGCCGCAGGCCGCGTGTGAATACGGGCAAGGCGAACTACCCAAGACAGGCTAGTGTTCTATTCACTTGACCGCCTGTGCCCCGCGGCCACTGGCCCCGCGATTCTGCCAAAGGAATTATTCATGTGACGAAACCTTACCCAACTTTTTTTGCCTCTACCATACACACCAAACAACCAACCATGGCCACCACGAACGGAGGAGTAGAGCTGCCAACGCAACAGCCTCAACAAGAGAATCAAGTCGACCAGGTCGACCAAGTCCAAGAGCCTGCAACAACGGACACGATCGCTAACGATGAAGACAACGACATTGACGACCTTTTCGAAGATGACGACGAGATAGTGCCTGAGCTGATATCGGCCGACCACCACGACTTCACCAAAGCATACAACCGCCAGCGAAAACTCAACGATACGAATATACCAGAGGATCACAAGCCCAAGTCGAATCCGCAGAAGCCGTCAGCCAACACAAACGCCTCCATTGATGATCAAGTCGCATCACTCTCAAAGCATGCCGGCAAGATCCGCTTGACCGGGAGCATGACGGGCGCGTCGGGGGGTAACGCGAGGAACAAGGACAAGGCAGACCGTGCGACAACTGAACAGGTTTTGGACCGGAGAACGCAGATGATCTTGCTCCAGCTCATAAACCGCGGCGCAATCTCTGAGATACACGGTGTCATCTCCACAGGCAAAGAGGCCAACGTCTACCATGCTATGGTAGAAGCCACGGACGATGATGCCGAATCCATCCACCGTGCCGTCAAGGTATACAAGACGTCCATCCTCGTCTTCAAGGACCGCGCCAAGTACGTCGAAGGCGAATTCCGCTTTAGACAGGGATACAATAAGAGCAACAACCGTGCCATGGTAAGGATGTGGGCGGACAAGGAGCGCAGAAATCTGGCCAGAATACACGATGCAGGTATCCCTTCACCAATGGCTCATGCGCTGCGAAACCACGTTCTCGTCATGGGCTTTGTGGGCGACCGCAAAGGCAAGGCAGCGCCTCGTCTAAAGGATGTACGCTTCGAGGGCCTTACGGGAGAGGAAGAAGACGCGAAATGGACCAACCTATACCTCGAGATGCTGGCGTACATGCGCATAATGTACCAGACATGTCGCCTCGTTCATGCCGACTTGAGTGAGTACAATGTGTTGTACCACGAGGGCAAGCAATGGATCATCGACGTCTCGCAAGCCGTCGAACACGACCATCCTCGCTCTCTCGAGTTCCTGCGCATGGACGTAAAAAATGTATCCGATTTCTTCCGCTCACGCAACGTTGAGACGCTTAGCGAGCGGAAGGCTTATGCCTACATTACAAGTGCTGCGGGTGCCAAGACTGTTAAAGAGCAGTCGCAGATGGAAGATAGCATCCGCAGCTTGTTGAACAAAGAGCCTTTGACCGAGGAGGAAAGGAAGAAGGAAGAGGAGGATGACGATGTCTTCCGCAACCAATACATCCCGCAGACGCTCGAACAAGTCTACGACATTGAACGCGATGCTGAGCTTGTCAATGCCGGTGCTAGCTCCGACCTTCCGTACCAAGCCCTCCTTGCTGACAAGGTCGTTGACAACGAATCCGACGCCTCAGACTCCGATGAAGATGATAACTCGGATACCTCCGAGGTCGACCAGAGTATCTTCGAGAAGGGTCCAAGTCGTGGTAAGAAACACGTGGACCATGATGAGAAGGTGGCACATAAAAAGGCCATCAAGGAAGAGAAGCGCGAGAAGCGGAAGGAGAAAATGCCGAAGCACATGAAGAAGAAGTTGACCAGTCAGGGTGGCGGTCGGAAGAAGTGAGCCTAGTTATTGCTTGGCTTGAAACCCTTTCGTGATTGCGGGGAATACCTACAGCGTATGCGAGTGTGATCACGGTACACTGGGGTACATGCGTTTGCTCGCATACGGCACGTGGAAGAAGAGGCATGGAGAGCAGATCAGTTAAGTATAGGCCATCACAGCATTGTGGTTGTTGTCCTGAAAGTCCTTGCTCGGTTCATGGCTAAAGTGCTTGAATAGCTAGCCTACAGTCTTGCCATGGGCTCAACTAGGCAGAAGCTCGTTCTTTTCAGGTCATATCTTGGATTACAACGTATCCTGGAGATATACCATCTTGTAAGCTCCTGTGCACAACTCAGAGAAGGGAAGCTTCTTCGTAGCACACCTTTGTCACCCATGAATGTTAGACCTTGCTCCAGTACGCTGGAGAGATGCGAGTGTAGTTGTCGAGGAGCAAGAATAGAGATCTTTTATTATATCGCAAAAGCCTTTGTCCAATTCTATAGCATGTTCTTCCTCCACGCTCTCGTGCCCAACCTCTCAATTTCTGGTACCTCAACGGGCCCTTTGACCTCATTATCCTCCAGTGCTTCCACGACCGCCTCACCCACCAGATCCGCTTTCAAAGGCTTGATCCCTCCAGCTCCCATTAGCCATGTTAACCGTCCCCCAACTGCGCTGTTGATCATGGCTGCTACTCCACCCGCTGCCGCAATGGGAAGAGTGAATGTGCGGCTGCTGTCGTACATAAAGGGTGCGCGAATGAAGATGGACCGCATGGTAGGGAATGTAGAGGCAATGATGGATTCGGCCTCGCGTTTCGTTGTGATGTAGCGTGCGGGGAGAATGGGTGTACCAGCTGCAGCGGAGATGTAGAGGTAGGTTGGGACTTTGCGTGTGGAGGCTTCGTGGGCTAGAGATACGGCTGTTTGCGCGGGATGGTCAGCCATGTGTATTGATTAGGAAGTTGAAAAAAAATGCGACATACCAGTGTCGCGGTTCATGATTTCGTATGTGAGTTGTCCGTCGCTCTCCTGTGGCTGCAACTTCTCGCCCTCTTTTCGAGTCAATGGGTTTTGAGTTCCTGCTTTGGTGCTGCTGAAAGCTCGCTGCAGACCCTTGATGGGACTCTCTCGTCCACTGACCACGCCTTTGTAGTCTGCTTCTAGCAGTATGCCCATGCTGTGTATCACTGCATCTGCGCCCTCGAGATGTTTCGTGTACGATTCAGGGTCCAGTATGTCGCCTTTCTGCCATGACACCTTGTCTGACCAGTCTGGCGGTGTTTGCGAGGAAGAAACGGAAGACCAGTGTGGTGTGCCCGAACGCCTAGGATCTGGTCAACAGAGGCTCGGGATGGTGTGAATGAAGGATATCATGGGCGTACGAGATCGAGGTTACGCTCCAGCCCCTATGCGCTGCGGCTCTGCATATCCGGCTGCCTATATACTATGTTAGCTAGCCGTTGTGCTGGCGTGGAGTTGTTTACCCCAACTAGCTTGGGGTTTCTATGATCTGCATACCCAAGAAGCCATTGCCGCCGCATACTACAAGTTTCTTCTTTGCAGCTTGTGCTGTTGTCGAGGCCATTGTTGTGCTATACTATGTAATGGGTGGTCTGCGAACGATTAGGAAATTGTTAGGTAGGAGTAAAGTGATGGGAAGCTCCGAGTGTTGATGTCACTCCGCTTCGCGTGCGTCGCGTAAGATTTAGCAGGGATGTGCGGAGAAGCTGTAAACCTCCGCATCTCGCATACAAGCCACTCCATATCGAAACACATATCAAAGCATCGTACCTATGCGCTAGAAATGGTAGATCTGTCACCAGCACGATAGCGTTGCAATACATGTTGCGCTCACAATTCTGGCCTGCAGAAAGCAAGTCAATGTCGTCATGATGCTTCATGTTAGTGTCGAGTAACCCTCCTCAAGGGCTAGATGCAACGTGATGTTGTGACTGTCCTCTCGCATCCATCCGAATAACATCAAGATCTGTCTACCAAGCTATGCAGGCATTCAGAAACCTTTTCAAGAACGACCTCGTTCTCGTCGGCACAAACCTCACCGTGGTAGCCGGCGTCGCGACGTATCTAGGTATTACGCCATCTCTTCATGTCCACTTCCATCAAAAGGCTCGTTATCTTGTTGTTCTAACACTCAGACATTACAGGCTCCAGGGTGGAGAAGAAGCTGGACCACATGGAAGAGGAGCAAGAGGCGCGTATGGACGAGATAGAAGGAACACTACGCGGCCACATCGGCTTGATTGAGGACTCGTTGGATAGGATTGAGGGCAAGCCGAATGGTGGGAAGCAAGACAAACTGTACAATGAGAGGACGAAAGACGCAAAGGGAAATGGAAAGGGACAGGGAACGTAAGGCGGGGCCTGGGGCTAACAAGGATTAGCTATTAGCCTGTCGTGCCTGCATGTTGGTCCTAGTTATAGCTCGACCTTTGACAAAATACACGACACCATCACTTGCACGAATCACGTATAAAAGATCTCTCTTTCCAGAGGATATAAGACGACGCCTGTCGGCATTGATTCTACGCGACTGCGTCAAGATGCCTGCGCCAGCCTCCAACAAGCGCGTCAAGGCAAGTCGGCCGCTTTGATATAGTTGTACGCGCGCGCATACTGATGATGGGCAGAATAAGCGCATCAGCCGGAACCTCAGTAAGACACAAAGCTGCTCATGCGCCCACTCATTTGCTCATTTGCGTAGTAATCGGCTCCGAAGCCTGGCAGTTGCCCCCAGTAGGCCACCCCGACCGCCCTAAGAACGTAAGTAAACCCCATGTACGAACTGCATGTGAGACAGATACCGACTTCGTACACCAATCTTTAGGTACCCGACGATCACACCAAGCGCTGGACCGTATACGTGCGAGTTCCCGACGGCGATCCCGACATCAGAGCCTGGCTCAACAAAGTTTCATTCAAGATATTCAACACGTACGAGAACCCGCTGCGCATGGTGGAGAAGCCGCCTTTTGAGGTGACCGAGACAGGATGGGGAGGCTTCAACATCGACATAAGGCTGCACTTCCAGCCCATCTCAGGCGAGAAGGCGCAATACCGACAGCACTTCCTGCAGCTGGAAAAGTATGGCGACGAGAAGATGCAAGCAGAGCAGGAGCGGACAGGCTGTGTGCGCTCAGAGTTCCTCGAAGTTGTCCAGTTCAACGAGCCCACCGAAGCCCTCTTCGACGCCCTCACATCGGAAGACCAGTGGAATTACCTCATACCCGCCGGCAAGGGCGGCTCAAAGAAGGCATCACTGGGTGCAAACGGAAGGATGAGGCGCGGCCTGCCCAACGGCGAGCGGAGCGCTCAGCTGCCAGAGAAGGGAGGCGATGAGGTCCCCTTCAGCCAGGAACAAGAGCAGGCGCTACAAGATTTCTTCAAGCAAAAGATGGACGACGTCGAGAAACAGTTGGACAAAGAAGCCAAAAGGAAGGAAGAGGTAGAGGCTAAGCTCAAGGCATTACGCAGTGAGCTAGGGCACGAGGCCGCTCAGCAGGCAGCGCAGCAGGCTAGTGGAGACAGGAGTCGGCGCCGGTGAGAGCGCGTGACACAGGCTCACTGTGTTGATAGCTTGAGCTACGAATACCATGGATGCTACACTTCGGTCGGCATCAAACAGCTGACGAGATATAAGAAGACGTATCCGATGATTGCACTCGCGCGCAACGACATACGTCTGTGAATCGCGGAACGAGAGCATGAGTGCTGTCCTTCAGTCACTCCACCTGGGCGAAACGCCGTGCGGTTCCGAACAAAAGTTCGGTCGGTGATCGAGAAGGTTTTGGGATAGCCATTTGTTGGACCAAGTTCTGTCATTACTCGGACATAAATGTATAGATAAGAATCAAATGCCGAGATTTAGGCTTTATGTCGGCTTACTACCTGTATGGTACGTCGATGCAGTCATAGAGCCACGACACATCGCATATGTTGTAATACGATCATAAACAAGTCCCTTGCTACGAACAAGCGCGAGTGCGAGTGCGGGGAACGGAGTCTTGAACTTGGACTCCTGATCAGCACCCGGTCGCATCATGGCCAATTGTTATTTATCATGTGTATGAGTGTATTGGGTATCGTATCTCTGCTCGTGTTATCCGTGACCCGGCCAAGTATTCCCCTATATCTCCAAAAGTCGTAAACGCCCTTAAATGCCAAATATGCCTACCATTGCCAAAACACCGTCAATGCAAACACTGCCACTCTTGTTTCCTCACTCGGCTTCCATGTCTTTCGGCTCCTTGGGCTCCTGCGATTCGTGGAACTGAATGGCGTCGTCGATGTAGCTCAGCACCGCACCCAGACTGTCCTCGTCTTGGACGTCCAGCTTGAGGAAAGAGACCATACTGAAACCATCAATAAGCTCCGCCACAGCCTTGTTGAGCTTATGGAAGGATGATCCGCTCATGAGGCTCTCAGTTGACGCTGGGTCTCTGTACTTCCTCTCTTCCTCGGGCGTAGTCTTTTTGCGCGCGGGATCATCCTCGATCAGATCTGCATCGACATCGACGAAGCGTTTGAGGTCGCGCTTCGCTATCTGCCCTTTTACAAGGTCCATCTTGCTCAGTATATTGATGTGCGGCATCTCCAGCATCATCATGGCACTCATGGCAGAGAGTGTGCCGGAGAAGAACTTGGGTCGGTCGATGACAAAGGTCGCTTCGAGGAGGTAGGCGGCGCACATGCGGATGTTGAGCGAGCCCGTCATGAGGTGCTTCACCAAGTTCGGCAATATCGGTACGTGCGTATATAATTCGATCTGACCTGGCATGTCAAATACGATGAGGTACTCTTCGGTAACTTCCTCGAGCGGGTCCGTCAGCCAGTCGAGGTTCTCCATGAGAAATTCGAAGCAGTATATTAGGCCACCGTTGGGTCCTAGGCTCATCTCTTCCATGACATCTTCCAGGCTAATCAAATCCTTAATGTCTAGATCGGGCTCGAATGCGAATTCCTCAGCCGCAGGATCCAGGTTTACGTAGAAACACGGGCGTTTGCTGTTCTGGAGATGCTGGATCAGGGCGGAACAGAAGGTAGATTTGCCAGCACCGGCCGGGCCCTATTACTGTTAGTTTACGACTTTATGCTTCAAAATGCGATTTTCATACCATAACCAGAGTACCATATTTACTCATTATCGCGGTTGAGCTCTTGGTTGACAGGGCGCGTCATTCGGCTACACAAAATCAACGAGAGCGCCCGCAGCGGGATACTTTTCTGCCCCAAGGCGGTCAGAGATGGGCGGTGAGTAGGATGTGGGGAGCGTGTGGGATTGGGTAGATAACGGGTCGTCAAAAAGGGACGAGATTCAATGGCGTGCTAATGCGAAGCCGCCGTTCGGCTTAGCCCGCGGTCGTTCATTTTTTCGGCAATTTGAGCAGGACGCCAAACCCTTCTCCTCGCATAAATCACTCCTGCCCCTCAACCCCTCCCTTCCCTCACCATCTCATTCTTCCGTCTATAAGAACGCGGTCGCAAGTCCTACACTAGCACACCACGAGTTTTTCTCCCATTCAACCGCCAAAATGACTGTCCCCAACGGAAACGGAAAGGTACTTTCCTAAACTACCTAATGCACCCCTCTATGACTTTATCTTACCATTGTTCAGAGCACCTTCCTCTTCACCTCAGAGTCTGTAGGTGAGGGTCACCCCGACAAGATCTGGTATGTATATTTACCTCTGTTTCTCCAATTGCTTTCAGAGTCGCCTTTTGGTGAGCGATAAGACACGTATATCGCTCGGCGTGATAGACGGCATCCCCCACTTCCTGAAACCGCGACTTCCTCCGAACACGGACACTGCTGACTGTGGCCCAGCGATCAAGTCTCGGACGCCATCCTCGATGCCTGCCTCAAGGAGGACCCCCTCTCCAAGGTCGCTTGCGAGACCGCAGCCAAGACCGGTATGATCATGGTCTTCGGTGAAATCACCACCAAGGCCCACCTCGACTACCAGAAGATCATCCGTGGTGCCATCAAGGACATTGGCTACGACTCCTCCGACAAGGGCTTCGACTACAAGACATGCAACGTCCTCGTTGCCATTGAGCAGCAGTCGCCCGACATTGCTCAGGGTCTTCACTACGAGGAGGCTCTCGAGAAGCTCGGCGCTGGAGACCAGGGTATCATGTTCGGATATGCCACCGACGAGACCCCCGAGCTCCTTCCTCTGACCGTCCTCCTCTCCCACAAGCTGAACTCGGCCATGACCAAGGCCCGCAAGGACGGCACTCTGCCATGGCTGCGACCCGACACCAAGACCCAAGTCACTGTTGAGTACGCCCACGATGGCGGTGCTGTCGTTCCTCTCCGCGTTGACACTGTCGTCGTCTCTGCCCAGCACAGCGAGGACATCACCACTGAGAAGCTCCGTGAGGAGATCAAGGAGAAGATCATCAAGCAGGTCATCCCCAAGAACATGCTTGATGACAAGACCGTCTACCACGTAAGTTCCACAACAAACATAATACCGTACAATTGTGTACTAACAGGTTCCAGATCCAACCCTCTGGTCTCTTCATCATTGGTGGTCCCCAGGGTGACGCTGGTCTTACTGGACGTAAGATCATCGTTGACACCTACGGTGGCTGGGGTGCCCACGGTGGTGGTGCTTTCTCCGGAAAGGACTACTCCAAGGTCGACCGTTCCGCTGCCTACCTTGCGCGCTGGATCGCCAAGTCGCTCGTGAACGCCAAGCTGGCCCGCCGCGCACTCGTGCAGCTGTCATACGCCATCGGTGTCGCTGAGCCCCTCTCTCTTTTCGTTGAGACATACGGTACCTCTGACAAGTCCTCGGACGAGCTCGTCGAAATTGTCAAGAACAACTTCGACCTCCGCCCCGGTGTCATTGTCAAGGAGCTTAACCTCATCAACCCCATTTACTTCCAGACCGCCAAGAACGGTCACTTCACCAACCAGGACTTCACCTGGGAGAAGCCCAAGGAGCTCAAGCTCTAATTTTAATGCCTTTTGCATAAGGTGGGCATGAATCAACTTCATCCCACGTCAAGATTTAACGACGACATGGATCGCGAGTGAGAAAGATTTGCATATCTTTGGGAGGCGGGTAAAGAGCCTTTTCAACAAGTGTTTCAACGGCGTCCAAGGGCATTTTATACCCCATGATACCAGCCCGTTTGTATCTTCCAAAAGTTTCATTTGCAGATTTCCTTTTCATATAGAGACGGCCTAGTGCAGGCCATAGATACAAAGAGCTTCAACAATGGGGCCGCAGTACGTTGTCAACACGTACGTGAGGTCTTTCGCGCGCTAGTCGCGCTTTAGTGGTGGCTGGGGATGGCAAGATAAAGAAGAAATCAATCAAGAGCCAGTCGGTCTGCGCTGGAGGAATGACGCCAGCGCAGACCATGGTGTTATACCGACGTAACAAGATCTTTTCCGTTGCTGTGACGCCAGATTGTGCAATAATGCAACATGACACCTAGTCAGCACGTAATGCATGACTTCGCTATCAACATATCGTGGGACTAAACTCAAAGTAGCCTAAGACCAATTGCTTCAGACTCCCTCAAACTGCAAGAGTGCCACGTCATCTTGCCGAGTAGGGACGCGGCCTTGAGACCAAAACCCTGCTCGAATGAACCATCGAAGAGGAAAGCATCTGGGACGGGACAGGATCAATGTTGTAGAAAAAGTAGCAAGTATATTGTACAAGAAGAAGACGAAAACATCTAAATAGTGGTATTCTGATTTAAGCCCAGTGTGAGAGAGTAGAAATGCGTTGCTTCTCGCCGCTTTATCCAAAAGCAACTTAAGCCGTCGTTAAAAAAAAAAGGCTATATCCCAGCTGACTCCTTATCCTATGCTCGTGCTATGCTCGTAAGTTCTAATGCCAAAAAGAGAGTGATGATAATAATAATAATAATCATCATCCATCAATACCTCATCTCCGTCTTCATCTCCAACCCTAGATAAAAGGGTCAAGTGAGACTACAACCACAACTCAACCACCAACAACACTCCCACTACCCACACTACCGCCGAGATCCCAGTAGTTCCTTTGTGAACTGCCACTCCTCTTACTCTTCTTGGTACTCTGACTAGCGCAACTCGAGCTACTCCGTAACTTCGTCTTGTCTTTGAGGCTACTGGCTGGGGGTGTGTAGTAGGTAGCGAAGCGACGCGACTCCCTTGAATGATGGGCGGACGACGTAGGGAGTCTACCATCGGTCGTCGTCCGGTTTACCAAAGGGTGGTGTTGGCGGATAATGGCTGCTCGACGCGCGGAGCCAAGGTTGTCGTTTGTAGTTGGGGAAGGGGCGCTGGCGGTACGGATGGGTTGTGGTGGTGGGAGAGTTTGGGAAGAGGAGATGCTAGGACGGCGTGAGGAGAAGCGCTTCATGAGGAAGTTGAAGATCATTTTGACATCGATTTCGCGTTCCCAGTACTCGCGCTCTCTGGCTAGATCGTCGGCGATGTTTGTGGTGAGGACAGGAGGGGTGTGAGATGAGGCTGCAGCGTCAGTTTCGGTTTCGGTAGGCTCTTCTTCAATACCCCATAATGATGCTTCGCTGTAGGTGGTTGAGGTTTGTGCGGGGAAGGTGGGTGCGAATTGAGCAGACGAGGGAGTTGTGGCAGGTTGTGAACTGGCGGGTACCGAAGATAGGGGTTCGGATACGACTGTCGTGTTTGATATTTCTCGTGTAAGACCCGCGTAGTCTGGTGTTGATTGTGTTCGTTGGTATGTTGAGAAAGCTCCAGGATGCTCAGAAAGCTGGTTGACCAAAGTTCCCAATTCCTGAGCTACTCTCTCGAGAAGCTTCGTCTGCCAGGTATCATCAGAAAAACGGGACGCGTCGACACCTGCGTCTTGTAGAGCTTTATCTGCTGAGAACTCGGTGGTGGGCGACCCTGGCATGGGTGTTGCGGCCTCGTCAGGCAGAGTCTCTCCAAAGATGACTGAGAGGGTGTCTTCGTCCAGACCAATAAGATCCCTAATCACCCGTCGCGTTATCCGTTGCCAGAAGGAGAGATTCTCCGTGCCTTCATCGGAAGATTCGCTCACGTCTGACACGGATTGGGCAGTGGGTGGTTTTGCGCTCGTCGTCTCCTTTTGTCCATCAACCCGGCTCGCTCCAGTACTAACCATGCTCATTCGCCGCCTCCGCCTAGTCTCCTTCTCGATCTCTTCCAGTAACGCTTTGCTTTGCTCCAGTCGCCATCTCTCAATGCGCTGTCGCTTCTCATGTTCTGTGTTGGTCTCCTCGTGGTCATCGAGGACTGAAAGGTGCCGCTGCACACTCGAACGCCGCCTGGGTGCTCGTCGCCGTGAGCGTTCAAACTGCCACATGTGTTCCTGCATAGTCGCATCCGGCTTGAACTCGCCCAATCCATCATGCGTTGGTAACACAGTATCACCGCTCTCCTGGAGCCTGCTTACTGGCGCGCCATATTCAGATGGCTCATGGAAGGCGTGTAAGCCGTCATCTAGGCTGTCCAGCTCCTCTTCCGTCCCAAGAAATGAGCCAGCATCATCATCTTGCTCTGACCGCGCAGCAGTCTCGAGTGAGCCAAACTCGCTGAAACGTGACAGACCAGCTGTCCGTGGCGTTCGGTCGGTCGAGGTAGTATGTGTGCGGGTGGTAGTAGAAGGCGCGGTGGGCGAGAAGAGGACCCATTCCTCTGATTGATCCAGGGATCGGATAGGCTGTAACGAGGTAGTCGCAGGTTCGGCGGTGGGTTCTGGTGCGTGGTAAGATATCTGTCGTCCGCTCTGCGGTCTATGCTGCTGTATGAAGGCCATGGCGTAGTAGTCTAAGTTGGGCAGCGACGTATGTTGTTGTAGTGGCAATGGAGTTGTCAGGTCCTCTGCACGTCACGAGGACGTGGCACAGATGGGATATGTTGATAGGATGTGTTGCGAGGTAATAGGATGGTATAAACGCGTCGCGGTAAGGGCGGCGTGTTCCTTATCGTCTTGTTGGCTTCACGCCTCGTTGCGACGTTAACCACTACCCTAGCGGTGTGAGGGGAATGGCAGGTGTATGATGTACAGATGTCACTAGGGAGACGCTAAACGAAACAAGCCGTCTACTGCAGGCGGCGGATGATCAGTCGCGAGACCCGGTAAAAACAAGACGTGATTAACCTGACCAAACAAGAGCTCAAGCACGCGGGAAAAGACGATATAAGAGAGGCAGTAAAATTTAACTCGGCGAAGATGTGTCAGAGGCTGAGGCTGGCCTGGGTGTTCGGTGAGGTTTACATAGGTAGATGCAATTGAAGAGACCATGCGACATGCAGGCAGGCCCGCTCGCAGCTTCCCTGATAAGATAGCGAGCTTGATCCACCCTAGAGCACCCCCGCGGCGTGCAGCCCACCAATGCCCACCAATGCCCGACTACAGGCGCTCTGAGTGATGATGAGATGAGCCAACAATGACTGATCTCACACCATTTTTCTAGTGCCCTGACCATGCGAAACCGAAGAAGGGCCTGAAACATTTTCTAGCGACGGCGAGTTACCAGCTAGAAAATGATGCGCGCCTGGGAACACCGTCACTCAGTCACGCAATCGTGCTTGGTATGCGCTCATAGACTCGCAACCCTTCAACACCCCTGACTTTAGATGCCCGTCAGACTGCATGCGGCAAGGCGCACTCGCGAGCTATTCTAATTACCAAACAGCCCATATGCGGCGCCGTACGCAGACGGCTGAGCTGACCGTGAACATGATCCCGGAAATCTTTCGTCAAGACCGAAGCCAGGCTACCTCCCTTATGAAGCATCGCCATGTACAAAACATTGTCCGAAAATCCGGCGAACGTGTTGCGTCACACCAGCTATATCCCGAGTCTTGTCCCCTCCGATCATCCCCCGATTCGGCGAGTTGTCGCCCGCTTGACTTACCCGATGCAGGAGTACAAGTGAATGTATACCAAGCATAGCAAGGAACAAGTCTTTGCAGAGTTTGTTATGGAATCGAGTTGCCTGTTGAGTCACGACTGCTACGTCACACCTGGCTTCTTTTGTGCACGGTTCCACTTGCGTATGCGAACAGTCTGGAAAGCGAATAAGCATGTATGCGTGCTGTGCTACTCAGGTATCTCCAAACGACGCTATTCAGGTATAGTACAGATGCAACAAAACGCCGCGCAGCTATACAATGAATGTCAACAAAACGTCGCTATCCGTAATATCATGTTCTCGTCATTCGCGTCCTCAGGACGCTGAATCATACTCTGCGCCGAAGACCCGTCTCGCATCTTCCTCGTTCATCTCTTCGCCTTCGCCAATGTCCATCCACCTCTTCGTGATGCGTGATTTCTCTCCGGGACGTCCCTTGAGCACACACTCACCGTTGCCTTGACAAATTTCTTGTCGCCCTAGGTTCTTGAAGCGAGGACCTAGCGGTCCGTTAACGTAATGGTACTGGCCTAAAAAGCGGTATTGTCGAGGGTCGCTAAGTGGGTAAAACTTGTCGCCCCAGTGACCAGCAAAATAAAACCATGAGGTAGGTGCGCGCGGGTTGAGGTTGGATGCGACAAGTCGGTCGGACTGATAGTCGTACTTGTATGAATACATGTTCATGACAGGATCCCAGAGAGGACCACGGTCAGTCACATCGTGCAGAATGCCACCAGGCAAGACGTATGGATGTACACCGGCCGTCGCGTACATGGCGTGGGTACCAGTGGCAGAGAAGCCGATGGGCTAGACATGTTAGTTTCGCTTCACAGTGCCAAAACAATGGACTCACCCTCTGTCCACTCTTCTCCACAGCGTCCCATGTGTACGCTTCACCAAAGCTATGTTCACTGAAGAACACCGCTTTGGGCTCGCCATGCTGAAACCTTACCACAGTATGTTCCCAGTCGCCAACGTGATTGCCGAAACGAATGTTGAAGACAGCGTTTCCAAGGTTGTAGCTGTAGAAGAAGAACCAGAATGCGTCCACCACGCCATCACCCTTATCCACCACTACTAACGGCACGGGCGCATCACTTCGACCACCAACAACTTTCTTGCCAGTGAAGCTGCGTCGACGGTAACGTAGCTCTGATCGCCAGTGCTTGTCGTCATTATCATCAACGAGCTCATCGCCTTCGAGTGTGTTCGAAGGAACTGGAAGTCCTGGAGCTGTAGGGTCTGGCCGGATGCCACCTCGATCCCTCGTATCGCCGACACCCACATGCCACCAGCTGGACTTTTCTCCATTCTTGTCTTCTGTGAAGTGGCCGTCGGGTCCCCTCTGGTGTTCCTCGTCATCGTCTTCGTCGTCGCCATTCCCGTCATTTGGTGCATTAGGTATGTTGTAGTCAGCACCCAGCCACGGCGGACGGTCCTCGACATTATCATCGCTCTGGAGATATACAAATCGCCCCCATTTGTTGAGGTCCTCAAGATTGCTGATGTTCGGGTGATCACTGGATGCTTGCAGAGGCGTGTAATTCAGATGCGGTGTTGTGTGTATCAAGTGTTCAGCCATGTCGCCTGGCCAGTACTCTTCTCCCGAGAAGAGGTGAATGAGCGGCGCGTGGTCTAGAACATATTGTGGTATCTCGAGTTGCTCCTCAGGCTTGTAATCAGCCGGAATGGTTCGCGCATCGTTCCAAAAGTCAGTCAGATTGACTTGGTCCCTGTCATCCACTGTCTTCTGGCTCTGAGCCTTTAACGTCTGTGTAGTCCATTGTGCCTTATTCAGGTGCGACAGGCCACACATACCAAACCAGCCACAAACCTTCCGGTCTACCCATGACCGCGACGATGCGACCCATTCCGTTTCGTCTGCGCGTTCGCCTGAGGGGGTCAAGCTTTCGAAAAGAACGTTTTGGTATAGTTGCGAGAACGAGAACAACCCAAAGAAGGTACCCGCAGCGGCAATGGCGGGCTTCCTGCCCTTCATTTGGACGTCGTCCCCGTTCAACGAATCGTCGTTACCAGCGAGAGACGTGAGAGCTTCCGCAGATGGCTTTGCTTGGGAAGAATGCTCTATAGGAATATCGATGGTAGGTAAGATGTATGAATCAGGAGCGTCCTGCGCAGCGTCTGGTGTTTCGATCGGAGAGTGAGGAGAGTATATTGCTATCGGAGTGAACTCAGGTACACCTGTCGAAGGTATGGATGACGACGGAAGCGATGACGGAAGGAGCGCCTGGAGTGGGACCTGCCCTCCTCCATGTTGGATGTATGGGACAATGGGCACTGACTGGTTAGCTCTTCTTCGAAGGCTCGAACAGGCAAAGCAGGGGACGTTTGACGCAGAGTAGGGAAGATCTGAAGCCGATACTGCCGGATAGCTGACAAAAGGCTATCGGCTGTGGCAGGTGTGGCTTCAAGATCCGGCAATCGACCACGCTACGCGATGCCGGTGATGGCAAGTGTAGGGAACGACCGGCACGATCAGCAGCATGGAGGCCATCGCAAGGTCCACAGAGATGTGAATTGAGCTAATGGCATATGCAAAAGTGGGGAGGGCGCGGAGGTGACGGAAAGGTCATGATGACTTGGAGTGCTATAATCTGGCCGGACATGCGCGGAAGCATACTTACTGATGCAGATGGATGGCCGCGGCCAGCCGATTCGACACCAAAACTTGACTTGAAGAGTGTAGTGTTCTTGATTTGAGCTTACGATCAGTGCGACAATAGAACAAAACGCGTGATAGAGGATGGAATTGGGGTGGCGCGTATCCTTGGTGTTTGGTGCATGTCTGACAGTTCCCGGCTGGGCACACGTCGTCACCACTAGTTAGAGATGCAGCGGGGACCTCGGCAGCCATGCAGCTCACAACTTGGCTTCCAGGCACGGGCTGCAGCGCTACCCATATCCACATTATGGGGAGAGGTTGGTCTTAGCTGTGGCTTGTTGCATCTCTCCACTTCACGATGGATCTGGGTCGTGTAAATCGTGAGACCAGGGCTGGCCTCAAGAGCGTGGAGAGCTATGTCTGGCTAACAATACCGTCATTGATTTACCTTAGTGCACAAAAAGATACCTACTAAGCTCAGCGCAACGATGGACATTCATCGGGCCATTCGAAGGCGAACAGGTGCTTTGGAAGGCAAAAAAAAAGAACTGATCTCCCCACCATGAGTCGAACAAGGGACCTTCTGATAACAGCAGATATTACAGTCAGACGCTCTAAACCAACTGAGCTACGGGGAGAATGTTTCGAAACGAAACCGTGCTTGGTTTGAATGAGAGAACAGGAAAACAAATCATAAATATACTACTTGAAAATCATGCGACGATGATGTGTCCAGTAGACGTTAGTAGTTGGCGGCTAATCTATGCTCTTTTATCATTTGGCCCCACCACTACTAACCTTGCAATCCTTCAAACTTGTGTCAACGTACAACGACGCCGCTGATCATGGCCAAACCCGAAGAGGATGAGTGGGAATACGAGTACGACGAGAACGAAACAGAAGATTTCTACATTCCACTGGACTTGTCCAACGTTCCCGCTGCGCAGATTCCCATGGTCTCGCAGGGTAGACCGGGTCACCCAACTCTGCTTAAAAGCAGATTGCGCGCACTGAACGCAGCGCGAGGCCAGCCAGCTGAATTCGCTGCCAACAACAACGATGCACAAGAGACGGCTACGATGGGCGAAGTTCAAGTCGTCGGCCTCCATACACCAAACCCACTGGTCATGTATAACGGCCAGTTGCTGAGTTGTCACTGGACATCGACCGTCGGAACTGACATGTTCTTCGTGAAGCCAGATGCGAACGCTTCAACTCAATCACAAATCCTGCGATCTCTGCCGTCGGTCGACTTGTTGGCTCTGGGGTCCGCAAAATTAGTGGCAAAGGTTGGACGTCTGCGACCACGCGATGATCTCGTCGACAACGCTAGCGATGCACAGCAGGCGACTGAGGTCACGCATACTCCAGACGACAATCAGAGCGCTGCGACGAGGGCACCCGGCATTGCAGACGCCCAACCTTCTAGCAACAAAGAAGGCCCATCCGCTCCCTTGAGCTTTCTCGCCAGGCTGAATGAGGCCAAAGCAAAGAGAGGAGAGAAGTCGCGCTTGTCAATCGCGAAAACATCAGAGGGCTCGCGTCTAGTGGCAGAGAAGGCCACGGTCAGCTCTGCTGGTACAGATACTGGCACGTCGCAAACACATGGTGACTCAGCCATGGGCGGCACGTGAGGAGCATGTGAAAGCCAGGGTCGAAAGAGGTAGGACTATTCCGTTCTCCCTTGTTCGAACGAGAAGCGGCGCACCCTTGGTCATGGACAGAAGCATGCAAAACCAAATTCCGATGGCTGAAAATGGTTCAATGCAGAATCCAAAGCTTGGTAGGATCAAGCGTTATGACAGGGTATCTGCAGGAAAGAAGTCGCGTCACGGTCTACAACCAAAACCTTCCGCGTCTTCCACTAATGTGCTTGCCGCTTGAGAAGACGGCTCAGAGCATCTTTGTTCCAGATTGCACATGGCGATCTTTTTAGATGTGCGTTCAATACATTCCCTCGTCTCCTCTACTGTCCTATTATATCTTATTCAATCTACCCTCTCTCTCCCTACGTACACTCCACCTCTACTTATCCTCGATGCAGCGACCACCAGGCAGGCCGAGTGTCGACATAATTCCCGAACAACTCCTGGATATCCCGGACACGCACTCCCGCTCCTTACACTGGCTGTTTAGCAAAGACGGTGGATACGTGACTCGCCTCAAGGAGGATTATCTGCAAGACACACCGCATGACCTATTTACATCTGCGAAAGCCGAGGCAAGAATTATGAGGGAAATTGCAGACTGGTTACAGTCGCAAGAATGCGATGAGTTCTGGACGCCCAGAGCACGGCAGCCTCGTAGAGTGAGCTACCTGAGCAATTGGCCTGCTTTTGGTTCTGACATGTGCAGGCTCTTCCTACAGCGACCCAACTACTCAGACAATTAGAGGACCACGAATTCCTACCGGCTAAATCTCCAAACAAGACAGCTGTCTTCGAGGCTCTTCTTCACGTCATCGCCTTGCAATTGCTAGCAGCTTCCTATACCCACCTACCCCCTTCGAGCGCAAATCACATTCCTCTATTCCAGCATCGCAAAGAGACGAGATTTGTTACAGCCCTACGCTTACATGCCCACTATCGCTTTTCTCCAGCTGCGGGTCACCAAGCTCGCCCACCTTCCGAGACTGAATTATGGCCTGGGCTTTACACGGGGCCATCAACTGAAGAGAAGCTGGCGAAGCACGTCAGCCAGCGACGCAGATTACGGAAGCAAAACAGCCAGTATGTCCCACATTTCGCAGCAAGTACATGGACAGACGGGCCATCAGCGATAATCACACATAAAAAATCACAGAGCTCCTCATCGCGAAAGAGTTCCAGTTCATCATCTAAACCTGGGTTCTTTTCAAGATTAATATGCCAGGCAGCAGTACCAAAAAACCATCGGCGGAGGCATAACGCCATGTTCCTGAATCGCATCTCCTCGAAGCCAAAGAAGCGAAAACAGTTGCAATCTGAACACAAGCACGATGGTCGTTCCGAGCGTCAATATGTCAGTTCGCAACCCGTTCAGCGTATACCCTCGGTACACCGTCTCCGTCATACGCAATCTGCCCCGCGCATTGAAGTAGATGCAGAAGAGGCATATGTCGAAAGTCCACATGACAGAAAACGTCACGGCTCAGATCCGTCTATTGGCAGTCCACTCGACTACTCTTTTCAGATACCTCAGATCCGCCGCACATCTATAACACCAAGCGCAAGTTGGTGCCCAGGATCTTCTGAGGAGGGCATGATGCGTGCTTGCGGACGACATGATTTTATCACACCAGAAGACTATTTTGACGATATGCCAGAGACGCCAGAATTTGACGTCCCCAGCAGTCCCGGTGGAAAATACCCCATTGGCGACACAGATACACCGGCTCCGTATCACTGCCCGCCACCGTTTCATTCTCCGAGTCAGCTGTGTCGAGTCTGATCACATCCGCTGTTGACTACTTCGCCGAAGTCTATGCCGACAAGCACATCACCCATCAAACTGGCGATCACGATATCGTCGGAGGAGAACACAGCGACGCTGGCCCAGAGATCGAAGACGAACCAAGCCTGCAAAAGATGCCGGGCGGTGTAGTGACTACGCCCAGCGAGGATAAGTCAAGTGACAGCGATATGGAGAGAACCAAGAAAAGAAAGGGTATCGAAGAATCAGAGGCTACAGCTTATGAGATTGCAGAACGTTTCCGAAATAAAACAGGAGATGGGATCGACCATTCCACGGTCAAAGTGGTTTGGTGATGTTACAGGTGAGCAGATGGTATGCGTGTAGCTAGCTTATCTATACATCCGGCCCTTGTTCGAGCCTACCTAGGAGGCTTTGCTTCAACAGCAATTCTATACATCCTGTATATATAAGTCGACCTCAAGCCCAAGACAGGATTGTTAAAGTCATTTTCCCTCTTCTCATGCAGCCTGAACCCAACCTTTTCCAAAACATTCTGACTAGATGCCAGCTCGGTATCGGTATGTGCCTCCGCGTAATCGTATCTCGGTGCCAGTCTGTTTCTGTTGTTCCTGTCGTCACCCTCTAGATTCCCATTTCCTGTGTTCTCGTTGTGTATAGCCTGTCCGAAGTCTTCCGGCACATAGTTTGCCCTATCACGTCCCGAATAATGCTCAAAGAACAAAGGCATGAACGCGCGCAACGCTTCGGTAGCGTACCCATATCCCCAGTATGAAGCGTTGAACATATATCCAATTTCTGGGGCGCGGACCGCTCCGATCAGGCCTATGACATCGGGGCCTTCGTGTGGCGCTAGGAGGACGATTGCAAAGTTCCAGTTGCCTTCAACCTGGTAGCACTACATGTGGTTAATATGTGTATAGCTGTAATTCATAAGAGAGATACACTTACACCTTGAATCCATGCTTTCGCGCCCTCCAGGTCATCCGAAGGTAGAATAGAAGTATGCTTCATGACCTCCGGATGCTTCCGCATCAACAATATATCCTCTGCATCTTCGACGCGTAACGGTCGCAGCAGCAGCCGTTCGGTCCTCGCGAATACGTTCGGATCAACCACCACCATCGTCTCCAGCGTACGGAATGAGAAGTGAAATTCGAGCCATTGTCAGCTGTGTTGTGCCCTGGTTAAGACTCACATGGTGTCGTGTGTCATCAAGCTGGAGCAAGGCCTGAGCGGTACGAATGTGCCTTGCAGGAGAACAAACAAGCTTAACCCTTTTCGGACACCGGCAGCTCCAAACTCCAAACCACAGCTGTTCAAACACACCGCATCCATAACAACACAACCAATCAAGATGCCGTCTTGAACTCAATTTACATCATTTCCAAAGCTTCTTCGTCATTTCCGGTCAGACTCAGGCTTTACCATGTCGAATTCAATACTTTCCGCTTCCGCGAAGGGAGCCACCTTTCTCATCCTCCTGCAGGTGGCTTCTCGGGCGCTGACGTTTGCTGTCAACCAGGTTCTGTTGAGGTTCCTATCACCAGAGCTATTGGGCGTGTCAGCTCAGCTTGAGCTCTTTTCCATCTCTGTGTTGTATTTTGCGCGCGAGAGTCTGCGTGTGGCTTTACAGCGTCAGGCACAGGGAACGCAGGCAATCGTCAACCTTTCGTATCTGGCTGTCTTGTTCGGCACGCCTCTGGCGTATCTTCTCGCGCTACTATGGCTTCGATCTGATACGCCGCATGTCCCGTACTTTGTGGAAGCGTTGGTTGTGTATTGTCTGGCCACATTCTTGGAACTGCTCAGCGAGCCGGCGTTTTCGGCTGTGCAGCAGAAGCTGCTTTACAAGATTCGAGCGTCGGCTGAGAGTTCTGCTACTTTACTACGCTGCGTCGGTACATGCGGCTCAGCGATCTTGGCTAGTCGAGCTGGTCTGGACATCGGAGTCTTACCATTCGCTATCGGACAGTTGGCGTACGCCTTGGCTTTGCTCATTGTATACTCGTACAAGATGTGGCCTGTTGCAAAGACTGATGGCTTTTCACTGTTTCCGGAAAGAGTGCCATCAACTCAGGAGAGTCCGACCTTGATGAACTACTTTTCGACTCCTCTTTTGCGACTGACTGCGTCTCTTAGCCTGCAGTCGGCTTTGAAGTATGTTCTCACCCAGGGAGACTCTCTTCTCATCACAACACTGGCATCTCTCGCAGACCAAGGTGCTTATGCGCTTGCCTCGAATTATGGAGGTCTCATTGCACGTATGCTTTTTCAACCTATTGAGGAAAGTAGTCGCAACATGTTTGCAAAACTATGCGCGAACGTAGGATCGTCGCCTGCAACTGAGAAGAAAGACCTGAAGAAGTCGGACGAACAAAAGCAAAACCTTGCTCAAGCTTCTAGGGTCTTGAGCACCATACTTCGTCTCTACGGAATCATTTCCTTATTTGCGGTCACGTTAGGACCTGAATTAGCTCCTGTTCTCCTTTCCATCGTTGCTGGGCAGAAGTGGTCTGCGACCTCAGCTTCGAAGGTACTGTCAACGTACTGCTACTACATACCTTTCCTTGCTATCAATGGAGTGACGGAGGCTTTTGTAGCCGCGGTTGCCACCAATAAAGAGCTCTATGCACAATCTGTTTCTATGGGCATCTTCTTCGCACTTTTCGCGAGCAGTGCATGGTTCTTTATTGGGCAGCTCGAGATGGGAGGCACCGGCGTGGTACTCGCAAATACGGTCAACATGGGCCTGCGCATTGTGTGGAACACGTGGTTCATCAGGAAGTTCTTTGCGGGAAACGGCTCCGAGTTCAATGCACTCGAGACGCTGCCTTCCCTTACTGCCGTGGCACCCGCTATCGTCATACCTACACTGATGCGAACGAAACCTGCAATCAGATTTCTTGGAAGGCTTGGTGTGCTTGGAGAGCTGATCAGTATGGGTGCAGTGGGTGGTGTCTACGTTCTGCATGTTCTTTTCTTCGAGCGACAGTTTCTTGTCGACTGCTATCGCATGCTTCGGCCGTCACGTGCGCAGCAACCCAAGAGATCGACGTGAACAGGCATAGTAAAAGTTGGAAGCGCTGTGGACTGGGTTTATACAAAGGCAAGACTTGCTTCTAGTTCCAACAATACCTACAGGCTTTCAGCCCTTCGCTGCCCTCCGTACGCCCTTCTGTGATGCACGACAGGTAGTCAATTCCACCTCTTTTATGCCACAATTGGGCCTTTCGTTGCGGTTGGTGCGACTGAGCTCATTGCTGGCCATAGTTTTGTTAGTTCTCACTCGATATCTATCAAGCTTCTGTTCCCCAGGATGGCAGAGTCTTGCGAACCACAGTAGCGATACCTTCCATCACATTGCTCAGCGATTACAGAACAAGATCGATACCGCAACCTATTTCTCCACAGCGCCTTCCACCTTCGTCACGGCCGCGGGCGTGGAACGTTCCTTCCAAGGCTCACTGCCCTACCCTCGTATGATTGGTTGCAGTTGCTAGCGGCAGAGTTTTCCTTCGTGCAAGCAGTGGGACCCCCCGCTACGTCACCGCGAACACAGGAAGTTTACCCCAGAAAACACTGCACATCACAGGACATTGTCGTTACAACTTCTCAAGTAATCTGGGGGTAATAGAAACTACGTTCCGAAACCTGGGGGTAATCAATATCACTCTTGCATAAGGCGGGAACACCAAAACGCCGCTACCGAGTTTCCTGGGGGTAAGAGAAACTAAGCCTCGAACTGGAACCGCATTAATCACGCCATTGAAATTCTACGGCTCGCACCGTTTCTTCCGCTTACTTCTTGGCTAACATCTGGAGCACCAATCGCAAATCCGGGGAACCTGCGCTACCAAAATGGTCACGACGGACGAGTCAAGACACCTTCATGGGTTGGTTGACATGGGCAGTAATGGCATCCGCTTCTCGATCACCGATCTGACACCAGCGACACAAAGGATTCTGCCGACTGTGTATCTAGATCGGGCAGCTATCTCACTTTACGACGCTCAGTACCAAAATGGCCAGGTCGTGCCGATACCAGAAGTTACGATCGAGCAAGTCGTCAAGTCGCTGTTGCGTTTCAAGGCGACTTGTGAGGATTTTGGCGTATCTGAGAAGCAGATTCGGATTGTAGCTACGGAAGCCACCAGAAAAGCTAGCAATTCTGAGGACTTCCAAAGTAAGATCAAGAATGCTACTGGTTGGACCGTTCAACTTTTGTCGAAAGAAATGGAGGGCCGAGTTGGGGCGTTCGGTGTAGCAAGCTCATATCATAGGCCGACAGGGCTTATGATGGACCTTGGTGGAGGCTCCACGCAGATCAACTGGATGGTAAGTCGTGTCGGTTACGATGAGATTGATATGTGCGAGAAAGGAAGTGCAAGCCTGCCGTACGGTGCAGCTGCCCTCACGAAAAGGCTCGAACAAGCGGGCTCTCCTGATAGCGATGCGTTCAAGGTATTCGAAAGCCAAGTCCTCGCGGACCTCAAGGCTGCAGTCAAGGACATAAAGATACCACAGCATCTGCTTGACCGTTCACAATCACCCGAAGGTCTCTCACTCTATCTATCAGGGGGCGGCTTTCGCGGATGGGGCTTCGTACTCATGTCGGAGCATGCAATTCAACCGTATCCCATACCTATTATCAACGGTTTCCGCACAACCAAGGATGCGTTCCAAGATACGCAGGCTGTACAGGCGGCGGTGCAAAAAGAGGATACGCCTGAAATCTTCCGTGTATCGGCCCGTAGAGCAAGTCAAGTCCCAGCAGTAGCTTTCCTGGTGAAATGCTTGTCTAAAGCATTGCCAAGCATCAAGGACGTATACTTCTGCCAAGGGGGTGTAAGGGAAGGCATGTATTTCACGGAGATGAACCCAGCAAACTGGTCGGACTGGCCCCTAGTGGCTGCTACGAGATCATACGCCAAGCTGTCGAGTCACGAGTTTGTAGAACTTTTGCAAAGAGCCAGTATGTCTACGCCAACAGCGTCGTATCAAGGACTGTTCAGCATTGGTATGACGAGAGCGTTCGCATATACTATGTTTGCACATATGGCCCAAGTCAAAGATCTTCGAGCTGGATCTGCGCTTCGAAGTACAACCACTGGGTTGTTTTCCGCCGCACATGGTTTAAGTCACGAAGACCGCGCGATACTTGCCATCTTCCTCTGCGAGCGCTATGGCGGCTACAGCTCGATTAGTCCTACGGAGCAGGACTTCTACCTTCGGATGCTGCAGCTCGTGCCAGAACACTTGCGATGGTGGTGCATGTATACCGGTCGCGTTGCTGCAGTTCTGGCTAGCATATATCCTGCGGGTACAGTCCGAGAGAAGAGGGTGGAGATGAGTTCCCAGTGGACGACGACGAAGAAAGGCAACGAGAAGTTATGTGTCGACTTCAAGTTTAGTAAGGAGCCAGACGAACTCGATGAAGGGCTAAATACGGCGTTGAGAAAGGTGGAGAAGGCGGGAAAGAAGAAGAACTGGATAGGAGGACACGGATACAAAGTACTTTTGACTGTCAATGGCAAGGAATATAGTGAGGAGGAGTAACGGAGAGCTATCATGCCTACGGCTCTCCACGGATGTCGCGATCACATAGTCTAGATTCGAGCTCGCACGAGAATAGCATTGCTCAGCACGGTGGCGAAGATCGTGAAATCCAGGCCTTTGTAATCGGCAGTCGTACCGCAGCTGACACGGGGGAAGCATCGTGACTTGTTGGGCGGTGTATAATGGCGGCTTCACTGGTCGTGCAATGGCCAGGGCTCGGAAGCGACGCACATCGTGACCTGGTGCGGGCTGGATGAGTCCCCGCCTCATCACCAACCAGTAGCAAATATGGTGCAATACGGATCCTGTAACGTCCAGACAGGCACCACGTGCAGCACGCAATCCAGTACCAAGGAGCCACGTACAGTCATGGAAACCGTTTGGAGACGACGCCAAGGATCGTGAGTTCTGCAGGACGCGTAGTGGGGAAGTATGGTCTTGAGGCACTACTGCAGCTACTGCAGCTCATGCAATTCGATACTAGGTTCTTTCGGCGGGATTGCGGAAAACTCTGATGAGGCTTTTTTGCAGGTCATGTTCTTTCGAGTACTGAAGCACCGGCTTGGGGCCCCGTTCTAATTACGTGAAGTTTGGGCGATGCGGTGCAGCGCTAGCGGGCTTACCCATGCAAGTCCGCAAATTCTGGGGAAGCTCGGTTTACGGCGGGACAGTTCAGGTACGCCGCCGCCGAGCATCCAACGACCATGAGACGAGACGAGAAGGGTTATAAAGGTGATGGGGTCCGCTCTCGCTGCTGGGGCTGAAGGTACCCTCATCGGCTGCAAGCCTCATACTTCTCTACTACTACCACCCTATCACCCTATCTTGTTATCTGCCTCCAGTGTGTTACTGTTGCACCGACAGGTATCCTGAAGATTGTAGCCTCGTACCAAGTACTTCGCTGTCACACGCACATCTTGACTGGCATCGGATGTGTTGGGCGGATACACGGACTACTGCAAGATCTATCTGTACGCAAGTTGCTGTCCCGATTCCCCAGACCCATCACACAAAGAGCGGTGGATCATCTGTCCAATTGCCTCTACTATCCTTATCCGAAGCGGTGATCGACGGCTGCGGCTCGTTGGTTGTACTACAAGGTAAGCTAACGTTCCTGCATCATAGCATTTTACGAGGCCCGAAATAGCGGTGCGTCTGACGGTCTTGGTATATTTGTATCGAACAGCCGACTAATTATAAGTTTGTAGGCTTGGTTTCGACTGCCCCTCTATCCAACGCCCCACTATCGCACGGCCGACCAAACCCGTTGCGCTCTCTTACCACGCCTGACGCGTCTCACTAAGCACGCATTTCTACCAGGCATTGCATCAACCGCTATACCAGCACCTCTTTAGAAACCCCACGACTTCAATTGTTTATGCCCAGCATGGCTTCTACACCAGTCGACGCCGCAAATGGCCACCCGGCCCATCACAAGCAGCTCGAGCAGCTCCTTCATACCCCAGACCGCCGACCTTCACCTCTTCCCACACATTTGAGCACCCCGGGCTCGGGAAGCTCAACACCTCGGATAATCCCCCAGGAAGGCTCGGGCGGTTCCGGCTATGTTGCTCCTGTATTCGAGGGCAAGGCACAGCAGATGGAGGCCGTCATGGACGGTGTCGAGGAGAAGGGCTTCATGCCCCCAGAGCTCGTAGAGTCAGAAACCAAGTGGTTCTACAACGAGCTGGGCATTGACGACATGTACTTTGCTACCGAGACGGTAGAAGCGTAAGCATGGCTGCAATTCCCTCCACGACTGCGCTAACAGACGTTACAGAATCGTCAGCCATATCCACTCGCTCTACGCCGCAAAGGTCGCCGCATACGCCAGAGACGACAAGCGCCTTGAGATCCGGCTCGACAAGGAAGCCGCTGACCACGCCGTATACATCGATACCAGCAGACCCGGTGTATCCGTCCTCGGCGGCCCTCAATACGAGCAACGTTTGGGCAAGAAGTACCTGGCTGTATCCAAGCCTGGCCTTGCATACCGTGTCGAGAGCTTCCGCTCCGAAAGCCCACTACCAGGAAGCGAAGACCAGCAATTGCGATGCTACTTCGTCTACCAATGCGACTTTGTCGACCCCAACCCCAGCGAGACCGAGACCAACATCGAGAAGATTGGTGACAAGCGCTTCCTCCAGAAGGCGACCAAAAACACCAAGGAGGTGTACCAGCAAATCCTCCAAGTCGCTGTAGAGCGTACGGGCCCAGTCATTGACCACTTCGACATCGAAGGTTCAAGAGACAAGCGTCTAGTCGTCGGCTTTAAGCGCGGAAGTGCATTGGGTCTTTTCAGTGCCTTGAGTGATCTGTACCATTACTACGGTCTGACCACTTCGCGAAAGTACATCGAGCAGTTCTCCAACGGCTACACCGTCATGTCTCTCTACTTGCGCCCGCTTCCAGGAGCTGCCGGTGCCAAGTACCCACCAATCGAAGCCTCAATCCACCAGATCACTAAGGAGGTCTCCCTGCTCTACTGTCTTCCCCAGAACAAGTTCCAGACGCTCTTCGCTACAGGCAGACTGAGTCTACAAGAGACCATCTACGCGCACTGCGTGTGGGTCTTCATCACTCACTTCCTCAACCGACTTGGAAGCGAATACACTGCTCTGTCGGCGATTCTGGACCCAGAAAACAGCGTACACGCCGAGTTGCTTTCTAAGCTGAAGCGCCGCTTACGTGCTGAGACCTTTACTGCTGACTACATTTACGAGATCATCATGACCTACCCAGAACTGGTTCACACCTTGTATCTGCCATTCGCCAAAACCCACTACGTCCAGACTAGGGGTCAGGAGGACGACTTCCTGCCGACTCTGAGTTATCTCCGTCTTCAGGTTGATAAGGTCCAGACCGACGCAGAGTTGACCGACACCATCAACAAGGCTGTTGCCAACGACCACCACGAGATGGTCATGACCGCCTTCCGTGTCTTCAACCAGTCGGTGCTGAAGACAAACTTCTACACCCCTACCAAGGTCGCCATCAGCTTCCGTCTGAACCCCACCTTCCTCCCATCCACAGAATACCCTCAGCCGCTATATGGAATGTTCCTTGTCATTGGCTCTGAGTTCCGTGGTTTCCATCTCCGCTTCCGTGACATTGCTCGTGGTGGTATCCGTATTGTCAAATCCAGGAGCCAGGAAGCCTACTCCATTAATGCGCGCTCCATGTTCGACGAGAACTACAACCTCGCAAACACGCAGCAACGTAAGAACAAGGACATTCCAGAGGGTGGCTCCAAGGGTGTCGTACTCCTTGACTTCAAGCACCAGGATAAGGCCCAGGGCGCTTTTGAGAAGTACATTGACAGTATTCTTGATCTACTCTTGCCTCCTACCAGTCCTGGTATCAAGGATCCTATCGTCGATCTCCACGGCAAGGAAGAGATCCTCTTCATGGGTCCAGACGAGAACACTGCTGATCTCGTCGACTGGGCCACTGAGCATGCACGCAACCGTGGCGCGCCATGGTGGAAGTCTTTCTTCACTGGAAAGAGCCCGAAGTTGGGTGGTATCCCTCACGACCGATATGGCATGACGACATTGTCTGTCCGCGAGTACGTCTTGGGTATCTACCGCAAGCTTAACCTCGATCCCAGCAAGGTCCGGAAGCTGCAGACAGGTGGTCCAGATGGTGACCTTGGCTCGAACGAGATCTTGCTCAGCAACGAGAAATATATTGCCATTGTCGATGGTTCCGGTGTATTGGTCGACAACAACGGTATCAATCATGAGGAGCTAATACGCCTAGCCAAGGCGCGCAAGATGATCAACGACTTTGATGCTTCGAAGCTTTCGCCGGAGGGCTACCGCATTTTGGTCGACGACACCAACAAGCGACTACCAAATGGAGACCTTGTTTACAACGGCACAACCTTCCGGAACACCTTCCATCTTCGCAGTGATATGCACTACGACTCCTTCGTTCCTTGTGGTGGTCGACCTGAGTCTATCGATCTGTCAACCGCCAACAAGCTCATTGTCGACGGCAAATCAGTAATTCCGTACATTGTGGAAGGTGCCAACCTGTTCATCACGCAAGATGCTAAGCTCCGTCTCGAGAAGGCCGGTTGCATCCTATACAAGGATGCTTCAGCCAACAAGGGTGGTGTTACTTCTTCCTCGCTTGAGGTTCTTGCATCGCTTGCATTCGACGACGAGAGCTTCCTCAAGCACATGTGTGTCGGCGAAGACGGTCAGGCTCCAGAGTTCTATAACAACTACGTTCGTCAAGTGCAAAAGACTATCCAGAACAACGCACGTCTAGAGTTCGAGGCTATCTGGAGAGAGCACCAGAACACTGGTCAGCCTCGTAGTGTCCTTAGTGACACGCTCAGTAATGCGATCACGAAGCTGGACGAGGAATTGCAAAACACTGAGCTGTGGAACAACGTCGAGTTCAGGGAGTCGGTCCTTAAGGAGGCGTTGCCGAACATCTTGCTTGAGAAGATTGGTCTAGACAAGATTGTTAAGAGGGTAAGTCGTAACCAATACTGTACAATTGAAGCATGAACTAACAAACATACAGGTACCTGAAAACTATCTACGTGCCATATTTGGAAGCTACCTCGCCAGTCGCTTCGTTTACGAGTACGGTGTATCGGCTAGTCAATTCGCTTTCTTTGACTTCATGAACAAGCGTATGGCGAAGGGCAGCAAACCAGCTGCTCACTAGGAGGTTGTCACGAGTAATGAGCATGAGCGTCAGAGCTCAAAAGGCGTTTTGGAATGGATTCAAAAGTTAACTGAGGAGGCTCAGAGATATTCTCCGACCATGGACATGGACGGCGCTTAGGGGATCCCATCATATGGGTGCTGGGACGGGCGGCTATTTGGCTGTACCAACGAATGATAGATGAATACAAGTGATTCAATTCATGGCATGCTAAGAATATCGTCAAACATACATCTGTTCCTGCGGCTCTTTCTCATAGCAGTTACAATCCATCGCGATAATATGGTAGGGCCGCAGAGAGCGGTGTGTCGCGAAGCGGGCAAACAACTCTAATAACAAAAGATTACGGTGCTGAGTAGGCTATTTCAGAACAAAACAGTCTGATCGGGAAGCCTCTATAGAACATGACTTGGTTTAGCGGATCTCTCATTGGCCCAGCTGACCTTGCCATGCGTTGTTGTGATGAGACACGTCCTCCGTCTCGCTTGAGAGTTAAAGTGCGAGCTTCCCCCGCCCGTTCTGGCCTCGATCTCCCACTTTCAACAACAACAATCTCTGTCGCATCCACAAACCATACCTCAGATATTGTCGCCAATAGTTGTAAGTAAGTCGCCTGCATTTATTTTCCTATCTGTCTACGTCACTGGCGCAAATCTGCATGTCTTCGCCTGCTTTTGTGCGCTTTTGCAAGGCACGTCAGCGTCATGCCAGCAGCTTTTCGCGCTCATTCGGCATAACGCGCTTACCTTACCTTCTTTCTACATGCATAATGGTCGCCTTCGTCTTATCCATCTGCTTTTTCGGTTTTGGAAGGAATAGCTTGTTGGAAAGCTTCGTATCCCGCGCACTGCTTCCACACTACGTGGCACGCGTGCTAACTTTCGTCATCCAGCTTCGACTCACCACTTCACACGCCACAGAAACACTTCAGAGACACCTAGTCACTACTCAAGAACGTCCAGAATAGACAAGATGGCTGCAACTACGCGCGCGAGAACTGGTAAGCTTCCTCACTACTTCACAAGCTCGGCATGTATATACCGCCTTGCACTGCCCCAATCACGCCCCAATACCCCGAGCGTCCTTACCAAACACATACAGTAATGTACTGACATCTATACAAAGGCAACTCCAAGCCCCGTCTCGTCCAGCAGATTGAAAACGCAGTCGCGCCCACAAAACGAAGCACGACTACCAAAGCCAACACGTCGAAGCCCCGCACCAGCAAAGTGGCTTCTGGTCGCGTTACCAAGCCCAAGGCTACTACTACCACGACTACCACTAAGAAGACTACTACGACCAAAAAGCCTGCTGCCGCACCAAAGAAGACTACTGGCGCGAATGTGAAGACTGTGAAGAAGCCGAGGACCAAGACGGAGAAGGTTGTGGATAAGATTGTGGGAAAGGCAGAGAACATTGTTGGTGATATCGAAGGCAAGCCAGGAAAAAAGGTAAAGCATTCTTTATATCTTGCAAATTAGAGAAACACGTCAACTAATATACTCTTCTTCTCTAGGCCGCAGGTACCGCCAAAGCACGAGGCACAGACTCGACCACCAAGCGTGCCGCACCACGAACTCGAGGCGTCAGGGTCTAAGACAGGTCTTTTGTTCGTTTGCTCTGCAGAGCATCACCGAGCCGACGACGTTGTTGGTCTCTTACCTGCCTCGCTTGCGCCGTCATCTGTTCTGTCTAAAACAAGATGAGCTGAGATACATGGTATCCATCGTGTTTCTCTTTTTTTATTTTTATGAGTTACGATGAGCATTTCTTCTCCTTGTTGTTCTGTTTGTGTTCGGAAAGTGTATGATAAGATACCCAGGCGTTTTTGATACTTTTGTTTCTAGACAATGAGACTGTTATCAACCAGCATAGCCGGCGAGGCTTCATTGTGTTGACCTACTCATGATGCTAGTAGGTGGCTTGTTCTTTAGGATAGGGTAACGTGTGTTGGCAGAAACCGGCGGCGAGGTGGAATACAGGGAACTATGCCCTGAAGACTGCAGTATCTCCTGACGAACAGGACTGAACGACGACAGCACCTTGACGATGAAGAAGCAAAGGAGAGCAACCATGCGTACGGGAAGGAGAGAATATAACGCTCATGGACATGTAAATTACCCCCTAAAACCACTCATGTTCACTCTACCGAAAAGCAACCCTAACTTCCTTAGCAGGCTGCAGCACAATATCAGCATGCATTCCCGGCTCCACACCCCCCATCCTATTCTCCACCGTCTCAAACCGCTGAAACAGTCTCACAAGCGTATACCCCATCTCAGTAAGCGCAAACTGCTGACCAATACAGATCCTAGGCCCCCCGTTGAACGGGACATAGGTCCAGCTCTTCGGGGTCCAAGAATTCCACCGATCGGGTGCGAAAGCCGAGGGAGGAGGGAAAGAAACAGAAGTGGGCGGGTACAAGTCTGCGCGGCGCTGCATGACGAGGGTTGAGTAGCCGATTGGTGTGCCCGCGAGGACACCGATAGGTTGTGTGCCGTCTGGACCACCGCCGGTGGGGAGCGTAGTGTCTTTGAGGGACATGCGCACGTTGTATGGGACGACGGGGTAGAGACGGAGGGTTTCGTTTAGGATGTGTTGGAGATACTTCATGTTTTTGAGGTCCTCGTAGGTTGGCTGGCGGTCTGGACCAACTGTTTGGAGGATTTCTTGACGCAGTTTGGCGGTTATGGTCGGGTCTATGGATAAGTGGTAAATTACCCATGTTAGGGTGCAGGCTGTTGTGTCGCGGCCTGCTAGGAGCACGGAAACGAGTTGGTCGCGTAGCATGGCTCGGTCGCGTGTGTAGCCTGCGATGGCGTGGAGGAACGTGTAACCTTCGTCGTGGTTTGTCTTCTTTTCGAGCTCTTCCGGGGAGAGTGCGAGGGCTTTGTCGATGAAACTGGAGACGAAGTCGTTGATGATGTTGATAGAGTCGTAGAAGCCCATCCGCTTTCGAGGGATAAGCCAGTTTAGAGGTCTGCTTGGTGTTAGTGACAAGCTGCAGATATACAAGCAAGTAGACATACCCGACTCTAGCTACGAAGCTCTGTACACGCTGAGCGTTGTAGAATGCATCTGCGAAGACTGTTTTTGGTTCATCCAAACTGCCTACACTCTGGCCAAGTAGGAAATGTGTAGCTGCATCCAAAGTGTACCTGAACATCATATCAAGCGTGTCGATCTCACCACTTTGGGCGATCTTGGAAATAAGAATTTGGGTATGTTGTTCGAAGATGTCAATATCGCTGAGGCGATCCTTGACGAATTGTGGTCGGATGAGCTGACGTGAGTTATGCCATAATTGCCCATCGGTGGTGAAGATGCCTGTTCGAAAACTGTTAGCCGTCCATCCATTGAGTCTAAGTGTGTATAGTTATTCCACACAACGCGGGGCCGTGGGTTCCGCTCTCTGGTACACGTACCGTTGCCCAAAAAGGTATGCCAGTCCTTCCTAAACTGCTCTCCCTTGCCATAGTCCTTGAACTGCGTCGCAAGAATAGCCTTGATGTTCTCGGGTTCTGCGGTCAAAAGCACGCGCTCGCCTACACCAGCCTCGATTGTGTAATGGCCTGGACCACACCATTTCTCGAACATGCCAACCCACATCTCGTATGACTTGTCCTTCAAAGCATATGTGATGACTTCGTACGCCATGTCAAGGCCGTATGGGACGTATGTCTTTCGGACTGGCGCTCGAGCGCCGAGTTTGCGGATTCGCGCATCGATGTAGAATCTCTGTACGACTCTGTAGCCGATGAACAGGACAGCGACGGCGCCGAGTAGGTAGGGGGTCGAGATATTCATGATCTTGAGCTCGGTCATGACGAGTGGAGACGAGTCTTGGAGCCTATAGTGCTTTGCAGGTTGTCAGCAACGCATATAAGGCAGCATTCACATGAAGAACATGCGTCGCGCCGATTGGACTACCGGCGGGTAAACGACTCACTCTTACTTTAGACTCTCGGGACGTCAAGGAAGCCGAGTTTTGACAGCTGCCTTAAGCATGTTAGGAGCCAGCAGCCAATTGGTGCCGCGGGGTCATCCTTCTTTCATGGCACACAAGCTTGCCATGACCTCTTGCCTCCATCCATGGTGCAATCAGAACGTCGCGTGCTCTTTTGACACCTCGGTATGACATCTGAGAGCACTCGTCCCGCAAGACTCGCTATTTTCGACGTAGACGACGTATGTTAGAGGCTCGCGTAGCCATGGTGCGCTCATGCACATGCTTGATGCCCTGTAAAAGCGGGGAAGGACGATCGATATAGTTGGGCAAAGTGGGGATGGCTGTGGCATCGTGCCGCCCGGGCGAAGTCTGGAAGACTTGGAAATCCGATTTCCGTGCTGCTAAAGCAACATCTTTATGGAAAGCCAACAGCTCAAGAGATAACATGTTTGCGATCTGATAGAGTTTTAGTTGTGCGCTTACTGAGTACGTGCGATACGGATACCTTCCATCATCTCACGGCGATCGCCTGGACTGCCGAGGCGGCTGCATCTTGCCGTCACCATTGACCCGCGGAAACCCCAGAAGATTGTTAGTGATGCGGAGGACGCGTCGCAGGGTGCATCTTACACAACTTGAAGCTAACGTCGAAGCCGATGGAACTTCTCTTATACTGCAGACGAGGCTGAGGCTGAACGCCTGCACGTCATCGTACTTTTGCTTGAAGGCGCCCCACTAGCTTCCATCCACCCACCTCTCGGCGAAGGGTTGCGATACCACCTCAAAGTTACAACTCGACGGCCTTCGAGCAACGCTATACAGAGTATCCTAGACATTAATATATCACCCGCCGTGGTTACCAGGCATACCTGGAAGCTGGGGCTGTGTGAGGCCGTTAGAGCTGACGGATCGGGCCTAATATCTCCTTGCGCCAGTCTTCAGACTTGTACATAAATTGCACTTCGTCATCAGTCTCTCCTATCCTTCTAGGTGTTCTCAGTTTCTACTTGATTTCTTTGCAATATGAGACTTGTTGTACCTACCACACTATCTTTTCTCATATCTTCAGTTGCGGCCGTATGGCCGATACCCGTTTCACATGAGCATGGCGACACCGTTCTTTTCATCTCGAAAGATGTGCCATTCTATTGGTACGAAGCTGGCGCAAGAAATGTAGGCTCAATCATAGATCAGATTCCCTTTCTCTTCGCATCACATTCTAACAGCAGCCCCGATATTCAGGACAGCAGCGAGCTGAAGCTACGCAAGACCTACACAGAACCAGTACTCAGCGAGGCTTCCGGGAATTCTAGCCAACAAGGCGTTACCAGCGAGGACATTATCGAGTTCGCTATCAGTTCCACTTGGCAAACAGTTTTCAAGAACAACTTCTACCCATGGAAGTTTCACCCTCGAGACTGGAATGAGCCATCTCCAAACTCGTCAAATACAACATACGTCTCTCGCGTCGATGTCAAATTGCTCAAAGCCGATCAGCCGAATGTCGCTAAGCCGCTTGCTGGAGAGGTCGACGAATCTTATAGTCTGACCTTAACAGAGCAGGGTGTTGCAAGCATCAGCGCAAATACCAGCATAGGGATAGCACGAGGCCTGACGACATTTACGCAGCTCTTCTATGCACACTCCAACAAGCAGGATGTATACACCCTTTCGTCACCTGTGCGGGTATTCGACAGTCCGAGATTCCAGCATCGCGGCATCAATCTCGATACCTCACGCCACTACTTCTCCACAGCCGACGTCAAACGGCAAATCGACGCATGTGCTTACAACAAGATGAATCGGTTTCACCTCCACGTGACAGATAGTCAGTCCTGGCCTTTGGAGATACCTTCCATGCCTGAGCTATCTGCCAAGGGGGCATACCGTCCAGATCTAGTATACACCGTAAATGACTTCAGAGACTTCCAACGCCATGCAGCAATTCAAGGCGTAGAGATGATTACCGAAATCGACATGCCAGGCCATACCTCAAGCATACACCATAGTTTCCCAGAACTAGTAGCGGCATTCGAGCAACAACCAGACTGGAATACCTACGCCGCGCAGCCGCCAACCGGCACACTGAAACTGAACTCTACCGCCGTCTACGATTTCGTCGAGAAGCTCTTTAATGATTTACTCCCGAGAGTCTACCCGTACTCAGCGTACTATCACACTGGCGGTGATGAAGTAAACCGGAATGCATACTTACTCGATGAAACGGTAAAGAGCAATGATTCGGCTATCCTGCAACCCCTCATGCAGACATTCGTTGATCGAGCCCACGATCAGGTACGCGCCATGGGACTCACACCTGTGGTATGGGAAGAAATGCTATTGGAATGGAACTTGACACTTGGCTCTGATGTGATTGTGCAGTCGTGGCGGAGCGACGAGGCAGTTGCACAGATCACCGCAGCGGGGCATAAAGCCTTGGTTGGAAACTACAACTACTGGGTAAGCGAAACTTCGTCTACATATATTCCAACCAATAACTTCTTCTCCACCACTTCCTGCCCTCCCAAGAAACGATGAATCGCGTGTACTAACAAATGGCAAAAGTACCTCGACTGCGGTAAAGGCCAATGGCTCAACTTTGACCCCTCAGTCAGCGCCCAATACTGGCCTTACCAGGACTACTGTGCTCCCTTTCATAACTGGCGTCTGATCTACTCGTATGACCCCTTATCCGGCGTTCCTCCTGAGAACCAGCATCTCGTACTAGGTGGTGAAGCGCATATGTGGGCCGAGCAGACCGACCCCGTTAATGTCGATAGGATGATTTGGCCCCGTGCTGCTGCGGCTGCGGAGGTGCTTTGGTCGGGCGCCAAGGATGCGTCGGGCCAGAATAGAAGTCAGATTGATGCGGCGCCTAGGTTGAGCGAGATGAGAGAGAGGCTGGTGGGCAAGGGAATTGGGGCCGAGCCGATTCAGATGCCGTACTGTACTATGGAGGGGAATGTTTGTCAATTGGGGTTTACTGGGTGAGGCGAACATGTAGAATGTTGAAGGGAGTATAGCAGTAGGTTGCGAATGAAAACGTCCAGATCCGTCATACATATTTCCCTCTCCCTTTCCTCAACGCCAACCGCCCTCCATATCTTTGTTCATGATACTGGGTATATCATCAGAATTCCATGGCATCAGCACCTTCCTCCCTCTCCCTCTTAAGCGCTGGTTTCTCCTCATCCACCAAGCCCGCGACAAACCGTCGGAAATAATCTACATATGGCTTTAAGCTCGTCTTCTCCCAATCTTGCATCTTCTTATCAGTTTCTTCGCCCGACCAATCGTCGATTTCCTGAAGTAATTGCGTGACTGTTGGAACACTCAACGGGTCGAATTCTTCCACTTTCCTTGTATCAATTGGGACACAGACACGACCTGTTCCGGGATGAATTACGAATGGTGATTTGAGCAAATGGTTTAACTTCTTGGAGACTTCGGCGTCGAGACGGGGGTATGTGTATTCTAGGATGATGTCTTGTTTGGCTTCGAGGAGGTCTTTGGGCGTCTTTGACAAGGCACCGGATTTTGCTAACGCGTCGATGTCGGCCCATTTTGATGCACTAGGGCGGGAGGGTGCCGAGTCCCATTTCTTCTGTAATGCGGCTTTGAGAGTGGTGTCTGGAATGAGGTTGAGGAGGTGTGCAGCCTTTTCTTCTGCGGCCCAAGGGTCTTGTTCGGCGAGGATGGTGGTTTGAAAGTGCTCTTTCAAAACCGCCAAACTACGTTCGAGATGTGGATGTAGGGGTCGTCGTGCATTTACTCTCTTGCCGCCCTGGTCTCCTCCTTTGAGCAACTCGAGATAGCCGGCTACAGAGCGGCGCTTCTGGTCGTCCATTTCTCGTGCGCGCTTGTCACAGACCCAGGCGTGGGCTCCTCGACGACCGGAGTATACCCAGAGGATGTGTTTAAACCCAAAGTCTTCCCGTAGAGCAACATCGATGGTCTTGATGGCCATTGTGATGAAGCCCCAGCACTTCAGACAGATACTCGCACCCGTGCAGCATGTTCTGATATCGTCGTAATCTGTCATATCAATATCAAACACCAACTCTTTCATCAATGGACGGAATGAGCTCGCTTTCCGCAATGTCTTTCTATCTCTCGGGTTCGTGCTGTACATGGGACCGATTTCGAAACGTGAGGGCAGCATGTTTATGCATTGTTTCCGTAGTAAATCGGCTGTTGGAAAAGACTGGTAGCGTAGGTATGCGTCATTGGGTAGAGTGAAGGCGAATTCGCGGTGTGCAAAGTCGTTGCTGGGTGTTGCGGAATGGTTCAGCCATTGGAAGAGAGGGCGGAAAGGGAATAAGCGTTGGTAGAAGGCACGCATAACATCTGGATCGGAGAAGGAGGACTTGGATGTGATCTTGCTATAGGTTTATGAGCGAGTGCCATGGATGTGATACTTCAGTAGGTGGGGGCGTACATTGGTGCGGGTTGCGAGAGATCGTCTTGCGACGTAGGTGCTGGCGCACTCGAAGCAAACTCTTCGTCTGAATCCTCATCATCGAAGAGCTCTTCGAGGCTTACTTTGGGCTTCTCTACTACGGCAGGTGTGGGTGCGTCGTCCATTGCAACATCTTGCGTCTCTGGTTCGGTTTTGACAGCATCAGCTTGGGAAAGTGTCGCCGAGGACTCCTCTGCGGGCGTTGATTCTGACGTAATCGAATGCGGCATCTCGGAAATCATACGAGTAGATTTTGACGTATATGTTGTGAGAACGCGGATGCTGAGGGTGAAAGAGTTGGCCGACGCGTTCGCGTATAGTGGTCGCGCGCGCGTTTGGGCTGCAGGGGTACCCTTGTCAGCTGTCCCTTGTTGCTTCCTCATATGGATAACCATCGCTCGTCATATCACGTCAACTTTCGAGCAAACTTTCCCGACATTGCTCAAACCCCAGGGCATGAACCCCGATAGTTCTCACAACGCGACAGATGGAGGGGGAGGATACTGTGTCTGGAGAAGGGTGGATCTCTGATGACAGCAGCTTCTATGGTGAGTACTTGGTGATGGATTCTATACTGCGGCATGTCACAGCCGCATCTGACTGACATTGGACGCAGGTGATGAAGTTGAACAACGACACCAATCAAGACTGTGCAAGAAATTCAAGCACGAACCGTTCTGGCATGCACATCATAAGGACCTAAATGTGCTTACGATGGCTGCCAGGACACCTAAACCACCATCCGGCAAAGCCAAGTTAGGCACAGATCCTGTGGCGAAGGGCAATACCTTCACTATGACGGGTGTTGATCGCAAAATTATGGAGCAGGAACGACTCGAGAGGCTAGGCAAGCGAAAGCGAGGCCCTTCGCCCATACTGTCGTCGCAGCACGAACTGTTCAATCTCCTAGAAGGACAGTTCGATGCGTGGCAACTAGGCGAGTCTGTTGACGATTTTGCCAGAAGACTCTCTCCCGTTACTACCTCTATCTCGACATGTCCCTGGATTTGGGCCGCTAATCCGCATCGCAACCCTCGCGACAAGTCACCTTCGTCTCGCGTTGAAGACTTCACATCGCGTGGCATGGACCTACTTGAGCAGTCGCTTCAGGTCCGCCGCAACATACAGAAAGAAGGTGCCCGAGCACCCAGAGGCATGGTGACTAAACAGCTGTATCAAGAGAGTAAGGCCCTACAGGAACGAATTACAAGCCTCGCAAAGGATACGCATGTTCTCTCTGGGAAGGTACGTTCAATTAGCCAGTCGAACATCAGGTTGTTCTTTTGATTGACTGAAACTAGTGGATGCTGTTCCCAAAGTCTATGGATGTCGGCCGGGTTTGGAAGCAAGTTGTTGCAATCGTGATCGACAATCGACTCGGTTGTACCTGCAAGGTGGCTACCGATGATGGCAGGGAAGAGAGACTGAGTAAGCTTGACTTGTAGTATGCAGTGTACGATTGCTGATCGTATCGTAGTCTGTGTCTACACAAAGGACTTCCAGGATGCTGACGACGTGTTGCGAGTACTCCACGAGCTCGAGCATATGGGCCTCCTTAACGCCGGTAAAACCATCTATTACAAACCAGACGCCTACACTTACCTAAATCTTGCACGCGAGACAGCCGCAGAATATGGTCTACAAGCTAGCCTTTATAACTCCCGGTCTCTGTTGGCGGCTGACAAGGTGTCAAAGTCAGCATCGCTCGACCGGAAAAAGCAGTCGGCGTTGAACAAGTTTCTTTGAGTGCGCATCGGTGGCTGTTGTGTTACTTAAAGGACGCGACCAGCAGGAGCTTTTAACTAACAACCCCTCAAAAGGTGCAGGTGCTGCCATTTTACCCCAAGGTGACATTCAATTCATCTTAGTCTCTTTCAATGCACCTCCTCAAGCCGATCTGCCCCGTTGCTTCGTCATCGCGATTGCTGGCAGCTACGTCCTTTGAATAGTACTACAGACATCGTCCGCAAACAAAAAAAGCACGCGTCAGGTATGCAGTTAAACCTGTCGACGCTGATCTCCGAGCCGCTCTCGGAGGTAACAGTCCCTTTGATATGCCAACGAGACTGAAACTAAGACCATTGCGTACCATGCTGAACAACATGTTCTTCAATCACCTGAGGCAAACGTAAGCAAAATTCATCTCCGGTGTTGCATTGCAGTTGCAAAGTCTTTACCGCTACACTGAACAGCCCGTAGGCGCATGCAGCCAATGTAGACACAGTTCGGCACATCGTATCTGCAGAGCCTTCTGGCCACCAGAACGAGTTGAGAGTAGCTGTCGTTCTGCGACGTCCGTGGTGTTGGCGCGCTACTGAAAATTCCAGAAACTGTGAGGCGTCGAGTTTCCGTTACTCGATAGTTACCTAGAGGACAGGGCTTCGAGCGCCGTAGTTCGCCGCTTGCATTGGACGACTTCCACCGACGATCACAGCATGTCAGAACATCGGAATACACCGAAACCACATTTTGGCCGTCTCTTTATGTCTATACATAACCTCTTCTAATAAGGTTGCAATACAATATCCAAGTGTAATTGTGTCTGTTTGAATGAGGTAGACTCGAGAAAAGACACAGTAAGAGCCGGGCGCACTCGGGTTCTCGGTTGATAATATGGCTGTCGGCCAGCCCCGAGAATTGTCAGGGCGTTCATATTGGACTAGCCTTCGGCTGGTATCTGTCTTCGGCACATTGTGTTTTCCTTATTCGATTTCTATCGAGTAATGAGAAGGTCGTGTTGGGAGGTACGCTGGCTGACATGCGCTTAGCTTCTCGGACAGAATCGGGCCTTACTCCGATGACTTCTGGACTCGCATCTCTTGTCCACCCACAAGCATCCCAAGGTCAACAACAATTTCTTCTTCACTTCCAACGTAAACTTTCAGGGAAGCAGTGAATAACATATAGTAGATGTTCGGAATCCTACAGTATGACGCTCCGCCGTTGACCCTGCGCTAGTTCGGGGCTCTAATCTCGCGATCTACTGTGCGCCTATCGCATGCAGCTACATCCTTGCAGGTGCTTATCAGTAGCATATGCACGTCCCCCAACACCATCTAAGACGTGCAGCAACACAGTGAGGAAGTGTGCCGCTTTCAACACTTTACCAAACTCTCGAGGGAGTCCTTCGTTAGCATCCATGGCAGAGAAACAGTCTTTAATACGTGCAATTTATACAGCAGATATATTACATTATTGATCTTGCAAATAGAATGCAGTACCAGGGCCAACAGACTCGTATTTACACTAGATCAACTAACGGGAGACAGGGTCGAGACGCATGGCTAAGGCGGCCACGATAGCCTACCTCCACACTGGTTACTCGATAGAATCGAGCAACGTGTATTTCAGGGTTCGCCGATGCTCCACAGTCCCCTGACGCCATGTTAGCCAGTCCCAGATTTTGGCTACAACGCCCCGAGAGGATCTTTGGGCTGGCCCATACCAACGGGTAGATAAGAGGCTGTACCCCAGTTTTTGGCGTTTTTGGTAATCAGTCACTCAGCGCATTTCTTCCGTTACACGTCCTCAGTGTCTAAAAGTACTACTTCGTTTACTCTCTGGAGGATCCAAACCACATTCCTCTTTGACATCTGTTAGGCGCAACACCAAACGTGCCTTATCAACGCTTATCTGCAGCTCACCCGGAGACACCCACATCTTCTTCCCCGCGTTTGCCGAATTCGGGGCTTGTTACTGTATATAGCTCTTGCTGTTAGCACGAAGCTGAGCACCCTTACACTTCTTCCCTAGTCTTTTTGTCTTCTCGTCTTTTCACAGTCGAAAACATTTACAACTTGTCATTATGGCTCCACACGCTACCACACCTCCTCCTGTTTCCCACGAGCAACCCCTTCATCCTATCACAGTTCTTGCTTCTTCAAGAGCAGTCGTTGCTGGTCGGTTGACTGAGGCTACCATCGTTGTATCAAACCACACGGGGAAGATCACATCCATCTTCCATTCAGTACTTCCCCCTACAGACTTCCCCGAAGGCACATCATACACCGACTACTCGCCACATATCCTACTACCCGGTCTTGTCGATGCCCACGTCCACCTCAACGAGCCTGGTCGAACGGAATGGGAAGGCTTCTGGACTGGTACCCGAGCTGCGGCATTCGGTGGTGTCACAACTGTCATTGACATGCCATTGAACGCTATCCCTCCTACGACTACTGTCGAGAACCTCAAGATCAAATGCGAAGCATCACAAGGAAAATGCTGGGTTGATGTAGGCTTCTACGGTGGCATCATCCCTGGTAACTCAGGTGATCTGAAGGCTTTAGTCAAGGAGGGTGTTCGGGGCTTCAAGGGCTTCCTGTGTGACAGTGGAGTAAGTACATTCATCTCGACATCCTAAAGACACATGACACTAACATGCCTTCAGGTCGAAGAATTCCCCGCTGTATCATCAATAGACATTGAAAAAGCTCTCCTCGAACTCAAAGATTCAGCAACAACACTCATGTTCCACGCCGAGATGATCCCACCCATTGCCGACTCGGTAGGCGACGATATCCAGCGTTCAAACCCCCCTCTCGCCCCCAAAGGCCCTCTAACTTCTTACGACACATTCCTCCAATCACGACCGCCATCCTTCGAAACATGCGCCGTGGCCGAAATCCTGTCATTGGCGCATCTTGCCCCAGAGCTACAACTCCACATCGTCCATCTCTCCGCCATAGAAGCTATCCCTATGCTACGCAAAGCACGCGCCGACGGCATAAAAATCACTGCAGAAACCTGTTTTCACTACCTCGCCCTTGCGGCTGAAGGCATCCAAGAAGGCGACACAAGACACAAATGCTGCCCGCCCATCCGCTCCCAATCAAACCAAGACGGTCTATGGGAGGAACTCCTCCAAGACACGGCCGATGGTGTTATCCAAACAGTCGTTTCAGACCACTCCCCTTGCACCCCAGAGATCAAGCTCCTACCCTCACATCTCGCGCCCAAAAAGACGAGTACAGCTGCGCGTAAAGAAGGTCACGCAAAAGACTGCGATTCATGTGAGAGCAGCGAAGGCGAAATGGAAGGACCGGAAGAGAAGGGCGATTTCTTCAGCGCTTGGGGCGGCATCTCGAGTGTGGGGCTCGGTCTACCCATTCTATGGACCGAAGGCACAAAGCGCAATGCCGACTTCAGCGTCGAGGAGATTGTACGATGGTGCTGCAGAAACACAGCCAAGCAAGTTGGACTTGAGAAGAGCAAGGGTGACATTAGTGTGGGCTTTGATGCTGATATTGTTGTTTTTGACGACAAGGCTGAATTCTTGGTACGTTGGCTGCTTCTTCTTCTTCTTCGTCTTCTCTATGAGTTGTAAACTGACTAAGATATAGGTCGAACCAAACACCATGCTCTTCCGTAACAAGGTCTCACCCTACGAGAACAAGACCCTCAAGGGTGTTGTGAGAGAGACTTGGCTACGCGGTCAACGCGTTTTCTCCAGGACAGAAGGGTTCCAAGAGAAATCTGGTCCGCAAGGAAAGTTGCTGCTTGAGCCAAGGAAGATGGGCGTTTAGATTGACAGGGATGGGGAATAGAGTGTCTTTTTTCCGAGTCATTATGAGGGGTATGGTATATATGCATATTTGGGACGCTGCATAGAGCATGTGGTGTTTGATGCATTTTTTTCTTGGGTAACTGCATAGATGGTGTTTTTCAATTGGGTATGAAATGACATATTCTTCATATTTCTACTTGTTCTCAATTCGAAGGAACTGGAGAACGATGCCGTATCTACACGATGCCAGCTTCTTTAGCAAAAAGAGGTGTACGCTGGAATGTTCCGCAATCGCAAGTAAGTATCCACCGAGAACAGAAGTCCACTTCCCCCGGGGTACATAATATAATACACATCCCCCATCTCCCACATATATACGCCTCTTGACGTCACAGCAAGCCTCTGGAGGTTTGATTTACAAGTATTTCTTCGGTGCACCGCCTCGCCTCTTCTTGTACACGATATAAGCACCTGTAACCATGATTTGAACAGCAACGGCGATGAAGAGGAACGTCGTCATGCTAGGTCCACTGTTGGTGACGACTGTAATATCTTGTTAGTTTGTTCTTTTCTCACATCATACGAATCTAGAGTTTATTACTTACCATCACCCATCATACCGGGCAAGCTCTGCATGACGTTGCCGTGATTCCTGTCCAGTGCGCGATGGATCTGGTTCATCATATCCTTGAAGTCCTTGTTCTCCAAGTCTCGCAGTATCTGCATAGTTGTGCGTTCGACCTTTTCAACGTTGCGGATCGTGGCGGCGCCGCGGTCGTCGATGGGTACGATGCGGTGCATGAGCTCGTTCCAGCGCTCGTCGTTCTGCTTTTGGATTTTCTCAACCGTCTCGGCGATTTCAAAGACGCGGTTGTTGATGATTTGAATGCGGTTGTGGAGGTCGGCGAATTGATCCTGTTGCGAGCGGATATTGCCTGCTAGGACATCTTCGAGCATCTTTGGGATGTCGTTCTGAGAGGTGGAGGAACCGTAGTTTTGCTGTTGTGCTTGGTTCTGCTTGTGTGTCTGCTGTTCGTGACCTTGTTGAGCGGCGAGATTCTGCTGCTGCTGGTGTTGCTGGGAGTTTATGTAGTCCTTCTTCTTCAAGTTGGGTTCTTCGCGCGCGTATGAGTTGGTCGTAGATACGATGAACTTGTGGACTTCGAAAGAGTCGGGGTTCTCGGCAGAGGAGGCGCTTACACCGAAGTAGTAGCCTTCAGGCAGTGCGATCTAGAGCAACAGTCAGTACTGTGCATTTGAGGGCGTGGACCATAATAGCATACCTTGTCAGTCTTGAAGCAAGTCTGCCCGTCTACGATGACCTCGAGGAAGCCCTCTGCGTGGTGGAGTTTGATAGGTGTGAGTTCTCCACGGTTTCTGTATGCATAATCGCATTTACCAAAGGCCAGCGTGTCTGGATCAGGGTGGGACCTGATGTCCTTGGTTCCGTCGTTCAAGAAACCGCGGACCGAGCCTCCGTGCCCTTCGTACTGGTCTATAAGTAGCACTAAGCCGTCAAACTTGGGTGCCGTATACAAGCTCGCTGGTGTCTCATGCGCCTGTGAATCCCTCACGTACCACATCTGTAGATTACCACCTCCACGCTCCATACCAGTCGCTCTGAAGTCCAACTCGGCGGTCCAATCGCCCTTGTGGTGTAGCGGATCCTGCGCCCATATCGAACCGCGCTTGCTTCCTGGGTATGGAGGTGTAAGGATCACTCTGTCGGAAAGGATCTGTGGCACATAGTCGTCTGCGCCCTGAACGACGAAGTGAGGGACTGCGCGAAGATCGGGCGAGATATAGACACCGGCTTTCTGACCGAAGCTTAGATTATCTATGACATACTGGGCGTATGCTGGAGAGAAGGCGAGAGTGGACCAGGCAATGCTTCGCAGCGACTGCGATGTGATGTGCATGTTGGTGGGGCGCAATGCGCTGCTCGCGTCGATAAGGAGGTTCGATTTAGAGTGCAATTGATGGCTTGACTATACTCCGAGGTAGTCTATCTTTCACGAAGTTGTGTCAGGGGTTTGTCGAGTTGAGATGCATGGAAGTGAGCATACGTACCTCGTGCTTGACCAGTAGTCCCGCCTGCGTCGCAATACTACACGCGACAGTCGCAAGATGATTAATCGAAAGAGAAAGAAACAATCGGGTATCACGAAACGATGGCAATGCACAAGAAGAGAAGAACCGCCACCAGATGGGCAGGTACGCAACTTATTGGAGTTTGGGAAGCTTATGGACAGCTGTGCTTAAGACGGGACTACCTATGACATTGATTGGGTGGTCTATGCGCGGGCATACTGTGACAACTGTAAGAGCCACCGCCTAAGATGAGACGTCAAGCCCGCGAGGAGACTCGACTTGTGGATACAATTTCAATGTAATGTTTCAAGCGATGCACGAATCACTGGAAACAATGTCGTAAGAGGGTCTAACTCCCGAGAAACAGCAATGCGGAGGTTTGGCTTGGCAGGTCTGTTGCGTCGGGGGTTGTGATTCGCCGGCTACCATTTTCTCCATCGTCGTCTACCTCATCACCGAGCTTCCATCCGCCATCGTCGCCGCCTACACGTCTTACGCACCCCACGTCAACCCCCTCACCTCACCACCAACATGTCTGCACCAGACCCAAAGGAAGCCTGGGCGCGCATCCAGAATGAACTCACACGACGAAGCGCTCGATTCGGAGGCGCGGGCGGCGGCGGACCACCCAAGGGTGTCTTTGGTGGAATCGGAGGACTGATACTCATTGGTGGCGGAATATGGATGGCCAACAACGCTCTGTTCAACGGTACGCCTTGCTTTACACAGGCCTCTGCTAGGCACTTCCGACTGCGCATAAGATGAATGGTACTAACTCGCAACAGTCGATGGTGGCCACCGAGCAATCAAGTACACCCGAGTAGGCGGCGTGCAGAAGGAAATCTACAGCGAAGGAACTCACTTCCGAATTCCCTGGTTCGAGACCCCCATTACCTACGATGTGCGCGCCAAACCACGAAACGTCGCTTCCCTTACTGGTACCAAGGACTTGCAGATGGTCAACATAACCTGCCGTGTACTGTCAAGACCACGTGTAGAGTCTCTGCCCCAGATCTACAGGACACTGGGCACCGACTACGACGAGCGCGTCTTGCCATCCATTGTCAACGAGGTTCTCAAGAGCGTGGTGGCGCAGTTCAATGCTAGTCAACTCATCACACAGCGTGAGAACGTCAGTAGGCTGGTACGAGACAACTTGGTCCGGAGAGCAGCGAGGTTCAACATCATGCTCGATGATGTCTCTCTAACAGTAAGCCACCTCCCAACGTCTTTACCCCGCCACCTTCTGATTATCCTTAGCACCTCGCCTTCTCCCCCGAATTCACCGCCGCAGTAGAAGCCAAGCAAGTCGCACAGCAAGAGGCCCAGCGTGCCGCTTTCGTCGTTGACAAAGCCCGTCAAGAGAAGCAAGCCACCGTCGTTCGCGCCCAGGGTGAGGCCCGCTCCGCCGAGTTGATTGGTGACGCCATCAAGAAGAGCAGGAGTTACGTCGACCTCAGGGAGTTTGAGAACGCAAGGAATATCGCACAGATTCTGCAACAGAGCAGCAATAAGGTCTACCTTGACAGCAGGGGTCTTGGTCTGGACATCAGCCAAACCACGGCGGACAAGGAGCAGAGGGCGAACAGGAAGTAAGAAGATGAAGTGGGGTGTCTCCGAAAGAATATCATCCCAAAACCAACATCGTGTATAAATATCTTTGGGAAAAGCGAGGTGCAAGCGTGCAAATGTGTAGCTTTCCACTCATGACGAATAACAACAAAGTACTCCAAACTCAAACCAAATCATGTCTTGGTATCATCTCGCAAACGCTTACTTGGCATAACGTACCCGCGATGTATGCGTTTGGTCGTGTATACAATCGAGCATGGTAAGAAGAGAAGAATAAGGCTGAGTTGAAGGCGATGGTATTGATGCGCTAGTACTATGTATGGGTATCACTCTTCCTCTTCTGTATCATTCTTCCTTTTCTTTCCCGGTCGCTCTCGCTCTTCCTCTTCATCACCTGTGATATCAGTTCCATCTACAGCAACATCACCCTCAACTTCATCCACAGCCCTCTTCCTCTTCTCACTCCTCGTGACCTCCTCACCAGCCGACTTCTCCGTAACGAACAACGTACTAGCCGTCTCCTTGACACTACTACTCTGTTCGCTCACTCCCTCTGCCACCGCCACCTCGCCATCTTCCTCCTCATCAATCAGCCCCAGATCAGCCGTATTCTTATCCGGATCCTCCAACGCAGCCTGTATCTTCTCCAACCCCATATCATCACCCTCGAGCGTCTCACTGATCTCCGGATCCACCCAACCCTCGGTATAACTACCTCCGAAATCAATAATCCAGAGCTCATCATTCACGTCTACCATAAAGTTGTCCGCTTTCGCATCACCCCATATGATATCGTTATCGTGAAGCAGCTCGACGTACGCCGCGCACTTGTCGCTCCAAATACGCCTCTTCTCCTCATCCACGCTCGCCTTGAGCAACTTTGTCAACGGCGTCGGCGACTCGATGTTCTCTAGTAATAGGCCCATGACTTCAGTCTTGCTGTTGCCCAGAGCGACGAATCCACGTAGACGGGGAAACTTGATATCGAGATTTAGTTTTTCCATCTTGCGTAGGATTTGTATCTCCCGCTTGACAGAGTCGGGCTGGTCGGATACCACAGGTTTGAAGAAGTATGTTTCGCTTGTCTTGTTGTGTAGGACTTGGCCTGGGTGGGCGGGCGGAGGCATGCTGACTTCGGATTGGACGGTCAGGTCGTTTGCGTTGAGCCAGGCGAGTTTGTAGTCTTGCATGTATTTGGGCACTTTCATGCGAGGCACAAGGGCTTCGATTTTGCTTTCTAGATCGGTTGTTGTTTCCAGGAGTGCTGGGGAGAGCTCTCCGTTGGCGATTTGCAGAGTGTAGAAGTAGGTGGGACCGTGGTACCATTCGTAGAGGGTTGATTCTTCTGGTTCGCGGTTCGGCGGCGCATAGGTGTTTGTGAGTTCGGAGAAGGAGGCGAGGATCCAGTTTCGTAATTCGACGCCTGCGCTGGCGGAATCTTGGTCTGCGTCCTCTCCTGCTTCTGAAGAGTCGTCTTCTACGTACTCGTCGTCGTCGTCGTCGTCGTCGGCCGAGACGTCAACTCCGCTGTCCTTTCCTTCTGAGCTTTCTCGGTCTTTGCTCTTGTTCTTTTTGCTATGCACTTTTACTTCCCGCTCTTCAGCTAGCTCCTCCTCGCGCTCCTCGGCTTCGCGAAGCGCGGAGATTTTATCAAGATACTCATAGTAGAGAGGCTTCTCACGGGACTTTTGGAGTTCCTTGGGGTCGACGGTAACGTGGAAGCGGACGTCATTGATAAGGGCAGTTAAGGCACAACTATCGTCGTTGTCGTAGCAAAAGTCTAGAGTATGAGCTTTATTGGCGGTAGTGGTCTGGGCCATTGCTTCGAGGAGTATGAGATCGATAGTACCGTATGGCGGATGGCGGGGGTCTCTAGTCACAAAGAAATCGTGGTATTGCAGCTGACAGGGTGTCTAAATAGTGTCGATGCGATACCTGCGCGCTGTTGTAGGCCTCAAGCGGTATTGAATGCGTATCGCCAAAGTTACGAATGTAGATAAATGGCCTACAATGTGAATGTCGGCAGACCACATCTATACCTCTATTACAATAGCTCACAGACACACTTCTACCCCTGTACTGACATCATCGCTGTGGTGGATCGCCGACCTACTTGCATAGTAAATGCCATGCCACACCATAGGGGGCTTTGTCTGATCCATGCATCTACATCATAGATGTCGTCCTGATCTGCAGGTACGATCGAGATAGTGGAGAAGCGGCACCGTCAGAACGCATCTTGAGTGGCTGTCATATACTAGCGCATCGATAGATCTGATTTGAATTGAGTTCCGGGCATCGATCTGAAACTGTGTAAAATTGGAATGGTTGGGGTGAAAGGGATCGAGGCTGGCGCGTCGCGAACACGTCTACGCGCGATGTCGTGACGTCAACTAAGTATTGGGACAACTTAGCGCTTGTGCGTTTCTGTGACGACCATTTCCTGGACGACACCTCGGATACACACTTTGCTTTTGGTCAGCCCGATCGTTGACAGACAAACCGCATGCTGATACCAAGCCCGGAAGATAACATTCCAACATGAAGTCACTGTGGTAAATTGATAAGGCGTCCAACATTGTCTCATTGCTACAGAGGCGCTCATCGATCATCGCGGCGCATCGCCAGCAGACATGCTGCACTCATTCTGACGTTCAAACGTCGTAAAAACCTAACCGTATACGCCTTTTCCGAAATAACCATTGTGCCTGCGAAAGGAGCGTGATCCCACGTCTTGCGGCCCCTACAATAAACAAAAACCAGAAGTGAAACATCGTCCTTTCGTAAGAATAACCTTAGATCCTGTCCAAGCTCGCCCAAATGTGAAGATCGAAATCAATGCGTTGAAACATCTTCCAGAGATTTTGCGAACGCCAAGTCATTATACGTTCGTAATCCATAACAGTTATCATACAGTCTCGCAGTCGCGTCGTAATGTCGACTAAGAAGATTTACACAGTGAAGTCCAAGAGGTCGTACGAGGAAGAGTCGAGGGAAGTAAAGTCACCCATTGCCTTCATCTCAAGATCGAATTGAGAGTACGAGCTGTCAGGCATCGCATCAAACAACTCATCGAGAGCGTCCTTGGACTCGATTGGCGATGTTGGGGGTGTGGTGAACTGGTTCGACTGGATTGATGACCGTGACGGCGAGGAGGACACCTTCAACGGGCTGGACTGGGCTGGCTCATTCGAACCATTGGCGGACCCGGCAGAAGCAGGTCGTGCGTCGACAGGCGACATGGGAGGCGTGTGCGAGTGCTGAGAAAGCTGTTGGAGGATGTTCATGGACGCAGTGTCACTCGGGTAGGCAGTAGACGCATAGCTCGATTGCGCATCTTCCGCGAAAGGGCTTGACGAGGTCTCGAAGCTAGGATATGTGTTAGCATTGAGTAGGACGAGGAGTGGTTGAGAAACTGACCTGAAGGGATCCACTGAAGCGTTCATGGAGTCGTAGCTTTGCGATTCAGACAGAAGCTGAACTGGTTCATATCCCTCAATCGGTGATGAGGATCGAGCATCTGAGTACGGCGAGCCAGCAGACGACGGCGGTGCAGATACTATCGCCCGTCGTGTTCTACTGGCCTTCTCGACCCGCTGCTCCATGTCTGGACGGTTCTTCTTCGGTCGGCCGCGTTTGGCTTGTCGTCGGACTGCGTCAGGGAATCCACCGACACACATACCACGCTGGCGGTGGCGTGTGAGAGCATCTTGGCGAGCGAAGCCTGCGCCACATGGGCACTTGTAAGGCTTGTTGCCTGAATGGATCTTCGCGTGGCGCTTCAGATCGTGTTGTCGAACAAAACACTTGCCACATCCATTGCACTTGTATTGACGATCGCCAAGATGGGTTTGCACGTGTGATCGGATGTTCTCTCGACGTCCGAAAACTTTGCTGCAACCTTCGAAGAGGCAGGTCCATTTGCCGGTTGTTGTATCTTGCTCGCTGATGTAGCGCGCGACTTCTTCCGGTGCGATACCAGTGTACTCGTAACTCGCGTCAACCTCAAGGTCATTGAAGATCTGGGGTTGCGAGAATGAGTCCATCATTGGCAGACCGCTGATCGACATTGAAGTCTGCGGCGTAGGCAATAGGGACTGTGTATGCGAGAACATCATCTCTTGGTGCTCTTCGATGTTCTCCAAGAAAGATTGTACGTCCTTCTGCTGCGGCGAAGATACTGGTGATGGCGACAAAGCATCGGATGTGTAGTAAGATGACGACTCATAGCCCATGTCGGCATCTGGGTTGTCAAAGTCGAAAGTCATGGCTCTTGAGGTTGGCTCAAGGTTGATGTCACCCATGGCGGTGAAGCTTGGGTGCTGAGGAGCTGCGCTAAAAGCCTCATGACTTGGTAGCTGTGCTGGCTTCTGCGGTGTCGCAGTGGGTGTTGGCAAGATATTAATGAAGACTTGTCCACATGAGCCGTACACTGATTGTATGTGCTCGTGAAGTTCTTTCAGTTGCTGTTCAGTAGGGGGCTTAGAGGGGGAGGAAGGAGGCTGCTGGGGAGACTGCTCACGGAGTGTCCGTCGTGGAGTCCGCGGTGTGATGGGAGAGATCTGTACTGGGGATGCCAAAAAGGTATCCTGGGGGCCCGGCTGGGGCTGTCTGTGCGAATGCGCTACTTGCATAGATTGCTGTGGTATTTGTCCTAGATTGTTAGTATTACTTACCGTACTGTCATCCTGCTGGAAGGTTGGTGTGTCGAAGGGTCCTGTTTGTTGGGTGTAGTCCTGGTGTTGGGCTTGTCGGGCAGCATGGATGGATTCTAGGCTGAGGCCGCGTAGATCCAAGCTCATGCCGCTTCGGTTTGGTCGTCGTCGGTGTAGATTAGCAGGTGGTGCTCGTACTGTGGGTGCGTCGAAAACAGCTGGTGTCGAAAGTTGTCGTCGGTGCTGAATTCGTGGGCGCTGGATGCCGGCTGGCATATTGTTGGACAGCATTTCGTATGCAGGTCGAGTCCGGAGTCGGTTCTCGGGAGGATGGGGAATAGTCCTATGGGGTCCGAAACTGATGTGTTGTTAGCAATCGATGTCATGTGATGGTTCGACTACGCTGAGGTGGAAGTCTCGAGTTCAAGATAGTAACTTACCTCACGCAGTGCAAGCGGCGCTCCGCCGGGCGGTTGGTATCCTTATGAAATCCTCAGTACAGATGCAGTCTCCCAGTAGCCTGCTTCAAGTAAGTATGTGGCCGAAGCCTGTGCGGGTATTTATGTGTGTTGGTGGAGATGTGTTTAGTAGCAGTCGCTAAAGCAGCAGCCGATGTTTGAGATGAACAAAGAGATGTGGATGCGAGGGATGAATAGTGAAGTGGAGGATAAATGCGGAGGAGGAGATGACGATGTATAATGCCTTACCAGGTCGGGTAAACATAGAGCTCTATCTGGCGTTGCCGCCGCAACGACATGGTTACCCGGAGCCGCCCATGCATGATGTTGGAGCTAAACGGAGACGGGGTTAGTCCATCGGCGCCGTGCGACGCAGTGCACGGGCCGCTTAGTAACGCGAGGCCCCGCCCACACACATTTTGCTACTTCACGATTTCGCTTCCGTTTCCTCCCCACCCTTTGCATCTACGTGAGGAAAGCATCTCAACAGAGAGGCTCAGCGTTCAAGATGCAGATCTTCGTCAAGACCCGTAAGTGTTTGATACTACCATCACAGGCTTTGCGCCGCCATCACCGCTTCGATCGCCTCCCATTTCGCCATCACCATCGCAGTCGCCGCGCAGAACATAGCAGCTAACAAACCCACAGTCACGGGCAAGACCATCACTCTCGAGGTCGAGAGCTCTGATACCATTGACAATGTCAAGTCCAAGATTCAGGGTACGTAACCAGGCTTGACTGTGGCACTTTCGCCTCTAATACCCGACAGACAAGGAGGGCATTCCCCCGGACCAGCAGCGTCTGATCTTCGCCGGAAAGCAGCTCGAGGATGGCCGCACTCTTTCGGACTACAACATCCAGAAGGAGTCCACCCTCCACTTGGTCCTCCGCCTTCGTGGTGGTATGGCCAAGAAGCGCAAGAAGAAGGTGTACACCACCCCCAAGAAGATCAAGCACAAGCGCAAGAAGACCAAGCTAGCTGTCCTCAAGTACTACAAGGTCGACGGTGACGGCAAGATCGAGCGTCTCCGCCGCGAGTGCCCCCAGCCCGAGTGCGGTGCCGGTGTCTTCATGGCCGCCATGCACAACCGCCAGTACTGCGGAAAGTGCCACCTCACCTACGTCTTCGATGAGGCCAAATAAGCGCGTCGCCACCGGGGCACGCGACACGATCGATAACGAGTTACGGCATCATGGCATATATGGGAGGAACTGAATAGGTTCACCACAATGTCGGACAACTAGAATCAATCAAACTTGTCATGGACTTCAAAATTGTCTATTATAAATCTGAATTGTGGATTGACTGCTCGGTGCATATGGCACGAGCGTTTCACCAGCGATCTCCCGTGATTTTGCAGATTTTCATATTGCGTTGCCGGCTCTCGCGTTACCGAATTGGTCACAGAGCGTACATCTTTTGAATAGTCATGGTCTCATTACAGCTGCGTAACATCTGCAGCTACCAACTAACAGATGTGCACATCACTACGACCGCTCCCAACATGCCAATCATGAGTATTGAAAAGGATTCGCCAGACATCTTCACAGCTCCTCCCAGTGCAGCGTTACCACCTTGTCCTGGTGCGATCTCTCCCTGACCATTCCTACCGCCTTGGCTATTTCCATTCCCACCCACATTCCCGCTCCCACTCGATCCTTCGTCCGCTCCATTTCCTCCAACTTGACCGCCATCACTCCTTGCGCTCGTCTCGAGCGGAATGTCCTGTATGGGTTGCCCCGGTGGATTATTAACACTGTTGACCTGTGTCTGGAAGTCCTCCAACGGGTTTTCGATCATTGCGCAGGGCATTCGTCCTCCGTTTGCGCTGAGCGGACCGGGAGCAGGTTTCGTGGTAAGTTGCGAAGCACCGGGAAAGCGCTGAATGCTGTTTGTAACACTAATGGGAAGGTTGAAGATGGTGTACCGTTCCACGCCATTCAGTCGGTAGTTCTGGTGTATACTGATGTTGTAGTCTCCCCTCGCAGTTGAACCCTCATCTTCGTTGTTATCTCCGACTAAACACTCCGGCCATTCGAAGTTAATGTGCTTGACTGTTTGGCCGCTTTCTTGATCTAGTATGTCTGCGAATGGTGGTGTGGAGGTCGTTAGGTTCGATATCGTGAAGTTCTTCTGCGTAATTGTAGATGTGAGGAAGAGCGTAAAGTTGAAGACTTGTGTGAGCGGATCGGCAATGTTGCGTGGCGGTACGGGGAGTTTACCATCGCCTGAGATATCGAGCGCGATGTGAAGGAAGTCGCCGCCCATGGGCGTAAAGGGCTGGGGCTTGTCTTTTTGTCAGCCGAAGTATTGCGCATCCTTCAATACCTCAACGTACTGCTAGTATTATCCCTAAGCCCGGTGTAAAAATTCGTCCATTCACGATAGTGAACGCGCTGGTGTCGGGACCATTGTTTTGTCCATTACGATTATTGTTGCCATTCTGCCTTCTCTCAAATGGCCCATGGTTCGGCGACCACGTCCCTAGCATTTGCGCATCGATGACATTGTGCATTAGACATAACGAAAAGAGAGACAGTAACGGAAAAAAGGATGAAAAAATCATTGCTCAACAACGATGCATGCTGACCAGCAGTAACGACAGGAAGAAAGAAGCGAAAAGGACAACCTGAGGTGGGATATCTTGTTAGCAGGAAATCAAGGAAGCGCAATTATAGCGACGATTCGCAGCCCGCAATAGCCGGTAGAGGTATCGCGTGCCCAGAGGCCTTTGCATGATGCTTGATAGAGGGCGAGAGCAGCCTTTCATGCAATACTTGACAGAATGAGTCTTGTGAGGCTTGCGTGTCACGTTCCGAGACGCGTAGTGTCTGAGCCGTGATGATTCGGGTGTGGTTCAGCCGGCGGGGGAATCGTTCGCTTAGTCATTTCTTGCGTGCCTATTCACCCTTCAATCCCTCAACTGCAACGCGTCGACGAGACTGGATTCCTCACTTTTGCAAGCTCAGATACTTAGCAATTCCCAGAAAATGAGTTGTACATGCATTCTTTTCTCGGTGTCTTTTGGCATCTGTGGTCTTGAGTCAACACTGTGCTTACCTCAATTGCTTGTAAGCCTTACGGGCAGCCGAGCCAGCTGGAACAACTGTGGAGAGCTAAGGATTGATGGCTGGGTGCCCCAATCCGAAGACGAATGATGGTGCATGCGCTCAAGCCCTAGCGGAACCTCTCTTCAGCTACTTATAGCAATGTCAACGGCACATTGTATGTGAAATGAATTCTACGAAATCGCTTGCAACTCGATTAAAGAATGTACTGGGGACCGAGACATACATGTAGCAATCATGGCTTGTGTCGCTCTCAATGCAGCACGTTTGCACATTCCGGCCATACTGGACGCACATTTGAACCAGGTCAAATCGCAGATCGCTAGTTCATCTTCATCAGCGGTTACGATAGTCAGCTTTGTAGCGAGCTGCTGAAATTAGCTCGCGAGAAGCTTGACGAAAGCCGGAAGCTTCGACGATCCCGCAGCAAGCATGAAATCCGTGCAATTACAGGCGAGCTCCCACCTATTGCCGGAAATATACAAGGCTCATTTTGACATAACGGCACGCACTTCACGCTCGAAACCCCGCGTCCTCAGACCGCAGATAAGGAAACTGTTGAACGCATGGAGAATAGCGACTTCTTCTCACGCGTTCCCGATCTCTCAACACGTCTGACTGTCCGATGTTAGGGACATAGCCAAGAGCCTGTCACGAACTGGTTCCGCGAAGAAGTCAGTGACTCTTTCAGGCATACTCAATGTCATTGATGGCGTCAGCGCCACGGAAGGGAGATTGGTCATCATGACGACAAACCACCCTGAGACACTTGATCCAGCATTCTATCGTGGAAAGCCGGACATTTCTTTCGAGCAATTTGCTGACTGGTTACAGCGCGGCGCGGACAAGTTCTCTTGTACCATTGACGACACCAAACTAGATGAGGAGCTCCTCCAGATCAGCACATGCGATCTTGTTGACTATATCGCAGCAGCAGCAGCATCTGGCATTGAGGTAGCTTCCGAAGTGCAAACGACGCATCGAAGAACATGACCCTGGAACCCCACCAAAGCCTTGAATAACCCACGCTTCAGCTGTCGTCTCTTCGCGCACCATAGCCAGGCTAGCCCTGTTCACTCGATCGCCTCAGTCATGTTCTCAGAGCCAGGTGAGTTGGCGCTAGCGTCGCCTCTCCCTATCGCTGCAGAACCGGTTGTGCTTGAAAAGGAGCGCAATGATTCTGGCGTTGATGACTCTGAAACTGATGAATTTGACACTCCTGGATAGTAGTTTGGCTCGTCCAGTAAACCAACCCAAGTCGTCGCTGATCAGATCCCACAACGCAGTAGAATAACGCAGTCTAGTACATAGTAAAAAAGGGTATACCACATCTCGAGTGCATTTTGATTCATTCATACGTCATGGAAGAAAATAAAGTAAAGTCTATTGGTATCAAAGAAAGTCGTATCAACCGTGTGCAAAAGTATACACACAGTCTTGTAATTATTGCCAGGGCTGGTTGTCATGTCGCCCATACTGGTGTTCTGACGACACAGAGGACGCACTAGTCCCATGGGTCTCAGGAGGTGCCGAATGAGCCAGAATCTCTTCTTTGCTCTCCGCCAAACTAATCTTATCCCCACTGTCTTCGCGAGCATGACTCTGGACCGTAAATTCTGTTGTTTTGATGACGCTCGATGGAAACGCTTCATTGTTTGCTTTTCCACTGCTGACATGTACCTCCCATTGCTCTTGGTGATCTGTGGCTGTGGCTAGAACGGAGCGTTGATGCCCCGTTCCCCTCATCGTTCCTTTCATTGTTCCTAGCGCCATACCTCGGGATTGATTGCCACCATTGCTGTACGAGTTGGCACACTCACTTCTAGCGTTCCTAGTCAACTGGACGAGTCGGTTGAGAATGCTGAATTCGAGCTTGAGCTTGATGCTGTATACGAGCGGCTTCCACGAGGTCTGAATCTCAAACATGTCGGCGAATTCGAGGCCCAGGATACTGAAGTCGAGGAGGATGACAAGGAAGTTGACGAAGAGGAGGTGGTGGAGTAGGCTTTTTGTGCCAAAGTTTCCGATTGTTCGTTCCATTCGAAGGAGTTTTATGGTCTCGTAGACGTATAGGCCGGAGATGATGAGTTCCTGGGCGATGAAGACGCTGAGCTGGATCTTTTCGTAGATTTGATAGGGTCGTACGAAAGGCTCGGGGTTGCCTGAGTTGTTTCCGTAGACCAAAATGATGATAGGTATGTGGAGCCATATGGCGTTGGTAATGATCATGATCAGAACGGCCTTCAACCGTTTCCTATTGTGCATCACGATGTGTAATCGCGAGTAAAGCACGACCGATTGCCCGGTGATCATCGAGCACCACCCTATCAGGATGAGCGTGGCGTAGATGTTCTTTTGCGGAATTTTCGCCAGGTGCATGAGCGTGTATCCAGTGGCGTTGAAGACGATACCCCATGTTGAAATGGTGAAGCTCCAGAAGTAGAGCCCGCTCCGTCTCTTGAACAAGGTGAATATGTAGACATTAAGTTCGAGGAAGTTGTAAAATGCTATGCTGAGAAAAACTGCCGCAATGGTCTTCGACACAACGATGTTGACGGCCATTGCAAGGCAGAAGGGTGTTTGAGGGAGCAAAAAGCAGTGTTAACGAAGCGAAGAGTGGAGTTCAAAGCGGATCTGGGGATCACCTCCACAACACTTGTTCAATAACTAGGTTCGGTGCAACCGGGGGGGGTCCCGCCATGGATGGGCAATCTGAATCTTCCATGTTCCCTACTTCGGTATCAGCCGTATCGTATCTGAGCCGCGTCTACAGGGGCTTCAAGGACATACCGATCCCCGTACACACGGACAGTGAACTAGAAAATCACTCACACAGTCAGTCTGTTTCGTCCGGGGAGGGCGGAAAACATCTCATGAGACCCTCATTTTCTTGGCGACACATCATGTTCGCCTATGTGAATGCCCTTATTGGTGAGAGCAGAATGCCATGCCAGCCACACTAGCTTGAATCGCAACCAAATGTCAGTCGGTCGCCACTAGTCCTCGACGTGAATAGAGGTTGCGATTCGCTCCTGTAGCCATGCCTGCTTACCGCAGCCAGCATGTCCCAGTTCAGTTCTTATTTCCCCGAAAGAAACCTTGGCTTTAGAAATCAAGCATCGTATGATCTGGGCTGTATTTCCCGACAATATGGCCATGGATAACAAGGCGACCAGCAGCAAGCAAGTAGAACAGGCCCTTCTCGCAATTTGACATTGCACACTTTACGTGAGGCCTGGATGATTTCGATACCATGGTCGGTGCCTGCTCTAGACCACACAAGTACGATGGAGGGTCCTCCGGATCGACCAAGAATGAGGCACATGGTTAGAAGCTTTATGCGCCTCTTCGATCCCGACCACGATACGATACTTGGTTCCCGGTGTCAAGTGAAGCGCGTCGGTTTGACACCTCCTGCATTGACCTGCTCGCTTGCAGCGTACGCGATTTTAACTTTGAGGTACCTGCAGGTGGCATGGCGGAAGTGCGGTTCAGAACTTCTAGTGTGGCTATGTGCCAAGCAGACCGCGCCATGCTCAGCCGTTCCGCTGGTGCCGCGAAGCGGCATGAGAGTGGCATGCGTTCTTCGTATAATCCGAGATGAGAGAAGAGCTACTTAATGTAGAAAAGTATGTGAACAGCGCTGCACCGTCAGAGAACTCAAATTTCCTGAGGGGGAGGCAGTGCTGTATCGCTTCGTGTTTTGTGTTACGTCGAAGTGGCGTTTAGCAATGGAAGACCCGAAGGCATCCTTCCCACGGGGTACGGGGGGTTACACCGACTGGTAGCCTACGGCCCTTCTCGGAAGCTCGTGGGCTTAGCTCCCCCTTATACGCAGGCCCAACGTCACGTACATCTTTTGCGAACTACCTTGCGCATTCGCGTTGAACTTCCGGTGGTCTTAATCAAATATTTAGCAGACGCCACCATGTAACAGCGGCCTGCAAGCCACTATGTATGGCATAGCTTCGGTACCGTATACTTGACAATAGAAGGTGTGTTATCTTGGAATCCTCTTAGGCCTCACCGTCACTGTAAAATCTCCGAGGTTCTCGAGTCTAGAGCTTTGGCATTTCAAATTACATTACTTGTCTAATTGTGCAGTACAACACATTATGGTTTACGCTCAGTCATCAACTACGCAGCGAAATTGGTGGTTCCATCAATCACTGGATAGGTGCGCCAGACGCAGCAACAGTGGCGTAGAATAGCTTAGTCTGTCCGGTGATGACCATGCGTCCCTCTCCCGCGAACTGGAAATTGGCCGCTGTCATACCAGTGTAGATCTTGCCAATGAGCTTGCCAGAAGGGTTGTAGACCCACACACCGTCACCGGCACCAGCGTAAACGCGACCCTTAGAATCAGTGTGTACACCTGTCACAACACGTTAGCGCCCATATTCAGAGATTTGCGTCCACGTGTGAAACGTACCATCGGGGATGAAAGCGGGAACGTAAGCAAAGGTCCTGCGGTTGTTGAAGGTACCGTCTTCGCAGACATCATATGAGTAGATTGAAGCAGGAGCGGTCAGGTTGAGACCATAGAATCCGCCTACAACACCAGTGTCGGCGACATACGCCTTCTTGCCATCGGGTGAGATAGTAACACCGTTGGGGTGACCGAAGTCATCGGCGACAACGGTCAGCGCACCAGTATCGAAGTTGTAGCGGTACACCTGCTCTCGCATACCAGGGTAAGGACGAAAGTCCTGGAGGTAGCCGTAGAGAGTGTCGGTGAAGTAAAGGTCACCGTTTGTCGGGCTGACGACCAAGTCATTGAGCGAGCTGAATTGGCGACCAAAGTAGTTGTTCACAAGAGCTGTGATGGTCAGTGCCAAGCTTTACGTGCAAAATACGCATGATGTACTTACTGGTCGTGTTGTACGGTGGCAGAGGGTTCATCACATACAATGCCGATGGTACGTTATCACCCTGGCCTTCACCAGCGAAGATGATGTTACCCTTCCAGTTGGTACCGCCGTTAGGGTTAATAACCTGCGGGTTCGAGGTATTGACGACAGTCACGGGTGCTGCCTCGAGGGTTCCGTTCCTCACTTTCTCGGCATCCGAAAGACTGATCTTCTGAATGATGGAAGACTTGTTAAGTCCGGTACCCGCGGCAGGCGCACCAGCATTCTGGACGAAGAAGACTTCCTCTGTCGGAGGGTACCAAGTCACAGCCTCGTGGAAAATGGGATCCGACTCTGAGGTTGCAATGGTAGTCAATGAAGGGTTTTCGCCAATGACATCGTAAAACTCCTCATCGTAAATGTGGAAGGGCTTGGCTGAAAGAGACTCTTCGGTGACACCGGGCCAAACGAATAGCTATCCATTTGTCAGATATTTTTAAGACTGGTGGCGCTGCGCGGGATGGAAAACATACCGTTGAAGCATTCGCTCCTGAAGGCGGTGGGACATTTGGCAGAACGTTGAAGCTCTTCTGGTCAACGATCTGCGCAGACTCGGGTACAGTCTGCGCGAAAGCACAGCCAACTGCTGCGCTAGCAGCCAGGAAGACGGATGTAGATGGCATCTTGAATTGAGTTTGACCGGCTGTAACTCTCCAAACCCTGGGGACAGCGCAGGTATAAGAAGTACATAATAGGTCAACGGATAATCTCTTCACCGTTTGTCACTAGGCCAGTTGAAAATTAGATTATCTCGGCATGTATCCATATAGCGGTATTTTCGTCATCATGCGGGTTCCTACTGAGCTGCATTTGGTATGGCATAATAGAAGAGGGCCGATGGCGTTCAATTATTCAAGGATTAGAGAGGCCGGTGATGAAGCTAGGCGCAATGACCCCGTGGGGTCGGGATATCGCAACCCCGCCCTGAAGGCGCACAACGAACTCCAGTTCCCTCTGAGGGGGCAAGGTTTTGACTACCAATGAAAATGCATTCGCATCTCAACACCTCATTCGATAATGAACATTATTTTCGCGCAAATTGGAGGCTAAACAGGCGTACGGTGCTTTGTATGCAGCTTACCATATATTCCTTGCTTCCCCGATGCGCACCAAGCCATGGTACCTTCTTGGCGCGACAGTTTGACCGGACCGGCTAGGGTCTCTCGAGCCGTCCCCGTTGCCGAAATTCTTTGACCAATACACTAGAAGGCGAGATTCATCTCTTCGTGTTCATGTACGTGGACGGAGATACATTGCCGCATAGGGCTGCGGCATGAATAGAATTCCTGGGTTCCAAGGTTCCGTGCCTGCGTCCTACATCTACCAAAAAGCTTAGCCTATTCTTGTCAATATGTATCATATGTACGGATGAGCCGGCTGTTTACGCCCGAGTTTGGCAGAGGAACTCAGCACGGTCGCTGTCAGTTCGTGAACATTGGTAAGTTGGCTGGCTCATTGAATCCTTAATCTCTCTCCCTAAACCTCAGTACTTCGAATTAACCAGCCCCCAACCTTTCCATCCAAAATCACCACTGCAGGCTATTTTCAAGCATCGAAACATTGTCAAACTCCAGCGCAAAGCAATCCCAACCCAAGTCGTAAACATAAAAAACAATCGATGACTATACATATAAAGAGCCTTCCATCTTTCCTTTACGAAACGACATGCCATTCCACACATCGAGACTGGATCTGCCTACAAAAGCCTACTTTGATCCATAATCAAACAAAAGACGTAGTACATCCGCTCCATAGAGAAAAGTATTAGCCATGGCGGGTATTTTTGGTGAGGATGGCCTCGCATTCTTAGTGGTAGCAGTGGTGATCCACCTAGTCACACGTTTCGGAAACCAACCTACCCTAATAGTACACACGTATACAGCATCAGCACATCACACAGGTCGCAAGCAAGGCGCTATGGATATGGGTCATGAAAATCCTGAGTGATATTGCTCTTTCAACATTACCCCGGTGTCAACCGACCACCGACCACCATCCACTGCCATGACCCACCAGGCCTCCTCAACGCCATCCACACACTCCCTACATTGGAACAGTAAAAGCCGTTACCAGTCGTTCAATACGAAAAAGAGAGAAACGCCAATCCCCATTCGCGCTGTTTTCCAGCTGCGAAGGTATCCTCGTGGGGGGAATGCATATGCAACGCACAAAACTCCAAGTATAATGGCCAAACCCAAACCCCGCCAAGAAAGGACAAAGCCTTGTGCCCTAAGATATCGTTGGCCGTAACAGTCAGAAACTCGTAATAACAGTGAGAAACAAAGGAAAAGTATAAGAAACAAAACAGGCGACTCGTAATACAGTGAGTCGTGAAGCATCAGAAGTGCTTTTGCCCTTTTTTCGATCTCAAAACGCCAGATCGTCAAAATAGTGTACAAGGGTGATGATGTTGATGATGTCGAGGTACAACAGTATCGCCAGACATTCAGAAAATGGCTGCAGATGCACGTCGCAATCAAGACTGTGTTTATGCGGAGTAACCGGAGCGGAGTTGTGACAAAGGAGCAACACTGGATAATGAGCAGCCTGGCGCGAGCGCTTAGCTCATATCCATCATGTCCTCAAATACGCCGTCCTGGTATTCACCAGCGTAGGTGGCAAGAACTTCATCGCTGGGCCCGAAGTTGCCTTCGTAAATGGTGGCACCAGCGCGGCGTCTTGACTCGACCCATCGGCAGCCGTAACATTGGAGTACTTGCTCCGCAGTCGGTCGCATATCGGGGTCTCGGTTCAGCATGGCGTAGACGATATGGTCCATCGAGTTAGGATCGTTGCGCTGCACCATGAATGAAGGTGCGCGGGCCAGCTCCTCTTCAGGGTTAGAAGCCGGCTTAACCATAAGTGACGCCATCGAATCTTCAGCGGCGTCCGACATGAGAAAACCGTCCATGGAAGGTCTAGCCGTCTCAGAGACTGGATCGCCATGGGAGTCCCGACTAAGTGTGCTGCTGTCGGCGCTCCAGGTCAGGCTAGGAAGTACGTTCTCAAACTCGCCCGACCGCAGCTTTTGCCAGTAGTCGCCATTCTCAGGAATGACGCAGTTACCGGCAATCTCAGCTAGCATCATGCCAAGGGCGAAGACATCGGCAGGCTTGTCGAATCGGCCGGAGAGTTGCTCGGGTGCGAGGTAGTGGCGGTCGCCTTCGCCATCGATACCAGCTGGGGCTGGCCACTGGCTCGCTAGACCGAAGTCTGCGATCTTCAGTCCGCCCTCGAAGTCGATAAGGACGTTGGCGGGCTTGAGGTCGAGATGAATATAGCCAGCGTCATGAATGGACTTGAGACCCTGCAATAGGATTAGCGGTGCTACAAACAAAGACTAAATTTAGACGTACCATCAGAAGTTCGAGCAGGATCTTCCAGATGCGGAAGTCATCGAGACGGCTATTAAAGCCAACGGTGTCGAGATATTTTCTCAAGTTACCGCCCTCGCAATACTCGGTCTGGATGTATAGGTGTTGATCAAATTCCCAGTGGGTCTTGATGTCCAACACATGCTCGTGGCCCTGGAGAGCGTAGAGGATGTCGACCTCGCGCATCTTCTTTTGACGGTCACCTGCGCCGATGTACGGCTTCTTCGACTTCTTTACGACCCATACCTGGCTGCCAGCGGGTGACCTTAGTGGCGAGATCTTGACCGGCTGGCTCACACGATAGACCGTGGAAAACTCGCCCTCTCCGCCATCAAGAGGCTTGATCTCGTGGAACCTTTCACTCAAGGACTCATCCACATCATTCTTAGTTAGGCCGATAGGGATGGCGCCTTGGACACTTCCGAAGAAGCCAGAATCACGAGGCGTTGTCGGGGTGGCAGGCGCAAAAGAGCCAAAGCTGCTGTTGAAAGGGAAAGATCCCCGTCGGTTACCGGAAATCGAAAGCTTGCTCGCATCAGGGGGACCAAAGGATTCGTGCGCGGGCGTCTGCGGTGATGGTGCGCCGAAGAGACTTCCAGCTGCTGTAGAATGTTTAGTATTGCTCTCGCTATTCGAAGATGGAAGGGATGTACGAGCAACCCGCCGCGAAAGAGACAGAGGGCGAGCCACAGCGTTGGTTTGCCGCAACAGCCGACTCCGATTCTCGTTGAGAGCGTGTGCAGAGGGGGACTTGTTAACCGTTGACTCAGACTCTTCATTCTCTGACGAGCTGTCTTCATGCGGGAAAGTCTCTAGATCTATGCGAGATGTGTACTTACTCGTCGGCCGACCATCATTGTCGGGTACTGCAAATGTGTCTTGGCCAATAGAAGGGCGCGAGCGGAACGTCTTACGGCGCAGGCTGCTCTCCTTGGAGCGACGACTAGACCCACCACTAGGCTTAGTCGGTGTGGGTGGCATGTCATCCGCACTCGATTGACTGTCACCCATCCGGTTCGCTGTCGGTGATTGTGTGTCCGGCTGGACATCTTCATCGTTGTCTCCGTCGATACTTACGAAGCTTCCTCGGCGTTGCATGGTACTGCCCATGCCGCCAAAGATGCTTGGTCGCTTACCGAATGAATCTGTCGTGAACTTTGATACGTTTGATACACTCGCACTAAATGGCGTGCTAGGGGTACCAAATTGATGCTGCGGTCGAGCTTCGTTGCCGAAGAGGCTGCCGCTCCTCTTGACCAAGGGTGTGTCAAGGTCTACGGTGCGTTCTCCTGCAGCTGGAGGAAACGACTGACGCTTCGATGGCGTGTCAGGCATGACATAGACGCCACCTGCTGCTGGCTCGTCCGCATTGCGATTCTTCTTGGATAGAAGGCCGGTCGAGAAGGCGACAGGTGCCGACGGCGCGATCTTGAACGGCGTGTCGAATGAGTCTTGCGATGACTGCTCACCGTCCGGCGCATATGGGCGCCCGATGCCAATCGGAAGTGAGCGAGAGAAATGTGGGTTTGCGGGCATTGGAGGCGGGGCGCCCCATTGAACTGCTGGAGCTCGGGGAGGGGCCATTGGTGTGCCGTGTACGCTGGATGAAGCAGAGGATGGTGTATGTGCATGTGATAGTGGGTGCGGTTGTGCTGCTCCGGCTCCACCACGAGGAAATGGCGTTGGCAAGCCCATGCGTCCGGCGTCGAAGGTTGACTTGCGGAATGGCGTCTGGACAGGCGGTGTCTGTATTGATTGGTTGAAAGTGCTATCCATCGACACGCGATTGCGCGTTTTGGAGGCAGCTGGTCCAGGCATGGCGAACTCGCTGTCGTGACTCGGCTTGCGCGGAGTGTTGGATCGTTGCGATAGGGTCGACCTCCGCAGTGACGTTGTCCGGCGGATGGGTGATGTCGCGCCAGATATAGGTGAGCTGTTGAAAGAGAAGCCGTTGGTCAGGTCGTTGTACGAGCGCGAGCTCTCATCAGCAGAGATGCGCGGTGCGGGGGTTGGGTCGAATATGCTCTCGAAGTCGTTTCCGAGGCTCGACACGCCGTGTAAGCTTCGGCGCTTCGCCATGGGGCTGCTGCCGGGCGATCCGCTGAGGTTCATGAGTCCATCGTTGCGCTTGAGTGGGCTTGACTTTGCGGGGGGCGCGGGCGACAGTTCGGGGCGACGCGCAAACTCGAACTTGATGGGCTTGTCGTCTACCTCTAGTCGCTTGTCCATGTCCATGGTGTCCGGGGACTCTGCGCTCGGTCGTCGCGCGCAGGTGTTTTCTTGGCCAGGTGATTGTCGCGTAATGAAGGGGGTTGCGTTGCCAACGTCGGTGGACTCGGCTAAGGCGCGTCGCCGCGGGCTCTTGGAATTGCTGTTGCGCGTGCGCGGTGATGACCGGAAAGGGCCTGAGCGTCGCAGAGAGAACTTCTTCTTGGCAGGAGCAGCTTGCGCCAGCGGTGACTCAGGGAAATTCGCGATGGGGCTTGTAACCTTGTGCGCCTTGGGGGAGAATGCGCGCGCAATGGCGAGAGGAGAGATGGGAGAGCGGGGCGTGTCGGAGTTGCGGAGCTGGAAACGCGACTGTTTTGATGGTGAGCGCGAGAGAGAGCGTCGGAGCTCCTGGAGGTGGGAGAAATGGGTGCTGTCGAGTCGATAGCTGTGGGGTCCCGTTGGTGAGGGAAAGTGCATGGTGCCACATTCGCGACTGGGCGAATATCCGTAATCCATGGTTCGCGTAACGAGAGCGTCTCAATGCAGATTTTTGGCCCGTGGTAGAGGCGTTTGATGCGAGTCGGGGAGGTTTGGAGACGAGACTATGCAGGTGGCGGGCAGTAAAGTCTCCCGTGACGTGTTGTCGTGTTTTAGGCAGGCGCAGAGGGCATGGAGATGTTTTCAGTCTTGAATCGATAGCGATAGCGCTGTGGTCCTGCTAGTACGTGTTGGTGCGGGCGGTGGTATGAATGCGTGGAATGTTGTCGGCAGGCGCGCAATGTCGTGGGGCGCGATAGTGACGATGTTGGCCAAGTTCCGTGATTCCACCTTCAACAAGCAACGGCCAAAGTCCGGTGGTGCTCCATACAAGGCCTGGTGATGGAGGGTCCTGGGTGGAGAAAGGATGGCTGGAGGTGGAGAGAGCGTGGTTGGTGTTGTCGGCGTGGCCTAGGGTGATTTGCTGTATCGTGTACTGGGGAAGCGAAGGCGCAATGCGCGCGTGTTTACCTCCGCACGCCAGGCAAGTACAAGTATAGTCGAAGCACGGCAGGCGCGACAACGACGTGATGATGCAATGACGAGGAGAGAGTGAGAGCGATCGAGCGATGAAAAGACCCTTCTTGCGCTCGATAGCGATCGGCTGGGAATGCTGTGGTATATGGGAGAAGACGCGTTCTCGCAGGGTGTCTTTTCGCCCGTGTGGCAGGAAGACAAGGGGCCCGTGCACCCAACCCACCCACTTACTGCGTGACGCCCTGCAGCGCGAAGCCCGTTAGCCCTGCCTACCAATAGAATGCAGAACACCAGCACAAAGTGAAGCAGTCATACGGTCGGACAGAATTAGGCACTGCGATTATAGACACGTAAAGCTCCACCTCTGCCAGACCGCTGCGCTTCTAATGCAGTGCGAGGCGCTGGTGCGGAGCCTTTGCCACGTCCAAGTTTGCATGTTTACACGTTGTGTTTGTTGATCAACAACACGAAATCAAAACAACACGGAATCCTCGCCACCATCACACCTCTCCCCAACCACGGTATCGGCACCAGGGCGCTCGAACCACCCGCTGACCCATTCATCCAGACTCTCTCCATGCCCAAATTAGCAAATCTTATCGTCTTCATGCCATCGGGTGGCCGAGTCACGCGGAATAGGGGCTCCAGCTTTGCTCCAGCTTTGCACGCCCGCCTGCCACCAGTTCGGCGGCCCGCGTCACAATCTTAGCTTCCCCATTATGATTGACTTTGCAGCTCGCCTGCAGCCTCCCTATCGATTGTATGCATCTTCGCCTATCTAGCTATCGATAGGCTTTGCGAGTCGTGGAAAACGTCGCCTCCATATTCTTTTCCCTGCAGTGAGCTGAAGTGCCCTTGCAATATTCCAGGGCGTCGTCATCAGCTCCTTCTCAGCTGAATGTGATTATTGCCCAAGAAGCCTCTTTGCGTTGTTGACGCACAGCAACACGGTACCATCGGATCCCCCTCGCCATGTTTCGACTTGTCCGATCGCACGGCTTCCGGCGATGGTGAGTTTTGCTGATGATGTTTGGCCTGCAGTTAGCCAGCCGCCCATCCCATGGCGTCGGGATCGAAGATGGTGGTTACACATGACGTAGCCTCCTGATCTCTCCCCCAGCTTTCGATGTGAGAGCCACTCCGTGAACGTGGAGCGGATAAGCTATTGATCTGATGCACGCTAGAAGCTCACAAGGCTGCAGATAGGTGCTTCTCGGAGGCGGATCGTATGCCGCTCGATAGTCTTCTTCAAGGAATGTGCTCACGAGGCCTTGTTTGATCAACAACGCAGGTACGATCTGTAGCCGCACCTTCCCGGAGATTTTAGTGGTGAAGTCGACGCAACCATCAGCCTGGCCTCAAACGCAAAAGCACGTGGGAAGTCAAGCGTCCTCGAGCTGTCACGCGTCAACTTCATGGCGTCATCGTGAAAAACAACATACTGAGACCTCGAATCTGCCTCATGCGGCCGCTTCTGCGACCTCATTGTTACAGGTACTAGAGATATCCCCGCTAGCCTACCGCTCCAACATGCGGTACTGCAGGAACGCGCTTCCACTGCCATGTTTTCCTGTTTCATCATCGCCGTACCTGCTTTAACCTATTTTGCGTTTCCATATTCCTCTACACCCATCCATCGTCACTACTATGGTACATGCCGATATCGGAAAGATCCGATGGCTGTGAGACCAGCAGCAAATTTCAAGACAGTCGTTGGAAGATGGACCCGAATGTTCCCCGAAACTGTAGTGCGCTGCAGCTCAATCAGTCCTCACCGAAGCGACATTGCATCTATTATGGTCGATACGAGTTTGTTCTGGGTTCCAAATGAGGAACGCGCCATGGGCGCACGGCGACACATCAAGCAGCCACAGGCGCAGGTCAGCCTTAACCGCACTTGCAGCGGGCATCAGCCTCATGATATCCCGAGTTTGATGTTTCAACGCATGTTTCAGGATGCAACTTCGGAGCTCTGATTACTGTCAAGGCCATAACGCTTGTCGCCCAATCCAATCACTATAGTAACATTTGCTGGATTGTCGCCCAGTTCAATTTCCATTTCAATTTCCATGGTAACTGTTCCTAGATGTTGCACTAGGCTTGACGATATTGTGGGGAGATGAGGTGGCTTTTCAACAGGAGAGCATCAGGGCCAGCATCACGACCGTGGTTATGGAAGTAGAAGCCAAAACGGTAGAACAAATGCATCGAAAACCACCGCACTCAAGGTACCACCTAGAACTTCAGCAATCAGAATCCACAAGGCTTACGCGCCAAGAAGCAAGAGAGGGGTTATCGGTCGGTTTTGGGTCGGATATTAGACGCCCAACATGGACAGCTGTCAAAAGGCGACGAACACCAGGGTCCTTCCGTGACAGCGCCTTGAGATCCACAGGGTCCGGAGATGATCTGTTCCCACTGTCCATCCCGTCGCTAAGGTGACGCAAGATGTGCTGCCGTAGATGCCCAATGCTGCGCGTCTTCGTATTGCGCATATTGCGGCCACTGGGTGATCCCTGGATGCTATATCCGGGCATGACCGTGTGAGTCTGTTCCTCGTTATAGTTACTTCGGGCAGAGTCAGAAAGAGGCCGAATGCGTCACTTGAACTTCTTTTAATGAGTCAGGTAAGAAGTGCAATGATGTTGGTAAAGCCAATATTGCTCCGATAGAGGTTGTAACCCACTTTGGGTCAAGAATATGATACAGACACGAACGCGAGTTTGGTTGTGAAATCCATTTACAGATAGTGACCAGACAGGGCAAATAATGCTGCCCTTTCATCTTTACCAATGAAATAGCTCTGTTGTATCAATACTCGGGCGCATGCGGGTTCATAGGATGAATTGCTATACTTGCGATGCCCCGGACGCTGGAGTTAGCATATCTAGTATCAATATGGAGGGTATTTGTAATGTATTCAATTATCAAGGAAGAATGCAGCTATGACATGAGGTATGAGTCCCAGAAGCCGGATGGAAAAACTTTGCCCCGCGGCTTGCAGTCAATGGCGATGGCGGGGTGAGTCAAATCGAAAAGTTTGGCGGGGCATTGTATCTTGTCGCGCAGCCCACACGAGCAACACCGAACATCGCAACAATGGCCGACGAACAACCTGCAACACAGCCACCGGCTGCTGAAGCCAAGGACTTGCACACTGACCCAGTCACTGGCGAGAAGATCTCCAAGAGTGAACTTAAGCGCCGCCAGAAGCAGCGTGAAAAGGACGAGAAGAAGAAGGAGAAGGCGGCGGCGCTCCCAGTGCAGCCCAAGAAGGAGAAGAAGGATGATGTCGAAGAATTGAACCCGAACGTACGCTATCGATTCCCCAGCGTCTGTTGGCTTAATTACTCACATACTGCAGCAATACTTCGAGATCCGATCCAACAAGATTAACGCGCTCCGTACCTCCAAGCAACCAAACCCATACCCGCACAAGTTCCACACCAACTACAAGCTTGCCGACTATGTTCGCGACTACTCACACCTTAAGAAGGGAGAGACTGAGCCGGACAAGGAGATTCGCATCGGTCTCCGCGTCATGGCACAGCGCTCTGCCTCCAACGCGCTGCACTTCTATGTTTGTACGTATACGGAATACGGCAATGCCTTCATAGCTAATAGTCCCTAGGCAAGGCTGAGGGTGTCAACATCCAGGTCATGTGTCAATTGCAAGAATCCAAGGCCGACGTACCCTTCGAGAAGCAGCATGAGAACATCCAGCGTGGAGACATCATCGGTGTCATCGGATTCCCAGGTCGCACCAGTCCCAAGAAGGGTGGTGAGGGTGAGCTGAGTATCTTCGCTCGCGAAGTCATTCTTCTCACGCCCTGCCTGAGGATGTTGCCAACGGAGCATTTGTAAGTTCGGCCATGAACTCGGGTGAGCATAGTACTGATGTTGTGATAGTGGCTACAAGGACCAGGAGCAACGTCACCGCAACCGATTCCTCGATCTCATCATGAACGACTCAACACGCAGCACCTTCATCACTCGGTCCAAGATCATCAAGGGTGTTCGCAAGTACCTCGATGAACGGGACTTCTTGGAAGTGCAGACGCCTATGATGAACAAGATTGCTGGTGGTGCGACTGCGCGACCCTTCAAGACATACCACAACGAACTCGATATGGAGCTCTACATGCGTATCGCACCTGAGCTATACCTCAAGGAACTTGTGGTTGGAGGTCTTGAGAGGGTATACGAGATCGGTCGTCAATTCCGTAACGAGGGTATCGATCTCACCCACAACCCTGAGTTCACTACCTGCGAATTCTATATGGCATACGCCGACTACAACGACGTTTTGAACATGACCGAGGAGCTCGTCAGTGAGTTGGTCAAGGAGGTCACAGGCGGTTACGAGACGGTCTACCACACTCAGACCGGCGAGGTATACAACGTCAACTGGGCAAGGCCATGGAGACGAGTCGAGATGATACCCGCATTGGAGGAGGCCACTGGCGAGAAGTTCCCACCAGCCGACCAGCTACACACCGCAGAGACCAACGAATTCCTCAAGAAGGTGCTCAAGAAGGTCAAGGTCGACTGCTCAGAGCCTCGCACCAACTCAAGAATGATCGACAAGTTGGTCGGTGAGTTCATCGAGGAGACCGCTATCAATCCTACGTTCATAATCGGTCACCCCGAGGTCATGTCGCCACTTGCCAAATACCATCGCGATACCCCTGGTCTCTGCGAGCGCTTCGAGGCATTCGTATGCAAGAAGGAGATCTGTAACGCTTACACTGAGCTTAACGATCCCTTTGACCAACGTCTGCGATTCGTAAGTTTGGAACAGATACGTTGAAAACATGCATGCTAATAGTTATACAGGAAGAGCAAGCGAACCAGAAGGCGGCTGGTGACGATGAAGCACAGCTTATTGACGAGACATTCTGTCAGTCGCTCGAGTACGGTTTGCCACCCACTGGCGGTTGGGGTATGGGTATCGATCGCCTGGTCATGTTCTTGACAGACCACTACTCCATTAAGGAGGTGCTCACCTTCCCCTTCATGAAGGACATTGTTGAGGACAAAAAGTCCGCAGCGGAGGTCGTTGACGTAACGCCCAAGCCCACTGAGGGCATTCGTAAGTACACAATGCTTTGAGGTCATCCACAGTTTGCTAACACGATTCAGCACACAAATAGTTTCAACGTAGCATTTTCGGCGTATGGGATTGTTGGGAAATGAATGGGTACAGATACGGATCATGAGACACGTTTCACGGACGACATAGCCAACATAAACGAACTTGAAGACATGAACGGTTCCAGGAGGACGTACAAAAAAGCTCTTTTCCTCTGACTCGTCCCAAATACTTTGACAGTCGACTCTAAAGGTATGCACTAGGTTTTAACCCGCAACTGTTTTGCTCAAAATCGCAGCGAACACTTTTGGGATTCTGTTTGCCCAGAAGTATGTTTAAGGAAAGAACGAGGCTCTTCATACATAGTATACGCCATGGTGGCCTTAAATTCGCGATTACATCATGTTCCTGACGCGGTCTATCATCACCGAACTTCGCTACAAAGGCGTTCATAACCAAAACGTCCTACGGTGCATCGTATCAGAACACCCGAAGCTAGTCACTTTACGAATAGAAGGATTTGCGCATACATCTTCAACAACTGCGGGCAGGATCACGTGCTATATATGGACAATTGGTTTGAGGTTTCGGCTCCCCGCTTACGGACCCTCACGTTTCATCCCCGAACGGCGTCGGACCGCACCATTGCCGCAACATTATCGGTGCGAGTGAACTTTTGCCGAACGGGAACCCTATGAATAGATCGAACAATTATATATGAGACTTGATAATTGAATACTAATGTCTAGTTTTGTGTTTTCAATCTAACTGTTCGCCTCTCACTAACACGTTGCTACATTGTCGAATGCACTTGGCGCCATAAAAAGAGGCTAGATATACAAGATAACCAGGGAAGACTAGATCAGACATGGCGGTACCGGGCGGAAAGTTCTTTATCCAAGAGAAGCTGAAGACTCCGGCGAAGCATCACGAGTCTTATGAACAGCTTTGGGAGACGAAATGGAAGAAGCCTGTATGTTCATTACTAGTCACTCAGTAATATAAATGCGAGAACTGTAATCACGTCAGATTACATTTACTGATAAATCGCAGGCAGAGATGGGCGTCTACCCCTTCATGTTCGGCACAGCCTCAGACTTCGAGCCGATAGTGAAAGAGATGAAATCCAAAAATATGAAAGAGCCCTACAACTGGGACGAATACGCCAAAATCTACTTTCCCCAAGCCGAAAAACTCAAATCCATAGCTGAAGAAGCCGAGAAAAATGGCGAGAAGGGGAAAGCATCAGAATACTACCTCCGCTCCAGCGCCGTTTACCGCATCAGCCGCTTCCCCGCGCCACGCAGCGACGTCCAACGCGAAGCCTGGAAACTAGGCAAAGAAGTCTGCATCAAAGGCCTAGGAATGCGACCTAATCCCGTTCACGAAGTCATGATCCCACACGTCCACGGCAACCAAGAGGAAGGCGACCACATACCCGTCTACCACCTCGTCCCCGACGGCGCCTCCAAAGAGAACCCCGTACCCACTGTCATCATATTCACCGGCCTCGACGGCTACCGCACCGAACTAGCCGTCTGGATGGAAGGCTGGCGCCGCGTAGGCGTCGCCACCATTGTCCTCGAGATACCCGGTACTGGAGACTGTCCCGCTACAGCATCGGACCCCACATCCCCAGACCGTCTCTACAGCTCACTGTTTGACTGGATAGACTCGCAGGAGCGTCTAGATGCGAAGAAAGTTGCCATCTGGGCCTTCAGCACAGGCGGCTACTACGCCATCCGCGTCGCTCACACACACGCCGACCGTCTCGCAGGCGTCGTTGCACTAGGAGGAGGCTGCCACCACATGTTTGCCCGCGAATGGCTCGACAATGTAAACCACCTCGAGTACCCCTTTGATCTCGCCAACACACTCGCCTACAAATGGGGTTACGGCAACGACGTCGAATCTTTCAAACAAGAAGCCATGGATAAATTCTCACTGCTAAACGACGGCACGCTGGATAAACCGCTGTGTGCAAGGTTGCTCTTGGTAAATGGGACTGAGGATGAGATTTTCCCAATTGATGATTACTATCTTGCGTTACAGCATGGTGCGCCCAAGGAAGCGAGGTTCATACCGGGCATCAAGCATATGGGGGAGCCGGAAAGCTTCTTTGTTATTATCAAGTGGTTGTATAGGTTGTTTGGGATTGAGGCTGAGATCGGCGCGCAGATGTCGACGTTGATGTTTAAGCCCAAGTACTAAAGGGTAGTGCGGAGGAAGAACCAAGAGGATGTAACGAGCAACAGGACATTGGGTGAAGTCATGGTCGCCCAAAATCCATGGTCAATACTCTCTTGCTCTTATGCTACTGTGACGGGAATGTTTGCCCAGTATTGCTAACATGTTTTTGATTGCATCTGAATATTCCTTGAGTAACGTCCGTCCCCGAAGGTCGAAAACCTCCTTGCTTCGAAAAATGCAACCAGTACATCCACTTTCTATCGCGATAACTTAGCCTACACAACAGTATATGCTACTCCTGTTTCTACAGCTTCTTTACTACGAACATAAGAGTAGGTCGCATGTAGCTAATACAAAAAATACCATCGCATTATCGCTAGATCGACTAATCCGTAAAGAGCCTCTATGTTAGGTAAATTAGACGTCCACCGCTACAGCACCGCCACAACGCTGCCCGCGGCTATCTAGTCTTCCAGGAAGGTTCTATCTAAGCCCGCAAGCCATCCTAGAGTGTACAGAGGTTGTTACAGGTCGTGTGGCTGCTGTTGCACGGCGATCTATGCAGGGACACCACGCCCGCTGGTACTTGTGCCCGAAGCGCATCGCTAATCCTAGCTACTACGCACGACCCCGCACGTCTCACATCATATTCTGATCAGTCTGTAATTTACGGGTATTGATAAGCTAAGCAGCTCTTCAACGTCTAGGCCTCTTATAATTTAGTATTAGACTGCTTGTCCCTAAACTAACGCCAGCCATGTTCTAGCCCTTCTAATTGCTGTGCGATATCTACACTATACGCGCGAAGAAGCCTACGATAACAGAGACAGAGCAGTCTAGGAAAAACTGGTCTTCCGAAGAGAAGCTTATGGCTACTCTACGTGTCCTATATACATTACTTAAATAGCAACTATGCCTCTCTGTGTTCTAAAGCAGATTCGTAGTGCTGAAAGCATGCTGCCGTAGTTAGATGCTGTGCACCAAGCACCTTCATGTACCCTTCGTATGCTCGCTGGTACAGTCGAATAGCAACAGAGTAATGCTGTTTCCGATGGGAGAGGAATGCTAGATGGTAGACACTGGTGAGCGTGTCGGGGTGCTCTCTCCCAAGCACCTTCTCAGATCCTTCCAGCGCTCGTCGATGCATCGCCTCTGCCTCGTCGTACTTTCCCTGCCTCGACAGCACCAACCCAAGGTTGCTGACGCTGGTGAGCGTGTCGGGGTGCTCTCTCCCAAGCGCCTTCTCAGATCCTTCCAGATCTCGTCGGTGCATCGCCTCTGCCTCGTCGTACTTTCCCTGCCTCTCCAGCACCGACCCTAGTTGGCTGACGCTGGTGAGCGTATCGGGGTGCTCTCGCCCAAGCGCCCTCTCTTGGATGTCTAGTGATGATCGACAAAACCCCTCTGCTGCTGTATACTCGCCCTTTAGGAACAAGTACCAACCTGCGTTAAGACTAGCCCGGGCCTGGCTCATTAAGTCTTCCCTCTCTTCTGTTCTATGACTGACGACCTCTTTTAGGTGCGGAAGCAGCACCTTGCACTGCTCCCACGTCGCATAGTCCCCGCTCGGAAACGCCACGCTCAGAGCTAGTATCGACTCCTTCACCCACCTGCCCAGCTCGCTCTCCGCCTCCAGCCACCGCCTCATCGACAGCTGTACGAGCCGGTGCATCGCCAGCGCCTGCTCTCCGACCTCCGTCCTCACGAACGAGAAGCTGAGCAGCGGCGCTAGAGCGTCCTCAAAGTCTAGCTGGCTAGTGGTGCCTTGCAGCAGCCAGCGCGGAATCCCCTGCTTGTCAAACATGCTCATCAGTGCAAGCAAATCGGCCGCCTGCGGCTCTGTCGCCTGCATGTGCTGGAACGAGATCTGCCATGTCGCAATCACCGCATGCCGGATGCTGTGGTCGCGCCGGATATCCTTCCACTCCTTCCTGCTGAGAAGGTGCACCTGGTTGGCCTCGCTCTCACGGAACAGGTCGAGGTAGGTAGCTATCGTCGTTGTAGACGCTCTCGTCTTGATGTACGCCGCAGCGTGTGTGATGGCAAGCGGTATGCGCTCTAGCGCGTGGACGAGCGCCTTGGCGTCCGCTCGACTGGCCTCGCCAAACGGCACCCTGGTGTGGAGCAGTTGTAGCGCGTCCTCTTCACCCATCGGCTCTACCTCGACAACGCCGCTGTGTCCGCCAACAAGATTGGTGGCTGCGACGGTGTTCCTGGACATGATCAGAATCGTTCCGTGCGCTGTCTGGGGGAGGAAGCTCTCAAGCGGCCTGCTGTGGTCTGTTGCGTCGGCCTGCTGTGCAGAGCCTGTAGCTGTGGCTGTGGTTATAGCTGTGTCTGTGTTTGTACTATCTAGGACACCACCAAAGAACACGCCGTCGTCGTCAACGTTGTCAAGTATTATCAGCCATTGCCCGTTCCGTCCGTCTGACAGCCAGGCATGCACCAGCTGCAAGACGTCTGCCTTTGGGTCTTCGCGCCCAGGCAGCAGAAGCTTATCGGCTATGTCTCTGTATCCTTGCTGGAACCTTGTGGGACTGCTTGCGTGTATCCAGACTACTAGCAAACGCGGGTCTGCCGTTTGGGTTCTGTATGCATACTCGATAGCAATCTGCGACTTCCTAGTTTCTCGTCAGTACTACTGTCCGAAGCAGACATATAGACGAATAGTGCTTACCCGACACCTCCAAGCCCGACTAAAGCTACGCGTGTGTGCGAAGATGCAGCTGCTCTGCGCTCGCTGATCTTAGCGATAACGTCCTCTCGACCAACGAACATGTCATCCCTTGCAAAGGGCACTAGAAACAGGGCATCGCTCGCTAGTAGTAGCAATCTTGTATAAGCGCTGTGTCTTGCTATACGCTATAGGCAATAGTCTTACGTACATGCAACGTCCGCCGTGTCTACGACAACAGCAGGCGGTACCTGCTGGCTTCCTAGCTCCTGCCGCACAAAGGCCTTCAACACACCAGAGACGGCACGGTACCCTTGGTCGTCTCGGCTGCTGTATCGAGCCATTTGCATGTGGTTCGCGTCGATGCTCTCCACCGTCTCTAGTTCTCGCGGGAGGTCGAGTTTCGACGAGAAGTCGTCCACCACCTGCAGCTGTCAGCCTTGCTCTTCGACTAGCAGCATCAACCCACCTTCTCGTTAAGCCCTTTCATGCCACTAATTCCGCGTGACTCCTGGAAGGTGTGGACCTTCAGCGTTCCCTTGAACGCAATCGTCTTAAACTCCTCGTGGATGTTGTCGAGCACTTCGTTGTTCACTTCGAGCGTCTCGAGCAGCCGCTTGTTCGAGTCTTGCAGTGCCAGACGAGCGAGGTTCGAAGCAATCTGACCCCAGCCTGCGTATGCGCTGCCCCGGTGCGGCGTGCCGAGGAAGATAATGAATTTTGTCTGATCGCGAACTGTCTCTGACCGGCGGATAGCCTGCAGCCGCATGTTAGCAGAGCCGTCGTCGTTGTTTAGCAGATCGCTGCGCCCTTACATCTTTGAGGATGATGCCACCAAGGCTGTGTACTACGAACGCAAGTGGTTTCTACGATTACATTAGACATGTACTTACTTTCCATAAACAGGCTAGCAATCTACCTCGTTGTCAATCTCTCTCTAGCCTGACCGACAGGTCTCGGCCGTGCTACGAGATGCTGTTCTTGTTGTTGGCCTGGAAAAGATCGCCGATGACGTCTGCGTTGTACCCGTACGTCCACACACAAGCCTGCGGGATGTCTGCTGCGAGGTACTCTTCGGGCCAGAAGACGGTGGCCGGTGGTGGTGACGATGCGGGGCCAGAGGGCGGCTGCGCTTGTTCTGCGCTTGTCGATAGCGACCTAGCTGTCCGTCGCTTGAACAAAGACTTCAGGCCTTTGGGTTTCTTGGTCGTGTTGTTGCTACCGTTGCTTGCGCTCGTCGTCGTTGCTACCGTCGTCGCCGCCGCCTCCCAGGTTCCTCGAGGATGACCTCGCAGTCCATGGACGAACACGATACTGCCGGCTGTTAGCAGCTGTCCCGCGACGTGTGTGCAAACGCGATCCTACTTCAGGCCAAACCGGTTATCGTTCTGCTCGCTGGCCGTCAGCCTCGTCAAGCTGTGCCGGTGCACAGTCGTCATACGCGCTGTAGGTCCGGAAGCGCGTCACGTTGTGGGGACCACCGCGGCGCTGCACAGCATTCGGGGGGCAGACTCAAGCAACTCGAAGAATCTACAGCAGCGTGAGCATCGAGTGAGTATTGCAAAGGCCATGGTTCCAGCTGCAGGCGGTATCGACCTCAGCCGCACCCTCACCCTCACCCTCACCCTCACGCACAGCGGCTGCAGGTGCAGTGCAGCTCTAGCTGGGCGTGCGCCCCCTGCCACTCGCTGGGCTACGAACGCGAGCGAGCGCTGTTAGACACTAATTAGTAAAATACAGACTAAGAAGGTTACAGGCGACGTGCGGGGTTGTGCATTATTAGCCAGGATTAGCGATGCGCTTCGGGCACAAGTACCAGCGGGCGTGGCGTCCCTGCATAGATCGCCGTGCGACAGCAGCCACACGACCTGTAACGAACTCTATGCACTCTAGGATGGCCTGCAGGCTTAGATAGAACCTTTCTAGAAGACTAAGTAGCTGCGACAGCGTTGTGGTGGCGCTGTAGGACTAGACGTCTAATTTACCTAACATGGAGGCTCTTTGCGGATCAGTCAATCTAGCGATAATGCGACGGTATTTTTTGTACTAGGTACATCCTTTGTGCTCTTAGGTAGCACTAGTAGAAGACGTACGAGCACAAATAGTAGATAGTGATACGTGTGCTGAGGTCTTGTTGTTTGAAGCCGGTGTACCTCTCGCGTTTTTCGAAGCAGGGGGTTTTTCGACCTTGAGGGAGGGACGTTATCATTATCGTTTCATACCGTTCTTCACTTGTTGTAATTGCTTAACACGTACATCTCATATTGCATGGCTGCACTGATATAGTGTCAACAGCTCTTGGGCGAGAGTACGTACTTCGCTATGACGATGTTCCATCGCGGCAGTTCTGTAGAGACTTTGATTAATATTATTGGTGTAGATTGTACATGCTAGTATTGTCTCTCTGCGCATATTCAGCGATCAATACCTCATGAATCGTCTTATGATGAAGAATAGGAAGCGGGAAATCAGGTGTTCAAATACACAATATAGTTTGCAACGCAAGTTCCATTATAAATTATCTACATCATCTTTTCGCTCTTTCCGCTCGATCGATCCAACATGAACGTACATCAAACACAGTCAGTTCATGTATAAGCAAAGCTTGAGCTCAAGCTCAAACTCAAAGCGAAGGGTATTGCGGCATGTGCGCACGTATGTTGTAGCGTCACCAAAGATGCCGGTTACAAAAAGGTGACAGACATTGAGAAAAGGAAAACTGGTATCATTGTTCTTTCCGAAAAGCCCTGCTTGCATCACGCAAGCCGCCAACCGAAGCAAGTAGAATATAAAAAAATGAGACAAGTAGAGCACAGTGTGTAGACTGTAAAAGGAAATCGATCTTTATCGTGGGTCCATGCTCAAACGCGATGAGTGTGAGACAGAGAGAGAGTGGAGGTGAAGTGGTTCGATGACAAGTCAACAATTTGTTTGAGACACGAACAAAGGATGCAACTGAAATGCGCGATCGGCTCGATGCCGTAGACGACGAGTGTTCCAGCCTGTGGCATTTCGCATGCACGGTGAAAGTCTCAGGACGGTCTTGATGTCTTCTCGCAACTCTACAAACGCGAATTAGCCACTAGCTAGGCGCGCTCAGTCATTCAGTCCAAAGACCCGCCTTAGGCCCTGGAACTTCTTCTTCTTTCCGCTCCTGCCGTAGGAAACGGAACGGCCCTGTGCGTCTACAATCGGCGCCGAAACGTTGGACACGGCGCTAGACTGCCGGTTGGCGAAGCGCGGCCTACGGGGTGCGACACCATCTGAACTCATCGGGCGATCGTCAGTGCCAATGGTGGGTGGGGGCTGAAGTGGCCATTCCGGGGTCTTTCGACGTTGTAGCTTAGGCGATCGAGGAGACATGGGTCTTGTGTCGCCGAATTTCTTGTCCTCGTCGATGGGCGTCATAGGGTGTGTCATGTCGCGATTGCGTTGCGTCGGTGGCATGGGAATTTCATCAGGTGCTGGAACGTGTTGCACAACCTCGGTTTGTGCCTGAACGGCTTCTGGCTGGGCAGTAGTCTTCTTCTTCCCTAGACCGAAGAAGCCACGTTTCTGCTTGGTCTTGCCGGCAGCTTCGGACGAGGGTAAAGGCGCATGCTTGCTGTCGCGTAAAGAGCCAGCGGATAGGGCTGCACCTTGTGTGCCCGCGTTGCCATTCATGCCGTTCGTCACTGGGGCGGCTTTAAGACCAACATTCGACGGCTCATCATCCGCTTCTTCCTCTAGATCAGTAGAGTCGCCATCCTCTTCGCCCGCTTTTCTAGGGATCCCTCGTACTGGGGCCAGACCTGGAGGCAGGGTGTAGTCGGCGGGCTCATCATCGTCCGAGTCGTCGAATCGACTTTGGAAACGAGTCGGTCGAGCATCGTCATCTTCGTCGCTTGAATCAGCGAAACGACTCTTAAACGCAGCTTTTGAGGCCTTGGCAGGCGGTGCCTTTTGCTTTGATGGTTTAGACGGTTTAGGTGGCTGTGTTGGCTTGTTGAAGACGGGCATTGGCGGAGTGGGCGAAGAAGGACGAACATCAGATCCTTTCCGGAATCTGCCCATTGGTGACAATGATCGAATGCTGAACTTGGATGACCTTACGGGTTCCGGCGTTGGCGAAGAAGGCCGCATAGACCGTCGCATTGCGGACGATGGTGTCGCTGGAGGAGAGATTGCACGAACTTGCTTTGGTGCTGGAGCACTTGCTCGCATGGTGGGTGCAGGCTCTTGTCTCATTGAGCCGCGCATTGTGTATCGCCCACCCTGCTCCCGTCCTCCACGCTTTCTGGCGCGTTCGCGTTGGAAACTGCTCGCAGAAGCATCGGAGTCACTGTCGTATGTGGGCGCTGGTGCGGCCACCTGTTTTGCAGCAGGTGTGCTCTGTGGCCTTCCCTTGGTAGCGGCAGCAGGCGGGATGTTTCTCTTTTGGAGAGCACCTCGGGGAGGCTTGGTGTCCAGAGGTACCATGCTGTGTCGTGACGCTGCCAGACCCATGCTTGGTGCTGGCGAGGCATCCGCTGAACGCATACTCTGTCGCATTTGAGGCTGCGCTCTAGAAGCTGTATCCGGGGGTCCCCGCATGCTCGTTCGCATAGTTGATCCCATCTGCGGTTCTGCTCGTGAAGCCGTGTTTGGACCTCCTCGCATAGTCCGCTTCATATGAGTCTCAGAAGAAGCTTCCCTCGGCGTCGCCGTCCGCAGCGTTGTCCTGGTTTGTTGTTCGGCTGGGCGCGCTGGCTGTGGTGCAGGACTCTTCTTCAGGGCAGACTTGAGAGGTTTTGCCGGTGATTGATCAGCCAGTGGAGTAGTTCTTCGGGGTGGCACGGCAGTAATCTTGCGCTCTGGTGTGGTATCCGGTGTATACTCGCGTGAAGCAGACGGTGCTGACCTTTCCTCTGAGACTGGGGCTTGCATGACCCGAGAGATCACTTCCTGGGCATGTGACACTCGTTCGGGAGGCACTTGAGTCTGCTCTGGTTCTGAGTTCGGCTTCTTTAGAGATGCATTGACACCACTCCAATGCTGTTGAGCAGCGTTCCAGTCTTGCGTTGGTGTAGTGTCTGAATCGCGCCTGTCATCCACAGTCGTGTCTAGCTGGAGCTTCGAGGTAGGCTTGTCTGTGGCATCTGCATTGGCGTACTTTGAAGACATTAAGCCTGACGACGACGCGACTACCGGCCTCTCCACCAGGGCGTTGATGCTGCCGAAACCTTCACCATCGGAAAGATCTTCGTAGGCGTCGCTGTAGACGCTGCTGTTGTCATCTGTAGTCTCATCATATTCCTCCGCCTGTGTAGTTGGCTGCGGCTGTTGCCTTGTTGAGTCTGGAACGGGCGCAGACGTAATAGGAGTCGGGCTGGCTGACTTATGCTCGGTTCCAGCAACATCTTCGTCCCAACCCCCAGGTATCGTCATGCTCTGATACACTGGTTCAGACCTCTCGTATGGGCTAGGGGTGGCAGGCTGGAGGGCGATGTTGGGTACCTCAACGATCTGTTCCGTAACTGGAGCTGCTGTTGCCGATGTCTCCTCTCGCGTCGCGGAAAGAGATTTCGGCTCTGGAGCAGGTGGCTGTTGCGAAGCCTCCATAGGCTTATGCGTGTCTGAGTAGTCGCTCGAGTCTGACACATAGCCGCTCCCTTCGACGGTGGTGACCTCAGGTGGTAGAGGGTTGCTGTGCGTTGCGTGCTTCTGAGCGAAATCCTCGGCGACGATGTTCCCAAGCGCGGTGTCACTGGAAGCGTTTGAAGTAGAAAACGTCTCAGTAACCTTTTCAGCCATGTTTTCCTGTGGTCGTCGCTCCTTCTCGCGTATACTACCGAACACAGGCAGGGCAGCACGTGGTTTCATAAAGTCTTCGAACTCATCTTCCTTCTCGGCTATGGGACTCCATTTGGGTGCACCGAGACCTCCGTGAGAAGGCACCTCTGCATCAGCATGTGCAGTTTTGCCTGGCAGCACTGGGTCTTCCTCGAAACTAACACGGACATTTTTCTTCTTCTTCCTGATCCCGTCATCAGATGCAGTGTCAGATGCTTCGCTTGGAGCAAATCGAGCAGAGAGACGCCCGTTTGATGCTACTGGCGATTCGCCGCGGCGCGAAACCGAGGGCGAGTTTTTCAAGACAGACTTTGCAGGGGAAATTGAGCGCGGCAGCGGGTCATGTTTGGTCCCAGCAAGTTCGACGGGTACAGCCGCAAAACGGGCAGTACGTGGTGGGCTCAATGAAGCGTTCCGGTCATGCGCGTCGGGGAGACGGCCACGACCGTGGCCGCTAACAGAGCCTGCAGGTGTCGAATTGGCTGGAGTGGCCAGATGAGGATATGAGCTGTCCTGGTTCGGCGCAAATTTGGGCGAAATCACCGCGTCCTCATGACCAACTACGGTGCCATAGCCAGAGTCTTCCAGTTTGCGACTGGTGTTTGCATGCTCCTGGAGTGAGAAATCTGCATCGACGAAGTCGTCAGAGTGTCTTGTTTCGGTAGCTGTGCTGAGTTGCGGCTCGGGTGCGTATGGTGCAATTGTTGGCTCTTCTCGTCTCTGTGGTGCTTGTTGCTCCTGTCGAACAGAGTGACGTATCGGACTGGGTGAGCCACGGCCCATCTGGTTTTCTGGTATGTGGACTGAATGGAAGGTGTCCACGTGCTGTGACACGTATTGTCGCGCAGGCTCCGGCTCTTCATGTAGCTCCCGGTGACGGGCCATGGCATCCTGCTTATGGATGAACTTGCGCGTCGAAGGATCGTAGATGGCGTCTGGCGAGTTAGGGTCGACGGGTCGAGGAGCCCGCGGCGGCAGGTAGGATTGCGATTGTACAGCAGATCCAGATGGCTTGGCGCGCATGCTGCCACTCGACAGTTTTGCGCCTTGGACGCCCTGTGAGATCTGATGTGTCTTCACTGGACGCTCAGCGGCACTTTGGACCGAGCGTTGAGCGTTCTGGAGGTCATAGCTAGAGACGCCACTGGATGTCTTGGGTCGCGATATCGAAGCCATGCGCTGGACTGCATCCTGATTCACGACAGGGCCACCGAACCATCCTTTGCTGGAGGGAGGCGAGGGGTTCTGGCGTGTGCCTATTGCGCCCGGAGACATTGGGCGGGAGAAGTTTACAGATCGCGACGCATCCTCTTCCTCGGACACCTGAGCGAGATGGCTAGCAGGCCGTTGCCCTCTCCCCACGGGGTTGGCGCCCCTATCTAAGCTGACGCCTCTGCCTCTGCCTGCTGTTGGTGCTGGTGATCCTCCTCGATATGTTGGCTCCAGGCTAGAGGTACGTCGGTGGACGACACTGCCCTGCTGCTGCATGTCCTTTGGCACAGGCGGGACCGGCGGCGCATTCGTATCAGCTGGGCTCCCTCTGCCGGGCGATGGTGCGCGAAATGAGCGCTCTGTCATGGATCCCGAGCTTGACTGTCTGCGCAGGCCGGGGGCACCAGGCTGTTGTCTCGAGAAGCTGCCATTTGATGATAGTGAGCCGCGGCGCACCATGCGCTTCGTGATTGTGTCGCCCACGGGAGTCGGCGTCGTTACGTGTGTGCGCAGGGCGGCAGCGGCGGCAGCAGACGAGAGGTCGCCATTGGATTCGGCATTCCTTATGAAAGCCTTGGAGGCGGCGAGCGAGGCGGATGCGCTGGGCGGAGGAGCTCGTTGGGCCTGCATGGGAAAGAATTGTTAGTATCGCGTCGCCATACGCCTGCTCAGCGCGACAGGAGGTTTGCGCGCGCACACATGTAGAGCACCTACCGGATTAGACGCTGCCCGTCGTCGTTTGCCAAACATGGTGAGTGTGGTGAATTAAAGATTACGGTAGTTGCGACTGGCTCTGCATTTCCGTGTGTATGCGAGGATGTGGTGGCTTCGGAGATGCAGCAAGGGTCGACTGGATGATGTCACGTCTGCAGGGCGGAACCGTGCGGATTGGGTGAAGGAGAGTGGAAGGCTGCTCGCGTCAAACCACCGAAGGAAAAAACAAATCACGAAGCGTAAGTGAGTTGGGATTTCACGTGTGGAAGGATTGAAAGTGGAAAAGGACTCGAAGACGCATCTGGGCGGAGTGGAGTTGTTGTAGCTAGCAAAACAAGTAAGAGGATCGTCATCTTCCCGAACATCTCAAAGCTTAGGTGGACGTGTTGGCGCCGCGAAGGCCAGCAAGCCTCGCGCCGGTGCGATTTGCTACCGCCACAGAAAAGTGTCAAACGCCTCACCGTCTCATCCAGATGGTCAAACGTGCGTAGCTGTCGAGGGTGAGGCTGTCGCATGTGCCGGGAAAGCGTGGCTTGCCCTGCCAAATGCAGTCTAGACATGCCTCAGACACAGGCATGTTTTGTTTATTTTCGCCCTCACTCCTTGTCTACACCCTCATCCATCCATCCATCAAACGCGCACGCACTTCTCCTGACACTGTGCAGCACACGGTCCCTGATTTGGGCCTCTCAAGCTAATAACTCCGTAGAAGCACCAGCACCAGTCTGGCCAGTTCATATCCAGCGCCACTGACGTATGCCATATCTCCACGAAGCCATCCTAGCGCCGGCCGTAGTACGCTGTGTGATTCGTGAATCTACATATTGCAAAGCATGCACACACTGTTCGACGGCGTTTGCCAGCCAAACGTCGCAAAGTCGGCCATGTAGAATGCGAGAAACAAGGCAACTCCATCACGAACCTAGCTCGAATGAAGATTGCAACACGCAACGCCCATGTTTGCATCAGAACATGTGGGTTCTATGATCGACGAACTGGCCCACCCAAGCTCGCGAGATCGCCAAGGCCGGCATCTTCCCCGCGCTGGTAATATCGTGACGATTTCCAAAGTTGCCAGCATGGCCAGCTTGCGTTTCCATCGAGTAGGAAGCAACTGAAGGCATATTATACCTGTACGACCGCCATCCTGTCTCCGTCCTCTCAGTTTACGCTCGGGTTGAATTTCCTCAGCATGGCATCATCAGCGTCGCGTCTTCCGCCTCTACCCCTGCCAGATGGTATTATCGAGAATTATGTCCGCTGCCCCTCGAATGGTCTCACCTTCCATACGCTCGAGGCCGGATATACTCCGCAACGCGATAAGCCTCTGATCATCTTATGTCATGGCTTTCCAGAACTCGCCTTCTCTTGGAGAAAGGTTATGGTTCCTATCGCTGAGGCAGGTTACTATGTGGTAACCTTCGATCAACGTGGCTACGGGCGAACAACTGGATGGGACAACTCTTCATTTCTCAACACCAACCTATCGCAGTTTGCTCTAACTAACGTTGTTCGGGATGTCGTTACTCTGGTCAATGCGCTGGGTTATCGAGAGGTCAAGTGCATTGTTGGTCATGATTTTGGTGCCGTCACCGCGAGCATGTGTGCTTTAATGCGTCCAGATTTTTTCAAGAGCGTTGTCATGATGAGTCACCCCTTCAAGGCACCCTCGCTCCTGCCATTCGACATAGCTCACGGTGAGACTGACAAACCCGCGCCACATCCTGACATCCACGCTGAGCTGGCAAAGCTGCCTGTGCCAAGGAAGCACTACAAGTGGTACAACAGTACCAGCGTAGCTGCAGACGATTGGCTAAATCCAAGCCAAGGGCTGCATACCTTCCTTAGAGGATATCTTCATGTCAAGTCAGCCGATTGGAAAGAAAACTCACCACACCCTCTCAAGAGCTGGACCGCTGAAGAGATGGCCAAAGTGCCCAACTACTACGTTATGCCGTTGCACAAGTCGATGCCCGATACTATTGCTGACATGATGGTCAACCAAGACAGCTCGGCAACCGAACGATGGATGTCTGACCGGGACCTCGCTGTCTATGTTCAGGAATGGTCACGAACAGGCTTCCAAGGTGGCCTCAACTACTACCGAATCACTACTGATCAGGCTCATATGCGAGATCTCCAACTCTTTGCGGGCAAGAAGATCGAATGCCCGAGTATTTTCATCTCAGGCGCTAAAGATTGGGGCAACTACCAGCAACCTGGGGCCATCGAGGCCTATCCCGAGTCATGTTCTGACTTTAGAGGGGTCCGGTTTATTGAAGATGCAGGGCATTGGCCTCAACAAGAGCAGCCGGAGAGAGTCGTCGAAGGAATACTAGGATTTGTTCGCTATCTTTGAGTGGGTTGCAGTTGCGACGTGTACGAATGTCTGCCGATATATGCGATCCTCTCGATTTATCAACTCTTGCGTCCCCACATTATCTGTATATTTTGAGTCTGGATCAAGCCACCAGCTAAGGGCATCCCTTTCATATCAGATCATCATCTTGTTGAGGTCGCTACGCCGCAATCCTTTCTCATCTTCTCTCGGCAAGAGCTACCGTCCGCTCACATACCGTTACCCGAGATCGGGACCCGCAGCCAGATCCGTAGTTAAGCGCAGCTCGACGACTCGTGGTATTGTAGTATTCTGAAGCTCCGTCATAGTCGAGATCCACTGTCATCACACGCCAAGTTAAGCAATGCAGTGTCGGTGATCCATCGCAACCCCTCAAACAGCAGAATCGTCAAGCCGAACACTCATCCGATTTTGTGTAGGCTCTCCTCAGTAAAAATATGATCCGAGGTTCTATTTCAAGTCGATAGAAGACATATATGTGCATCATGATGATGTCGAAGACAATCTTGGGGTCCGATTGATCGAGACGATTTGAAACGAGCTGCACAATGTCTTTGTATTTAGAAGCCCAAGCTAAAGTTGAGTACATATAAGCTCGCTTCGCTGCGGCAACACGGCGCGGGCGTCTATTTCCCCTGATTTTGTATGCAGCATCGCGGCAGTGCTGACTCGGCGCTAGAGCCCGATCTTGATGATATGTGCTTGGCACATCATCCATCATCAACGTGCAGCGTACGCTTGCCTCGTTATGGATGACCAGATTTAGGATTGACGAGATAGCATTGTATAAGTTGGAAGGGCGGGACGAGGTGATTGTGCGGTTGTGCACGGAGAACTTTCACTGATGTGCAGAAATGGCCACTCCTACTACTACTCCCTCAGCCGCTTCTTCCCGTACTTCATCTCTCGCTTCTACGAATACACTTGTGACACTACGTCGCTTGGTTGAATGCTGCCGAGAAATCACGCCTTACCGCCGTCGTCACGTTTCACCTGACCGCAATTCACCTCTCACATATGGCGCAAAAAATCATTCAATGCTCGATGTGGTCCAAGCAACCGAGAACTCAAACACCTCGCTAGAGTCTCTCGAAGAACTCGCCGCTGGCTACTCTGTGTCCGACGTTTCTGAAGATGGGCACGTCGACACCGACGACGCCAATGAAGCCAAAATCTACCGACGCAGTCGCAAAGACACGTTCAATCCTTTGGACGAGTCATGTAACCAAAGACCACACCGTCTGCCACAAGAAAGAAATGATATTACGTGGAGGAGATCTCCAGATACAGAATTTGTAGAGGTCTACAAGGCGCCATCGCTGAAGCCAATTGACGAGAAGGACGTTGGCGTTAAATCGACTGTGACAGTGTCTTCCCACGCTCTGTCAACGGGGTCTCTGTCATCGACGGAAACCAGACCTCGACAACGAGTGCAAAACCTTTGCCTTCATTGGTTCACAGCATACCGGATACTTATCGGGCTTACCTTGATCGTCAACGTCGCAGTGCTCATCGTCCATATTGAAAGGACCCGTTATGAGCGCTTTGCACTCGCCGGGCCTCTAATCGCTACAGCCGCCAATATCTTTGTCGCGGTCTTGGTACGCCAGGAGGATCTCATTAACGCGAGCTTCTCCTTCGTGGCCACAACACGAGCAAGCCTGCCGTTGTGGCTGAGGAAGATGATCGCAGACTTTCACCACTATGGCGGACTACACGTTGGATGCTCCTTGGCAGCGCTGCTATGGTACTGTTACTTTGTGTTTCTCAACACATACTTCTTCCTCGATTTCGCAAGACAGAACGAGGCTACAGGTTGGATGTGGGCCGACATCATCACCTGCTACGCCATCCTCCTATCCATCGTAGTCGTCTGTATCCTAGCCCACCCACGTCTTCGCGTGAGCTTTCACAACACATTCGAGCACACGCATCGCTTCGGCGGATGGGCTGCATTGCTAGTACTATGGATAAACGCAGGTGTAGCAAGCCATAACCCAGGCAGTTTTCCTCTCTACGCCAACGCCGCACTATGGCTTCTAGCCTTGACAACCTTCCTCATAATCCTCCCATGGACCCGCATCCGCCGTGTACCCATCACTGCCGAACTCGTCTCAAGCCGCGAAGTCAAACTCACCTTTCCCTACCAAAACATGCCTTACACATCCACGACTCGCTTCTCCCTCAGCCCGCTCCTCGAATGGCACGCCTTTGCCACCATCCCAATCATTGCCTCCTCCACACCAACCAGCTCCTCCGCATACATAGTCATCTCCCAAGCAGGCGACTGGACAAAATCTATCATCGCATCCCCACCCACCCACCTCTGGCTACGCAAACCTGCCGCCAAGAACTTCCTCTCCTTCGCCCCGCTCTTCAATTCCCTCCTTCTTGTAGGCACGGGCGCGGGAATCGGTCCCTTGCTCTCCCTCTTGAGCTCCCCAGCTATTGCGCACATGCGGGAACAAGGCAAGCAGGTTAGGGTGATGTGGTGTGTGTATGATCCCAATGCGGCGCATTGGCGCTTCGTTCAAGATATCATACGGAGAGTGGATTCGGAGCCTAAGATCTTTGACTCGAGGGATGGTCGACCGGATTTGGTGACTGAAACCGCGTTTATGAAGGAGGAGTGTGGGTTGGAGGCTATTATGATTGTTAGTAATGCCAAGGTCACGAGGGAGGTTGTTGAGGGCATCAAGGGGAAGGGTGGTGCGGCTTATGGGGCTGTGTTTGATTCTTAGTTTTGGGGTCGTTTTGTTCTTGTGGGAGTGCGGGAGTGTTGTGTTGACCAGATCATTGGTGTGGTCCGTTTGTTCTGCGTTATGTTTCCTTGTGTTTATTTCGGTCTATTGACTTGGAGAGCTGGGCTCTCCTTGGGGTGGTTAGCGAACTATCCCTCAACGTCCCCATTTTATCGTTTATTCATGGGTCCAAGAATGTGGAGACATTCTTCGTTTCTTACTTGTCGATATGTAAAGCCCTTACAGGTTTTTCAGCATTTTACTCTGATGAGTCTTTTTACGCATACTACTGAATGGTCACACCGCATCGCGTAAATGTAAATTAGCTGTCGTGGGTAGGTAACTCATGCTTATACGGCAGGATTCTTTCGAGCTACGAAGTCATTGTAACCTTGTTCAACCACCATTACCATTAACGTATTAACCTAGCAAATAGAAAGTACAGATACTCTTTGTACCTTACCCGTCACCCACGTACTCCGAGTATCAGACATCCCATCACAACGACAACCACTGTGACACACCACTTAAACCATAAGCGCAGCAACAACACCGCCAAACAAGCCGACGACCACAGCACTCATGGCTGTATTTCCCGTCGCCGCACCCGTGAATTCTGCCGGAGCACCTGTACCCGTCGGGCTACCCATCATTCCTCCTGTTCCAGACATCATGATGATGCTCGGCTTGGTCTCATTACTGCCTGCGGCACAAGATGGTACAGCGACGGCGGAGCGCGTCACCATTACATCGGCGGGGGCGGCGAAGGGACAGCCCGGGTGGACTGTCAAAGTAGACGTTACGGCGGGGGATTGGCTGAGGCGCGTCAGTTGATTTCGGTTAGGTTGAGTCGTCGAGGTGCGAGGCAAGGATCAGGAGTGTTAGGAGGGGAGGGGAAGAGGGTTTGCTTACGCCGAGACGGTGCTGGATAGCAAGACAGCGGTGCTGAGAATGGGAGCTGAGAACCTCATGTTTTCGGGTGGGAGATATGTGATGTGTTGATGTCAAGATGGCAAGAGATTTGGTATATTATACAACTGTAAAAGAATGTACGTCAAATTTGAATATTCGAGGGAATAGAAAGAGAAGAGAAGGACTCAAGACCCTTCTTTGTACCCACAGTTGGCCACCCACCTCCAGCACACGCACAGTTCACCTCCCTAGTTCTTCCTCCCGAGCTTGATTCCAATTCCTACCTTGGGATATATCGGATGCGGCAGTTCTTCCTGATTTCGGCCAACCAGACCACTAGCAAACGGCCTATCCGCCTCCCAAACAAGCTACAACTCATTTCCACAACTTAATAGACCCCTTCATTTCAAACGCCCGTTAACAAATCGCAAAATCGCGATACAATGGGCCAATCAGTACTCCACGTCCCATCGGATCGAACGTCTTCCGAGAAAGAATCCATCTTGAAGTCACGTTCTCGCTGCATCAGACACAGATCTCCCCAAGGCTGGATGTCGATCTGCGAGTTGTAAGGGGACGGGAGAAATAGAGAAACGTCTACGGCTGCTAAAGCTAAACCAACGGCCTAGAGTACGGAGAGAGATGGTGCCGCCGGTAGTTGGGTAGGGCGGCTAGATGGCACGACCAGCGCGTGGTAATTTACCTGCTTAGCTCAAGGTACGTAAGTGGAATGTGGAGGTGGAAAGTTCCGTTTTTAGTTGGGGAAGGATTTTGTACTAGCGAACGGTGATGGTGCCGACGGTGTGTTAGTCGTGGAAATCCAAGTTTGTAACCAGGTTGGTGGTCTAAGAAGCTGTAAAGAATCGTTATTGGAACGATAGTTAGTTCTATCAGCGTTGCCGTGTATGGTTAACGACAAAGAGGGATGGAGGAAGATAGAAGGCGCAACCGATGTGAGGTTGGCCTCCCTACATCGATGCAAATCAACTGCTTCTTCTTACAGCTTGCATTACCTGCAACATCCTTTCTTGACATAGTCTTCCGTTCCAAGCAAGCCATATCCACCGACATTGCCCCTCGGAAGCTCACCTTTCCATGGTGACACCAACGCCTTCCATGTTCTCCGGTTGTAGATCCCGTCGCGACCAAGCCGCAGCGGAGAGAAAAAAGCGCTTCAACAGCACATGTAGTCTGAACGGGAAGAAGAGATGACAATTGTACGTTCTTCTCCTCTGACTAAAATGGTCATGATTAGCTGTTTACTAGTGCGTTCTTGGTATGGTTAAGATCATTTGGTAGTAGCGCGACGTCATTCTTGAGCTTAATCGTCTTAGCGCCATGTTCGGATGGTGAAGGTTCCGTGGTACACAACATCACTAACTTGCCGTGATTTTGCGGGGAATGTCCTTTGGACCCTTGTTGTTACTCGCTCACTTCGCCTTAACGCCTTTTCCTCGTTCTCGATACGGTTACTCGGATCCTTGGTCTCGGCCTCATTAGGGTGAAGAAGAATTAGTTGGTGAGGTTAGGCTGATTGCGATGTTGGCTGTCCTGGTGCTTGGGCTGTGAGATCGCGCCTGGCGCCGGATGGAATCGTGTCCGTCTACGGGAGTTTGTGACTAGCTTAGACTACGGAAGATGATGAGATTGAGATGGGCGAGCTGGAAGAGGGGTAGTAAGCTTTCAGTCTTGTCTGTGTGGGAGATGAGGAATGAGAGTAATGGTGGGTATAAGATGCGAACGATTTCGCCTGCTACAGAAGAGATATCTCACAGTCCAGTACAGCTTCACACTCTGAGCATCTCTACTACACATTCTCTTGTCTTCGCTACTCGATTACTCGATTTTAATACCCGATCATCATCATGAAGTCCACCATCTTCTCCATTGCTGCTCTTGCGGCTGTCTCTACTGCTGCACCTGTCAAGCGTGCTGATGGCCCATCTGACGGCGATATCCTCAACTACGCCCTTACCCTTGAGCACCTCGAGAACACCTTCTACAGCGAGGCCCTCGCCAAGTACAGCGTTGAGGACTTCAAGGCTGCCAACTTCTCCGAGGAGGCCTACAACCGCATCAAGACTATCTCAAGCGACGAGAAGATTCACGTCGAGTTCTTGACCGGTGCGCTCAGCGCAGCTGGAGCCAAGCCCGTCGAAGCCTGCACCTACGACTTCGGATACAAGGACGTTGCTTCCTTCATGGCCACTGCTAGCGCCCTTGAGGGTGTTGGTGTCAGCGCCTACCTCGGTGCCGCCGCGGACATCATGTCCAAGTCATACCTCACTGCCGCTGGATCTATCTTGACTGTCGAGGCCCGCCACTCGGCCTACGTACGCAACACCATCGGCGCCTCGCCCTTCCCAGCTCCCTTCGACAACCCGTTGAGCTACAACGAGGTCTACACCCTGGCCGCGCAGTTCATCAAGTCCTGCCCGGAGACCAACGCTCCCCTGCCTGTCAAGGCATTCCCTTCCCTCTCCGCTTCCGCATCTGATGGAAGCATGATGATCAAGGCTGGTAGCAAGATCACTCTCGCCACCACTGGATACAAGGTTGACGGCAAGGTCTACGCCGCTTTCATCACCGTCACTGGCCCTATCTTCGCTGAGGCTACCATGGTAGAGGGCGGATTCGAGGTCACGGTTCCTGAGAAGGGTATTGCCGGACAGAGCTACGTTGTGCTCACCAGCTGCAACACTGCTGCTACTGACGACACCATCATTGCTGGACCCGCCATTGTTGAGGTCATGTAAGATGGTCGTTTCATGGAAAGATCTTGCGACCTTGAATAATGGTAGTTGTAACACAAACTAGTATTGATAGTAGTAGTAGTCCTAAATCCTAATTTTTAGTTTCAATTCTCGTGTTTATGGAGTTAGTGAAGATTTCTACAATGCTCTGACATGCCATCCCATGTAACTGCCAAAAACACTCCAGTATTTCAAGCATAATACATTTTTAAGGACAGACCTATTCCTCGACCTGGTATGGAATTCTCTTTGACGCCCAACTGCTCGTATTGGTCCATGCTGTCCAGCCCTAAAGCGATTTACTGCTCTTACGCTCTCTCCATACCGAATCACCCAAGTAATACACGGCAGACCGGTTAGACACACCACCGTAACACACTTGGTCGCACAGCATTCAGAACTGACGAACATGCCTTACATTGCATACAGCAAGAATAGCTGCTCTATTCCCGTACCTCTGTACTACGCATGTGTAACCGTCGTTCCTGGCGGGTCCAGCTGACGCCATCTTCTCATACCCAGATAAACACATACCCGCCGTAGAACTAACCTTGACGCAACCCAATGACGCGGCCTTAAAGACCCCAACGAAAGAAAAAAGATAGAAAGGATACCTCTCTTGCATTTATATATTTCCGCACATACTCTATCTACAAAATGCTTTTCAAACATTTCCCCCTCGTTATTACACAATGCGCAAAGGGGAAAAACCAGCCCGAAGCTTGAGGTAGAGACTTACCCAATTCACCGCACACAATAGCCAGCCGGATTCAACACATTCCCGGTAATCGTATATATACACAAGTAGAGGGCGCTGCCTCTCGCGAGATTATCCAATGCAAAATTCCTAACATGTCTCGATATAGGGCCCGGACGAGTAGACACCCAATATATCGGATGGTGGGATTCAAGCCCGCGCAAAAAAGAAAAGGAAAAAGGGCACAATTGCGCCCTGCATATACAAGTCCGCGGAAAGAGATCGGTGGAGCGGTTTGAGAAAGAGTCGCTGCGATGATGCCGAAGAAGTAAAAACGCCCGCCAACGCCATGCCGTCATGCAAGAACTCGTGATGAGAAGGAATGCTATACGCGCTCGTCTCGTATCTAGTTGTCGTACGTCGAGGGCAAAGATTTGCCGCCGCAATCGGGGATCTTGAGGCCGGGCTTGAGGTTGCGGTTGACGTCCATGAGACCCCATTTGTCTTCCCACTCTTTGCCTTTTTCGTTGTACTGGATCTTCCATGGCTCGTCAAATGCTGAGAACCTACAAATATGTTAGCGGCCGTCTGTCAACGTACAGTAATGCGAATGCTTACCAGAAATACTCTGTTCCATTTGCCAGACTTGGGCATACCCAGTCTTCCATAAATTGGTTCATCTCATCAACTCCAGCAACAGATCCTCCGGTGCAAGTGTCGGCCGCACCACAGTCAGTGCCACCTCCAGATGGCCAACCGACCTCTGCAATGACCTGGTGAATGTCGTTCTGGGTTGCGGTGAGAGACACATCATGGGTTTGCCAGAAGTTCCAGGTCCAGGCAGCCGCCTCCTTGACGTCGACACCGGCGAAGAAGGGATGAACGTTGGACATGACAATGTCAACCTTGGTAGCCATGTCTGCAGTCCAGTTGTCACCCAGATCGGCCATTGCGACAGGCAGTTGGCAGCTATGGTCCGAGATGTTCTTGCGGAAGTCGGTAATGTGTCCAAGCAGCTCGGTTTCCGACAGATCTTTGCGGTAAAGTACCTCGTTACCAATGATGATACCCTTGAAGTAGTCGCAGCCGTAGTCGTCGAGGATGTCCCACGTTTGGGAAATCTGTCGCTCAGTAGTAGTATCGTTCTTGTCGAGCCAAACACCGAGCCAAATCTTCATGGTGTCCTTGATTTCCAAGCGGTTGATAGCATGGATGAGCATCTGGGTCTGGTTGCAGTCGGTACCATACAAGCGGACTGAGTTAGTCAATTGTGACATGACGGCCAAGTCTCGGGTGATGTTGTTTTGTGATGGCCCGACGTGGAGGCAGTCGGGGTACTGTGTGTTTAATGGAGTGTAGTCCATGCCTGGGAACACCTTGTGCAGATCGGCGTTGTTCATCAGGGCCTTGATCTCATCAGAGTCCTTGCCAAGATCGTCCTTGTTGTCTTTGGCGATATCATTAGCAGATTGCTCCGCTGTGGCTTTGCTGGAGTCCTTCCCTCCGCCCTTGCCGACAGTAGCACCCAAGACACCACCAAGAATTGCACCTGCGAGAATGAGAGTGATGATGGCAATGGCGATCCACATTCTCTTCTTCCTCTTCTTCAAATCGTCTTCTGCTTTCCAACTTGCAATCTTTTCAGGCATGAGCTCTCCACTTCCATTGACCATGGGCACGGCGTCGTACTTGGTACCGTCCCGCGACGCAGCAAAGGCACCAGCGCCTGCAGCACCAGCAACAGCCCCGTTGTTTATTGATGATCCTGGTGAGCCATTGCGACTGCTGCCGTCGCGCGAGCCACCGAATGGCACAAAAGAGCGTCGCTTGTTCTGTGGGGAGTTGTGGTCTGGGCCCATTCCCCAGTCGTCATCGTTGTCGACTTCGTTTGGGTTGATCTGGCCCATCTGCGGCGCGAGGTTCTGGGCGGAAGAAGAGTAGCGGTTGTAGGGCGTGTCGGCGTAGGGAACGCCGCTGTGCGCAGAGTGAGGCATGCTGTACATGGAGCTGTCACTCGAGTACATGCCAGCGGCCAGTGGTGCGCCTGAGCCGTAAGAGCGTTGCGAGTACATTGGGCGGGGTATCATCGGCTGGTCGTGGCCATTCGGGTCGTTGAAGGGTGATGACTGCGAGCTCCTGTTTGGTACGCCCATGGGTCGTCCTGGACCTGCCATGCCTCGAGCCGCCTGCATGCCGCTCTCGCGTGGGTGGTTGGAAGCGACGCCGTTGGCGATGCCGTTGATACCGCCGCCAGCGGCTGTCTCGCCCATGTTGTCTGAACCCGGAGTGACGCCTGGGGTTGAGTAGTCGGAGTAGTTATTAGGGTCGGTATACTGTCGCTGCTGAGGCATGCCTACGGGGGTGCGATGGACAGGCGGCGGCGGCGGATTGTCGTCGGAGGGTAGGGCGTCGGTCTGCTGTCCTAATGGCCAAGCCTGAGGTTGCTGGAAAGCCATTGTGAATGCTTGTTTGAGGATTTCCTACACACTTCGCGTCAAGAGGCGAAAACGACAGGCGGGCGCAGGCAACGCTTGCAAGTGGTAGCGGACGGCGGCGCGCCGCTCTGCGGATCGATTGAGGCGGACTGTCGCTGGGCCTGGCTAGTGTTTGCGAATGCGGAACACGGTTAGTCCAAGGTTTGTTATTCACAGGTGCTGGTACAGCAAGGACCAGGCAAAAACGAGGGAAAAGGATAATGCAGCGTTTCGCAGAGGCGCAATTGTGGAGTGTATTGGTCGGGTAGCACGGCTTTGGCAAGACAGAGGCTGGCAAGGCGACTGCTGGTTGCGCTAGCCCGCAAGATTCACCCAGGAAACCACGACGGAACCCACTCTGACGTCTCCGCCAATGCACCAGCGTCTGTCCGTCCAGCCTCAACAGGTTTTCCTCCCGATAAGCCTATACCGTTGCGCATACTGAGCGAGCGTGCCTTTTTGGCCCGACAATGGCCCATTTTGCTTCCTCGGCGGCGCTCTGTCTTTGTATCACGTCTTATCAATTCACTCATGTATCGTCATCATCATCATCGTGCCTGCCTCTTCCTGCACTGTGTTGCATCGCGCCTGCCTGTGCGATTTAGCCTCACCACAAACAAGCAGTTGCAGCGACGCCTTGGCGCTACTCACGGGAAGCCGCACCCACAACGGCACGAGCAAGGGTGGAGCAATAGGTAATCTCCCATATCAGTTGGACGTTTATTGCCGCGTTTCCTCTCTGGTATATCCCTTTAATCCCCTGCTCCATTCTAGACGCCTTGCATCTTGAATCTCCTCTGCTTCCAGCTTCTGTCAACAACGTCTTCGCCTCCAGCCCGTTCTATCATTAGCTCCTCGTGTCAGCCGCTACCGCAAACGGCTCCACCCTAAAATCTGGAGCCATCAACTTTAATCCCATCTAGTCTGCACACAGCCTCATCTTATGCCATCAGCCATGGCATTTCCTCTTTTTCACGCACTCACGTCTTTTCTCACGAGGCCATTTTCTCAGGCGTGTGGGGCATGCGCGACATCCAATGCCCTTGTAACCATCTGATCGCCGTGGTGAAACACAAAACACCAGATCGCCATCGGTCCCGGCTGATAAGGCATGTTGTGCTCACCACTCACTCGTCCCTACCCCGCGCCCTTGAGCGCCGTGCATACGAACGCCGCGTCAGCGTCAAGTCATCCTACCGGACTCCAGCAGCAGACTCTATTTGTTTGGCTCGACTGTCAAAATGCGCGCCAGTCTTGTAGCCTCTTGTATGCTACATGTGCTCCGAGTACCCCGGTCACGTTTCTGCAGTCGAAATATTGGCCTGCATGCACCAAGCCTCGCAATATATATTAGCACATTTGCATGTACATTTTGACATTTACCACGGTTGCAGCGAGCTAAGCTTCATTTGTGAGCCGCATGTTGATTGCATATTGTCCATCTGGGCAACTATGGCGATTTTACACCCACATAAAGTCAACGCCCGTCTCTCGCAACAACGACCACTATTTGCCAAACTTGGAATTCGACACTTGCGCAGGTACACCGTCGTGTTTACAGGCAACGTTCCTTACTAGTATATGTGTATGATGCAGTATATCCTCGCTCTAGCTACCATCCCTCCAGTCGGTTCTGTGTGAGAGATAGACATGTCGCGCAATACTTCCTAATACATGAGTAAACCTCAAGATCACAACATAGGAAATATAACGTCTCGGTGCAATACGTCTCCGATCGCATCTATATACCATGATACCATTGGACTCGAGTTGGACGCCTCTTCTAGCCTAAACCTGTTGTGTGACGCTGGCGCATGATTTTCCTAATCTAGACAACCATCTCAGTCGAATCAAGACTTCAGCCACCATGAAAATGAGTAAGAAACAGTGTTATCCTACACATATATATATCTTTCCCTTGGCAGCTCAACTACGATCACCATCCGACAGTCTGAACATTCCATATCCTGCACTCTAAAACAATGCCAGCTCACGCCCAGATCCATACTACCATCACCACCCTCCCCACCGGCCCCCCTCTCGTCATCGCAATCATAGCCGGAACCTCAGGCATAGGATCCTACATTGCCAAAGCATTTGCTTCCGTCTACCGCAATTCAGGAACCAAACTCCGCGTCTATGTTGTTGGCCGCAACACCTCGCGCGCAGAAGCCCTACTCGCACATGTGCGCTCCACGAGCCCAGGTTCAGAATGGCGGTTCATAAAAGCGCAGGATCTGGCGCTGATGAGTGATGTCGATGCCGTGTGTGCGCAGATCAAGCGATACGAGGAGGAAGAACCGTTCGAGGGAGGAGGAGGTCCGAGGATAGATATGCTATACATGGGTCAAGCAATTTTCCCACTTGCACCGTCAATCGTGAGTTTTCATTCTCTTCTTCACTATTCGATGACGGGGGAGTATAACACATGGTCGGACGAGAGTTTTTCTCATACTAACATCAACCACCAATCTTCCAGCAACAAAGAAGGCCTAGACACCCAAATGTCTCTGTTATACTACTCGCGTATTCGCTTCATCCTCAAACTAACCCCACTGCTCCTCTGCTCTCAAAACCCATCGGGCGCCCACGTTATATCTGTCTTCGCAGGGACAATGGAAGACCCTATCGATGCGAAAAACCTCCCTATCGGCCCACCACCGCCCGAGAAATACGGTGTCACATCGGTCCGCACGCACGTCTCTTTTATGAAGACCCATTTTTTCGAGGCCCTGGCTGAACAACACGCTGGCAACATCTCTTTTATTCATGTTTTCCCTGGCCTGGTTGATGGCCCGACTTTCTATAATGATGCAAATCCACTGTGGTTCCGTGTCTTGTGGCGCGTAGCCAAGGTGATGATGAGCTGGTATATGACGAGTCCCCAAGTCTGTGGCGAGGTCATGGTGCTTTTGGGAACGGGGAGGTATCCTGCCAAAGGGGTTGCTGTGGGGGGAGGTGATGTGGCATTCAGTAGTACGAGGGAAAGAGGAGGCGGTGCCTATGCTGTTGATCAGAGAGGTGACGAGAAAAAGCAAGTTAGTTATGCGAAGCTGAGGCAAAGTGATACAAGGGATCGAGTTTGGAAACATACCATGGGTGTGTTGAATGGTATTCAAGAAATGACGGGGTAGTTGGGACGGTGGGGCTGTGTTTGCCATGAAACATCCCTCGTAAATGAGGTAGAAGAAGAAAAGGTGAACACGACGAGACATAAAAAGGGGGAGTATTGTTATCTCGTAGCAATCGTAAACTTGAATTCCTCTTCTCTTGCTAGTTGTTATGAATTAGCCGTCTAATTTGCTTCAGTAAGCATATATACCCTAGCAAAGAAACCCGTGTGCCTGGTTAGAAATGTCAATGGATCGAGCCTGACCTATACCGCACTCATCATTGCCAGAAGTATTCCCAATCTTGCGCCATACCACCATTGAAAGCATCGCTGGCATCGTACAGTTCAGCCTGGAAATTCGTGTACTCGGCAGCTAGCCCGGGAAAGTCACCGAGCCATTGTTCAGCATCCTCAGAGTCGCTTGGTAGAGCGAGACGCTCAGCTAGTACCGGATTGAGCGTGTGTCCAGGTGTGATGGAGCTGGTATTCATGGTAGTACGAGACGTGGCTGTCGCGGACTTTCTTATACGCTTAGCTAACGGTTCAGTGTACTCGTCTTGTTGGTGTCGATAGTGGTTATTAGTGAGCTCATGCTGCAGCAATTGATCGACACAAGCCGCCATCGTTTTCGTGGCGGTCAGATGTAGTTCGTACGTTCTTTCTGGACATGGATCTGGTAATTGTACCCACTTCAGCACCAAAGAAAGGAAGATGATATCTTTTAAATCACTTCCTTTACGCCCCATTCTCCCGACAAGAGACCTAATAGTATTTTGCACAGTTGCGACGAGTGCTTGCTCATGGTGTGCGTGCATTTGTTGCTCAGGGTGCTGGCAGATCTGTTTGATGCGTTGACATATCATAAGAGCGGCCCACAAAGTATCTGTTTTGCACACCCAATAGTAAAGGTCTTGCTCCGATGATGGGCTATGCACAGCCTCTTTCAAAAGTGGTGGGTTATAGAAGTCTTGATAGGCGAGTATGGCTAGTGACGAATCGATGCAGTGCAGCCAGACCTCCTTGGTCGCTTCGGGATTTCCTTGGTCGTTGTAAAGCAGTGGTTTATACAAGCAGAATAGCGGTCGTCGAAGGTATAAATCGAGGAGAATGCGGTGTAGTAGGTCACCTCGATTACCGGGCATCAACTGAGTGCGGTGCAAGCTGAGGATCAATGGTTTGGAAGATAAGCGTTTTTCGACTTTTCGTCCTATCTCGATTGCCTCGTTCACATCAGGTGTTGAACGCTGCACAAGCGAAAGAGCTTTGAACCGATGAGGAAGTGACATAGCAAGGTAAACCTGGTATAGACTGTCTGTGAGGTCGTCAAGTGGGCGCGAAGGGGGCAGCTTTGTTGAAGGCTCATCGAAGTCCTCGTCGTTGAGATTTGTCGGTACGGGATTGTAACAGTCGAGATCAGAAGCTATCAAGGGCATACCTGCCATCATGGATGCTTGTAGGTCGAGTTCCAAAACGGTTGCCCACAGCCGCTTTCGCATCTCCATCTGGTAGAGTGAGATAGACTTTATGTTGGCAGGATCCAAATGTAGACCCATGATCATAGCTGAGCGTACAAGAGCGCCACTAGTGGTCCACAGCCTCTCTGGCCGGCGAACGCCACTAGAAAGTAGCAAAAGTATTTCGACTTGAAGAGTTGATAACTCGGTCTTTTGTTTTCGTCCAAGTTCGTCGAGCCATGCTTGGACATGGTTGATCGCTGTCTCTTTCAGATAGGGATTATGGGCTTCGTATTCATTAGCGCTTTTTGTTTCATCCAGCAGGTAGGCTCTGGTCATAAGGCTCGTGAGTTGCGCGATAGTGCTGGATGAGGAAGCAATTTCGGATTCGTTGTTAAGCCATAGTTTTTCATACTGACGCATGAATGTTGGGCGGTGAAGAACGCGCATAGTACGCTCAAAATACTTGAAGTATATCGAAACTAGCCGGTCGCAGTAATGCTTTGGAGGTAGGGACTCCCAGAGCTTTAGCAATGCAGGTGAGCATTCGGAGTTTTTCTTGCGTTCTAGTGATGAGAGTGAATTTCCTCTGGATTTGTTCTCAAGAAACTTAATTTTCTTGGCAGATGCCATCAATGGTCCATCATAAGCCATCCGGTTAAGGAAGTCTTTGACATCCAGGAACTGTATTCAGTTAACTTGGTGCCCAGCATGGCGGTGCTGTTCTTTCTTGCCTGGTTGAGGAGCGTAACTCTGTCATTCTGCCCATGATACTGAGATCGATCTCCTTCAGCCACGACCATACCAAGCAGAGGAAGACTTGTTGATGTAGGCCGCTCGACGCGTGTTATTGCTGAGCTCTGATGCGCACGAGCGACGCCTAACAGCTCTTCAACTTTGGCCATTCGGTGCTGAAGATCTTCGAGCGAGTTCAAGTGCGCACTGTCAGAAGTACTCGATAGTCGAGGACGTTTAACTTTCGATGCAGCCGGTGTGATACCGTCTCGATTGTAAGTGCATGTCTCAGCGATGGATGCTTTCGTGCAATTTTCGCATGGAGTTGTGCGATCGCATTTCAATTTCTTCTCGCGACACCTCAAGCATGAAACAACTGGTCGAGGACGTTTTGGTGGCGACGCGTCGTCCATGTTAACGCCGTATGTCCAGGGTTGCAAGTTGTGGATGCGTCTCCTGCCAAGTTGAGCGGCAAGCTAATGCTCGTCTGCGGCACAGTTCAGGCGTCCCACGTGTACCCCTGGCAAAGACGAAGACGGCTCACAGGCATTGTCGAGGCGTAGAGTGCATTTGCCGTCATCTGAAGTAGTTTTCAGAGAACGCGACAAGTAGGGCAATACGAGCGAAAGCGTCTTCGCAATCTTGTGAGACTCTCGAGCAGAGATATTGCAGAGGTATTCGAGAGACAATGCTAGAGGTGCCGGAACCTATGAGGATGTCTGTCGTAACAAGTACGCCATGATGCGAACCATGGTTTGCGAGCTTGCGGCACGTGGCACTGTATCAGCGCTGGCACGTGAGACTTGATGGTTCTACTCAGGTACGGATTGTCGCGTGGTATTGAATTTGAAGGCGTAGGTACAGTCCGCAGTATGGAAGTCTGGAAGGCGGGTGACGTCTAACTTCGCCTAGGCCTCTGACCCCACAACTAAAGGTCCCTGAGTAGCAACGGCGAGATTTGCCCGCCATCACAACACGTAGCTTCACTATCCTCGAATAGCAATTGGCACACATTCCACACATCAATTGCGCCTCCCAAAAACTTCCCTTGGTACATTGAACCCATTTTGGCATCTCCTTCAGGTAAGTGCAAGGGAACAGCTGCGTGGCCCCACCTGGCATCTGAAGCTCTTTGGACACAGTCGCTGACAGCTCCCCTCCCGTTCTGCAGTTATCCGACGTCCATCATGAGCAACCTCTTCGAAGCGAAAGTCAAGAGCGTCCTTTCTGGCGACACTGTCGTCCTCCACAACATCAACAACCCCAAAGCAGAGCGTACACTGAGCTTAGCCTTTGTAACTGCGCCACGACTGCGACGAGAGGGCGACGAGCCCTTTGCCTTCGAGTCACGCGACTACCTGCGTCGTCTGCTTGTAGGCAAAGTCGTCCGCTTCCAAGTCCTGTATAAGATACCGACCGGTGCAAACCGCGAATATGGCCTCATCGTCACACCGAACAAGGAGATACTTCCGCAACAAGCCGTCGCTGCGGGCTGGGTGAAGCTGCGAGACGATGCCGGTCGCAAGGAAGACTCAGACGAAGCTGCCAACCTGCTCGAGCGACTTGCAGTAGACGAGGCACGCGCCAGGGCCGACTCCAAGGGTCTCTGGGCTGAGACTGGCGGCAGGATCACCTCGTCTTCAGAACTGAGCGATCCGCAGAAGTTTGTGGAACAAAACAAGGGCAAGGACATTGACTCTATTGTTGAGAAGGTCCTCTCTGGCGACCGCCTCATCGTGCGATTCCTCCTCTCGCCCACCGAGCATGTGCAAACAATGGTCCTCCTCGCTGGTGTCCGCGCACCGGCAACACAGCGAACAAATCCTTCCGACGGCAAGGTCCAACCCGCCGAGCCATTCGGTGACGATGCGCAACAGTTCGTTGAGACAAGGCTATTACAACGAGGAGTCCTCGTTGAGGTTCTGGGAACAACGCCCAACGGCCAAATCGTCGCAGACGTCAAGCACCCTACCCAAGGCAGCATCACACCTTTCCTGCTTAAGAACGGATTGGCCAAATGCACCGACCACCACACCACACTCCTCGGCCAGAAGATGGGCGTGCTCAGGGGCGCCGAGAAGCTGGCAAAGGACGGCCGTCTGGGTGTCTACAAGGAACACGTCGCACCCAAGGTCAACAAGGCAGGCGAACAAGAAGCCACCGTTAGCCGTGTTCAGAGCGCCGACACCATCTTCATCCGGAATAAGGCGGGTGCGGAGAAGCGCATCAACCTCAGCAGTGTCCGTCAACCGAAGCCTACCGATCCCAAGCAATCACCATGGGTAGCCGAGGCAAAGGAGTTCTTGCGTAAGAAGCTCATCGGCAAGCACGTCAAGTTCCACGTAGACGGAAAGCGACCAGCGACTGAGGGCTATGACGAGCGCGAGATGTGCACCGTCACCTTCCAGGGCAAGAACGTCGGTCTGATGCTTGTAGAGAGCGGCATGGCTTCAGTCATCCGCCACCGACAGGACGACGCCGACAGGAGCCCCATCTACGACGATCTTCTCTTGGCCGAATCCACTGCACAAGCTGAGAAGAAGGGCCTCTGGTCGGATAAGTCGCCCTCTGTGAAGCAGTACGTCGACTACTCGGAGTCGCTCGAGAAGGCCAAGCGTCAACTCACTCTGCTTTCGCGGCAACGCAAGGTACCGGCCATTGTCGACTTCGTCAAGTCAGGATCGCGCTTTACTGTACTAGTACCTCGCGAGAACGCCAAGCTTACCTTTGTCCTCTCCGGTATCCGCGCACCTCGATCAGCGAGGAATGAAAGCGAAAAGGGCGAACCATTCGGCAGGGAAGCCCACGAATTTGCTAACCGCCGCTGCCAACAACGAGACGTTGAGATCGATGTCGAAGACTGCGACAAGGTCGGTGGCTTCATCGGCACTCTATACATCAACCGCGAAAACTTTGCAAAGACTCTGGTTGAGGAAGGTCTGGCTACGGTACATGCCTACTCAGCAGAGAAGTCTGGCAACGCGAACGAATTATTTGCAGCTGAGCAGAAGGCCAAGGATGCACGAAAGAACCTGTGGCAAGACTATGATCCGTCTCAAGAAGAAGAAGATGGTGAGGCAGCAGCAATTGCTGAACCCACTAATGGCGACGCTGAACCATCAAGGAAGGCAGACTACCGCGATGTTATGATCACTCACGTTGAAGATGATGGAAGACTTCGTCTGCAGCAGATTGGTAGCGGCACATCAGCTTTGACATCCCTCATGAGCGCCTTCAGCAAGTTCCATCTCAATCCAGCAAACAGCTCTGGTCTGCCAGACGCACCCAAGGCTGGCGAGTTTGTAGCAGCCAAGTTCACTGCCGACGACCAGTGGTACCGTGCGCGCATTCGACGCAACGACCGAGAGAACAAGAAGGCCGAGGTCGTTTACATTGATTACGGTAACTCGGAGACGATCCCGTGGACCCGCCTTCGTCCTCTCTCACAAGCGGAATTCCTGCCATCGAAACTGAAGCCGCAGGCTGTAGAGGCTCAATTGGCGTTTGTTCAGCTACCCGGCAACTCTGAGTACCTAGCCGACGCTGTTAGCTTCATCTCACAAGAAACAGCGGACCGTGAGCTTGTCGCAAGAGTCGAGGCTACTGAGAAGGATGGCATGCTTTGGGTGACACTGTACAACCCCGACCAGAGCAAAGACGGCACCGAGAGCATCAACGCCGACATTCTCAGCGAAGGTCTTGCCATGGTGCCAAAGAAGCTGCGGCCATGGGAGCGCTCCGCCAGCGTGCTTGCTGCAATGAAGAAGAAGCAGGACGTGGCCAAGGAGGAGCGCCGCGGCCAGTGGGAGTATGGTGATCTCACTGAAGACTAAGCGTCTACGTAGTTTGTCGTTACAGACCAAGTAAAGTGGCAGCACAAGTGAGAACAATGTAGCAATAGCAATAAAAGCATGTATCACCATTCCCAAACAAGCAACCGTCTCGAATACTTGTCTGCTAGCGATAGTGCCTTGTGATGAAGCCCTGCTACGGTAGCTGCCGAGGTGGAGGCGCAGGCGGAGTTGAACGACATGTGATTGGCGGCTTCGGCGGCGTTGTGTGTCTTCCCCCACCCGTCCACGGGCAGCGCGCTGAGGCGGTGCTAGGGCTGGCTGTAGGCAACCACCAAAGTGCACCCCAGTCAGACTGAACACGGGTCTTGCGCCATGACGACCACCTTCCAGGCAGGCGCGTTGCAGACTTCCTTCATGTCTTTACATACCCACACTTGATATCCCCTCGTCCTCGCTCGTCGCGTGTCAGAACACCCGTTGCGACAAGCCTCAAGCCAGTTGCGACCATGGAGACCATCAGTCGACTACCCCGACGCCTGACACAACTCTACTCCGACACCAAAACCACATGCGATGCCGTCGTGGAACAGGATACCAAAGACATGCCCGAGTCGCACGCGCTGCATCGCAAGTTCAGGATACAGAAGGACCGGCTTATAACATGGGGCGTCGACTGGAGCGACAACTCCAAGGGGAAGCAGGGCGACATCGACGACAGCGTGGAAGAGGCAGGCATGACGGAGACGGTCACAAGTGTGCTTGGCACCATCAAAGAAATCCTCGACGAGGCGGAAAAGATGCACCCGGGCACATCTGCTGCGGGTGGGGGAAAGACACTGTCTGGAGAGAAGAGCCGACCTGACCTTCCCTCGTGGGCGGCCGCCGACAGGTCACGTTACGAGGACCTCATCAAGGACCTTACCACTTCCATCGACATACTCTACGATCTCTCACGGAATCGAAGAGCCCAAAGAAGCAATGAACGTGGTGTTAGTCCAGGAAAAGCTGCGACGCGTCCCAGCACATCTACTCCTGTATTCCTGTCGCCCGACTATAATGCTTCTGACCTGACGCTTGTCAATCCAGCCACCTTCCCTTTGAATGCACATACCCTCAAATCTCATCTTCCACCAAGACTGGATCCTGCAGACCTGAGCCTACCTGACGAAGAACCTCCACCATACGAGAGCGTTGGGACTACTTCTGTTCGTGTCGTGGGTCGTTTGCGGTCTCGTCACAGCTCCACGAACCCCTGGAAGACGGACGGCAGTAGGAACATAGAGACTTGCGTTCTGGTTGACTATGCATGCTACGATCCCGCCTATCGTCTTACTGAAGTATCTCCGCCCACAGAGCGCCTTGAGAGCCTTCTGTCCATATTGACGAAGCTGTCCAACAACCAATCTTTCCACGGTACCCTCAAGTGCCTTGGTTATTTCGAAGATCCAAAGCAGCCGCGTTTCGGCCTTGTCTTCGAACTACCCACCTCAGTCTACTCGGGACCAGCTGATTCTCACAAACCAATCGAGGAACTCAAGCCAGTTACACTGCTCAGTGTATTACAGACGGGCTCCAAGTCTTTGCACAACTCCAACAGTGCCACTCCGCCACTTGAAGACCGCTTTCGCCTGGCCTTCACGCTCGCCTTGACATTCAGTAAGATTCACGGCGACAACTTCCTTCACAAAGACGTCAACAGCACCAACATTATGGTCTTCAAGAAGACCAAGAGGCATTCTGCCAATAGCAGAGCGTTACAATACTCGCTGCGATCACCCGTCATATGTTCCTTCGATCTGTTCTCCGACTTTGACATCGAGACTCCCAAGACAACACCAACATTGAACATCTATCGGCATCCCCAGGATCCCAAGTTTACTGGAAGCAAGGACCAAGAATACAACGCCAACTTCGATCTCTATGGCCTGGGATTGGTACTGCTTGAAATAGGATTATGGGTGCCTTTGCTTGATCTTTGGAAGCAAAAGTACACCCTGAGTGACTTCAAGCAGCGGATAGAAGATGTGTACATTCGTAGGCTCGCCTCAAAATGCGGAACAGCCTATATGCAGGTGGTGCGCGACTGCTTCTGGGCAGCCGATGTCAAGGGCGATAATACGATCGATGTCCCGCAGGTCTACACCCGCATTCTTACCAGATTGCAACGCTGTTGCATGCTCGACGAGTCTGAACCTGGTTTCGACTTGAGCGAACTGAGACCGGGTGCTACACCCATACAGCAAGCATCTCCATTGAAGCGCAAGAGCGTGAGTCAGCCACAAATCGCAACCGATGCTCAGTCAAGTCCGTCGTATAGGAGTGCAAAGCGATGGGCACTAGAAAAAGGATCACAGGCTCTGGAGAGGACCAAGTCTCTTTCAAAGAAGTCGCCGGATCTCTCATTAACTCGCAATCCATCCCGGAGCTCGCAACACTCCATTCGAAAGAGCATCTCCGAAAGTCTACGCATGATGAGTCCAAAACAGGAAGCATCAGAGATGGAGTGGGAGCAGAGAGATCCTCTAGAAGAATCAGGTACTCTTGTCGCAACCCCGCCAAACTCGCAAGACCCCAGCGACAATTCTTCTTTGTATAGGGAGCGTGTGATAACCGCCGCGTCAACGATTCAGCGCGCATGGCGACAATCACGCAACCCTCCCAATCGAGGCGCAATGCTTCAAGACTACAAAGACAAAATCACCATCATCCAAAAAGCCTGGCGCCAGACAAAGCAGAAACGGAGTAACAATACTGTCTCAGCCCTCGTCAGTGACGGACTCAGACACTGGCCGCAAGCTACTCTCGGCTACCCTACACCTGAACCCGAGCTCCAAATCAGGACGGTAGATTCAAGTGAGAGCTACGTTACATCCTCAATACAAATCGAGACCGACGTGGAACCCATTTCTCGGCCGAAACTTCGTCTCTTCCCCGTAAAGTTCACGCCCGAGATTGTGGATGAGTGGCACTCGTCTATGTTGCCCCGTCTTGAGCGCCTGATCGAACGTGCGCTTAAAGACTCCGAAGAGACTGTCAGCATTGATCTTGTCGCTATCGGAGAAGTGCTAGAGAAAGCCAAGCCTACTGTATTCGTCACCTGTACCAGTGTTGCAAAGGTCAAAACCATTCTCAATCGTCGCTTCCGCTATGATGAGAATGTGTATGACCTTAAAGTCCGGAGGGGAAAGATCAGGCGGTCCAAGATGAGCCGTTCCTCGCGCCGCACTAGGCCACCCCATCGATCGATGATGAACACAAACCCCTACGACGCCGACATGCCTGTCATGAACCCCTACCATCAGGAGCGCCCACTGTGTGGGGCTTCCATTGGAGCTTTCAACGGTGAGCACCTGCCTCCAGTGTCCTATGGTGGAGTCATCTTGGTCGATGATGAGCCACTGGGCATGAGTGTCCATCACCTACTCGACGCACCATCTGATGATGAGGATGACGTCGGTGAGGAACCCGATAGCCCCTATCCGAGTGATGTGATGCTATCTAGTGCAGCGAACAATCCTTGGTTGATGGGAATGGGTGCGCAGCCAGATCTTTATCTAGAGTCGGATGAGCCTGCTGCAATGTGGGATCTTGAACTTTCAGATGACGAGGACATGAAGAGTGAAGATGAAGACGCTGATCTTGATTCCCTCGACTTCTCTGATAGCGAGCTTGAATCTGACGATGACTCTGCCGAAGGTATGTCATTCGGATACTTCCAAAAAAAAACTCAAAAACTAATTGTTTCAGACATGGCAGATTCTATCGTCTCACGCGCGACCATGGGCGACATTGATGGTGTTGTTCCAGGCGAAGGCGAGGAGATTAAGATCACGCAGCCAGCCATCGACGACGTCGACGCAGACTTCTTCCCCAACGAAGAAGATCGCGACGACGACCATCTCTCCTCGCACGAACTGGGCCACGTTCATGCTTCTTCCGGCATTCGCCGCTGGAAGCGCGACGGTATCCTCCACGAAATCGACTGGGCGCTCCTCAAACTCAAAGAGGATCGCCTCCAACCATACAACATTTGCCAAGGAGGCCGCCGCTTCTGCATGGGCAACATGACACCCGAACAACGCGCCATAGCCTCCAAGCTCGAAAAGCCAGTCAACCGCCGCAATTTTACGCCGGAAGAAGACGAGTACCCCAACGGTGTGGCTCCCGCATCCTCCCTCGGTGGTATGTCTGTGCATTGTTTCGGCCGCACAACAGGCCTCCAAGGCGGCATGGTCAGCAGCGTCATGTCCGCCGTTCGCATCTACCACCGTAAATCCTTCTCCCGCTCCTGGCACGTCGCCGGCGGCTTCGGTAAAGGTGGCGACAGCGGAGCCTGGGTCGTGCAAAACGGCCACCACAAAGTCATCGGCCACGTCCTTGCATTCTGTCACAAGAACCAAATCGCCTACATCTGCCCTATGGAAGTCCTCCTAGAAGACATCAAGCGCACACTAGGCGCCAAACGCATCTACCTCCCTGGCTCTGTTGAGCAGACGCTGTACAAGGCCAAGAAGGCTAGACACCATGACGTCATCGAGGACCTGAGTTCGAGGGTTCAGGGTCTGGGTATTGTGGATTCTGCGGTTGATGTTAGGGAGAGTTTTGGGTCGGGGCCGCCGGCCAATGGCGGCTTGTGGGAGAGGTTGGAGAGGGAAGGGAATAGCGATAGGGAGAATACTAGATCGGCTATGAGGAGTAGTATCATGCGTGTCAATGAGGGGAGGGATGGAGGTTTGGAAATGAGTGTTAAGTAGGTGTGAATTGGTTGGCGTTGGTTAGGTGTTTGGTAAGGACGGCATTGGATGGGGGAGGGTATACCCTGTTACTTCGTTATTTATGTTCGAATCGCAAATTATATCGTTATTTTCATCTGGAAGTGCGCAAAACGTGGAGTGGATGCAAACAAGGAAACCTCTCTGTTCAAGCTCTATACCACTGGTACAAGAACGTCAAGTCCAAATCCTTGTCCCAATGTCCTTACATACGCTCTCAACATCCTCTCCTTCCCCCAATCTCGCCCAATACTCTTCAATCTCAGCCGGATACCCCGTTTCGTTGAGTGGTCTCATCCACTCATTCGCCTTGCTCCGCGCTACTCCGCCCCAGTAAGCCATCCTCTCCGGACGTTTACCGTCTCGGTTTGAAGCAAAGTGGATGAGCAAAGACGCAGGACGTGCCAGTGGTGGTTTCTCGGGATGTGCTGGATTAGGTGGAAAGCCGTTGAACCATCGTTGGGGCACATAGGCAACGGCAGAGGAGAAGTATGGCCGTCTGATAACCTCTTCCATGGCACTCTGCTCACTGTACTTCAACTGTATGTCTGGATCATACTCTTTCAGGCTAAGTGCAGCGGCGAGGAGACGAACCGCCCATTCGTTTACTCTAATGAGGAAGACGCCGTTATTGAGACCATGTCGATCATTTGTCACCACGAGATGGACGTCTTGCACCGGTGGTAAGAAGACGTGCAACGGTACATTCGGGTTCATCAAAATGGTATCGCGGTCATGCCAGAAGAGCCACTCCAACCGTTCCGCAGCCGGCTTAGCAAGTTCAGCTCCCAGGATCGTGAGCAGAAAAACGTGTTTGGACCAGAGACCAGGAAACATGCGTTCGCGGAGTATGAATTGAGGGTACCCGTGGATGTCATTATGGACTTGGTGCGAAGCGATGGCGGCTTCATAGACGGGATCCTCGGGGCCAAATGACGCTGTTACTTTGCCAATGCGAGGGGAAGACTGCGATGATAACGAGGGTGCATGTGAAGCGGGGATTGAGGTAGGCGCAGGAACATGCGTTGGTAGGATCTTGCTTGAGACCGTTGTTCGGGTTGAGAGGAGAAATACGAGACTGAAGCCTAGAACGAACAGTCCGGCGTATTTCAAGAGTCGATATGGTGATGCTCTTCGAAGAGAGTACCGAGAGCAGGGAGGTTCGCTATCGATGGACCACTCGCTGGATACGGAACTGCGCCTGCTTTCGCTCATGATGAGTGCTGTGCTTCACAGCTACAAAGGTGAGAGATCAGCGTCATAGGGTATGGGACTGTCTGAATACAGCGATGAAGAGCTGTGGCGTACACACGAACGAAAATGTCAAAGGAACGAATCAGAAGTTACTTGAGGTCTTGACGTTTTTCTTTTTGCGATTCCGAGGAGTACCATGGTCTCGGAGGTTTTCCACTGCCAGGGCAGCCGGGTAACATGCCAATCGTGCCCAGCGGAGGACAAGCCACCCCGCGTTCAGCTAGTGCCGCTAATTGCTTATATGGTGGCGCATGAAACGCGTACGTGTCTTGAGGCGTCGGAGTATGCGTCTTTTTTCCCAAGGCTTGTAAGCACTTAGTACGGTAACGACACAAGCTTGAGCTATCGTTATTTCCGAGGTAGTCTTCAAGCTGTCTCGGTGAAAGCGTCCAATGCTGAGCTACTCATAGAGAACGCAGAGTTCAGGCATGACCCCATCAGAAGCAGTCGCGAACTGAATGGTATCGGAAGCATCATTCGCGAACTCACACCCACAGATGCTGGTTACGTTGCAGCGCAGGAGACTGGAGCGATGGACACTAGTAACGTCAGGCTGTCCTGCGGCTCTGCCAAGCCGCTAATACTACCTAATCTCTAACACAGCAAGCCACCATCTGAAACTTCAACCTCACAGCAAGTCGACACCTCCAAGCCTGCCAAAGCGGATATCTTCCAGCCAGGTGTGATTTCTCCCAGTGTGTTGAGATTGATTCCAGGATCGACGATAGGGGAGTACGACTAGGAGAGTACACGACGGCCTGGCATCGATGCATGTTAATCCTTGGTACTGGCCCAGAAGCTATGGGAATGAGACAGTAGATGGCCTGGTTGGCTACCTATTAGCATCTCTCAAGAACATACAGATCGTGTAGCCATGGCAGTGGAATCGTGACATATCGTTGCTTTATATGGTCGTTACACAGACTTGGCTTATAGAAGAAAGGAGACTCGTCGCAATATCCAGAATCCATGTACGGCAAGATCGGTCAAGAAGAGAAGACCAATCTTACCGCTCACTTGGCTAGGACTTTGTTGATACCGTCCAAAGTACCAACCTTACTGAGGTCGTTTGGAGTGTCAATCTTACTAGCACCATTCGACGCATCATCCGAATACCCACTGTCCGACTCCGCCCTACCGCTCATCCTACAGCCACACTCTGGTGCTTTCACTTGCTCCGATGTCTTCATCTGCTTCGGTATCCTCGACTTCTCCCCACCATACCGCACAGTCGTCATACTAAAGAAGGTATTCCCCGACAGATTCGCCCACATACCCCTCAAAAACTCCCACGTCTCTTCACTCAGATTCTGCGTCTCGAGCCGCTTCAACTCCTCCCAGAGCCACTGTTCGCGCTGCAGTAAGAGGGCGTACGACATTTCCAGCGCAGAAGCTTCGTTAGGGAGACCGAGTAGCTTTTGCACGACGGTGACGAAATTGATGAGGTCAGGACATTCACCTGTACGGTAGGCGCGCGCTTCTTTCTCGTAGCTGTAGAGGTCATTGGCGATGGAAAGGTGCTCCGTCGCAAGTTTCATAAAGTGCGCAATGGCGGGTTGTTGGATATCAACGCTGGATGCTAGGGAGAACTTTACGGCGGCGAAGGTCCAGCCTGCGCAAATGTTTCCGTCGCGGAATGTGAGATAGTCCTCCAATGATGCGAAGGTCTCTGGGGGATTGATAGATTGGAGTGCGTGGTTGCGGAGTTCTTTGTACATGTCTTCGCCTCCGTTTCCTTTTTGCGCATCGGCGGCGCGTACGTCGATTGTGACTTGGTCAAGAAATGCTTGCAGAGGTGTCTTTGCGAGTTTGGATGTGTATTTGGGATCCTCTAACCGCTTGCAGAAATCGTCGATCAATGCGGGCACTTCCTTGTCGCCTACTACCTCGCTCCGGTCTGGTGTTTGTGTTAGCTACTTGGTCTAGAGCAGAGCCACGAGAATGGATTGAGAGAACATACCGTCGAAAAGAAAAAGCAGGCAGGCGAATATAGCGATGAGTTCGTATCGTCGTGCATCTGTGGTAAAGGGATACATGTAACCTGGGCAGCGCAAGACACGGTGCTTGAATCCAGGACGAAGTTCCCGGCGTGCAATGTCTTGAATGGACATTCCATGCTTCACAGGGAGGTGTTCATCATCTTCCTCGCTGGCAAGAAGAAATATTGTTGTTCTCGCCGCCTCCATACCCTCTCTCCAGAACCGTGATTCGTACACATCGGAGATGGAGCTGCAGTAAGGAACGTCGCATATGCCATTGAGCGGATTGAACGTATTGAACACGCGCTCCTTGGTATTGTGAACCTCTCCTCCGCCTCTAGGGAACGAAACAACGCAACGATGAATCCATGGCGGATTGGACTGCAAAGGGTTGTGCAGATACCGTATAGGGCAGATTCGGTCCTGCTCGGCCTCACCAACAAGGCCTGTAAGAGAATGGTCAGGAATAACCATGCTGAAACAATCAAATCCTTGAACACGGAAGCTATAGAATTTCCTCTTCACTTGGGCTTGTAAGACACTTATGGGCCAGAGACACGTATTGCATGTATTACGAGTCAGCGCCTGCGCTTGGATATCTTGATGGAGACCCAGTATACCAGGGTGGGATCCCGGAGAAGTTTCTCATGTCGGCAAATACCCCTGCGGGATCAGCCGTTACAGCTTCCCATTCTTGTCGCGCTGGATTAACGGCTATCGTGCCTCGACTAGAATACGTCCTAGACCGCCTTGAACGCTTGCAAGTCCCCACATCTTGTAAGAGGAAGACCACTGATTTCTCTTCTTTCCAACATGCTGGCCATCCTGTCATGCGCATGTGAGGCACAGCCCGGGATTTGCTACACTTTCGCGTAGTTTGAGGGATATATCTGCCGTGAAGTATCTGATCCTGAGGTCCAGCCCATCTTGCGCATGACAAAAAGGCCCATGGCTTCTGCTGTTTATCAACATTTTTCACTCCAACGCCACTTCAATGGTACGGAAGTGCTTACGTACCGTACCGTCTACCGCGGCTGCCGCGATGCCTAGTTTCGAAGATCGTGTCTCGTATGCAGTCCCCTCGGTGTTGTTTCATCCCTGCTCACCCACCGGAAAAAAGGGTCCAGAAAACACTCACTCTCCTCGTGAGAATCTGATAATGGTTATCTATGTTTGCCAGGTTCTGTTAATTTTGCCAAAATAGCAGTATTAGGGTGTGGACTTCGTTGTAGGCGAGTGAAATGGGGCATGAGTTTACGGTGATCTACTACTTTTCCGTCCAACCCTCCTGCCCATTACTCGTGTCTACTCGCGATTCCCAGAAGCGATCATGCGACAGGCTCGGTGTTTGTCCGCGAACCACTTTGATATACACTGTGTTCCATGGGGCGAAACTCGATAAACCTCTTCGTGTCGGTTCTTCACCGCTTTTTCTCAGACGAGGTTGTTCCAATCGTCCAGAAAGATGTAAATTTCAGTCGAGGTGGTGCCATCAGGTCTGTGTTCATTGTGCATAGTAGGGAGATGTGTGGCCAGTAAAATTTTAGGCGAGAGGAAGTGTAGAACGATAGCTGGTCGTACCTGATAAGCCCGATGATAAGCCGAATGACAACTGGCAGACTAGAGATGCTCTAACTGTTCGTAGAGTATACGGTGTTCACTTCTAGCCGCGTATAGATCGTATCCGGACTTATGGGCCCAAGATGTCCAGGTGAACAGTTGGGTCTCGTCTTCGGTGACGCGACTCCAGTATCAGTTCTGGAAACCATCGCAACTCTCTCCGGTACCAAGAGCCCGTAGGACGTTGAACCAAGCTAGACCTGCAATTGACTTCGTGTCACGGATCGTATTTGGCGCGATGATCGTAATCCATCGGTGGAGTCGAGAGTCGTCTTGTGGTTCGGCCTGTGGCGAAGTTGAGAAGTTCTGGATGCGAACTTTTTGTGTGCGTAGGAAGATGGAACTTATTCTTAGATGATTTTCTTAGGAATCATGGCGAGCCATGCTCCTCTTCGGGGTTTGGAGGTCGGTTGGGGAAATTCGGTGATGAGAGGCATAGGTATCGGTATCACTGCTTATCACAACGACTCATCATCACACACGCATTTATTGGCTTCAGTAGATTGCGTGTATGGTTAGACTTAACATATGAGTCTGGGTACCTGTTAACCCCGAAATGTTAAAAACCTTTGACATAGCAAATATGCCATGGACTCACCAGCTTTCGTGCAACAGCATGGCATCACAAGAACATGGCGCGCACCATGTGATGACCATGACAGGTTCCTTATTCACTTATTCTCGGTCTTCCAATTGTATCTTCTCTTTTACTGACAGTGCTCTCACTTCTCGAGGTTAAACGGGCGGCGGCCTGTGCCCACGAGTGAAAAACCGATGCGTACGACGGACATTGTGGTTGATGGGGACGGCCTCAGGGTTATATATTCTATACTCTGCCAAGTGAAGGAGTCCCCTGCTAAGATTGCGGGAAAAATCGAAGACATCTCAATACCCGCTACAACGGCCTTGTATTTATTGGCTCTCCAGATAAGAACAATGCAAAAGTGTGGGTAGGAGGTGGTCATGCTTCCAACATGCTCGTCGCGCACTCCGAAGAATTTGTACGAAGCCTGGATTTGGATGCTCGGGGGACTTTGGTGAACACCCAATCCTCCCGAGGTCTCAAGGTCGCTGAAAAGAGTTACATTTAATGGAGCTTTGAAACCGAATCTGACTGTCACTTCATGTTTGAAGTTGCGACGATTAAGTTATCGAAATTTAACACGGACATACTTTAGATGAGCTTGGATGGTTCAAACATAATCAAAGATCTTGACTGCGACACGTTCAGCGCCGAACACGTCTACCAGTTGTTCTTCTGAAAGTCATCGGATATGGTAACTAGAGATCTCATGTCGTAGACAACAGCTGGATCGCAAGTCTCGTCGTTTCGGCTATTACCATATCAAGGTCGTCCTCGATCAGCGTCGCTCAAGCACCTCTTCCAGTGAGGAAGTCGCAGCAACAAGATGCTATCATAGAGGCGCTCTTGAAGTGTCAGTAAATCTCTGTACAAGCTGAAGTGGCGTCCAGTGATGTAAACACACGTTGCTGGAACTAGATAAGCGGGACAAATAAGGTGGCGCAACATGCTTGAACTATAGCGTTGTCGCGCGTTGAAGAATAATATTGGTAATTGGATACAACCGCCATGCAAAGTCCTGTCTTAAAAGCTTTTATACAGGCTTCCTTCGTCAAAGACATCTCGATCGTTGCCTCGAAACTTACCTAGGTACTGTCAGAACCTCCCGGAGCTTTCAAGCTTGCATTCGCGTATCTATGAATCTTTCATAATGTAATGAACCAAGCACGTGCTTTGAAGGCGTTTACAAAGCTTCGTATCGCTGGTCTGATATCTCCGTGTACGGATGGTTGGGCGCTAGTGAGATCTAAAAAGGAAGCGCTAGTGCAAGAACAGATGTGGCGCAGCCCCTGAAGTGGTCTATTCTTTGGCGAACACAGCACGAACATCATGCCCACGTAGTCATGATTCCGACGCGGTCTTTGGTATGTTGCCACTGCTAGGGGAAAGAATAGGATTTACTTCCGACAGACAAATATGAGGTTGTTCAATCATCTGCGTCGCTGTCCACATTACACCTCGGTAGCATACTGATTATTGCCACTCAACGACTTACAAAGAGTCGGCAACCTCAGTCAACTATCAGCCGAACTGAACGTGCGTTCAACGGAGACGGGATCCTGTCAAAATCCACACTATTGAACACGCAATGACCACCAGGTCTAGAATTGAGGTTCAAAAATAAACATTGGAACCTCATTGGATGGTAGAAGCACAATTACTGTTCTCACGACGAGCGCGTTGCTAGCAAGATCACAATTGACAGCATATATCGGGGTATCAAGCTTTCGGCCAAGTGGAGAGACATCCGCCCAAACGGGACCCCTAACCTTCCGCCCGACCCGCCGCCTAGACTTGTAGCATGCATAAAGATGCTTTTGCAAACTCAGTGCGCGAGTCTCTGGTACAATAGAAGCAGACAAGTGTTTGATAGACGGCTGAAGTCCAAGATACCTCGTTCGATATCTCGACAAAGCTCTTCCTCTGAGAGTACTTACTGTTCTTGATGTGTCGGTCTGGATAGTAGCGTTTACGTCCGAAAGCTTATTCTTCGTATTCGTAAGTACATCTGAGTTGAAAACCAATACCGAGTGGTATGCTCATGCGTTGCGCACGTGTCGCGTTCTAGAGCTGAACACCCGCGAATCCATGATAGCAAGCGAGCGATAGACTCTCCACCTCAGGGGCGTGTCTGCCCAGGAGATGTTCGTTTGGTGAGTATATATGGGAATTGCATCTCGCAGTTCTTTCTTTCATCCACACTTTCTACTTAATTATTAAAACCTCTTTCCTACACTCGTTTTTTCCTATACTATCTTACCCCAGTCACTCGTTATACACGATCATATTCATATTTAATATCTAATTAAACAACCACCACCATCACAATGAAGTACGCCCTAATTTTCGCTGCCACTGCAGCTGCCTACGAGGCTTATGGCGGATACGGCGCGGATGCTGAGTCCAGCTCCGTTGTCAAGCCAAGCACCTCCGCGAAGCCCATCGGATACACCACTATCGTCCCAGGCTATGGCAAGCAGCCAGTCACCGTGACCACTCAGCACCAGCCGTACCCCACCTGCGTGTCTCCCGCCTACGGTGGTAAGGATTGCGCCAAGTGGGACGAGGACGCCTATGTGTCGACTGTGATCAAGGACTACGACAACAACTACGCTACGATCACCAAGACGGCGCAGCCCGTTGTTGTCTACCACACCACGAAGACAATCACCCACTCCGCCACTGCAACAGGCGGCTACGCTGCACCTACCGGCGCTGCATACAAGAACGGCACTGAGGGCTGCTGGTACGAGTTGTACGAGAAGATTGAGGAGGTGCCATACAACCAACTTGGTCCTCACGCGCTTCCCGGATACCCCGGCTCCGGCCTCTACAAGGAGGGCGAGAAGAAGCAACCTGTTAATGTTAAGGAGTACAAGGGCGGAAAGTGGTCTGAGTACGTCCACGAGTACTCCTACGGCACTCCTAAGCCTGAGGTCACTACTTATGAGAAGCCCGGTGTCTACACAGTCCCTAGCAAGGACGTCACCATTGACCACCCTGTTACCTACCCAGCTGAGGCCACGAAGACTGCGAAGGCTGGCGAGACTTGCACCTACGGAGGTCAGTCCATTGAAGCCAAGCAGACCGGTTACATCACTGGCGCTTACGCTGCCTATGAGACCAAGGTCAACGGTGGCAAGACTGTGACCGAGACTGTGATCAAGCACACCACAATCTATGCATCCACCACCGGCAACTATGAGGTCGCGAAGCCCACAACCACCGTGTACGACCACGACACCGAAGTCGCATACCCAACTGCTAAGCACTACGAGGCTGGTGTCTACCACCATGAGGCCAAGACTGTCACCATCACCAAGCCTGGACAGGCCTACACTTGCGAGTACGAGCAGACCAAGAAGTACGAAGCTACGTCGACCCCCAAGAAGAGCACCGACCATGCGGCCTACCCTACCTCCACCCCCGCTCACGACAACTCTTACGGCCACAACAAGCCATCTGCCACCCCTAACAAGCCTACTGAGGGTGAGAACAACCATCCCTCATACCCTGCCACCCCCAAGCAGCCTACTGAGGGCGAGCACAACCATCCTTCTTACCCCGCTACTCCCAACAAGCCTGTTGAGGGTGAGAACAACTACCCCTCCTACCCTGCCGGTCCGGTAAAGGGCCACCCATCTTCCGTTCAGGAGTCGTACCCGGCTTCTACTCCTGCCACTATCTACACCAAGCCCTCCTACAACGGCGGAAACGCCTATGGCGACAACGGAAAGCCAACCACGGCTACTGTCTCGTCTAAGGAGCATGCTTACCCTGAGTCTACTCCCGCCTACGGCACTGCTTCCTCAGCGCCTGCTTATGGCGCTAGCTCCTCAGCTCCTGCCTATGGCACTGAGTCCTCCGCGATGGCCAGCTCCACTCCTTGTGAGAGCAGCAGTGCTTCCGTTACCCCTACCAAGTCATCCGATGTATACAGTGCTTCTACCCCAGCTTTTGAGTCTTCCATGTACAGTGCCTCCAGCCCCGCTGCGGCTAGCTCTACCCCTTGCGAGAGCAGCACTGCTTCTGTCACCCCAGCGAAGTCTTCCGGCTACAGTGCTTCTACTCCCGCTGCTGTATACACTAAGCCATCATACAATGACAACCACGGCTATGGTGAGAACGTCAAGTCGACTCTCTCTACCATCTCTACCAAGCCCTACCCTGAGTCTACTCCTGTAGAGCACTACCCTGCAAGCGCCAGCTCCACTCCTTGCGAGAGCAGCACCGCATCCGTCACACCCGCCAAGTCATCCGATGTATACAGCCAGGCTACACCTACCCCGGCCAAGTCTTCGGCCTACAGCACTGACGTTTACGGTGAGGCTTCGTCGACCCCTTGCTCTTCCTCTGTACAGTCGACCCCGACTCCTGTGCAGCCCACATCCGCCCCTGTCTACGACAACACTCCCTACCCCGCTGGTGCCACCTCTACTCCTTGCGAGAGCAGCGACAAGCCTTCCGCTACTCCCGTCGTTCCTGCCGCCTACCAGCCTGCTCAGGGCTACACCAAGCCCCAGACTGGCTACACCAAGCGTGGTGGATTGAACGAGCGTCGCAAGATCGCTGCTGCCAACTAGAAATGTAAAAGGTTTTCTTCTGTAAATATTTCGTTGTGTTGAGAATGTGTTGAGCGGTAGATGGAGAAAGCGGATGCAGTTGGAAGATGTGTATGTAGAACTTAATGGAAAAACTCCATTGCATGAAATCACCTGAAACACGATTGCGCTCAATTTGATGTACATCTGATTACAAAGAGGATTGGGGGACTCATGAAGCCTTGGCGTCTAATCGTAAGCCGTGATACTGGAGAACAACGAAGGTCTCACGGCGGAGTGCTGGCCTGAAGATTTTTGAACCTGAGCGTTAGCGTGATAAGAATTGGCGACTCGATTTTCTGCTTGCATGGAGTGGAGGCAACCACAGCAAAGAACGTAGAAAGTCGGGGTGGGGCGAAAGAGGGGCTCAAGTTTAGCTAAATAGTGATGGCATCACAATTCTTTCTTTACGGCCATGACAAACGGTCTGATTATGAAATGATTATCTGTCGCGCGTTGGATATATAAATGCAAAATTCCACAATTTTTCATCAAGCATTCTTGGTCCAACGGTAGGATAATTGCCTTCCAAGCAATTGGCCCGGGTTCGAGTACGTTCTATTCCATATCCATTATCACCAACACACAACTAACAAGCAACAGCTCCCGGAGGATGCATAACATCCTTCTCCACAATTGCGAGATGATCACTTCTTTTTTTAACTTATTCTGTGAAGGCTGGGTCTGGTTTTTACGACCATGCGCTCACCTAGCCAGCTCATGATACCTCTTTCTTTTTTGTATTCTCAGCTGCACTCTCAGCTTTCCATCCCTTCACCTTATCTGCTGTGCGCATGCAGGCCTAGAATAGGCGAAAGTCTTGGACGCGACACCAAGGTGCGGGGTGTTGGTTTGTTATTAAGCATCATGTCGCTTCTGGCTGATAAGCCTAATAGAGACTTTGGTGCTCGTGAGCTTGTTTTCCACACAAGACGCGCATGATCACTTCAGCTCCCAGACTGGTCTGATACCACGTACATTCCGTCAAGGAGAACACAATGGTCCTCGCAGGACTTTGCAGCTCGGTGGCAGTCTAACGCAGCATTGCGTAACAGTTAGTAAAGATCTCGCTCTACTCCGGCGCTATTCATGTGTTCGATACAGAAGTACCAACTAATACATTGATCGCACAAACAAGTTCCAACGAGCGCGAAGTAGCCACTGTGACGGAGACAAGTATTCGCACCCCTCAAAACCGGTGACCCCAAAATCGCGGTTTAGAGACATACCATCTGCATTCATTGGCTTGCGGCTAGCCCTATATTGCAACGGGAGCCTCTCATGGTCTGGGTTCTCGGTTAGATGCGTTGGCTTTGCAGTGGACGGTGGGGCTCTAGACGCTCGTTCCGAGGTGGGGAGTCGGTCAGCTTGCTTGAGGAACATAGCGAACTGGAGGCCCCGCCTGACATTTGAAGCATCTGATTGGGTGTAATGCTGCAAGATTGTAACAAGTCACCGACATCTTGTTTAAGTTGCGATATGCGCCAAGTATGTGCTGAGGACACAGATCAAAGGAAATGACGAGCATCCTTTGAGGCGTAGGTGTTATATATTGTGCTGACGGCCTGACTTTTGAGCCTCACATCCGTCTTCTGCAGTCATCTTTTGTCACCTTCGTCTGCAATAGGCTGCTACTTTCATACGCAGAGACGAAGAGCACTCTGCGCACGTCTCAACTTTTTGAATCTCCACGTATGACCAACATGGCATCTCACAATCAACCCATGCCGCTGCCGATCCGAACAAACACTGTCGATTCACAAAAATCACAGTCGTCATCGGGTCAAACATCCCCACCCTATTCCCCAGCATCACCAACGGCCCGCACGACTGCTTCGCCGACCGAGGAGTCATTCTTCGGCGCCATTTCAGCACGCATCCGCGGTCGCTCACGAAGTCGCTCTCGTGGAGCCACATCTCGCAAACGCTCCAAGTCGCCCATGGTCATGCCGCCCGACCAAGCACCTTACTCACCAGGGCGTGCTTCCACTATAAGTCCTAACAGTTCAACACGGCCAGCCGCAGTACCGCTACAAAGTGGCAGACCTGGCATACAGGATGCAGGCCGGCGGAGCACAAGTGGAAGCGATCCGTGGAAGGGACGGCATTCAAACGACTGGCTGTTCAACGGATACTCGCTGACGGCTTCGGCAAAAGGGCTGGTCCAGCGACGGAAGTAACCCAGACGGATAACCGATTACTGCTGGCTGTACTACACTTGTGGACGAGTGCCTGGCTGCCTTCTGATGAACGTTACGACGAATGATGATGAGATGATTGAACGAGATTGTATCAATGTTAGCTTAGGTACTGCAGAGATGAAGAGGGTACTTGAGCTGGTCTCGGGGTTGCCATTGTCATTGTCTCTCACATTCTTCCTGTCGTTACCCACCTAGGTAGCTGTATATTAGCTTCGAGCATATAAATTGACATTGCAGTATCGTGCAGTATGTCGTGGTACTACGTTTGCGAGGTGCGCGTGCTCACCAGAGCGACCTAACTCCACACTGGATGGAAGAAAACAATGTTGCTTGATGCTTTGCGCAGAGATCGTATAATGTGTCTTGGTCCGAAGCGAGAGAGTTGTCGGAGTTGATTGCATTGCCTCTTTACATAATCAGCCCTACTGACTCGCGATCTCTGCTCCGGTTCCGCACCAGCCAGCCTGCCATGTCCCAGGTACCAGCTGACCTCACCGCTCCAGGGAGTACCTTCATGTCTTCTTGTGCTCTGTGCTTTTGGGAAACTTCCGACAGCACGCGACGATGATTTCGACATTTGATACGCCTTCCTTGAACGCCGTGCATGTTACATGCTGTTATCGGAGTAATGACATGATACCCCAGGTGGGCTAATCTGCGACATCGAATCCCGAAGTATGACCCACTACCCCTCCATCACGCCGACGTGAGGTTGACCATCCGTCGGTACAAAAACACGCATTCCGAATCTGGAGAAACAACGTTCGTCACACCGCATCGGCTTGTCCTCCAGGGTTTGCATAGAGCGAAGACATACTTAAGACTCAATCGCGATCCGTTCCACCCTGCCCTCTCTTGTACTCCGTCTATACTCGCATCTATCATGAAGCACGAACGCGCAACGCTTCCGACACCGACTTCGTCCAACTCCTTCTGGCACAGCGAACCGAATGAGTTCTTAATCGGTCACCGCACAACGGAGGAATTACCTGCCGAAGCCGACATTGTTATCGTGGGATCTGGTATAACTGGCGCGAGTGCAGCCAGGTATCTTTCTGAGGATAAGAGGGCTGCCGGCAAGAGCATTGTTCTACTCGAGGCCAGAGAGGCGTGTTGGGGCGCCACAGGAAGGGTAAGTCGACTGCGCCCACTCCCTGATCTCAACATTGTCTGACCGAAACCTTCGGCGCACATCTGCTGACGATTGCGCAAACAGAATGGTGGACACTGCCAACCCCTCCTCTTCGATCGAAGTAGCGACGTAGCCGAGTTCGAACTCAAGAACGTCGCTGCAGTGCGATCCTACATTCATGACAACGGCGTGCCTTGCGAGTGGCGCGATGTAACTGGCTGCCGCACATTCTGGACTGAAGAGGCAATGAACGAGGCCGAGAAGGAAATTGAACATCTTGGGAAGATAGCACCTGAAATTGCACGCCATGTCACGATTATCAAGGACAAGGAGGATCTCAAGAAGCACCGTGTCGCACCTGACTGTGTTGGAGCGACGCTAAGTGAAGGTGCTGCGAGTTTATGGCCATACAAGCTAGTTACATTCATTCTCAAGAAGCTTATCGAGAATGACCAGCTCAACCTACAGACCAAGACTCCCGTCACTGAGATTACTTCGTCAGATGGTACGCATACCCTCCACACACCCCGTGGCACCATCAGCAGCAAGACAGTCATTCTCGCAACCAACGGCTACACATCAGCTCTCCTACCTCACTTCGCCGATCTCATTGTGCCTTGTCGGGGTGAGATGTCTGCCCTTTTCCCACCTGCAGGATCTACCCTTATACCAGACTCGTACGGCATGGTTGCAGCTCTTGGTCAACCAGCTAACAATGACGACTACCTTATCCAGCGCCCATTCGAGGGCGTCCCAAACCCCGCTGGTCACTTGATGTTCGGTGGCGGCCGCGGAGCTGGACACTATCCAAGCATAGGCATCTCGGATGACAGCGTGATTGATGAAGGCTCTGCTGCATATCTCCGCGGTGCGCTGTTGAAGGTTTTACAGTTGGACGGACAGACTGAAGGCCTGACTGAACTCAAAGCCGCGGCACAGTGGACTGGCATCATGGGCTATTCTCGTGATGATCATCCGTGGGTTGGCAAGGTGCCGGATAGGGAAGGCTTGTGGCTAGCCGGTGGGTACACAGGACACGGTATGCCGAATGGTACATTGTGCGGGAAGGCAATTGTCGACATGGTACTCGGCCAAAACGACGGCAAAGATCTGGCCGTTGTGCACGAGGAGATGGTTCAGAAGGGTGACATTCCCAAGAGCTACATTTTGACAAAGGAAAGGATCGACCGAGCAAGGCAGATGCTCACAGTACAGCAACAGGACTCACAGGGCGTACATATGAACGGTGTTGTGTAGATCTTAATGATAACACCGTTGGCTCGTCTTCGCACTGACTTTGGTCACATTGAAAGTGCTGAATTTGCTCATCTCACGATCTTGACCCAAATATGTAAGATGCGACTACCGGCCGTGGAGCCGTCGTGACTATGCCCTGTAGCACAATTTCGGCTCTCTCGAATCAAGCAGCGTGCGGACAAGAGCGTCTAAGGCGCGTGGGCGCTACTCCACTTTCCCGGGGTCCCGACTGGGCTACCAAGCCCGATCGATTACCAATGTCATGCTTCACAATACCAAGCTCCCACAAAGCCTAACACATCCACGTGTGAGTCACAATACTACATAAATTTGAAAACACATCTACGACACTACGTGTTTACCTGACCTACAGTCCTCCCTGAGTAGCCATTACAATTGCAAGAACGCGATCACCCATTCCCAAACCTCAACATGCCAGCGAATCCTCTCCCCACAAAGATCGGCGTAGTAATCTTCCCCGGATTTCAACTACTAGACTGGGCCGGCCCCCTAGACGCCTTGAACATTCTCTCCAACAGTCACACTCTGACCCTCTGTACCATTGCCGCAACTCTGGACCCAGTGCCAACCCAGAACTTTGTGCAAGACGAACAAGGCTCCCAATTCTCGCAGTCCATAGTCCCAACGCATACATTTGAGAATGCGCCGGAAGATCTGGAGATGTTGCTGCTTCCGGGAGGTCTAGGAGCAAGGGGACCAAAGAGTGACGAGTGGATGAAGCCACAAGTTGAGTATTTGAAGAAACTGGATCTGAGTGGCAAGGGAAGCATCAAGTGGGTCTTGACTGTCTGTACGGGCAGTGAGATTCTGGCTCGGACTGGCTTGCTGGATGGTAGGAAGGCTACGACTAACAAGCGTGCTTTCAATAATGTAAGTTGAACCTTACTTGTTGTTTCCTTGCCCTTTTTTTTTGGTTGGTACTCGTTCACTTACTATTTCGTCAAGGTCAAAGCTCAGCATCCAAATGTCGAATGGGTCGCAAAGGCTCGGTGGGTTGTTGACGGCAATATCTGGACTAGCTCTGGTATCTCGGCTGGTATAGATCTGACGTTTGCGTGGATAGCGGAGGTGTTTGGCGAGGAGACGGCGCAGTTTGTGGCGGATCGGAGTGAGTATGAAAGGAACGTTGACTCGGGGAATGATCGGTATGCTGAGAGATGGGGAGCTGTGTAGGTCAACACAAAGAAAGGAGCATGTTTGACACAGACGTTGGTCTACTGAGAGGATTTATCTTTCCAGATTCATGGTTCGTATATTGTAACGGAGCCATCTGCTCAAGACTGCTAGAACGCTCTCGTCAAAACCACTGGTCACGCTATACATTGTCTTCCTGGGTGGCCAGGCAGTGAGTGTAATGTAGAAATAGAAAGATATCGTCTATAGTGAGTACCGCTATGCTAAGAAGGCTATCAAGATCGTAATGCTAAAATGTTACGGGATGAGCGTAACAACAGGTAAAAACAACTACACGTCTATGGTTGACGAACGGAAAATAAGAAAAGCTACTTGTTACGGCGGAAGGCAGCAAAAGGGGGGAAGAAGTATGCGGGGTGGAAGCAGGTAAGCACGGTGCAAGCAATAGCCAACATCCTAATTGTTATTATTAGCGATTCGTCTTTGCGGAAAGAGGCATGGATCAGGGAGACTTACATTCCGTCGAGCAAGAGGAACTCCTTCTCGTTACGCATGAGCGCGTTTCCCCATCCACCAGCCATCTCCGGTAAACGGTAGATGCACCGAATAAGCACAGTAGTGTATGCCAGCACAACCATCCATCCGAACAGCTTGATCTTGGCAAGCTTCACAGTACCCGTCTCCTTGTCCATTTCGTACGTGCTCTTCTCTCCAATGGTATCATGTTGCTTGCGGGCCTTGCGGTATCGGAAAATGTATACGAGGATCAGTCCACCACACACAGCCATGGTGACGACCTGGAACGCAATACCAGCTACGATGAGGTTGTTGCCGCCGTCAATAAGCTTCTTGTTTGTTGTACCACCTGCGGCCGCCATACCTCCACCGCATGCCTGGAGCACAATGGAACCGAAGTCGCAGCCGATAAAGATCCAGGGATAGAGACGAGCCTTGAGGAGCGAATGCTGGGGTCCGCAGTACAAGACAAAGTGCTTCAGAGTGAGATAGATAGCGGCAGCGACAAAACTTGGACCGAGAACAAGACAGCAGATTTGCAGTTTGAAACCAGACTCACTCCAAGGGTTGTCATTCATGATGACGCGCCCGGCGTATCCTGCAGCTTCGAGAAAGGTGCCGATCGCCAATGCAGCCGTGTAGGTCCATGTCTTGCTCATAATGCCGATGACTAGCGTGGAGATGCACAGGGTGGCGAAGAGGGCACAGAGAAAGGCGTTGGCCCCTAGGTTGGGACGGTACCCGTATAGTGTTGCGAATACTGGACATTCTGGGCTGACTTCTAAACATTGTCGGAAGTTTCCTTTCGGTCGGTCTTCTTGGGCTGACACAACGACGAGGAATTGTGTTGCGATGACCAGCGTGGCCAGGAGGCCTGTACGTGCGTAGGAACGCATAGGGTTGGCGAGATGAACGTAGGACCAGAGCAGTAGAGAAAGACGACAACGACAACGATACGTGATGAGAGAACGTTGTAAGAAGAGACCCAAGTAAACGCGGGCGACGTGGGAGGTGGACTAATTATTCCGGTGGGGGAGGTGGTTTCAGTGACGCCTAGCCCTTTATCGTGTAGTGTATACCCACCTACCGTATACACCGTGTTCCATCATGTCCAAATTGTGGCTGTAATCTCCTTTGCCTCTTCAAAGTCTCTAAGCGAGGTATGCTTTGCCGTGCTTGACCGCACGCCATTGGCCTCGCTTAGTATCATTTGACATGGCCAAGGCGTCAGCGTCACCGATTTTGGTGGGCCGCAGCATTGAGATCATACCTGACCGGGCGTATGGGTCGCTTCAACACCGTTAGATCTCCCTTCTCTATCGGCGCACGTGTTGAGGTGGCCAGGTGGGTTCTGCTTCCATTTGGGGTGGCAGAGTGCGAGGCGTTTCTGCTGTTTCGATTCAGATGACTAGTGACTTTGTGGTGTGGCGTCGTTCGGCTGTAGTTTACGGGTTGCCGTCTTCCCGGTCGTTAGTTACCTGTTCCGGCTGTTCAGCCATCCGCTCTTCTAGTGTTTAGAGAGAGAATACGATAGGCTGACTCGTCCTTTTCGCAACATTTTTGCAAGCGCACGCGCGTTTCGGGCGAATGCTTACAGTGTGTAGTCCTCCAGATGAGTGGATGTAAGCAGGTTAGTCGCTCACTGTATGTGTAGATTGCACTAGTTTACTTGGCTTCTCTAGTCGCTGCTTCCTTCAACGGTTGTCAGCGGCTGACGTCTTGGTCAGTACCAACCCCACACGAATCAACCGCGTCAACATCCCCATGGAATGACTGCCAAGCCCCCGAACTGAAGTGCAGCATCGAAGAGTAGACACCACCAATAGATCTCGAGAGCACGATGATGCATCGCAGGAATACGACTGATGCTACTCAAACAGCAAAATGTGTACAATAATGGTCATATTCGTAATTTCATAAACAATGCCACGACTTTTAACTCCATCTGATGCAGAGAGCACCCAAAACGCCCAGCAATGCAGCAGCACCAGAAACATCAAATGTCCTCCTTCAACCCTCAACATCCTCGACCCTAACCCACCGTTCTTCCAACGCAAGTACCACCAACTCCTTCGCGCTACCCAATCCCTCCTCTCTGCCCAGCGCAACAGGACATAGCAGCTCACTGACCCTTTGCAAGACCTTGTACAGCCTCAGAGCCTTCTTCTCAACTTTCTTCTTATCCACGTCGCCGTGTTTGGAGACAATAGAACGAGAGGAGACGTGATGTGGCGGGGACGAGAGAGCAGCGAGGTGGTTGAGTAATTTGTGGAGGAGGAAGTGCAACCAGACGAGATTTGTCTTGGGATGGAAATCGCGCCAGATGTCTTCTTCAGGCCCCCCCTCCTCCACTTCGAGACTTTGTTCAATCTCAGGTACAGCTTCGTCATTGTGTTTCCTGGGCGATCGTCGGGGCATAGGTGGTTCGTCGTCCGAGTCGAAGCGAATATGCGTGTTCTTCCTAGGTGAGCGTTGGGGTGTGACTGGCACTCGCTCTAGCTCCTCCTCTTCCTCCTGTTCTTCTATCTCTTCCTCTTCTTGTGGTACATCTAACAGTTCGCATTGTAGTGGGTTATCGAAAAGCGCCACGCCGCGCATGTAGCGGTATATTTCGTACTGGTATTCCTCACTTGCGTCGCCTTGGAAGAGCGCGAGATCTTTGTTGAGATCCAGATAAGCCACTTCAACCTTTTCTTCACTTGCAGACGCGGCCGTAGAGCTTGAAACGTGCGACATGGTCGATATTCTCCGGGACCGGGACTGAGAAGCGAGGATATCTGCGCGTGACAAAGTGTAATCGATGACAGTGGTATCGAGCCCAGTAAAGCGGAGTTTGCGACGCAAGGGTTCTTTGATAGAAGCCTGCAGCACATCCCCCCCTGTGCGTGAAGACCGAACACAAATATTGCCGAGATGCAAATCGCGATGCTCGAACTGACATGCCTCTTCTGCTTTTCCTACACTAATCGCCGCACCCCAGAAGACATCCCAGACTTCCCATATCGATGACATGCCGCCCGTCTCCATGATCTTCTCGCAATCTGTACCGGCGTCTTGCATCTCCACCACCGCCCAGAGCTGATATTCGTCATAGCTAGTCTTTTTACTTGGGTCAGGGAATTCGCTCTTCTTGCCACGTGGCCGTGCCTTGTTCCATTCCTTCCATGCATCGTTGAAGGAGGCCGAAGGTCTACCTTGTACAATCGTAAGGTCACGGAAGACGGTAAAACCAGGGATATGGGTGAGATTCTGAAGGAGCTTAACCTCGGAAACAACATCATCAACCTGTGATTTGTACGCATCGTCCTGTTCGCGTTGTTCCATTTCTTTCTCCAACTGGGCTTCGCGGTCTCGAACTGCACGAGTGTGTAGTTGGCTTGGTAGAGGAACAGCTGGTGGTGTCTTGAGCGCTACGACTTTGAGTACCGACTCCTCTTTGATTCCGTTCGCGGGCGATATTGCAGACAACCGGTATACTTCTGAGAAGGAAGCTTCTGCGATCTTGGTGATCTTAAAGTGCGGTTCCAGCTCGTCTGACCACTCCTGAAATCCTACAACCTTCTTTCTATCGCTGAGAGCCAGTAGTGGGGAAGCATAAGAAGTGTAGACATCTTCAGGCTCAGGCGTAGGTTCGGGCGTAGGTAGACACGCTACTGATTGTATTGATGCCGGTTTTGGTTGGGCTGGATCTATCTGTACTGGGGTTATTATAGGTGTGGTAATAACGTCTTGGGCGACCGCGATAGGCACCACACGTTTCTTCTCTTTTTTCGGTTTCGGGGCTGATCGGGCTAATTCGTCGACATTGTGCAAGACGTTGATGTTGCGGTCACTTAGTACCTTTCGGGGTTTACGTGGTTCCTTGAGCATCTTGGACTCATCCTCCTTCGTGGCCTTGATCGATAGAGCCTGCATGCTCTGTTCCAAGACATCGCCAAATGGGACATCATTCTCCTTTGTGGTATCTTCATTAACTCCACACTTCGTTTTGCGTGATCTCGACCGTTTTCTTGATGTACCCTCATCTTCCGCGGGCTTTGTTTGCTCTATTCGTAGTTTTCCTAATCCCTGCTCTAACACCGAGATATCGACTCCTTCCCGTTCTGTTGGCGGCCGCCGATCACGTGTCGCGCCGCTAGTCGTATTTTCGTCCTCAATTTCCCTGTGCGCAGCTCCTTTCTCAGGAGAAAGGAACTTTGTGAATGCAGTTCGTTCTCCATTCCTCTTCTTTCCATATACGACTTTTGCGGGCATCTTCGAGAGCCTGAGCGAGCGGTGTAGTTGGGTGACGATTAGTTAGGGTTCCAGATGGAAGTGCCAGGGTTTGGAGGGGTCCACGGCGGAAAGTCTAAGCGAGCCGTTTCCACAGCAACGGACGAGGGCCTGGGTGAGACTTCTTCTGAGCACGATCTGTCAGGAGCTATTATGCGCTCAGCAAGGTGACGTAATTAATGAAACTCCAAGTTTATGCACATTGATAAAGCAATGATAGCACCGAAACGCCCATGCATAGAAGATCGCAAACGGTTCCGCAGAATTAACATTAAAAACCAATAGCTTCTCTGTACTGCAACAGAAGCGTCTACGCACCCTCCCAATGCGATATCAAACAAACGCTCCTCTCAAACAAGCGTTCAAATCGTGTATGTGTAAAGTGAGAGTCCAATCTCCCTGCTCTAGACCTAGAAGCAGATTGCATACAGAAGACGCCCAGGTGACCGGCAGACGGGCAGAAACAAGTGTGATGTGACCAAACGCTGGAGACAACAAGACAAGGGTACTGAAGAATTGAACAAAGAAGATATGGGGCCCTTGAAAAGCGTAGAGAGGGCCTGGAAAGTGGTGTTGTGACAATTTACAACCAAGTGACATTTGGTGATTGGTAGGTGAGGGAGTTGGTAGATTGAGAGACGGACGCAGATATCGATGCAAGGAAGACAATGAAGCTCAGTTGTCTCCGTTGTCAACCTCAGCAGGCGGTGTCTCGGCCTCCTCTTGTAGTACGGGAGGTGGTATAACACCTAGACTCTTGCGTTTACTCTTTCTCTCTACATCTCCATCTTTCTTCACGCCGTTTGCCTCTGGATTAGCTGCGGTGGTCGGGCTTAGGATGCTGCTTGACTTCTTGTTCGGAGCGATGCTCGAGTAGCCTCCGGACAGCTTCGACGTGTTGTCGTTGTTCTCGGACTTGTCGGCAAAGTCTTTCCACTTGCGCCATCCATCGAAGTCAATCAGGGCTTGCATGCAGCCCCATTCCTTGACCTTGCGCTCAAGCCAGACAAAGTTGACAGGCTGTGACACGTGTTAGTGTGATTGCATTCAATATACGACATGACTTCTTACCTTGGTCAAAAAGTCGTTACAGCCAGCCGCCAGAGCCTCGTGCCTGTCGCTCTGCAGCGAACTGGCTGTAAGCGCGACGATAATGACGGGGCTTTTGAACATGCCCTTGTCACCGAGGCGATCATCCTCGACCAGCTCGTTTTGCTCCTTGCCCTCTGATCCAAGTTTGTTGTTAGGGGCTTCGGTGCTACCACTGCTAAAGACACCAATGCTGTTGACACGCTCTAACCGTCTTATCTCCTTTGTTGCCTCCAGACCGTTCATGACAGGCAGCTGGATGTCCATGAGTACCAAATGGAATCCACCTGCCTTCCACTTAGTCACCGCCTCTTTTCCGTTCATGGCGCGCTGCCACCGAACCTTCAAACGCTGCATAAAAGCACCCAAAACTCGCAAGTTGATGATGTTGTCTTCTACAATCAGAACATTGATAGGCGGCACTGAGCCATCTAGAAGGCCGGCTGGTAGACTTGGTGGCTCCAACGGTGCCTTTCTCCGCTTCTTCTTGTTGTTCGGTTGGGGTGAGGATATACGTGGGGTGGGCGGAGTCGACTCATGGAGGGTCTGGGAGTGTGCGATAGGATCGGCCGAAGCGGGTGGGGTAGGTATCGGGTTGTTCGAGGCGGCAGAGTTCTTAGCTTCGGAGGCAGAGGAGTCGTGGCGCGGGCGGTTTGGGGGGCGGGCGGACGTTGCTGACGAGGGAATGCCGCCGCCAAGGGTGGTTGGAGAGGCCGTGTGTGTTCTAGGGAACTTGGGCCGATGAGCGTGCAACGGCCCTCGTCTGGTGCCGCCGGGCGATGGCAGTGCAGGCAGCTGTCCGGTGTTGAGCACGGCTATCGAGTGGGGCGCATGAGGCAGAGGCATGCGGGCCTCGCGCTCCTGGCCCGAGGCAGCTGGAGAAGGAGCGATGACGGGCATGGGCGGGAAGTACTCGGTCTGCGCATGGGCACCGTCCTCATGGTGGGCATAGTACAAGGGCACGCGTGGTGAGGGCTTGGGGGTCCTCCGTTGCGGCACGTCGATGATGAGAGCCTCGTTGACGTTTTGGCCGTCAGGGAAGTAGGCATCCAGTGTGCGGCACATGTCCTCTTCGGGACCCAGCGTGCGCTCTCCTGCCCGCTGTGCGTCGCGCGGTATGATGCGCAGTATCACGTCGGGCGAGTCGAAGCTCCTGCCGAGCGAGTTGGCGTACTTTTTGAGAATCATCTCGCGGACATCGTCGACCAGGTCATCTTCGCGAATCTGCACCAGTGTAGCCGAGGCATTGGGCCGCTTGACCCAGATCTTGCGGTGCAGCATGCCAGCGCTGAAGTTGGCGGGTGCTCCGCCAAAATAATCGGCGACGGTGGGCGGGCCGGTGGCGATGGCAGCCTGGGGAATGTCGGGGACGAGAAGGTTTTTGATTATCTGCGCATCGGTCTTGTTGACGACAGACTGGCGGCGGACGAGGGTAGGCGATGGTGCATGAGACGTATCGTTGCTGCTGGCGGGGGGAAGATCACTGTGGTCGCTTGGTGCCGACGAAAGCGATGGTTCCGCGCGGTTGAGCTCGGCAGGCTGCTGCACTACGGAATGGATGGGCGTAGGTGCTTCAAGCGTCACCTCTGGACAGACGATGGGGATGTCGTCGGCTGAGGGCTTGCGGGCGTGGGTGCTTGCGGCGCTCGTGCCCGTGTAGGTCGAGTGTCGATCTCGCGAGGTGTTCAAGCTCCCAGTGCTCCCGTGGACGTCGGCCTGACTTTCGGAGGCCGTTCCCAGCACTTCCGACCTTACCATTCGCGGATCAGTCGTTCTGTCGTTCGCAGCGTCGGGGCCAGATGCCTCAGGCAGCTTCTGTAGCGAGACACTTTTGCGCAAGGAACTGGGTGGCTGTGGCTGTCTCTCGCTGCCTGCCGAGGAAGTTATTGAGCGTGCACTGGCACGGGTCGACGACGCGCTGCTACGTCGCAGCAGTTTGGACCGCGCATTGTGCAGACGCGCCTTGATACTGCTCATACCGGCAACGAGCCGAAGGCGGCCAGCATGCAGTTTGGAGAAGCGCTGCGAGGCCGTTGCGCTGTGAGAATTGGGGGGAAATGTCGGCCTGACTTCTTCTGGTCCGCGGCGTCGCTGTGAAGCTATCGGATGAGCTTGGCCTGACTGTCCATCACTTGCTGGCAAATCAAGGGAGTCGTGCTGCGGGGGGCCACACGAGAAGAATAGACAACTACGATTAGAACAAGAAGGAAAGGGGCATGAGCCAATTACTACAAAAGACGAAAAGGAAATGCGTCGTGTTGTGCTTCTTTGCAAACAAGTATTACCATGTTAATCTCATTCGCGCTTGGGCCGTGTAAAGAGGAGCGTTCACCCCTCTCACTGTTGACACCGCCCAACTTGCCACCTGCCAGTGTGCCCAGTCTGCTTGCGCACGCGTTAAGCTGTCAAGACGTGTCTCGCCCAAATGCCAGTCTCACTAATCGCAGCAGAACGCCTGCAGTCGTCTTCACAGGCTATCCCAGCACGTTCCATGGCCAGCTCACCTTGAGCCAAATCCACCCAGGCTCTCCCAACTCCTATTCAACCTACGTCGACTGTACGTAGCGCTCCGCCCGACTCATCCGCACACCCATCGTCGATTCGTACATGGACTTCCGCGTGCATCCTTCGCCACATGTATGCAGGCTGTCGAGATAAACTTGATAGCACCTACGGTCTACACCAGATTTGGTTTCTGTCCGCCACTGTGGCTGATAAGGCCCGATACCCAGCTCATTGGCCGACATGTGTAAATTGCGTCTTGGTCTACACGGTACCACGGGTTTGGAACGCAACAGTCATAACGGGAAGCGCCTGTCAAACCTCTATTTTCGAAGAACTAACTGACCTACTCCAACGACCGAGACCCTATGCTAGTCTCCATGAAACGTGCGTCGCAGTTCTGTTCCATCGACATTAGTTACTATGCACCAACACCCAATCACGTATGGCTTGATATAACACTATTCTGTCCATTTCCTTCACATACGACCATAGATTCAAGAACATAGCGCTTCCCGTTCGCTCAGCGGTACTCAAGCTTGTAATCGGCGGATTAGTAGTCAGGTGGGTGACCACTGGCGAATCCCCGCTGTTGTATGTTTTTGCCTTGATTTTTGCTTGCTAATCATGACTATACTCCGTGTATGCATAATAATTCGAATGTGTTTGAAAAGGTTCGAGGTGGTAGGCGTGTCTGGTTGGTGGGAATATGATTGAAGAAACCAACATCGATGTTAGTAAGAATTGGATAGAGGATTGTGCAGAGCGGTAACGATATAATGATGACTGCATCTTCATTCTCGAGATGCGTTTGCGTTCCATATGGTTATGTGCGCTTCATACCGAAACGTAACACCAGTATTATCTCCAGCACGTATAGCGTGCATGGCAATGGGGAAACTCGTCATAGTAGAAAAACTAACCCTTACCGAGCCCGAAGCCCCTATTCCCTTCCATCTACAAAGCTTCGTTGTGGACTCTGGGGCGCATATCTAATGCTCTCCTTCTGTCCTAGTCTCGGCCCTCAACTTCTGCGTGTAAATGTTCAAGACTATCATTCATCCCTTTGCTTCGTTTATCAAGTCCGCAAGCCAAGGCCTAAAAGTCTTTGAAGCTCTCCTCCCACTTATCGCTCATTTCCTTGGTATATGGATCTCTCTTCTCCGACTCGGGTTCGTATTCATCAAAGTTGCGTGTATCGGCGGGTCCCCTCAGGTGAGGTACAATAGGTCCTTGAACTTCACGGTTGTACAGTTTTTGCCAGTCAATGTTTTTAAACCACTCGTGTTGTTTTACGCGTTGAGCGCCGCCTGCAACATTACCCAGTCGCTTGGATGTGTCGACTGTGCAGAGGCCAGAGATGAGGTCGCGTGCAGTGGGGGACATGGCAGAAGGGAAGCGCACACGTCCTTCTACGATTCTAAAAGACGTTAGTGCTCGTCTCTCGAATACAGCATGGATACCTGCGTACTGCTCGTAAATTTTCATTGGGTTTTGGTCCCAGAATGGCGGTTGTCCCACGAGGAACTCGTAAACAAGGATACCAAATGCCCACCAATCGACCGCCGTACCGTGGCCTGTGTTCCGAATGACCTCGGGTGCCAGATACTCGGGTGTACCGCAGAGCGTGTAGGTCTCTCTATTCTCTACCTTCTTAGCAAACCCAAAATCCACCAACTTCAGGTGGCCCTCGGCGTCTATGAGTATGTTTTCGGGCTTCAGGTCGCGGTATGCAACACCCTCTCTCTCGTGGAGAAACTCTAGTATAAGGACAATTTCGGCAGCATAGAACTGTGAGGTGGGCTCGTTGAAGCGCCGTGCTCTCCGTAAGTAGCTGAAGACTTCGCCACCGGGGCAGTAGTCCAGCTGTCCATCACGTCAGCCAATGACCAGCACTCGTGAATACGCGTTACTACGTACCACCATATAGAGGGAATCCAGCGATTGGAAGCTGGCGACCATGGTGGTTATGAAAGGGTGGCCAGCAACTTTGGCAAGGACATTGCGCTCGTTCCGGACGTGCTCGACCTGCTTGAGGCGGATGACTGGGAGGGTTAGTAGCTGTAAAGGCGCATACCCAGACACCATGTCCAAGGGTGCATGTCGAATCGAGATGGAGACGTACCATCGACTTTGCGCAGGATCTTCAGTGCAAAGACTTTGTTCTCGTCGCCCGCCTTTGCGTCCTTCAATCGCACCAGCCACACGCGCGCAAATGTACCTGACGTATAGTCAGCGTCCAGTCTTGTGTCTGGCGGCGTGGACAAGCATGCGCACCCGTGCCCAGCGTCTTGATCAGCTCAAAGTCTTCCTGGCGCAGGACCTTGGAGGAGTGGCCGACGGGCTTCTTCTCCGGATCAATGTCAATCTCGTCAGGGCTGAGTGTGTGCTTTTGCGCCTCCCATTGCGCCAGCTGCTGCTTCTCTTCCTCGCGCGGCCTGTCCATGGCGGAATCGGTGCGGTCGTGTAGCGGGCCGGATTGCGACGTTGAAGAGGCCTCCTTCTTATCCCGGTGGTGTTGCATGGGGTGCAGCATGTTCTTGAAGGTAGTCGCCATGGTGGCGGGTTACGCGACAGCGGCAGCGGCAGCGGAGCAGTGGTGCGAGTAGTAGGCGCGATCGAGGGGTTGCAGGTGGTTGCTCAGGTGCTGTCAGGTCTTGTCCAGAAATCAGTAATTCAAGCAACACATGGCAGCAGGCACATGCAGCGGCGGGGGTCAATCGTCGGCTTTGTTTGTGTAGTAAGCAAACGTATCGTGAAAGTCAGCCTGCTGTTAGGCGGAACGGCCGGGCTTGTAGCATTCGACAACCACGGCCAAGGGGCGAGTTGGACTATAAAGCGGGCGCGACAAGGTGCATGCATAGCGGGGGCATTTGGTCACTCACTCAATGACGCAGGGCGTGGGGACAGGGCTTGCAACAAAGCCGACTTAAGCCTGATGAGACTGCACGCCGCTTTTCGAGTACGGCTGGCTCGTTTAAGCTTACCTAGCATGTCCTCCAGGGGTATACAATCAATGCATCGTGTTAACGCGTTGACATGTATTGCGGATACTGTACCAAACTGAAAGAAGACTGATCAAATCAAGGCTCGGACGTTAGACATCGCGTTCACGGACATAACGATACACCTAGTCAAGTACAACTCAGACGAACATCTTCGTACTGAACAGTATAGAACATGATTCCACACTATATTCACCAGCGCTGTCATTCTGCTTGCCAATTTCAATTCGATTCGGAAACAAAACATGCTATTCGACTGTACTAGATATGCCCAAAACTCCGAATGTTGCAACTCCATGTTTGCATGCTCGTCAACTGTTTCTACACCATGTAGTCGTACAAAATCCATCACCTTGTCCGCTTTGTCCGCTTGTAATGTAGGAGCCAAGTGAGTCTCACACGGCTATGCTCAGCCACTTGCTCGGGTGTTGAGGATAAGGGCGACGATGAGTCTACACATGTTAGTCGTTGGCCAATCGCTCTTGGTTGGTTCGACATACCCATAGAGACCCAGGACTTCGGCGAAAATAAGGATGAGGACCATGCCGACAAAGATCCTCGATTGCCGCATGAAAGAGCGCACGCCAGCGTCTCCTACAATTCCAATCGCATAACCTGCAGCCAACCCAGACAACCCGACTGACAGTCCAGCAGCCATGTGCATGAATCCTGCATACAGCGAGTATGTGTTATTCGGCGGCGGCTTGATGTCGCTGGCGATGAGGACGGATATGACGAGGGCGTAGACGGCCAAGATACCGGACATGACGATAGGGATGAGCGACTGCCCTGGTTAGACGGAACCCCCACAGACACATTCTAGACAGCTTCCCACCTTCATAATCAGGTCTGGCCTGTATGTTCCGATACCCGCGATGCCGATACCTGCTTTGGCTGTGCCATAGGCAGCTCCCGCGCCTGTTGCCGTTAGCTCTTGCACCTCCAAGCACTCGTGTCGGGCGTGGTACATCCAAAGATCATCTGGTCAGAGTTCGTATATTAGTTCGACAGCTACGTGAGACAAGTGCCACTCACAGCAAACGCGATTCCGCTCTGCGTCGTAGGTTAGCTATGAAGTCATCAACACGGCGAAGGCGAGGCACTCACCATGCCAAAGAATGGCGCGAAGCTGGGCGCGAGCTCGTTTGACGACATGGTGCCTGCTCGGTTGGTGCGCAGGTATTCGGGGTGGTGGAGTAGGGCGGTAGTCGACGCGTGATGGGTGATGCGTTGAATGATTGATAGTCGTTGCACTGGGCGTTCGTAGGAGAAAGGGCGCTAAGCCGCTTAGGGGCAGCACCTGGCCAGCGCTTCTCATACACACGATGCATGGATACGACTACCCCATACTCGCCCTCATTCCGCACCCAAACTACCCAGACCACCATCTTTATTCAGGACGGCCCTGGGTCCACGCTGGGCGGCTTTCACCCCACCTGCCCGAGTCGCCCTTGAAGCACTTTCAACGCCCCGCGGCACACAACCCCGACCGGGCAAGACTGCGTGAAGAGACATGGCCGACTACGGGAACCAGCAACGTCCAGAGTATGCGCGCGGTCCCAACCACGGGCAGCCCACGGGCGCAAGGGAAACCGCCTTCACCAACATCTTCGGTGCCAGTCCCCAAATGGCCGGCCGCTCGCAGACCATGACCTCGCAGTCTCACACGCGCATGCCCGACAGAGCTGCCACAATGTCTAGCCAGACCGCCGATATGATGCAGCGCGCCCCGCCCCTGCGCCAGCCTGTCAATGGCTACGATCGTCGCCCTCACCCTCAGTACGATGCGCGTCAAGGCCCCAGTCCCGGAGAGCAGCGGCCCATGGACCCTCCGAATCAATACAATCGCCCCATGCCGAACGGCTACGGCCAAGACCCACGATACCACCAGGGACCACAGCAGCCTCAACGCCAGCCCCAGCCACAGTACCTTCCACAGCCGCTTCGCCCAGAGCGCCAGCCATACGGACAGCCACAGCGATTCGACCCGAGAACCTCCCCTCCTGGGCAGCCCCCCTTCACCAAGCCTATACCCAACCGCTTTCCCGGCCCTTCTGGGCCTGCCATGAACTCTGATCCATATCGTTCGCAGTCGCTGGCTCTGAACCCGCGCCCGCAATTCACACCCGGAGGCCCTTCCCACCCCTCGCAAGCCAACACCTTCCGCCAGCAGCCATACATGAACCACATGGCACGAACGACGGCCCAAGGGCGTGTGGTGCCTGAACGTCCCGACGAGCGGACAATGTCCATGACTTCGTATACCCAAGTCCCAGAGCACACACAGACGATGAGCGGCAGGATTATACCGAATCGGAGGCGAGAATCCGGCGGCTCTGAAATGGCACCGGGTCCGCCCGGACACCCACAATCCAACATGAACGCTGGACTTCCGCCGAACCCCAGAAGTATCAGCCAAGGCAGCATGCCGAACCAGTCCCGCACCATGTCCATGGCATCGACCATTGTGCCTCCGTCAGAGCGAACAAGCACCATGTCTTCCATGACATCCCGTCCTGATTCCACCCAGACCTTGGGTAGCAACGCCAGCAACAACCGAACCTCCAACCAGTCCATGACGTCGCTTTCACCAGCCGGACAAGTCCCCGCTGCTCAACGGCGCGCCCCTCTGGTCTATCCCGCCTTGCTATCACGAGTTGCCGAGACCTTCCAGGACCGAGTTGGCCTGACAGAGAAAGAAAAGGACGGGCTTGTGTACAAGAGTGCCTTTACCGGTGCAGACGCGGTTGATCTCATCTCGTTCATTATTAAGACGACGGATCGTAATCTAGCACTGCTCCTCGGCCGTTCTCTGGACGCCCAAAAGTTTTTTCACGATGTAACCTACGCCCACCGGTTGCGAGATTCGACCAACGAAATATACCAGTTCCGTGAGACCATAATGGAGGACAAGTCTGAGATCAACGGAGTCTTCACCCTTCTAACCGAATGTTACTCCCCTACGTGTACACGCGACCGCCTGTGTTACTCAATCGCTTGCCCGCGCCGCCTTGAGCAGCAAGCTCGCCTCAACATGCGCATTCAGCCCGGTCTCAAGCGCGAGGAGTCCAGGGCAAGTTTGCACGAGGACAAAGACAGCGAAGAGCAGAAACTCTGGATCAACACAGTTCCCAAGGAGATCTCCGACAGTGTATCAGAGAAGGAGCAGAAACGGCAAGAGGTCATTTCTGAGCTCATGTACACCGAGCGCGATTTCGTGAAGGATCTAGAGTATCTTCGAGACTTCTGGATGAAGCCCCTTCGCAACCCGGCTACGTCACCCATCCCCGAGCACCGCCGCGAAAAGTTTGTCCGCACAGTCTTCTCAAACTGTCAAGAAGTCTACATGGTCAACTCTCGCATGGCCGAACAGCTTACAAGGCGCCAGCAAAAGGAAGCCGTAGTTCGAAATGTCGGAGACATCTTCCTCGAGTACGTGCCACATTTTGCGCCTTTCATCAAGTACGGTGCGAACCAGCTCTTCGGTAAGTACGAGTTTGAGCATGAGAAACGCACAAATACTGGATTCGCCAAGTTTGTCGATGAGGTAGAGAGAATGAAGGAGTCGCGAAAGCTTGAGCTGAACGGTTATCTTACCAAACCAACAACGAGGTTGGCCAGGTACCCACTACTCCTGGAGAACATCGTAAAATACACGGCCGATGATAATCCCGACAAGGAAGACATCCCCAAGGTTATCAAGATTATCAAAGAGACTCTGTCAAAGGTCAACGTGGAATCCGGAAAAGCAGAGAACCATTTCAATCTGATGCAGCTTAACAAGGACCTCAAGTTCAGACCTGGAGAGTTTGTAGATCTGAAACTGACGGATGAGAACCGGCAATTGGTGTTCAAGGGTACTTTGAAGAAGACTCCAACAGAAACAACTGGTGACATCACCTGTTACCTGTTTGACCATGCGGTCTTGTTGGTCCGAGCAAAGACCGTGAACAAACGCGAAGAACAAAAAGTCTACAAGAAGCCCATACCGCTAGAATTGTTGGTCATCACGCAAATGGAGGAAGTCAACCCCAAGCTGGGCATCTCGAAGAGACCATCAGCAAACTTGATCGCTGGAAAGGCCATTGCCGCTGCTACACCAAAGAACAGCGATCCAAAGCAGCAAGGATATCCTATCACCTTCAAGCACCTCGGAAAAGGCGGTTACGAGTTGACACTGTTTGCCAGCACTCCCATTTCTCAACAGAAGTGGATGGAACACATCGACACACAGCAGCGAAGTTTGAGGGAGCGCAGTAATATCTTTACCAAGACGATTGTTAACGAGGGCTTCTTCTCTCCGACCATTAGAGTCACTTGTGCTGTTCCGCTGGGTACGTTTTCGATCATTTTACTGGCAAGCTTTATACTAACTTTTGATAGACGGAGGCCGCAAACTGGCTCTTGGTACAGATGCTGGTGTTTATGTCGTAGAACGGAAGCCAAAGGACGCCTCGATGCGGCCTCGTCGCGTATTGGACTGCAAGGGAGTTACTCAGATCGAGGTCCTCGAACAACACGCAATCGTACTTGTCTTGGCCGACAAAACGCTGTATTCATACTCAACTGAGGCTCTGGAGTCGGATGAAACGCAGGCCATGGTCAAGCGACCACGCAAGATTTGCCACGCCAACTTCTTCAAGGCCGGTATCTGCTTGGGACAGCAACTGGTCGCTGCAGTCAAGACATCAGCGCTGTCGACTACTATCAAGGTGTACGAGCCGAAGGAGCAGATGGGCAACAAGAACAAGAAGTCAGGTTTTGCGAAGATGATGCTCTCTACGAGTGGGGCAGACCAGCTCAAGCCCTACAAGGAGTTCTATATCCCCACCGAATCGACGTCGATACATTTCCTACGGTCCAAGCTCTGTGTTGGCTGCGCGCGTGGCTTTGAAGTCGTTAGCCTGGAGACGCTTGAAACGCAATCGCTGCTCGACCAAGCAGATACGTCCCTTGACTTTGTCGTACGGAAAGAGAACATCAAGCCGATTCATATCGAACGTATGGCGAGCGAGTTCCTCTTGTGCTACACGGACTATTCATTCTTCGTCAATCGCAACGGCTGGCGTGCGAGACCCGACTGGAAGATTACATGGGAGGGCACGCCACAAGCTTTCGCCATTTTCAATCCTTATATTCTTGCTTTTGAGCCTAGCTTTATTGAAATACGGCATATGGAGAGCGGGGGTCTAGTGCACATCATCACAGCCAAGAACATTAGATGGCTACACACGTCAACACGAGAAGTAAGTCATTTGCATGGAATGATATTTACACAGGATGCTAACTATTGCCAGATCCTGTATTCCTATGAAGACGAACTGGGCACCGATGTCATTGCAAGTCTTGATTTCTGGCAAACTGCAAACGGTGGGAAGCAGTCGCTCGATGTCCAGCGCGCATATGAGAAGAGCTAGGCTTGACGGTAGCCCGCAACGAAACCTTAACGCCGAGCCTCTACTCTCGAACACATGAGCATGAAAGCCGTAGCGACTGCATAGCCGTAGAGCTACAGATGCACTGCCCACTCCGCTGACGACTGCGTTGCAGTTCTTTTTGTCGTCAAATTTGTCAACGGCGACATACGACATTACGGTTAGGGAAGCTCAGTAAGTGCCTCGACCGAGCCGCGGACGGTGGCGATGGATCGATCACGTTGATTATTACTTCCCTTCTCTGAGGTCAAGAGGAGTACATTTGTATCATAATAGAATCGCGTGGTGATTGATCTTATGGTTTTATAAAGGCAACAGGTCTCAAAATGTGTTTGGAGGCAAACCAGGTAGTGCGATTGTTGAAAACATAATCTGAGGAAGCGATTTAGCGAGTTTGATAACCACTCTTCCATCTTGTTTTTTGTCTTCCTTTGCCATTATGTAGATTTTTGATTTGGCACATCACCTCAGGCTGACCAGTCCATCCTATCCTCTGCCACAAATTCAATGTCGTACCCGAGACTTGGATTAACCGCAGTTGCCGACGCTGGATGTGGGTATCCACATCTCCCCCCATCTTTACTAACACTATGGAGGTCTAGTCGGATAACGTGTTCCTTGGTCTATGACTAGTGGTCGGTCCTATTCTCGCAACCTCACATGATGGGGTTAATCAAAGTGTAGTAGTACCTCCGACGTCTCTAATTGTCACTGTCGACTCAAATCATTGTGGTCATCACAGCATCGTTCTGTCGATTACCGCTTCGCCAACCATACAGTCAAATAATTACAGGGCTTGAAGGGTCTGATCGCTGGAGCCATGTCACGCGGTGTACTCTGGGTTTCTTCGCGGATTGTGAATCCTGATAAACTGTCTGCTGAGAAGTTTTGCGATTGGTATGAGAATGTGTGTACTCTGCTCCTCGTCGATGAAGTCTTCTCTGCGAAGGAATAACGAAGCTGATGAGGAAGTAAACAGACACACATCCAAGAGGTCCTCGTCCTCCCCGGTGTCCCAAGCGCACTGCGCTATACAGCCCTGCAACCCCAACCTTCACCGTCTTCGTACAGCAATGAAGCTCCATGGTTGGTACGTTCTCGTTTCTTTAATGCATTACCTCCGCACTATAATGCCGACTCTCCCCGGCTGTCTAATCCCATCTAACCGCAAAACACCACAGACGCTCTACGAGTTCCCAGACTTCTCCTACAAAGAAAGCAAAGACTTCAAAGACATAGCTGTGAACAACCCGCCAAGCGCAGAACTGATCGAAAATGTATACAAAAACGTCCGCTTCGACATACGCTTCTACGAAGAAGTGCAAGTAGTCAGTGGAAACCAAGCCATCCCTACTGAAAGTTCAACTCAACCCAAATTTGTCATCTCCGCTGCCCTCGAACCCCCCAAAGATACGGCTTCAGATGCAGACTTCGATGCCTGGTACCGCGAAGAACACATTCCTCTCCTCGCACGCGCACCAGGCTTTGTGCGCTCGCGTCGCTTTAAACTCACCAATGCAACCGTTATCGACGAGTTCCAGGTTGGTGATGTTACGGAGGAGGCGCCACGCTTTTTAGCGCTGCATGAGTTTAGTGGTGAGGCGTTGCCGTGGAAGGAACTGGGAGAGAGTGCGCAAACGGAGTGGGCGAAGAGGGTTATGGGCGGGTTAACGAAGGAGGAGGTGGGTTGGTATGAGGTTAGTAGGGTGTATAGTGAGAGTGAATGGGGACATGTTGGGAAATAGAGAAGTACCATTCGTTGTAGTTATCTCGATATTTTCTCTCTTCGTTTCCTTGTTACGAAGACATACATAAGAGAGTTTGATGAAAACTAGCTACGAGCAGCTGGTAATGTCTACAGAAAGACTGAGGTGGACTTTTCCCTAGAAAGTCCCTAGAGTATTCGACGCTACAAATCTCCTGATCGAAGGATGTAACCCCACCTTCGAGACCGTTTGAGGCCGTGTTAAACGCTACGCGTCTAGACCCAGAAGGTGATTTGGCTTAAAAAACCATTTCGTATCAATGTACACATGGATCAACCTTACCCCAGTATTCCTGGCGATTGTGTGTGATAATGATATGAGAGTGCTCGTGTTCAGTTTGTAAACGATTTTAATTCGGCTTCCTTTCACATACGACCATAGGACACTGAAAATTAGGCTTCCCGTCCGCTCAGCCATATACAAGCAGTGTACCGGCGGATTAGTAGTTAGGTGGGTGACCACTAGCGAATCCCCGCTGTTGTATGTTTTTGAAGTTTTTGTCATACCAAATAAAACCTACAGAGAATGATTTTTTGCTGTTGATGTGGCGTTCTTTGATAAGAGGGATGCTGCGTGGAAGAGGTTGGGAGGGTGAGAGGAAGTCATCGTCGCGGCATGTACTGTAGGTTTACGAATGTGTTTCTTTCTAGACAGCTAGTGGGCGTATATTGTGATGATCTTTCTTGAGACTGATTGAGTCGGCCCAGGGCTAATGTATGAGCTCCAGCCCGTTGGAAGTACGCTTGGGGTAGTTTGACTTCGGCCCAGGATCGTGGCAACATGTTACGCGCAAGAGCACCATGTTCAGCGAATCGTGTGAGTGGCAAGCTCTAGCAATCGGGCAGGTGTTCGTTCAGCTTTAGCTTACCACACCATTCCAGGGTAGCAGATAGAAGCTCAACCATCAAACGGTCTGGGACGATCGTTTGGCGGTCTTTACTCCTTTCTCGAAGCGGCGAGCGACCCAGAAAGTGTGTTTCCGAGCCCCTCCACATCCAGCCACGAGCGTGTGCCATGCCATGAAGCAATCCCCAATCTTACGTCTTGCCTATCACGCTATGATACATCGTATTAACCCTCAATGTCCAAATCTCGTTCACCATTCCAGGTTCAAGCTGTCAACCCAGCTGCCCTTCTTCTCAACCTTGTGCGCACTTTCTACGTTTCCATTGCCCAGGTCTGCCCCATAAAAATGTGCAAAGCAACCTCGTCCGACCTCTTCCCATTTAAGCTCGGCCTTCTTGTCCGCATGAACCTGTCCGTCGCCGTTTGTGCCCGCAACCAGCACCTCGTACTTGATCTTCAGCAGCCACAATTCCGAGACGTCGCTGAAGAACTTGTCGGCGGTGCCAGGTACTTGCTCCGACGTCGAGAGGTGGATGTAGCCGTCATTGCGGTCGAGATCTGAGAGTGGAAGACGCGTGGGGAGGGGTGATGGCGGGGCAGAAGGCAGGATCTTGTAGAGGTAGGTTGGGAGGGGTGAGGGCGCTGACATTTTGGCGTCTATTTTCGGATTGCGAGGAACGGGAAAATGCGGTATGCAATGTGCGGTGAGTGATAGCTCGTGACGCCTTTGGGGAAATGGATAGTAGTTTGGGCAGAAACTAGAGAGCGTCATAAGTCGCGACAAGTGCACGTTATGCTCGTGATTGGCCGAGGCAAGATTACGTGAGACCATTTTTTGGACAGCGTACCACAGTTCCAACATGCCTTTTGAGCGCCACAAAAGCCAGCCTGAGAGTGACACCTATGCAACATGTCTCGTCCGTCTCTCCACCGTACATCCACCCACTCGCGACATATCACCAGGTTTTCCTGGATCTCTCCGTTGTCCGGTGCATTTACGTCATCCTGTTCGGGCAGCCTCGCACAGTCGCAAGCTTTGGGTGCACAAGGGCCACCGCAGAACACGTTGGCGACAAAGAACACCTACTCGTGAGACCAGAAACACTATTGAACGCCCTTGGAGAGTAAAATCTGTTTCTGCGCATTGCAACAACGAGATCCGACTGTTACTGCCATTTACATGCACCCACAGTAGTCGCCAGGCTGGTTGTCGCGCGGCTGGTAGGATGTTCCGGCCAGCAACAACAGTCGTCCTATATGCCAGTCTGCCCAAACATGGTTTCAATACGGCTCACCCAGGATGAAATGCACCACCTTTTGGAAGAGCAAGGAAATGTCGGGGTTCGCTGCTGTTTACAGGCGACTACTGCGACCACTACGGGGTCACAGGTGGCTTTCGATTACCTCAATAAAGGAGCCGCGAACGTCATTTTCAAGATCCGACCAGAACTCAACTCAAGCGCGAAACGGTTCCAGTTCGTCGATGTATCCCCAAAGGACAAGCTGTCTGGAGTAGCCACACCAGTAGCCCACCAAAATCTGATGGGTACAGTTCTCCGAGTACCAAGGGGCGGCCAAAAGCACCTCTCATCCCTAGAAATCCTTGACGGTTTCGAGCATGCAATCCGCCCACTCTTCTTACCAGGTACCTGTACTAAAACCCAACTCGACCGGGATCTCACGAAGCACCTAATGGATCATGAAGGCGTGCTACTATTCCCAGAAGTCATGAACCATCTCTACACTCGAGTCGAAAAGCTCACCTTTGCAAACACGCAGTCGCAACGCAAATGTTGGGGAATTCTTCTACCCGATATGTCGCCTACATCAGGACAATCGATAATGATCGAAGTGAAGCCAAAGTGGCTTGCGCAATCCCCCAACGCACCACCTAAAGCAATCCGCTGCCGCACCTGTGCCATGCACGTATCTGTGCCCAAGAAACGCGACAACTACATCTGCCCGCTTCAGTTACTCCATGGAAATTCGGCATCACTCCAACCATGGTCACAGACAACAGTCATGCGACAATTCGACGGAACAGCATCACCATCCCCCGTAGTCGTTTCAGGCATTGCAAAAGCCCTGCTGGACTACGTCACAGTAGGCGACGGAATCATTCTACTACAACACCTTCTCAATCTGCAAAGTTCCCTTGACCCTTGTGGCGTCCTTTGTCGACCCCAGGTAGATTCTGGTACATTCGATCATAACCTCCGGCTCGCAATGACGTTGAGAGACTGTTCGCTCTTCATCAAAATCACGTACAATACGGCGGGTGTCACTGTGATTGAGTCGAAACTTGGCGATCTAGACTTCAAATCGGCGGAGAAGATTGTCGATTGGATGGACAAGGAGAAACAATTGTTGCGTGATGGTTCCTATACTGTGAGCGCGAAGCAAAGCCCGATATGTTGGCTCCAGCGGGTGCAGGGAGTGAGTGATATTGTTCAGGTGTGGAAGTAGGAGTCTACGAAGGTGACATTATGTTACATGTATAGCGTTTTTCTGATTCATTGGGGGTTTTTTATGTTGTTGTTGCAATTGGCTGGGTTATTATATAGATTAAGATGGGTGCAGGCCCTATGATATATGTCTACAGAAGTTAATGTATGTATATAGCAAAAGGAGCAAGTTCAAGTGAAGTGTATAAACTGTGTAAGTTTCAACACAACAAGCCCGTTTAAAAGCCGTACACTATGTGAACAGACCAAGACTTAATTTCCGCTAAAGAGAGAGAGAATGAGGGTATCTATCCAAACGCCATTTTGAACAAAGAGGTATGATGAGAACATGATACTACCGAGACTTTGATAACCCTATATGGAACCTAAAAATGTCCATCGCCAGAAGAAGAAAACGCTACAATCGCGCACTGGGAACCATACCAATAGTGTCGGTTCGTTTGTTCAGTCATTCAAGTCATTCATACAACCCACATCAACAATCCCGCCCCTCGTCTACAAAACAATGCACCCTCACCGTACCATCCTCACTTCCACTGACAACCCTCTCATCACTCAAGCCCACACAAGTGATAGGACCCGTGTGACCCGTGAGCGTTCTCTCGTGCTTCCCCGTCCTAGGATCCCAAATCTTAATTGTCTTGTCCTCTGCCCCGCTGACCAATCTAAGTGAATCGGCAGCAAGCGACCAGATGCCCTCGACGTGGCCGAAGAAGCGGTGGACACACCGACCAGAAGGTACGTGCCAGAGACGAATCGTGCCATCGAGGGAGCCGGTGAGCATGTATGAGGGGGGCGATGGGCGGGAGGGGTCGTCGGGGAAGAAACATGGTTCTTCAGGGTGGTTGTAGTTGTGAGAGGAAGAAGACGAGGGTTGGGGGAGAGACTGGGTGGTATCGGAGGCGAGTGAAGCGGTGTCTGAAGTGTCGTTGTTCGCGTTTGCGACGAAGTCGTCTTCGTCAATCTCAAAGGCTTGAGGGAGGGGGAGCACTTGTTGGACCTGGCCGACGTGGCCTTCGTATGTTCTGATACAGCGATGGGTATCGAGATCCCATAGCTTGACTGTCATGTCGTCGGATGCGGAGAAGAGGGTGCGTGAAGGTTGGTCGATTTTGACGGCATTGACCCAATCCGTGTGTCCCATCAATGTGGTGCGCTTCATGCTGCTGAAGTCGTGTACCATGATGGTGTTGTCTGAAGATCCAGATGCTAGGAGTTTGTCCGCCATGTGAAGGCCAATCACACCGTTTGTATGACTGTTCAATGTTTTAATTTCCTTGCCTGTCCGCCAGTTCCATATCTTGATCGTGTTGTCCAAACTTCCGGTGATGAGTTTGCTGTCTTCAAACTGCAGGCATCGGATACCTTGGGTGTGGCCTGTAAGCGTGCGTATCTCTTGGCCCGTCTTGATGTCCCAGACTTTAACTGTGGCGTCGTAGGAGCCAGTGATGAGAACCTCGTCATCGAACTGTAGGCACATGACGCCGTTAGTGTGGCCTTTGAATATGCGTGTTGAATAACGCCCGTACTTCCAGTTGCTACCAACCTTGTAGCGATCCTTGTAGACATCTTTCCACGGACGCTTCTTGGGATGGTCGAAGTAGGATGTGACTTGGTCTTGGCCCGTTCTGGCACCCATGCATGGTCGCTTATTCGAAGCTTCTGGGGAGGAGTCGTCTTCTGGTACAGGGCGCTTGGTGCTAAGAGCGGAGTCGGAGCATTGGGATAGTCGGTGAGCGAGTGTGGCAGGCGGTAAGGAGGATTCGGGCTGTGGTGTAATGTTGGGCGACCACTCGTTGAGGCCGCGTCCAGAGGCGCGCAGTTGTATCCGTCGCTTCTCGTGCCGCAAGCGACGTTGGTCGAGCAGTGGGAGCCCCCAGCCGCACTTTGTGCATTTCCTGTCAATGTGCTGCTCACACATCTTGTGCCAAACGACGTCATCGTCAGCCAGTTGCCTCCACCTCCGATTGACTTGGGAGGCTTTGCAGAGCGAGGTTGTGTCGAGATAGCAGAGGATCTTGAAGCCCAATTCGGTGGGGAGTGCGCCGAGAAAGTCGATCTTGATGAGATTGCGGACGGACGAGGAAATGAAGGAGAGCTGGGGAAAACAGCACTGAGCGAGGATGCCCTGCAACATGAGGTTCCTATGGCGAGACGGGGCGGCGGAGAAGAGCGACCAGACGTTGGCGATGCTCTGCTGGTCGGCTTGTGATTCTCTGCCGAGTTGCTCTTGGAGTTGCTCCATGGACGGTTCGTCTGCCTGTCGTCGGCACAGCAGATCTGGGCGATGTCGGTAGCAGAACTTGGTGTTGGCGGTGGGTGGGCGCTCGTCTTGACCTGGACTGTTCGCCCCGAGCGGATTGTACTGCTGGGGGATATGTTGTGCGAGATATGGCGTGATCAGCTTCTCCATCTTCTTGGATTTGTTGGCCTGAGCTTCTTCAGCGTCATCCACGCTGCCGTGCAAGTGTCTCGTCCGCTCCGAGAGCCCCTCGTGGTCGTGGCCATGCATCAAGGCAGCGTGCGGGTCTGTTGATGTGGCGGCGGTGAAGTCGTCAGGAGAAGAAACTCGGGCGCGCCATGAGAGGCGTCTTTGCTTCGGGGTGGTGGTGGTGGTGGTGGTGGCGGCGTGGGTGGTATGCGAGGCCATGTTCAATTCATGTGTCGCGGCGGCAGGATGTGAGGGCGTGTCGAGATTCCGAGGCAATATCGCGTGCGAGCCCCAACTGTCTGGTTGTACCGTCGGGTCTGGCGAAGCGAGTGTGCCGGCAACTCGACAGATGGTTGCGCGGGAATCCGTTAGGTGAACGAGGTACGGGGCGCAAGAATAGGTTGAATGGCGCAATGCCAGCCCTTGATAGCATCTTCAGCACGCAATGCCAATGTCTCCGCACTGGACCCTTGCCCCCAATGCAGCCCTAGCCAACGCCAAGCCTCTACCGGAAGCATGATCCTAGCTGCGGCTGCCATGGTTCACTACACCAGCCTGACATCCCTCAACGACGACTCCATCGGCACTACTACCACTATGCTTGACGCAAGCCCTTGTAGTCGCCAACATGATGGCTTCCCCACCGTCTCCTGCATCTCCCACCAGCAGTGCTGCCTCTAGAACGTCTTTGGACCAAGACCCGACCCAGTCCCTCACTCTCGAGCATCTCGTGAACCACTTCGTCGCAGCCAAACGTGCACTCAACACGCAAACAGTACTATGGCGCGCCACCGAAATTGTCAATACGGCACGTGATCTTTTGGAAGAGAACGCAGTCGTTGCCGCCAAAAACACATCCATACGTAACATAGTAGAGCAGCAGGTGGATGCTCTGGAAGCCGTCCGCCGTGGCATCGACGTGGTCGAGTCTGAAGTACAGGCCGAGTTCAAGCAGCTGCTCCACGACGTCGACACCTCGTTTGCCGGTCTCAACTCTACCCTCGCTGTACTCCGCGAAACACCCATCGAGGCCGTCCTGCAGCCCTACGGCACTCCGCAGAAGCATCTTTACGACTTCATCGACAGCGCCACCGTCTCCAACCTCCAAACCGCATTGCGCGCCTGCATAGACCGGTACAATGACGCTCACGCGACGCTTGACGAGACTTGTCATGACTTCGACACATGTCTCGACAACATCTACTCCTCGATCGAAAATGTACCCACGACACCTGCAACCACGTCGACCCCGAGTCCCATACCGAGTCTATACCACAACCTTGAGGGCCACGCAAAAGAGGCTGCCCAGGCATTCCAGTCGCTTGTCCAGCATTACGATCTGTGCATCACAGCCTTGCGCCACACAGAAGGAGGCTCCGCTGCTGCCACACAAGCAACGGGAGATGCGCCAGTTCATTCGGGAGACGACAACGCCGCGCCTCCCGAGCCTATGAGTGAAGAAGAGCGCCGCGACATGCTCAATGTCCTGCAAAAGGACGCCCAGGAGGTGGAAGATGTCGTGACCGAGATACAGGAACGAGGCTCTGAGATGACCTTTCTCCTTGGCCAAATCGAGAACCACATCCGCCACGTCCGCAGCGAATCTTCAGCCTTGTCCAGTATACTCGAGATGATATCCCAAGTTACTGGCCAAGTCAAGCGTCATATCGTCACCTCACGCTCTTTCTATGCCTCGTGGCTGCAAGACACGCGGCCTAGCCTAATCAGCGGCATCGAAGATTGGGAGAACCAGCGCGACTTCTACGAACGCTTCGATCTTGCCTATGCCGAACTCCTCGTCGAGATTTCGTCACGACGACGACGGCACGAAAAGGCAAAACGGAAAGCCGAAGAAGCGCAAAGGGAGCTAGATAGACTGCGGGTTGAAGACGAGCGTGCAAGGGAGCAGTTTACCTTGGCTCAGGGCGACTTTCTTCCCTTGGACATCTGGCCGGGACTGAGGGATCCGCCGCGACAGTACCAAGTCACAGTTGTACCCGTTGCTGCGGAAGGGGAGCATGACGAAGATGCTCAAGGAATGGATGGTGGACAAAGCATACCACAACTAGGCAGGACTGTCGTCGAGAGGGCTCTCACACGGGTCAAACGACGAATGTAATGGATTGGTATGATGATAGATATTTGCCATGTAGATTTCACTCTGGCTTTCGTCCGTGTATGAAGTAAAAGGGGATATACATATGCACGTCCCTTCTCCTGATGTCCGCAACGACTTTGGCAATCATGACCCGGCACTCGGATTCGCTCCAGCCCATGACCTTGCCCAGCAGGCCGAGTGTGTAGGGTTCTATGCCCATGGACATGTGTTCGCGTTGGTAGCGGCCGATTTCTTTCATCTTCGCGTCTTTGGGCCAGGGCCCGATGGGTATCTACATACGGTATTAGTATATTGTGCAGGATGATTGAGCTCGAGTGTAGACGTGCCTTGATAAGCTTTTCAGTTACATCGATAAACCCCGCATCCGTCATCTTCTGCTTTAGCGCATTCCCTGCGCGGATGTCCCTCCCCCACGTTTTAGCGGCATCGTGACACAGGTCCTGCCACTTCAGCATGTCAACTGCCAAGTCCATGGTTCCGTCGTCGCACTCACACAGCGCAAGCGGCTCTTGGAACTCCACCCAGCCGCCGGGCTTGGTGTGCGTGTACGTTTGCTGAACCAGCTTGTCCCAGTCGGCAATACTACCAGACATGGTTCGGCAATGGATAAAGTCAAAGGCCTCGTCGGGACTGTAGACCCATTCGGATTCGGCATCGTCAATGTAAAACTTGACGTTGGGCGGTACCCATGTCGGTTGGATGGGACTGAGATCGGTGCCTATAACCTGAGCGCCTGGGTGCTCGTCGGCAAAGTCTATGGCCCAAATGCCAGTGCCGGTACCAATGTCGAGGACACGTTGGGGGGCGGCCGGGATGGGCGCATCGTAGAGTTTGCCGCCTAGGATCAGCAGGAAAATGTGGTGGAGAAGGTCGAGGCGGTCTTGTTCCTGTTCGTCGTTCGGTAGGATGTAAGCACCCGAACGATAACCGTGGTAGCGTCGCCCATTCGAGTATTCGTAATTCAGAATCGTCGATGCGATAGACGTTGATGCCGTCGATTCGCCGCCGAATGCCGAGTCGCTATCACTATTGCTCGCCGTGTCAACATCGAGATGCAGGACGGATTCCAGGTTGCCCTGAGGAGCTGCTTCATTAGGCGGGGCTGCAGACATGCTGTGTTATTTTCCAAGAGCTCTCATGCGCTCGCGGGGTCAGGCCAACCCTTATATCTTCCGCCTCTCTACTTTCGTCGTGGCATGCCGTGAGTCCCAAGATGCCGGGTCATCTCAAGCCCACCCCATGCCATAACCAGTGTGAAAGTGATCACTTGCTTTAGCGACATGTAAGATCTTATTCTGGTCAAAAGAGCACTTTGCCGCCTGATCATTTCTTTTTCGTTCTGACAGCCAGCCATGATGTCTCTACCCGCTCTAGGCGTACTGGCGTACGTTGTGTTTCTCATCGCACGTGTCTTTTACCGCCTATATTTCCACCCACTATCGCGCTTTCCCGGACCTAGAATAGCAGCAGCCACGAGTTGGTACGAGGCCTACTACGAGATTGTCCTCAAAGGGCAGTATTCAAAGCAAATCTCTAAGCTACATGACAAGTATGGCCCTATCGTAAGAGTGACGCCTGATGAGCTACACATACGAGATCCCTATTTTTACGAGCAAGTCTACGCCAAAAATCTCCATCTCGACAAGGAAGGATGGGACAAAAGATTTGGATGTGCGGGCGGCCTGCTTCCGACTGTAAACGCCGAGCAACACAAGCGACGCCGGGCAGCGGTGGCCCCCATGTATGACCTGTGTACTCGAACGTCAAGTACAAAACGCTACTAACGCCTGTCATCAGGTTTTCACGTCGCTCAGTCCTTGACTTCATACATATCATCTACCGCCATGTCGACACCCTTTCCGTGCGCATGCAAGAGTTTGAGGGTTCTGCAGAGCCGCTCAATCTATCCCATGCCTTCCCCGCCCTGACTGGCGACATCATCATGGACTATTTCTTTGGCTTCAACTACAATCAACTCAAAAATCCCGATTTTGACTCCTTCCATGACGCGTTTATCAAGATTGGCGGCGTAGGACACGTCGCTACACAATTTCCCATGATACTTCCGGTAGGATATATTCAGATGAATCGCAATTTAGACGAGTAACATACGAAGCTGACGTAGGTTTTATAGATTATGGACTGTATCCCTGATCGAATCACCAGTTGGCTGCAGCCAGCAGCAAAGTCATTGCTCAAATTCAAGCAGGTACGTGACATGGCAATACCTTGTCTCTTTCTTCCCATCACAAGCTGGGTCACAATCACAGTCGGCATACCGTACTAGCTCAGCCTCTGATACACTCCGTAGGATAACTGGCATCTTATCGCACGCACTCTTCAAGGCGAAGAAATAAAATCCAACGACGCAAAGAAAACCATCTTCCAAGAGATTCTCAGCTCAAAACTCCCAGATTCAGAAAAGACCCACAAACGTCTTGCGGACGAAGCGCAAATCATCATCGGTGGTGGTGTCGAGACAACCGCCTTTTCCCTCTCGACGGCAGCGTTCCACATCATCAACACGCCACGTATCTACGAGCGCTTACACAGGGAGCTTGTAGAAGCTTTCCCGAACCGAGATGTACTGGAGCTGGGTCCGCTAGAAAAGATGCCTTATTTCAAAGCCATCATCATGGAAACAGCGCGTATGTCGTACGGACTGAGTGCAAGGAACCCAAGGACACACAAGACCCCCTTGCAGTATGGGCAGTGGGTCATTCCTGCAAATACTTGCATCGTAAGTCGTTTGCCCCACCCGAAAACCGTCGTATCTGAACTAACTCGCAATCACAAAGTCTATGACTATCCCTGAAGTCTCCCACGATGAATCCATCTTCCCTTCTTCTCGCGAATTCATACCTGAGCGCTGGCTCGATGACCCCAAGACCCCAGATGGCATTCCCTTGGAGCGCTTCATGGTCTCGTTTGGGAGAGGTACACGCTCCTGTTTGGGAATCAATCTAGCTTACATCGAGCTGTATTTAACGCTTGGCATGATGTTCAGGAGGTACAAGTTTGAGCTGCATGATAGCGATGTGGAGGATGTGGAGTTGAGACATGATTTCTTCATCCCTATCACAAAGCTAGATAGCAAAGGGTTGAGGGTTTTGGTCAAGAGGACGACTGATTGAAGCGTTGTTTTGGTACGCTCGAGCTAACCTTTTCGAGACTGTATGACTTGAAGCAGAAATCTGTTTGTACACCTTCAGGATACGTCTCAGCTTCAGTTTTAATTTATAACTTATGAAAAAAAAAACTGTGCTACTTCTGCAGACTTCGTTTTAGCTACATCAACATGCCTCCACCATCTGTCCTAATCATACTCCCATCGATATTGTAATCCCTCAAAAGCCCCAAAAACGTCTCCGCCACATCCTCCGGCCTTCCCACCCTCCCTGTCGTCATCTTACTTGTCATAGCCTGCATAATCGCCTCCTTCTTCTCCTGCCCATGATGATCCCAAAGTTCCGTATCGACTGCTCCAGGACTCACACCATTAACGCGAATGGGTTTCATGTCAAGAGCTAGACCACGTACCATGGAGTGGAGACCTCCTGCATACGAACCAATGACGCTCCAGTTGGGAATCGGCTTCTCGGATACGGCGCCCGTGGTAATGACGTAGGAGGATTTGTAGCTGGGGACCAAGTAGTTGGGAAGGTGTTTTGCGAGGAGAAGGGGGGCGAAGAAACGGAGCTGGCCGGCGGCTAGAATGTTTTGCATTGTCTGGAGAGTGAACAGCGTTAATTCATACCCATCCAAGTTGAGAATTTGGAAGGAAAAGAGACGAAGAGTTGTCCATGCAAAGATCCTGGAAAGAAAAATAAGGACGGCATGATGAAAGAAAATAAAACATACCATATCTGCCAGACCAATTTCCGCCAACTTGTCTCCTGCAGTATAGACAACATGGTCTAATTTGCCCTCCGGCATACTCCCTACTGTCTTTTCCAAAAGTGTCTTCAACTCTTCTTCCAGCGTCTCCTGCTTCCCCAGATCAACAGTAAGACCCCAGACGCGGGGGTTACTAGGGTCGGCGGATGACGGGTATGCATCCTTGAGTTTAGATACAGCGCTATCGACGCGTGATGGGTTTGATGAGCTGATTGTTACCAAAGCTCCATTTTCAAGGCATGCTTCTGCTACGCTGTAGCCGAGGCCTGATGTTCCGCCGATGACTAGGATACGAGACTTTTCTAGTTTGTTGGTGTACCTTTTTTGATCCGTCATGGTTCCGTTTGATGTGTGTAGATGGTTGTGAAATTGACAAATGGTATGTGATTCAGTTTTGTATGCCGAACGTTCGAGTTGCTTTTGTGTCCTGGTTACGTTGGTCGTAGTATGGCCTGATTGAAATGGAGAGTATTGTATTGCACCATTCTCTACGTTAGGAGCATGTAGATATATATGCATACATATATATATATGTGCCGATGTACAAATCTATCCACAACGGCACTTGCATCATTGTACTAAATATTTAGTTGACATTCTTATCTCCGTGATGAACAAATCGTGTCGTTCGCCTCTAACACATAGCGCCGGTTTCTCCGCTCGCTATACCTTAGCCCCGCGTAATTGGAGAAAACGGCTTCTGGTCACAACATTCCCCTGCATGGAGATAAACGGATATATGCTGTTATGGTTGCTCGGGTACAGCCATCATCCATTACATCATCACTAATAGAATAACTAAAGAGCTTGAGCTGACATAACTATGTATTTTTCGACATGCACTTTCTCAGGTACGAGTGGTCTAGACCAGAAGAGCGCACTTGGCCACGCCGATCGCGGCAGCTACCGGGCTAGAGCTGCTCTGCAGCGTGAGTCCCTGGTGTGTGTGCACGTTCACCCAAGCCTTTTGAAGACTTGGATATTTTCAATTCTCAATTCTCTAAAGAGAGCCGTCCCTTGATGGTCGATCATAGTGTCCACATGGTGTTGATCTGCTTTCGCTTAACCTGGGGAGATTGTCAGTACGCTATATAATACACCATTACACCGAGAGGCGGAAAAGGAATGAACTTACCAAAGGCGCGACGAACAAGACTCCAACAAACAGTCCAACAACAGTAAGAAGCATGGAAATCTTGTTAAAGCCCTTACCCAGGATATCGAAGGCAAAACTAGGTGCAACTCTTGTTCCAAAGATATCCAAGCCATAAGCAAAAACCAGACTGGTACTTTCGATTCCGCTCTCGCTTGTGATAATGTTGTTGATACCCAAGACTTCGTACTTGTGGGTAAGGTGCCATTTCGGGTCGAAGTTGATCAGGGGTGTGTACTTGACCAGACCCTCAGACCCTTCTTGCGCAGTAGGATCACGGCCGACTGGTCGGTGGGGATCAATGACCGTTCTTGGAATACCAATTATAGCGTTGATTGCGGGTACAGTGACAAGGAGCTCGCGGCTGGTAATGCCTTGCCTGGTCTGCGTAACACTCATATGCGTAATTTCTGCTGGTACCTGGTAACTTTGCGATATTACATAAGGCTTCACAGCGTCGCCATCCGAGCCAGAGGGTTGCACGGTAGAAGAGTTGGATGTAGCGCCCAATGGTCCCCTGTCGTCAGGGAGCGGGGACTCGTAAAGATCAGAGACGACGAGCTGGTAGCCGCGAGAAGAAGCACCAGAGGTAGAGTCAATGGTCAATGCGTATGCGAACCAGTTCTCTGAGATGGTGGCCGGGATGGGTCGTGTAGTATCAACGTCGTTGTGTGACATGGTGTGTAGTACTTGTCCAGAAGCAGAATCAAGCAGATAGATGGACGCAGATCGCGCGGAGTCAACGACTGCTGTGACTAGGACAAGGTTGGGGTTCAGGTACTTGTAAAGTACCTTCCTATCTCCTAGCACTTTTCCGATAGAGGCAACAGGATCCTTAACCGGTCGGGCAACGTAGCTAGCGATCTTCTCCCCAGCAGGCGGCGTGAAGCTCCATACTGGTTCGGAACTAGGCTTGCTTTCCAAGGAACCTTTCAGGGTACCGTCAACCAATGTAAAGGAAACAAGCTCCTGTCCCTCAGCGATGAGCGGAACCTCAACCTTTATCTTATCGGAAGAGATGAGACCACCGGTTGTCGAATTAATGAACAGTGATCCCTGGAAGCTGGAGTCCCTCACTTCAACGTAGCCACTATGGGCTTTCAAAGTCGGTTGTTGAAATGCTGTATCAGGCGCGAACTGGTTAAGGTCCATGTTCCACATGACTTTGCCTCGCGAACCAACATCGAGGGCAGCGAGACGGCCTGTCTTAGTGGCGACGACAACAAGTTTGTGGAAGCCGAAAGTATCTTGCTGTATGTCGTCAACTGTTGTTTCCCTTGTCTTGCCAACCACACTACCCAGAAGGCGCTGGGGAATGCTCTGCGCCCACGCTGGGAAGTACTTCAAATCTTGAACATGCCTCTGCACGCGGTGGATGTAGGCGGAGACGAGGTTGCGATGGCTTTCGTCAGCAAGTGCTTGTGCTAGGGCCTCCTCTTCAGGCAGGCCGGCCCAGACTGCGGAGATAGTGCCAGACAAGAATTCAGGCCGGGTCCAGGCTACTTCATCGTTTCGCAGGAGTGCCCACTGTCCATTAGAGTACAGAACGGCGGACCGTACAGCGCTCGCGACGCCGGATTTCAGAACGACCTCGGACTGGCCATGCACAGGGAAGGCGCCCGCAAGTGCCGGAGAGCCTCTAAGGGTCCAACGACCCAAGACACCATGTGAAACCGAAGAGAAGACAGTCACTTCGTCTTGGGTAAGCCTATTGAAGTAAACATTGGCGTCGGATGTGCTCGTAGCAAATGTTCCTTTTGTCTTTAGCTCTGGAAGGCTGTAGGCTTTGGAGATGGTTTGCTTGTTGAGGTCGACGTGGTAAACTTCGGCGGAATGACCGACGGCGGTTTGGTACTCGACGAGGAAGTGAGCGAGCGAGTTGATGTGGTTAGGAGCATGCAGGACGATGTTCTCCACAACCTCGTCCCCCGGCGTGTTGAAGGTCGACACAGTCTTGGTTCCGATGATGTTCACTTTCAGCACCTTGTTCGCCTTGTCGGTCCAGGCCAGTAGTGGGGCAGCTGTATTGGCTCCGGCGAAGAGGATACGGTCGCGCGAGGATATCTCAGCGTCTGAGTTTAGGGTGTACTGGTCGAGCTTCTTGCCTGTGATGGGATTGAGTGATGTGACCCGGAGCTTGGAGCCTCCAAGCATGGGCGTGTGGAGGGCGATGTAGTAGATGGTGGTAGGTGAGGTCGAGACCTGGAAGGGTGTGTCTCCGCTATCAAGAGGTCAGTATCGCTACATGTCAATTTGTGGGTGTAGCTACCTGGTATCCTCGAATGTCCACTTGACGCGACCGGTCTTGCCGTCAAGCCTCTTGACACTGTTGCTGCTGTCGGTAACAAGGACAATGGCGTCTTTGGCCGCGCTGATGGTCATGCCATCTTCCTGCTCGAGTATCTCGAGATCCTCGACTGCGGCGCCGTCAACGCTAGTCTCCCATACAAGGCGGCCATCGGAAGCGCTCCATGCCGTTACGCGGTTTCCGACAGCGCTGATAACTGTGTCCTGCTCATTTCCTGAGCGCAGGTGTCCTTTGTGGCCGGGTTGCGAGGCCAGGTGCTGCCGCCATACAAGTGCTCCATCCTTGGGATTGATTGCGCCGATAGTCTGGTTCTGCGAGATGGAGTACAAAAGAGAAGCCTTGGAGCCCGCATAGGGCTTCTGGAAGAAGGTGGCCTCTGGTGCGGGAAGACCTAGTAGCGCATAGTGGAAATCAATGTGATAAGCGTCGTCCTCGAAAATGGCAGCTGCCGGAGCGAGACATGCTGCGAGGGCGATGGCCGCATGGAAACGCATGGTAGGGTGGAATTGCAGCTTGTCGTCGTCGGCGTCGTCGTTCGGCTACTATCTACCATCTGTCGGCTTCACAGCACACCTCTGCAGTGCCCCAACGCACGTGCCAGGCCTGCTCCGGATCACGGGACCCTTATTGGACGCCCTGCTCCCTAACCGCCAGCCCAGCCTCTTCACGACTCAGTTCGAGACGGCGTCGGGGAACCGGGTTGTCTCCATGGGACATTATTACGTCGACAAGATGCTTGCTCGACAGCCTTGCGAACCCTTCTTGTGCACGACTCGATACAAGGACCACGCTATCATAGATTGGAGCTTGTCCCGACGCCCTGGCTTCGTTTCGCGACTGGCCACGACGTCCTCGTCTCCTTCCCTCTCGCAGCATCTCGGCGCTTTGTTTTTTTGGCATAATTACGGGCTGTACGGGCTGCACCCCAGAGCCGAACACCCAGCACGTCTCCTGCTAAGCCCTACCAAGTCTACTGCATGCATGTGCCTTCGCTACCTTCTTCTCGACTGCTCCCTGATTATCGCGACGCCGTTTCCCTCTCCCACCTCGACCTTCACGTGACAGGAAAAATCTGCCCCAGCCCCCCAACCTCGCGCATCAAACAGGTGAGTTACACAAACTTGCCCGCGCATGCATGCAGTCGATTTGCCTCAATGGCTCGTTGATTGATGCATCCACGGCTGCTTTTCTCTGATTGGACGCGGCTTGATTTAGAAATACATGCGCTGACGAGTGTGGTTGGCCCAGAGCGCAGTACCACGCGCACCGCCCGACTCAGCTCGCTGGTACAGACCAACGCAGTGTCCAAGCAGCACGGCGACTGCGACCGCTTAGCCTCTGCTAGACGGCGGTTTTGAGCCGCTCATCCCTCTGTGGCACCCACCGCCACAGGAGGCGACGAGCACCTCTCGTCAATCTCCTCCTGGCCTCGCAGCAAGCTGCTCGCTCACGCAAACCCAAAGCATGTCGCAACGGGAGTACCACATAGTCGTCCTTGGTTCTGGTAAGCTAGTTAGACACCATCAGCAACTAGAAGACAACTGACGACAGTGGCGCCTTAGGTGGAGTCGGAAAGAGCTGCCTAACAGGTAAGGTTACCGCCTCGAGTGCTCGCCATTGTTACAGAAGTGCTGACCCTTTTACAGCGCAATTCGTGCAGAATGTATGGATAGAGAGTTATGATCCTACCATCGAAGACTCGTACCGAAAGGTACTTGATGTTGACGTGCGTCTACTTCAAGTCTATCTCGTTACCTTGTCGCTGATCCACTCCAGGGCCGCCATGTCATCTTGGAGATTTTAGACACTGCAGGCACCGAGCAATTCAGTAAGTGTCTACAGTTGCTGCAAACACACATAAGTCATGACTAACCCCGAGTAGCTGCCATGAGGTAATATACCATCCGAGGCTCATAGCAGCTCCATACTTACAATCCGCAGGGAACTATATATGAAGACCGGTCAAGGGTTCCTTCTCGTCTTCAGCATAACTTCGGCGTCTTCTTTCTGGGAATTGGCAGAGCTTCGGGAGCAGATACGACGAATAAAGGAAGATAGCAACGTTCCCATGGTCCTTATCGGCAACAAGTCAGATCTAGAAGAAGACCGAGCAGTGCCACGCCCACGAGCCTTTGCAATATCCCGTGAGTGGAATATACCGTACTTTGAAACCAGTGCTCGAAGAAGAGCCAACGTGGATGAGGCCTTTGTCGACCTTTGCAGGCAAATCATCCGCAAAGATCAACAGGAACGGTCGCGCATGGCCCCACCGGACTCACCAAGACCTGGTCCAAGGTCGCGGACGCATACTGGAAGACCTAAGCGCAAGGGACACCGACCGCATTGCACCATCCTTTAAGTTACGATACCCTACGACGGACGATTGCACAAATGGCAGCGGGCTTGCTGGTACAGGCGCTGTCATGACTCCATTCGCACCGCCCATTCCAAGTTTCTCGGTTTAGATTTTTAGTACCATAGAGGTATTAGATCATCCGCTCAGTGCGGCAATTAATCCACTTTCACCATGGTTGTTCTGTCACGTCCGTGTGCCCTGTATTCGTCATCGATCCCGTGAATTTGCTGATGGATTGCTCATGTCTCGTTTGTAGATGGAACTTGTGTACATGTAGTCGAGACGGACACGAGAAGTACACCTGTCCTCGCCCCTGGCCCCCACTTGGCGAAGCTGCCAGGTCACTGCGGGTGGGGACATCTCGATCTCGACGAGGTCTACCTATGACGTTCGGCTGTCAGTAAACGGCAATGTATTTGCTTCCAGGCCACGGTATGCTTCACATGCAGCGGAGTAAACTCCTTCGGGAACAAGCACCTTCCGGAACCGACGCCCATAGACCTCAGCTGGCCCTGCATTCCTACGGTAACCGCCTACTCTCGGGCTGGAACAAGAGCGCGTGACATACAAGACTGTCCCTCTTTGCGGCAAGCGTTTGCGTGCTTTGTTGGGCAGCTGTACTTGATACAGACTTGATGCAAGCCGCGGTCCATGGTCTGACGTCATCGGCGGGGCAATAGAGGGGCGTCTTTCAGGCACGCAGCGAATGCCGGATGAGAAACTTAATCGCCCATGACGCGATACGCATGATAATCACGATCGACAGCGGGATTTGCAAAAAGTGCCACTATCTTCCTTGGGTTTGTGCGTTGCATGTGATGGTTCATGGCTGCGGGTACTCACCGCGCTTGCGTGGTCTAGCCCTCTCACACAAAGCCCCTTCCCTGTGACGTCACATATAAAGCACTCCAAGAGTGACGTATGTTTGTTTGTCCTGCGTTGGAGCCTAGCGCCCAGCCCCTCTACTAGCCTCTCCCCTCTACCCCTCTCACTTTACATAAATACCCTCACACCCAGCTCCTCATTGCTTCCTCCATCACACTACAACTCCTCAACTACACAACTTCTTCCTCAAACCAATCCAACCAACCACCCAAACACTCAAAATGTCTGCCCCTAACGCCAACAACCCCAACGAAGGCATCGTCGGCCAGGCCGTCAACTCTGTCAAGAACGCCGCCACCTACGTCTCCGAGACCATCCAGGGACAGTCCGCTGAGGCCTCCAAGGAGGGAAACAAGCAGCAGGCCAAGGGCAACGTCCCCGGCCAGGACTCCCTGACCGACCGTGCCTCCGGTGCTCTCAACGCTGCTGGTGACAAGATCAACCAGGAGAAGCACGAGGGCTCCGCTGAGGCCAACAAGCGCTCCATCTAAGGACTGAGCACCTGAGCGCTGGTTCGACATTTCACTTCGGTATGTTCTTCCACCCACCATCTGGCTTAGGAATTCAGTGCTAACTGAGATCAGATTCAGAACGATACCACTATGGGTTATGAGCGATGAGCACTGCGACTCTCGCCGGGTTCACGATAGTACCATGAATTAATGGATAAGAGATACCAATAAATATCTTCAACAACAACTTGCTTTTTCTTTGCTTTGACCTGTGATTGTATGACCGTGAAACATCGTTACTTTGTCTGTTTGTTTACTGAGCGGGTTAGGGCATGAGGAGAAACGTAGTGGAATAGAATATCGAACAATACGCAAGACGCTTGTCTTGCGGCTCCGCATGTTTCAAGTACACTAGTGAACCATGGTAAGATAATGCATATAGTCGGCTAGTAGTTATAATATTGAGACTTTATGCGGTAAGGACTCTTTCCGAACGCATATAGTGATTGTACTTGCTAATCTAATCCTAACTAAGATGGGAACCTCGACAACAAAGATAAAGGCAGTGCTCAAGACAGCGCTTCGCGGAAAACAAAGGGTATCGAATGATTAGGGAAATGAGAGAGCCATGTTTGGAAAGAGTCTGCGGAGGCCTGGTCCACCCCGTTTGGAATAACTCTTTCCTCGCTTGCTGTAGATGCGACCGTACATGTAGCTGTGGTGGGGTTGGTGTGATATGTAGGTGGGGGTGTGGCTACATTTGGTAATGGCAAAGAAATACAACGCTCGTTTCGAGCAACCGAGAGGTGCTGCTGTGGTCCGCAACAAATAGCACAAGGCGTCGGAGCAAGGAGAAGGAAACTTCGAGAAAAGTCCGCTCTAGGGCGGATTGCCTGCAAGGGCGGCGGAGGACAGTCCTCATCCGAGTCAGTTGAGTGTTGAGTCTCGGTCGCTGGATCCACGCTAGAACAAGCTCTTGATATCGACGACGGTGGCCCCTAAGCAGCCGTCCTAGGCAACGCATTATCCGCATGACCGATATCGACTTCGATACTGATCCGAATCCTCTGCAAATGGTACAAATCCAGTCAGCACATCTCTCTAATTCCCAGTCTCCAAATGTGAAGGACGGGAACAGAGGAAGACTTTTAGACGTGCATGCCAGCACGCCCAGTATGTGTGGTCCTTGCCTTCCTTGTCCTCCAAAACATAAACGCTCCAACCACCGCCGAAATCAACCAAAGCAACATATTAGTCAACAGCACCCAAACCGCATTCTTCATCCTAATAATCCCCTTGTTACCCTCTGGGTCCTCGCCAATAAACATCTTCCCGAAGATGCCAAATGCAACAAGATAACACAGGAAGACGAGCGCGTCGAGGCCGAAGAAGAACCAGGACTTGACCAGTATCAAGACTATGGAGCTGATGGCCCCGAGTGTACCGCATACGACGGCCCACACCCATTTCGAGTCGACGTATTTTCCTTGCTTGCGTGCATTGTCCAGGTCGACGGCGTAGAGACCGATGACGGTGAGGCCCATGACGAACTGGAAGAATCGCAGTACGATACGTGCGATGGTCGTTGGTGTGAGGGAGGCACCGAGAGAGGTTCCTAGGGTGGCCTTTTCGCCCCGCATACTGCTACGTGAGAGGAATTTGAAGCCCATTGCTACTAGGAAACTAAGCATGTGGGTCAGCTAGGCTCGGTGTTTGGAGGTATGTAGCAGAAGACTAATAAGTAAATTCCTACCTTTTGTCGATGCGAAGGTCAGTTTTGTAAGGTCAGTTGATTCGTGTGTTGCGCGCGGACGTGTTTCTCTTATTTCTTTGGTGTTTCGTAAGGGTTCTTGGTCGTATTGGTGGTTGATATGGAAACGATGAGGTCGGTGTGGTGAAGAGCGGGGAAGAAATAGTGCGAGCCGTAGTAATTGACAACTCCTTTTTGGTACTGTGACCAAACTAACGTCGTTGTAGCTTTGCGTCGTGCAAAATAAACTTCGTTGGCGCACAAGGTCCTTGTTTCTTGGGATAGTGACAATATTGCTGTTTCCTTATCTCCTTCCAAGCACGATGACGTCGTATATTGACCCTTGGTGGTGATGGCACGTGGGTGGGATGTGGCTTCCAGGGTTTAATCAAATTTGTGCACGCGGTTATGCTGTTTTGGGTGCAAACTTTGGAAGGATCGGCAGAGGAAGGGGTGTACTGCGCAAGGCTGACTAGAAACACACGACAAAAGGGGTATATGCGCTATCAGGAAGGTGAACGGGTAAGACGCGGTGAAATAAACTCAATAAGGGATTGTCGCTACTGTCAAAGCCAGCGATGATGGAAGACGACACGCGATAGTATAGGTAGAAAGCGTTGTAGATGCGCCGTTGACCTTGCTATCGCATCTCTTTTGAATCTCCTCGCGAGATACATCGTTGCACTAAACACCTTTTACAGCCATGCGTTGGCGCCTGATCGTGCTTTCAGCGCGCGCTGTGAACGTGTGGTTGAAGATCTGGTGACCCTGTTTTGAGGCGCTGACGTCGTTGGCGCCCGAGTAGCGTTGTATCCACGGCAGGGGCATACCACAGCGTGATTGGCTGACAAAACTTCAGCGACTGGTAACATGAAACGCAACCATGAAGTCTGAGATAACTTCGCTGTCGCAGAAGACGGTGCGTCAAGAGTGACATGTGGACTAGAGTGATGTGTTAACAGTTTCGGTGCCTGGTAGCTCGTTGTTTTAAGACCTCTCCGCTATGGCACAAATATGTGTATCAAGAGTAACATTGTCTTATTCTGGAGGGGCATTAATCACCCACGAATCCTATTCAGCTCCCAAACAATCACTCATTGTACCACAAGACATGTCATTGTCTCAAGGGCTGGAGTACTTGTAGCCGTATTGCTCCTTGGCAGCCTTGATCTGCTCCGCAAGCTTGTGCTCCTTCTCCGCAAACTCGGGATCGTCCTTCATCTTCTGTAAATAGGTGTCGTTTCCGAATCCGCTCTTGCTCGGAACCTCCAAGCCACGCTGAACTGCAGGTCGTGCAAGCAAGCGCTCCCACCACTTCTTCAGGTTGGGGAATGAATCCAAGTCTACACCAGACATGCGAAGCCCGTGGACCCAGCCAAAGCTTGCAATGTCCGCAATGCTGAACTTGTTACCTACGAGGTAGTCGGACTTGGCCAGAGCCGCGTCAAGCACGCCGGCAAGACGCTCGGTTTCGCCCGTGTAACGCTGCATGCCGTAGGCGATGCGCTCTTTGGCGAAACGGTTGAAGTGGTTGGCCTGGCCTTGCATCGGGCCCAGTCCGCCGTGTTGCCAAGCCATCCATTGCTCTGCGCGCGATACGTCAAGAGGGTCGGAGAAGCTGAACTTGTGTTCGGGATCGTAGTGGCGCGTCAGGTATGCGAGAATTGCGAGACCCTCTTGGACAGCAAAGCCACCCTGGTCGTGGTCGACGATTACACTAGGTAGGAGTACAACGTCAGTGCAAGTCTCACACGTAGCTCTCAAGGTGAAATTGCTTACGGAATTCGTCCATTGGGGCCAAGCTTGGTGAACCAAGGCTCTTTCTGTGTGTTCTTGCTTATGTTGATGGACTGCCATGTGTAGTCTTTCCCATAGGCATCCTTGAGCTCCTCTAGCAGAATGCTAGCCTTCCATCCATTGGGTGTGCCAAAAGTGAGCAGCTCAATGCCCTTGTCCGCCTTCAATCCGGTAGGTTCTTGGTCGGACATTTCTGGGAGTATGCGCAGCAATAGCTGTGAGGTGTGGAAGTGCGATCGGGGAGGTATGCGCGTTTGGGTGGAGAGGCGTGTGAAGTACCTAAGCTGTGAGGATATAGAGGAGCGTAATAGTGACATGGAGAAGGCTAGCCTGCGCGCAAGGAGGGGTTATATGCACAATGCGCGTAGGCGCATGTGGAGAGCTACATCTTCCCGAGTGGGATTGCTTAGGAATCCATGACGTCGCCGCACCAATCTTCACGGACATTGCATAAGCTCGCGCATCGGTATGATGAGTACGGCGAAGAAGTCTCGTATAGGTGGTAAAGGACCGCAAGTCTGCAAGTTGTGATAGGTGCTGGATCCCGAAAGGTGCTGCATATTGTCAGCATTCTGATTGTTTTCGTGACTAAGCGGCCCCCAAAGCCAGGATACCCAGGCGCCTGTTGTAACTCAAAAGCTACCGTCACATATCGAGGCAACTTGATCAATATAGTTCTATTCCTAGTAATTAACTCGGCACGCTATTATCGTAGAGATTCACTCACGTCAGATGGGTAGGCGGGATGCTCATATAATTTCACGACACATTTGGCAATACGTACGCAAGGCAGTTTATCTGGCTACGCGCAGATCCTACTTTGATCAGCGGCCAGGCGGCTCGACTTGCAGCAATGTCGTTTGGGAAGCCGAATAATCGTATAGCGTACTCTGGGTCGCGAGTAAAGGGCGTGAAACTACCTATGGTAATTGCAGTTAAGAGCAGTAGGGGCGGTAGGTGACGTAGGGTGAAGTGCTCAAACATGTTGGTTCGTATACTGCGATGTTAGTAGGTACCGTGTATACATAAGCAAAATGAGCTCCAAGGGAGCTGCAAGATAATCCTCTAGTTTCGAATATGGGGCGTATGTGCTGTCGGAAGATACTGCTAAGGCGTCCTGTGGTAAGCTTCAGAACGGGTAAGCGTGTTCTTACAGCAGGTATAGTGGTATGGTGGGGCGCCAGTGGCCGATGAACAATTGCAGAACAATTTTAAGATTATGTATGTCTATGTAATGATATACAAGCTCTATCCAAATCTGCTACTATACACCTCCTATCTACCACAGTACAATGTATGCGCGTTAATAACAATTCAACAGCACACGGCCGCACCTCATGAACATCAGTTGATCTTGTACTCACTTCCACCTCCACACCAACACCGCCCCTCGCCCTCTTTCTCCACATGTATTACCACATCCATACCCCGGTCCTTTAGGAATTGATGTGAGCGCTCCCGAACATCTTCTAGATCTGCGGCACGGGAAGCGATGATGTGTATCACGCCGAGAATGCGACGTTGCTTGGGCGCATGATCGTGGTCGTGGTCGTGATGATCATGAGAGTGCGAATGCGAATGTCCGTGGTCGTGAGAGTGGCTATGCGAGTGATTGTGGCCATGGTCGTGGCTGTGGCTGTGATCATGGTCGTGCGAATGTGAGTGATCATGTTCGTGGTGGTCGTGTGGATGGTCGTCATGCTTATGTCCACCTCCACAATCATGGTCCTCTTTCGCGTGTGCTTCCGCGTGCGCAGCACCCTCGTCTTCGAGCCAGAACTTGGGCACCGCGTACCCAATGACCCCTCTCAGTGTACCCAGTTCTCCTAGAGTATTCCTGATGCCGTACTCGACATCGCTTGGCAGACTCAGCATAAGTCGTGCGCCACTCGACTTGACAAGCGGGATAGCCGACAAGAAAATGAGGATTGCAATGATGCAGGACGCGATGGGATCCCACCCGGACCAACCATAATACTTTGTAAGCAAGGTAGAAATGATGACGGCGACTGAGCCGAGTGCGTCGGCGAGGATGTGTAGAAAAATTCCCTGCATGTTCTCGTTGTCGTGAGAGTGTCCATGTCCATGATCGTGTCCTTCATGCCCATGGTCGTGTCCATGGCCGTGATGCGCATGACCGAATGCTACAAGACCTACGATATTAACGATGAAACCGAGGATGCTGACAATCAGAAGCTCATTGAGACGTTGGAGCTCGTGACCTTCCCATAGGCGTTCGAAGCCATCGAAGATGATCTCGACACTCACAAGCCTGGTTCTAGTTAGCATGTATGTCGAGAAGTATATATGATGGTGACTTACAAAAGAAAAACGCCGTTTGCGAAACCAGACAATGTATCTACTTTACCATAGCCGTATGGAAAGCGAGCATTGGGGCGCCACTTGCTCATCACTGCCGCCGCAAGTCCCACAGCGAGACCAGCGCAATCGAAGAGCATGTGGATACTATCCGTGAGCAACCCCAATGACCCGCTAACGAAGCCGTAGAAGAACTGGACCATCATGAAGGAAAGGTTAAGTCTATCGGAATTAGCAAAATCGTCCAAGGCGCGGGATCAAGTGGGGAGAAGAGAGTAGACCTACACGCCAAAGTACGCAATGCGTCGCGAGTCCCGCTCGATCAGCACACTATGTACAATCGAACCCGGAGTCGCGCGCGCGATAAGGAATGCCGAGATTCTAGAGTGGTCACCATGAAGATGATGGTCATGACTATGTCCGTGGTCGTGACCGTGCGAATGCTTGTGGCCCGTATGCCCATGATCGTGCGAATGCGGTACAGGCGAACGGGTGTCAAAGCCGACCGCCCCGATCATCATAGCGCAAACCCAAGGGAACACAATCTTGAAATGGCCAACTGAATTATGTTCCAGGAAACTCAAGGCGAAGATGAAGATGCCACTCAATCTCAATCCCACTTGTTTTTGACTCCGTAATGATGCTGGAAGTGAAAGGAATACAAGCGCTGTCGTAGATGCAACCGATAAAGTTGAGAATCCCAGGGCGTGGGTCGATAAAGAGGGAGTCGCAGACGAAACGAGTGAATACAGAATAGTTGTAACAGTGAGGGCAAGGCCTGACACGATGGTGAGTAGCTGATTCTCGGTGTTGTTCACTAATGGCGAGGAAGGTTTTGGCAGCGATGCGCGAGATGGCTTTTGAGTCATGTATGAGTCCTGGCTCTTTGGTCCCGTCATCAATGACCAGCCTGCTGTGGGTAGAGGCGGAGGGACCAGGAACAGCGATACCAAAAGCGCCAGATAACCGATCAGGCTGCCGGTGACGTTGCCAGATGTTACTATATCAGCGGTCATGCCTACGAAAAGGGCGCCGCAAGTCGCTTTTCTGGTCCTTAATGTCCGCCGGATATCGTCCCAAGGAGTGTGTTTCCCAGGTTTCTGGTCTAGGGCGCCAATTCCCGCAGCCACTGCCACCAATATCACCAATGCTGTCTTCGCTCCTCCTAGGTGTAGGGATGCGTAGAAGGGCAGCAGTACGCTGGTTATGTTGCTTGCCACCCGTTTGGGCGCATTGCTGATGTTGAATGTGCCCTTGTCTTCTTTCCGCCTGTCCAGCGGTTGTAGACTGGAGTTAACTTTGGCAATCACACCGACGAGTAATAGTGTTGCAGAAGAAAGAGCGAGCGCATGTAGTAATGGGAAGCCGCTTGTTCCCGTGACGGATTCGAGTGCGGGTGTACTCTCTACTGCGGCTTCTGATAGAGTCGAGGGCAGCTTGGAGTCTCGTACGACGCCAGTGGGGTATGCTAGCGAGGCAAAAAGATACGGGAGAGGTATGAGGAGCGCGGTAAGGGCTTCGGGAAGTTCTAGCCACGACCTAGACAATACATTAGTTGCGCTCATCTGGATCATGTCAAGAGTGTCTTACGAAGAAACGGGAGGCGGAGGCGCATGTGCTGGAGACTCTTGTATGGGTGATACTGGCGAGAATCCATATCCTCCAGCCGCAGGTGCAATCCTCGCTGGCGAGCGACCCAGATCCGATTCCCCTCTTTGCAGCCCTTTTGGCCTTCCCTTCCAGAAAGGTTTCAGCGTGTGTGTGGAACCGTTGGAGCCAGAGCGTTCATGCCCATGCCCATGCCCATGCTCATGCTCGTGCGCAGGGCTGTTGTACTCGGCCAAAGGCGAGCGCACAGCGCCATGCAATTGTCCGTTGGCGTTCATGTCGGACCGGGTGTGTCGATGGCCGTGGTCTTTCGCCGGTGATGCACCATTCATCGAGTTATTTGTATATGTAGAGGACTCGGGCGTGTATTGTGAGGATGATCGGCCATGGCTATGTGTGTGCGAGGTGGGCGCGATAGGCAGCGCATACGTCGACGCCATCTGCCAACGTCGCGTTCGTTCGTCCGCTGTGAGATGGTCTTGACTCGGTGAAGGTTATCGGCGAAGTGGGGCCCTCTAATTCGCAATGGAACGGTGCTCAATTGCACTAAAGTGGCGGCGTTGGGGGAGAAAGCAACGTGGAATAGCAACTCTCAAGTGTGGATGTGCTGCAATGAGGCTACGCAGCGCTTTGGCGTCTTGGTGTTTCGGTAGCGGCGCGCGTTGCTGCACTATCAATAAGTTTCAGGGGTCTTACAGATTGACATGACTGTCATTGAGCGCCTTCCCCTTTCGGTCCTACCCCGGTTCCGATCTCCGCATTTCGTGCCCTAACCCTTGGCGTTGACGCACGCGGCGGCGGCCACGGTTATCGGAGGAGCCTCGCAATTGGACGGCACTAACACAACACCAAAATGTTCGACCACCACACTTCTCCCGACAAAGATGGCAACCTTTTTTCCGTCATACTGGGTGTAGTTGTCACGTTGTCGACACTTTTCACAGCCCTGCTGTTGACGCTGCCCAGTCAGTATGATCCGTACAAGGATAAGCCGCTTAGGTTCGTGGGTGAGGATGGAAAGGAGATCAAAATGAAGACAAGAGATGGGAAAGACCCAGTGAAATGGAAGCAGGGCCGTTCTGTGCAGGTGGTGGTCTTGGGAGACATTGGAAGATCGCCGCGCATGCAATATCACGCTCTCAGCATCGCCAAGCACGGTGCAAAGGTGTTTCTCATCGGCTATCAAGGTTGGTAAAGTCTATCTGGGCTTGTTGCAGGTGGCTAACACCGTCAAGAGTCGGACATCCTTCCAGACATCGTCTCAAATCCGTTGATTGAGATCATTCCACTCTCACCAGCACCAAGCTTCCTACGTTCGAGCAGCAAGCTTTTGTTTCCTGTCCTGGCACCTCTGAAGGTCCTCTGGCAAATATGGTCGTTATACCGCGCGTTGGGTTACCGCTCTGAGCCCGCAAGATGGGCGCTTGTGCAAAATCCACCTTCGATACCAACGCTCGCCATAGCAAGCCTGGTATGCTTCTTGCGACGTACTGACCTAGTCATCGACTGGCACAACTTCGGGTACAGCATTCTGGCTATGAAACTTGGCGACAACCACCCCCTCGTGAAAGTTTCCGAGAAGTACGAGAAGATATTCGCCAAGGCTGCGTCTCATCATATCACGGTGACCAATGCGATGGCCCGCGTACTCAAAGCCGACTATGGCGTCACAGCAGAAGCACTCCACGATCGTCCAGCCTCGATATTCCAACCGATTGAACTCCTAGAGCGTGAGAAGTTCCTCGCAAGACTGCCAGAAACTGCAGAGTACGCCTCAGATCTTTCTCCAACCTCGAAGACACCCTGGAAGCTCATTGTGAGCGCCACGTCCTGGACCGCCGACGAGGACTTTTCGCTTCTTCTTTCCGCCCTGGTTGCTTATTCTGCTGAATGTACATCCAAGTCCTATCTTCCGAAGATCATTGCCATCATCACTGGAAAAGGGCCACAGAAAGAGTATTACCTTTCCAAGATCAGGGAACTCAACCAGGAGAAGAAGTTATTGAATGTCGTTGTCAAAACAGCATGGCTCACACACTCTGAATATGCTCTCCTCCTTGCATCCGCTGACCTTGGAGTCTCTCTGCATACATCCTCCTCCGGCGTTGACCTGCCCATGAAGGTAGTCGATATGTTTGGCGCAGGCTTACCCGTTGTGGGCTGGGGAAAGTTCGAGGCCTGGCCTGAGCTTGTCAAACAAGGCGTCAACGGACTAGGCTTCCAGAGCTCTGAAGAGCTCGCTTTGCATCTGGCTACGTTCTTCGGTAGTGATACAATATTAAGAGAGACTCTGAAAGAGGGTGCACTCAAGGAGAGCGAACATCGGTGGGATGAAGAGTGGGATAGTGTTGGTGGGAAGCTGTTCAAGCTCACATAGTGGATGTATGGTTAAGCGTATGTAAAGAAGATAGAGTATGCTAGAAATGAATTGCACTGAATGCTGACAGATGAACAAATTCCTAATGAATAGGCTCCAGTATTCCGTACTTACAAGTATACAATAGGCGGACGCGGACAACAACAACGTCCATGTGAATCGATATAGCAACCATATTCGTTGGGTAGCAGCACTCCACCTTCATCTTCAACTGGTTCCGGGCTTGGCGTAGTTTCGACATTCCTCTCAGACGTCTCAGTGCTGCTTCCACGAGTCTTTTCTGAAGCGATCCAGTAACCAACTTCAGCCTCTCCTCCATTCGTCAATCTCTCCTCTCCACACCAGCTCTCAACCAGCTCTCTATCATCTTCATCGATCTCTTTTGCCAAAGAACGATGAGACGGCATCGAATCGAAAGGAACTCCAGAAGTTTCCAGCTCTGCGACAGAACATTCCTCGCACCAAATCAACTCCTCGCGGATTTGGACAACGACACCCTTGTACACCGCGTGAGGAATGCTTGGTTGGGCCCCCACTTTCTCGACATTGTTCCACAATGCAGCTCGCATGACCCTGTTGCCACTACCAGCCCATATATTCATTTCTCCTTCTCCGCGCACAAGGTATGATATCTTGCTCTCGTAATCCCTGACAGCGTCATACATCTCTTCCATGCTTGATCTTATTGCTTGATCCAAGACTTCTGTGTTACCATACATGACCATGCAGTACTGGTATTGCCGTTGAATGTCCTGGTGCAGGGTTGTGGTCAGATCCTCGATGACTTTGAAGGATTGTAGTGGGCGGCTATGTAGTGGCTGAAGCGTATTTGAACGTGTCTTTACCATCTTGCTTTGTGGTTTGGAAGTTGAATATGATGGCGCAGGATGGCAAAGGGATCGGAGGGTATTTTGCTTGTGCTAATGAGTGTAACGATAGCTGAGTTATCTTCGTGGGGAAGCGTAGAAATACAATGTCTTTGGAGCGAGTGTTGATGAAGAGAGAGAGGGCTGGGATATCAGTCATATATAAAAGTTGGAAAAGAATTGAAGACCGCTACCAACCAAATAGAAGTATGGGAAAGTCGAAAGTCTCGAAACTTGGTACCAGAGCCAGGCAATGTGGCCTGAGTCGAGGAAGACCGCCAGCCATAATTCGAATACCGATAGAATTGCGGAAGGCAAACATAGTCGTGAATGAATACCAGAAACCAAATCGAGCGAAAGTGAGGTTTCCGGTTGCAGGCGCAATAGGACCATTAGAGTTGACCTCGTTGGTAAAAGTACCTGCTTGGTTCCTTGCATATCGTAGTCAATGATGACCTACCTGAGCATTTTCATACGTGTACTCCACTATATTGATCACAATATTAGGGCACTGACCGAGGGTTCCAAGGTTCGCGCTGTACTCTTCCTCTTCCTCGTATCCGCTCCACAAACCAAAGATGTCTATGTCAACCACAGGCTCGGATTGGTGTTCCATCTCACCCACTAAGCACACAGGCAATTACTTCCGACGTCTGTGCCTGTACATGTGGAGACTAACCAAGCCGCTTTGAAACTCAGCGCAAAGCTCACAAGATTGGCCATACGAACATCGCAAAGGCAAAATCCATCTACTTAATTAAGTAAATTCCATACAGACCTAGAGAAAGTCGGAACAGCCCGAAAGAGGGAAGAACATAGCGAAAGCCAGAAGAGGCGGTAAGATGATCAAGACTGATGCAGTTGGACGTTATCGTAGTGTTTCATGTGTGCTGGCTCGGCCCTTCCCTTCCTATCGCGTCGCGGCGCGCCCGGACGTTCGGACACCGTCCGCGCCACCCTGAACCCTGTTTATCCCTTTATTGAGCCTACGTACTCGCCAGCACACCCGTCTTCAGCCACAAACGTCAATTCACGTTCTTTTCTCCAACTCTCAACTCCATTTTAACAAACTTTGATCCTCTCTTTAAGTCTTTGTTGCGCATTGCTGACACGAATCTTCTTCTTCAAACATTAATTTACATTTTGCGACTATTTATAGTGCGACCCTCACGAGCATTCAATCTCAGCGCCTCAACAACTCACGCGACATGCTACTTCGATAATCCGACCTTAACTTGGAGCCGCCTCATCCTGAGCTATCTCCTACAACTACACAACAATGGATGGACTCAAAGACCGATGGGAAGCTTTCGAGGCGGATCATCCTAGGATACGCACGATCATTGAGACAGTGAAGCCCTATATTCCGCCAGTGAACTTCATCACGATACACTATGCGTACTTCATCAGCGTTACGCTCGTGGGAACGCTAATCTTCTGGGGCGCCTCAAACCCATCGAAAAGTATTGGGTGGTGGGATTGCATGTTCATGTGCATGAGCGCCATGACCGCTTCGGGACTCAATTCCGTGAACGTTAGTCAACTCACTACGTTCCAGCAAGTGGAACTGGCGGTGTTGATGATGATGGGGAGCCAGGTGCTGGTCAGCTACTTCACGGTTGCTTTTAGGAAACACATTTTCGAGAAGAGGTTTGAGGATATCGTGGAGGCTGAGAAAGAGAGACGGAATGCCCGGAAGGGAAATGTTGGGGCTGTGGTCGGGATGACAGGAGCAATGTTTGGATTGCCGGTTATGGGGTCGTTTGGGAAGGGCAAGAAAGGGAGTAAGACGAACGGAGAGATGAAGGTTGTGACGCCTGCGGAGAAACGCGCGGAGGATATACCGCCCAGCACACCGATCATGGAAGACCAGGCTCAGACGGGACTGTCACCAATTTCACTTCTTTCAAGAGAAAGGAGTCCGCCACAGCATATCGGCTTTCTGGACCCCATACAAGAGCGTCTTTCCCACGAAAGGCCCATGTCAGCAACGACAGGACACTCGATCTATAACGTACACAGCCAGCAGAGCATATCGAAGCGTCGCCGCTCACTGGCTGAAGAGTCTAAGCTAGACGACAGCTTCAACGTGCAGACCTTCGTCAAGGAGCAAAAGCGCAACATTGGCCGCAACGGGCAGTTCTTCAACCTGTCATCAGACCAGCGAGAGTACCTGGGTGGTGTCGAGTACCGTGCGCTCAAGTTCCTCTCCATGTTCGTTCCCGCCTACTTCATACTCTGGCAGCTATTTGGCGGAATTGCACTAGGGGCATATATGTCCGTCTACGAAAAGGAGGCTTGCGCTGTCAATGCGCAGAACCCTTGGTGGGCTGGCATCTTCCTCGCTATCTCTGCGTACAGCAATGCTGGCTTTACGCTACTGGATGCAGGCTTCATACCCTTCCAGTCCTCATACTTCATCCTGGTCATAGTAACGATACTGTCACTCGCTGGACCTGCCTCCTTTCCCGTCGTCGTACGCTTCCTTATCTGGAGTATGTCTACACTTCTCGATCTTTTCTCCAAAGACAAGGAGTACGGCGTATGGAAAGAGGGCTTTGACTTTATCCTCAAATTCCCACGTCGCGTATATACCAGCATGTTCCCTTCACGGGACACCTGGCTGTTCATTGCAACCTTTACCTCGTTTGTAGTGGTAGACTGGATCCTGATTCTCGTTCTCAGCATTGGGAATCCGACCATGGAAGTCATACCCATCGGTCAACGCGTCTTCATCTCCCTCTTCGAAGGTTTCTCGATCCCGACTGGAGGTTACGCTATTGTCTCGCCCTCAGCGATGTACTTCGATGTCCAGGTTTTGTGGCTGGTTGTCTTCTATACCGCCGCGTACCCACACATCATCACCATGCGCAAGACCAACGTATATGAGGAGAGATCTCTGGGTATCTATGAGGGTGACGAAGCTGAGCCAGAACAGCTCCACTCCGCATCCAGCTCGCTCTTCGATGTCGACGCCGCGATACCGTCTTTGCCGACCGCTGAATTAGAGCCGGAGAAATCGCGTCTTGCGCCCATAAAATCCCTCGGGCAAGTCGGCCGCCGCGGCACTGCCTTCGTAGGCCGTCAACTCCAGCACCGCATGACGGCCTTCCAGGGCGTGGGTGTCGCTCCTATACCAGCCGCAACACCCGCCCCATTGAAGCGATCAAAAACCATGGACTTCAATCGTGCGACGTCAATCCACTCGCTCTCCTCACACCCAGCGACCCGACCCCCCTCTCTCATAAGCCAGCAAGTCAGGGGCCAGCTTTCGCACGACGTATGGTGGATAGCTCTTGCGCTTTTTCTCATTACGCTCATCGAGACACACCACTCTATCGAAGACCCCCGTACATACAGCGTGTTCACCATTCTGTTTGAAATTGTGAGTGGATACACGACTATTGGGATTAGTATTGGGTTGCCGGATCAATCGTACAGTTTCAGTGGTGGCATGTATACAGGGAGCAAGATCATCATGATCTTGGTTATGTTGAGAGGAAGGCATAGAGGGTTGCCTGTAGCGCTTGATCGCGCGGTTAGGTTGCCTGGGAAGAAGTTGGGTGAGATGGAAGAGGAAGATGCAGAGATTAGGAGTATGTTCTCTCAGTGAGGGAAATGTGTTGTATGGGCGATTTATCAGATCTAGTCAATGGATAACAAGTTCGGCCTAGTTTGCATTGGAGCTCCCAAATGACTGAAGCATATATATTCATTACGACTGGTATTTCTAGCAAAACACTCTGCAGAACGCTCCTATGCAGCGAGAAAACTGTCCTCTTCCCCGTCCCCACAATGATAAAGTACCAAATGAAATAACGCGCGCAGTGGAAAAGTTCGGCAAGAGTGGATGACTATCACCGATGGCCACGTCTTTGCTAAAGCAAGAGAATAACACACACAGTGGTTCTATGGGCTTTGCTTCCGTTTGCGACTAAAGTGTTCGAGAAACTTGTCTCGACGAGAAGACAGCGGTACCAGGTTACTGTTGCCATGCAATGTAGCTGGGTGTCTGATGGCAAGCGCAAAAGAGGGCCTAGGCAATAGTCTGAGTCCTTCTCGTTCCTCTTTTTCGACTCCAACTTCATCACATATCAAATCACCATGGCTTCCAATTCACGCAAACGCCTAGATAATGTGACATGGAGAATCCTGATGTCTTCCAAAACTTCCGAACTCTCCGATGCCCCAGAATCTGATTCTGATCCGTACCGCCGCTGCTCTGCTGCGCAGTTGGTGGTGACTGACTTGCGCCGCCTGGTACACCTGGCGGGTTCTGGATTGTCGTGCTAGTAGGCCCTGCCTGGGCAGTCTGAGTGACAATATATGCGTTCTCCCATTGTCGACGACGTAACCTCTCAGCTGCTTCAGCTTCAGCTCTTACAGCGGCATCTTGGATGACACTGATGCGGTAGTCTTCATTTCGACGCAGATCCTTTTCCTGGTCCCATGCAACATCACTGCAGAGCTGGTCCGCTCCATTGTAATGGCCCTTGTACTGAAGACTCGTCTCCTTCCTGATGACGAAGACGCAGCCCTGCTCTTGGTCTTCCTCTTCCTCGTAATCATCGAGCAAGTAATCACTGTATTCAATGAAAGCTTTGGTATCCCTCAGTAAGAAGTTTTCGCTAAGAATAACATCCGAGGGTGCGTCCTTGAGTATGTAGAAGTCCAGTAGGAAGCTTTTCCCTTCCTTGGTCGGCCCGAACTGCCATATCACTCCCTGTGTCATGCCTGATGTATGAGCCGCTGAGCCGTCTGCAAAACGTAGCTTAATGCGATATTCCTCTGTGTCGATGATCGGAAGCCCACGCGACCGCACAAAACCCTCATCCATGATTAACACCTTGGAACCGGTGTCCGCCAGTACTTGATGTGGTCGACCACCGATGGTGCCTATGAACCTTGGTCCGGAATTGCCAAGGTAGAGCATGTTATAGTATTGTGACATGCGCGTTACCGTTCGATCGAAGACTCGACGAGCGAAGTTCTTCGCGCTCAAAAAGGTTCTGGTAAGCCTCAAGAAGGTAGAGCCTAAAATGACGTCCTGGGGACACTTCGGAAGAACGTGGAATGTGAATGAATACGAGGTCGTCTCGTCTCGAAAGCGAAAAGGCACACGTACGACACCAATTGTCTTAACTGTCCCTTGACCAACTCGTACGGTGGATGCAGCTTCGCGGTCGATATCATAGCCGCGCTTTCGGACGAATGTTTCATGCATCGCATTGCGATTCGCACCAGTGTCACCCAATGCATCCACCGGGTGTCCTGAGTCGAGAAAGCCAGGGATTCGAAACTCGCGCTCAAGGTCATCATCGCAGCTCATCTCGAGCGTTCTGGCGTACGATTGTTGCATTCCAGATTTCGGACCTAATGTCCTCTTTTAGCTCAGACACTCTTGTGGACTCGAGTACGGCTGTTTACCTGGATATGCGTGGGGCCTGTCAACTGAATACTCCTGTTGCGAAAGTAGCGGCTGGTTGTCCCTCTTGTTCTCCCTGGCGACTGCCTTTTCTGCTGCCAAGCCCTTGTTGCGGTTCAGAGCAATTTCTCGAAACTTATCTCGGCCTTGCCGTGGACTTAAGCCTTCAAAATCGGTGCGATGGTACAATCTTCCGTGGTCATGCAGCTGTTCAGCATTTGGAAAAACACGCCCCTCATGACCTAGATAAGGGCAGGTGTAACCCCTCGCTGGGCTCTGAGTCTTCAGCGCTCGCGCGAACCTCGACTCCCTAAATTCACCAGTGTCCATTGTGAGGCTGGATTCTTCGATGCTATATCCAGGAAGGCCAGCTACCTGCTTTTTAGTGCAAGTTCAATCAATCAATGTGTGAAAGTGTTCGGTTCAGGAAACACAACGGATGCTGAGTTTAAGGAAATATGTATAAACATATAGCGGTGGAACCAACGGACCCAGGATAATATGGTAAGGTAGAGTAATGACCGAAGACGGGAATCAGACTTCGAGTGGATGGCGATTGTGCTAAAGACCCAATGTTGCATCTTGCCAAGTAACATCGGGCTGTGCTACCCCCTCACCGGTGAGTATTCGTTGAGCTGAAATGAGTATCATGCATAGACGCCACCGATGCACTAGCCCGTGGTACAAATACGAAGAGGCTGAGCATACCTTAACGTTCTGTCGCTGCGGCGTTCGTAATGTGATCACTTTCGATATCCATTCTGCGATAACGAGGACGCGCCAATGTCTTCAGACACAGAGTTGCAGCTGGGCCATCTTCGTGATGGTTATCCAACACTTGTTGACTGGATCGCTCGCGATCCCCATAACGAGCCTTCGTCTTCCGCAGATTTGACAGGCTGGGAGCCAGATCTATCTTGCATTTGCAAGCAAAATTGATCGATTTGGAGCGCAAAATCGACCGACAGGACGAGCAAGCTCGTAAAAGTAACGACCGAGAGACCAGAGCATCTTCTCGAAGATGGGAAACACTCATGGAACATGGGAAAGATACAAGTAGGAAAGAGAAAAACCGTGTAGAAAGCTTGGAAGAACTGAGTGCCGTCTTGAAGCAATACTGTATGCGGGACTTTAGCTTGTTCCGGCATCCAAAGTGCACACTGACCCAGAACAGATGAGCTATTGAACTTACAATCGCAAACGCTAGGTCTCCGCAAGCCTGGTGGTCGAATTATATCCGCTTTCCGCGACTTCTTGAACGGGACGTCTTTCCGCGATGAACATGGCAAGCCTCAGCCTCTTCCCCTCATTAGCGGGGCAGCGCAAGGCTTCCTAAACGAAGAACGTGATCTTCTCATGCTGGCCACACCCGTCGAAGAAGACTACCTCTCACTCTTCCTGCGCAATTACTGGCCGTTCCAGAAGCGCAGAACTCAAGATCCACTCGACCGCACGGCGATATACAAGAACTCGCACATTGTGCGAACGGTATCGGCATTGAACATGCTACTCGCTGCTATTCTTTTGATAGGCGCAATTGTCAATCTGTATTATGTCTCTAGCCCGAAAGCAAAGCTAGGTCTGGTAGCGATGTACACTGCGCTCTTTGCGCTAAGTGTCGCGTTGTTGACAACCGCAAAGCGAGCGGAAGTCTTTGCTGCTGCTGCGGCTTATGCGGCTGTACTTGTTGGTATGTATCTCATTTCTTGCACAGAAGATGGAGTTGACTGACAGTTTCTATAGTGTTTGTAAGCGGGAATCTAGGCGGTGCTACGACCGAACAATGCCTTATACAACTCGAAGGCGGCATTTGGAAGACCGTTAGATGCCCGGGATGAAGAAACGTAATCGACGGTTATTGCCTTAACGGGTACATTGGGTCTATTCACGCACCTCCTTTCCGAGAGGTGTCATAAGTGTGCTTTCCAGGAGGAGCTCTTCTGATCTGAGATTAGTCGTTCGTCCCTGTTAGTGTACAAGATCGGGCACTGGAAGAACGCAGCGGTATCAGGCCCTATCGAGCTGGATGAGGGCGACGTCATCTGAGCACATGAAGCACCCTTGGGGTCCAGGATATGGAGTTAGCATCGCGACAGGCCATAGGTCCTTCGCCCGCGGGCTGGTTGTTCATCGAATCCTTCCGTGGCGTAACCCAAGCAAGTTACGTTGGTCAATTGTAGTGGAAGTCAGCAGCTAAACTTTTCTAGGTTACATTTGGGACAATCTGGCGGTCAAGACAAAGTTGTTCCTTCCATGGATGCAACCTTACCTAGCTTGACGCGTACGTATGTGCCAAGCTGCGAATGACACTAGTCACATCCCTGCAACATCCTCGTTGGATTGGTTCACATCCTGTTGCTTCTTCTGGTCTTCGCGCCCCAGCCTTGATGGGTCGTATCTCAGTAACCTTGGTTGAGTATCTTGAACGTTTACTTTGTATGGTTTGGTTATTTGACGACAGTGGTACAATTCATTGTCAAGTACACTCAAGCAACAATTGCTGGCTAGTAAAATGACATTGATTGTACCTTGGTGCGTACATTTTGGATATCAATATCGAAACGTTAGACTTCGTTAGAACCATTAAATTACCACCCTACTCAGAGCCCTCTCGTCAATTGCCTCCAACACACCATTCATATTCCCCCACAACCGGCTACCAAATATCACCAACATCGTCTCTTATCTACAAGATAAGTCCAGCAACACCAAGAAGGCCACCCAATCCGATAGCCGCAGCAGCCATGGTCGGCGCAGGCGCAGCATTGGTGGTTTGCTGCGCGTTACCACCACCGGTACCCGAGGTCGCTGAAGCAGCGTTAGACGGTGCACCAGAAGAACCAGAAGTCCCCGACACGGTAGTTGTCGGAACGACGGAGGAAGCGTTGGAAATCCTCGATGCGATCGACGAAACGACGGAGGAAGCGACAGAGGCAGCAGACGTACCGGAAGCAGAAGCCGGAGGGGCAGTAGAAGCGGCCGAGGGGTTGTAGGAAGTGGTGCTGAAGGAGCATTCGCGAACGATGTCGGAGACATCGTTGTCCAACTCTCCTCCGTTCTGGACGATGCAGGCTGCGCAGAGGGGAATGGCGGTGTTGGCGTTCTGGCCATTGCAGATGCACTGACGCTCTGCGGCATCGTCGGCTACAGTTTGAGGTTAGCCACTATGACTTCCAAAGACTTGTAGTAGAGTTAGTTCAAGGTAACTTACTGGTGCTGTTGTCACAGTCACGGGTCAGTGTAACAACAGAAGCGCAGACGTCGCGGCACTGCATGGGGACATCATCGTTGTCGACATCCTGAGCGAGACCGATGGCCGAAAGGGCAAAGACGATGGCGAGCTTCTGGAAATGCATTGTTGTGGTAGGTGGATAGTAGTCTCAAGCGAAAGTTGTAAAGTTTATTTGGTATTGTAGTGTTGTAGTGATGGTTGATTGCGTTGTTGATGTCCCTCATCGTGGGAAGTATGAGGGAGCTATATACTTCAAAACTGCTCGCGTGCCTACTTTCCCTTCTGAGACGGCCAGCCCTCCGCATCCAATCAAAGATTCCTGCTCCTCGCACAGGGCTGGCATCACATCGCGGTGATTACGTCTCACAGCAGACTCCGCCCTGCGCCCCGCCATCTATCGGCCCGTCGTCGGTTATCACGGTGGGCGTTGTCCATGGGGAAGTGGATTGGCGCCGGGGATCAAGGCCTTGCAGCAGGTCTCCAAGCATGAAGTCAGATAGTTTGCCAAGGCTCCGTCGCATGCTGGGCGCTTGGCGATTGAGGTTTATTGGATTGTTCTCGTAGGACGATCGTCTTGCGTCGCACGCAGCACCGCCTGCCGCGACGCAACAGCCACGGCAGACAACACACCGTGCCTACGCGTAGCCAAGTACCCAGAATTCATGTGTTCTTGAAAGTAACACAAGTTACAAAACAAGCAAGGCCTAGCAACCCAACGCATGTTTTTGGAAATAGTGGTCCTTGGCCACCATCAAACATGATAATGCGGAGACCGGAGAAACTTGTGGACCACTGGTAAATGATCAATGCGAGAACATGAGGTCACCTTGATGCGGATCGAGTCAGGCGATTCTTCGACCAAGGAAAATCTTCCCGCTTCACTTGCCTTGACCCATTGAAGCGTTTAGATTTGATTTGGTCTTGCTTTACACCAAGCTCTGCGGATGTTCCTGCTAAGCATGAGCCAAGTTAGTAGTGCACATATCCGCTTGCACCGCCATTGATTACGTGGTGGGCAGTCGCAATTCCTATGAGGCTGTAAGTTGAGTGAGTGGGTTTGTTTCTATCTTTGTAGTAAACATGCATAGATCCGTGTGCGGGATGTCTTGTATCGGGTAGAAGCGGAGTGTACATATGTCGAACTACTGGGATGTATAAATGGGAGATGGTATCTTTGTGCGCCGCTATGCCTTACGCTATGCTTGTGTGAAACGGAAAGAAGTGTCAAACTTGCATCCGTGCCGATAAGTCAATGCCAAAATGCGACGTCAATGTCAATGTCAAATGCTTCGAAGCAGTAACTCAGAGACGAAACAGGATGCTGCGCGCCAAATGCTATGCTATGCCTCGCAGAGTAGAGACCGATGAACACCGTGCTTATAAGTGACAGAAGACACCGATACTGCAGACTCTTGCTCCGCAATAGGATGTAAGAGGCTGAATCATACTGATGCTGGGCGTGATTCGTGGCTATGCGAGTCGCAATCACCCAACCAGGAAAGGTCTTTGGTGATCACCCGAATAGAAAATAGAAGTTGAATGGCGGGATTATCCGCGAAGCTTGGAGCTTCACGAAGTAGTGTCGGGTGCTTTGCCGCTGGGCGTAATCGGCCGCGATCCAGAGATGAAGCCCCGTGATCCCTTCCTAGGCTCTGGCTGAACAGGGACTCGCATGGCATCCTCTGGCTTCAACTCTCCAGTGAGCCACTGTCCCATATGCGTTTGCCATCTTTTAGGGTCATCCGCTTTTGTTGCTTCTCTTAGCCTTCTATGCCGCACAAGTCTCTCCGCCACCTGTTGCAAAACTATCTTAGGAGGTTGGTACTCGGTCAGGCCTCCTGGGCTTGCGATCGTACTCCTCTCGAGATATGTGTTTGTCGCTTGCTCCATTGTGGAAAGTGTTTTGCCACCAGGAATCTCTTTCCTTTCGTTCGTCTGTGGGTTTGTCCAAGGTCCCTTCTCCCAGTTATCAAGTGGTAGACCTTCAAGTCCCTTGTCGACATTGAGACGCTTGTACCATCGGTGTTCTCCCTTGGCTATTGTACGCATCATCTTATGACGGTCCTCACCCTCGGTGTATTTGATCAAGACATTTTTGAAGACTGCCAGCTTTTCGCTCCACTTCTGCAGCGCCTTGACTTTTCCCAACGGGCCAGGCCAAACTGCCGCGAACCCGTCATTTGTGGTATCCGGGCGTCCCGTTCCGATGGAAAGCAACAATCCCGGCTCTTTTTCGTCGCCGTTCAGCGAAGCGTGTTCACTATACGCAGCATACGAGGGGTTGTTCTCGCGAATTCCTCCATCTTTGAAACTCATTCGCTTTCTGTTCTTCCCGCTACCAATCTCAGCGGTGAGCATCTCAAAGTAGAAAGGAGCTGCTGAAGTAGCTCGTGTGACCTGCCATATCTTCAGCTTGTCTGCGCCGGCGTTGTAGGGAGTGACCCAAGGTGGGGCGATGTCGGGATCGTATTGGTGATTGTATGAACGGAGGAGGTATGCTTCGTCGATTTGGCCGGAGTGGGTGGCGGCCAGACAAATACTGGGTATGGTCAGCTGAGCGAACACTTGATGACGTGGTAGCCAGAAGAATACAAGAGGCTCTACAAGTTCAGTGCGAACCGAAAGACAATCCCGTAGTAGACAAGTCTCATTGAAGTTGCACGGATGGAAGGACCTACGATTGACATATCCTCTCTGTTGGCTTGGACCTGACTGACGGCGCACCACCACTTGACCATGTTGTCGAGCTTTGTAACGAGCCTATTCCTGATTCATTCACCGTCGCTTGCGGTGAAGTGTTCTCTTCCTCTAGGACCCATGGATGCCAGTCATTTCCTGTACAGTTTTCATGCTCCTTGCAGTATTGCCGCACGATATCTTGTACGGCCTTCTCCAACGGCTTGTGGTGATATTTGGTGGCCAGTGGCACCACACTCCTCCTATGCCCAAATAGCTCGTGTCCTACTCTACGGTATAGTTCAAGGCATTGTGGCACGCTCATTCGTAACCTAGCCAGCATGACGGAGATGAGTCCGCCCGTGCTCGTTCCATATATGTAGTCGAAGTAATGACATGGTAGTAGCTCGTCTTCGTTGAACTCGCGTCGTTCGCTGCCTTGTACAGGCCCTTCATCTATTTGTAACCGGCGCTCGCATAGGGCGATTTCGTGCATGAGACGTTGGATGATTAGGAGGCTTGAGTAGCCGCGAATGCCACCTCCATCTATCGGATGTATTAGTACTTGCTAGATGTGCCATAAAATGCCACGAGTCCCTCCACGGTTGACTTTACATGTCCAAGCAGTCGTACCGTTGCGCGCATCCATTGCGCTACGTTCATCTCCACCTGGACCCTTCCCCACATCACGAACCAACTTCACATACCTAGCGTGAGTATCAAATCCTCCCAGCAATTCTCCTTGGTGACGTTCATCTTCCAGGTTACTCCAGTCTTGTCCTGCACTGTCGCACTGGTGCCCGTCGTCCTTATACTCAGCGGCCTCGAGGCCGGCTCCGGTGGTTGCAACATGACGGCGCGCTTGCTGTGTACTTGATGGTGGTTTAGGACCTAAGGTATGTAGGCTTGCACAAATCGCGCACTGATGATCAGGCCAGGGACGTAAGGAGGTAACGGATCGACGCAGAATGCAGTGGATATAAGGCTGCGGAGAGCCTCATGACAGCTCTGGCGCGTTCCTGCAAAGGGCGCGACGGTCTGCAGGCTGGTGGATGGGTGGGTCTCGGGAGTGGCTGACTCTGCCGCTAGCGAAGGGAGTCTGGGGATGTGACGAATAGAACGACAGAAATCCGACAGAGCCACTGCTAAGCCTTTGGGGTCCAATAGAGCGTGAGGCTTGTCTCTGATCTGGTTGTGACCCTTGGAGTTTGTTGTGTTGGAATGATCAGGGGGTGATGGGGTTTGTGTGACGCGGAGAATAGAGGGATGAGATCAGCCCGTTCTCCCGCAAACCTACCCGGAGTTTGGATTCTGACGACAACAACGGTAGGACTTCGCCGATAGCCTTGCAGCTTGCTATGTAGGCATACTACTTCGCATTGTTGCCTATGCGAGCTGAAATGTAGGGCGGTACACGAGTAGGCAGTAAGGCCAACATTGCTCCACGCTGCAGTCCTCCTCGAGCAAACTTGAATCTCCAGGGGGTCGAAAATGGATCCAGAGTGACACCCCCTTGTGATACTGGTGATGGGCAAGCGGATCTGCCGGACAGCGTAATGAGAGCGGATTTCGCCCGAACGAGTCACCTGAATGGCGTTCATGGGTTGCAGAGTTGCAGGTGATGCGCACGTTGTATACCTGACTACTGCACGTAATATCACCGTTTAGAAATCGAAAGACGATATGTCATAGAATAGTAGGACGAGTCAAATGGTCGACTTTCGATAGGTAATTCGTCGTGGATATCTTCGGCATACTAAAAGGCCTCGATTGTGGTTCGTGGCCGGCTCCGCCTTTGGCCGACCACCTGGGCATGTTTCTCTAAAGACCGAGCCTTCCGTCTCATATCGAGCGAGACGAGACAAAATCTAAGCGAGCTGTACCTGACTGAATGGTTTAGATGCTTTGAAGGTGTGTAACAAAGTAGCTGCTGCTCCGCGTCCAGACCAATCACGGTAGTCCACGGCACCGCCGCATCGTGGACCAATCAACAAGAGAATTGACCGAGGGCGACATCATACCACCAGCCACGGGGGCGCAGTCCGTGTGTGACGCTGCTGGAAGGCTCCACGCTCTCTTGCGACCCAGACCATCACTCCACCTACACTTGCGCTCTGTCCTCACTCACGCGACTGACCAGCGCCTACACCTATACAAAGCACATTCCACCGGTTTGTAGGACCACAAACAACAACAACCGAGACAAGCACCAGCTTTCTTTCCATACCCAACCTTTACCGCCCACCGCCCACTGCAGCCCTACCTTCACCTATAGTGACGCCTCAGCCTCATCCTTTCAGAAAAATTGAGCGTATAATGCAGGAAAGCATGACCTTCAAGTCGGAGTCGACGTCTGGCACAGCGTCTAGTAAAGCGAGTAGTTTGTTCGACTTGGACGAGCATGGCAACAAGTCTATTCTCGTGTATAAGTATCGTTCAGGCGCAAAAGGTCTAGAGATCAAGACAGAGGCCGACCTTTGCGCTGAACTTGACCAAGGTAAGTTCCCCACTGCCTGCTGGTTTGGCCCCAACTAAGGTAGCCCCTAGACCCGGCATTACCCTTCATACGCGTCACAAGGAAGCCTATACCGCGCGGCAACAGTCGGCTTGACATCCTTAACGAGGACCTTCTCGCCCCATCGGAACGCGAAAAGTACGCAAAGAAGCCTACCCTCAAGGCTTCCGTCGCAAACGTGGGGCTGCCCACGCTCGCAAAGTGGAAACACATGATATTGGGGAGTTACGACGACCTCTACATCGTCTCGCGGTCGCATACGCCTTCGCCTGAGGCGAGCAAGAACAACAGTCCGGAGTCAAGCCAGCACGTCACCCCGGCCCATACCTTCCCCAACGAAGCATTGCATAATCCGGATGCGTAGGTGCGTGGCCGGACTGGGCTGGGTGTTATTGGGGAGATAGACAGAGGAGAAATGTCTTGAATCCCCTGTGTTGGCATGGCTCTCTAGTCTCCCCATGACCACACACTCCTTGCACGATTATACGTTTCCTAGCTGTCATTACGCGATACCCAATGAGCTCGGCGCTGGATGGAGTTTACGTTGTCTTTCTTTCCTTGAATTATCTCATGTAGTTTGTCGCTCTAGAGCAGAATAAGATTATGCCGCACGCCTGTAAGTCGGTAGTATGTAACTCTTAGCAAGAAAGACCACTGCAACCCTCAGGCACTCTTACCATTCCGACCATAAGTCATGCACCTAGTCTAGCATGAACCCTTGACTCAGGATCAGGATTGCTATGTGTACATGGGAATGTGTAAAGGATTTGTTGCTATAGTAAAACCGACTGCCACGTCTCTTGAATGCATTCGCTGTTGTTTTGCCAACAGTAGCGAGAGAAGCAATATCCAGAAGACAAGAGACCCCCTGTATGATAACACCAGTTCATGCCGAGGAAGGAGCCGCTGCACCAGGATCGGTTGTCGCCAAATTAACGTCATGACAGGTGTGATTCGCTACTGGAGTCGTCGGAAGAATGGTTACAGGGAAGACGTGTGAAGCTTTTCTCTCCGTATTGCAGCGCAGAAGCATACTGCCTGCATTGTTTGTATACACGTGGGTGGCATCGGACCTTCTAAATGGCTGGGCGCAACGGCAGACCCATCTGCGGCTCGTCCAGACAACACTAAGGCGCGGCGCTCCACCCAACTCTGCACATGCAAGCGGGGAGCCTTCACTCTTGGGCCCGGTCTTGTTGCGCTGGGGCCCTGCATTCAACTTCTGAGCTTCTGAGCTTCTGAGCTTCTGAAGCTTCCATCGCGAACTCGTGCACAGCATTGCTATAACCATCCTATCACGGCTCGACGTCTGCAATCGTCCTCGTCTCGCCCGGCATGAGGTTTGTAACCCTGGCAATGCGCTCACGCGCGCTCCTCCAATCGTCGCACAGCGTGGATGATGTCAACGGAAACTAATGCGCGTCTGCAGGTTTGGTCAGCAACTCAAGCAGTCACTCAACAAGGAGTGGATCTTCTACTACATCGACTATGAAAACCTGAAGAACTCGCTGCGCGTCCACCACATCTGGGATGAGAAGTCGGAGCAGAGTTTCGTCGAGCAGCTAGAGAAGGAGCTCGACAAGGTCTACACGTTCCAGCGCGTCAAGGCCGAGGAAATTATTCGTCGCATAGCAGCATCCGGAAAGGAAGTCAACGATGCCGTCGCACGCGCCCAGCAGGAGCCTGAAAACAGCGATAAGTTCGAGGAAGACTTTGATCTACTTGAGGAGGACCTGAGCGACATTATCGCCGACGTCCACGACCTCGCCAAGTTCACGCAGCTCAACTACACGGGCTTCCAGAAGATTATCAAGAAGCATGACGTACGTATTGGCATAGCTGGCAATCTGTAAAAGCTAATTGAGTACAGAAAAACACCAGCTGGTTCCTCAAGCCCGTCTTCGCCGCCCGTCTGAAGCGCAAGCCCTTCTTCCAGGACAACTACGACTCGTACGTGGTCGAGCTCTCGAGACTCTATGATATCGTCCGCACCCGAGGAAACCCGGTCAAGGGCGATTCATCCGCTGGAGGCAAGCAGCAGAACTTCGTGCGCCAGACAACCAAGTACTGGGTGCATCCGGACAACATCCTCGAGTTGAAGCTCATCGTTCTCAAGCACCTGCCTGTACTCGTCTTCAACCCCAACAAAGAGTTCAACGAGGAAGATTCTGCCATTACCTCCATTTACTTCGACAACACCGACACATGGGAGCTATACCAGGGCCGTCTGAAGAAGACGGAGGGTGCTGAGGCTATTCGCCTGCGATGGTATGGAGGCATGTCTAGCGACACCATCTTCATTGAGCGTAAGACACATCGCGAGGATTGGACAGGCGAGGAGTCCGTCAAGGCGCGCTTCAAGCTCAAGGAGAAGAACGTCAACGCATACCTTCGTGGTGAGCTCAGGCCCGAGCAGATCTTCGAGAAGGAGCGCAGGGAGCAAAAGAGGCCTGAGAAGGACATTGCTTCTGACGAGCAGCTGGCCCGAGAGATTCAGTACCGCGTACTAACCCGCAAGCTCGAACCCGTTACGCGATCCTTCTACCACCGTACCGCTTTCCAACTTCCTGGCGATGCTCGCGTCCGTATTTCTCTGGACACGGAACTTACCATGACCCGCGAAGATAACCTAGATGGCAAGAGGCGCGCCGGCGATAACTGGCGTCGCATGGACATTGGTGTGGACTGGCCGTTCAAGCAGCTGCCAAAGGAGGATAAAGAGCTCTTCCCTTATGCCGTCCTCGAGGTTAAGCTTCAGACGCAAGCTGGAGGAGAGCCGCCTCAGTGGATTCGCGACCTCACATCTTCCCATCTCGTCGAGGCCGTACCAAAGTTCTCCAAGTACATTCACGGCACAGCCACACTCAACCCCAAGCGTATCAACCTGATTCCATACTGGTACCCCCAGATGGATGTGGACATCCGCAAGCCTGTTAGCCACAAGTTCGGCATTGAGCGCCCTGGAGCGAGCAACGATATCAGCACCAGCGGTAACCTCGACGATGATGACAGCGAAGACGAGGACGCCGTTATGGGTCTACCCGCAGTTAACGGCAATGAGGATGATGACCGATTGAGGAGGCTTCGTGAAGCAAGGGATGCCATGGAGCAGAATGAGATGGAGCGAACCCGCGACTACGGCACTCTTACGAACGGCAACGATCCCAATGCGCTTGACATTGAAGAGCGTGTCGCCGCTGGACGCAATCGTGACGAGGACTACCCCATCTACGACTCTGACAGCGACGATGACGACGAAGAGTTCGAGGCTGCTAAACGACAAGGAGGTCTCCGCTACGCGAAGAAATGGATAGAGCGCACTGTCACCAACGTGGGCTCTACGGTGCTCTCGAGCGTTGCAGCCATCATCCCTAAGCCAACACCTACCGATGTTGGTGAGGGAGGCTTCTCCCTTGGTGTACCCTCGTGGAAACAAAAGGGCGAGGTGAAGAGGTTCAAGGCGCCAAAGGGAAAGCGTGAGTTACTCCGATCGTGTCACACTACCAACCTCTACTAACATCATGCCAGGCATCCACGTTCCCGTCCGCGTCGAACCCAAAGTTCAGTTGGCAACCGAGCGCACTTTCCTCTCCTGGCTCGAATTCTCCATCCTTATCGGTTCTATTGCCGCTACATTACTCAATTTTGGTGACAGCTTAGCTTTTGCAGCTGCTTGGGCGTTCACTATTATCGCTTGTCTTGCGCTGTGCTATAGTGCAGGACTATACATTTGGAGAGTGAACAAGATCAAGGAGAGGAGAGCAGTTACATACCACGATCGCTGGGGACCGACGCTGCTCTGCTTGGGCTTGTTCTGTGCGGTAGCCATCAGTTTCGGGTACAGGTTTGGAAAGGGTGGTGTTGATGGGGGACTGAAGGGTGACATCAAGGGTTGATTATATCGTGAGATGCACATGGATTTGCGGAAGATGGAATTTGATGTTTTGAATTTGTCATGACTGACGTTTCGAAGCAGATATTCGGATGGAAGGGATGCATTACTGGCGTTACGTGTACATAAAACTGCACATAATAATGGGCATTATTGTACTTTTGACTACTCCTGTAACATGTTGGAAGGAGTGAACTTGGTGATATTCAAGGTTTCCTCGCAGCGATGTGGAACAATAAGCTGTGGATACGTGCACCATGGCCAAGAGAAGAAGGGTATTAAATCCTGTCATTCAGGTGCCTCCATACTTCTTCCATCACACCACATATGTTCTTTACTTAAAAATACCGGACGGACTTCAAATGTCTGTCGCTTTCTCAAAACTTGATCCCCGCTTCGCATGGCCGAGTCTGCCTATTGTTCTTACTCAAAAAGATATCCCCAAGGCTTTGAACACAACCTGAAAACAAGATAACAAAAACTTTGTTCTTCTTTCTGATGTGAAAGCGCGACACCAAACCATACTTGCAGAGCGCCCATGTAGAGTGCGAAGAATGCGGGCTCACCTGGGACGTTCAAGGAATGCATAGATTTCTATAGAAGCGACTGCCTCCTCCTCTTTGTCTTGCCTTCTGTACATCGCAACCCACAGCTCTTCTTCACTCTTTTTGTTGCGTTGAAGATCTTATCCAAAATTCAATGTATGAGTCACATGTGCTTCTCTAAAAAGTAAAGGCATGCTTCTCATGAGCAGTTGGTGACCGTCGTTCCGAATCCCAGTACGATCAAGATGTGCTCATGTGTCATACCAGTACTTCGCCTGCCCGAGTATAAAGACATACCTGCTCGACTGCATTTCCTCTCCTTCTACTACACACTCGTCACTTTTGAAACATCAAAAAAATGATAGCAACGTCCATATGATTGTTCCTGTCTTCAAAAGTCGTGAGGCGGTTCGACATGCTCAAGACTTTTGTCTGAGTGATCGTAATACCTTTTTCTCCAGATTCTCCAGAAAAAAGGGTACCCGAGATGGTTCTGGAGTGATTGCTATATACCCCAGTGCATCAAAAGGGGTTTGGTTACGCACTGATGCATATGTGTATCAGGTAGGAGTGGAAATGTTCAAGCAAAATTTCCATGCGCGAATAAGTACATAGTGGACTAATAAAAAGACAGGGAAGAAAGGCATGGGATTCTCTACGACTGACTCCATTTACAAAATAAACTGCGCCTTCTCATTCGTGTATAAAACGTGACTCTTCATTCCTCTGTCTTCTACCTCGTCCATTACAAACTCTGTCGCCTGTTTTTCAAAGTACGACACAGAAATGACATGAGTGCTCCGTTTCCAAAAACAAACCTACTAAATACTAATGGAACTGGACTGGGGAGTTTACCTTGAATCAATTATTAGAAACCCCCCTCCCCCTCGAAACGCATCTACATGTTTGTGACGCCAAAGATTTCTCAAAGTCGGGATGGGTAGAATCCACTGACCAATTTGACCGTTTAAAAATAACGTCTATCAGAGCCATGGAGTGAACGACGAAGCGTGGTGTGATACTAAGGCCTGGATCTTGAGTTCAAAGCTACCTAGCTTGCCAAAGAGTCGAGCTAGAGGAATTCGTCACATACAAAAGTCTTTGCGTAGAGCCCTAGGTTCCAACTGGCCAAGTCATCCCTACTCACATTCTTCGAAAACGGTCTATGCGTATGAGCAAGCTACCAAAAACCCATGTGATGCCTTCACATGTGCTGCGCTCGTCTTTGTATTTGTCTACCTCTCACAAAACCAATGGCTCGTGTCGAACCCGTTTCGACAAAACGGGTCCATTTCCAAAACACCGTGGCGACTGTTCCATGTGCGTTCCTCTTCGCATTCTAGACCGAAAAAACCCACAGTCGAGGCTAGATGCTTGAGAAGACGTGGTATCAAATCCGCAAGCTCCACTAAAACAACAGTCGTAAAATGAGACCGTATATCATCGGAGAGAAGATGAACATAAAAAGTGACATTAAATCATTACTACCCTTCCGTCCTCACCACTCCCGCAGAAGTCCTGATATCAAATTCCACCCATCTCGCCCTCCCTTCTCTCCTTCCTCTTCCACCACTCTCATCTATACTACCCGGATTCATGACTGTGCAGCCAAAGTACTTGACCACAAACGCTGGGGCCTCACTGTCCGCTAACACCAAACTTGTTGGCAATGGGTAGAGGTTCATTGTATGAGCAAAGTCCCAATGTAGTGGCCGTGCCGAGAGCGGGAAGGGGCTAAGATGTGATTGTGAGAGAATGGTTCTGGTGAGCGCGCGCGCTGTTTGTGTGTCAATGTCGACGTCTGATTTCTGTTGTTGTTGTTGTTGATGTTGTCGGGGTGGTGGCCCCCTGAGATCAAGATCCATGGCGTCCTGCTGCTCTGCCTCTTGTTGTTGATGACTAGGCGCGTATGGCATGTCATCATCTACATCTGGAGGCGGCTTGTTGAATCTTATCGATTGTCTCTGCAGTCTTCCAGCCACGTCGTCCCTCAGTATCGCCATCTCGCCCTTCACGCCGAACCAGCTCAGGCGTGAGGGATTAGATGTCCAGATCACTTCTCCTTCTTTGCCCTTTGCTTTACCTGCACCCCATATCTCTCTATTCGCTTCAGCTACCACCTTCCTGATTCTGCTTGTAAACATGGTCGGAATGGGTTTCCTCGGTAATGGTGTAGCGGCACCGGCTGAAAACGCACTCGGCCAGGCGTCGTTATCGCCGGGAACGAGAACAAGTGTGGTATGCGCGATGAGAGGTTGGAACTCTGCGAGAACAGAGGCAAGTGCGTCAAAGTGTTCCTTGTATTCTATGCTGCCCGTTCCTGGCACGCCTGCAAGACTGGCTTTCGAACTGAAGTTTCCCATCAGGATGATGGCGAGGGGATAGACTGGATGCGCATCCGTGGGATCAGGGGTGCATGTGCGTAGGAGGGTGCGAAGGGCGGACAGTGTGGATGGCACGTCCAGATGAAGGTCTGAGGCTACAACAATGTTGTGTGCTGTGCCGAGATCGAGGAGTTTCGACGCAATCTTGTTCATCCGAGTACCGGTCGCACGCTGAGAACCAACGCCCAGGAAGTCTGTCCATCCGAATGCTGGCCCAGCCAAACTGTTCTTATCGACCTCTTCGGCACCGCCCAGGGTTGCTGTTCTTCGTTCGCTGGGAGGGTGTCCAACTGAGAAACCAAGGAATTTGCCGCCTATAGTGCCGCCAATGCCACTGCTGCCTCCTAGAGTTGATGTAGCCCCGGCATCCTCTTCGTAGCTACCCTCGACTAGAACGATCATGCCTGGTGCGAAGTATGCGCCATTCTCAGGGATTGGGCGTGCGTGTTGAATATCTAGGGTAATTGTGCCTGTGAGATCAGATAGAGAGAGCGCACCGGTGGCTGAGACTGTGAGCATGCCTAGCAACAGATGCGTGCTTCCAGTCCGACCAAGTAGATTGGCGATTGGAGTGATAGTGTTCATCTGGGATGTCGCAATCGATCCCGTCCGGCTGAGGCCAGCAGAACGGGCTGTAGAGAAGGTAGGTGCTTGGAATGTCTCGTTACGGAGTATGCGCTGGTGTACGATGTGGTAGCGTTGACGGAAGAGCTCGGTCTTGTGTGATGGATCTGGGAATAGCGATGGCTTTTTGGCAGACCTGACGTGGTTAGCAGATGTTCGATTCCCCTCTGATCTCTACATACTTCTCAAAATGCTTCTGAGTGGCGTTATATATCAGCTTCGGCTGCTCGAACGCGCCAATGACCTTCATCCACTCTCTTGGATCTTTCAGCAGGTCTTCTTCTTCATCCTTGTCTTGTACTTCCAGACTGGACATGCCGAAACTGCTAGTGCTATCCAGATTCGGACGATTAATCTGACCAGCTATCTCAGGTCCAAAGTTGAAACTGCTTTGCCTGCCCAGAGTCGAGCCTTGGACCACCCTCCCTCCGCTCATTGAACCTTCGAGCGTCTTGAGTATGCCTTTGAGCGTCTCATTGTCGCCTTCTACGATGACTTGACCACCGCATTTCTTCCAGCTCTTTGCGACCTCCTCCAATACCTTTTCTGCTAGACCTTCCTCTCTCCATCCTGATCCACAGTGCTTCCCTACAAACGTTGCTAATGCTTGGAGAGCGGAAGATGTGAGGGTGAGGTTGTGTTTCTTCGTAAATGTTCGAAATGCGAGCGGTCGTAGTGTCGCCGGTGGGAGGAGTATGGGAAGAACAGTGGACTTCCCGACTGGCTTCAATGCAGGCGGGGCGCGTATGGGCGCTGTTCTGCGGGGATTGATGGGATGAACCGGTGTTCCGAAAGCTGGCGATGAAGACGGGATTAGATCTGAGGGGACCGCCGAGGGCTTCTCTGGTCTTCTTGTAGTCGCCATATTGGTTGTGGTGAAGGTAGTTATCCTGTGTTGCGATGGTGGTAGTTCGTCTGCGATTCCACTTTACGCGTGCGACGCGTTCCAGCGCGATTTCGCGCTAGAGGCTAAGCTACTTTTCCCAGCAACCACCAATCGTCCTACCCAAACACAACACTAAACACCTCCGACGCTTATCTCTGCCCCCCAGTAACTCCAGTTTCGCTGTCGCATACCTATCACTAAACCCACGCACCTGACCAAACTCACACAATGGCCGACCCTACAACTGAACCGCTCGCGACCGTCACCGAGACTGAAGAGCTGCCCAGAACGAAAGAGAAGATGGGCGAGTTGTCGCAGGCTGCCTCGATTCACTACTCCACCAAGAACTATGACGCTGCTGCCGAACACTACGCCGATGCCGTCGAAATCCAAGCTGAGCTCAACGGCGAGATGGCGCCTGAGAACGCCGAGCTACTCTTCTACTATGGGCGCGCGCTCTACAGGGCTGCAGTCGCTAAAAGCGATGTGTTAGGCAATAAAGTGGCATCAGAGGAGAAGAAGAAAAAGCAGCCAAAGGCTAAAAAAGCGGCGAAAGCAGAGGCCGGTGAAGGGTCAAGCGCCGCGAAGGCCGAGCCTAAAGAGGAGTCTGTAGAGACGAAGCCGTACTTCCAGCTCCAAGGCGACGAGAACTGGACCGATTCCGAGGACGAAGACGATGACATGCAGGACGGCGAGGAAGAGGAGGACGATGACGACCTCGGCAACGCCTACGAGATCTTCGAGCTAGCCCGCGTCCTGTACGAGAGGCAATTAGATTCGCCAGAAGGAGATGCCTCAGACAAGGGCAAGGGCAAGGCGGAGCTGAGTCCACGGGCGCGCATAATCAAGGAGCGCATCGCAGACTGCCACGGTTTCCTTGTGGAGATCTCACTAGAGAATGAACGCTTCCACGACGCCATATCAGACGCCCGTAAAGCGCTCGCTTTACAAGAAGAACTATACCCCTTTGAGCACGAGAACGTTACAGAGGCCCACTACTCGCTTTCCCTCGCGCTGGAATTCGCATCCGTCTCCAAAGTACGAGAAGATCAGACTGGACAAACGACCGATGCGTCCGCCGAGCAGGAACAAGGAAAGGAAGATGAGCATGGCATAAACTGGGAGCTGCGCAAGGAGGCTGCTGAACAGACTGATCTCGCCATACAAAGCCTTGAAGCACGGTTGAAGAAGGAAGAGGCAGCACTCAGCTCCGATGCGCTGAAACCAGAGCAGAAGAAGGAGAAGCAAACAATTATTGAGGATAAGAAGGGCATGCTTGAAGATCTCAAGACGCGTCTTGCAGACCTAAAGTCAGATCCCACGAAACAGGAGTTTGATAGCATCGATTCGTCGGTGTTCAAGGGATTGCTAGGAGGGTTGTTGGGAGCAGATGCAGCAACACAGAAGGCGAAGCTTGCGGAGGCTACTAAGAGCGCGAATGATGTCTCCGGCATGGTGAAGAAGAAGGTCAAGGCACCTGCACCGGTAGTATCAGGGTCAAATGACGCTAGTAGTAGCAAGAGGAAATTGGAAGTTGATGATGGTGGTGCGGATGGCAAACGAGCAAAGACTGAGGAGCCCGTGTAAACTACTTATATCGCGGGTCAGAAGATCAAGAAAAGTTAATGAGACATGTTTGGTAGTTTTGTGAGGTAAGTTGAGTTCAGACATTGGAATGTGGTCCCTTAGGTATAGGCCTACGAATAGTAACAAGTGTTGGCTTGAATTCCTACTTTCTATCATATACCGTAGCTCCAAGATCGGCACGAATTTGCTCTATATATCATTTACGAGTAAGTAAACTGGTAAATGAATAGGCTTTGGAAATTTGTACAAAGTGTAGTTTAAATGTAAGGCAGGGCGACAAACTTGCTACTAGCGAAAAAAACCAAGATACATCCAGTCACGTCGTTTGAGACATCTGCCCTCACATATAGAGAATTCTTTGAATCTAGTACAAGTCAAGAAACCAACGCCTGGGATTTTTTGCCGAAAAAGTTCAGTATACTTTCTACAATATGGTAAATCCCGGAGGAGTTTTGGGGTCTACAGCTACTTAAGTTAGTCGAATGAGAGCAATTATGAGGATATGGTACCTTGGAGAAAACCGTCGCGCATATTTGAGTTCGAACGCCGGCGGTCCAATTCCCTTCCTATGTGCTTCTCGTCGATACGAACGCCGTTGAAGACAAGACGTATACTGTTATGACGTATGGCAAAGAACAGAAGCGGAAGCAGACGTAGTCGTTCAGGTATCTGTGTCCACCAAGGTTCTTTCTTAATATTGACTGACGGTGATAAACAGGCCTTGAGAGGATCAACGGAACTGAATTCGAAAGACGTGATACAATGTAACGATGGGAACTTTGCCCCTAATCCGCCTGCGTATGCCAGTCAAAACCATATCGTCATCATTGTCTCCCCCTTCCGGACAAAAGCATTAGTGACATGTTAGGGAAACTGGACCAACACAACTGGGCGAATGGAAGGATAATTACCACATATAGTGAGCCCTGTTAGAGGAAGGATGTTTCCTAGATACCCTTGGATGCTCCTGACCACCAAGGCTTGTCCGTACATACATTATGTAGGGGCTAGTGTATGGAATGATGACGCCAATTGATTTTAAAATCAATACATTTACGAGACTTCGATTTAGTATGTCTTTTCTACGCCGGTTTTTTACCGCCTGTCCAGGGTTAGTGGGCTGAACTTGATGGTGTATGCCCAGTGGTATCGCTGCAGGCTGTAGCCATCCACTGGACATGAACTTACCATTTTTCTTCTGCATGGCTTTGGCTCTTCGCCTCACCTCAGCTTCGCGATGTCTTTCGTGCCAAGATGATCTAGCTTTCATCTGTCTTTCTCTGTTCGGCACGTTGTTGCTGCTTTTCTATATGTTGTTGACCCGTTAAGAACACAATGGAGTATGATGTACGATACTGCTTACCAGCGCTCTTGACCTCCAACCTTTTGGCCATACTATCTGCCCGTTCATGGTGCTTTGCACGTTCAGTGATGTAAGCAATGTGTCGATATTATTCTCAGTAAAAAAAGATGGGGTCTTGCAGCTCAAGCTGTGTAAAAGCTCATTTAGTGGTGCATTGAAACGACGTAGGATAATGGGCGAAAAGCTTAGTGCTGCCATGACCGGAATGACGCAGAGAGGAAAGATCGGATGAAGTAAATATGAAGATGTTCTGATGCCTCCTGCACGGTATGTACACGGATGTTACTCTGTAGGTGCCTCGAAGGAACAACCGCATTATGCAAGGGGTGTCTGCTTCCAGCAGGTGTTATTTAGTCTCGTACCATCGCGCTGAACGCTTGTGACTCCAAACATGGTGGTGAAACATAACCAGAGTATACGGTTTGAAAGATTAGTGGGATAACGATCAGTTGCGATAGTTGTAAAACGCGAATCGCGGTCTATTGTACCAAGTTCTTTGCTTCCAGTACGCTGCGGATCGAAGCGGGGCAAAAAGGCACGTGCGGCAAGCGTACGTCATCCTGGTACCGCGCCTTCACGTACTCGTCAGCCAACCCTAAGCTTCAAAGATTCCTTGCTCGCAAATCCAACGCCCCGGAACACAACTGAAAACCCCGAGACCTCTATCACACGATCATCCAGAAAGTACAAGCATCGCAGTCATGGCCTCCAACCACAACGACAACCCGTGGGCAGACCAAGGGAATCAACAGGGCCAGAGCCACAACCCCTACCAAGCGTACCAAGACCCGCCTCAAAATCCTTATGCCCAACAACCACCTCCGAATCCATTAGGTCAACATCCTCCTCAGGAGCCACACGCCCAGTACCCGCCTCAACACCAGGACACGTCTCCATGGAGCCAAGAGCCAAGCCAAGCTCAATCTCACAACCCATTCATGCAGGCTCAATCTCATGAACCTTCTCAACAGTCTTATCATCAGCAACAAACCCCCCAACCTTCTTACTCCGACCAGTCTTCCTATCCTGGACAAGAAGATGTTCCGCCAGGCCTACCGCCTCGCCGCACAGCTACGGAGATGGCGCTGCCCACTGGACAGGACCGCTCACATCAGATTGAGGTGATGCAGAGCTACGAGGCTGCGGGACGAAAAGATGACGATGACGAGAACGTCGAAGCGCTGCAGCGAGAGTTCCCAAAGATCGATGGAAGTCTGATTGCGGCGATCTACGGAGATACCAAGAGCTTGAGCGCAACGAGAGAGATGTTACACGAATTGCAGTGATGTAACTTCGTGGAAGCGCTGCATCTTGACGGATGAGACGATGAAACATGAGTACAAGGATGAATATATGCTGAGATACTTATGAGCATCATTGGGATGAGTTTTGTTGCCACATAAAGGTGTTGTATCTGCATAGTCCATATGTCGGAGATGTGCTTTTGCTCACCAAATACTTTGTGAAAGACTTTCTTCTTCCCCGCTTTCGTGTGTACTGATTCTGCTTCATATATTGGTCTTTCTCGCGAAAGCATTCCCATTCTCTATCTGGGCCGAGTCTCGCGTGAAAGGCTAAAGGCTCTATTTATACCCGGGACGCACGGGCTTCGTGCATCGGAATTGCATCCTAAACCTCGCAGCACCTCGAGGCGAGACTCCAATCACCAGCATGAGCGTCTCTTACGCGCACCGAAAGCGCCCACAAGGTTCCTGGTTCGACAACTTGCGAAATCAACCTAATCGTGTCGACTGTTTGAAGAGAGGAAAGCGATAAACCAGCACGAGTCATGGTCTCAGGTTCACGAAGTCTGTAGCGACAAGAGACATCGATATCACATGGTGTTTCATTGCCGGCAAACCTTCCGTACTTGAGATGCGGCATGCCCAAAGCGGAACCCCGCACCTTTGCCCAGCCGGCCCAGCTAGCATGACTTCAGCCCAGCTAGAACCCCAAGAATGCGTGTCTACGAAGCCTTGCCCTGGCGCATGCTTCGACGTCGCTCACCTCCGCATTTGCTTCTCCGCAGACCCATAATTTCCCCGGACATGGTCAGTGGAGAGATTCCACCATGCTTCTGCCGCTACGTTAGATGCATCGACATTAGGCTGGATGAGGATATGCCGGTGTACATCTGTGGGTGGTTGGGAAGAGTATAAAGGCTAGAAGTCTGTGGTCCACATTTTGAGTCTGTCGTTACACTGTTCTGCAGTCCCTTTCTGTCAACCAGACTATTCTGTTCAGGGTCTTGATTATGCGCTTTCTTGAGCTCAGGGGCAAGAGCCTCATTGCGGTTATTCTATTGACCTCTGGTCTTGACTTCCTCTTGTTCGGATGTAAGCCTAGAAACATTCACTCTGCATTAAGGATTTGAGGTCTAACATGATTTGAAGATGATCAAGGCCTGTTCGGCGGTATTCTAGGAGGCCAACGCTTCAAAGACACCCTCGGCAATCCAAACCCAACGATGACTGGACTGGTCACGGCTATCTACGATATTGGGTGTGCTCTTGGTGCCGTTGTTGCTTTCGTCTTCGGCGAGCGGATCGGACGCAAGCGTTCAATCATCCTCGCCAACCTTATCGTCGTAATCGGTGCTGCCATACAGACCGCTAGTTTCGACTACTGGCAGATGTTTGTCTCGCGCATCATTGGTGGCATCGGCGTCGGTCTGTCAACGGTCGCGGTACCAATTTTACAATCAGAGACATTGCCTGCGCACAACCGTGGTTCACTTCTCGTTGTTCAGTCCGCTTTGATCATTATCGGAGTTGCGGTCGCGTCTTGGCTGTGCTTTGCGACGTTGTATGCCAATAGCTCGCTGCAATGGCGCTTTCCTGTCGCTTGTCAAATCTTGTTCTCGCTCATGGTATTGGCGCTTTGCCCGTTCTTGTGCGAAACACCAAGATGGCTAGCATCGCGTGGAAAGATCGATGAGGTATGTGAACTGGCGCATGGCCGATCTGTTGATTCTAACGCAGCTCTCAGGCGAAGTACACCATCAGTCGACTTTTGGACAAGCCTCTGGACGATGAAGAAGTGCAAGGCCAACTACAGGAGATTCTCGACGCTATCGCAGCAGAGAGCAGTGAGGAAGAACCCACCTGGGGCGAAGTCTTCAGCAACGCTACCAAGACCCGCAATCTACATCGTGTTGTTCTCGGGATGGGTCCGTACATGATGAACCAATGGAGCGGCATCAACGCTCTGTGTTACTACCTCGCCTACATCTTCCAGCAATACCTCGATTACACCCCCAGCATGTCTCTCATCCTTGCTTCGGTGGCTTTCACTCAGTATGCCGTGTTTTCCTGGCCACCATACTTTTACATCGACAAGATCGGGCGCCGGTGGTCAGTCATAGGCTCTTCAGCCGGTTGCGCAGCATGCATGGCTATCATCGCCGGATGCCTGGCCAAGAACAGCTACGCTAGCGCAGCAGCAGCAGTAGCCTTCATCTTCCTGTATCTCGACTGCTTCACTCTCGGTATATTGCCCGTATCATGGTCCTACTCAGCCGAAATCCAACCTCTCCGTGTCCGCAACAAAGCAACAGCGGTCGGCGTCTTCTCGCACTGGATGTCGAACTTTGTCGTTGTAATGGTTACTCCAATTGGTCTTGATAACATCCGCGGTCATTATTTCTGGGTCTGGGCTGCTGTCTGCGCATCTTTTGTACCCCTCACCTACTTCTTTGGTGTCGAAACTTCTGGACGCACGCTCGAGCAGATTGATATCATGTTTTACGAGGAGCCAAGAATCTGCATGGGACTCAATAAGGAGAATCGAAGAGTTGTGAGGGCGAGCAAGTCAGACGAGGAGAAGAGATATAGGGAGTTTGCGCATGCCAACGAGAAGAACCAGGCTGTTATGGAGGAGAGGATAAGCCAGAGTGATTAGAAGGTATGTGTATGACGCGTAAGAGGTTGGAGGAGGATTTAGTTCGCCGCGAAAGCCAGTGAGCGACAGCAAACCTGGATACATTGCAATCAAACAATCGCGCGTTCTCTACAACTATTAGAATTCTCTACAACTATTAGAACTCTCCATCCACTTTCTCCACCTCCTTGATCTGGAACACTATCTTCGAGTACTCCCAAAATATGCACGCGCCAGCTAGAACACTTCGGTATCATTTGTAACCCAATGACCAGGTCCCTCTCTATGCTGCATTGATAGACATGTAACCCCCGTTCTGTTAGGCGTTCCTACTATTGCTTTACCTCCAGACGAGTCGGCACAGAAGGTATACTCGAGGCAGTTGCCACAGAGATAATTTCCCGGTGGTAGTTTCGATAAACCATGCTTAAACACCGTCCCTATTGTGCAGCTGACTACATGATCACAAGCTACAGTGCGAAACGCAGGCGTACGGGTTTATTCACAAGTGGTATGCAGCCGTTTAAGTACGCTATATCACTCCAATGGCATAGCCTGGGCAGCACTAATCTAGATGGATGTACATGATGCGTACTCTTGTGCGTCATTACGTTTTTAGCAGCTTAAATCGTACCAGTTCTAGCACACATCGCCTATGAGAAAAGGGCATAAGTGGCCCGATGAGTGACGCGTTCTCGCATAATGGGGAACTCAAGTTCCGTCTTGGACTTGATGCTGCCGTCCGGAAGATCGGTGGCAGTGTTCAACGCGTGGTCCCACTCTTCGAGCTCTGTAGAGGAGTAGAATTCGCTCGGAGGAACGGAAAGCTCTTTAGCATGGATCTGGACATGTGAATTATTACCTTTTTTCAACGTCCTGGTATGCGCCACTAGACATTTGCCGTTAAGATACTCGAATAACACTGACCCTCAACGATTGATAACACCTGCCGGTTCCCTTGAGCACTGATCTCTTGGGCCAGTAAGTTCCATAGACATTCTTAGCTTATACGGCTTCAAAGTCGGGAGTCTTCTGGTGGCTCCAAAGGCGCGACCGGGATGGCAAACATTCAATCTGCTTTAGTTATGAACAGCAATACATAATAGGAAGAACCAATCGATACTACGATTTTGGCGTTCATTACTATTCGGGATGGTGATGTGAGTGTTCAGTGGCCGACGGACATGGTAGCGAAAATGTAGTACAACGCTTTCGTTACAAGTTATGATATTTCCAATTTATCATTTCATCGTTGGGAATTTCTTGCAAAACTAGGGCTGAGCTTCATGCTCAAGCGCCTCTTGGTAATCGAGCGCCTTGATGGCCCACGCTGTAGGTATCCCTCGGTTTCCGATCATCTTCTTACTCCTACCAAAACGAGATATCCATCCCATCTCCCAACCACCGTCACATTCCTGCAACTCTTTGAGACGTTGAATATCCGACTGGGTACTCACATTCAATTTCTGGCATGCCAGCACACGTGAGGCGATTACGAAAGAATCTCCAGGGCGATTAACACGATCACGTAAAGCCTCGACCGTTGGTTGACGTAGTGACTGGATCTCAGATGCAGTCGGATTGTCATCGATGAGACACGATAGAAAGTACAGAAAAGTCTCGCTGGCAAGGTAATGTTCCGAGCCATCGATATGGCCACGATTCAGAAGGATGCGACGGATGTGTTCAAGCTCGGGCTGTACGTCTGCGCCGCGTCCATATCGATAGAGAACACGGACAGCGTTGACCATAATGAATGGGCATGCGCGGGGGCGCCGTTCATCGAAGTAAATCATGATGAGGCCGTCTTTAGTATGTCTGTTCTCAACTATACGGTCCAAGATCGGATTGGCCGAAGCCACAGGTGGCCTGAATGCAAGCAAGGCGAGTGCTGTATCGTCGACATCCACGGGGTCTGAGTACAAGTGTATCAAGTCAGTGGACATAATACGCAGGTACTTGTAGCATATACTTACAGGTTTCCGTTGTGCCGACTCGATCACCAATGAAGAAATTCCCTTTCCTCGCTTCATCGCGGGCCTGTTTGATATCCGCTTTGATCTCGGCATGGGATGCGTTAGGCGATGAAAGACTGATAACGCTATCATCATTCAACTCAATGTGTATGAGGAATTGGGAAAAAGCTGTCAACTAATATGGGACCATCTTGGATGCAGGATATGTGATTGTGGGCGTTCGTTTTCATGTATTGACGTGCTCTCGCAATAGGATCCATCAGCTGGTTGCGCAACTGACGAATAAGAGCAGCCGAGGAGTCGAAGACCATGCCTTGAATTCCAAAGGTGCGGGCTGCGTTGACATTGGCGATTTTATCGTCTACAAAGATTGCTGAAGAAGGGTCGCTCAGGCCGATGCTATCCAGAACGTGTTTGTGAAATTCCAAATCAGGCTTCGTCATACCAACCTCAAAGGATAGAAACTCGCCATCGAACAAGTCCCAGTCATGCAGCAAAGTCTTGACAAGAGCGAAATGTTCTTTGGCGATGTTGCTCATGGCATAAACCTTGAGACGTCCACCTAGCTCCGCTTTAAGATCTTTTAGCTGGGTTGTAAGTGTTTGGTCGACACGCAATGTTTCATGGCACTGCATGAGCCCTTTGTGAATGGCATGTGGGTCGAGAGAGAGCTCTTCGCTGATAGTCTTGATAGCTTCCTTCTCGCTGATATGGCCGCGTTCCAGCTCGCCCCATGTCGGTGACCGGATGACACTATGGAAGTGCTTAGGAGAAATGGCAGTGAGGTTATCGGTAGACCAGTGGCAGAGCACATCGCCGATATCGAGGATCAGCGTACGCTGTTGTCGCGAATTTGTGGCGGCCATGATAGTGTATTCGGTTGTTGCGTATACCTAGGTACTGTGAAAAGAAGATGTGGGTTTCTTCGTCTTCAGCTTGGAGCAGAGGATACTGGTGGTGTTTTTCTGACCGTCAAATAAAGAAGACTATCACTCTCAGCAAGAAAAAGGCGTGTAGAAAGTGTGGTGATGGATGAAGATCAGGACAAGCTCCAGTGTCCTCCTCTCTTTATGTCAATGGAATGCACACTCTATCATAGCATCTGCTGTCGTCTGCCAATCCGATCAAAATCACCACAGGCATCAGTCAATTTGATACTCAAGCTGCAGTCTACACACCACTTCATTCTCTCCTTGATCTAGAGATAAGCCATTGTCGATCCACTAGAAAATGAAAAAAGTCCCTGCAGCAGTAGTCAAATCAAAGCGGTGAAACAAATGTTGCCGGGGAAGGACATACTTGGAACAACAGCGCCCTGGAACCCTTTAGACAGCTTTGTGCGTTCTAACTCTATTTTGCTCTTTTGTTCAGATGAACATCTGCTTTTGCAAAGGTGCACCGATTTCTAAAACGAGCGTTCTCTTTCATGAATCTGATAGAGTGGATTCTCATGAATGCACCTTGCTTTTTTTCATCTCCTGCAATGAGAGCTGGTACCCACATGATAAATGCAGATGCCATGCACATGTGCAACGATACATGGCCTATCTCGCCACTCATGCTACGGTGGTCTACAAAGTACTGATGCGATAATTGGATGCCACAACTGGGCTTCGCACATGGCTTTGCAGTAGCCTTATCAGGAGCTTGGGATGAGACATTATCCTGGCTACGACCAACCCCTGGGAAGGTGTGCTCGTTACACGTGGAGCCTGGTGTTTCGGTACAATCAGAATCTTCCGATCGCTAGATCGATGCAATTCCAATGCAAACTCGTGGATTCGACCGTTTTCAGTCCAAACAGAGTAATCCGGTCTGCCGACTCAGCGTTTGGCCAGCATCCTCAAGATAGCCTGTAGAATCTGAATAGCCCACGAGAACTCTCATATGAAAACAGGCAGGAGGGTAGCTGTCGCGAAAAACTTACCATCTTGAGACTGGGTTAAGTGTTGAAGCTGATCTACCCTCGATCCTCTAATTTGTACCGAAGATTCTGCACGTTGAGCTCTATTCGGCAAATGTGCCGCACACAGTTACCTGCGTGAACAGACCAACTGTCCTCGAGGACGCCTCACCATCATCGTCACTGAGTATCATCACCGATCATAATTAGTTGCATCATATATCTTCACCACCAGTGGTGTTGCTAAAGAAATACTGACAACCTCAGATATTTTGACCACCAGACCCGGTCATCTCTATGACGATGTGGCTGAGCATGACATCATCAAGGGCACGGATAATCCACTCAAAGTACGTTGCATCGAAAAAGAGGTTGGTCTAAAGACGTTCTGCAAGGATACACAATCAGAAACAAACGCGCGTCACCCAAGAAATGTTGTACGGAATCACGTCATCAAATTCTGTAGGCACTGTGCCTCTCCACCCGGAGGGCAATGCCCACGGTGAGAGGATGTTCTCAAAGCAGTGGTTCATGTGCCAATGCCAAAGATCCATAGGACAGATATGATGACCTAGTCATGTTAGTTCAAGGATGTCATTCTTAGCAAAATAGTCACTCACCTGTCTCTTTGGCTACCCAGTACCTTCGCATCGAATACACGCAATGCGAAATGTGAAAGTAACTATCAATCAACATTTCCTTCTCCTCCGGACGGGAAAGATAGTTTGCACGCAAGTATAGTCCTCTCATCTTCACGACATCAACCTCAGAGTATCTCTCGCTTACCCAAGTCTAGTATCTCACCTCTTCTAGAATGAGCAGCTCCTTAGGATATAAGGACCCATCGTCAATTCGTAAGAATCACTTGGAGTCTGATTCATCTGCTGTTGGTGCGGCATATAGAAGAAACAAGGTCACCTTCGGGGTCCTCGGATAAGGAAACATGAAGCCGAATCGCGCCTTGCACACCTGGATAGCGTTCAACGAGCCTTTCCAGAGTGTAGCTAGTGCCGCGAAGCAAACCATCAGGACAGCAGACGACATCCACCAATATGGGACCGTTTCCTGATGCGATCATGTCGAGGGCTGCGGCAGGTAAAACGAGATGCAATAGGAGATGAAGTCGAACTTGAACAGGCTGAAGAATCGATGGTGTGATTATCTGGGGGTGCTTGGGACACTGCTGTAGTGATTCCTCCCACTGTCTTCATCCAGGATGCACACCGGACATCGTGGGATAGCAACTCTATACAAATCCTACTGCACATCCACGCGCCAATCTGTACAACGTGTGCATTTGCCATTTCTGGCATGTTTCCTGTTACTTTGAAATCTTGCGCTAGATGACTGTAGATTGCGCAAGCTTATAGCCAGATAAGTTCGCGGCAGTTTAGCAGCCAAGCATCGTGGGGGACTAGCGCTCGCTCCGCACTACCGCAGGTGCAAGGATGATGGCCAGGCGTAAGCAACGCTTGGGATTGTCCACTGAGCACCTAGATATCATACTAACACCCTCTTTCCATCGTCACAATTATTTCCACCCTCCAGTCCGCAGATATTGAATCTTCTACACATCATACCACTAGTCCGTCAAATATTATGACTGCGGGAACCGATCAGTCCGCGCTTACAGCTGCCAGTAGTACCACCGTCTATACTCGTTCGACGAGTTTATCAGACCATGGTGAAAGCAGATTGTGTATCGCCTCCCTCACGTATCCACGGTTGCATCTTCGGCTTCCTAACATGGATGACGCTGCTGCACTTCTACGGCTGTTCACGGACTATCGCAATGTCCAGTACGACAAGTCATGTGCCGACTTGAATAGTGCTGATGCTATTGGCAATCTGATCAAGCAATGGAAGGCAGTCGATCTACCATTACAGCGCGCAAATTTCGTAATCGTGATTGACATCAAAATTGTCGGCACAGGTGGCTTGGGCTGGATTGGTAGGAGGAAGACCGATGGTAAACTGATAGGCGATGCGGGATTGATGTTGGACACGGACTTCCGTAACTCAGGCTACGGTTATGAGTCGTTGTGCATGATCATTGATCATGGTTTTGGTGTTCTGGGCATAGACGAAGTGCACATGGCTTGCGTGAATGCTAATGCTGCGTTTAAGGGTTTGATGAACAAGAAGTTCGGATTTCAAGCTGAAAGGATAGAGGATAAGATGTTTGGAAACGAGTTGATCTGGCGCATTGCGAAGGAGGTATGGGAAGAAAGTGCACACTCTGCCCAAGGCCGAGCTCGAGTTTGAGGTGTTTATGGAGAGGCACTGGCAGAAGTTCACTACTACAATACACATTGGGCTTAATCCAGTGCTTCTTATAGATGCGGCTGGCTCTCGAAGCATATTCGCACCTAACCCTGCCGGCATCTTTCCGTGGGGACGAGCAGTTGATGGTCTCGTCGATGAACCTATGGAGCAGAACACTGCAGAGTTGGGTACTTTGGCGCATGCGTGGGCTGCTAAGTGGGCATAAAACCTACTACATATAAAATGGCGTACCCTGGTCAAGGTTGAGACACGACGTCTGGCGGGTGAGCAATTTGTGTACGTTGCGCAAAGTGGCACGAGCTAGAAACACATTGAGCATTGCAACATTCTTATTTCAGATATGGTGAGCTGGAGTCAACAACTACTTCGGATTCCATTTACTAACGAATCGTCAAACTGAGAGTAGGCGCAACCTTACTGCAGTTGAGACATTCAGGGGGTTTACAGGTTGTGTATGATTGGAGAAACCTAGGGCGATCGACACGCCTGACCACATTGACAACTCTGTACAGTAAGTGTAGTAAGCTGCTAAATGGACGGGCGGACGGATGCCGGTAGATAGATGTCTTCTCATGTAGCTTGCAACACATCTGCAGCACAACGCGAGTAAGGATGATTGAGTGGTACATGTACTTGGATGTGTTCGCAGATATCATGATCACGCCTTTGCGCAGATTGCACCTTCTATAAGCACGTGCATCAAAGCGCACAAACGTCGGACCGCCGAATCTCAAAGTATTACTTCCTTTTTCAATTTGTTTGATCAACAGCCGAACGCCTATAGTCCATATCAGTGCGCCGTTGGGGATGGCACGCTGCAAGTAAGCGTGAAACACACAACGTACACATAAAGTCTCACATTCCCGCATCTTCTTTCATCGGGATCTTTTCCGTGCTTGCATCCCATCCAAACACTATGATTACAGCTTCAAAAATAAAAGCCAAAATCTCTTTGGCTATGAACAATGTGGATATTGTTCTCCAAAACAATGCCGGAATGATACTGATGCTCTCGGCGCAAGTATGTTCCACGATCATGGCAACATTGGGACGCGTCCTACGAACGGATGGCAACAGCGGCTCGAATGCAAAGTCGACCGGTACTTCAGAAGTATGAAAATCTCGTATTTATTGGTATCCTCATGTGTTAATGGCTTCTAGATACTTATCGGAATGATGTTGATCATCACCATTCTTTCGTGGACGTATATACTTGTCTCTCCAGCAGCCATTCCCGGTGGCATCTTCGGTCCCACCAAGCTACGTCCGCTACTCATCCTTCGGGGCATCGCGGGTTTCTTCGGTATTTGGGGCTTCTACGTTTCGTTGCGCTATCTTGTATTAGCTGAGGCAACTCTGATAAACTTTCTTGCGCCGGTTTTTGCCGCTCTTCTCCTCGGCTTGCTACCAGGTCAGCAGCGCTGCTCCGTCGCTCAGATGCTCGCAGCTTTAGTTGCGGTTCTGGGATTACTCTGCGTACTGCAGCCTTGGAGTGCTCACGTTACGAATACACCCAAAGAGCATGCGCTGGCGATTGGCGCGGCTTTCGTCGGTGTCGTCGGTGGCGCGGTCTCCTTCTTGACGATGTCGTATCTAGGGGAGCATGTACACCCGATCACAACGGTTGCGTATTTCGCACCTATATGCACGTTACTCAGCGGCGCATCGCTCATCATACAGCAACAAGGGTTGAGCTTCCCATCGACCGCTGTACAATGGCTGCTCGTATGCGTCTTAGGCATATTGGGTTTCGCCATGCATTGGCTCATGGCGGCCAGCTTGATGACTGGCGATTCAAAGAGAGCGCTTCACATCGTTTACGTGCAGGTAGTGTTTGCCATGGTGGCTGATAAGATTGTGTGGGGACTGGACCCAGGATGGTGGAAATACGCTGGAGCGCTTCTAATTGTGGGCAGCGCGGTATTCATTGCGGTGACAAAGGAAGCCCGAGGATATACGCTTGTTGGCGAAGTAGACGTAGAGGAGAAGATAGAAGCCGAAGACGCCAGCCTCTGATGCGGAGATAGCCAGAGGTCCGGAGATAATTCTAGACGTGCTAACGCTTTAGGGATTGGTAGCCATCGTCATCGAATCATGGTGCACGCATAGCCTCGCTTCTTGTTCTTCTTCTTGTTCTTCTTCTTTTCATCACCTACTAAACCTAAGGTGAAACGCATCTCATGCGCATCTCAGGCAAGTATTTCGGCGGTCAATATACGCAACGGTCACGATCTAGAAGACTTAGCATCTGTGAGCTCGTTAAGCATTGATTGGGAGAGATAAGTGCGTGCGAGGGATACCAGTAAGAGGATACTTGGACATGAGCACCCGTAGCTATTCCGTGTCATTATACATGCAGTAATCTTCCAAAGCGTGGAATGATGAGAAGTGTCCGTTGTCGGAACATCAGCGCTTCCGAAGCCATAGTCTTCCAAGATGCAATATTATCTAGGTGTTTGGAAGACTCACGGAGGGCATTCTGGTACTATTGCCTGGTACCAGTGCAACGGGGTGCTTGGTGGGGGTAGCGGAAGTGGTGCCGAGTAAAAACGCCACTATGCGGATGAAGCATGAGAAGAACGTTTTTGTATTTGTTGATATAGTCTTCAGTCTGATAATGGTTGCTAGTTCCTGCAAGTTGTGTGAAAGGGAAAGCATTGAGTCAAGATGTGAGTGAGTTCTCATAGTGAAGGTTCAAAAGCGCGAATGTGATCGAGGGGCTGACACGTATGCAGCAGAGTACTCGAGGGTCAAACGACGCACGTCGAAACAAAGCAAACAAACGCTGCCGTTCAAATAATTGCGAACTAGAAGCAGGCAAAAGACTGCAGTTTCAATCATTTAGACATTTATCTACCTCTATACATCGTATGTGCTGGTAGGCAAGTATCCATCCAACGGGAGGATGTTCTAATACTTTGCGCCGCCATGGATACGAAATCGCCGACTCCATTATCTTTGTTACGTTACTCGAGCGAGAAACCGTCCCATTTGTCAAGTTCCATGCCACGGCCAGACAATCTTTATCTACCAGTTGCAAGCCCAGCCCCGATGGACTGAGAATCTGTGGCAATTGATAGCACCATCATCCCAGCTCGCATCCCGCTCGCAGTCCATAATCATCCAGTCGCCACAGATGAGTTGACCGGGGTCGCCGCCGCCCTTGGTCTTCCACTTGCACTCGTCCTGTTTGCCGTTCCATTTGAAGGGAAGTTCCATCTATGATATCGTCAGCCACTCCTGCATTTCATAATCTCAGGAACTAATCCTAGTGTACTATTGAGGAATCTGCACTTACAGCAGGTGGGTTCGGAGGATGGTCGATAGCATTGCGGCCGTATTTGTATAGACCGGATATGGCGACGTTGCGAAAGGGCTTGTGGTCCGTGGGGCAGGGATTTGCGCGTATTCCATAGGGACCTACGAACAATCTCCAGAAGTAGTCGTTGTATGATTCACGATCAAGCATGATCTGAATGGACTGGGTGTAGTCCCTAGCTTGCTATCGCAAGGTTAGCAAAACTACACGTTTGAGGGAATAAGTGAGACATACCAGGCTGTGTGCAGTGCCGTTATTCTGCAACTCCATGCTCGAGCCCTGGATAGGTGTTGCGGAAGTCGCGCCAAACAGCAGATTCACTGAAAGTCCGATGAGGAGCGTGAGCCACGCGATCATGACGAGTGATGTACTAGTATATTCGCCGTTCGGGTGATGGGAATGCAAGTTGAGTGTGGTGTGGTAGAAGTAAGCAAGAAAGAATGCGATTGTTCTATGTACGAGGGGGGAAGCCCTGTTTATATGGTAGGAGGTATAATGCTAGTGAATTCTAGTGAGCGAACCAAGCGATAGGTAGCGGTACGAAATCGGAAGGTGAGGGATGTGCGTAGGGCAAAATTAGGTCACGGGCCTGCGCGCTTTGACATACATGAAGGTGAGAGTGAGGGTGGGTGCAGTTGTAATTGTTCATCCTTGCTACATAGCCCGTGCAATATTTCCATGGTTATTAAGACCTGCAGTAATCTTCTAAGATGCACCTCTTTCTCTTCAAGGTCGCTTTGCGACTGGGTGCTTGCCCGATGCTCAAAACTCGCAGACCCAAGCGGCAGAGAAGTGCGGATATTTGCCGCATGAAACTTGCTGTCCATACCGAGTGTCCTTGGCACAATCGATTATGTATTCGTCTCCACAAGTGAACTTACTAGCGGATCTAACATCAGAATGGTATAGGCAGTCGTCGTGGCCACGATAGTCGATCCGCCAGTCGAACTGAAAGCGGGTTAGCACTTGCATAGTGGGTACTGGGGAGTTGGTTACTAGCTCACGTAAGGGGGGAAGGGTTCGTAGTTTCGAACGTTAGGCGGGTTGTTCATGTCCATGTCCGCCATGTAATATCCTTCCGCGCCATGATAGACCCTCTCAAAGCGACTATCTCCACAAGGGTTCACGGCGACACCGCTAGGTCCTTGAAAGATAGTCCAGACGTAGCGATTGTCCTTAACCAGTTCAAGCTGAATTTGGAGGGAGTAAGGGTAAGGACCCTCGCCCTTGACATTGCCCTTCGACGCGATCAGTATGAAGCTTGATCTTGATTGCAATGACACTTACAGCAGTAATATTGCCCGCAAACTGCTCAACGGGTACAGCGAGAGCGAATCCCAAGCAGGTAATAAGGTATACGAGGAAGGTGGTCCAGGAAGGCATGATGTTCGAGAGTCGGATGCGATTTGTGTTTGGTGGTCCGAGTTGAGTGTTGTATGAGAAGAGACAATTCCTCCAATTGACATGGAAGATGGAGAATTTACGAAACTCTTAGCGAGGGACGTGTGCGCAAAGCAGGCAAAATAGCACTCAGTGTCAGGTGTAGCAAACGACAGTCACTACGGTAAAAGATCCAAATCACACGATATAGTCAATGCAGTGACCGATGAAACAACTCTATTTCTCTCAAGTGCGTCAACTCTTCACTACCTGAAAGCGTGTCATTAGACGTTTTTCCACCTATATAGACTTCGACCATACGGTCTATTCGAGAAAGCAGCCTTGGCTACCGTCACCATCATCATAGAGTCACCAGACTTGACCGTCTAGAACTCACAGTTGTAACCGCGGTGATATTTCCGACCATCAAACGGGTCACATGTGAAAGTAGCTTCATCATATCCAGGATCCTTCTTACAGTCAATGGTGTAGTAGTCTCCGCAACGGAACTGGCCAGAATCAGTGCTTGTGCCTACGTATTTGCAGTCCTTGCGGTTGGAATATTCGATAGACGTGATCTCCTGCTCAAATGTGTGAGTTAGCATACAACAAAAAGCAGATAACTTTAAAGGGGCGGGTAACTCACGTAGAAACTGGAAAGCGGAGGATGGTCGATGGCGTCGTCAGAGCCATAAAATGGTGCACCGGAGGAGACACGCTTGAAGGGATTATCCTTTTCTGACAGGGATCGACGGCGACGCCTTGCGGACCTTGAAGAATGAACCAGTTATGGTAACGGACGGGCATGACGCTGAAAATAAACTGGAGGGAGTGTGGGTAACGCAGTGCCTAGTTAACCATATTGTTAGTAAGAGTACTATGTGATCGCATAAGATAGGTTGATGAACCCACATCTGGAGTGTCGCGCTTTGTTATGGAAGTTCCGTTACCGGCAAATGCGTTGATAGGGTCTGCGGAGACAAAGCCGACGCAGGCGAATAACCAAAGAACCAAGGCCATAAAGGTGTGCATGATGGATGGCATCGTGGTCGAAGAAGGAGTGAATTCCAGGGCTGAGAGATGGAGGAGAACGTGAGATGTAGAGTTGGCGACAATGCAGTGACGAAAGGTCAGGTGTGGCGGAATGAGGGTGATGAATTAGGGCCGTGGCGAGTGTGCGATATATAAATGAGATTTGCACGAGGCAACAACGCTGTCGTACAAGATGTAACATTTGCCTTTGTTCTTGAACCGTGCGTACAAATTGAGTCATCGATTCGAAAATATGCGTGTTTGCAATCTTACACACAAACGTGGATCGTGCCAAGATGTTTGGCCCTCCATACCAGCCAACCGTATCTCCCCCTGAAACGTTGCGCTCAGTGCTCGCAAAAGAATCCTCGACGATGTTCCTTGCCATCGCCACAATGAGAAACTGAATCATCTGAAACGTGGTACTGCGAGTCTTTGCGATAGTCCATGATCATGCCTCAATACGGGATGTTGACAGGACCTTATATCGTCATGCTAGGTCAGTGTGTGCTCCGTTATATAGTTGGTATTATCGGAGACGTACAGGTGGTGGAAACAGGGGTTTGTTGATCGGGTCGGGGGTTCCGTAGTAATACGCCCTCATCTCGCCAACATTCTTGAAGCGCTTATCCTTGCACGGTGGCAGTGTAAACAAGGTCTGCTATCGATGTACCGTTACAGTGCGCTTCAGTGGTAAGCATCCATCCAGACGTAACGATGTTCGAGCCGAGCCTACTTGCGGCCAGGTAAAAGAACAAAGCTACCCAGGGCTTCATAATGAACAACACCAACCGGATGGATAATCGAGACTTAGATGAAAAATTGGGCGACGTCAATGAACGAACGAACGAACGAACGAACGGAAAAGAGTTAGAAGGCGAACATACGTAATTAATGAAAGTGTGTACAGCAAGTGACGAGAGCAATACGCTACATGCCATGAGGCAGGCGTCGGTACGGGGAGCCAGGAGCTATGAACATAGGATTATAATGTCTTCTAGCCGGTGACCGCTACAATGCTGCAACTCTGTAAGCAGACGTCCACACCAAAGATCAAGAAAATTCGTAGCAAATCGTGTCGACCAGATGTGTCCTAGAAGATGCACAGGAATTCTGCACAAATGACGATTCGGTGTAATGATCTAGCATAGAGATACTCTCCAGGAAGAATGAGCAATGCCATCATACCATGACCGTAGTGTACATGCCGGCCCTACTGCGCATCATGCCTGGCGTTGGAGTAATACAACTCCGTATGCATGTTTCAAGCCAGCATGATGTATACTTGAAGCTGAGCGATATCTCTTTGACCCTAGCCAAATATCGCGAATCAAAGAGAATAGCCAGGCGTCCAGGAATTTGGCGCATACATGGCAGTTTCACATCGCTCGTTCATTCGTAAGAGGTCGTTAAGCATAAACTAACCAAAAGAAACTCTGCCCAAACCTCTATCCTTCCCAGCCTTGATGACACCGTCTTTAATTTTTGCAAGAGCGTCCTCCCATGGCTCCCTCGCGAACTTTTCGTCCTTGTCTGCTTCGTCGCTGATGACATAGTCGATCCATTTCACCATACCGATGGCCTTGTTCATATCTTTCTCTTCCAGAATCACTTTCTTGAGATACTTGATCCACGCAACGACGTCCTCGTTGTAAGGCCCTTCATCCGTAAATTCACCGATCCATTGCCTCATGGCAACTCTCAAATCAGCCTGCGCCGAGAGCTTCTGGATGGTGAAAGTCGGTTTTGCGGGGCGAGGTACCTTTATCTTGGTTGCTTCCACAGATGGTTGTGGTACCGGTTCAGGCTTGGCCTTCCGTGTTACGGCGAGACGGAAGGCGTTCATTTTCTCGGCTCTGTGCTGTGCAAGAACTTCCTTGCGAACGTCTTCGGGGAGCGCAGCGAGAAAGGCTGGGTCAAGGTCATCCTCCTTAGTCGGCCGAGTGATGCTAGGTGCTTCCAAGGCATCATCGCTCAGGCTAGCGGAGTTCTCCCTACTCACGCTATCTCGTGCGGGGTTCTTGAGGGAGATGAAATTGGCTTGAGTGAGTGTTTTGCCAGTCATACTAATGGACTTTGCTTGAGCAGCGGCGGCAAGCATTGCTGATCTTGGTGGGCGGCCTCTACCACGCTTGACTGGTACAATGGGTTTCTTGGCTGGTATACCTATGATCCTGTTCTTGCGTGGCGATTGGGGCAGTATCGTCTGGTCCATAGTTCTTGGGCGGCGAGACGGAGAGAAGGGCGCAGCGCTCGCATCATACTGTGCAAGCACTTCGGCACGAACTTCTGCTGGCAAAGCAGCAAGGATATCAGGATCGAGTTGAGACTGGGCGGGAAGGGCTGCCATGGCAGAACGCAAGGCTTTCGTAGGTGTGCTAGGATCGGCTTCTTTCCCTACATCGCGCGTAGGCGTGGGTGATGATTGGCGTGTTTGACGGAGTAGCTTTGATCGTATGTCCTCAGGTAGCTCGGCCAGTACGTTTGGATCAACCTGCGTAGGCATGATGAACTGTGTGCCTAACATGTTCAACGGACGGCGAGAAGGCGTCGAAGCGTTGAGTGTCTGAGCGCCAAACGGAACATGCTCGTCCTCTGACGATATTTTTGGCTTCCGCGGGGTCTCTGGATCGTCTTGAATAGGGTCCTCTTCGACAGCCTTTGGGGCCCGTGCCACGCGGGCTGGTTCAGCATTGCCGACTTTGAACTGCAGTCTTCGCTGTGAGCCTTCGAGACTGCCATCTGTGGCATTCTTCATAGGCTCAAGTTTTGTCATCTGAATGCCGATGCCTCGAAGCTCCCCAGGAGTGAAACCAAAGCCACGCAGTATAGCTAACGCCTCCTTTATGAGAACCTCTTTTGCATTGGTAGCGACACCGAGTAACAGGCTCTTGTTGTGTGTGTCGCATTTGCCGTGGCCGAGATGCTTGGGAGGGTCTCGAGGAGCATCCGGTGAACGTCGCATAACCTTCATTGTAAATTGCTTGCCCTTGACCTTCTCCTTCAGCAGCCTTTTCTGGAGCTCTCCGCATAAGCTTGCAATGAACTCATCAGCTTGCTGTTGATTCTCAAATCGAACTCCCCAGTTTACTTCCGCAGAGACAGACTTTCGGACAACTTGCTCTCCTACTTCTTGGCGGTCGATACCTCTCGAATACTCGTATAGCTTTTCTCCAGTCTTTGGTCCTAGGATCTGCACAAGTCTGTCTTTGGTAAGTTCGCGAATATCCTTGACGAATTTGACTCCTTGATCTTCAAGCTTGCCGCCAATGGACCAAGCAACACCTGGAAGATCTTGTACCTGAAGTTGGCCAATGAAGTCTAAAACCTCTTCAGGTTTAATCTGGTATTGCCCAGCGGGTTTTGCTTTGCGTAATGCTACTTTGGCGAGCAGGATATTGCTACCGATGCCTACTGAGACATTACAACCAGTCCTGGATCTGACTTCGTCGCGTAGATTGAGTGCGATTTCCTCGGCTTTCGCTTGTTCGCGATAATTACTGCCTTCAGAGTACTGCTTTCCGTCGCTACCACCAACAGCAATACAAAGGTTCGAAACATCGATGAGAGCTTCGTCGATGCTGACACTCTGCACCGATCCACCGGTAGCCAAAATGGCATCGTAAAAAGCGCGGCTGGTTGCTTCGTATTCTGGAAAGTCATATGGCAAGATTTTTAGGTCTGGGCAAAGCTCTTGAGCTCGCTTCATCCACATGCCATTTTTGACACCATATGTACGCGCCGGATAGTTGCAGCTTGCTATCTCAGACCCGCTTCCTTGACCATGCGCAACCACTGCCGGTTTGTCTTTGTACTCTGGGTATTTCTTCAAGCTCACAGCGGCGAAGAAACTGTCGAAATCGACATGCAGGATATAGCGACGAGCGTCCGGTGCGCGCTTTTGCTTTGCTTTCTGCGAAGAGCTCTTCTCGCTTGCCATTGCCTGCAGCTGTGATTTCAAATCGGCTTTCCAAGTGGACAGATGATGCAGGCGTGATTCACGATAGTACTGCTCTAGGAAATTAGGATCAACAACGGTAGATTTGCGAACCTTCGGATCTCGTAGAAGTATGGCATTATGTTCCTCGGCAGTCAGCTCTCGGGTCTTGGGTATGTGAATATCTGGTCCGCGAAGCATTCTCTTCGGTCGGTCTTCAATGCCATCCTTCGACTCAGCCTGTTGAGGTGGAGGGGGGCTCGGGTCGGCATAGAGGCTGTCGTGAACATCATCTGGGATATCATCTACGTAGGCCGGCGCGATCGCAAGGCTGGTCTTGGGCGCTGTGACAAGTTTCGTAACCTTACCTGACTTACTAGATATGGATTGGTCGGGCAAGCTGTTCGGCTGGCGAGAAGGTGGCAGATCCTCAAGGTTATCGTCCGGTGTGGGAAGCCGCTGCCTCTTGTTCGAGAAGCGTGAGCGCATGCTGCTAGCTGGTGTTGGTGTACTGGAAGGGCCAGCCAGGCTAGCCCCTAGTTGACTCGTGTACCAACTGGCATCTGTCTGGTCCCGGTAACCCCTCGTCTTGACATTTGCTGTGCTGGTCATGCCGTCCTTACCGAAAGCCAGGACATTCTGCTTCTCGCCCTCGTCTACTACTCGGTATTCGTTCCATGGCAGTAACTTGCCTGCTTGTATGCTGTCTACAACCCATGCGGGCTTTACGATTCGGTATCTCCGGAACTCGACAACCTTTTTTGGCGTTAGACTGCTGGCGATTATGTGCGTCACCGTAGTTTTTCCGTCTAAGTATTGCATGAAGCCGCCACCATGTTGGACTATGAGGATATGCAGGTCGTTAAGCGATGGCTGGGTGTAGCCGTTGACATGTGCCACGATCCCTTTGAAGATTTGAGGTTTGTCGCCGGCCTGGCTTCGTATATCTGCATCCAGGTTCTGCAGTTTGATCTTCTTCCGCCTAAAATAGTCGGTAAAGCCACCAAAGGCCGAACCGCGGTATTCTTCCCCATCCTCGCCGTCAAATTGGTGGCTGGCGATGCGCTTCCGGACAGAGTCGGAATTCTTCTCTAGGCGCGAGCCCATGGTGACAGTCGTGTGGTGGATCAAGAGCGTTCATTGGGGTCGGGGTCATGATGGAGCATCGCGAGGGTGTGTCGGCTGCGGCATGTCGATATTGGTGTTGGTGATGAAAGGCGCGTGCCGTGGCGCGTTGGGGGACCGCGATAACGTCACGCTAGCAGCGCAAAGTGGATCATTCTGCCGGCGGTGAAAGCACGCTAAGAGAAAGCTGCAGGACTTGGCGAACTTTTTCTACCTCTCGAAGTCGCTGCTCTCAAGTTTCTCGCTCTTCACTATTATCCTGCTCTACCAGCTGTCCTCGAGCTGTGCAATTATCTGAGCAAAGAAGACATTCGCCGACTCCATCCTCCCCAGTAATCTCGTCAGCTTCCCCATATACAGACCTACGGCCATTTCCAAGATGTCGTCCATTCCTGTAGGCGTCTACGGACGTCGCATTCCAGCTGGAGGCATTCCCATCCTGGCTGCTATCGACCAGTCTGTAACTGTGAGTACTCCCGACGCCCAGCATGGCTTGTTCTGCCATGCGAAGTTTTTGCGCCGAGATTTGACATGAAAATTTTGTCGAATGCGCAAGTTTACGACATCGTACTGACCATGACCAGTTCCGCATTACCATGGCCGCTATCGACCCAGATGCGGAGCCTCAAATTGATGACGAGCACAAGCACCCTCGCGCGACTCTGAAGCTCATCCGCGTGCCCACAGACTATGACAGCGACGATGATGATGATGATGAGGACTACGAGGAGGGTGACATCGAAGCTATTGCTGCTCGTCTCCGCGCCGCTGGTGCGCTCCCTGAAGCCGACTCGGACATGTCCGACTCCGACGACAGCGAGAACGAGAAGAACGGTGGCCCTAGCGATCCCGCCCGGTCCAAGAAGGCCAAGCAGGCAGCTCTTACCAAGAAGCTACAAGAAGAGCTTGAGGCCGATGAGATGGACATTGATGGCATGACCAACGGCAAGGGAAAGGCCAAGGGAAAGGCCAAGGTCACTGATGACGATTTGAGCGACGAGGACGATGAGGACGATGAGGATGATGATGATGATGACGACGACGAGCCTGAGGAGCTCGTTCTGTGCACTCTTGACCCTGAGAAGGTATGCTTGAACATTGCGACTCCAGATAATTTTTAACTAACGCCTGCGCAGCACTACCAGCAACCTCTCGACATCACGGTCCGCCAAGGCGAGGAGGTCTACCTCGCCGTCAGTGGTACTCACGACGTTTACGTTACCGGTAACTACCTTGTATTCCCAGAGGAGGACGAGGATGAAGATGACGAGGACGATGGTCTTGAAGGGCTTGGCTACGACATGGGTTCCGACGAGGATGAGCTCGACGAGATGGAAGAGTCTGAGGATGACGAGCTCGATGGTATGACCGACCCCAGGATCACTGAGGTTGAATCTGACGAGGAGGAAGCGCCTAAGCTCGTTGACGCCGGCAAGAAGAACAAGAAGCGCGCTGCCGAGGACGATGCCACTCTTGATGACATGATCAGCAAGACCAACGGCGATGCTAAGCTTAGCAAGAAGGAAGCTAAGAAGCTGAAGAAGAATGACGGCCAGGCTGTTGCCAAGGCCGCAGAGCCTGAGAAGAAGGCTGAGAAGGTTGATACCCCCAGCAGCGACAAGAAGAAGGTTCAGTTCGCTAAGAACCTTGAGCAGGGCCCAACTGGCTCCCCCAAGGTCGATGCCAAGCCAGAAGCAAAGAAGGAGGTCACCAAAGGACCTCGCAATGTCAGCGGTGTCATCGTTGATGACAAGAAGGAGGGTAAGGGCAAGGCCGCCAAGAAGGGCGACCGTGTCGAGATGCGCTACATCGGCAAGCTGAAGAACGGCAAGGTCTTTGACTGTGAGTATCCATTGATTGTAACTGTGCTACCTCAAACTGACAGTTAAACAGCCAACAAGAAGGGCAAGCCATTCTCTTTCAAGCTCGGTGTCGGCCAAGTGATCAAGGGCTGGGACGTCGGTGTCGCTGGCATGACTGCTGGCGGTGAGCGTCGTCTTACTATCCCCGCCGCGATGGCTTACGGCAAGAAGGGTGCTCCCCCGGACATTCCTCCCAACTCTGACTTGATCTTCGATATCAAGTGCATTTCGGTCGGATAAATGCTGCCAGTAATTGTCTACGCGCAATGGGTCCACTTAGCCCCCACCAGGATCCGACTCCACTCCTGTGCAGGACTCCACTGGCCTGCGTGCGTTCGCGCCTGACCCCGTTTCCTTTTCTGTCTCTGTATCAACTGCATAGCGTGTCGTCTGAGATATCCGACTTGCATATCTGGGCTTGTTTCATTAGATGTGTGCAAGGAGGAAGGATCTCTCAGTCCTCTTCGCCAATGTCTTTCCCCCATGGCGTGTCATCTGTAAATGATATTAGCGAGGCGATGTTGCCAAAGAGCAAGATTTCGCTGAGGAAGCTACTTTGAAAAGTTATACGGTGTTCCGGTTGAGATCTGGAATATGTAGTAATACATAATCTTCAAGTAACATATGCAGTATCTCCACATGTGTTGTGTACCCCTAGTTGAAGTGAATGTTCAAGCCGTTAGGATTGACCTTCGAGTTCCCGTGCCTAGAAGAAAGTCACTATGACTTCACGCGCAACAAATGGCTTGCCGAGGCTTCCGAGATTGCGAAGATTCTAGCGCTAGCTATACCCACCACTCACATCGCCATCTGCGTGCACGAGCCCCAAAGCCCCCACAACGCTTTAACCCAACTCCTCTTCCATCTTCGCCCAACTCCAACGTCAACCTGCACTTAAGCCCTCTGTTACACCAACGACAAACAACACCGCAATCACCTCAACCAATAACCTTGCTCACGCACCATCGTCCTCGGACTATCACCAGTTCTACACCGACTACCGAATCAACCGTGGCAATACTGTAGCAATGGCGCTGTCGAAACGAAGCAGTAGTAGTATGAGTAGTAATAGTAGCATTCATTCGTACTCATCCGCGAGCAATGTCCGCGCCAGCTGCTACTCGGTAAATGCCGCCACCGCCAGCCTTCACGGCTTTCATTACTCCACTACCCCGTCTTCCGGGGCTGGGTGGTGTTCCTGAGGTCAGCTCGGTATGTCTTCTCTTTTCCCTAGATTCCACACCCTCTTCTTGTAGTAGATTATGTAGAATATATACTAACTTTCACAGGGAATTCCATCACCCCCTTCAAGTCCCCCCCTCGCCGCCAAACACGCGTCCGCCGCTCAAGGTGGAAAGGCGCGCAGAGGGGGGGCAGCATACACCATCACGGGAGAGTGTGAGAGACTCTTCTGCGAGACACTGCGATCTGTATTCCTGGGTGAGGGGAGCCAGCATCGCCAGAACTCGCTAGTGATGGGTATGCCATATGACAACGCTACTGCAACCACCGCTATTGCCAACGACTACGGTATCGATGCTCGTCGCTACTCGGACTCTTCGACTGAATCTGCTGCACCTGAAATGGTGCGGTTCGAGGAAGAGAAGGGTGCGATAACCGACTACATTGAGATGTGGGATTACGTTGGTGGGATTAGGTTCCGGGGTTTCGTTGCTGAGAAAGAGGACGAGAGGGCCATGTTCATCTTCTTCGATGAGTCCGTCATTAACGGAGATCTCAAGGCAGGGTAAGTCATCGACGCAGGTTTCATCCTCCCATCATTGCACTACTAACATTTCATAGTCTTATGGCCCTTCTCGAACTTTGCGAAGTCGATCACTTCTCCTGCGACCGTCTTGTCCTATGCATTGACCGCCACGCTGATCAAGTCGCCCTCAACAATCTGACCAAAGACCTGGGCTGGATTGGCTTCGGTCTTACAACGCTGGATGGGTTCAGCCAGGGCGAAGAGTTGACAAGCAAGAAGTGGTTGTTCATGGATATGGATATATAAACGTACTGAGAAGACTAGGCACGGTTAGGGTTCTTGGTGTCTGTCGCTACAACACAGCATATGGTCCGAGTTTCTCTATTCCTGAGGAGTTCTGCACAGCGGACGGGGGCGTTCATCCTTATCCAAAGTAGCACGCAAGGAGTCCGGTCGCTTAGCTATTGTACATGGTTTTCTAGCAAGGTGTTCTCCACTGGTCAGTTCATCGTTGATAGTTGATAGTTGAATGCAATATTTGTACTCTGATTCCTTCCATCCTTGTATTCTGTGACGTTCTAACGAGTAGCCCATGTCTCATATAGCATAAAGGTAGGAGGAAATCAATGCAACGCCTGTCTTGTGTATGATGGTCAAGACTGCGGCATATCCTAAGCTTTCAGTCTCATCCTTTACCATACTCAGCATTATACCGATACGTAACCAAGTGCATAATCCACCCCAAGCGCAGCTCTGACTACCTAATAATCTCACTAACATCGCCATGAAGGAAGGGTAATTGTTTGGTGAGTGGCAGGACAGCCGCGGAATCCTATCCATCGACATTGGCCAAGTCAGCCATCTCAGCATCAACATCCGCCGTGCCCCCAAACTCATCCACTTCATCAACCTCCATGCGCTCAACTTCGGCTCTGCCTTCCAGTGCGCGCATAGCCGGATTATCTGTGCCACTAATACCGTGAGCCTCCTTCTTACGCTGATGAGCTTCCAGATCCTCTAACGACCACGACGAATGACCTTCCTGTTCCGCTCGACTCCATGGTACACTCATATCCTTTAAGAAGGCCTTGGCTGCACCGACGGCTTGGTCGATGGAGAGTTTCGTGCTCTTGGCGTCGAGACCTTGTTGAATCCATTTGGGGAGTTGGGTTTGTTTCTTGTTGAAGCGTTTATCTGCCAACACCATGATTCCGTAGTCGTCTTTTCCGCGGATGACGCGACCCAGACATTGAGCTGCGTGGCGCATTGCGTCAAAGGAGAGGAAGTCTGCTTCTTTGATCCGGTAGGTTTCTCGCAGGAACTCTAGGCGGGCTTTAAGAATCCTGGACTCGGTGTATTGGTAGGGTACGCCCATGCACAACACAGTGCGGCCGTAGTGGTGGTCGAAATCGATTCCTTCGCTAACCTTTCCTCGCGCGACACAGAGTAGAACGGCGCCGCGGCCGTTGTTGCAGGCTGTGCGGAAGGTTTCTAGTGCGAGGGCGGTTTCTTGGGCGTCGGGGGTTTCGACAAGAATGAGTTTGTACTTCCAGACTGTGTCTAGAATCTCCATGCCTTGCCACGCTGAGATAATACTCTCCATGTAGAGGTATGAAGGGAAGAATACAACGACGCCATCTGGAGTCAGTTTGCAGAACTCAATGAGCAGGTTGCCGAAGTTTCGCTGTACTTGCAAGTCATTGCGATGCTCGAATTGTGACGTGACTTGGTTCTGGTCGTTGCCGCGATCGACGATCATGGGTAAGAAGGACTTCCGTGTCAGCGTCATGGTGAATGATTCCTGAACGACGGTGTTAAAGTTAAGCATGCGTGGGTACATGTCGAGTGGAGACATGGTTCCGGAGGTGACGATGACGGAGTAGAAGCGTTCGAAGACGGGTTTGATGGCTATGGCAGCGTCCAGACAGGTCAGGTGCAGCACTGGGTTCGGGACAGTGGCCGTCGCTGATTCAAAAGGTTCGATGATCATGAGGAACCCGGTCTCGTAGGTAGCTACTAGTGTAGCGAACGTCGCAACTTCCTGCAGAGGCTGGTAGTCTTCAATGTTTGTAAGCTCAAGAGTTCGTACAAGCGAAGTCAGACGCTCAGCGCAGAACCGGAGCGGTTTCCTTTCGATGAAAGTAAGATCCTTCAGATGCTTGAGGAACTCCGGGGGCGTGTCTGCAACAACGTTAAGAACCTTCATCCGCGTCTTCAGGTACTCGATGAAGCGCTTGAGGAAGGCAACAAAGTGCTCAGCTCGCCGTATGTTACCGGGTACGGCTTCTGTGAGAAGATCGTCTGGTAATGCTGGGTTCGCCATAAAGGCTTCTTCGTTTCGTGCTTCGTCGGCAGCTCGCAGGCCCTCGACGAGTTTTGCGTATTCGTTTTGCAACTTCTCTGCATCACTGCTCTTCATTTCTGTGATCTTGCGATCGAGGTTGTTGACACCCTTGGTAGCTTTCCGTAATACATCCTCCGTAAGATCGATACTGAGAGATTCGATGCATACGTTGTCGATGTTGTGAGCTTCGTCGAAAACGACAATGCAGTCTTTGGAAAGTTCTTTTGACACTCTGTCTGCGATTTTCGGGTCTAGTAGGTAATGGTACGAGTAGATGATGACGTTGCAGTAAGGCATCATTCGCCGGGCTGTAAAGTAGGGACACTGCTTCTGCTGCTCGCCATACTTGAGCATACCATCGAAGGTCCATACACCGGGTGGTATGAGATTATGGGGTTCTAAGAGATCCAAGTTCTCGTGGTATACGCACAGCTCGACATCCTCGCCTCGCTCTTTCTTCTCTTTTACGAAGCCTGCTGTCAAGCTGCGGCATCTGGCATCTACGACGGTCCCGCTCTTCTCTCGCTTGACTGACGGATGTAGACATAAGTTTTTGCGACTTGTCAACCCAAGGCCCCGGAAATCTTCCTCGTATCCCAGCTCGGTAGTGCGGTATTTCATCAGCGCCTTCAACTCAGCCAAGGCCTTTTCGATCTCGGACATGGTACGCGAACAGTAAATCAGCTTCCGTTTTTCAGGATAGTGCTGCTGGTAAGCGACGATGAGCGAGAGCAAAGACACGGTTTTACCCGTGCCTGAAGGCATCTCGAGAACACAGTGGCCGCCCTGGTCCAAGGTGCGCTTGAGATCGCACATGTAGGCATATTGCTCTGGATATACCCTAGGATACGGAAATAGCACTGGGAGGTTATCGATGAAGAACTTCATGTTGACAGTCCACTGCCCGCGCGGATTTAGTTGTAGCGGAGGGGAGGTGGTGGGAACAAAGATCAGACAAGCTTGGGCGTTGCCTCCCAGACGACGTGCAATGTTGACGCGACACGCTAATCACTGATGAGCCCTAGTGTATGTGCAGGGGTGTGCCCCACCGTCGTCCGCCTATCCACAAGTTGGTGCCGTCATCAAGCAGAGCCGCATATTTCGCGTAATCCGCAAACCTCTGCCATGTTGACTGGCATGCGACAGTGTATTTACTCTATGCAATTGATTACGTAGCTGCAGTCAGCTTCGATTCGTCTCATCAGCACAAAGAGACCCCGCCTCTACCCCAGATCCTACCTTGGACCCCAGTGACACTGCACAGTCACCCAACCCCGCCATGTCAAAGCGTGCAGCAAAAGCGCAGGCGAGCAGTGCGCGGGCGGCCACGACATCCTCCTTCGGCGCTTTCGGCAGTGCATCAGCGGCATTCAGCGCCAGTACATCGCCCCTGTCCTACGTATCCGAGCCCCCAGATCTCTCGGCGATTTCAGACCCGAATGTCGTCGTCTACTTGCGAAACCTCTCAAAAAAGGACAGCACCACCAAGGCGAAGGCGCTGGAAGATATACAATCATATATATCATCACTGCAAGAGCCAGTAGAAGAGGGCCTACTGGAGGCATGGATCAAGATATACCCACGAACCTCGATCGATAATGCGAAAGCCGTTCGTCAGAATGCCCAACTCGTCCACGGACAATTCGCCGTATCCGCCGGCAAGCGCATAGCAAGACATATGCCTAAGAGCGTCGCAGCTTGGCTATGCGGTCTCTACGACAGTGACCGATCCGTAGTTGACGCGACCCAAACCTCTCTACGACAAGTCTTCAACACACCCGAAAAGTTACAGAGCATTCGGAAGGTTTACCAACAACCCATACTAGAATATTGTCGCGATGCGATAGACAAGGAGAGCACTGCGACTCTGAGTGATGAGCGTATAGTCAGCAAAGACGACGCAGAAGCAAAGTACAGTCGCGTCATCTCTGCATGCATATCCTTACTGGGTAGCTTGTTGAACAACCTGCAGTCCGAGGAGCTATCCAAATACCAGGCTGATTACGAAACTCTCATTGGGAATAAGAAGCTGTGGCAGTTCGCCTCATACAACGACGCTGGGATACGGCGCTCAGTGCACCGTCTTCTCAGAACATGTCTTGCCAAGGAGGACGTTGCTGTTCAAGAGCATCTCGACACTCTCAGCAAAGCCTACCTAGCCGAGGCTTTGAACTCCGACCAAACCGGTTCTGTCGGTGATTACGTCGACTCTCTGACACTTCTTACTTCCAAGCATCCCTCCGTATGGACAACCGACTACAAGAGCAAGACCGGAGTGGACAGGCGCCTACGGCAGTTCTTGAAGAAGGGCTCTCAACTAGGGCCACGCGACACCTGGGCCCGTATTCCTGAGCTATTGAAGACAATCCCGGTAGAAGTATTGCCGCAATCCGGTGCCGACTCCGCAGAGTTATTGAGCGCACTGCATGGCGGTATCATTCGCAAAGATGAACCAAAGTATAATCACGAAGCAGGCTTTAAGGCCTACTTGGAAATAGCTGGCTATCTCACCCAGCGGCTGGGTGATGAGGAGAAGACCAAGCTGCTCGAGGAGATGGTTTTACCAATCATAACGCAGTACCTTCGCCCATCATTAGAGACTTCAGACTGGGCTGTACCATCCAATGCGTCAAGTCTACTATCTAAAGCAATAGAGATTGAAGGAATGAAGATCGTGCTCGAACAGCGATGGCCTACTTTCTCACAACAATTGATCGATAGTGTCAAGACCTCGGCCCCTGAGCAGTCGAAAGATTACGAGAAGTCACAAACGAGCGTCATCCAGCACGCCGCGCTCTTTGCAACTATACAAGACCAAGCGCTTTCCCTTGGAAGTTTGGCGACGCTTCAACCTGTCTTGTCCCAAGCATGCTCGTCAATAGTAGCGGAAGCCCTTGGTATACTCAAGAGCAGGAACGGAAAGCCATACGGCGCAGCAGGCACCATCGCAGCAGTGACAAAGCGTAACCCTAGCCTGATATCATCTACCAAATCCGAGCAAGATTTAGAGTCGTTCATACAGCATGATCTTCCAGCTCTGGTGTTGTCTCCTTCGTCTTCCTACCTGATCGACATACTATACACCAAGTCGGACCACGCATATTTCAAGGATGCATGGAGTGCGTCTCTCAAGACTGTTCTCAAAGATACAGATTCTCCAGCAAAGACCAAGGCGCTTGAAGCAATCCTCACCTCGTCGAGAATACCAACTTCTTTTGACCTTGCAACATCGGACCCTGAATTACAGAAGTACATTACTACGAACGTGCGCGAAGCTGTCCAAGGTTCTGCCGAATGGGACTCATTCAGCCGTATGCTCCAATCACCAGCAACTATACTTGCTCCCGAAACAACAGACGAGATCCTCGCTTACATGACGGAAACGCTCTCCATATCACACCAGGCTCCCTATTCGTTGCAAGGTCTACGTCAAATCGTCAAATCAAACCCAACGATGCTACGAGAGTTTGTTACTAGTCCACATGGCTCCAATCTTCTACAAGGTCTACTTCTCGCCTCAGAATCTCCCGATGATGAGGTAGCGCAGGGTGCTAAAACCGTCAATGCTTCGATTCAGACCATACTGTCATCTGAATCGAATTCTAAACAATCCATGTACAATCTTGTCCAACAAGGGCTGCGAGACGCTACGCCGACATCCGTTTCTGTTGAAACCCTGGTCGACTTGGCAAAACAGTCCATCAAAGTCGGCGGTGATTGGGAGGAAATTGCTCGAGTGCTTCCAAGCGTTGAAGACTGGAACGCAGCTCTAGAACCCTTTCTCAATGCCGCACCAAAGTCATCTTTGGCCATCACAAACCCTCTTGGTGGCGCGGTATACCTTGTTAAGAATGGCCAGCTGCCTTCTCAAATCAGAACCATGCCACGGGATGCCGATGGTTACTCTGCCGCATACAGGATGACCCAATATATAACTAGGCTTTTCAAGAACCCTGATCTCTTCTCCATCGACAACGTTCCATCAGATGTTCGGGCTACCTATCTTGGCAACATCGCGGTAGCCGTGCAACTTGCAGATGACAACCTTGGTCTCACTGGCGCGAACGGCTTTTGGGCACATTATAACTCAGACGTTGAAGCTGAGGCGATGACCTTCGTTTCAGATGCGCAGACTTTTATAGCATATGAAGTAAAGAGTCTTGTCGCGACGTGGTCGAAAGATGATGCCAACGCCTCGCTGTTGTCCTGGGCAACTACACTTTTGTCGAGCATAGATGCCGACACGACTTCTCCAGCATACTACTACGCTCGAGCATATGCTGTTTTGATTGCCAACACCGTGGAGATTGCTAGCTGGAAGAACTCACAAACCGCTCAACTTCAGGAAACGCTTAAGACCACGCGAAGTGCGAAGAACGTCCTCCAGCTTCTAGCATTTTTGAGTGCTTTCAAGGAGCCATTGTCGTACGGCAAAGCTTGCGAGAGAATGTGTAACGAGATCATCGCCGATTTGACAGGCCTTGACGTCCAGCAAAAGTCGCATGAGGCACTGCAGCAACTCGTGCTGTTAAACAGCGTTATGGGCCAAGAAGGTATCTTAGAAAGCATTGCCGGTCCTCGCCTGATGCGCTTTGTTCAGCATGTCATCCCGTGGCTACAAGAAGACACAGTTATTCGTCCTGTCAAAGCAGAGTTGTGCCGTGCATTGACAGTGTTGCTTCCACTGATTGGCGAAATGTACGGTGAGCACTGGGCAGGTATTTTAAGCGCGCTTGCGACGATTTGGTCAGCCACGAAAGAATTGGAGGCGAACGAGTCTGGCATGGACAGCCCGATTCCTCTTGTACACGCATCCTTGAAGCTATATGCACAGCTTCGATCTTTGACTCAAGCCGAAGAGCCAAACGACGATCTTCTCGATGCATGGAAAGAGAACGAGCAAGTTGTTGCTGACGGACTCATCAACATCTTGAAGCATTCCCAACATTTCCCAGACGAGTTCCATCAGCCACTCAAGATGGTCAACGATGTTCTAGCGCGTCAGATCTCCAAGGTGTCGCTGAAACACCTGGACTCCACTGAGGAACTTTTCCCTCTTCTCTATGTGGAGTCGCAACCTGTTCAGCAGACTGCTTTCGATATCCTGCACAAGCAGATCCCAGCAGCCCAGGAGCAAGTATCCATCGACGCAGCATTAGAGAAGACTACCGCTCGATTACCTGAGGAGTTGTTGTCACTGATCATCGATGCGCCTACGATCGCGGCGATTGCCGATGCCAACTTCGAGCGCAGTGTGCCCTTGCCCTTGCGAGGTTACCTACTGAGCTGGTTGCTGGTCTTCGATCACCTAGAGCACGCTTCTTTCAAGGTCAAGAACGACTATGTAGAGCATATCCGAGAGGGTGAATACCTTCCCGGACTGCTCGACTTCATGTTCGACTTCCTTGGCCACGCCCACAACAAGCCAGCCGACGTCTCCAAACTTGACATCACGACATACGAAGCGGACGTTGAACCTCCCAAGCGTGATCTGCAGTGGCTGTTAACTCACCTGTACTTTTTGTGTCTACGTGACGTTCCATCTCTAACGAAGACCTGGTTTAAGAGCTGCAAATCGCGCGCTATAGTCGTTGCACTCGAGCCCTGGACGGAGAAGTATGTTTCACCGCCCGTGATTGCTGCTGCGCTCGACGCAGTCAACACATGGTCGGAAGAGCAGGTCGCATCCGAGCCCGACTCGGCCTTCGCGGTCAAAGTCGTCAACCGTGCGCGCGAGATCACCGCATCATATGTCGTCGACGAACAAACCATGGCGATGCGAATCTCTCTGCCGCCTGCCTTCCCTCTCGCAAACGCTCACATAGAAGGGTTGAACCGTGTCGCAGTTAATGAACAAAAATGGCAATCTTGGCTGAGAACTTCGTTGGGAGCTATTACAATCTTCAATGGCAGCCTGATTGATGCGCTGACCACCTTCAAGAGGAACGTCGATGGAGCGCTCAAGGGCCAGAGCGAATGTGCAATCTGCTACAGTATAGTCGGGTCGGATCGCAAGTTGCCCGACAAGAAGTGTCACACTTGCAAGAACTTGTTCCATGGAGTTTGTCTGTTCAAGTGGTTCAAGAGTAGTGATAGCTCAAGCTGTCCACTCTGCAGAACTGCCTTCAATTATGCGTAGGCTAGAGGAATGAACTAGCTGCTGTAGATTCTGATGGCTGCTATAGAAGCTAGAAACTGTAAATAACGAATTCATGTGGCTGATCTTTTGTGATAGCAAAAGCCGGTGTTCTTGTAAATTGGATGGACCTCGGCTGTACCTGCGTTTACCCCACACCTACGCTACCATATACCGAGATGAATACTTGCTAGTCGACTAGGCCACGCTTACACATGGTCTTCGTCTGTAAATCTATCCACCTTCACACCTACTTCCAAACTTGATCATAACAACACAACCTCGTCTACACCCTAATCCTCATCAACCATGCTACCCACCAACCCCCAACGTATCCTGGAATTTAACTACGACATATCCTGCCCATTCGCCTACATAGCGTCAACCCGCGTACTCTTATTAGCCCACCGCACGAATGCTACCCTGATCTACAAACCCGTCCTCCTAGGGGCTATCTACCGTGCAACAGCTGCACCCCAAGGCGCCGGCGGCTCAGCATCCGATGTCTTCAACTCAGCCAAGAAAGCCGTTACAGCGCAGGGTATGCAACGCACCTTGCGCAGATATAACATCCGATATAACCCACCTCCGCAGCATCCACGGAAAACAGTGAATGCACTGCGCTTACTGTATTGCGTCACGGACCAAGAGAAGAGGAGGATGTTAACAGATAGGCTGTTCCAAGCTTATTGGGTGGAAGGCAAGGACGTGAACTCCAATGCCACTCTTCTGCAAATCGCGAGTGAATGTGGTATCAAAAACATGGGAGAAGAATGTTTCGCCAATGCCGATGCGAGGAAAGCGCTAGAGACGTCTACCGCAGAAGCGATTGAAAGAGGTGCTTTTGGTGTCCCGGGTTTCTGGATTCCATCTGCTGTGTGGACTAATATTGATGGTGGGAAGAGGGAAGGGAGATTTTTCTGGGGCCAAGATCGGATGCAAGTGAATCCCATGTACAAACTGCATGTGAGACAGATACTAACTTTTGTATCCCAATCTTTAGGCATTTCGTTGAAGCGACATTACTTTCTCTGTCTTCGTCGTCGTCGTCATCGTCGCCTGGGAAGCCATGGAGAACCGTACCAGCACTCAAGAGTCTGATGCCTCGCTGTGTACCCAATGATACTCCTCACGGCCGTGTCAAACTGGAATTCTGGTTCGACTTTAGCAGTCCGTGGGCATTTCTGGCATACACACAATTAGAGCGATTGAAGACGACGTTTGGAAAGGATCTAGAGATCGTCATGAAACCGTTTCTGCTGGGGATTTTATTTCGCGAAATTGGTGCGCCAAATCTACCCATGGCGGCGATTAGTCCAGCGAAAGCGCTGTGGTCGAAGCAAGATCACGCGGATTGGACAGAGTACTGGAACGCTGTCAATACGCAAGATGCTGGAAAGGAGGATAGTATTGAAGAAGTGAAGTTCTATTGGGCAGACGTTTTTCCGATTCGTACGCCGACTGTGTTGAGGGTTGCGCTGGTGAAGCCCGAGACCACGAAGTTGTTGTGTAAGTTAAACAATCCACTTTGTTCCTCGCACATGCAAACTATCATGCAACACGCTAACGAAGCATAGTCGAAGCATGTTGGTCGCACAACCAAAACGTCTCGGACGATTCTGTCCTGCGAACCGTTCTCGACAAAGGTGGCTTCAACGGCACTGATCTCATTGCGCGCGCAAATGAACCAGCAGTCAAAGCCAGATTGCGGACCGCTACTGCAGAGGCAAAAGAATTGGGTCTTTGTGGTGTGCCTACGTATCGTGTGCTGAGGCAAACAAATGATGGGGAGTGGAAGGCGGTTGGTGGGTTGGTGTGGGGGCAAGATGAAACTAACATTGTGGAAGACTTGATTGCTGGATGGAACCCGGAGAGTTCAGGGGAGGTGGCTAGGGTTACGAGGGAAGCGAAGGGTGCGACTTCGAAGTTGTGAATACGGCATTTTCCTTCCCCGTTTTCTTGCTAACGAGACACGGGAACATGGATAGATTTGCAGCTGTGTTCAAGGCGTGAGGATCAAATTATCGTAGTATTGTATCATGGTTCATAAGCTAGATACATCCAGATACCATTGGATAAAAACAAGCCATTACGCCAAAACCGTACGCCTTTCCTGGGTATCAGAAGGTGAAAAGAGTGTTAGTCATGTGTCCAGGGTATTCGTTCGTATCTCATATCGAGGTGTAGGGTGTATGTATCAAAATGTGCTCTGGAAGTTTGCGTGTAATGGAAATTTCGTCCAAAGTGCCGATCAACTCAAGCAGAAAGGTCAACATCGCCGTAAACACGGCGCTTCCTCCTCTTACTCGCAAGCTGGGGTGTCCAGATACCGCTGAAGAGATCTTCGCATTCGTCTTCGTCCTGCGAATCGAACTCGATGTCTTCTTCGTTCTTGTCCAGCCCCATACCATTGTCTTCTTCATTGATATTCTCATCCCATTCTGCATCCTTAACAATCCTCTTCGTCTCTAGTATAAACTTGCCGACCTTGTATTTCTGGCTGTCTTCGGCAGCGTCGACATACTTCCATCCCAGCACGCTACCACAACTACGACAACTAATGTCGGACACGGTATGAGCGCCTGTCACTAGCTGACGAGCATGAGCTTTGTGTGTCAACGTGTTTGGCAGGTCGCCTTCCCTCCATCCCGTTGCCGACATATTCCCGCCAGCAATGAAGCTCGATGTCGATGGTGGTCCTACAAGATATGCGCGACCATGGCGCCCAGTGAACCCTTTGCTTATGATGGATGACGTGGGGATGAGGTCGGCCAGACACTTCTGGCAGCGCAGATGTGAGGTGGGTCGCGTCGTGAGAAACAAGGTTGGCTGTGGTGGAGATGAAGACGGAGATGTGGAGGCGGTCGACGTGCTGGTGGCCGAGCTTCGGCGCCGGCGGAAGGGCAGGCTAGGGAAGAGGTAGAGAGGGAAAGGTGTTGTTGATAAGTTCGGCATAGTGTGCTAAAGATCGTTTGTAGGAGAGATACGAATCAGTGGAGTCAAGTCCGAATTAGAGAGTAGTATAGCACGATATGTCTATGGCCTGTATGGTGATGGAGTGTTGTTCAGGTGCAACGCGGATAGTACCAGACCAGAGTAGGCGCTATGGGAGGGGAGTCTTGCAGAGAAGCAATCTTATATTGCTTTGACACAGTGGAGCTGCGAGCCGTCGACTGTGGTTTTGATGCTCGTTGTTGACTCCGACTGGGCGATCGTTCAAGTGTTGATGCTCGAGGATCCCGTCTTGTGCTCACTTGGTGCGGGCATAAAAAGCGACAACGCGTCCTGTCAACGATTGGATTTGGGCCTCTTGTTCGCTGAACCAGAGGTGAATGAGACGCTCTCCTAGGAGGATTGTCCTCCCTTTAAGGCGTGTCAACGCGAAGGAGCAGATGACGCGCTGAAGGCGTAGGAATGTCGCGATAAGCGATAACGCGCCACAGCCGAGGAGGCGGGGTGGTGGGGCGGAACGGATGATGCACCTCAAGCTCTCGACATCAACAAAGGATTCAAGCCCAAATGCCTTCAGATTCGGAAAAGAAGTGCTTAATGCGCAATAACCGGATTTGAGGAAGAAAGAGTGATAATAGTGGTGAGTACCTCGTTTTTGCTATCGGCTGGTGGCCGGCCAATCTTTGTGAGTCGTCAGATCATGCGACCTCTCAAACCCGGCATATCGTCACGAGATGTGCTGGCACTTGCCGATTGTGCCCAGGCAGTACAAACGTTGCAACTAGGCTGCACTGGTAACTAAAGACTAAATTTACATGCGTTGCCTTGCTATACTACCTGCAGGCGCCAAGCACTACGGTATCGTTGTATCCTGAACGGGCTTAGCTCATCCCTTGAGATAGCTCGTTAGAAGTACCGTTCGCGACAGATCGATCATCAATACATTGTACTTCTTATGCGTGCTCCATCAACTACCCGATAATTAACTCGATCAAGGAAGTTTCTCGTCGAGCATTCGAACGCGCCAGATCAACCAGATGATGAGCTTCAACACGATGGGATCGTCTCCTGCCAGCACACCACTCACGGCACAGTATGCTTGTGAGATCTGCAGGCAAGTCCCCAGCTGATGCGTCTCGCCGAATACGAGTGGTCTGGAGTAGCAGGCGGGCGCAGAGAAGCCATCAGCGGAAGAGTTTGCTGACTCCCTGAGGATCAGAGAGCGCAAAGTTCGGTGCGATCGAGCCCTTCCAAAATGCAGGTTCGTCTTCCAAACAGCACCACATCCCTACGGAGAAGTTTGTTTCCCAATGAGTCGTACCTGAACAGAATATGGCCTGAAGGTATCCATCGTGTTTTACCTTGATATACGTTAATGTAGAACCTTCTGAATACCTTCAGGCTATAGAATCATTTTGGTGCAACTCATACAAAAGAAGCTTCTTCGTTCAAGTCTGGCGACTATGTGAACATAGAAATACGAAGCTGATACTATTACGCACCTCGCTGTAAAGACGTTGTGATCGTCTGAATCAACCTTGTGGCTACAATCAAACTCATTCACGTCGCATACGTGACGGACAGCTGAAGCAACTCCAGGAGCGGCTGGCCAGGTCCGAGGCCCAGCTCGCTCGTACCACGTCGAAAACGCCTCCGCTGTTGCGTTCACATCCGCAGTCAGGACTCACGTTGCCAGCTACGGACACTCTGACGACTGACTCGTCTCTCCTGGATGCTGATCTATTCACTTCTTTTACTGATGGTGCAGATACCAACATGTCGCTTGACTGGGTGAATCAGCCGCTGGCAGCACTCGAACCATTGGACAACGTACTGCTCAATGGACCTCAGTCATCTTTTCAGAGTAGTTTGGAAGAAGACCTATCTCCAACAGATTTGGGTGTGCTGCACGACCACTACTTTGAATCCGTCTACCCTTCCTTCCCGTTCGTGAACAGAGACAGGTTCATGGCAGATTCAACGGGTGGTGGCAGCCCTGCAATGTGCGCCTTGATCTATGCCGTTGCCCTTGCTGGTTGCGCCCACTCCTCTGAAGATCCAAACCGACAGCTGATGTGCTACAATCTAGCACGTGAACACGCTGAACGATGTGAACGAGAAAATCTTCTAAACGACTTGAACTTCCTCCAGGCTTTATTACTTGTAGGCCGTTTCGAGGCTATGAGTCGGAAGCTGGAGAGGAGCTGGCTGACGCTGGGACGCGCCGCCATGCTCTGTAGGCTTCTCGAGTTACACCGAATGGATGAAAACGTGCATAGGCAAGGAATGCAGAATGGAGAGACTCGAGGTAGCTCCCTATTGAGCTTTTCGCATACAGAAGATCCGGTGCTGTTGGAGGAACGACGTCGGACATTCTGGGCCTTATACATATTGCAAAGCTACATGAAAACACGGACTGGCTGGGAGTGTCAGTTAGGAGACGTCAAGGTTCGGATCGCATTACTGTGTTATTCAACGAGACGTGCAAACTAACATAGGTTTTAGAACTTTCGAATCAACCTGCCAGCGCCAGGGTCGTTGAGATCTGATCTACAACCTCCCAAGATCGATGACTTCTTTACCATCCTCAAACCTCATCTTAATGCCACATCCATTCGCGAGGATCCAATAGCCTTCAGCCTCTACATGAACCTGCGCGCTACTGAAATCTTTTTACATGATTCCGCTATCACAAAGAACGAAGAGCAAGCACTCCCGTCATTTATGATTACCGAGAGCCAAAAACGTGCTACCGCTGCTGCTTTCCAAATATGCAACGCGGTAGGCCTCAATCTACCGTCGCCACGGCAGGGGAATAGTAACATCATCATGTTGTAGGCCATCTTTATCGCTTGGCCTTTGACCATGGCACTAAAGGCGCTGTATCGCGAATTTGTACATGGAGAACTCCACAAGACTACAAACGGTGTCGTGGTCTCATCCAAGCTACTTTTCGCAGCTCTAGATCATATTGAGGAATTGGACGGATACTGGCACAAATCTGTGACCCATGTTGGGGCAAAGCTACAGGAGTGGGAAGAGAATAATGACTTCGAATTGTCAGCTCTATAATGCCCCCTCTTTCTTTGGGTTTTGCTGTTGTTGCTCCGCTTCGGAAGCTTCAAACGAACCTAGTAGCGTGTCATCGCAGATGCCATACATGCCGATCACCAAACGCTTACCACAAAGGTATAAACACTATGGTCTCTTCTGCGGAAGTACCTCTGAACGACGGACTCGCCCCCATAGAGCTGCAAATTGATCGCTATCGTTATAGTGCGGCAGCGTCACCATGAGAAGTGGGTCCCTCGGCCTCCGCGTCCGTGTCCGTGTCCGCTCTCCGCCTCGACCCCTCCCCAGATAGTATAATATCGCTACAACTACGTAGTATTGCCATCAATATTGCGAATTCTTGTTTCCCTTACGAAGCCATTTCAAGATCGATTGACGATTGACTGACGACCGCGAAAGCCGCATCCCATAAAGAGCCAGTCGAACTAGCCGAACATGAACCGGTCAAATCTTGAAAAGCGAGCAGACGCAGTGAACACAATCATGAACACTCAGATCGCACCAAGTAACCCTTTTGGTAGCAGTGACGGCGTCACTACAGCTTACATGCCCAGCCCTCGCGACATTCATGGTTGGAAGGTAAGCAACCCATCTCGATACTTACACACACATCCTAATAACAGATCGCATCCTTGCTAATGCATTGCTTTCGTGCCAATATAGTGGGTCATCTCTTACGCTTCTATGTTATCCACGACACTGCTCTTCGCTCTTGACAACACCATCGTGGCCAATATCCAACCAGCAATCATCAACGATTTCGGCCACCCTGAGCTGTTAACATGGATTGGCACCGGCTTCGCACTCGGCACCATGTTCATTCTGCTTTGGGGGAAGGTCTACGGCGTCTTCAACATCAAATGGGTCTATATCTTCAATATCTTCTTGTTCGAGGCCGGCAGTGCCCTTTGTGGTGCTGCTCCAAACATTGAAGCGCTTATAATTGGCCGTGTCATTGCTGGCATTGGTGGCTCTGGAATGTACTCAGGTACTCTAACCTATGTATCGGTTCTTTGCAATGACCAGGAGAAACCTGCATACCTTGCTGGGAGCACTGTCGTTTGGGGTGTTGGCAGCGTTCTAGGTCCAGTGGTAAGAGTACTCTTGATTGACCCACCTCATTGGCTGTATGCTTAGTATTTGGTATTAGCTTGGCGGCGCCTTTGCAGCTAGCAGTGCCACTTGGAGATGGATACGTGTTGCTCACGCATGCTTCTTAGATATTTCGCTTTAGATGCTAATCCGATGCTAGGGATTCTACGTTAACCTTCCTATTGGCGCTGTCTTTGCACCCGCCTACCTCCTAATATTTCCCAGTATCGATCCTTATCCATACAAGACGCTCGCAGAGAAGTTTCGACTCATCGACTGGATCAATGCCGTTCTCTTTCTTGCTGGTTCCGCCTGCTTGACTGTTGTACTCACCTTTGGCGGGGTCATCTACTCATTCAAATCCGGAACAGTGATCGCGCTATGGACTGCCACGGGTGTTCTACTGGTCGCCTTTATCGTCATGCTGAAGTTGCACCCGCTGATCACCGGGGAGAATCGCCTATACCCTCTGCATTTCTTCAAGCAGCCCACGTTGATCAACATGCAGCTCCAAGTTTTCCTATCTTCGGGAGTCATTCTGGCTATGACTTACTACATGCCCTTGTACTTCCAATTTGTCAAGGGCGATGGCGCACTTGAGGCTGGCATTCGTTTACTGCCACTAATCATGTTCATGGTCGTCGCCTCAATGGTCAATGGCTTCTTGATGCCTAGATATGGTTTGGTTCCTGTCTGGTATATTGGAGGAAGCATGCTTGCACTTATCGGCACAGCTTTGATGTGTAAGAAACTTCGCTTGACACGCATCCGAAATAGTGATGGCCAAGCTAACGTCTTTCGCAGACACCGTGGATGAAAACACGTCCAACGCCAACATCTACGGCTACAACATTCTTGTAGGAACTGGTGCAGGGTGTTACATTGTTGCAGGTTTTGCCATAATGCAGTCTTTAATCCACGCTCGTGACGTAGCCAACGTCATCGGCGCTATGACGATAGCCCAAGATCTCGGTATGGTACTGTTTCTTGCCATCAGTGGCAATCTCTTCCATAATGTAGCCATCGACAAGGTTAGTAGGGCTCTCCCAAAAGTCTCCTCTGCCGAGATCGGGAACCTCATCGCGGGATCAAGCGGCGAGGCTTTCCAAGCACTATCCGACGCGGAGAAAGCTTTGGTTATTCCAGCGATTGCCAGCGCCATGACCAGCGTATGGGCTTTCTTCCTCGCAGCTGCTGCGCTAAGCGTGGTCTGCTCTATTCCTTTGCTGGTGAGTACTCCATACAACCTTCGTTTCCTTCATTCGTGTTACATGTTTAACACGCACAGCAGAAAGCCAAGCTTGGTGGTAAGAAAGCCACGGCGGCGACTATAGCGTAGGGCGCGCGGTGACTTTTGGGGGATACGCGTGGAAGCAAGTACCTTAGGCCAAGTCGATGATTTAGGTTGGCGATAACTATTCTCCTAATGCATTGTCCACTTCGCAATCAAGAATCTATATTCGTCATCCTGCCACCTCGTTACCTAGGTATCTCCTCATGCGCGAGAACTTCTGATAAAGCAGATCTGTTGCGTGTCCTTGTACCATAGCCATTGTCTGACAAGCTTTGTTTGACACCTGCGCCATCAACATTAATGGCCTTGAGGGTGGAAAGACCTTCCTCCATAATGACGCATACTTGGGCTCGATTGAGGCATTAGCGGAGCAGGTCTATGGATTGACCAATGAAGAACGAGCGGCCGTTCGAGTCCATCTCCATCTGCAAAGGCGGCATAGCAACCTTTCCGCAATACTCAACATTATAACGGTGCCACATCAACTCCTGCCTCGAGAAGGCTCGTGTTCATCAGCATCATCCACCCGAGAAGGATACATTTTCGACAGGCTGCGATGCCTATCAGCAAAAAGAGTAGCGGACACCTTTAGATTAGAGCTTAGTGTTTAGATAACACCAATGTAAACGAGCATAGAATGCATGTTCTCGAAGCGAAGCCCGCAATGAAAGTTATCGACCTAGATGCATATCTATTTCTGTCATTACCACCTTCATCTTCAAAGATGTAGGCTTCATGAGTTGTCAATCTTCTACTCATATTTTACGGCATCATTGACGACCGACCCTCATACACGAGCATTACTAGCAGCAATCGCACTGATCTTCCTCCAGGTCGTCGCAGGGACAAGGAAACCAGCAACGCGCAACATCCTCCGCACAGGCATCGGGCATTTCCGATGAGTAATGCAAAGACTGCTAGCCAGTGGTGAAAGACATGTGTTCGGAAGATGAATATTCAAGCGTACTAATTATGATAGATTTGAGTTGGGAAAGATTAGAAGGGAGTGGTGTGAAGTTGAGCACAGATAAACATAAGAGAGGAAAGTAAAGACGATTTATATTATAACGTAGAAGAAGAGATCGCATCGATTACGTATGCGGCAGACGCTCCTGTTTGCCGTTGTGGTGTTGATCTTCAAACCGTACTGGACGGGTACTTGGTTGGGCCTTGCGAGAACAAACCCAGGTATACTGGACGAACGCCCAAGACTGAAATATGAAATAGCTTCACCATGGAATGTATCTCGGCGAGTTAAGCTTGTTTGTCGCGCCCGGTTGATTGTTGAAGTGTGATGATTAGGGGTAGAAGTAGAAAAACGCCATCTCGTATTTGAAGTTGAACTTATTTTGCGTATGTCACCATTCTACCTTAAACTCTCGATATCCTTCATTCGCGGAGACAGTGTATTGCAGGTGGTGTTGCGGAAGTTGCGACTGGCTAACGTTCTGTTGATCAACCATAGTAGGGCATCGCGATTGCGCGAATGATTGTGTACAAAACGCATGCCTAACATTTCATGCCTGTTTCGATGCGAAGCGGCTGGTCCGTATGATCCGCAATGAAATTCACTTTGTGTATGGCGGGGACGACGAGCTAACAGCTGTCAAAGCTATCCTTGGCGCAATTTCTCTAAGTTTGACATTGATTAGGTTCGAGTCACACTCTTGAGCTCGGGGGTGGAATCACAAAAGTAAAAGTCCACCAAAGTATGTACAGCGATGATTCAACATCCTTTCAGATCGTAACTAAGCGAGTGACATGATCATGACAGATTTATGTACAAGTGGCAACCAGTACTGTTGCAGAATGATGGTGAAGGAGGGACGGTGGCAGCGAACGCGGATTGCCATTAGATGCATCCATGAGCCTATGCAGGCTGCGCAAAGGTGCTTCCGATGGGTCCGAACTTGATGTTCGAGAAGACCACTTGTGCGTTGGGGTTGGCGCTTTCCACTTCGGCTGGCACACCACTGCTGGTGGCGCATTCGCCGCGCGCAATGCCAGGCTTTTCCGGGTCCTGGTCAGTAGGATAGTTGCTGTCCAGCCAGAGCATGTTGGCGTAGTGATCGTCCCAGAGACTCATAACGAGTACCATGCCCAAGTTCATGCCCCTACCCATGGATGCCATACCGCCGAACTCGTTGAAGGGGTAGATCTCCTCCTGGAAAACTTCCTTCTGCGTGTTGCACCATTCTTGGGTGATTGAGTTACCTTTCTGGTTGACTGTTAGAATGCGTCTCGCGAGGCTTTAGAAAGTGAGCACATACCATGCCGGGAATTGTCGGCTCAGGGTTGCTGATGACCTTGCCATTCTGCACATAGAAGCGCTTGATCTCGGTGAGTTGGCCTGACCCCAAGAACTGGGTGACCACTGTCATCTTCTTCGACGTATCCACGCCGGATTTGCCCTTGCCATAGAAGTCCTTTACGCCAACGCGGTATGGGTTGAAGTCACAGCCATTCGCATCGCAGGTGCCGGCGTAGCGATCAAGTGAGTATGTGCCGCCACAATTATCATCTGTACAGACTGAGTAGCCTTCAGGCTGACAAGAATGCGGGGTCAAAGCCGTGGAGATGGAGTTTGCCTCCCAAATATCCATCTCGGTGCTGAGTTGCGTCAGATTGGGAACAGGATGAGCAGACGAACTCGCTTACCAGCATGCACCCTTCTTACCAATCCCAGCGTTGGGATCAGACTGGGATGCTTGCCAACCTTCTGCGTTGGCTTGGCCGTCGATGTACTTGAGGTCTCGAGCGCATTGAGCGTCGCAGTACCCTGAGGTATGTTAGACCCTGTTCTATCAACAACGAGAACATGGTGGCCTACCAGTCCCATACTTCGCTCCAGGTGTTCCATGACCCTTCTGGGGCATGGAGACAAAGTACAAGGCTCCGTTGAGGCCGCATGGCAGCTGTGAGAGATCTACATCAAAGGTAAATTCATTCCCGATAAGATTAAACATCTAAAGTGTGAAGAGAAGTGATCAGTATCTTCTTCAAATTCATAGTTGGAATGTTTTCTTACCTCATAGTTGTTTGCATCCTTCATGAGATAAGTGCGTGATCCAATGTTGGTGGAGTACTGGCCCTTGGTGATGAACTTGAGTGTGAGAGAGTTGCCAGAGGTTGTGATACCATAGGTACCACGGTAATCTGAGCCTTCGATTGCACAGTTCTTAGTACAGGCCGCATTGTCTGGACACGCCGTGGCGTTCCACTCATTTCCATCGAAGCAGTTGGTGTAGCCTCCAACGGAATGGAGCCAGCGCCAGTTAGCGTCGATCACGATTTCTCCGTTGACGTTGGTGCAGCTGCTACCGCCTTTGCCTGTGCAGCGCTGCCAGGTCATCCTCGGGTGGGTCTCTGTCTGTTCTTTTCCGATGACCCAGCCAGATGCGCGATTAGCGCAAAGAGCCAGGAGTATTGCGATAGCAGAAGTTGACGGCATGATGAAGGACAAAAGTGTGAAGCTCAGCAGAGTATGTGGGAGGTTGCACCATTCCTCGACTATGTGATGTTGTCAACTTATACGATCAGTTCACAGCATCAATTCTAGCTATCCTTGGGTGCACAAGGTACACATCGTATATTGCCCAGTCTCCAGATGGCTGGAAATGAGCTCATTCGGTATAGGAAATGATCATGCGATGTGCTTTCAACGGAGCGATAGACTCTGGATCCGCCTTGGGACTTGGAAGCTCATCGGCGACCGCCGTTAAGCTTTCTCGTTGTCGCAAAGCTAAAACTCCAGAAAGCTGCTCCAATCACTTTCATCCCGGCGATGTACGATTCGTGTGGTGGTTACAGTGCCGCCAAGATACCGTATTTCTGTATATGGGGTCAAGAGTCGTGGCGCTAAGAGTTGGGTGCGGGGTTAGCGTGCGAGAGACGAATTGAAGGTAGTGTCTTGTTGTATCGAGACTGGAATGATAGCTTAGCATTCTTGGTGCGTTTCCCCAGACTATTTGTAGTCTTGGATCTTGCTCGTGGCAATCTAAGGATATACAGGTGGTCAGGGTATGCAACACAAGATGCGATGCGTGGAAGGCGGGGTCGCACATGAACCGTGATTATGGTAATTCATTCCACTGGTCCCATTGGCGGGCCAAATATCTGCTCGGTGAGATTCAGACCACACAATTCTGTGATATCTTGGTACTTTCCGTATGAGACCCAGCCTCGGATATGGTTTCACCGTCGCACAAAGCGCAATCTGGAGTAAACAAAGTGCCGCGTTGTCACACGAGGAACGATCTAAAGTGCCGAGAGCTTGGGCTCGAGTGTCCAATATGAGCGCCAGGCTGATCGTCGACCATAACGCTCATGTGCTCGTAGCATTTCTGCATGTTCGTGACCAAGAACGAGAAGCCATGCAAAAACTTCCAAGTAGCGGCATATGCTACTGAGTGTCATGGTAGAACATTTTGTCCTTGCTACCGCGCACAAAGATAGGATAACCCTAAGGAGCACACCTAGGTCGATTGCGGTAGTAGCTGGAGTGTAGGAAAACTAAGAGCTCTCTCTATATTTCAAGCAGGAGTCCTTGCGTGTATGTGCTGTACTGAATCGTGGAGCGACGACGAAGAGGGTTCGTGCTGAGATCGTTCATTGCGATGTGGGCTACGGCGTGTTGAAGAAGAGGAGATCTGGAAGAAAGGTAAGCGGGAAGTTGTAGAGCTGTTACGGAATTTTTATATGTTCCGCTATTAAATTTCAGCCTTTGTACGTTGTCGCACGGTGTAGAACATGTGGTAAGAGCCGTCGCGTCGCGGGTGGATGGGCCTTCCCGGCCTTGGCGCGTCGCGTCGCGTCATTGTTCTCATACGCACCACTTCATCCCGTTCTAAGATCCCTATTGCAACCATCTGATTCGCAATCATGACCTAATCAGCAACTCATATCCTCAACAGCCGATATACGAAGGCGTTAAGATACGCGCGTGGTGCGCCTACTATAACCGGGCAAAGTCGCACAGGTTCACAAAAGTCAAAGAATTACCCATCAATTCTCATATGCCATCGTGGCAACACGCACTACAGCTGGTGCGACACTGAAAATGCTCGATCACTGTTGAATATAACATATACTTGACAGCATCGACGATCAATCGCATGTTGCTTTTGATTTACAATATCGCGTTACTGGGCTATTGCAGTGTGGTCACCATATCTCCTTGTGAAGCCTGATCTCGGACGCATCGGAACGAAGCCTATTGCAATCCTAGGTGGCTGGATATTTGTTAGGGGGGGCCATGGCTGCAACTTCCTAGCAATCTTCATCCTTCAGTCAAGCCCGGCATGTCACCACAATGTTCCATATGTATGGCTGCACCTGGAAGGCCGCACCAGGTCTCCATCCTTCAACCTTTCCCTTATGTCGATCGTGGCCACGAACCCTGCCTGGCTGTCTCACGTTTCTGTGGTGAAGATGGTTATTGGCTACTCGACCAAGCTGATCTAACCCAAAGCAGCAGGCACATCATGCATCACGCCCTTAACGACGCTTTTGCGGATTTTCCTCAAAAGATAGGAAACGCCGAAGAGCAATGGCAACCGTGGACTGCATGTTGTCAAGGATTAGCCGGAAGCCTAGGTTCGGCCCATTACTTGGAGAGATATTGGGTATAAGGTGGCCTTCATAGCCATCATTAAGAAGACAGGCCGCTTCCATCGATCTCGTTAACACTTGTTAAAGAATGAAGACGCTCAAGAGATGCCTCACGTGGGCAAGTGTATCTTTTACATTCGTCGCAGCCCAGACTGCGAATATTACGCTTATCCCAGCAGCTACCGGTTTTGAGGGCGATAACACCGACTTCATCTACGGAACATCGCCACTGCTGGTTGTTAATGACGGGAGTGCTGCCGATGGAGGCTTCCGGACGTTCTCAGTCTCCAATACGTCAAGCTTTGCCGAAAAATCGCACCAAAAAACCGGTCGCTCGAAGATTGCCGTAGCTGTCCACGACGTCGACGGTCGGGACCTGATCTTCAACATTCCAGCACCCGATTCGTTGATTAGGATCTTCGATGCTAAGAGTGGGAAGAATGTTGAAAGCAACGACAAGAAGAAGCTGGGTGACTGGAGTACCGCGTGTGTATGGCGTAGCCAGAATAGCGGAGAAAGCTACGTCTTCATGTTTGGGAAGAAGATGGTTGTACAATTCTTGATTCGAAACGATAAAAAGCGGGTCGAGATTCTGGAGGTATGACTATCCGCCCGGCAAAGTACATCAATATTAACAAAGTCATAGGTCCAAACATTCCCTGTTGCCATCGAAGGCGAAACTTGCGCTGTATTTGCAAACGGTCAGATCTTCTTTTCAGCCGAGGACAGACAGCTATACTCTTTCCAGGCATCGGAGGCTATGCAGGCACCCGAGATCAAGACAGTGGTTGAAGACATCGAAGTAGCGGGACTTGGTGTCTACCACAGCACGTCGGCTGAGTACCTGTTCGTAGCTCGTGACGATGTCATCGACGTGTACGATTCCGGCATCAAGAAACAGGGAAGCATCTCATTGGGCGGCATCTCCGAACTCTCTATCAAGGGTTCACTTGCTGTTCTTCAATCCACGGTGGCTGGGTATCCATCTGGCGCGTTCGCTTTTCCTTTCGAGGGGGAAGATGACACTGGTGTAGCTGTTGGTTCCCTAGAGGGCGCACTCGCTTCTTTGGGCATCAAGCCCAACACCCAATACAGTCCCACGAACAAGGCTTGCAAGCATTGCGAAAGCTCTATCACCAAAAAGTGCTCCAATCACGGCTTCATCTCCGGCACGAGCTGTTCTTGCTTTACCGGTTTCACTGGTCGCGACTGCTCCAAAGTTACCTGCGAAAATGATTGTTCTGGTCACGGCAGTTGCACTGGCCCAGATGTCTGCAAGTGCAAAGACGGGTGGACCGGCCCAGATTGCTCATTCGTTGCGGTGAAGGCAAAGTACGAGACTGATGCCAATGGCGGCGATGGCGACGATCCCGCAATATGGATCCACCCCACCAGACCAGATCAAAGTAAGATCATTACAACGACCAAGTCTGGAGAAGGCGAGGGTTTTGGCGTTTTTGACCTACAAGGGAAGCTTTTACAACACCTGACTGCTCAGAAGCCAAATAACGTCGATGTCATCTATAACTTCACTCTTGGCACTCGGAAGATTGATCTCGCGTTCGCCGCGTGTCGCGGTGATAACACCATGTGGTGAGTGTCGTTGCAAGAAGTCTACAAATATCTGCTAATGCACCAGTAGCCTCGTCGGGATAAACAGCACGGGCCACCTTAATGATATTTCTGGTGGTGTACAGACACTGCCCGAAGACTATGAACCCTACGGCTCCTGCAATTACCGTTCCCCGAATACTGGGAAAGAGTACCTCTTTGTCAACAACAAAGAAGCTCAGTATCTCCAGTACGAACTCACAGCCACTGCCAATGGCACACTACAGACCACCCTCGTCCGTGAGTTTCAAGGCGGCTCAGGCGGCCAAGTCGAAGGTTGCGTCGCTGACGAAGCCGCCGGCTACCTCTTTATCGGCGAAGAACCACTTGGCATCTGGCGCTACGAAGCTGAACCTACCGGCTCCAACACCGGTGTTAATATCGCCCAAGTAGGCGACGCGAGCGGTCTCCACGCTGATGTCGAAGGCATCACACTCGTGCCAGCGAAGTCAGGTCCGAATGGCTACATTATCGTCTCGTCACAGGGTATCTCGGCTTACCTGATCTACGAGCGCGCACCGCCCCACAAGTACGTTGAGACGTTCACTATCGTTGACAATAAGGAGAGGGGTATCGATCACGTCAGTAACACAGATGGGTGTACTGCCGTGGGTAACGCACTGAACAAGGATTTCCCGAACGGGCTTTTCGTCACGCACGACGATGCTAATGAGCTCGCTGAAGGAGGTACGGCGAAAGAGGCAAGTTTTAAATTGGTCAGTTTAGCGGACATATTGGGGAAAGAGAGGGTATCCGAGTTGGGGTATTGAGGATTGACTGAAACAATTCTTCTAACTACAAAGTGGAGGTCTTCGAACGAGCGGCTCGTGTCTATATATGCGAAAGATTACCAGCCTGGACGTCTAATTACTGATCCAAAACTGCCATCCACCAGGTTTCGAAGGCGACACCAATCTCATCCTAGTAGCTATCGAGTCCACCTGTTCATTGTAGTTCGTAGCTCGGTAGTCCAACACAAATACAGGGCCCTGTCCCAAGATGTCGATGTGCAGGTGAAAATTTACGTTCATGAGCTCCATTAGTGATGCCACGATGGTGTATGTCGTCTCTTTGCTAAAGCCGCAGTCTTTCTCTAGCTTGCATCCATAGCTGTAGTGCATACCAGCCATCACCGGGATATATGCGACTTGCCTTTCGACGAGGTAGCTTCACGCTTCTTGGTAGACTTGAGAACTTGTTTGCACTAGAGCGAGGAAGAATTTAAGCTCATCGAGGTAACACCTGTTTAGAGACACACGCTGGTATTGTTTTTCGAGGGCAAGATTGTAGATTTGTTTTCGCAGCTCGCCGGAGAGGTCGAAGAATGTTTTGCGGCCCAGGACAAACGCTCGTGCATCTTTAGTTATGATCGGCAGGCGGCCAGTCATGGCGAAAGGGTCGACCCGCATGTCGGTGTTCAGGCCTGTCAAACGTTCGGCAGTAGTGAAGGCTACCTAATCTAGGTTCTTCGCGACCCTAGATGTCAGCAAGCCGTATGTAGGGTTATACGAGAAACTGTGATTGCAGAAGAAGTGCCGAACGTGGTTGGAATGAGGGAGTGAATTCCCGAAATCATTGTAGACATAGAGGAAAAGCTCAGTCGATGAAGTGAACGTTTAAAAACGATCCATTGTCTACAGCCGCGCTCCGCCTGATTTGAATTGCGAGACGCTTAGCAGTGAAGGAGATCTCATGCGCCGTAAAGTGTGTCACTATGCACTGAGATACTCGATACAAATCATCGAAAATTTTGTGGTCAAAGCATTACAATCTTGGGGTCACGATCGTGTGTCGGCGTGGCGACGGATTGACCTTATGTGTCACACGGATCATAAGTATCGATATAACAACTATGAACACCGGATTTGAGGTCTCTTCAGCTGATGTCTTGACCGTGGGTTGCTCCATTATGGCACCCAATGTGTTTTGGAGGTTCTGTACCGAGATAGTCGCCGCACGTCAAACTCCACACGTGATTTCGATATTCCTCCGTAGATCTTAATCTCTAGTGCAACGCCTACTAAGCTAGAGGCGGCCTCGAATACAAATGTTGATTTACCCAGTGCGCTTGTTGGGTCTCAACCGCCGCGACTTCTTGACGTCACTCACGCCACCCACACCTCGCGCATACTCCCTTTCACCTCGCCCTTCACCTCGCCCTTCACTTCGCCCTTCACTTCGTCCCGCACGTACACTGCTGCCGGCAGAACCACGGGTTCTTGTGTGAGCACTGGTATCCGGCCTCTCAATTTTCCGGTGTAAGCGACAGCTCTCCACCGTCTATATAAACAGCGGTTCCTGCCTCCCTCCCACACCTCACACACCACTTCTCTTAGGCTTCTTTTACTTTCCCGCTTGGAAGAGAGACTCACCAGCAGTGGACGCACTGTTGGGTAACGCTTGGATGCGAGTCATCGGACGTCGCGAGGAGGGGCGCGTCTCACAGCACTTGGGTGTTGTGTTCCTTTGCTTTTTCATTGATGTGTCTAGCTTGCTAGGACATTGAGGAAGGAGACGAAGTGGAGTGGAGTGAAGTGATAGTTCACGCAAGTTACATAAAGGAAGAGAGGCGAATGCAAACTCAGTGGTCTACCTGTAACCTTAGACAGTTTTCTCCACTTGGTAGACATGTAAGAAGGATACATCGTCTAGTAGAACAACCTTTCCACTAAGGAGTCTTTTGAACGTGATGGGTTCGCATACTCCATCTCATTCCAGAGTTTCAAACGGGCCTCATCGCCATCACTACCCTCCAAACTTTTTGTAATTCTCTCAATCCTTTCTTCATTAAGTCTGGTATCCCAAGCTTTGGCAGAACGATATATTTCGGAGAGAATCTCCATGGTAGAGTTACGTGCCTCGGTATTCTCTTACCAGGCATTTAACTGCGCTGGAATATGTTCATATTCGGCGATGTTGCGTTCGTACTCCGCGATCCAGCGGCTTGTGAAGGTCTCGAGCGATGCAGGAGGTGGGAGGTGTTTGCTTTTTCCAACGCAGTGGGCATAGGCGTGTGCACGGGATTGTTGGTATGCCAGCTGCAACCAGTGTCGATCAATGTCGAGTTCGGAGATGCACTTTGAGAACTGATCTGGTTCTTTAATGAATATTGAATAGATCGTTGGGATCATCCTTGTGATTTCTGATTTTTTTGGAAAGCGCCTTCAGCCCAGCCTCGTCCTGATGGCTTGTGCTGCGCCCGAATGAGGTCGACTCTGAATTGATGGTTATCGAGTTCATCAGGCCAGACATGTCTGAGTAACAGAGCTGAAGTGATATGGCTAGACTGAATGCCCCACTGACCACCTGGATTCGACGTCTCCCATGGTGGCCATCCTGCGCTTAGGTATGCGTCTCTGATCCATCCCAAGAACGTCAGTGTATCGGTCCACTTCGTCCAGTCATGATTGTGCATGTTGACTGAATGGTTTCATGTTGTGTTGCCTCCCCCAATAATGGCGTTGTCGGGCCAATCCCCGTATGTCCACCACTCCCCCTCATGGATCCTCATCGCATGCTTCCCAGTGTCGTGTTGCAGTTTCCAACTCCTGTGGGGATCATCTCAGTCGTGTCAACTGTCTGGATATCGTAAACGGTCCGGATGTCGACGTCAATATCTTCGCATGACGCTATGCCCGTGGCCGCGAAGGGGTCGTGGATACGGCGGAAGCCCAGAAGCGCAATGAGTACCACAACGAACACCAACAATGGATGTTCAGATCGTTTTCGCGTGGTAAAGGTGCGCAGAGCCTGCCGAGGTGACTTCTCTTGGTCCTGCTTAGTTGCTGGTGATGACATGGTCATTTGAGAGGTCGGGAAGCGGCGTCAGAGATTCATCAGCACGCATGATGAGATAGTGAGCAGGTTTAACCAACATTCTGCACAAATATTTAGAACAGCTATAGAGAGCAGAGATGGTAGGACGCCTAACGCGGTTTGACACGCTTGCACGTGCGCGCGTCCACATTTTCGACGATGAGTCGGCAGGAACAGCGCAGCCCCGCCATAGGCAACACTATTTCGAGCTCAATACGACAGTCATCCCCTGATGTATAGCCTCAAAGGGAGTTCTCGGTTTTGAACAGGTGACAATTTATTAGCAAGATGTCTGAAGGGGCCCCGGCAAGGAAATTAGATCAGTTACCGGCTGAAATGCTCGAGTTTACGCTGCTCAAGACATCAGGCTCGCTTGCACCGCGACTTGGCCGCCTGTCGTTCCCCGGACGCAAGAGCATTCTCACACCCGCCTTCATTGGCAACACCTCAAGAGGCGTCATCCCCCATGTGTCCCAGGACAACTTCCGAAGGAGCGCCGATATTAGTGGGGTCTACGTCGCGCTTGAGGACTGTATGTACCCTTACGAATGGTGCAGATCCTGCCTAACAGCTGCCAGTCGTCGAGAAGCATCCGCACAAGACTCCCCCAATTTTGCAATATGACGTGCCAGAGCCCTTGCGCAAATTCATTGCCCTGCCCGAAGACACGCTCTTGATCCTGGGTGCGCGTCGCAATCCACCCATCCCAAGCCCTCACGCGAATTCCAACACGGAGATAGGCCTCTTGACGTCGGTCGGCTTCGCGGCTCTCAGCTCCGAGTACTATGCCGCCGCTGCACGGAAGTTGCAGCCAGACGTCGTGGTGGGACTGGGCGATATACCAGTCGGACAGGATGCCATCAGTCTCAAGCGGAAAGACAAGATGAGCGATAGGACCGAGGTATGGCTGCGCGATATAGTAGCCAAGCAGGACACCATCGAGAAGGGAGAGAAAGCATGGAGCATATTTGCGCCTATACTGCCCATTGAGCGCGATCTGCAATCATGGTATCTGGATCACTTGCTCGACGACATGGTGAACAAGATCAGCGGCCTTGCAATATACGATGCCTATCTACTCGATGACCTACCCGACCAGCTTCAGCATCTCCCAAGATTATCCTTCCATATGCCTTCCAGCCCACAAGAGCTTCTTCGCCACGTCAGTTTGGGCGTGGACGTCTTCACCGTGCCCTTCCTTGCCGACGCGACTGACGCGGGTATCGCCCTCGATTTCACATTCCCAGCGCCCGTCCGAGACACAAGTACAGCCGCGCGCCGTTCTCTGGGCATCGATATGTGGAGTGGCGACCATGCTTTGTCTGTCACTCCGCTATCCGAAAATTGCACGTGCTACGCCTGCACCAAGCACCATCGTGCCTTCATCCAGCACCTGCTTGCCGCCAAGGAAATGCTTGGCTGGGTGTTAATCCAGTTGCACAACCACGCCATACTTTCTACCTTCTTCGCCGGCGTTCGCACCTCCATCGAAGCGGGCACCTTTGATACCGACGCCGCTGCTTTTGAAGCCTATTACGAGCCTGCCCTTCCCGAGAAGACTGGTCAAGGGCCGCGAATCAGAGGTTATCAATTCAAGAGCGAAGCGCATGCGAACAGGGAGAAGAAGAACCCCAGAGCTTTTAAGAAATACAGTGAAGACGAGATCCTAAGGCTCAAGGCTGCCCACGGGCAACAACCAAATAGAAAACATGTGACGAGAGATCTGATCGACGATGAGGCTCTGTTAGGCTTGGTAGAGATGGAAGAGGTTGTAGTTGATGCGGACCCGGCTATGCAGATGAATGGCTTGAGATTGGAAGATGATAAGAGAGCCTAGTTCCCCAAGGTACTCCGGAGAACTTTCGAATACATCGCCTTCCCGTCACACGACCGTTCATCTAACACTACACATTTCTTTGTTCCACCGCATATATGTTGACGTTGGCAAGCTTCCTGCTCCTCTGCCCTGTGCGCATTGCCGAGACACCGCCACACTTGGTCAGGCCTGGGCCATAGCAAGACCTATTATATATCACCATCTGGAACATGTTTTGTATGAGCACAGCGTGCATTAATGGTCTTCCATCAAATATATCTACATGCAGCCAAACAGTTATATCCTCGTTACCAGAAAAATCAAGGGCCCAATCGGTCGACATTCGATATACACCCGATATACACCCTTTGACAGATGGAATACGACAGTGCCGACATATCCACAGGTCATACATTGTGAGAGCTGGATCATCTCCTTTGTTGCAAGCCAGTTTGAACCGAATCTTGTCTGTGAGAAGTGTGAACCGATCGTCGGCTGCCAGTCGCTGATCTTGCGTGACGTAGTCTGGAGTTATTGAGTTGAGGGTTGCTTCGACCTGCGCCCATGGATCATGATCGATACTCCATCTCCGATGTTCCATTCCGGTACTAGTAACGAGATTCGGTAGCCATGGCGATTGCTAGGAAACGTTGAGCATCTTCGCAGCGTCGAGCCTGTCGGAACTGTTCGTCAGATATGATACGTCGCTGAGGCTGGCCGGCATTGAGACTGAGAGCGACTAGCCCAAAGCAGAGGAGAGAGATGGAGGATCATCTTGGTTTTGGTGAACTTGTAGAGGTAGGTGTCGACCGAGTGTGAATATGCCACTGCCAGGTTTTATGCATCAGCACGGCGTATGATAGCCCGACGGCTACATGATTGTTGCCGACGCTCCCGATATCGACTGTATTGTCATTTTGCCCGTGTCATAGAAAATGCCTATCTCAATGGTGTGGTCGACTTCGTACGATACATTAAAAGTGATGGTGCAATGGCTACACGAAATCCTACGCCATGTTCGTTGTAAATCGATGATCGCAGAAGTCACTTGCTGCAAATAGTTACATTTCTACGACTCCTAGAGCATGTGCCTGTTGCTGTTTACCACTCCCTGTACTGCCTATGAATATCTTTCACTATCGTCTCGTGGTGAAGAACCGATCTTGTAGCATGACAACACCGCTGAATCACATATTGCATAAGCGGTACTAAGCATGCGTTATGAACGCACAGTTTGATCGTGAGCCAGCTCTACCTCAAAGGGCGGTATTGTAGGCTTGATCCACTTCACCTCACTTGATCAAAGCACCATGATGGTTTTCGCAGTGCTCAACTCGTATATTATGTTAGATCGATAACTCTCATTCATACGAAAATGATGCACAGCAGCCGTTAGCAACTCCGTCATACAACGATGATTTACCATGACTTTTCCCATTCTCATTACTTATACCGACGTTTAGTCCTGATATCTCCAAAACCGGATCCTACTACTGTAGACGGGTAATCCACCCTCTAAGATGCCTTTAGTGGATGACGTTTTCACACTTCCAGCAATGGAAATGCGAACACGATACGCAACGTGCGGGATGTTCGCTCGCGACGTTGTCTTTACCACATTGGTGGCAATTCCAGGTGTAGGATACAGAGTCTACAAAATATTGAATGAGAGAGATGAGTGACATGCTGGATGTCTCTTCGGGGTAGTTGCGTGCTAAGGATTAGTAGTGCTTTGAAGATTGGGGAAAGAACGGATTATAGTGAGGGATGAGTGATATGTTGACGGACAACGTCGGTGCTGGTACAGTGTAAAGTTGATCGAGGTGAAGGATTGTAAAAAAATCATGTTCACAGTCTAGATGGAAATGTTCCTAGCCATAGGTGATTGCAGTTTGTAGCTTCAGGGTGACCATTGTAGTCATCGAGCTTCTCAGTAGCGTGTCGCATCTTCTTGAAGAAAGTATCAACGATCATTCTGCCATGCCGGCTTCGATGAGAGAAACTCTTGTTTGTCTTAATCCATTACGCCCAGAGCAAGGACTGAATAGGCATGTGGGTATGCCGTCCGACCGAGCGCATGCCGGGCGTATGCATCTCTCCCTTTTCGTATCGAAGTAATCAGAGTTTAGGCGTCAATGTACAAACGAGGCCGGTGCAATTGCTTCTCGGTAAGCGCTTACTGCAGCAGATATTAACCATATGCTTGTACAGCAGTACCGTAACGAACATCGTTGTTCTATCTTTCCTCTCAACCTACGCTTTCTCTCGGTGGGTTCAAAGCTCCCCGCAGTTGTTCTCTACACCATGTCTGATCTCAAACCTACCAAAGAGCCCACGAGATGGGGCACAGCAACCGAAACATCGGCAGCTCGCTACAGCCGCACCAATGCACCGCAACATGGCTTAGGCAATAGTCTCAGTACCATGATGAAAATCTCAAAAGGCCAACACGTCCTCGTAACCGCCTGTGGCCCCGGGACCGACGTTCTCGCCATCGTGCAACTCGTAGGCCCGTCTGGGGAAGTCGTCCGTTTCGATCTAGACAAGTACAGCATCGACCGTGCGCGCGAGGCCTTGGAGAAACACCCAGTCCTCAAGCCATATGTGCAGCTTCACGTCGCTGACGTGCACGATCTCTCAATGTTCGCAGGGCAAACGTTCGACGCCATACATTGCAACGCGTCATATCACTGGTTCACCGACAAACCTCTTTTCCTTGCGCAAGCTGCTACCCTAGCGAAGCCCGGCGCCGTCATTGGTATCGCAATCCAAGACCGCGATTTCCAGCCACCCATGCTGGACATCCGAACCGAAGTATTGGCGGAACTCGGTGAGGATACAACGAATTTCGTATTCCACCCGAATCCAGCGGAACTATGACGCGATTTAAGTGCCGCTGGTTTCGGTAATGTAAAGACTTCGGGGTATTATGGGACGTATGTACTCGAGAGCGCAGAGGCGATGTGGAATTGGTTAAATGATAGCTCAGGGAATCGGTTTGGCAATCATTTGGAGGGGAGTATGAGGGAGTGGATGAGGGAGATGGTTGGGGATAGGTTCGGAGACTTGGCTTTGGAGGATGGACGGGTGGCAATGCAATTCAAGCATATTGTTGCAATGGGTTACTATGGCCGTTAACATCTCGAGTACGTACTGTGGGTCGCATGTTGTACACAAGCCTTCGTAGCTTATACAACTCTAGTATTGGACAAGGTGTCTTCACAAGCAATGCGCAACACGTGTGTCTACACTTCGTGGTTTCGGCGTGGGGCGCTGCCCTCCTCGAGAGTTGAAGTGAGGATGCTCAGGGAAGTGCGGTCAGGCAGCGCTTAGGACGGTATGATGCATTTTTGATCATGTTTTGGTATTCGGATACAATAACCACGACCTAGAGATAAGCTCATGGTGAAATATGGACTAAGGAGCCATGCTGAAGCTTGAGCTGAGAGCTTGTTGTGGAAAAGAGGCTAGCGCGTGCGCAGCCCCGCCATCTTCCCCTTGGTCGAGATGCAACCCCCATGGCCTCTTTCCTCAACCCTTCGGACACTATGGCCCGTCAACGGTGTGTTCCTAGTTTTGATTGCGCATCCTCTTCCCCGATGGATAACCCTGTGCCTCCTCCACGAAGAGTTGCAGGCGGTCGGCCGGATGAGGGAGGACAGCGTCGCGATTGCGGAACAGCTGGGACGCCACGTCGTGACGGACGCGATACTGGTTATAAGTAGGCGCCGCACGCTAAGTAGCTGACTTCAGTTGAAGTTGCGTTCACCTCACGAATCTCATCGCGACCAAAGGTGACAGAAGAAATAGCGTAGGCAGCTAGCAGGTAACAACGTAAAGTCAAGCGCTACGAAAAGGAAGTCTGGAATTCTTTCGATCGAAGCCTCTGAAGCACTGCTATGAACGGGTATTCTCGAATCGGGTTGGATACATTTGATGTAAGCTAATGCTAAACAGGCCGCAGGGCGAACGCGAGAGCAGTAAGCCTAGAAGGTTACGTCTTGCGCAAGCTCTCAGTACTTGGCAGTACACGGCACATTGGACAGCTCGATCAACCACCCTTCTTTCGTCTACACACCAGTGGCATTCTTCAATGGCCAGTTGATCCCCTTATCCGCCGCCCCCGTATTTCCCAGTCCTGCACAATTGTACAATCCGACAGGGTTGTTCTGCGTAGCTCTCAGATACTGGAGATCAACACACTGCTGAGTACCGCTGCTAGCAGCAAGAGCAATGCGCCCATCGGCCATAGCGTTCCAGGTTTGCTGTTCACTTCCAGGTACGCATTCGCGGAGGTAGATGTTGGCCATGTCCTTCCAGCCGGACTTGGGCCCAGCATCCATGCAGAGGGTGGTGGATGCGAGTTGGATGGATGTGGCGTTGTTAGGCGCCTTGATGTACCATGATTGCGCCGCGGTCGAGGTGAGGGCTTGCCTGACGATGAGATAAGAAGATATGTACAGGTGGTAGAAAGTGGGAACGGTTGTGAGTCTTACACCACGAGAGTTGCCCCTGCGGCTCGCGTCTTGGGTACGACGACGAATTTGGTGTCTTGCGCGGATGTTATGTAGACCGTGCGGTACCCTTCTGGTGCTTGCGAGAGGCCGGTTGCGGCTAACGCGAGGGTGATGATAGTAGTGGCGAGCATCATTGGGATTACTATCAGTTCTGGCAAGGTATGTTGCTGTTGCTGATGACTAGAGGGGGAGATGACTGATATAAGGACATCATCTCGAACAACATTTTGGAAAAAATGTTTAATCAAGCTTCGTTGCCCGCTAATAATCTATGCTTAACTTCGAAATACGCACGCATAGTAGATGAGCGGGGCAATAGTGGTGCTTCTTGTATGTGGGGTTCGTCTACCAGGGTATGTAGGCAAGAATGTACGGGTGGTAATCTAATGTTTATCCGACACACGCCATGCATTGTCGGTAGTTGCAGCAATCATCGGGTCTCAACGACCCGAATCATCGCTTGATCTTATGCATTTTACTTTTCGAGTCTTGTTTGGATAGGCTTGAACAATCTTATCATGCAGAAGCCGTTGCGCCTCGCTTTACTTCTTGCCTCATCTTGCCTTCTTCCTTCAATTGAGCATCGTCATTCCTATTCAACCCCACCTGAGGCATGAGAAACCAAGCAGCAATGAACGCAAGTGCATTCAGTACTGCGCCGACGATGAACACTACTCGAAAACCTCGCTGATAGGCTGATGCAAGTGCAATCCGGATCAGATCAGTACGCTCCTGGCCGACCGACTCGCGAAACATGTCCGGTGAGTCAAGCAATAATTGGATTTCTGGCCTCGAGAGTCCGTATGGAACTAGCGACGATCGAATCGCGTTGTTGATGACCGTGCCGGAAATCGCGAGACCCAGTGTACCGCCAAGGTTGCGTATGAAGTTGCGCGTCGAAGTGACAACAGCCATGTGCTTGCGCTCCACGCCCGCCTGAACAGCGATTAGTGAAGGCTGCAGCGTGTTTCCCAGTCCAAAACCAGCGAGCAAACCGTAGCCTATCTGCTTCCCAAGAGATGGGCTGTCGAGTGTCGATATCAGGCCCAAGCCGATCGCCCATATTGCCCAACCCACAAGCAAACATTCCCTGTACCGACCGGTCCAGTGTACGACCAGGCCTGATAGTGTGCTGAATAGGGCTGCAAGAACGTCAGATACGTATTGAATGAACTGATGGTGGTTGTCTTACTTTGTGTAAGCGTGATGGGAAGTAGTAATGCCCCGGATTTCACAGCTGAGTAGCCATAAACCAGCTGGTAGAACGAAGGAATGTAGTATACCTGAACGAGAAAGTTCCAACCGTTCACAAACATTGTTAGCATCGCACCGTTGACGACTTTGGATGTGAAGATCGTCACTGGTAGGTGTCAGCGCGAAGTTTTTCGTGTCGCTTAGAGCAGACCTACTTGGTATCAATGGAAGCTTGGTACCTTTCCACTGCCATATGATGAAGCACACAGAGATTAGAACGCCAATGACTAAGGTAGCAATGACGTGAACAGATTTCCAGGCGTACTCTCCGCCTGCCCAAGTCAGGGCGAGCTATAATGGTGAGCTTTGGCTGGGATGGATGGTGGGTGGTATCGAACAACGTACCACGAGCAACACGGATCCAGCGAGGGCTAAGAACGCTCCGAAGAAGTCAATCGCTGCTAATTTCCTGGTATGTTTAGCGATCGCCAGGAAGAAGTGTCGTAAATACGCACTGTTTCCATTTACCATGGACCTTTCTGAGTGGCATGAAAAGCAAAACAGACGCAGTGGTTAGAGCGCATAGAAATAAGTTCAGTCGAAAGATCCATCTCCTTCAATCGGCTTAGTATGGTATTGGTTGGATGTCAGTAAGAAGTTCATACCAAGAATCGTGGCCTTGAGTAGCGAGTGCGCCACCTATGACTGGCCCAATGCCATTCGCCAAAGCTACAACGGAACCCTACCAGGATGTGAGTGGAATAATATCGAACGCATTGCAACGTCACTTACGAGTATGCCTTGATACTTTCCTCTTTCGCGAAGAGGCACGATGTCCGATACGATCATCTGGGCTACCGTCATCAGACCTCCACCACCCACACCCATGAATGCACGGAAGACGATCAGCTGAATAGCGGACTGTGCCAAGGAAGCGGCTAGCGAGCCGAAAAAGAATATGCCAATGCCGATAACCAAGAGCACCTTGCGGGACCATATGTCGGAAAGGCGCCCGTATAGGAGTTGAAATGACGTGGACGTCAAGAAGTACGCGCCTGCAATCCAGGCGCTTTCATTACTGGCGTTGAGATCTTTGCTGATGATGGTCAAACTGGCTGCAAGTGTTGTTTGGTCCATCAAAGCCAGCAGATCAACGCTCGCGCAAGCCAAGAATATCTACCGATGCATAAGTACCGAGAGAAACTTCAGCCGTCCATGTACCCACTGTGATTATGGTCTTGACCGGCACGTAGTCTTTTTGCAGTATAGGGTCAGTAAAGGTCATACGTTTGGTTTGCGTGTGCCGTACTGGTTTGCTCGTTGAACTCCGGAGGTTGTTTGGGCACCCAATCAGAAGGTACTTCCGTATGAGATTCCTTCGGAATGCTCATATCAACTTCAAGCTGATCTTTGGCAGTCATGGTATGGATTCGGCAACGTGGTTCGATCGTTCTTGTGCGCGGACCCTTGACTGCGGTAAACTTGTGGTATCGTAGTATATCCAGCTGGAATAAAAGGAAGATTCAGTATGAGCCGAGTCTGACAGATATGACCACGACTCGAAGTGGTGGAGACAACGGCGGTGCAGATGTCGACAGGGGCTGTAGCCGCAATCCGATATGTAGTACACAACTTGGCTTTCCAATGCCGATCCATTGTCTCCCACATTTGGTGTACTGCCTGGCCATAATGATTAAGTATATCAACTGATCATGCAAAGTACACGCTGCAGACTAGGTGCGTTACGTTACACAAACTTATTGGGTGATGCCTGCTAGCGACGAATGACAGGCGTGGGCACCGTACCTGATAGTCATGAGTGGTTTGTGACAAGCAATACTGATGCAAAAGCCAAGATCGCATGCTTCCGCTTCGCACTATATCCAGTTTGTAGCGCGCTCGCCGTATTGGACGTGACCGCGATGCGGAGACCTTGATGAGTACATGGGGGTCGCACTATGCGCGACGGCTCCACATAAAAACAATTAGCGGTGAACATTTCCACTTCATGTACAGTAAATATGTTCTCGAGCCTTGTCGTTGTATTAGGCATACGGGTAACTAGAATCGTGGATTCCTGAACGCTACTTCTAGTTCACCAACACTAATACGTAAGTACGCTAGCGCGGTCGCATCTCATCCCGAAGGGCCGCCATCAATGTGCTCAATCTCTCTCGAATCCATTCAAAACCACCGCGATGCCATCAGAACACCCTATCACAGAGTTCACCGGTTGCGCAATCGCCGGTAGATCATATCTACATTTCTTGGCTGATGCGGAAAGTTCCTTGACAGCAGCGGGAATCCTGCCCGCACAGGTCCTTCTCCGACACTGATCTTCACACTAGCGATGCGTCAAACAACACCCATGAAGTGACATTGATGAGCACCCTCATCGTTACATGATGCATAATACCCATGGAGCAGGATTCCGGTCCTGTAGATCTGCTGTTCAGACAGTAGCATCGACTATTATGAGCGAGCCCCGATATCTTACCGTGAAGCACTTATTAGTTAAAGAGCAACGATGCCAGCGCCCGGACATCGTTCATATCATACCATACAACTTGCGTATACCTCAATATGGGTTCAAGAAATTATTTAAACGCTTACTCTGGGCCGGATGCTCTTCGGAACTATTTCGATCCCGACCACCAACCAATGCTTCCTCTTGTCGAGATTCCACCAAGCTTGAACCCGTACTACTACGATGGGGTCAGGATACACGCGAAGATGATGTCTATGCACCCATCAAACAACGTCAAAATCATGCCTGGTATGTGAAGACGGTCTGACTAGCATTGCACATTGCTCACTCGGCGCCAGCGCTGAACATGTTGACCAAAGAGGTTCATCCGGAGAAGTCAAAAACAGTAGTTGAATATAGTTCAGGATCTACTGTCATCTCCTTAGCACTGGTGTCTCGTATCAACCACGGGATACACGATGTTCGCGCCTTCTTGAGCAATAAGACTTCGGCTCCTAAGCTCAGGCTCATGCAATTCTTCGGTTTGAATATGTAAGTCATCCCCCTTTCTGTGTATCCGTATCATCTGAATCGCCAGCAGTACGCTCTTTGGGGGCCCATCCCAGCCAGAACCACATGACGGACGCGGCGGCATCCATCGAGCCAGAGCCATGGCAGAACAAGACGAAGCAATCCTAAACGTTAATCAGTATGAAAACGAGGCAGTAAGCTACCCAGTACACCTTTCTCAACGTAAATCTTACTAACTTTCGAAGAACTGGCAATCGCATGTCAAATGGACTGGACCGCAGATTCACCAACAATTACCGAACATCAGCCTAATGTGCGCAGGCATGGGTACCTCTGGAACTATGACGGGGCTCGGTCAGTACTTCAAATCAGCCAAGCCGTCTGTAGTCCGACTTGGGTAAGTTGTTGCACATCCGCCGCTTGCGATGTCATAGCCTTACCCATATGTCTAGTGTATGCACTGCCGCCGGCGACCGAGTACCAGGGCCTAGGTCTCTCGCTCTCTTGAGCCCTGTGGAATTTCCATGGCGCGACTCTGTTGATGCGATAGAAGAAGTCGGCTCGAAGGATGCTTTCGGTTTATCCTTACAACTCTGCCGAACAGGATTGATTTGCGGTCCATCTTCGGGCTTCAATTTGCAGGGTATGTGATAGAAGCGTACAGCATGCAGCAACTGACAGCATCAGGGCTTTTCAGTTACCTTGGGAAAAGGAAAAACGCCGGCACTCTATCCGATCTCGCCGGCTTGAATGGACTGATTGACTGCGCCTTTGTGGCTTGCGACGGCCCATATCAGTACATAGATGAGTACTTCGAGAAGCTCGGTAGTGCCGCCTTTCGACCCATACACAATGAGGTAAGACTCGTTTTATTCTGTGATTTGTTGTACACCGCACTGGAAGGCCATCACAGTTAATTAAATCACCTCTAACATGGCTTCAGAACCTTACCACAGTCGACCTATACCGCTACGATGAAGCATGGGAACTTACACCTACACGAGTGCTGTCACAGTTTGCCGATACTATCGGGGAGCACACTCGCGCTGTATTGCTTGATCTGAGGAAGCCGGAGGATTTCGTCACTAGTCACATCCCAGGGTCATATAACCTGCCGCTACAAAGTCTCAATGCCTTGACATCAAGCCCCTTCTCAGACGCCACGGTCCTCGAGAAGCAATGGAGAGAGTTGGAGGCTACATTTACCAACGAGCGCATCAATGCGCACGAACTTGCTGGTAAAGACGTATACATCCTTTGCTATGATGGCGATACCGCCCGCGTTGCCACGAGCGTGCTTCGCGCAAAGGCCATCTCTGCAAGCAGTGTCAAGGGCGGTATTATCGCATTACGGAAAGAGCTTCCGTACTTGCAAATGATGGGGCGCGGAAGGGGTTTGGTACAGCAAGACTGGCTGAAAATGCCGGAGGTTGCTACAAAAGAGTTGAGAGCTGATTCGTTGTCTCCGCAAGTTCGTGGTCAAGATAGTATCGCTGTGTAGACCAGCGAGTAGTGCGTCAATAGTGTCAACAAACTAAAAAACCATGATATATATTATTCCGTGGTCTGGATCTTCTAGCTTCACGTTCTTCCACTATACATCATATAGGCGGAGGGTTGTTGATGACGGTCACATCGCGCAAGCCATGTGTGTGTGCAATTTCACTAGTCCCTGTCGGTACTAGCACCGGAGATCGAAAGTGCAAAACCAATTCTTCGCACCTCTGTACACTTCGCTCCGCTTGCATCAGGCCCTGAGGCCGTGAGGTGTTCAGATAGACTGGTCTACCATGCTGTCAATTGCTCATCTGTCTGGCTATACTGACCACAACTACAGAATGGAGACTATAACGAACACTCTAGATTTGCACACGCGAATCCGGCCTAACGGCCACGCCGACTGCAGTGCATCATCTCGGATTTTGGACACATGTCCGGCTGGGAGCCAAACTCCTGGGTGTATAATTTGTATATAACAGTGATCTTAGCAGACTTGCTGTGTCATCTAGAAACCACTGCCACCTCTCCCTTCTTGTTGTCATTCTTCACAACCCGGTATCTACCCAAGATGTCGTCCCTCGTAAAGGATATTGCCCTCGTCAGTGGTGCTAACAGCGGAATTGGTTTCGAGATTGCCCACCAGCTCCTCCAGAGGGGAAATTACCACGTTCTTCTCGGCTCTCGCTCTACCGCGAAAGGCTCTGCCGCCCTCCAAGACCTGCAAGCACGCAAACTACCGTGCAGCATCGAGCTCGTGCATCTCGACATGCAAAATGATGACCACATTACACAAATCGCGACACTCATTGAAGAGAAGCACGGCAAGCTTGACATACTCTTCAACAATGCCGCAGTTGCATTACCAGAAGGCTTGACGGAGCGTGAACGCTTGACAACGGCTTTCGACGTGAACGCAACAGGCCCATGGCTTCTTACGAAAGCACTCATTTCATTGCTGAGGAAGAGTGAAAATCCGCGAATCGTCAATATTTCCTCAGGAGCCGGATCTATTGGACGCCGCCTCTACCCAGACAGCCCAATGTACAAATTCCAAGCTGTTCCATACCGCGCTAGCAAGGTCGCTTTCAATATGATCAGTGCATGTCTATATGTGGAGTACGGGCAGGGAATTGAGCAGGTGGACTTTCCGGGTACCAAGAAGAGCGATATCGAGGTCGAAAGTGAGGAAAAGACCGTGGGAATGAAAGTGTTTTGCTACGATCCTGGCTTTACGGCCTCGAATCTTGGACCCTATAACAAAGAGGAGTTCGGTGCCAGGAGTGCGCAGGAAACGGTGAAGAGTATCATGGTACTCGTTGATGGGGAGAGAGACGGGGAATGTGGCAAGTTCATCCACAATACTGGAGAATACCCATGGTAGGTCGAGAGAAATTTCAGAGACCGAAGATAGCTGGATTTGGATTACGAGTTGAAAATAGATGCACTGCAAGAAGTTTCGGACAACTGGGTCTTATGATGGAAGAGTGTTCTTCCACCCTTGCACCTTAACGATCCAGCAAGCTTTTGGGGCGCAAGGCTTGGGCAATTAGTTTATCCTTCTCTTACCAATTTGCGCTTAGTGTTTGGATTTGCGCACGCACCGTATGGACAGAGATCCACAACTTCCGTGGCTCTAGCATATGCATGCTTATATTTGCATATACTTGCAAGCAAAGTACTTTCCGCCAGAGAAACAGCTTCGAGAACTCGCTTCAACATGCGTCTGTCATATCTTTCCGCTCTATGTTCTGTTTTCACTGTTACGTTTTCACATCCGGAAGCGTCCCAACAGTCACAACGCGGGGCTTGTCCTTATGCGTCCACTCTAACTGGGAAGTCAGGCTGTATCTACTCCAACGCAAAGCGTAGCTCGGCTATTGACAGTACGGTGTCTTTTGAAGCACAGGGAAAGCAAGGCGTTTTCTTCATGAACCGAATCGCACCAGGCACATCAGAACTATATATCGCCAACGCGGATGGAAGCGATGAGCGCAAGCTATTGAGCAATAGTTCGAACTTCGATTATCACGCAACCTTCTCTCCTGATGGGCAGTGGATAACCTTCACTACCGAGCGCAATGGGGATGGTAACTCGGTAAGTGCTTACAAGAGTTCGATAAAATACAGAATGGCTAATCCGGTGTGCAGGACATATATCGCGTTCGACCCGACGGATCTGACCTGGAGATGATAACAGCGACGCCGTCTATGGAAGACGCAGCAACGTTGTCACCGGATGGAAGCAAGATCGCCTACGTTTCGACAGCCGATGGTTACAAGGCCAACATCTGGGTAATGGACCTTGCAACACGCCAGACAACCAAGCTCACCAACACCGACCTTGTCAAGGGCAATGAGAGCTTGCCTGAGAGCTATCTGCGTCCTGCTTGGTCACCAGACGGCAAGTGGATTGCTTTTTCTTCCGATCGTGACACACAATGGCGCGGCCATGGCAACGGTACTGGATGGGAACATACCCAGGAGCTCTCGATCTATGCTATCCGTCCCAACGGCACAGGCTTCAAACAGCTTGCGAAGAAAGAGGGTTATTGTCTCGGATCACCAAAGTGGTCTCTCGATGGCAGGCGCATCATATACTACGAGATGTCTACTGAAGACACTTGGAATGCTCATCGTCCCGAGTCGTTACAAGCTGTTACTGGTCAGCTCGTATCCATTGACTTTGACACTGGCCTTGACCGCATAGAGCACACGGAAGGCCCTGGTCTTAAGATGTTCCCGCAATGGATCGGTAACAACACCATTGCATACCTACTCAAGAATACGGATGATGAGGGTCTGAACTACGTCACGGACGTTTCCAATGGTAACAGCACCCTCAGGGCCTATAGATCATCGATTCGCTCACCCTCCTGGTCCCCCAACGGCTCCCAGGTTGTCTACGAGAGAATCGATTTTGATATAGTTCGTCCCATGGGGAAGAAACTATACAGTTGGGATGACGAGTGGGAGTATCGCTTCACCGACATTTTTCCTCAGCTTTCTTTACAGGGAAGACTTGCCATCACTCAAAAGCAGCTCGGTAATTCCAGTATTATTGCCATGTCTCCTGACGGCAGCGATGTCATGGAGGTATTCGATGTGTTCTCCGCCAATCAGAGCGAGGCCGCTATAGCAAAGGGTCTTTCCGGTGCCTTTCAACCCTCATGGACTTCAAATGGTGACTGGCTCGTCTTTGGTGTAGGCTCATGGTTTCAGAGCCGCAGTACAGGCTCTGGTGCGTTGTATCGTGCGACCGCCAACGGTTCGTTCTTCGAGCAACTGACAGATGGCTCTGTCAATACCGGTTTCCCTAGCTACTCGCCCGATGGTCGATATATCGTTTACCGTGTCTTTGGCGGTGAATACGGCCTACGCATTATGGATCTGGAGGACCAATCCGTTCGCGTACTCACGAATGCCACTAGCGATAATTACGACAACTTACCTTTCTGGTCACCCGATGGCTCGCGTATCGTCTTCTCGCGTCGGGTCACCTATACAAACTTCGATGTCTGCACCATCAAGCCTGACGGTACTGGTCTTCAAGTCCTGACCTCCAGTCTTGGTAATGACGCCCATGCGGTTTGGACGCATGACGGCCGTATCATGTACTCTACAGCGCAGTATGGATTTCGAGATGAGGCTGCGATCTACGACAATACATTCCAACCATATGGGCAGATCATGATTATGAATGCCGATGGCAGTAACAAAACACTGCTAGTGGATAGCATGTGGGAGGACTCAATGCCTTTGTATGTTCCGAATGGGTTCTTTGGTTTGTAGTTCAGCGCACGTTTGTAAGATAGCCATTTCGAGCGAAAACAAAATGTAGATGAAATCTCCCAATGGTGGACTGATACTAGATGTAAAAAGAACGTCGGGAAAAGAGGTTGAAGTATATCAATTACTTCATCTCTTTCAAAGTATGCTCTGCAAACTAGTTACTACATAGGACAGATTCTAGCACGTTTCAACTACACCAGCCACATTCGAGGTACCAGTCTTGATCTCTCTTCCGCTTGCCTCCACCCTTACGAAACCAAGTGTCTGCGCCACGACTGCCTTTGTTTCGAACCCAGTCTTACTTACGCTGACAATCTCAGTCAGGCTTCCGTTAAACGCGCCTCCAAATACGGTCCACGTATGATGCTCTGTGGCGCCATTCCAACTCATGTAGACTTCGGTACTATTGCTCGCCTTGCACGCGTATACATCCGGTTTTGAGCTCGGCTTGCCAACCCACTCAGCTTTGTAGTTGCGGTAGCTCTGTACCGCCTCCGCTTCGCCCCAAGATACGCTCAATACCACATTGCCGTTTTGATCGAACTCCTTCAGCATCGGGACGCTGCCGTATCCCAGTACGACGTTGCCGGAGGGAAGTACTTCCATGTTACCTTGGCTGACCGAGTATACGATGTCGTCCGGATCGGCGAGTTCCTGTAGCAACGACGCAGTCATGGTGCGCTCATCAACTGAGAGGAAAATTCCCGTGCTTTGGTTCACATGAGATATGACTGCGCTGTTGTCGTTGTTGAAGAGGGAGATCGTGGTCGTGTTTGGCGAGCGAGACGAGTGTAGACGCGCGTCGTGTTGATAACAGAAGGAGAGGTTATTGGTCAACGTGAAGTCGCCTCCAGAGTAGCCCTATGAGCATGTCAGCTTCGTACTCCCTGCTATTGTTTTTGGCAGCAGGTATGGGAAATTTATGCGAAACTTACATTCAAAGTCCACTCAACGGTTCCATTGCGATTTACCTTGAAGATAGAGCAATAGTGTCTTGATGAGATCAAGAGACTTCGATCGTCAAACCTTTCCACAGAATTGATGTGAAATGGTCCCCAAGGATAACTACTGTTCCTTCCCAGATCACCAAGTGGATACGTAGGCACAGCACTTGCGAGCGAAATCTCGTCGACATGATCGAGGTGGCTCCATTGCCATAGTATCTCGCTATTCGTCACATTGAGTTCCAGCACAATGGAGTCAACGACCCAACCATCTTTCGGGCCACCAATAGATGACAGATCCCACGGCGTGACATTCACAGCGCCGACAAACATTGTACCATCGGATGTAATGAGGTTCTCGTGCATATCGATCCAGCTAAAAGGCTGGTACTGCGCGGGATCGTATAGTGGAGAGATGCTCTCAAGTGGATATGTCGAGTTCCATAGCGTAACATTGTAGATGTTCTCGTACTGTTGGTTAAGAATGTAAACTATCCCATACCCGAAACCCCATGGCTCAGTGAAAGAAATGCCGGCGAAGAAGGCAAGTACAGGTTCGCCAAAAAGCGTGGTCCTTCGAAATGCAGCGTAGTCCCCGTAACCGGACTGCCAGATTAATTCGCCATCCTCTTGAAAAATGTTAAGACTATAGTTGTGCGCCTCACTACCACTCAAGGGGAAGAAAAGATGCCCTGGTGAGCTGGTACCAGTCTTGTTGATGGCGAGCACCGGAGGCTCGAATCCCGGGAGGGATTTGAAGGTTTGCCATGGCCATGGCGAAGTTGTGTTGTTCTGGGCATAAACAAGAAGGGAGGCCAACCAGGCGAGGATGATGCTTCGAATACGCATATTGTAGTGACTGTGAAGTTGAAACCATAAAGCTCAGATGTCTAGGCCACTCAAGTCCTCGACACATACGTTCTTATACGTCCCCATGGGTATGTCGCTGGGATACATCGCGTATCCCTCAACACCGGAGCCTTGAACGGAGGCAATTATGCATGGAGGTTTGCAGACTTTTCCTACACCTTGTCGTAATACGAGCACTCTGCCAAAAAGGGAGTTTCAAGCCGTCGGTAGAATGCTTGCGATTTGGCTCCACCGCAGATGGTGGAGCAAATTATCAATCTCATCTTATCAGATGTAGATCAATCCGACATCGGTATCACGGAGATTTTTCGGCAGCCTTGGCAGTGACGACCATTATCTCCTAAGCAAGATTTTTGCGCCGCTAAGGAGCTTCCTCGGCAAAGCTTGATAGCTCAGGCGGACAATTCAAGGATAAGAGACCCGGTAGTAATATTAACCGCTGGGATGAGTACGGGAAGAATTCTGATAACAATGATGATAACTGTGCAGCTCACTACGCAGGAAGCTGAGAGCTTCGAAGACTTGCAGATGACGCTAAGCCCTTTGGGTTCTTAGCGAAATTGTCGGAGGGTCATCGTCAAAGCTAATACGGTTGACATCCACAAACACCCGGCACTGATCAAATTCAAACTTGGACGCTGATTTGACATTTCTGTGGTGGATCTGATTGCACCATCGTCATGATACCGCTTGTCCATATCATACGCCATGGCGAAGCACTTCACAACGTCCAGCACAGCTATCCGGACAGAGATCCGCCCTTAACAAAAGCCGGCAACGCCTCCACCAAACACCTCAATCTCACTTTCCGACCAGACTTGATCCTCATCTCACCTATGACACGCACGATAGAAACTGCTATGAATATATTTCCTTTCTTGGTCGATGCAGGTCCCTTTGACATTCCCACCCAAATCTGGCCTGATCTTCGAGAAGCCAATGACGCCATCTGCAATAAGGGTTTGTCACGAACAGAGCTGGCGTCGAAGTTTCCGCAATTCGATTTCTCTGAGTGCCATACAGAGTGGGATTATCCAGAACATAGCATCCAAGACGCTACTGCGCGTGCCGAAAGGGTGCGGAGAAGGTTGAAAGACCTTTCTGCAACGTACAGCAACATCGCTGTTATTACGCATCGAGGTATCAAAGCTTTTCTAGTAAAGGGTAAACGCTTTGGATTAGCCGAGACAAGGTGTTACCGCTTTGCTACAGAAGAAGAAGCCCAGGATGAAAAGATAAGAAGAGGCGTGAACACTGATACGCTCGAAGAGCAGGACTTTGGACCCACAGTGTTGATATTGGAAGAAGGGCAGCGGAAAGATCGCTGACACTACGGGAACATTCGATTCAGACATATGAATACGAAAATGAGAGGGGGTGAAACCTCCTTCGGAACACATCATGTTATACGCGTTGCGGTCAAAATCAGCAAGGCTTCTAGGCCATGAGGTAGTTATTGAAAGCGACCATGAACCACGGCGACCCAGCGCCGACCAAGAAGACAAGCACCACAAGCGCTAGAGATGATGCGACAACGCATATCACAAAAGAAAGCTATTGGAGAGCTACCAGCTGCAGTACTAATCATATGATATGTTGCGCGTGCCGTGGGAGAATCTCCAATGAATTGTCTTTGTCCGGGCCATTGTCTAGCTGTAGGCGTGGTCTTAACACCATCGCTGGAAGAGCTTCGATAGCCTCGAGCATGATATCTGTCGACTATCTCATGGCACAATGCCATGGTTCAATTAACCTTCTGCCACGTCCCTGTCAACACGGTGGTTGTGCTTCGACTCCGGTTTTCCTGTCCCCACGGTTGGGCCGCACCCAATAAGATCCGACACTAGGTGAATTACCGAAGATCGTGGTTGTCTGGCGCGAACGACAGAGCGATACTTTCTCATGATCACTTGATGAATTGCAGGAGGCGATACTGTCCAGATTCTCGCACAACTGGTACGACAGAATCTCGCCTGTCTGTCTGTCTGCCACTAGGACTGTGCCACTAGCTATCGGGTCCCTCCATCACCTCTCCTCATAAATTACTCTTCGACCACTGTTACTTAATATTAGCACGCCCTTACACCGTCTACCATCAAGTTTCAACATGTCCGCTTCTTCTCCCTTGGCCAACACCGAACAACCCCAGACCATCAAGACATGGTCATCGAACACCTTAATCGAAAACGCTCGGACCAAACCGAACTTCAGCGCCTACGTACTTTCGAAAAGCAGTAGCAAGACCATTGTGGCCTTACATCCCATCCCTTTGAAGTTTCTTCTGAAACTTACGCATGAGGAGCGAGTAGAGCTAGCTAACAAAACCGATGTCGATATACGCTCCGCTAAGCCAGGACTGCGCAAGCGGCTGTATCATTTATGCTGGAAGATTCGATCAAGCAGATATGCCGGCTGGGTGTCAATAAGAAGGCAACGAGGTGTGCGACAAGTAGTAAGCCTAGTGAGACCACATCAATTGATACCCAGACGTTTAGCGAAAACAGAACCGCCGCTGTCAGCTCATTGGCTACCGTCAAGAGGCTGAACTTTGCGCCTTCGAAAAATATGTCAAATGGGTCAAAAAAGATCGAGACACGTCACGGAATCTGCCCACCAGGTACATCTCTGCTATTCACAATGAGCGCGCTCCGATATCGCTAAAATACATTATCACAACTGAAGAAGATCGAAGTCAACCCATACATAGATAAATCCCCTTACATCGATGGCGAAATGACAACTGAGCAGCTCAAGAGAACCGCCTATGCATCCCATTTACCCTCACGTCATGTAAGCTTCAGTCATACCGTCCAGTATAAAGAGTACGATGACGACAGCCGTCAAAGGACCAAGTGGGTAACCAGCGCGGCCGGAGCACCACGCGATGAGGCCTCCTCAGCCAAGCCTACATTTGACTATGGGACCCGATTACCAGAAATCTTGCTCAAGGAGTACATCGATGAGATGATATGCCTTGGAAACGCTGGTCTTGATGAACTGGAAGAACAGCTCATGCTCTTTCTACGCGGCCTCCCATATGCTAAGGATGACTACTAGTCCGAATCAGTGGCCGATGCATGGAGTCAACCTCCATAGCTCATGCAGCTATATACGATGCGCGTGAAGGGCGTCCACGGAAAGGACAGCCCATCGAAATCACCGTGAAAGCCACTGAGAAGGCGTATGATAACCAAGAGTATGCCCTACAATGGATGAAAGATCCGACATATAAGTCGTGACTCAGGCGTGACAACATGCTTAGTGAGGAGGATCTTTCACGTGAAACAAGCGGTCGGGTACATTGTCAATGAGAAAGGAACGGGGAGTTGTAACCCCAAAGGTTGCGACTGTACACTGTATGGACCTTGGTATTTGAACGTACACAATCGGTAGAAATTCGACACGCCATCTCAATAATCAAGTGTCGATCCTGCACGAAGTGTTCAATATTTTGCGTTGAGCGATGCGCCTATAAAACGCGTCCTAGGGTGGCTTTGACGTTCAAATTCTCATGAGTTTGTTCCATTTCTCTAGCGCGTATTATGCGCTTGTTCCTTCTTTGCTATGCGATATTTTCCGTTGGTTCGATCGTGCCCACTCAGGAATTGCACGTAATCTTGCGAACGTTGCTCTGGGTGATGCATGGCTGCTTTCTTGCTCCGCATATTGATCTGTTCCAGGTTCAAGTAGTTGCTGATGCATGTGTACAGTGCTGCCTTCCTGCTCCTTAATTGGCGAGGTCAAAGCTGCCACAACTTCTCGCTCTTTCTTGCGCCATAGAAGCCATGTACCCACTACCACGACTAGAGTCAGCGTGGTGGTGACCAGAAAGTACAGCCAGATCCAATGAGAGTACACTCGTCCATCTAGATCGTCGTTGAAGTTGAAGAACGTTGTGCTGAAGAATGTCTAGATGAATTGAGCTTACATACTTCGGCTTCGTATGTCACGTTCAGACTTACAGCAGTAAAGGTTGCAGGTAAAAAGAATATTGTGATGGCCGCGATGATTCTCATGACGGCACTATCGCGTGAAGTCGATATTGCCACGCTTTGAGACGACTGTGCCAAATTTGTACTCGTGCTCGCCAAACGAAGACTTGTCGCTGAGTCGCGCTGCGCAATCCCACTGTAGGCCTAGACAAAAGCATGTCAACAGACTGACAACAACGGCTACGCGATACTTACAGTTTGCACCAGGGCTTGTCCTCGCTTGGACAAGTATTCTGCCCGATCCTCGAGACCCGCATTCCAAGACCGGAGTTCAGAATGAGTGTCAAGAAGTAGCTGCTCGATCTCCGTTGAATCGTCTTCGGAGATCTTATTAGCATCAGCCTGCCTTTTATATCTCTTTGCAACCTGGTCAAGGAAGTCAAGCATACGTGTAGTGCTTTTGCAGAGCCATACTGCGTATGCGAGGTTCGTGTTTGCGGCATTGAGATCCTTCGAAAGCGTGCTGAAATCGATGCTAGAAAGTTCGGGGTTATCATGATGGTCGAACCGGATGCCTATCCTGCGTTCATGCCAGTAGATCTTATCTTGCCAAAGATTTAGTGCCTTCACTCGCTGCTCGAGGTTGAAGCGCACGATGATACTTGGGACAATGAAAGCCGAAGTGCTCGCGGCGCCTCCTTGAATCGCATATGAGAATCGGTCGTAGTTGTTGCTTGCGAGGCCATGCATAAAAACGTACATATGTCTGGTGGAAAAATCGTATGTGAAAGAAGCGCTAACACACACGTGGGACATTGCCCCGGGTACAGACTGCAAGATAAAACCTAGAATAATGATATTAGTAGCACGCCCTTCATGACATAACCTCTACTGCTTACTTAGGTATCTCCTTCGCGCTTCTTTTGGCGAGGTAGGCCGCAGAAATAAAGGTATTTGAGGATTAGCGAAGATGTAGGTTGCCGCTTTATAGCCCAAAACGCGTGGATAGATCTCTGGTACCCGCGCAAAGGGAGCAATGCGTCCAAATGTATGTGATGACAAAGGCACAGGCGTCATATCGCCATTGTAATCTCCTATACGTCTGGACCAGCTACGATGAGAACACGTTAGCATTGCATTATTCATAAGACGGGATCGATATGCTCACAAGAGTTTAATAGTCTCCACGTTTGCTGGCTGCTCAATTCTGCTCCCATATGTCTTGGCTCATGTTAACGTGCGTTGCATTAGGCATCAGGCAGACTTGCCGCGAAGTCTCTTTCAATGTATCCCTCGATTAGATCTTCCGTTACTTCCAGTCTTCTTGCATGACCATCACTGGTAACTTCGATCAGCTTCACAGGTGATTCTTTGTTCTCCACAAAGGTCAGCGGCGAGTGCCCCCTAAACATGGATCTTAGCGGTGGCGAGGCTGCTCGGGGCTAGCCTCCTGTGTTTGTAGCGAAGTTGACCAAAATCCAAAGCCGTTGTCAGTAAAGCATCGGCTCGGTGGTGAGAGTAGAAGGACACTGTGGTGCGATGCGATATGTTTGAGCTGAACAACATCAAGAGCTCAGCCGCCGTGGGGGCCAAAGGAGCTGCTCGATCATGATTGGTGGAGAACAGGTGGCTGCACCATCTCGTGTGCACTCAAAAGAACAGATCATCTCATTATTGGAAGCGCGAATTTCGAGAGATGCTGCAGTGCAAACAGATAACACACACGACAGATGCGGAGGGCTGAAGCAGTGGGGTGTTCTTTCCTGGCAGCACTTCAGATGCCGCACTATAATCGGTTTGCGCAAGTGGTTGGGTAAGGTCACATCGCGCACGTGATGGACTCATCGAACGTACCCAGGTATACACGAAAGACAACTTTTAATACAATCACCAAGCGCTATAGCTACATGCGCATCTTCTGGCAACCTTACTGTTGGAAGTGAAAGAAGAGCCGAAGAAAGCCGAGGAAGAGGAACAGGTGCGTACTTGGCATGATCAAGCGATCGTGCTGCGAGCCAAAGCATGTCAATTGCAAAAAGGTTTGTGCCGCACCTGCATACACAGCGCAAAACTACTCGTTTGATGTCGAGACTCCATTTTCAGCACCACGCAGAGCGTCAAGTGCACGATCCAGCTCCTCCTCCGCTACCATGACCGTTCCGGCACGCGCGGTACTCAGATAACTCATCTCAACCGGATCCTCCAGCTGTCCTGTCGTTTCGCCGACCAATCTGCCGGCCACACCACACACAATACCCGTGCTTTCCATTGGCAAGTCCCGTAGATCCAATGTGATGGGTGTCAAAAACTCATCTCTCGAGCCGAGGAGAGTATCTTGCGCGAAATGCGGCAGTAAGGTATGATCAAATAGCAATGCCGCAGATTCGGTGTCAGTTAGCGTGAGGGATAAAAATTTCGGATATGGTTGGGTGATGAGGCATTTTACGAGACCGAGATGGAGTGCGTCGTCGGCGGCAGTGGTCATGCTATTGCGATTTCGAGCTTGGTTGATGCCATTTGCACTATCCCGTCGCCCGGCACACTGAACGAGTCGGATACTAGAGTCCACAGTAGGAACAATATGTCGACGTTTGAGTGTTGCGAAGGTCCTGGTTTGGAGCTCTGAAATGGTGGTTGGCGGTGGGGTGCTGGGCGGCTGAACTTCCAGTGATGCGGCTGAGTGTTTACGGCCATGTTGGAAGGAATTAACATATGAGGAAGTGTCTTTTTCGAATTGGAAGCCACGTTCCTCAAGCGCCTGCACAACCTGTGAACGGTGTCGCAGTGGAACCAGAATGTAGTCGGAGAAGTAAGTGGTGATAAAGAAGATGGGACTAACATCAGGTCAGCCACATGCATAAACTCCGCGGCAAATCTTACTCACATTCCAGCCAGAGCGAGAGGACTGGTAAGCTCCAAGACGCGTTGACCTGCATCAAGTCCTTCACCATCGACTTGCATTACGATGAAGTCATCTGTGGTGATACTAACAGACTCTCTTGACTCTGCATCCAACAGATTGAGAACAGGCACAAACAATTCACTCGCAAGTGTCCTCGAGCATACTATGGAGCACTCAACTGGTGTGATGGAGATGTTCACAAAGGGATGTTCGCAAGGCCAACCTCTAGGCGGCTGCACGGCACCAGAACCGTTCCCGAAAGCCTTGCGCGTTGCATTGGGCAGTACTAGTTGAAGAATTGACTGGAGGAAGTTGCGATACAGGTGCAGTGGGATGTGTATCAAAGCGAGTTGGGTATCCTTAAATGTGATCATGTTAGCTGATGTCCATGGAAGAGAAATTTCTTCGTGGGAGGCAAATTATAAGAGTTGCCCTGCTGTATGTCGTGCATGAAGGACCCGCCACCAAGGCACCCTCCGGTGTAAGACACGGACGCTTTTGCTACCATGCATTGCAGCACGGCGCATGATGAAGAAAAAGCCCACGTACCAAAATTCGGATATTCGCACTGAGGAGAGTCAAAGATGAGTCCATTACGTGCTACGAAGATGAGATAAGAATAGGCCTTCTCGATGACGATCGCTCGCGTGCCGTGGGTAGCTGGCTGCGGGACTCTTTTCTGATTCGGCAAGTCAGGTTTGACAAGGCTTGCTAGGAGGTCCGTGGAGCCTCCAGGAACAGTAGAAAAAGCAAGCTTATCGTTGTTCCGAAACTTTTAAGAAAGCAATGATGGTATGCAGCCACAAATAGAAATGCGGGGGATCGGACGACCAGGCTATCGGTTGATGTGTTCTTGTCCAACAGGCCAGTGCGAAGTATTGTTCTTGAAGCCGAAATTCATCCCACAAGCTGGATATGCGTAACTGGGAAGATATAATGTGTAGCGCCTGGATACCGAGAGAGTATATGGTACAAAGGTGCTGTGAGCAATCGTACCGATTCAGTTACGGACCGATGGCATGCGTGGAAGTGACACAATCGCAGGGCACGGTCTGAAAGCCGGTGTATATGACTTTGAGGCGTGTATTAGGACGAAATGCCGTGAGTCTGGGGTAAAAGATGCAGCGTGGGGATCGATGCAGGTGACCCTTGTCCAATTGGCTGCGACGCTCTCGGATGGTACAGAAGGATGAACCCTAAAGTTGGTTTTCAGGGCAGCGTGCGCAATGCGCGGGGCAAGCTGGGCGCGTGGGGTAGCACACTGGACCGGAATGAACGCTTAGATGATGGCTGGACGCAAGAATCGGTCCTGCGCGTAAAGCGGATGCTGCTGCTGACGTCGACTTCGAAGGCGTGGGACAGAACCTGGTCGAAGGTAGTGTACTGAAAGACAGCTGTCAATGCTGGTGAAGTGGATCAGTGGTTGCTAGGAAGCATCAACGCTTTATGTGAGTCGAAATGCAAGAGTGGAGATATCCGGGTGTGGTGACTCGATGAGGCACCCCGAGAATTTTCCACGACGGCGCGGGCATAATGCTGGGAGATTGGCTTTGTGGCCGGCGGCAAACAACAGTCAACGAGTAGATCAAGTCAGCTTCGATATACGGATGGGACGTCAGAGGCAGCCACAATAGTGCACCCCTTTGTTGCTGGTGTCATGCAGCACTCGACGAGCTGCAAGCAAACCTTGGAATCGTCCGTGCTCCATGCCAACCACCAGCACTTATGCCGCGACTGCAATCCGACCTGCACCCAATCTATCCTGTGCCTGAGGGTACCTGATCGACGCCAGCAACACTGCCAGAGTGTCACAGCATCGAAGACGACGTTTTTACGGCGCCGACGGGCAGACTCTCGGAGAGCCGTTCGACAACCATCACAAGCTTCTTGAATCTCACACGAGATGACGAACGCCATGGCTCTCAGCACGAGCTACGCATCTGCAGTCTCCGACCCCAGCAGCACATGGGATAGAAGCCCCACGAAGTTCATGGGTGTTGCAGGACATGATTGCGTGCATGCAGCATTGCCCTTTGTCCCTGAGCGGGAAGCCGAGCATAGCCGCCGCTGTCGACCGGACCCTGATTAACTATCACTCTTTGCTCCACGTCGCGATACGCGCAGACACTACCCGTCCCGCAGTCGGCACCACTCAATGATAGACAAAGGGTCGGCGATGGACGCCAGAGCAACCAGTACCTTGAAGCGTGCTGTCGTGTAACCAAGGACGCGCCTACCCCGCATCATCTGTCATTTCGCCTGTGCACCCCATCCTTCGAGGACTGTACGTTCACTGGACCCCTTCGCAATGACGTGCACGCGGGTCTAGAGGACGAACAGCTACCCGCAGCTCGGGAGAGCAGCGTCAGCAGGGTGGGTCGTAGTATCATCGAGCTCGGAACTGACCGACATCACCACCATGCGATGATGTCGTCTGCAGGACCCTCTCGGTCCAGCATCCCGGACCCACAAGCGGACGCCGCCTATGCAGCACGCACAATGAACAAGCTCGCGCGAGAGACGCTTCGAATAGCATGCGTGGGGGCTGCTTACCGTCTTACCGCGTCTTGTTCTCTTACCCCTCGCCAACTCACCCATCTTCTCCGCAGTTTATAGCGCTCGCTGTTATTCTTCATACGCTCCACGGAAGACGGAAGACTCCCCGCCATGCATGACAAGGGGTTTGCAGGTAAGACATCGAATGCGACATGGACAGCCTCTAAGACATACGACCGCCTATCAAGACTTGGTTTGATAGTGGCTCGCACAAGACATTGCATGATGCGACTATGGAGTGCCGTTTGACAGTATTGTGGTCGCACTGCATCTACAGATAATGCGATCTTTGTGTCATTTTGCTTCACACCGCGGTTGCTCGGAGCTCGAGATCGACTTTAATAGCCATGACTGGAACGCGGTGCCCACGGCCGGCTCGCTTCATGTACGAACCGTCACCGATCACGAACTGCTATTCCAGCAGATAATCACTGAGCGAAGCGCGACTGGTGAGCTATCCGATAAGGACCAGCATCATCCAACAAGAGAACGAGAAGGATTTTTTTTCTCCAGCTAGCAGGACAGTGCAGTCGCCCAGTGCAAATCTCATGCTGCATAGCACAAGATTGGGTGAATGAAGGGCGTAAGATCACAACATCAAAGACGCATAGTGATGATTCTATACATTCGAGGTGTTCCCAAGATCAGCTATGGTCATCCACCTAGCTTTTCTGATGTTGAGCACATATCATGAAAATCTCATGCGCTATCCAGGCAAATGGTGTCCAAGCACATGGCATCACTTTTCCATTACGCCATCTATCCTTGCATGGCTATCGGTGATATACCAGCATGGCTTTGAAAAGGCCATTCATTGCAGCCAAGACATCACCATATCTGACGAAAGCAGCTTGGTCTTGTTTCAAAACCAACACGTTCTGAGAAGTATGTGCAGTCTTTGGCGCACCCGGCATCGTCACCACATTAACTCTAGGTTGACGATTCTGTTTGTTTTGACATTCATTCCTTGCTCACACGATAATTGGCTGCGATGGGTCACCTTTAGTCCAAGTCTATAGTAACTAAGCGAGAAGAGAGTAATCCAATTGAGTCATTGGGAAAGTACACGTATGGAAGATGTATGAGGGTGTGAACAAAATAGTGAACAGGATGTACTGTTGACAGTAACCCGGCTATGTGATCTAAATTAGCTGTCAAACTATTCATTTGTTGAGTCTAAATATGTTGGTAACGATCACCCAACAACCAATTCACGCTTGACGTTTGATGAGCTCTGACGGATTACCGAGAGCATTGCTTTCACCAAGACCCTGATCATGAGTCGGCGTCTCAGTCCGTGCGCGGTTTCTCGACTCGCGAGACACGCTGTAATCGCGTTACCACAACAAACAGACAACGGCATCACAATTCTTATCATATCCCAGCATCACGACATCGCGACGCTCCCTGTTCATAGCCGCATGTAATAATCATGGTCCGAACACACTCATCGTATACAGCCAGCCCCACGCGCTTCCAATCGCCCCAGCGTAGTCCAGCACGTCGCCCATCTCAAGATGGATCACAATATGAGATGGATCTGGATGCTCTGGGCCTCAACTCCACATTCGAGTCTACCGAACTAGAACACAGCCACCAACCGCCTGTCGACCACGTAGATACGAGCGAGATTGAAGGGCCAGAAGACTTCACTATGAACATGACCTACTGGATGACGGCAGACCTACCCCTGGCACAGATAAAATCGCGGAAAGAAGCCAACACGAAACGGCCCGTGATAAGAATGGACGCTATACAAGATGGAAGCGAGAGTAGACAAGCAACAGAAGTGGGCGAGCCCGTAGTCGTGGTAGAGGATACCGAGCAGCGGAGAAAGAGTCGGTCTCGCACCGCTTCTCCTACAAGGCGCGCAAATGGCACGAAGAACGAGCGCCAGCACAGTATACCAGCATCTGAGCGGTCTATGGAGAATGAAGAGAAAGTTCGGAGCTTTCTGAGCAATCTACCGGACACGGAGATGGAGGGCGCAATTACAGGCACACCGCTGCATGCACCAAGACACAGTTATCTACAAGTTCCGCGATCCTCACCCCCGAAAGCACGATCGCTACAACCTACAGTGGAGGACTACGATACACCGCGGAAACCTACGCAAGAGACAGTAATACGGCACACTTCGGCCGTTATCGATACAAGTGAACAGGACGTGGCACGGAATAGGATCGCAGAGCTGCAACATCGCCTTGAGCAGCAAGAATCTACTTCGAGATCGCGCATTACTGAACTTGAGACGATCCTTTCGTATACTCGCTCAGAGCTCGAAAGCACGCGCAACGACAATTACAAGCATAAAGAGAAGGTGTCAGATCTAGAGAAGAGCATAGAACAGCAACGTGCAGATCACGAAGCAGCTCGCACAGCCGCGGACGCTGACATGAAGGCACGAGAGGATGCGTTGGAGAGCAGGATGCATGAATTTGGAGAAGAAATGCGCCTACAGAATCTTTCAAAGTTGGAGACTATGCTTGAAGAGTTTGAACGAAAACGAAGAAGTCTGGAAGAATCGAAGCGCCAACTTACTGAAGAGGTCGAAGACAAAGATCAAAGGCTAGAAGAAGTCCAAGCAGAGCTAGCGCAAGTACGCCAAATACACGAGCGTGAACTGCATGACCTGAAGGAGACAAAACTACATGAATCTGGACACGGAAATGAGGATGCTGAAAAGGAGCGTTTATTGTTGACCGAGCAACTCTCATCAGTCCAAGCGCGAGCAAATGCTCTGCAGTCAAGCCTCGAAACGGCTACGTCTGACGCAAAGGCAGCTCGTGAGGAGGCTCGAAGAAGACATGAGATGTATTCTGTTGTTGAAACCGAGGCTCAGCACCACACAGCCCGCATTGCCGAACTGGAAGGTCAACTCCAGGCTGCCAAATTCGAAGTCGAATGCTCGCATGCCGATGTAGCAGCTAAACAACAGCTGTTCCATACAAATCTCGACCTCAACTCTCGGCTTCGCACTTTACAATCAGAGCTGGAGACTGCACGAAAGGATGTCACTGCTCTGGACCAAGAAACTCGTCGCTCAGGCGATCTGGAGACTCTCATAAGAGATCTCCAATCGCAACTCGAAGCAGCACGCGCAGACGGTACGACAAAGGAGCAGCACCGTTCGGACACGAGTGAGCTGGAGATGCGAGTGGGTTCTCTCGAGACACAACTTGCATCTGCGCTTGCAGACCTCGCTATCAAAGACCAGCAGCTTCAAGATGCAGCCGCTCTGCAAAGATATGTCAAGTCTCTTGAATCGCAACTCAATCACTCTGGCACCAATAAGACCGCAAGTGATGGACAGCTCCCGGAGGTAGCTGAACTCGAAACGCGCATAAGAACCTTACAGTCCCAACTGCGATCTGCCCAATCCAATCTGACTGCGAAGGAACAAGAGATCTCTTCTTACGTTGATTCGCAAGAGCAGGCTGAGCAACGCATCAACATAGCTCAAGGTCGACTACAAAGCCTCGAGACGGGCAACACGAATCTTCGCCAGCAGCTGGCAGAAGCTCATCGCGAAAGTGCCAAGGCCCGAGCTGATGCAGAACGCTTTGAGCAAGACCTTGAAGATGCCAATGACCGTTTACAGGACGCTCGCACGGCGGCAGATCGCCGCCTGAACGACGTCGAGAAGAAGCTCAGCAAGATGAAAGAGCTGAAACTGGAAGCGGAGAACAAGTACAACGAGTTGCGCGACCAACACGCAGACATGATTGAAGGACACGAGGCCATGATGGAGGACGTTCGCGACAAGGCCGAAGACGCTGTACGCAAAGCCGGTGCATTACTGGAGCAAGAGCGTAGTGAGAAGAGGAGCCTTACCAAGGACCTCAAGCGGGCCAAAGAAGAAGCAGAGAAGCTCCGCGCCGCCACGGCTGCGAAGCTCGCGGAAGAAGACACGGACGACGATACTACCATGTCATCATCTACAACCGGACCGAACGCAAAAGATGCGGAAATCGCCAACCTCCGCGACATCATCCGCAAACAAGTTTCCGAAACCAAGGTGCTTAAATCCGAACTCTCCGCCCTCCGCAAAGACAACAAGAACCTCCAAGCCACATCCACGTCCGTCTCTCAGGACACAATAGCCACCTTGGAGAGCCAACTCTCTGCTCTCCGCTCCGAGAACGAAGCCCTCGAAACCCGTCTTACAAACCAAGCCGCTGAAAACGATGCTATCAATCAGCAGATGGACGAGAAACTAGCCACCTTGCTTAGCAAACTTATGAAGGAGAAGGCTAAGACGGTGGTGGGCAAGCGTGATGGGCAGTGGACGGAGAGTGTGAGGGAACTGGAGGAGGAGAAGAAGTTGCTCGGAAAGGTCGTGATGAGACAATGGGGAAGGGAGGAGGTTGGTGTTGATGAGGAGAGGGAGGCGAAAGATGGGAAACAAGCTTATCGGTACAAGTATGTAAAAAGATGACGCGTGGGAGGAAAAAGAGATTTCAGCTCTTGTTGCATAGCATAGGCGTTATTGGCATCTTGCGATTTGACGACTTGATGACTTGTTATATACGGGCTATTTCTAAGCTTCATGGTAAATACACGTTAGTGGATGATGTCGCGATGCTGCCCATCTTACGAATCTTTGTATCAGCACATGCGCATACTTTTGCTCGCAAACATATGATAGTAATCGTTGCATTCGAAAACCTGCCTCTTGCCCATTGAAGAGAAAATTGAGGCGCTCCGTACCGCTATGAAGTAAGTCGGCGCGTGTCATCAGACTTTTCTTTCGCCAATACGCCGTTGAACGCCCTTGTCATGCCTCCACCACTCTCAGCCCATCCTCCGCCCCCTCAAGACGCCGCGTCTCCAGCTACATCGCATCACGTATCCTTGATCCCCATCACTGTCTTTCGCCCGTGTAATAACATTGATCGTACATTCTTGTGCGCTTACACCTTCTCAGCGACCTTGTTCTCTGTACCCACAGTTAGCTCTGATTCCCCAACGTATCCCCCTATAGGATTATGCGGTTTCCAACATACTCTGCTGTGTCAAAAGCAGTCCGTAGCGCTTCTTGATGGTGACCCTGTGCCTCGAGTACTTGTCGTCGGGCGAGAAACGAGCGGGATGCGCGCTCTTGCTGACTTCGCCATCGATGACCTTCTTCAGCGTGTAGATGCGCTTGGCCGGGTTCTCCGGGTCGGGAATGTACATGAGATGCATGCTGTGAAGAGGTCAGTTTTGCGCTCTTTTCGGCTGATCTCACGGTTGCTGGGGCCGCGCAGTCTGCGCTACCATGGCGCTGAATGCGAAGGATAAACTGACATTTCAGTGTTGAGATTGCGTAAGATTTACGGTGAGTAATGGGTGTTGCTGAGCGAATGTGATGGGTGGTAAGGTGGGTTGTCGCGTAGGATAAGTTCGCGATATCGAAGCTTGAATATTCCAGCGGAGTTTTTTGCGGACCACCGAGCTCTGGGTTTCTTGCCAAGACTATACCCCTGCCACCCAACTTTACCTTGTTTGGCCTGTTTGCATCAACTGGACCAAACCTCCACATCATCCACTTCGCACATAGCCGTCTATTGAACTTTACCAGTTTGATTTCGTATCGTCGTCGTCGTCGTATACACTTCGAAACACCACAGTGACCATGGCGCGATTCCAAATTATCCTCGCAGTCCTCGCATCATTCATATGGTGCTCAAGCGCACAGTTCGGCTTCTTCGATCAGATGTTCGGTGGTGGTGGAGGGCAGCAACATCAGGAGCCGCAGAATGTGAGGAGTGATAGTAGTTGGTATCAAGCACAGTATGAGGCTGGTATGTTACTCTCCTCCTTCTCCCCATATTGCGCACTCGCTCCCACTTCTCTACCTGCACCTCAATTTCACGGCACATGCGCCTTCTACAATCCCATCTACCAGCGAGATACCGATGTCCTTGGCTAACATGACCTCTCAGCACAATGTTCTCACTACCTCTGCCCCGGCACCCTTTCCTGCGTCCACTTCCCGCACCACTGCCCTTGCGCCTGGGACAGCACAGAAGAAAAGGTCGAGCTTGGTGATGGAATCGCCATCTGTGGCAGCAAGGGAGGATGGAGCAATGGCGAATTTGGCAAGAAGGTTGATTTGGCTAGGAAGGGTTTGCTCTAAAGGGTGACGGCTTGATCATGATATAAGAGAAGGAACGCAATTGGAGTCGGCAAAGGTACGCTGGGCTGCGGGGAGCTCATATCGGATGGACACGAAGGATATGAGCACATCTTGCACAATATCCCACGGCAAATCAGAGGATATTCAATTCATTGCAAGCGACAAACGATCCATGGTTGCAACGTATAAGAAGTAATATGTATTACAGCTAAAGTATATGTATGAATCGTGAGATGACGAAGTTGCCGAAAATAAGGTGGCCTATAGGTATAGAGTCGAAGTGAAAATAAGAGCAAAAGAAGAAGAACGAAGGACGCCACACACTATCCTAAAACACACCATCCCAAAACACCAAGCCGATGATCTACCTTCTCCCCGACCTACAACGTACATCTCCTCCACGTCTTCTTCTCGTTCGTCATCCTCTTAATCACCTCCTCCACATGCGCAAACTGCTCGTAGAACTTGAGACTCTCCGGATTCGCCAACGTCCCACTCGGCTTGATCTTCTTCCCGGACACAATCTGCTTGACAGGTAGTTCGACCTTTTTCAGATTTACCGTAGTCTGCCGAATATCCGTTAGTTGCAAAAAAACAACTAGAACGCAAAGGGTAAACTTACCGGAATGTCCCAAGTTTGGAACACAAACCTAGGAACATGTCGTCGACTCCTCTCCTCTGCAATCTTGTTCTTGATCTTTTTCACCAGCGACTCAGTGTACTCGAACCCCTTGTTCATCTTGAGAAAGAGTATAACACTCTCATCTACATCCCTCGGTCGCCGTTGTCCCACACAGATACTATCCGCCACCTCGGGAAAGTGCGTTTCGACAACACTGTAAATATCCGCGGATCCGAAACGAACACCGCTAGGATTCAACACGCCGTCTGCGCGGCCGAGGAACAGGATTTGACCTGTAATGGGATGCATTTGGATGAAGTCGCCGTGCGTCCATACACCAGGGAAACGGGTAAAGTATGCAGACTGGTACCGCGTATTTTGAGCGTCGTCGCCCCAGAAGTAGATTGGCTGGTTGGGGAAGGAGGCTGTGGCGACGAGCTCGCCTGGCTCACCGTCGGGGACTGCGCAGCCGGGACCGGATTCGATGAGGGAGTCGTAAACTTGTATCTTGGTGCCTAGACCGGGTCCTTGACATCCGCCTACGTAAACGGGCTCGAGTGGGTTTTCGAGTCCAAAGCGTCCGGCTATGTCGGTGCCGCCGGATTGGTTGCGTAGGTGGACGGAGGCGGGAAAACCAGTGTCGTAGAACCATTCGAATTGTGCTTCTGTGAGGACCATACCGGTCGTTCCTACGCTTTTTAAGTGGGAGAACTGGAAGAGGTTGCGGGGTGCAATGTTTCGCTTTTGGAGCTCGTGGAGGAAGCGTGGGGAGGTGCCGAAGTCGGTTATGCGCTGTTCTTCTAGGATGGAGAGGAAGGCTTCGGGGGTGGGTTGGAAGGGGGAGCCGTCGTAAAGAATAGTGCGGGTGCCGAAGAGACAGACTTGTACGGATACAACGTACATGATCCATCCAGTCTGTGTTTGTCGGTCAGTTGATCTGTAAAATCGACATTAGATAGAGGAAGAACTTACTGTAGTGTACTGCAGAGCCACACTCTCGGGCGTCATCTCCTTGTGCAGTATGCTCTCTTTGCAAACATTGATGAGCACACCGCCAGTCGAATGCACAATGCACTTCGGCACGCCCGTTGTTCCACTCGAGTAAACAATCAGAAACGGATCTCTGAAAGCCACCCTCTCGAACACCAACGTATTGTCCCCACCCGCAAGCTCCAAAAACTCATCCAAGCGCACCGTCTTCGCCAAACCCGCAACGTCAGCCGGCCTTCCAGGAAACCTAGCCTGCACAACCACACCCTCAAACTCTTCCACACCACCCCTCTCCATACCCTCAAGTATCTCCTCAATCTTCGGTCTCAAATCAAAAGTCTTGCCATTATACACGGCCCAATCATCCACAAAAACGTACTTGGGACGAATCTGCAACAACCGTTCGAGAATGCCTTTGGCGCCCATATCAGTACTACTAGAACTGAAGAGTGCGCCCACGGCAACCGTCGCCATAAACGCAACAAAAGTATCGAAACTCGTTGACGCGATAACAGCAACGCGATCCCCCTTTCCTACCCCCCTAGCGCGCAGCGCATTCGCGAGAACACCCACGCGCCGGCGCAAATCACCCCATGTCAGATGTCGGACTTCGGTGTTTCCCTCGCGGATCTCTGTTAAGGCGATTTTAGATTCTTCTTTGTGGGTCGTGGTGCGGACAGAAGAGTCGGTAGGGGAGGCGGTGAAGAGGATGTTTTCGGCAAAGTTGAGGTGTGTGCCGTGGAACCAGTGGGGGTTTGTTTCCATGGGGAGCGAGGTGTCGACGACGGTTGTATAGGTGCCTGAGTAGATCAGGTTGCTGGCTTTCCACATGTCGGTCCAGAAATCGGTGCGCGAGGGGCCCACGCTCCAGTTGTAGAGGTCGCGGAAGGTCTAGGAGAAACATGTTAGCAGTGTTACATGTGATGTACTTGTTACTACTGGTTCCTGTTGTAAACCAAATCAAGTCTTTGATGGCACGCGACAGGCTCGTGTCCATGTCCATGTCATTAAACTTTTGCGCTTCGCACAAGAGGCACATGTTCCGCCTTCTCGTCCCAATCGGCCATGACTTGTTGATCAAGTGGAAGATCGTGTTCGACAAACTTGATGCTCCACCCAGCTCTCATTCCTCTTCCCATCCTGTCCAGTCCAAGGAGAAAGACGTACCTGCATCTGGAGTCCTCGTTTCGCATTGGCATCCTGCATAAACTTCCACATAGCCGTAGACTTTGGATCCGGATGTTCCCATAGTTTCCGCGGTGTAGACGCTGCCGTAACCATCATCACCGGTACTTGGTACTCGACCTCGGTTTGCACAAGCATGGTCGCCATTTTCTGCGTGGAGAGTGCGAGAGTTCAATTAAAACGAGTGTATGAAAAAGAATCAAGGAAGAAACGAAGTGAAGTGAGTGTACGTTGAGTTTTGCACTGAAGTTCTCTCAAAGGTACTGTTATCTTGATATGTAGTGTATACTTCCAATGACAGAAATTCACATGCAATGCACTTGTTGTGGCATATTTCCTTCTTCCGCCCCAACAATCGGCATTCACCATGCCGGGACGCGTGCTTTGGGTCAACAACAAAGCACGACAGCCTCGAACAAGATGTGCCAAGTAAGGTACAAGGAACTTAAATCCATTAGTTTCCACGTGTAGTCCATGAGATCTGCGAAAACGTACCTTGGCCTTCGGGTACAAAGGGGAATGTCATGGACGTTTATGTTTTTCGACATACAGAAACTTCGTTACACAATTGATATGTATCCGCCAATGACCTGTCGCTTTCTCTTCTACTCGTTGCGGTCATTTTGTCGATGGGTTGAAGGCATGCGGGGAAGCTTGGATACAGAAGCCTCGTAGCCGAAGCGAACGTTTTTCGTTATACAGTGTTGCTTTTATCGCTTATCGTGTCTTGTCTGCCTATTTTGTTGGGATGTTTGCGTGCATCTCAATCGATAAGGTTACTTCTTTTCTGTTTTCAGAGTTGATACTGTAATATTGTCGTTAGTTGCGCATCAATTGGATCGTTCAGGTTCACTTTCGGGGTTGCCGAGGTCTGGACGCTCTATGTTCCAGCTCATGTGCGATTCGAATAGTTGGAGCGAACACAGTACCGCGAAGGCGAGTGCTTTGCATTCGTGGTCATCATCGGTTGAGTATGCGATCTGGACCCTAACGAGGTGTGCGATGACACGTGGCAGTTCCCAGTGCGCGCGTGTGCATCATGAATTATAGAGACGGACTACCCATCTGATGATGACGCACCATGAAGGCGAACACTGAATTTGTCAATAAACACACGGCTCCAACATTGTACAACTGAGTGACGAGAAGTCATATGGCGCCGAAGTTGGGCCGTTGTTGACTGTCTTTCCATCTGTCCTCATGTCAGTGTTCCCGCAGCAGAACTCGTGCCATACTTACCCCACGCGATACATCGACCGGCTAATCTTCCACCCTTGCGACATCTGTAATATGGGCATAACTATAGCTTAGAAATAGCTTCTTGCGCCACCTACCAGTTTTACTGTCATTGGTGCGACTTACCCCACGATTGTGGTCAGGAAGCGGTAACCGGTACATGTACGCCGCGATGGTGGTCGAAAATAATCTATACGAAACTCGCTTCCAAGTAAAAGCTGATTGATGGTGTGCCGACAATATCATCACCGATGATCAAATGTTCGAGAAGTTTCTGCTGAGCTGTGGATATTTGCCGAGACTTTCACAGGCTGACCCGCCGACCAAGACCGGAGGTTTCCTGTCAATTGGAATTATTTGGTCTTTCTGAGCCTCTCACACCGCAAATTGTGTTTGTTCCAGCGGCCAGCGCTTCATGACATCTGTTTGCGCTCCGATGTTGACGGGTCGACCATTGAGGCTGTGGTCCGGGGGATAATGTTGCCGCTAGAAATTAGGACCAATCAAGACATGTTCAAAGTGACTCAGTGTACGAAAAGGTTCAGCTGTCAGCACGACCCGTATACATCTGTGCCACAAGGCCCTTGAACCGTCAGCACCGTTGGTGGTACAGTTGGAACACGGACCAGTAGCTCCATCGGAGATCATAGCGTCAAAGTAAGACCATGCATCAGACGGCACCTGTGCGACTTCATGGGGCTGAATGTTGGCGCTTGTCTTGAAATCCTGGAGCCAGTATCTGTCAACTCCAACTAGACTGGGCACAACCGAGATGCGAACCCGAATCGCGCTGTCGTAAAGAAGAATTGTTCTCACCCGCTATGTAGAATCGCCCCCTTGCTTTGAAGCGTACACAGTCCTGCGGCCATTCTTTACTCGACTGCTTGTGTTCTTGGAGCGCCAACGTGGTGCGGTGGCCGTGACAAATCGGGTGGAGGGGCGTCTCCGGTATTTGCGCATCTCCTCGCAAGCAGCCGATACCGTCACAACGTTAAGACGATGAGGGGATGTCCGAAGCGGGGGTTGGTACTACGCCATACGGTTGAGCGTGGCAGCATGTGCGGGACCGTCACGATGACACTAGATATGAGACATGCAGGACTCGATGCGGGGCCCAGACGGCACGTTTGAGGGTGAACCGGAGGATTGTTCAGAATGATGCGAACATGATGAAAAGAAAAGCAGACGATGAAACGGCCGTTGGTGTTGGAGTACCGAACTCTTTTGGGTGTGCCTTGCCAGCCTTGTGACGTAAGATGATAGGAATAGACCATTAGGATGCAATAGGCTACCACAAGGCTACCAGAGAAGATGCTCAGGTCAGCCGTAGTGGCTAACAATGGAACGTTGTCTGAACTTTGCTGCAGCGACTTTCCGATCGCGTTGCGACCAGGGCCTGGCATGCTGATGGTAGCGTGCGAGGCTCTCCTGAGGTCTGCCCTGATGACTGGCATTGACTGCAACCCTCACGAGACTCACCGTCCATCGATCAATCATCTGCAAAGCATTTCAGTTACTGTGAGCAGCTAGCACGGTCCTAACCTCCGACGATAAGCTGCTAGAGGCGTAGTGCAATATACCCAGATTGCCGAGTCGATGCTAGTGGCTCCATTCGGCGACGTGACTGACTCTTGAGGTAATCAGAAGACGCTCGCAGATAATTCGCGGGACACGTCTTGACTCGATGCAAGCTTCTGCAGTTTGTGATTGATGATTGAGTGTGGCACACGATGAACTGTAGGTATAGGCTGCGAAGGGGGCCAGGGTAGGCCTGGAAATGATGTTGGCGGTGTGGGCAATAGCAGGTGCAGCGACGAATGGCAAGGCGGTGACCGTGCACACGGTCTGCACGTAAAATGGAGCTCAGGTGTGTTGGACCGAGAATAGAGCCAGGCGATCAGCATGTTCCTGAGATGCCAAGTGGATTTCGGAGCCCGCTGCATGCGCTGCAAAGATAGGTGTGACGACCAAGGACATTCTCGTGCAGTCAGCAGCTGTGCGACTCTGGGTCTGCTGGACGAGGACGCTGGGGGCATGCGTCGGAACAAAGTCCACACCATGGGGTGCCGTGGGCTCTTGGGAAGGTTTGAAGAAAGAAGGGTCTTGCAGGGCTCCCAGATCTTGCCAACGCAAGCCACGGTTAGAGCGGGCAAAGAAAAAAGACATGGTGACAGTTATCGATGATCCTTTCGGCAATGGCGTTGGCCGCTCCATAGGCTAACCCCACACGGTGGGCGCCCCATTGCCAGACGACGGACGCTGAGTGGTGCTGCCCCTGAGCGGCACAGGAATACCTGTCAGGTCACCGTCGAGAAAGGAAATGGTGCCCTGTTCGCGCTGATGAAAGGATGGCGATCGTGAAGGCGTCCCGTCCTCTTGTGACATTGCCATCGCAACGCGCCACGGTCCTTTTGCAACGGCATCAGTCTGGTGTGCACGCCATGAGTTCCCGGTAGGCGCGCGAGAGGTGCTGAGGGTGTGCGCGCTGAAGTCTTTGAAACCCATCGTGGGCCACTCACATCGGGCCCCCCAGCACACGTCGCCGGGCGGCAGCTAGTGCGAGGTGCAGAAGGCTGGAGGGTTGCGCCATGGAAAGTCGTCAGTGCCTGGTGCTAGGCCTACGTGAGATGATGCATGGCGCACCGACACGGTGAACTGACTCTTGGGTCCCCTCCCTGCTCGCTCGCCCGTCTCTACCGTACTCGGTTGTACTTGAAACCTCGACGGCTGCCAGGGGTGCAGAACCTGGAAAGTGCAGCAATATATACAGTCGTCGCCAATTTGTGTAATATTGCGTCGGCCGTTCTTCCACCCCTCGCACTGTTGGACGCTACCCTACACCCTATACCCGCAGTGCCCCTCCACGATATCTCACACTCGAGCTGTTGCTACTTACTACGAAGCCGAAGCCGTGCGACAAGACCAGTCTCACTCAAGACGGCGTCTTGCCTTGTGTTCCTAAGCCACGCACACGCCTCCGACCATTGGCGCGTAGGACCTGCACGCCTTTGGTTTCAACCCTCGCCGGCTGCCGCTCAGTCCGATATATCATTACCACCGGACGAGCCACTACAGCTGCAATTCCTACTCCTCACTAGCAATCATGGTCGACGTAACTGTAACTTCGCAGTTGAAGCAGTGGACATTCGACAAGCCCCAAGTCGTCGCACGCCCCCAACGATCCAGTACTGACAGTGCCGCGTCGAGCCCTAACCTGTGCGACGATGCTCCCGAGACCCTACGCATAGACTCCGCTACCACGCAACCATCGAGCCCACCCACCACCAAGAAGGAGAGCGCCGTCTTCCAGGAGCGATACCTATCAAGCGAAGAAGACCTGACTGCCGACGACGGCTCGGGTTCTGAGTCTGAATACGACTACGATGATGTTGTTGTCCATGACCTCTCACACGAGTGCAAGGCGAGGACCATGTCCGTGTCAAGATGGGACAAAGGAAAGAGTTGCGACATGGCCGTGCTAGTCTCCTACGCCCATGCGGGCCGTCCCAAGGTTGTTGAGAACCAGCGCTCACCCGTCGATCGCCCAGCGGTCCAGCAACGCTCGGCTTCTGTCGCGAACCTGCTCCCAGTCACATCAGCTAGTAAACTACGAAAGGCAGACGAGGCACAGCGACTGTCCATGAAGGTGCTGCCTACAAGTCATCTCGCCTCCTCTCTTTCGCGCTCCTCCACATCGCCCGTCGCCGACCCCGAGCCTCGACGACCGTCTACCAGCCACAGCCCCATCACCCAGAAGACTACCACATATTCCGACTCCGCTTCCTTCACATCATCGTTCCAGACTGCATCCACTCGCAGCTACTCACCCGCACCGAGCCATGCTCAGAGCGAGGTACCTCGTCGACCCTCCACCTCCACCGCTGGAGAACCACATTCGGCTCGTTCGTCCGTATACGTGCCCGCAAAATCCCGTCTTGACCTGGCACGGATACAAACATCGCAGTCATCTTATCAATCATCGTCGTCGTACAGGCAATCACAATTCATGCCATTGACTCCCAACTCACCAGCACTCTCCTTTCTCAGTTCCGACCCATACGAGAACTCGAATAAAAGCGCAGCATCGCCCATCATCAAGAAGCCTGCTGCGCACCGACGGTTACGATCGATATCAATGAAGCTTTCTCTGGCCAAGATTGCCATCTCACCAGCGAAAAAGCCATACGACTCTCGCATCAACGGCAAGGCTCCCCCCACACCAATCACACCAGCGCCCATGACGCCTCAGACTGCACCCATCGAGGGTTCAGCCAGCTTCTCCAGCCCAAACAAGCTCCGTCGTGCGTCAACTATCCTCCGACCAAAGTCTCGGGGAAGCGATTCCAAGAGGGCGCCAACACCAGAAATGGCTCCTCCTGTCCCTCAGCTCAACACCAGCACCATGCAGCAAAAGCGCGCAACCACCATGGGCAGGATGACAGCCCGCGGCGCCAACGAGCGTGAGCCTACTCTCGTGATTCCAGAGTTCCCAACAAACGACAACGACGACCCCATGTCCAGCATCAAGAGCCGCGCAATCCGCCGACGAAAGTCACTAATGGATTTCATGGATTCGCTGTAAACGCATGAAGACCTCCCTTTGTTTCGAAACGCATCTCCACCCCCCGAACGCATAAACGCATAGACGACACACCAGTCTGCGACTACCTTGTACATTCTACCATACCTATACTACCTTCTCCCTGCTCGCCATCCTGGCACTTAATCCTTAGCGCATAATACCCGGTGTACCCATAGCGCACGACATCGCATCTCCTTGTCATCAGATTTCATTCCTGTTTGTCCTTGGAGGTTACGATACCCTCCCGAGCTACCTCGTCGTTGGCAATTGCGAAGTGTTCGCCGCCACACACACTGTCTGTCGCTATCCATCGCATCCAGCATGCATATTTTCTTCCTATCCTACAATTTGTCGCACATTCGTAGCTTTTGACTTTGTTTTGTTTGGAAATGAACGGTTATGATATCCCATTAGTATTACCTAGTTGTCGTCGCCTAGCGAGATGAGAGAATTAGAATCTACTTGTTCGCTTACAATTCACACCTACCACTCACAAAGCTCCACACACATTGATGATTGTCGCTAACACGTTTGTCTTGTGACGTACTTGTCCAAAACATCATGCCATCAATTTGCGACAACGATATCACCGGCGCGCATGCACCATGACGCCACGCATGCCCAACCCCAACCACCAGGTTTCCAACCTCCAAGTTTCCCAGGCATCAACTCATCAACTCCCAACGTCGCCCTCCCACGCACGCCCAGCCAGCCCAAACACCACGGTCCAATATGACGTTGCCAGACCCTCTCTACAGTGGGCCTTCGGCCTCAAATCCAAGTTTCCTTTTCCCACAGTTGCACTTCCGAAAAAGGTAGTGGACCGACTGGATTCGGCGTCTCCACTCTTATCCTTGCCGCGGACCGAAGAAGTCAAGGACCCAGTTTAACTGTTGCTTTGAGGCTTGGCTATGTTAGGGTTATGTGGGGACAGGTACCCTTGTTTGGCAATATCTGAGAGGACGAGGCGAAGAGAAGAAGATCTTTGGGAAGAAGAAACATGGGACCTATCGGCTAACACCGACGCCTTCTGGTATAACGTGGAGTACCGTCAGTTGGTGATGGTTCGCTTAGGGAAATTTGCATTCACAAACTCACTATGCTTTTTTGATCGGGTATGCAAACGACGGTAGAGACTGAAGCGAGGTAGCGAGAACGCCTCTCCGGTTACAGTTGCAGTGCTACGAGGCCACGAAATTTGCTTTGCCAAACCTTGGGAGCAGCCAAACTTCCGTTCACTTTCCTCGCCTCCATCACACAACACCAATGACACAGTACCGACTCGACTCAATCTCGGTATCCATGCTCGGCTATCCTGACTAAGTCTACAATAAACACCGTTCCCTCGCAACCGTTGTTCTCCACCAAGCACCCACCCACACACAATGCATCTGACCACGCAGACCCTCATCTGACCACGCAGACCCTCATCTGCTCATCACACCACCACACACATCCCCCACTCTCACAATGCAAAATGAACAGCCTCACTCAAGGCGATCATAATATCCGGCTCACCCTTGTCTATAGCAAGACGGAGATTGACAAAAGGGAATAAAAAAAACCTCCGCGCGGAGGGCCGCGCGCTTCCCATATCTCGCCGTCAAACAACCGTCCGATCAGATACCCGTCATCTCAAACGTACCAAAGGTTCACCATGTCATGTCACCACCCATGATCGTTGCCCGCGCTGCGGCTGCTACTGCTAAATTTCTCCGTGTGGCCCTAGCTTCCAAGATGCCGAAGATACGTAGTCAATAAGTCAGTAGAGTCACCAAGTGCATTGTCGTGCCGTGCCATTGTGATTGTGGTTCGTCAAGGTGAAACGCGTTAGTTGCGCGAGATTTTCTGGAAAAAGTAAGGAAGGGGGCTTGCCAAGTCGAAACGCGGAACAAGTAGATATGGATTGTGATTGTGGGATTCGGAGAAAGGCACGGGAGGTATTGCGTGCAGGAGGTATGCATATGAAGGCTGTTTGATCGACCGCGAGGGATGCAGAAGTGGAGATGAAGGTGGGTGTAACGGGGATGAGGCTTGCAGTTGCTAGGATATGGTGATAAGGGAAGGGATGGGAAGAGGTGGAAGGAACGGTTGGCGTGGTGAGAGTGTCATGTGATTGCGCGTCTTTGCTTTCGAACAGGACGCGTCTAGGTTGTGGTCCTGAAGCTGTAGTGTCAAGCGTATCGATGGGCTTGAGTTCTGCTGATGCAATGTCCTAGTGCGGGAGAACACTGCACCACTCTTGCGTTTCGAGGACAAATGCGTCGATTTGCATATATGTCAAGTTCTCAGCTTTCTCTAACTTCTTGTTGAGCTAGCTGCTCATGGCACTTGGACATACACCACCGCCGCACTCGTCAAACATGTTGCATACATCTAGGCTGTGGCATAGCGGTCTATATCCCTCCCCTTGTTCATGTGAAGAAAGTGGCGGTACTTAGAGCTCGTCCGTCCTACCATTCCCATCCCTCCGATTCCTCCTCATGGATTACATCTTCTGTGTTCAAGATATCACACTCGGCGCAAATCATTCGTTTCGTGAGTTCAGGTTTCAAACGTACACGAATGCTTTGTTTTGAACCTGGGAAATGAAACACCGCGCTTGAAACTCTCGGAATACCCCAAGATGCCATCTTTTGAAGTAGCTGAGTCTGAGTATTTGCCCCTTGCGTGAGGAACTGCTGCAGACTGTAGAGTTCCGTCGACCATCTGTAGGTGCCTATCACTGTATATTGTACTGTTTCGATGTTCGTGGACCATCCAAAGGCTAATATCGTGAATTCTGACCTAATTTTCATATCACGTATGAGTTCGGTACTAAATGTTAGACGTGCTGTGAACTTTACTCCAGCACAATCTGTCCGGTCACCATCTGGCGTGAAAAAAACCATGTCTTCGTCGTCGAAGCAACCACAAATAACCTCCGAACTCAAGTCCACTTCTGATGCAGCTTTGTTCATCGTATGTCCAATGCACAAAAAGTGTCGACGACTTGAGCTTACAGAAATTGGCGTCCAGGGATACTCTTGGAGAAGAGAAGGGGACCATACTAGTGGGTTTGTAGGAGGTTGTGCAATAAGAACATATCTGTAGTCTCGAGACCCTTGTCTGAGAAGCGTATCCTCGTACGCATAAAGACTGTACGGGCTGTCTCGAACGAAAGTGTCCGATCCGACCTGTCGCAGCCGCACAGCAAGATCGGCACCCGTTGTTGTCCGACAGTATAGTGGCAGCACATGATGTATACCACTGTCGACACGAAAGATGGAGTTTGTCTTAACCCCGTTGTTTGATATAGAAAAATCAATGAAGAGACCACCAAACAACGCAGTCTGGAATGATCCAGCATGTTCGAATGGAACCGGAGACTGGGCCAAGACTCCACAATGAAGCGGGTGGTCAGGATCCATCACCATTGGATCTGTGAGTGACGGTTCGGCCATCCAAGCAAAGATACTGAGGTCAGAGTTTGTTTTGATGATCTCTTCTTGTAGTCTCCGGAAGGCTCTCGATTCTTCTCCATATAACAGGGGCATATTGACATTGAATAGCCCAAGTAGACAATATGCCATGTCTTCGATGCGAGTTGTTTCTCGCTTTGAAGCCCAAGACATCTTGCGAGCAACGCATACTGATGAGAGAGACTCGTTGTGCGATAGTATGCCAAGGTCGATACCAGTAATGAGCGATAGCTGATGACAAAGATCCTTCTTGGTTCCCACTTGGTTCCATTGCCAATCGAAAAAGAGCACATCGGATGGCGCTATCAACTCTTGTAGGGTCCAGCCACGACTAAACCTATGCTAGAGGTAAGCCCGAGTCCTAAAGTGACTGATGTTACTTACCACCGGCACTTTGATAGCTGCGTTCCCAGATCCGCACCTGCCTCGAGGTCTGAGAAATACACATAACATCTTTGACTTCTTTGGTACCATCGATACATTGAGTTGATAGCCTCGGTCAACTCCGCGCTGCTGCCCTTGTCGATGCAACATGTATCTACCCATGCATAAGACAAACCGCTCTGATTAGCTAGCTCAAGTGTCTTCCGGATTTTCTCATATCCTTTCTTGTGTGAACAAGCGCCACCGAGATAGTCCTGATACGACACTTCCTCCTCTTCCCAAGTATGCGATAGTATCGCATATTCTGGGATATTTCGACCAATGAACTCTTCGAAGGCTCCTGAGCTGGTGTTGATAAGCCGCGTGTTTCAAAGTACACAGAATGATGTGAGAGGACTAAAGGATGTGGTTCGAGTGACAAGACTTGGGGATCAGGCTGAGCGAAGCGAAGGGGGCTCAGCCTGATCGCTTACGATCATGGATGGAACGACGCCACCACCACCATTATGGAGAGCTGACAAGGCATAATCAAACAACTGCGACATTGTACATTACCATCATACCATGTATGCTAAACTCTGGATGAGGTCAAGATCTGGAATCTCTCGCCATACATAGACATCAAAAAGCCACATTGTAGAGCCAAGCGTAAACCCAAAACTCGAATCTCGTTTTTACGAGTGATTCGCAATGTCCTCAAGGAATGCCTAGTGACTATTCATGGTATTATGTTGCGTCTAATGTTGGAGCATGGCTCATCGCGTCTTGATGCGCTAGCTTGTTTAGCGCCGAGCGACGTCATGGTGATTCGCGTTTTGGCGTGACGGCTCCACTTTCACAAGCCTCCAAGACGCGCATCTCTCTCCGTTAAACCTCTGGTACGTTAACTACAGAGTGATGCTTGTCGCTTAGCAAACATGGCATCTGCGAGCGATGTTCTTACGCTCGTCAGCTCTTTGACCCTTCGTCTTAGCATATGGATCTTTCTGCGATGGGTATGTATATGGGGAGCAACCAATAGCTTGATGCACGTAGCTAATCAGTCTGCAGATACCCACGACAATTGTCCCTGCACTCGCGACTGCACTCACGCTCGTCTACATTCCTTCCTTCTTTAGCAGCTTCCAAGACACGGCGCAGTACAGGATTATATCCGATGAACTCGACATCATCGTGAAGGAGACTCTTGAAGGACGAAGCGATGATTCCAGCGAAGAGGTACAACTCATCGACGGTGCAGATGAGGGGCCACTGGCAGAGCTCGACGTCCAAGAGACTGTTCAGTATGAGGAAAGGGAGCCCAAGGTGCTGCGCACGTTGCTCACTGGTCTTCCGAGTCCTTCATCAGCACTATGGAGCTGGATCACCTTTGGAATCAACATGGCTCTCATCGCCATGGCCTTGGATGTTGTCTATCGCGCACCATTGCTTCATCAATGCCATGACGCGAGCTTCGCGCGTGTCGGATACGTGTCGGAGAACAGCGCAAAGATCCTGGTGCGAGAGCCATATGCCTTTGATGTGAAGGTCCTCTATCGCTCAATCGATGGCACCGAACGATCGTGGATGCACAAGACACATCGCGCCAGCCAACCCGAAAACTGGCTTACGAACGAGACCGATTTCACAACCGTCATGAAAATCGAGCACCTACGACCCGATCTGCCTTACGAGTACGTCGTTGAGACTTCGCGCGGAAATATTACGGGCACTTTTACAACTGCGCCCCGACCGGGCCGCATATCGATGTTGAAGGACAACAAATATACGTTCGTCCACTCGAGTTGCATCAAGCCCCGCGTCCCATACACACCATTCCAACACCCTCTCGAGTTCCCAGGCATGAAACACCTTGCGCGCTGGCTACCGGAACTCAAGCCATACTTCATGCTCTTCCTCGGTGATTTCATCTACGTGGATGTGCCACACCGTCAAGGCAACGATGCTGAGACATACAGACGCGAATACCGTCAGGTCTACTCATCACCATCATGGCCAGCAGTGAGCGAGAACTTACCGTGGATCCATGTCATAGACGACCATGAGATTCACAATGACTGGAACAGTAACATGACGGGCGTAGCAGTCCCAGCCTACGACGCCTTCACGCATTACAACGCTGCACCCAACCCACCCCCTCATCGCGAAGGCGTCACATACTTCTCCTTCACACAAGGTCCCGCCGAGTTCTTCCTCCTTGATACGCGTCGATACCGTACACCGGCGAGCAAAGACGCGTCGGACCCCTCGAAGACCATGCTCGGAGCGCAACAACTCTCCGACTTGCTTGCTTGGATTCACAAAGTGCCTCCTCCGGGTGTCCACTGGAAGTTCATCGTGACTGGCACACCTTTTACAAAGAACTGGCAGTTTGGGTCTGAAGATACATGGGGTGGTCATCTATATGAGCGCAGACGTATTCTGGAAGCGGCATGGGACCTCTCTTCTACGCACGACATCGGTGTCGTAGTACTCAGTGGAGACCGACATGAATTCGCTGCTACATCTTTCCCACCACCTAAGGACGGAAAGTGGCCTACGAGTGCTACGGTACACGAATTCAGCACGAGTCCGTTGAGCATGTTCTACTTGCCCTTCCGCACATACAAAGAGACAGATGATGAGGATGTGTGCCTCAAGTACCTTCCTGACGGTAACAGCAAGTTCGGTGCTGTGGAGATTACGACACCTGAACACGGAGAGCAGAGCTTTGTCAACTACCGGCTCTTCATTGATGGGAACGAGGCTTGGACACACTCCATTAGTACACCTCCGGGAAGAAGTGGAAGCCATAGGGCGAAGGACGCTGTTTGGGGGTAATGTACAGTAAGGCAAGAGGATGAGAAGAAGCGTTGTCGAATTAATGACAGGTAAAAGTCTTTTTTAGGATGAAATCGAAACATGTGTCTTTTTCTGAGAATAGTAGTCTTGGATATGGGTATCGTCCATTGCTGTCATAGGCTTTATGAAACCCTCAACCCCACTTTCTCTTCGCCTTCTCTTCGTCTTCTTTGGTCCACTCTCGTGGTAACACGGCAAAGACAAGGTATGAAGTATGCGTCTTCAGCTCCGGCTCCGTCCTATGCACCAGCCTACCCTCCTTGAAGAGTGTCCGGCTTTCCAGCTCCTTCTTTGTCTGTGCAAGCCTATCATGTTTACTCGGTGGTACACCCTCCATCTTCTTTTTCTTGCCCTTACCCACCTCATTACCCTCGCCCACAGCCTCACCCCGTTTCCGCGCCTCCGCCTTCCGCATAACTTCTTCCTGCTTCTCGCGCTGCATGCTATGGAACACTGCCGCACGACCTTCTACATCTCTCAACCTTTGTACCGCTTCCTGGACGTTCGCGGGATGTGCGTGTCCGCCACGGACTCCTTCTTCTTGTAGACCTACGCGCTCCCGACGTACGTCGAGGCGCTTAGCCTGTATCTCCACCATATCTATTTCCACCCAACCGAGGGTGCGTAGGGCAGAGACAGTTTTTGTGACTTGCTCAATGCAGGGGGAGAATGTGCAGATGCGGACGGCGTTGCGTGGGTTCAGCGGACTGCGGAAGGGTTTGGAGGAAGATGCGGTCGTCGGTTGCGCCTCGGGAGTGGGAAACGTGGGGTCGTCCGAGGGAGCTGGTGTGGATGGGTCTGAGGCGACAGACTTCAGTGCTGTAGAAGAAGGAGGCGATCGCGTAAGGTGTTTGAGAGCGTGCCATGGTGCTGGCAGATCAAGGAATACGCAATCGGCATCTGGGCCTGCCGCATCGTCCAGATTGAAACCGTCATTGTATACGTCGCGATGTGTTACTGTGACCAATGGATCTAGGCCATGATCCTTGATCTCAACCTTCAATTGGTCGGCGCGCGGTTCGTGGTATTCGAAGCTGTATACGCCACCAGTCCTTGTCTTGCGCTTCCTCTTCTTGGACATGCCTACTGCATTCTCTTCATCCCCATTCGTTTCAGTCTCAGTCTCAGTATTTTGTGTCCCGGGGTAGCCATTGTAGACAGCTCGTATCGCTGCGTGCGTAAAGCTTCCACTTCCTGCACCGGCCTCGATGATATGGTCGCCTGGCCTTGCGCGCAGTCTCTGCAGGATATAGCTGTAGTCGGGCGTGTATACGACTTGCGTACGGTGCGGTAACGATATCGTCCAGGTCTCCGGCGTGGGCGGTATAAGATGCGCAAAACCACTACTTGCTGCCGCCGCCTTCACAATGTCCCTCTTCTCCACGTCTGGCTCGGTGACCGGCGTGCCCTCTCCTTCATCCTTATTGTCTCTCTTGCGCTTCTTGTTTTTTCCGCGCGACCCAGTATCAACCTTTGACGCAAGGATTTGTGTACCCCAAGGCTGGCCAACAAGTGTACTGTGGGGGAAAGAGCCGAATCGCGTATTCTCAACTTTGCCTTCAGGGTAGTCTGAATCGGCTTCAGGTGTCAAGACAGCAGGAATGAGATGATCGCGGCGCAATTGCAGGACACCGAGATTGTTCGCTGTCGCGCAAGTTCCTGGGTCAAGGAACGGAGAGGGTGTAATCGCCATGAGCGCGGTTAGGTAAGACGCGACAGATCAAAGATGTGGAGATGATGCTATCGCGACTCGGAGCTCCAAGATCAAAAAGATATTCAGCGGGGAGCTTTCGAGACTGCTATTGGAGGGGACCGCCAAGACTTCACTGACAGGGATTCTTATTGCTCATCCAGACACCACCAACGCAACGTGACCAGAACTTCACTTATTGACTCACCGTAAGCCGCATGCGAACTTACACCTGGCCTAAATACTAGCACTACTTCCTGTCATTCCTTACAGCCCCGTTGCCCGCCACATTGATGGTACTTGCTTTCCGGTCTTTGTCCCGCACCATCAAATCGCCTTCCCCACTTCTACTTTCGAAAACCAACTGCAGTCAAATATATCGGAGTCAGATATCGCCAAGGTTGATAGCCAACATGGCGACACCGGCGCGCACCCAACCTCCATGGAAGCAACCCGAAGGTTCAAGCCCAGCAAAGTTGAAAGTCTGGAACTCTTTGACCAGATCGAAGAATGACTTCGTCCCTATCGATCCCGAAGGCAAAGAAGTGAAGTGGTATAGCTGCGGTCCTACGGTTTACGACGATGCACACTTGGGTCATGCTCGAAATTACGTCACAAACGACATCCTACGGAGAATTCTGGCTCACTATTACGGCTATAAGCTGAAGTTTGTACAGAACATCACAGATGTCGACGACAAGATCATCCTGCGCGGGCGCCAACAATATCTCCTTGGAAAGTTCAAGGCTGATAACCCAACAGTAACAGAAGAAGTCATCAACACTACCATCAAAGCCTTCGACGCATATGTCAAGAAGAACCTCCCCTTACTCAGTCAGGATGTCACCATTGGTAGCTTTAACAGTGAGTTTGCGGAGAAGTATGCCAACGTCATCCAAGGCAAATCTGTCGACGGCGTCGGTCCACCAAGTGACAAGGAAGCGAAGATCAAGATGCATCTCCGGACAGCCAGCACAGCAGTAACATCATTACTGGCTCCATCAAAATCAACACCCGAAGACATAGATATCTTCTATGCTGGCGCTGAGGATGTCTTGTTACCATACCTCGACTCACTGTACGGCTCAACTATTGACGCCAGTGATCATTCGGTTTTCACAACTCTTACCAAGAAGTACGAGGCGCGCTTCAACGAGGATATGCGAGCACTCAACGTCCTGGATCCAGATGTTGTCACTCGCGTAACTGAGTACGGCGACGATATTGTCGCTTTTGTAGACAAGATTATCAAGAACGGAATGGCCTACAGCACATCAGACGGATCTGTTTACTTCGACATCGAGAGCTTCGAGAAGAGAAAGGGCAATCACTACGCACGCCTTGAGCCATGGAACAGGGGTGACACGAACCTGCAAGCAGATGGCGAAGGTGCCTTATCAACGGTCAAGACTTCTGAAAAGCGCAACGACTCCGACTTCGCTCTTTGGAAGTCGTCCAAACCGGGAGAGCCAGCATGGAAGAGTCCGTGGGGTCCTGGTCGACCAGGTTGGCATATTGAGTGCTCCGTCATGGCTTCAGCCGTGCTGGGAGAGCAGATGGACATACACAGCGGAGGCATCGATCTTTGCTTTCCCCATCACGACAATGAGCTGGCACAGTCAGAAGCCTACTGGCAAAAGGACGGCGGTGCGCAGTGGGTGAACTACTTCCTTCACATGGGACATCTGTCTATATCAGGATCCAAGATGTCAAAGAGTTTGAAGAATTTCACGACTATTCGGGAAGCTCTGAGTCGCGGTGACTGGAACGCCCGGAGTTTACGTATCATCTTCCTCCTCGGAGGCTGGCATGACGGCATTGAGATTACACCAGACATGCGCAAGTCGGGTTCATCATGGGAGAGCTACGTGACCAACTTCTTCTACAAGATTCGGGATCTCGAAGTACATCCAAATATTAGCTCGACAGGCGCAGAAGACGAGAAGGTTAGGAAGTCGTTCGAAACTGCAAAGGAGAAGGTTCACAGGTAAGCCAAATCTCACTGGTCCATAAAGCCCACATTGACACTCGATCTAGTGCGCTAGCCGACTCTTTCGACACGCCCACAGCTATGCGTGCCATATCTAGCCTCATCACGGACTATAACTCAGCCGATAAGGCTGGACTGTCGGATGACGTCTCATTTGACGTCGCCCGCTACATCACCCGCATGGTTCGCATATTTGGTCTTGATGGTTCAGCCGACCCGTGGGATGGCGGCATTGGCTGGGCTGGCATTGACATTCCATCTGCTGCCAAAGAGCATGTGTACGCTGTTTCAAAAGAACGCGACCAAGTACGGCAACATGCCATCGCTGGCGACCTCAACGAGAACCTAGACTCTATCATCGCACAGCACACCCCCGCAAAACAACAAGACATAGAAGCACTCCCATATGCCGAAGTACTCTCCACTTTCCAAGAGTCTCTACAAAACCTCGCAAAGAAGCAAGCGCCAGCAAAAGAGTACCTCGACTTGTGCGACCAGCTCCGCGACACGCATCTCTGGGATCTTGGTATTTACCTCGAGGACCGCGAGAATGCGCCCGCCATGGTTCGTCCCGTCGATGCCGAACTGCAAGCTGCCCGCTCCCAGAAAGAGGAGATCGCTCGCCAAAAGGCCGAAGCCAAGCTCAAGCGCGAACGTGAGGAGGCGGAGAAGAAGGCTAAGCTTGCGGAACAAGCCAAGATTAACCCAAAGGACATGTTCAGGACTGAGGAGTATAGTGCATGGGATGAGGATGGCTTGCCTACCAAGGATAAGGATGGCGCTGATGTGGCCAAGGGAAAGACAAAGAAGCTTAAGAAGGAGTGGGAGAAGCAGAAGAAGTTGTTTGAGGAGCATATGAAGGCATGAACTGGTCAGGAATAGCTGATGACCTCTGCATGATGTTTGAGAGGTTTATATCATTAAATCCCAATGTCCCAGGGTCACATGTAGTGCGCTGCCACGGAGCGGCACTTCTAAAGATCAAAGGCTACTATTGATACACTTCCATCGATATTTGCACTCACCGTTAAGTGATGACTGTGTGTCGTCCGCCTCATCACGAGAGTCATGATCGAACTGACGAATTCCATCATCCAGTGACCATCTGTATTGTGGACAGTCGCAGCTAGGAGACTCAGGTGACAGGTGCTTGCAGTCTGGCGTTTCTTGATCACTTCTTGCCAAACAGGCAAACGACTTACATTTCGCAGTTTTAATAGCACATGCATCTCCTCAAACGATGACCGAGCTCACCTGGCGATCAAAGATGACGACTGAAAACGACACGACGAAGCGGCAACTGTCTTATCGTATCATAAGTTGGAATGCCGCTCAAGCCTGTCGCCTGATCCTTGAGGAGACGAAGTCCCGAATAGATCGATGTGGCTATGAAGGATCAATCTTTGAATGGCCGGCCAACCGCAAAGCGATCGAATGGCTTACGAACCTCCCAACACTTAAGAATCAAGGATGGCCTTTGGTGGTTGAAGTTGGGTCACACGGAGATACGAATTTTAGCTCAATCCTGGAATCAACCAAGGCCTGGCTCTCAAAGAGCACCAGTATCGGTTGGAACACGTCTCTGGCCGTGTTTTTGCGTCCCTTCCCCGTCTTCCAATCTTCCTACCTGGAGAGTGGATTTGAAAGCCTTCAGCAATCGAAACTTGATCGCCTTGTACGAAAACACCAAGAAGCACGTCGTCTCTAGCACCAATCACAACCCAGAGGCGGAAACCGCTTTCAAGGAACTGCTCCTGAGTGCACGGTGGATGTGCGAAGACCCTGAGAAACGTCTCTACAAGATGCCCTCCGGGTCCGCGTCGAGCTAATGCCAGAAACGGAAATTACTACTAAGATAACACTGTATCAGTTCAAAAATTCTTACAATCTCTAGCTGGTGCTCGGCTGTCATCACCGCTGACAATAGTTGCTAATATACACCCTAGACAGTGAGAGCCTTGTTATATCAGTCATAACGCGTGCTTCACCTCCTAGTTTCGTAGATCAGATAGGTAGTTTTGAGAATGGAAGGAGATAACCGGTTATCCTACAGATCGATCGTGGAACCTCTGGGGAGTGAACCATACTTCTGCTTGACGAGGGTCCGGCGATGAACCATGAAACTGAAGACGACTGCAGAGGGGTGCCTTGGGCTATAGTCATACAGAAGTATCGTATTGTTCTCTTTAATGGCTCAGTGATGTATGCTGATACGCCGGGACTTATCTCTCTGTAATATACGCTTTGTGCAGCCGTATCATCGTGAAGGTTTTGCCATCTCTCTTACTCAACGTCGACTCAAACCAGCTGTTCGGAACATCGAAATGCCGTCCGCTATAGGCAAGACATATCCAGAAGCGACCTTTCGCGTTATCCCCCGAGATACATTCGCCGTGTGCATCTGAATTCTCCGGGAAGAAACCAACAGTGTTATCAAACATATCGTACACAGCGTGGGCTTTGGGCTCCCGGAGCTGAGCAAGGCCATGGCATTACAAGGCATCGAGAGGTATACGTGTCGGCGGCCTGCGATCGCTCATGTTGAACCGTGGCTCGACCAATATCACCAATATGTATTAAAGAACGCGAAGCTTTGGTTTTTTAGATCGGCAAAAGTTGAGGACGTGGTGAATGCCATGGGAATTTACTTGACACCTTTCTCAGTCTTCAAGTCTTACCATTTGCACATCGGGAGTGTACGGTCTTGTCAGCAACAGACGCTTGGTTGTGTTAAACTACGGCAGAGGGAATCATGATGTGCAGTCCGAAGCTGGCGTGTAACATCCTGCTGCTGTTAGAAATGCAAGTGGTTGCTAATGCATCATTTAGATAGCGGACCTCTCTCCACACCAACTACGACGCGCAGTTTCTCTCTCCACCTCAATGAATAGGGACCCGGGTACATGTGATGTCAGATGAGGTTGCTTGTCTAGTGGTGACATAGTGACGGAAATGACCAAGTGGTTGAAATGGTAGCGAAAGTAGGTTCGATTGTGATAACCGCATGTATTAGTCGCTTGAGTAAATGCAACCTCTCATCGCGAAAGAAACCTTATCCACAAGATGACCAAGCAACAAAAGGCTTTTCCGTATTATGAAGCAGATTTTGGTGTCGTACGGCAACACTTGGTGAGAGCCGACGGGCACGGGTTCAGAGATCGGCGGGATGACTACAAGCGCGGTCTAGCGTGAAGATTATCAATGCGGTGAGAACGCCGAGTTTTGGGGAAGCGATCTCAAGCTTTCCCCATATTCCTAGGCGAAGCTTTGCAATTGGATATCTGGCACACATCATGCAGATAGATTTAGTACCCAGTCCCAAGACGGTACTGGACCTCAGCTAGCCTCCGCGGCCGGTGAGTGGGGATGTTCTGTGGAAAAGACGGTTCACCGTCGGATAAAATACCGAAGGATGGGATTCTTTCGAATATCCACTCACCAGCCACACTGGGTCTTGTAAGCTTTATTCCCCTACATTTTTCATTCATCGGGCGGCTGAAGACATCCGTTCCACAATAACATGAGTGCCAATCCCGACGTCGAGAAAGCGACAACATCGGAGTTCGGAGAAGCGCACACCGAACGCAACCATGACGCATCGTACGCATCAATAAGGGTGCCATCAAGAACAACGTCACAACATGAAGAGGAGCAGATCACAAGGATACCAACGCAAACGTCTCATATATCTCGTACCAGGAAGTCAGTTATCGGGCTGGCAAAGACTATCACCGCTCGTTCAAATGCATCCGTCATCGACCCTGGACCACCGCCCGATGGAGGCACCAAAGCTTGGGTGCAGGCATTCATGGGTCATTTCGTAATCTTCAACACGTGGGGAATGATTGCGACATTCGGCGTCTTTCAACAGCACTACACCCTTGACTTAGGCCTTGAGCCATCAGCTGTATCTTGGATCGGAAGCTTCCAGATGCTAGGTCACTTCTCACTGGGCATGTTGACTGGTCGATTGTTCGATGCGGGATACTTTTACTGGTCCGTGATACCCGGAATGCTCATTTCCTGCCTAGGCATGTTCATGACCAGTCTGTGTACGAAGTATTGGCAATTCTTCCTTGCACAGGGTGTGATGAACGGAATTGGAAACGGCATGCAGTTTGCTCCCGTTCTGGGGCTCGTCAGCACCTACTTTGCGAAAAACCGAAGTGTGGCGCTAGCGATCATGGCTTCTGGCAGCGCAACGGGCGGACTGGTATATCCGACGATTGCACGACAACTACTTCCCAAAATCGGGTTTCCATGGACAGTCAGGGTGATGGGATTCATGATGTTGGCTATGGGGACATGCTACTGCTCACTGCTGAAACCACGGCTACCTCCGAGAAAGTCTGGACCGGTGCTTGAACTAAATGCGTTCAGAGAGTTGCCGTACAGCGTGTTCCTGATCGGAGTCTTCCTTATCGCTCTGGGACAGTACTTCGCCTTCTATTACATCTCATCGTTCGCGGTCGATATTCTCGACCTACCATACGGTACCTCCATCAATGTCCTCCTGGTACTAAACGGCGTGGGCGTTCTCGGTCGCCTCGTACCCTCTTACTTCGCTGACAAGTACACCGGGCCGTACAACATTCTCATACCCTTTTGCTTCGTTTCGGCTTTTGTTCTGTACTTTTGGCCTCTCGTCAACAGCGAATCTAGCCTATATGCTTGGGCAGTGTGCTACGGTTTCTTCGTTGCGGGCTTTCAGGGTATCTTCCCGGCCGCAATGACTACGCTGACGAAGGATATGAGCAAAGTAGGCACAAGAAATGGCCAAGGCCTTGCGATTGTGGGGCTGGGTACTTTCATCGGGCCGCCAATCGCAGGAGCGCTGATACAAAGCAATGGAGGAGGTTATCTAAGTGCGCAGATATTCGCAGGCACTGCAGTGTTGCTTGGAAGTTGCATTTTGGTCGTAGGGCGATGGAGTATCACAGGATTGAATTTGAAAGTACGAGTATAGAATAGTAAACTAGACGACGAAAGCTCCATCAACAGACACCCAACCAGCCTCGCTACCCTACTAGACTCTACGTCTTCTCTCCCGAAGCCGCGCAATAGCAACACCTCTCGTCTCCTTCTTCCCTCCACCGATCGGTATGTACGTCCCGTTCAACCCACACCCGGGATGCTCGCACGTTGAGATAGTATGCACATACCTAATCTTCCCCTTCTCTACACGGAAAGTATGACTATCCGGGGCCGGCTTATCACTCGCCCTATCTAATCCTGGAAAACCTAGATAGATGTTGACACTACCCATCTCCACATCAATCACGTACCGCCGATCCTCAACGTAAACCGTACTCGGCAGACCCAAATGGCACGTCTCCCCATTCGTCATGTTGGTATCAGTGTACGCACCTCCTTCGAGTCTGGCACACGGCGTGCCAAACGGAACAGTAATGTTGACGTTGCCAAAACGGTTGAAATAGGCATCGCCAGCCGCCTTGATAACGTCACGGGTGTCCTGGTCAGCAAGGGGAATAGGCGACCAGGTTTCTTTACTGTTCCAATAGGCTGTGCCGGTAGCATTGAATAACCAATCCCCTTCATCACTGACTAGCGTCTCCATCTTCGTCACAAATTTCCCGTTCCCTTCAATGCGCACGCCGAGGACATATGGATGACTTGGCTCAGACGCAATGATCTCAGTGAAGGCGCTACAAAGATATGGATCTAGAAAGACGCGCGAGTTGGTGCTGTTTAGAGGCTGATTGATGATGGATGTTGGGGCTGAAAAATTGGCGGGTGTGAAATTCTCGGAGTAGGTGAAGTTTTACAGCATGTAGTTTGTGAGGAGGGAAGAATTGCCGACGGTTTGAGCGTTGAGGTAGAGTGATGTAAAGGCTGCGAGGAACTCGCGTTCACAAGCGCCAATAACTAGAGGAAGTAGCGCCGTGGCGCTGAAGAGAGTTGAAGGACGCATATCGTGAGATGATCGCTATGATGGAGCAAGAATGCAAAGCGAATTGCATGTCGCGGCATTTGAAGTCGCATTTCTTTCGGTTTTATGAGGCTAACAAAATTTCGACAAACAAAACTGCCGTTGGAAACAATCTGAGGCACCACGCTTGAACATGGGTTCATTACGGATGAAGCTGCATGGAAGTTAATATGCGAATAGAGTGTGGGGCTATTCGGCATCATGAACGACTCCTCACTCTCAACCTTGTAGCACGCTACTTTGAACTTTTACCCAAGCAAATTTCTCGATATGAGTTATCAGTCTGCTTGTGTAGACGACCGAACGCCGGAAGATCGCATTAATGCACGTTGAAAGACAATTTTACAAATGATTTGCACGTCAATTCCACTAATCAGAGTAGGTATCTGCACTACCCACGTTGAAGCAAAACTCGCATGTCGCACGTTTTCACTGGTCTTGCCAATTCAAAACCTTTAGCCATGAGTCCACCCATGTATACAAAAAAGAAAGAACCTGAGAGTGATCGCTATTACTATAGTCCCTAAGGTCAAAAGGAGCAGAAGACGATAGCCGAGATTTCATACCTCTGTCCGGCCAACAGTCATGTTTCTGTGCCGACAATTAGGAACCCACTGGCAGGGAAACTCATCACAGCCCCAGAAGTTCGAGACAAGCTGATCAGTGCGACCTTGATGTGCAGCGCTCAACTGGGGACTGCTCGCACGTGAGATGGACCTCACAGACTTTAGCCCCTCAACAAACGAATCTTCATCCTCGTTCTCGCCATGCATGTCCTTGGCAAGATCAAAAGCGTCTTGGAGGCCGACCTTGTCGCTGAGACTCTTCTCTTGAACCCACTTCCAAACTTTCTTCATACCGGTACTGCCCTCGACGATGGCCTTTTCAGGACCAGAGACATTGCTGCTGTCGACGGGGATATGGACCTTCTTGTCACCGGATTCGATGGTGGCCCAGTACGTAACGGCGTAGGCGGTCGAGACGCGAGCTTTGGATTCGGAGGCGTTGGCTCGTGGACCACTGAAACTCCATATAGATTGAGAGGCATTGAGGTGGTTGCTATTAGATGTAGCAATCTCACAAACGTGGTTGGTCTCATCGTAAAGCGCTCCACACTTCTCACAGTGGCCCCACTCTCCTACCAAGGAGTTGTCCCGGCTATCGATTCCAGGACTGACTGCACGGGCGGGAGTTGTCTTGACCGTATTGTCTTGCTGCTCCTGCTTCTTAGGCTTGCCCTCCTTTGTTGGCTTGGGTTTGCCATTGGAAGGTTGGAGTGCCTTGAATCGGTCCTTGGATTGTTTCACTGTCACACCCAATGCGTCGGCTAAGGCAGTCCATGTAATCTTAACATCTTCAGTCTTCTACCGCATGAGCTTCTCATCCATTGAATTTGTCCAGAGAGCAGAACATAACTCCCAGCAATCATTGTCGTTCTGATGCTGGGTGATGGTGTCGAAAGCCTGATGAAGCTGCTGCCGCGCTTCGGGAAAGCTTTCCTGCCAAGCAAGTTGGTTGTCGAAGCCATCTTGTAGGGTGACCATGTCCACTGAGCTAAAGGCCTGTAAACCTAGGAGCGCCAAGGCATCCCTCACATTCATGATTCTTGTGATAGGCTGGCGCTCATCCTCTTCAACACCGACCTCTTTCTCAGATGTGGCTCCCCATTGCTTGCCTTGATCATCGGCCTTTTTCGTATAGAATTGAGCAGCTGCTTCTAATTCGGCCTTCTCAAGCGGGGCAAGTCAAGCCCTCAGCATCTGTCGAAGATGTTCCGGATTACGGGCGTTGTGGTACATGGAGATAGCAGCAACCAGGTTCGCGCCGCACATACGGAGGACCTCGAATGCTTCATCGCGGGTAAAATTGTAGTCGGCGACTTCCAGGAACTCGTCGACCATGAATTCGTTCGGCGCAGCAGGGTTGCGGAAAGGTGCAGAGCCAGTGGCGGTCTTGAAGTCAGAGGGCTTTGTACGGTGACCTAACTTGGGAATGACCGGAACGATTTCGGAGCCAGAGTCGCTGTAACCTTCGAATACCGTGTAGCCGCCTTCAAGGATACGGTCACTTGTTGCAGCAACCTGCTTCCTGTCCTCAGCTTTGGTCTTGGCAGACTGATCTTGCTTGCGGGTGGAAATATGGGCAGTTGAAACACCATCCTTGACGACATGAGAGCCGGTGTGTACCTTCACATTGGAGACATCGGAGCAGGTTGGAAGGTCGAAGATCTTGATACCGTCTTCGAAGTGAGGAGAGTCAACGTGGTGTACCTTGACTGTAGAGGTACCTCGGTGGGCCTCTTGCGACATCCGGTCAGCTGCGCTGTTAGCTGACGGTAGAACAGTGACATCTCCGCCAGTGCAGGTCGCGCAAGTACCACAGTTCTTCCAGCCGTTTGGAAAATTCGGATACTCAGGTTGCGGAGACGAAGAGGTAACTTCTGGCTGTTGAACAGCAGAATTATGGCAAGAAGGCCCATGATGAGGTTCGTGATGGTCTCGATGCTGGAAGTTGTCTTCGTAAGAAGGTAATTCATCAGGCTCATGCTGCTCGTGAAATCGGCGATGGACTTCGTTGAAGGTTTTGAGTTTGGGAGAATTTTGGTCTTCTGCCTTCTTCACAACGGAAGCACGTAGCCATGGTGCAGATGACCGGAAGTGAGTGTTCTGGTCTACTGCCTGGGGATTGGAGCGATCTGCGTACGCGGGATGGGACTTCTTGTCTCCATTCTTAACCTTCACCGTGCTCCACTTCTTCCCCATACGCTGCTCCGCGTCCATTAGTGACAAGACGGTACTGATGAAAGGTGCATTCTTGCTACCAATCCGGCCAGAAGGCCTCATAGACCTCTGGATATTGTTACCGGCTTCAGGAATTTCGTCATAGTGTTCATTGTAGTGTAGATAGTCATCTTCGAAATCTTCTTCAATGGATTTGCCAACATAGCCACCCAGATCGTTACCGTGGTCAATTTTCTGAGCCTTCTGATACTCATCCTTAAGGAAATGGAGGCGCTCGGTGAGTTGGTCGAAGGCCGGATCGTCGCGATCGAATGCTCGTAGGGACACGACACACAGGTTAGCTTCTTGAACGATCTGGCCTAGTGTTCGGCGGCCTGCATCGTTGATCTTGAGAAATCTCTTGTGTGAAGGCAATGGGTACTCGTCGGAGCTCGGTGGAGTATGCGCGGCTTCACTAAGGTGATCATCACTGTCGCTCTCGCAGCACTGAAGGTCGGCCTCAAGCTCCCTCATGGCGATGTCGAGCGAGCGTGGAGCTTGGCCGGAAGGCGGGGACTCGAGCTCGCTGTACGGTCGATGGACCCTCATCGAAGTGGCTGAGTCCAGGGGTCCGCGTTCGCGGAATCGAGGCATCATTGGTAGAGTGAACTGATTTATGGGTGTTGTGATTGTAGCTAGGGTAAGTGTTGTTCAGATGGGGGTACCGGTGGAGTTGTCGAAGTGTGCGATGGAGGAAGTACAACGGTCGTGGGATGGTAGTTTATATCCTCTCAGTGCGCCAGAGCTCGGACGCGGATCGAGGTGAGAGGAGGTGATATTGGATTGGTTGAGGAATAAAAGGTGAGAGAACGGACACTCGAGGTGCAAAGTAGTTTCTTATGATGACGTAGCGGGCGAAGTAAACGCGCAAATAAAGTGGAATCGAACTGTCGTTTCTGCATGCGCATCATCGGAAATGTTGAAAAAGCTCGCTGAAATGGCACTGTCGTCCACAACAGCTCGAGCTGGATGAGATGATGTGGTTTATCATCACTCAAGCAGCGGCCTCCTCTCTGCATCCCTTGTGTTCCACCAGAAGGACCATCTCTTGCCTGTCCCTTCATTCACCTCCTCAACCTCGAACTCTTTCTGCTCCCCCCTCACTCGTCGCCACCACCTCCGCCATCCCTCACTCTTCCTCACCCAAATTTCCCCACTTCCATTCTCATACATCACATAACCGCCTCTACTTGCCCTCGCACCCAATCCAATCCACTTTATACATTTCACAAGACCGTACAGCACCAACACGCCAAGGATCGTACAGAAGATAGTTACAATAGACGTTAGAAAAGTAATCGTGGATACTTGGCAGCCTAGTCCTGAGGTACGGAGTTCAAAGCGTTCAGATCGTAGAGCGCAAATCGATTCGTGACGAATGGGTGAGAGGAGAGGGAACGCTTTTGACAGGGCGTCTGTGGGCAGAGGAAGACATGTTGAAGACTATTGCTAGGGTTCAGTGATGGTTCACAACATCCCAAACATGAACACAATTGCTTAAGGAAAACAATATGATATGAAAGTAATATGCGGCATCATGAATACGATCGGACATGCTCACAACGGGCCGCGACGTGAGAGGCGGAAGGAAAATGGACGAGATGCGGACGTACAATCGCACACCAGCCACAATGGCCTTCGCTCCGATGACAATCACCACAATCGTCATAACCCCAACACTTCATCAATCGCTCCCAGTCTTCTTTGGGGCTACCTTGAAGTCGTTGATGGATCAGTTCCGTCACGTTCGTCGACGCGTCATCCTCGCGCTTGGCAGTAACTGCTGGGCAGTTGGACGGCATCATGTATGTACAATTTCGCGAGATGCTATACGCAAATCAACGTACACAAGAATGGCGAATGCGATGGCACAAAGAGAAAAGCGCAAAGGATGGTGAGATGAGATGAGATGAGATAACGAAAGGTTAATCAATGTGGGGCGTGATAAGCTGTGCGCTATGCCATATCGGTCACCACAGCTGCCACACATGTTGCTGGTTGGTCAACTCACAATAGCAGGACAAGCATTCAGCACGAGAATTTGCGAGAAGAGCGAGTGATATACACTGAAGCTAAAGTATATACAAAGAAATGCCCCAGATGTAATGCGTTCCAAGATGAGGCCAAGAGTTAATTTTGTGTCCCTTAGTTAGGGATGCACTGAGAGAAGTAGTCATTGTTCACTGCGCACTTGTACCCACTGACACAAGCCGTTGGGCCGGTGTAGCCTTTACCGCCACATCTGGTTATATGTTAGCAATCGTTCGATATATGGGGCCCTTCCGAGCACTTACTGTTCCCAAGCCTTCGCCACCTTGGTAGGAGTAGGCGTTGGTGCTGCTGATGTCTTGATAGTAGTGGGCTTAGCCGAGGACTTTACTGGTGTCGATGACGGCTTCACGGGCACAGTTGACGACTTAATCGGCGCCTTCGATGTGGTGACCGGCTTAACGGAGGCTGCAGATGACTGAGCGGACGAAGGCTTACCACCTCCACTGCTCGCACCAAGTGCGAGAATCTTAGCAGCGGCATGTTCTGCGAGCACAACGATGTAGGATGTAGGGTTGGTAAAGATGTGACTGTGCCATGTTAATTTTGGAAACTAAAGGTAATAGAATGAAGCTTACCCAGGGAAGAGAGAAGCGTCGACTACGTGGATGTTCTGCGTTCCGTACACTTGAGTGTTCAGATCCACAACGGCTGTTCCACCAGTAAGACCGCTGTCGGTTCCAATCTTCGCTGTGCCAATCCAGTGGTTGGCGCGACGGGCAGCTGGCGTCTTGGGAAGGCTGGCAACATATGCCTCAACTGTCATGTTGGCAGGTGGTACTTGGAACTCGATCGCTGGGTTCTTCTTGATGGCCTTCATCATGCTCTTGATACCTGCGACGACAACACCGGTGTCGGCCTCGTTCTGCAGGTAAGGTGCTTTGCTGACATAGACGTTGAGAGCACCGTTGATGGAAAGCGCACCACGCGAAGTAGAGCCGTGACCGAGGTACTGGCTGATGGTGAGGTGGTGAGTGTCGTTGGCGCCGGGGCCTTCAACACGAGCAGTCCACTGGATCGATCGGTCAATGCCATCGCTTCCAGTGATCACTTCCCAAGCAAGGGGACCAATGTTGGGTGCAGACTGGGCAAGGATACCAGAGCGCTTGCCAAGGTACAAGTTTTTGTCAGCCTCGATGGGAGCATCCCACGCCTTGTAAAAGTCGTAGAAAGAGATGTTGGGGTGCTTGATGACAAGGTCGGTGTTGACGTGGTCGTTCAAGTTCTGACCGACGGGAAGGTTGATCCAGTCAGACTCTCCAATCATTGTCGAGCCATCGGCAGCGCTGTTCTTCACGACGTTCAGCTGATCCTTTGGTCCGATGCCGCTGCGGAAGAGAACCTTTGAGGATCCGAAAGCGCCACCAGAAACAATGACACGGCCTCCAGGGTTGAGGTTGACAGTACCGCAGTAACCAGTACCACCAACACCGCTCTCAAGCTCGACACCGGTAGCCGTTCCGCCAGTACGGACGATACGTCGGGCCATGGTGTTCGTCCAGAGCTTAAAGTTCTTCCTCTCCAGCGCAGAGACCATGTAAGTACCGAGAGGACCCTGCCTCTGACCGTTGTCGTACATGAACGGAGAGTGAGAGTATGTGCGGTTCTTCTGGTTCTGTTGGTCGTTTGCAACGACGCTCTTCCAGCCATCTGCACCAAGCGCACCGGACAAGACATCAAAGCCCTCCTGCTTGTAACGCTTGCCGTCCACGGAAGGAGTATCGGTACCAGGGATACGCTTGAACACACGGTCAATTGCGCCCTTCACGTCAGCTGACTTCCAGCCAGCGGGGAATTGGTAGTCAAAATCGATGTCAACCGGCTTCCACCAGAGCGCAGCATTGACGGCAGCACCACCACCAAGAACACAACCAGCCATTTGGTCGATATCGTTGCAAGCAACACCAGCGGAGTCGACCCAGATCTGATTGCAGAGACCGGGGATGTCGAAACGGGTCAAGTTGTTGCTGGTAGCCCAATCAGGACCCATCTTGCCTCCAAAACGAGCGAGAGATGGCGGGCCCTTCTCGAGCATGAGAACGCTCTTGCCAGATTCGGAAAGCTTGTCTGCCACGGGAATACCTCCAGCGCCTCCGCCAATGACGATGTAGTCGAATGAGCCTGAAGGGGCAGGCGATCCGGCGCACTTCACTGGCGTAGTTGGAGTAGGTGTGGCCGATGGTTGGCCGGACAGAGTTGGTGTAGGTGCACCAGAGGGCTGGCCACCGACCAACTTGAGGTAGTCGGAGTACTTCGCGTTCCTCGCATCCGCTGTGGGGGCACCGAATTGAGACTGCCCCTTGTTGTGGAAGACCCATGTGCCGTCGTAGACCTTGTCGTGCTGGGCCCAGCCAACAACATTTACTTCGGTAGTCGGTAGTTGAGCACCTTCAGCGCCGCCCTGATTCCAGACCCAGCAGTGCTGGCATCGGTAGACGATCTCGAAGTGTGTGTCTGTGACTGAGTGGAAGATCTGGCTCAAAGACGCGTTGCCAGTGTAGTCGTCAGGAGTAACGTAGCCGGGTGCCCAGACAAATTTGGTCTTGACGGCATCAGTTTCCGGCCATGCAACGAGCAGAAGGGAGTTGGGCATGCCACCAGCGTGGCTGACACCGGACCATCCCTGCCTGTTCGCCTCGAGCGAACCTTTCTAAGAGATATCAGTAGCTGCTGTGTTAATTTGCAATTTCACTCTAGCTTACAATGTAACCGATGTATTCGTCGTTGGCGCCAGTGGGCTCTCCGGGCAATACCCAACCCCACTCAAAACCACCTGGGGTCTGAGCGTCACTGACTACCTGACGCCAGAACTCAATTCCTGTGCCTTCGTGGGTAAACTTCTCCTGCGCAAGAGCGAGAGGAGCAAAAAGAGAGGATAGCAGCGAAGCCGCTCGAACGAAAGAAGTAGTCTTCATCTTGGAGACTAGTTACCAGCACGTCGAAGATGAGAAGGACTGACAAGCGCAAGTGGTAGCTGTGCCCTCTATCACTATGCCGGGGTGTGGACGTGTTATATACATGTCGACTTTATCCTAGACTACTTCGCGAAAGCCTTCGTGTATGGGGTTGAGACCAATAGCCAAGCCACTACCTGGGGAACTTCCTTCTGGAGGCGGCAGAACTACGCCTTCAACCAGGTACGGAAGACGCGCGCTGGCCAGGATGAGCCCAACCGACAGGCGTGATTACCGTGGGCAGCATGATGATTGGTTGTTTCGAAACCAAGGTGATCTGGCCGAGATTCAAGGTTAGTCGTTAATATGTCGAAACTAAAGGTGGCATGGGTGAATTGATTGATGTAGATTGATAGAAGCCGGGATTGCGACTTGTTCGCCGTCAGCCATGCGCCCCTTACCCGTTCGGGGTCTAGGCTTCCCCACAAACGTTTAGTGGCGGATGGGTTGGACCATCACTTTCGCACTTCCGCCTCGCATCAGCCTCTTCGAATACACCATATGCACCACCAGAATCTTCGGGAATATTGAAAAGTCAGCGCCTCTGGTCTCGTGCACCCGCCACAGCCTTCTCGGTACCGGCTTCTTCCCGCATATTCCGCAAGGCTGCCTCAAAATGAAGGGTGGCTTTCAAGCCTCCTTCGCAGACCGACAAGATGCGCACGTTTCATTAATTGAAACACTCGACCAGGCCAGTAGCACACAATCTATTATATTACCCTTTTCTTCTCTCGCTTCACAGAGTCCAAGACTGCCTGCCATGATGTCGCGGTATGCCTCCGTCGCACCATCCTCCTGTAATTAACACTGCCGATTCTTCCATCCAACCGCCGGCTCAAGTTACACACCCGATCCGTGACCGTACGGATGCTCATTACCTATTTGGTATCTGCCGAAGACGCTATGCACTGTACATCCGCGAAGCACGTGTCCGATGCATACAATTCTAGAGATGCATAGCGGCGGGCAAAGTATATTGAGAAATAAAGGACTGCGGGTCACACGCGTCCATCGCCAGTCGCATGTGTGCCGAACTTGAGGTCGTCATCCAACTCTGGACGATGGCTCCGTGTTCCATTTGGACAACTCAGAGAACAGTACACCATGATACCATATAGAAAGATTCGCCGTCGTGTTTGTGAGTGATACTGTGATCCTATGCAACAGCCTACACTATGAAGGTTTCTGTGGTCACTTGTTCGTTGTTAGCTAGCGCATCGGCGCACACAATATTCACCCAGCTACATGTCAACGGCGTGGGGCAGGGACATACCAAAGGAATTCGAGTGCCGGTGAGCATGTTCATCACGACTCTCCTGTTGATCCCCTGCTAACAGCACAACGCAACGCAGACATACGACGGGTAATGCACCCCACAATTGCTCTTTGAATCGTAACTCATCTAGTATCTAGACCAATCCAAGACGTAACGTCTAACGATGTCATCTGTAATGGCGGGTAAATCATGACAAAGCGCAAGGTCAAGCGTTATATTGACCCACATGCAGCATAAACCCCTACAGAACGCCTCTCCCCAAAGACATCATCAATGTGTGTTGGTTCCGCAATAAGCAAACTACACCACATGGCTTCGGCTTACAGTCTGCTAGGTCAAAGCTGGAGACAAGCTCACTGCCGAATGGCACCACACGCTTGATTCGAAGCCTGAAACGGATAAGTCCGACCCGATCGACCCTGGTCATCTGGGCCCCATCATGGTCTATCTTGCCAAAGTCGATGATGCTTTGTCTACCAAGGTGACGGGACTCAAGTGGTTCAAGATATACGAAGATGGTATGGATGCAAATGGCGAGTGGGCAGTCACGAGGTTGTACAACAATAAGGGTCTGGTAGACTTTGTGCTACCGTCTTGCATTCCCAGTGGACAGTGAGTTGTCTTTCCTCCTCACTCTTAGGATCGGCTCTCGATTGACACTTCGAATCCATTGACTGACAAGCGTCATTCCAGATACCTGCTCCGCGCTGAGCTCATTGCTCTTCACGCTGCCTCCAACTACCCGGGTGCTCAGCTCTACATGGAATGTGCTCAGATCAATGTGACAGGGGGCGGTAGTGCCAGTCCGGCAACAGTCAGCTTCCCAGGTGCATACAAAGCGACTGACCCAGGGATCAAGTTTCAGCTCTACTGGCCAAAACCGACAAGCTATACGATCCCAGGACCAAGACCGTTCACTTGCTCTGCGAAGATGAGGTAGGCACATAAGACTAGCAGTTCCATAATGCCTCATTTCAAGCATTGACGGACAAGCCACAATGTGATTGTAATCTAGATAGGTAGTTAGGATGTAGATGGATTTGTTGATACTCTGAGCTTTTCCAAAAATTCTTCAAAAACAGCATCTCCATCAACCCGCAAAATATATCAATATTCAAATCCAGCTTCCGTATATGCACCCCACAACGCCCGCCATATATCTCACATGCATGATGCGTGATCGCCGCCTCCAAGGTTCGTACCTGCATCATCAGGTCCGCCCAGCTTCCCCACCAACAACCGCACCTCCACATCCATACATTCCCATGCACTGCAGCATAACCGCAAAGTAACGCCCCATCACACTCGCAACAACCGAACAAGCGTCCTATTGCTACTCTGGAAAAACTGGACGGAATCTGACAAACGCATACAACCATATCGAATATGCACGACGAACGTGAGTCGTTCTCTGGACCCTTCCTCCACTGGGATGCACGCCCGATGCGATGCGACGCGCGCGCATAGCCAGAATGTGCAATTAGGCACACAGTATCGGAGCCAGATCATGGCTGCAGAATGTCGAGTGAGGGTACAGGACTTCGGCATCCACCTCATTCAGACATGCGTGGTCTTGCTGGCGCGCGCATCGCATCGCATCTTCCCACATTCCGTCCAACACCACGACCAGCAGATACCTCAAGAGCCGTATTACTAATAACACTCACCGTAGACCCACACCCGCTTCTTGCCCAAGTGCCCCTAACACTCTCCCCCTTTCTCTCTCTCCCCACATCGGTCCCCCTACCATACTCCTACGTAACCCTACCCTCCACCCTTCCTCCCTCGATCCTCTCCCAACAACAATCCGACAACTCCTCAAAACCCGCATACGTCACCTCGTCAACAGGCACCACAGCGCACCCAGACCAGATTCTCAGTTCATGTAGAGCACTACAAGAGCACCTGTCTAAGCTGGAAGCAGACGCGAGGAAGACGTTGGCGGACTGGGAGGAGAGGAGGCGGAAAGAGGATCTTGCAGAGAAGAGGAGGGTTGCGCCGGGTTGGTTGGATAGCGGTGTGCATATACTGAAGCCAGAGGAAGGTGACGGAGGGACGAAGAAGGAGGACAAGGTGCCAGAGCAGAATCTCATGGACTTGGATCCACAGGCGGAGAGCAAGGCCAAGGAAGGCGAGGAACTGGATAGGGTGTTTGGCGGGCTTCAAGTTTAAAACACACAAACATCACGTATACCCATGGGCAAGATTTAGCGACCAGCGGTCTTCATAATAGATTAATACCAAGTTATAGAACTATAAGCTGTGACATGCTGTTTTAGCCCAAGCCCAGATACGCGTCGCCTACAGTGGCCCCATGGCGGCGCGACATTACAGACATATGAGAACCGAAAATACGGAAACAGAAGGGGAATCTTGAAGGAAGAATGTGGAGAATTAGTGCGACCATGCTGAATCGCTGCACCATCTCTGCTCGTGCAAAACCACCAACGCCTAAGAGTGCGCCTAGCGACGGCCGTGAGAGCGGTTGATGCTGCCCTGGAGATTGTCCACCTCGCCCTCAAGACGCTTGATCTCCGCGTGGCTGGCCTCAAGGTCCTTGTTGAGGCGGTCACGCTCAGCGATGAGCTTCTGCTCCCATTGCCTGAAGCGCTGCTCCTCAACCTTGACCTGCTCGGTGAAACGCTTGCGGAGCGCCTCTTCCTCCTCCTTGAACTTGGGGTTGTCCAGCTTCCTTGGGCGCGCCTCGCCAAACTTCCTCGTCTCCATCTGACCAGCGCGGTAGGCCTCGTAGTGGTTCTCTTCGGTGGTGTGGATGAGGTCGAGCATATGGGTTCGGATAAGGATAGCGCGAAGCTTCTTGAAGTCGCAGTGCTCCTCGTTCTCAACTTCGGCAACACCCCAGGCGTACTGGCGACCCTTGACTGTGCGGCCGTCGTTGGTCGAAACGTCCTTCTCGGAACCGATGACAGAGAAGGGCATGGCGTCGATCAGACCGCGTGCGTGCTGCATGGCAGCAGCGTCATCGTCCTCGAGCGGGGGAGTGTAAATCTTGATGCCCTGAGCATCAATCACTTGGCGCACCTGAGAGCGGTCAGTATTTGCTGGTATTATCCAGATGGGTCAACTTACCCTCGTCTTGAACTTGGCTAGGTCTGATGGGCTCAGTGTGTCGGCCTTGGCTACAACCGGGATCAGGTTGACGCGTGTGCACAGCTTCTTCATGACCTCAATGTCCAGGGGCTTCAGGGTGTGGCCGGTGGGGCGGATGAAGTACAGGCAGGCGTGAACACGGAGATCGATCTTATCAGAGCGGCGCGGTTGTTGCTCCTGCAGCATGTACGACTCGTGCTGGTCGTCAAGGAACTCGATGATGGGTTGCCACGAGTCGCGGTTGTTGACGTAGTCACCGAAACCGGGGGTGTCGATAACGGTAAGGCGCACTGGTGGTGTTAGAACAGATGATAGGTTGTAGCATGGGGCTTTGCATACCCTTGAAGAACTTCTCCTCGAGCTCAGCCTTGGTGATCTCAATCTCAACCGTCTTGTCCATCTGCTTGTGGTGTCGTCGCTTGTGGTCGGCATAGTTCTTGATGGTGGTGGAGAAGAGGGTGTTGATGAAGGTAGTCTTTCCGAGACCAGACTCGCCAGCAACCTGGAGGGGTTAGATTGGTTGTGGTATCGTATCGGTATCATGCTCGTACCATTATGGTGAAGGCAGCACCGCGCTTCGCAACAATCTTGTGCCTGTGCTACGTTAGGGCCGACGCTGCGTGTCCGCTTGGTGGATAGTACCTCTGGTTCGGCAGCTGCAATGCACGTTAGCATACGAACTGGAGACACAGCTTTAGTGAATGGTATACGTACGTTGGCAATGCCAATGGGGGACGCGGATTCAGCCATTGTGCAGATGTGTGGTTGACCGCTGGTATGTATGGGGTCTGGGTGGTATTAGCTAGCTGAACTTCGATAAGAGGTGGTATGCAATGTGCAGACATACGTGAATGTAGCCGATGGAGAGCAATCCAGTAGTGAGGTTACTGAAAGGCGTGTGGTATACGGTCTGGTGAGGAGACGTGGTGGTGTAGACAATTTGGGTCCCCTTTCTCAGAGTCGCCCATTCGGCAAGCACTGACCCTGAACGGGGAAACCGCGACTAATGCAGGCTACTCCACTAGCGCGTCCTCGGATGATCCGAGCTTCGAAAAAGTTCAAGATGCGACCACGCCCGCCACGACATGACGAGACTGTAGCCAAGATATATTGAAGATGAAGACTGACTTTCAGGTGAGTCCAATGCTGATAAGACGATGTTCGCGACTGACTTGCATAGTTCTCCAACCTGCTGGGTACCGTCTACAGCAGAGGCAACCTTCTCTTCACACCAGATGGCACATGTCTGCTATCGCCGGTTGGTAACCGCGTCACTGTATTCGATCTTGTGAAGTAGGTGTTCATCCGCGACTTGCAAGCTGGATATGCGCTAACCATGTTCAGCTCCAAATCACATACACTTCCGTTTGCGCACCGAAAGAACATTGCACGCCTTGCCCTCAACCCTCGCGGAAACCTCCTCCTCTCCGTCGACGAAGATGGTCGCGCCGTCCTTACCAATGTCCCTCGTCGCATCGTACTCTACCACTTCTCTCTCCGCGGCGAAGTCACTTCGATCGCTTTCTCGCCCTCAGGCCGGCATTTCGCAGTAGGCATAGGAAGGCAGATTGAAGTATGGCACACACCCTCTACTCCAGACGTTGCAGACGGCGATTTAGAGTTTGCGCCTTTCGTGCGACACCGCATATACACAGGACACTACAATAATGTCCAGAGCATAGAGTGGTCGAGTGACTCGAGGTTCTTCCTAAGCGCATCCAAAGATATGACGGCGCGGATATGGAGTGTAGACCAGGAAGAAGGCCACGCGCAGACCACACTGGGTGGACACAGACAGGAGGTAGTTGGCGCATGGTTCTCCAAGGATCAAGAGACCATCTACACAGTCAGCAAGGACGGAGCCTTGTTCGTATGGAAATACATGTTGCGGTACGATGCGCCAGCCGACGCCGATGACAACGACGACGAGAACCTGCAGTGGGGCATCGCGGAACGCCACTTCTTCCACCAGAACAACGCGCACGTCACATGCGCCAGCTTCCACCCCGAGTCGAAACTACTCGTCACAGGCTTCTCCCACGGTGCCTTCTTCATCCACGAGCTGCCAGAGTTCGCTCAAATCTCCAGCCTCAGCATTTCGCAAAATGACATTGACTATGTCGCTATTAACAAGACCGGAGAATGGCTGGCTTTTGGCGCTTCCAAGCTCGGACAGCTGCTTGTTTGGGAATGGCAGTCGGAATCATACATTCTGAAGCAGCAGGGACACTTTGACTCGATGAACACAATCGCATACTCGCCAGACGGCCAACGGATAATAACGGCAGCAGACGACGGAAAGATCAAAGTGTGGGAAGTCAATTCCGGTTTCTGTGTCGTCACATTCACTGAACACATGGGTGGTGTGACAGCCTGCGAATTCGCGAAGAAGGGCAACGTCTTGTTCACGGCCAGTCTTGATGGTTCCGTCAGGGCGTGGGATCTCCATCGCTATCGTAACTTCCGCACATTCACAGCTCCCTCAAGACTTTCATTCTCGTCCCTAGCCGTTGACCCGAGCGGTGAGGTCGTCTGCGCAGGCTCCATCGACTCTTTCGATATCCACATTTGGTCCGTTCAGACTGGCCAGCTGCTCGATAGGCTGTCTGGTCACGAGGGCCCTGTATCGTCCCTGGCATTTTCCCCAGATGCAGGCACGCTGGTGAGTGGAAGTTGGGACAGGACTGTCCGCGTCTGGAACATCTTTGCTCGCACGCAAACAAGCGAGCCGCTGCAACTCATGGCGGACATTCTATCCGTTGCTTTCCGACCTGACTCAAAGCAAATAGCCGTCACGACCCTTGACGGACAGCTCACATTTTGGAACGTGTCCGATGCCGCACAGGAGAACGGGCTCGATGCGCGAAGGGATGTCTCTGGTGGTCGCAAGATGTCCGATCGACGAACAGCAGCCAATGTGGCAGGCACCAAAGCTTTTACGTCGGTCAAGTACAGTGCAGATGGTACGTGTGTACTAGCAGGCGGCAACAGCAAGTACATATGTCTGTACGATGTTCAGTCCGGCGTATTGCTCAAGAAGTTCACTGTATCCGTGAACCTTTCTCTTGATGGCACTCAAGAGTTCCTCAACAGCAAGCTGCTCACAGATGCCGGGCCACAGGGTCTTATCGACGACCAAGGCGAGGCGTCAGACCTGGAAGACCGTCGGGATACAACACTCCCTGGCGCGCAAAAAGGCATTGGCGCACGGAGAACACGACCTGAGATACGAGTACCCGCTGTCGCATTCTCGCCAACTGGCCGAGCGTTCTGCGCTGCTTCAACAGAAGGTTTACTAATCTACTCACTCGACAACACGTTCCAATTTGATCCGTTCGACCTAGACATTACCGTCACCCCAGCCACAACTCTCGAGACTCTTGCGCAAAAGGACTATCTCAAAGCGTTAGTAATGGCCTTCCGCCTCAACGAGCGCAATCTCGTCCGTCGTGTATACGAGGCTACACCCGTGAGCAACGTCGCTTTGGTAGTCAAAGACCTGCCTTCAGTCTATCTAGGCCGTCTGCTACGATTCGTCGCTCTCCAGGCTGACGAGTCCCCACATCTTGAGTTCAACCTGGTGTGGATCGAGTCACTCCTCAGCAAGCATGGCCGATGGATGAAGGACAACAAGGGTGGCCTTGAGGCTGAACTAAGAAGTGTCGAGAAGGCTGTTCGCAGGATACAAGCTGAGCTGGCCAGGCTGGCTGATGAGAATGTATATCGCATTGAATATCTTCTGGCACAGCCACCAGAGAAGAAAGAAAAGTCGGCGCAGCTTGATTTTGGGGTCAAAGCCATAGCAGATGGGATAACGGATGAAGAGATGGTTGATAGCGACGAAGGCGAAGACGTTGGCGAGTGGCTGGGATTTGAAGAGTGATACCATTGTACGAATACGAATCTTGACGAATTGTTTTATTGAGGGACCCCCTGTCGGACTGTGATTACGACGATACGAAAGAGCGCACACATTCCACATTGCACAACGCAGTAAAACTGGCCCTGAATGTACCCATTATCGTTAAATCAATGTATTGACAAATCAAACGATGGTGTTTCCCTTCAGGATAGATTATGGCCAGGTCGCTCCTCCAGCCCTCTGATTATCCATGCTGGAAAGCGCCCTACTGGCACAACAAAGCAGTCGCGAGGCTTGCTAACCCCAAACAAACCTCTGCTGGTCCTACCATATCATACCTCACTCAACGTATCCACTCTATCGAAATTGCGCTGTCGATTCACAGCTACTCTCACATCGCCAAACTTCATCAACTACTACTGTCTATCGTCTTGGCGAGGATAGCAATGCGGAAACGAATGGAAGCCATTAGGGTCTGTTCAGACGAAGTCTGTGGAGCAATAATCCCAGAAGGGTTCGCTAGTGGAGGAGGAGACTTGGTATTTGTCCGGATAGCGCAAAAATGCTATCATATGTCTTGGATGTTGTCAGAATATTCTACATTTACATGCTAACAGGGCAAGAGGCTACGGATACCTTAACATACAACTTGGACGAAGGTGGGGCCCTTCCACAAGCCAAACCACCGATCAAGCGATGTTGGGAGGCACTCACTTAATAACCTCCACGATGATACCCCCAATCTCCATACCTGTAATCGTATTCGTTGTCTGGAGTGTATCCTGGTGGGTAAGGTCCACCATTGTCCTGGCCTTCATCGTAGTAGGCCGGTAGACGAGGACGTCGTTGAGGAACATAGCCATAACCAGCGTTTCCACCAAAGTCAGGTCCACGAGGGCCCGGATACACATCACGGCCACGGATTGACATACCTCCGAACTGGTCTGTCATACGATCCACACTGCCGTTGTGGCCTACACCACCCGCACCGCCGTACCGCTGGCGTTCCCTCTCCCAATCAAGCCGTCGCTGCATCGGCCTCGCCATCTCTTCATCGTTCCTACGACCTTCATCTAACGCAACCCTCTGCATCTCCTGCTGTAGTCTCCTTGCAACTCCCTCATCCCTACTAGTCTCCATCTCTACCCCTAAACTATCCTGTACTCGCTTTGCTAGCGCCTCGTCACGACTCGTATCCATGATGACGCGCCGTGGGATCAAGACTTGCCCGTCGTAGTTTTCGAAGAAACGCATCATAAAGGCTGCTTTGTCTTTTTCGGAACGGATTTGGGCGAAAGCGCGGTGGAAGGTTGCTTGGGTCTGGGCGTTGGGGAAGTCGAATCGTAAGATGGGGAGGGTAGTATCCCAGCTGGGGAGGGAGGCGGCGGAAGTGGTTATACGTCCGGGTGCTAGCGGGGAGGGAGATGAGTATCGGGAAGTGTTGGGGCGAGGGTTGAGACTGCATGTATTGGCTGGGACACTCATTTTGGGGGGTTTGTTTTGGTTATGGCTGTGAATCTGTTGCGAGTGCGGTTGAGGGTTGCCGTACCAATTTGCAGGGCAGTCAGGAAGATCGAGTGAGGGATTAATAACACTAGGTCTGTCCGGTAGAATAGCAACTGCGCGATAAAGTAGGTGAAAGCTGAATCTGCTGACCCCTTGCGCACGCATGATGCCAAAGTTTGCTTTCACCCGGGCATTGACACACACATGTCTTCCACACTAATGGGATTATGACTTCACCTACCAACATCAATAGACTGAGCGTTTCGAGCGCCACATCAGCAAACGCGTGAGTCTCACTACAGTGTCACTGTTCTGTCACCGAACACCGCAAAGGCTATGGACATCTATCAGAACGCCGATACCGCTGGTGGCAGCAGACATTACTAGTTTCGGTGAAAGTATACAAGCTGCCTTCGCATCTTTCAACAATCTTTTCTCTCCATAAGTCTACTTCGGCAGTGTTCTAAACTGGAATCCAGGGTCTTCATGTTTTCGAGAGCGTCATCGTACGATTCCATGTCCACTTCTGGAGGACTTTTTCAAAAGACTAGGATTACCAATTAATGTTTGAGGGGGCGGTCCCCTCCAACGTCGCTTCTTGTTCGAAAACCAGATATACTGGGGCTACGACTCCGCTCTGAGGGATTGCTGTTTCTCAGAAAGATAATGTCTTTGTTTCAATATCACACAGAAGATCGCTCATGTCTAGATTGTGACTTCAAAGCACGAGTATATTGGTGCTATGGCCTTCCCAGAGATCCAGTGACTCGTTTACAAATTCTGTGGAATCTCGAGATTCAACAAAAGGCTTGAGATCACCAAAGATGGTGGAGAGGCAGTCTCGAGGTCGGAAAAACAAAGTGCTACATCCTTCAAAAATGTTCTCTACGCCTCACGCTCCAGAAACTCAAAACGCGCACATTCCAGGAAAAGTTGTGCAGAGAGGCGGGACTTGTGAGTAACACGGAGAATCTAGAAGCATCAAGCTAAAGCGTTTTATCTCCCCTGCAGTGATCTGGCACTACATACTGAATTGAGTCATACATGAAATCATATCATGGACAGAAAGTGTCACGTTCGTGGTTGATGAAATTCTGAGGTTGCGGCATGCGTCGAGATGTCCAAAGGCAATGAAATATGCTCCAAAAATTCCAACATAAACATACATATGTGCGAGCGTAGCGACACAACGGCCAAACAGGCTGCATGGACCCTTTGTGTGCTTGTAAACTTGCTGATCCCAATATATAACCTGCCCTAGGGTGAGAAATCGTATCATTTATTTCTTAGCAAGTGGCGTGCGGTACCAAAAAGGCTGACAGAGATTTGGTGGACTGAGGAGAGAGAATGGCAATCACTCGTGTCACTCTCTGTTGGTCCAAGGTCGTTTGTCAGAGCTACTGCGAAAACAGGTCGGTTCTTTCAATATGCGGTTGACGTGGGATGGTGTGGCTAATGGTGATCATAGTGGTAGCATGCTGCTTGACTAGCGAGGAGAGGTCTTCCTTGTTCGTTTCAGCACTATGTTACAGTATATAGACTTACATGAAAGGCCTCCTAAGTGTAGAGTTGGTTCTTACACATGAACTGCTTTGTGCTTGCCTCTTATTTGCAAACCTCAGCCGCGTTTTTGATGTAATCTACAAACAATGACTTCAGCGGCTTGCCTTCCTTGTTCTTCGACATGTTCTCCAACGACCCCAGACCTCCCATCAAGACTTCCTCTGCTCTAGCTTCGAACTTCTGTGCCTCTTCTGCCAGGGGCATTTCAGCACCCAGTACCTTGCGAGATGTCTTCAGTGCGTTCCACACAATGAGTACCTCGAGGAGCTCGTAGCAGTAGTCTTTCAGGAATGCCAAGTGTCTGGTGATGTTTTGATGGGCAGCAGATGTGACGCTCGTGCGTTGAGATGTCATGTCGAATGAGTTCTGTAATGACTTGTTAATACCCGTTCGTGTCTGTAAGAAGAGCGTTGGAAACCCTACCATGTACCCGCTCTGCTTCAACGCATTCACGAGACGGTTAGACAACTTCTTGACCTCCTCTTTGTCTCCACCATATCGCTCGGCGAGGACAGCAGCCATCTCCGTCGGCAGCGCAACCACAGAGGGCCTACCCCTCCAGTCACCTTCAGGGAACTCGCCCTCCTTCACAGGCCGCTTTTGAGCTTTGTGGTGCTCCTCGTTATCCATAAGCTCCACGATCTGCTTCGCTTGCTTGTACGCCTTGATTGTATCATCCTCTGCCCAATCGGCCAACGCAGCTTTGTCATGCACACTCCTCAACACCTGTAGCAACACGCCAAAATTGCTTAGGCTCACGCCCGTTGCCTTCGGCCTTTGCAACATCTTCAGGACGAGGTGATTCATGCCCGCCAGATTTAACCTTCTTATGGCTAACTCCTGCCATTGACTTGGGGCCTTGATACCGGCCTCCTGAAATCCCTCCAAGCATCTTACGACATTCTCCCAGTCCTCCTTGGTTTCGCTCTCTTTTATTATCCTTCTGAACGTTTTGAAGCGGTTTGGCAGCTGATTTCGATCGATGTGTTCGAGAGGGAGGGTGACATCTCCTAGGGTGATCTCTACAGGTTCGGCTTCGAGTTTTGCGCGGGATTCTTGGGAGTATACAAGCTTTTGTTGCTCTTTTGTTAAATGCGAGGGGAGAAGGACCTTGGAGTTGAATCTCGAGAGAAGCTCCGATAATTCGGGTTTAGAAGGTGGGAGGAAGTTTGGGAGAGCGCCTTATGTTCGTGTAAGTATGGTACAAAGTAGGAAGGCGATTCGGGAGTGATGCGGACCTCTTGAGCTCACCGAGGTACGAGAGAATGCGCGTCTTGTGCCATTGGCGTACAAGCATACGTTTTCTGATTTCAGCAAGGCCGATTGGCAACTCCGCCGTATTGAATACATGGTGTGATGTGTATCAACGCTCGATGTCGCATCGAATACGCAAAGTCCAGAAATTTGGCGCAAACGCGTCAAACGCGCCAAGCCACATCGGTCATCCTTTTCCCCTCCTCCGACAGGGCCCTCTAGCCACGACTCCAGCCTCAGGTTACACAGCCACATTGCGGCCCCCTCTTTTTCCAGCAAGCGAAATGTTAGCCCCAAGGAGGACCAACCGCTACAGCTGGCTCTTCCCAAGAGCGAAGAACACCAAGATGGACAACGAACAAGCAACTTTCTGGCTGAGCCAGTTCATCGGGAAGAACCTACGCATACATGCTAGCGATGGACGCGTGTTTGGAGGCCAGATGAAATGCACGGATAAGGTAGGCTATGACGTGTGCAAGAGATTGTACTGTGTTGACGTGGTTCAGAACCGTAACATCATTCTTGCGCTGGCACATGAGTATCGTGCACCATCAGCGGAGACGATTCGCAAGGCTGTAGAAGAGTCGGGAAATCCGTCTGCATCCGTAGCCTGGAACAGTCGTTATGTTGGACTGATTGTGGTGCCTGGCCAACATATCACGAAGATTGAGTTTGAAGAGACCACATTTCCAGGCCAAAAGAGTACAGTGACTCTATGAGGGAATCACCAGTGCCGATGATGGAGTGGTAGTTTAAGACATACGCACTCACTTCGAGGTGCGAACGGCCAGCGTGAATGGGAGGAACGCCATGCTTGGAGTGCTCCTTCATGTGGACGCAAGACATGTGCGAAACATATTCGGACCAGTCGTATTGTTAGTATTGTATTTGAGTGTCGTAACAGGGTCTATGCTGACTTTTCTAGGCGGTAACGATACCTGAGGTGAGGGTAGACCGGTCATCGCTGTCTGGTAGCGAGCAGTCACACATAGAGCCATTGTGCAATCCTCAACAATAACGAACATGAGTACTATTGTTGGGGACTGCCAGTGTATCGCTAACCGTCTTTTGTATCTGGGTACATAGCCCTAAAGCCTACAACGATTTCTTTTTGACCTCAAACCACGAACACAATCCATGGGATACTTCCAGCCATTAGCAACAGCACGATCACACTACACGTCGATATCTCCTATATCATGCATACCTCGTGTTATAGTCGGATGAGGCAGGGCTCGTATGGTTCAAACCCGTCCAAGCAGTCGCCAGTCGCCGCAGAATCTGGCCGGGCAGAAGACTTCAGATCCTCTGAGATCGTAAAGTCTCTCTTTCAAAACTCGTCGAAGATCTCCAAGACCCGCAAGCGGTCACGAAAGACCCACCTCAAAGTCCTCGGTCCCCTATCCTCCCACACGACACTAGCGGCTCACCGGGCTGCCATAGCAGCATCACCTCTACTTTCTCTCCCCGGCGAAATCCGCAACATGATATATGCCTATGCTCTCACGTCCGAGACCAAACTTCTAGCCTACAATAACCAGCGTGGTCGGTTCGACGTTTCTAGAATTGGTGCTGGATTGCTGCAGATCTGCCATATGGTTTCGCGCGAGACGATGTATTTGCCTTTGTTGCTGAACACCCTTGTGTTTGGCTCGTCAACAGGAAGTGAGGATAACGAAGAGAGAATGCTGAAATGTTTGGGAAAGATTATCAACCTAGGGTGGGAGATTGGATCGAGAGACGGAGTGGACATCGAAGTTCTTTCTCAGAAGGAGATGAAGATTCTCGATTCGAAGTGATATTCTAAGCATGCTCAATCCTCGCTCAAAGCTTGAACATGCGGCACAACCAAAGCGCTCAGTATATCATCTACATCAAGTCTGCCTCAATGACACTCTCCACCGCCCTCGGATGCCGACTTATATCCACGATCCTGAACCCGGCTTCCTTCAACAACCTCGCCCAATGCTCCTCCGTCCTCTCCATTCCACTCGTACAGTTCATAAGCTGCAAATCCAAAGTTGTCATTAGGTTTGTGGCTCCCTTCTTCGGCAAAACGACCTCGTAAATCAGGAGCTTGGAGTATCCGCGCTTAAACACGGCGGCCACTTGCGAGAACATACGGATGCAGTCCGTGTCGGGCCAATCATGCGGTACAGCATGAAAGAAATAAGCACGCGCGTGTATTTGGGGTTGAGGCGTGAAGAAGTCGTAAGCTTGTTTTACGATCCTCTTGTCCAAGTCTTCGATCGGCATGGCAACGACTTCCGGAGTATCTTGCAGAATGAGCACATCTGCAGGCAGATTCGGATGCTTGTCGAGAAGACGCGAGGTATCAAGACCATGTGCGCCACCAATGTCGACGAAAAACGGTTTCCCGGTGCCTATCTCCGCGCCGTCGACGATACGGTTCGTGTCGTACACGTCTGTCCAGCTCATCTTATGGTTTCGCAGCGCAGTCATCAAACCCATGAAACTGCTTCCCTTGCCCACTGGATCAGCGGCACAAGTAGCGAAGAAATCTTTCCCCCCAGTCATGTCACGGTAGTTGTCCAGTTGAGCAAGGTCGATGGGTTCGCGGTAGTTGTACTTTTTGAGAAAGTATGGGAGGTTGACTCCGGTGGGGACGGTGTGATCGGTACTGGGAATTGCATTAGCGGGTTGCTACGCAGTGAGATTGAGGGATTTGGCTTCACATACCCGCATTGTGTGATCTGATCGGTATGCGATACTGTATCACCGAGAGAAAGCGAGTACGGTGTAGGCTTCCAGGTATCAACATCCGTCTCTTCCAATACATAAAGCGCAGCAATATGTCTCAAAAACCTACCTACATCCAATATATCAGCTTTACCATTCTTCCTCTTGGTAGAAATTACACTCACGCAACAGGTTTGGCTCAGCCTTTGCATTTGCCCACTTTAGCAGCTGATCTAGATGCACCGGTGCACCAGGGTTCTTCTTATCCGCTTCCGTCCATTGCTTCCAGATACCAAGATCGAGGATAGTCTGGATACCAGCGATGAGCACTGGTGTCTCGAATGACAGCCTCCAGCCTTGCTCGAATGGCGTCTCGAGGCGGTTTAGTAGGCGACGGGCTGCTTCCTTGGCCTCGTATCGCTCGGCATCTGTAGAGAACTGTGAGGGCTGGATGGAGTCTAGAGTTTTGATTGTATCTGAGAAGGACGACATGTTGAAAAAACTGCAATTGATTATGAGCTGGTATATAGGGTTATGGACTTCACGAAGGACAACAAGACGGATAGTGGAGAGTACTTATGAGTTCTCAACATGATTCGTGCTTCCTTGTTGTTGACTACATATTCGCAAGCTCACGACTCTTTAGTGCCACTTGCTCAAACCCCTGGTCATCCCACTGTTCATCGCTTACCGCGGACGGAAACAAGGCCTTGGCAGGTGTGGGGTTGCTCAGGGAGTTGATCCTTGGTGTACATTAACATATGTGCATGACTCGGACTATTACTGGGGTGGCCTTATCTTGCGGCAATATGAGCGGCCAACGTGTAATGGTTTTTGAATTATCGTTGATAGCTCAGCTGCCTATGATTGAGACACGAGGTTTCTCTTTGCGACAACGTCAGCGAGTCATGTATCCGTTCATGTGTAATATGAAAGGTGATTTGTAGGATCATAAACACGATCCGGAGGCTGTACGCAACCCCATTCCTCCGCGGAAGGAAGCCAGATCCCGGAGAACAGCGCCAGCCGGCGGGACGTTATGACGGCTCCAGGGGTGATATGCCTCACCCTGTCATTTTTTTAAGCCATGCGTCCAGGATTGCCATCTTGGCTTGTCCCTCGCGCCGAACACCTCCATTGCGAAGGTACCGGAGACAGCATTGGCTCCTTGAACAGCTCAGTGGTGCTTTCTTTGCTGCTTGTCTCAAAGTCCGTCATCTTAGTCTCGATATCCGTCATTTTGTAAATCTCGAAACCGCTCTTCTTCTTCTTTCCTAATGTGCTGGTGTTCGTTCGCGATCGGTGGGAGTCTTTTGATACGTAGCCGCCCGAGGAGTGTCTTGTTGCCCAGGTTTCCGCTCTGAAGAGGCTGTCTAAATGTGGGTGTGAGAAGTCAGTGCATGTCTCACATACAGTTCGTTCAGGGATTCTTACTGATGACGGGTGCGTTCACTGCGAAGATAGATACGATCTGTTGGACGTCTTTAGATTCTGGCAGTGTGGCAAATGGCTGATAGTAGACTTACGGCTTCACGCTGTGCCCATACTGAGGAGAGAGCCACTTGAACGGAAGTGCCAATAGATAGAATGCAGCGAGCGATAGCCATACCCATGACGAAGAGACCGAGAGACAAGAGGAAGATGACCCGAATCTTTCTGTAAGATCGAATTAGCTTTGCCTTCTTCTTGGATAACGGGTGAGCTTACCGCCACAAGCTGATCTTCGCATCCTTTAGCATCCATAAAGGAACGACGAGGAGCAGAGCATCCACCCTACGCCGCGTTAGTTCCAGATTAGTAAGTGTTGCGGATACACCCACAAAACATTTCCGACTGCAATGACGATGTTAATCACAATGCCGGCCGAGCACTCCTTGCCTGGATCAGGAAGAATCTGCCAATTCCTCTTCAGAGGCAAGCAGTGTGTTGTCTGTGTTATGATAGCGGCTATACAGCAAGCAACTGAGATACCGCCTACAGCCTGTACATAATAGTAGAGTCTAGTGCTCCTCCTGTGCAAGAAAGTAAGTATTGATCTTGTGGAGTACGGTTGAATTTAACCTACGTCAAACGAAGAAAGAGAACTATGAGAGAGCCTTTTAGACTCCAGACAAGAAAGATTAAAAAGTAAAAGGAGGCAAACATCGCCTTGGCGCCCTCTCGCATCGACTTTCGCATTGCGGGCGGAAGTGCTTCACGCTGTTCTTGAGACATGGCTATAGGCGCACCCATTATACCTGGTGTATTGTCAGTTACATGTTCTGATTTCGAGATCACTTGTGTTATTGACTCACTGAGATACTCCACCATAACATAGATGAGAGTGAAGAATACCCATGACCAGAACGCGAAAAAGTCGTCCCAGTAAAAGCCTCGCCATCCCAATGTCTTCCATCTCGTGAAGAACCTCGCAAAAATGATGACACTTCCAAGGGCGTATTCGACGCGACACTCTATAAGTGTTGCATTAGGGTCCGACATCTTAGTGGTTCGGTGCAAAAGAAGGCGGATGAGTTGGTACGCTAGACAGCGTTCACTGGGCAGATTGTGCTATATGAAGCGTCCATTCTCTAGATAGTCTGTGGCATAGGAGTACGCAGGGCGTCGCATGCGCAATGCTTCGTACTCTCAATTCGGATAAAGAGAAGCCGATGAAAACTGGGGGAAGGATTTCTTATGACAGGGATCGGGTTGGAGGCAGGAGAACTGAGGGAGGACTCATGATCAGGTGGCTCGTTCTTCATGGACCCGGATTCGGTTTGTTGCGTGTCGATGAGACCCTTTGAAGGAAAGGATGGTCATGATAGAGGTCTCAGTTCGCCAAATCATGGGTTCCTCATCCTTGCTCTTGCTTGAATCGCTTGAGAGTGCATTACGCGGAGGACAGTCGCGAGCTGTGGATGGAGGATCACTCATGCGGAAGAGTGTTGACTCGAGTGGCGTGAGTTACAAGGAATGGTAGGTAGGAAAAGGTTACGGCTCCGGTTGAGGCGCGCCGCCGTTTTGGCGCGAACATGGCCGGCCCATTGCTTTGGTACCTCGCTTGCAACTTTTCAACGCTCAACGCAAATGCATCAGTGTTAGCCTCATGTCAAGGAGCGGCCCATCCCAGCGTCTGCCGAAGGCGGCGTTTCGAACAGCCTTATTTGTGCATGATCATCATATCCGCTTGCAAATGCCGATGTGCGATGAGTTTGCGCTATTCTCCGCATACCTTACAAACGTCTGAACATTCCCGCGACCCCTGCTGAAGGAACAGCTATATGCAACGCGTTTCCGTCCATAACAGGAGGATCGTCGCTACCGATGCCATTTGTTGTCTTCGCCTCGTGCAAGTATGCATACAAATGATAATGTGTTTTGGCATTATGTCTTGGCTCAATCCTTCAGCGGCAATGTATCCTTGAACGCTCAAGGGGCTGTCTCGGAGAAATAGCGCCGTAGGGCTGGGTTCGAACAAAAGTGTTCGGCATGCTCAGCATTTGCGAGTGTGAAAATACAACGCCTGAGTGATGACAACGATTGGTCCGCTGAACTTCGCGAACGTCCAAATGTTAGCTGCTTCGCGGAACCGGGTATCAACGGCTATATCCCCGCTCCCGTCCAAAGTACACGTCTTACCCTTCTCACAGCGCAGAAAGCTTTGTAGAGTCGTATGAAAATATGCTACCACACAATTCAATTGCGAATAACCTTCATGGCAAGACAGTATTGATTACTGGTGCCTCTTCCGGGATCGGTCGCAGTACCGCACTCGAATTCGCTCGTGCATCGCCGCAAAGTCTGAAGCTAGTCGTCACAGCGCGAAGGGTCGACCGACTTCATGCACTTGCCGCGCAAATCAAGAATGAAGTTGGCGATGGCGTGAAGGTTTGCGTGAAGCAACTCGATGTCTCAAGACCGGAAGAGATCGAGGCAATGTTTGGAGACCAAGGCCTGCCAGACGAATTCTGCGACGTGGATGTGCTGGTTAATAACGCGTGTGTATCCCACTAGCAATCCCACTTTCTTCGTTGACAACCACAAAAAGAGGCTTCATGTCTGGCGTTGAACAGGCACCAGACATTCCGGAACATGTAATCCAGGATGTATGGGCGACGAACGTGACGGGTGTAATCAACATGACACAAGCAGTGCTGAAGATTTTCAAAATGCGTCCAGACGGTGGCAAGGGTGATATTGTCATGCTAGGAAGTATCGCGGGGCGAGAGGCGTATATTGGCGGATCGGTACGTGACGGTTGTCGTCCTCCGGACATTGATCTGATCCGCTGGTCCTACTGAACGTGTACTGAGGCGAATACAGATATACTGCGCCAGTAAAGCAGCGGTCCGGGCCTTCACTGAGGGGCTGCGGAAAGAGTTGATCAGCACACGCATTAGAATCATTACAGTAGACCCTGGACAGGTCTTGACAGTAAGTGCCGCAGTTTGTAATCGGACTCGCTGATTAATGGTATACAGGAGTTCAATGACATCCGACATCGTTTTGACAAAGAGAAAGCTGATAAAGTCTATGCGTACGATCTTCGCTCCTTACGTTGAAGCCCAGGATAAGCTTACTAATCGAAGTCCAGAGGTTGCGATCCCCTCACTCCAGATGACGTCGCGGAAGTTATCGTGTTTGCAACTAGTAGGCGGGAAAATGTAGTTGTTGCGGACGTGCTCATGTTTCCGAATCACCAGGTATTCCCTTATATCTGTCATGAATGTGCGTAGGGAAACTGACGCGACCTAGGCATCGGGCATACATATTCACAGAAGCGAGATGTGCCCTTCCTGAGCGGCAGGCACAATTTCGAACCAAATTGCTAGAAGTGATCTCGTGACATTCATTAGAGGTGCTGCATTCTCGAAAGTCGTACCTAGTAGAACTGGTACTCACGCTTTGAAACGCACATGACAGGGGCAATTAAGCCGCACTGAAACATCTCCTCTAAGCATCATCGCGTGATCTACTTCTGCGGCACTGGGTCTATTGGTACGTTCCAATTGCAACATACTTTGTATACAATCGATATATACCCCATTGGACATGGGATCACTTATTGTGAAGTCTTTGAGCTTGTGTATAGCACGGTGATACTGCTTGACCACGGTATTGATCCCAAAGAGATGTTGATGGAGCTCATTGACGCTTCTATCGCAGTAAACGGTATACATTTCCAGGAACACGAGGCCCAAGGAGAAGACATCCGTATTGGAGCCATGGCGTTGCAGGTTATCCAACTCATCGTGCATTGCCTCAGGCGCGGCAGAAAGTCTGCTTGCTGCAGCCGGGGTTGCCGTGGAAGTGTCGTTGCTGAACTCTGGTCGGCGAGATGAACTAAAGTCCGTAAAATATACTGTATCGTAAAGACAAACGATGTTCGAAGGTTTAACATCCTCAAGGTGAATACCCCAAGAATGCATATAGGCCAATGCTGATGCGAGACAATAAAACTATTTGTGTATTTTTAATCGAGCGTTAATCCGCTCCGGAGCCAAGGGGAATAGAGCGCCCATATGTCGGAGAAGTAGGCCCAGATCCTGTTCGCCAGTGGGAAATAGCAACACGTATATCGTGAGACTACTGCCACGAGAGCCCTGATAACAACCCAACACCTTGATAATATGCGGATGTATCAAGGACTTCAAGTGATCTATCTCTTCACGAACGCGTTTCTTATCGCGCTCCGCTTCCTGTCTCATTCGTGAGATGAAGATGCATTTTCTCGCCATGGGAGTACTGTGATTTGGAACAGCAACTTCTTCAACCTCCCCAACGCTTCCGCGTCTTAGAAAGCCTCTTGGTGTGGATGCGACTACTGTCGTTGGTCTTGTCTCCCAGAGGAATTTCTCGGCCCCAACCTGCATCTGTTAGATACGGTTCATAGTTGTCGTAACATACACGCATTCATGAATTGGCCACACTTGCTGAAATTACCACTTTGTAAGCCGGATCGAGTTCCGTGAGGTAACGCCACGAATCTAACATCAGATCTTCCAGCATTGCAGATTTCAGCGTACGGTAAGCCTGTATCCGATATCCAGCAACATTTTCATGGTGTCCCGGTATTACCTGAGCGTCGGGGCCCAGGTACCTTTGTATGTCGACAACGATGACGCATCGTGCAATGTTCTTGCATGGCACAAACCACTCGTGTGTTCGTGGAACATCAGTTCTGGGTCCGGTATACAATTTTTGTTGAGGTTCTAGTGGATTTTGTCCGTATGTCAATGACGTGCCGTTGTTGCGAAAGACTCCCTGCGTCGCTGGGGGTAGCCTATTCATGACTGCGGGCTATCTTCTCTTGGCTCTCGTAGAAAACCCAGCAATCGAATTCCCGGCTTGTTCGACGCAAATATGAACACTAGTCGCGTGGATTTGGGCACGAGCTATACTGCAATGAGTAGTGTGAGGAAAACATCCGTTGGGTTGAATGGGAGAGACCTCCAGCTGTTGTCAGGCTGAAAGTCTTCACTGTTGGTGGTTTTCATCCAAGGCGCAGCAACGGCCAATCGTGTCTTGCATTGTCGCAGGGCTGAGCGCAGCACGACACCAACAAGGTGACATTTAGCTTTGCGACACTGCACTAGGTTACACTCGGCCTGATGGAAGGAAATTCTATGATGTTCAATGGGAGCTGGTGGTTCTGAAGCTTCGCAGCATGCGTAGGGGAAGGTTTGTGATTACGCGTATGAATGTTCACTTAGGCAAGGCGCGATGGGCCATGGCCGATTCGACCTAGCACGTTGCGTCTGAAGGCATTCGTTCTCAACATGATTGTCACATCGCAATTTAGTTCATCTCACACATTCTATCGGCCATCATGGAAAATCAAAAGAAGGTTTCTATGGTAGAATTTTGCATTGTTGACTATTGTAGTTTAGCGCGAACCGTCAGCTTGAGGGCAACGCGTAGAGATATTCCCATTCCAGCCGTATTCTTCGTGGGCGCAAGTATGTTCAGAAATCGAGCTTTCGCATAGATTTTTATTCGCTTTAACCCTCCATCTAAATGTCTTCGTTCACCGGCGCCTTGATCTTGCCTTTAGCTTCACCCATAGGCTGAAAGGGCGTTATAGGCTTCATTTGGAGAAGACAGCATCCCCTACCTGCTTTCTGGCGGCACATCTCACACTTCTCCTCGTACCACATGGGTTCTCGAAGCTCGTCGCCGCCCGTGAGCATCCTGACAGAGCCCTTTTCGCTGGCCAATGTCTCGTTGACATACTTGCAGTCACTACATCGCCACATGAAGACCTTGGCGAGCGGGTCAATGTGGCCCTTAGCCTTAGTCGGTGTAGGAGTGTAGCGGGACATGCTGAACGCTGCTGTACCTTTCTGTGGTCGGGAAGAGATGGCTTTTTGCGTGGCGACTACGCGGTAGTGTGTTTGTTTGAATGTGTAGAGTTGTGTGGCTACAGTCGAGGGAATGGAGGGGCAGTCGGGCTTTCTAGAGAGAAAGAGTTTGACGACGTAGTTGAGGGTGATATGGAGAGCCGACAGGCAGTTGGCACTGACCGCCGCTATCCGCACCATGACGGCGTGGTGAATAAGGAACAATCGTCGCGATATTGTCCAACAACTATACTAACCAGGTAATACATTCCAAAGATGGAAGGCTCACGCATTTTCGAGAAACCATGTACACTAGCATGCATGTCGCGACCCTTACGTCTGTGCAGCGACCGAGAGCAAACGCATGTATAATCACAAGCCCAGTGCTGTCGAATTCGCGAAGGACCTGAGACCTTCACACTCGCTCTCTGACAGCCACGAACGATGTCGAGCACCGACATGAACGGAAAGATGAAAACGAGGAAACTAGGCAATGGCCAGTTCAAGAAGCCACTGTTTGCGAAAGGTGGATGGATCCTTTTCACTCGTCAACGCATTACGCTGACGCTGCCCAAGCAATCGCATCTTACCAGAAAGCTGCCGCTCTAGATCCGGATGACTATCGTCCGTTACTGAACATATAAGACCAGACAACATCAAGCAGTAAGTGCGTTCGGCCATCTTACTAGGAGCCATTCTTTGCCTGCTCCGTTCCAAGATCGAGACGTTTTCCAAACATATCAGCAACCGTGCTGTTGTCGTCAGCGGGCCCATTTTCATCACGATCTCTGATCATTGCGAGTCGTATTTCTTCCGCGTCCACTTTCTTCCCAGATAGAATGACCCTAAAGTTTCGCGCGCAAATGATATTCTCGTACTTCCCTGATTCCCAGTGGCACTGCCTGATATGATCCCTTTCCGGACACCAGAATCTATGAGATGTCGTCACATTTGACCGCAACGTACTCATCCTAGATTCTCTCAAGATGTTGGAGGTAGTGCCCTTGTGGCAGATAACTTTCTCGAGCATTAGTCCATTTAGATGAAGGGCACTCAGCCCATACGGAAAGCTGGGATGTGGCTGCTGACCGAGATCAAAATGCCATCGCACCGTCATAAGAGGTAGTTCTCGCAGATGCGGGTGACAAGACAGACATCACTGAAGTAGCTCAGGTCGTCCAAACAATTTTTCGCCAAGTGGCTATCTCTTGCCAACAGACTGACGCAGCGGACTCGCTGTCTCCAAGCTTCACAGCAGATGTCTAGGAAGCCTATGGGCTGTGCTGCAGGTGGTTTGTCGACGAATGGGCTGCGTCGGTAATCCTAGGACAGAATAATGAAGTCATTCAGCTGCCATTCGGGTCCAAGGGTCTCTGAGCGAAGTTGCCAGTAGGTGTACTTGAGCTGTTCGCTTTCCTGCGGTTGATGCCAAGAAGTGCTGAATTATGCTTTGTAGTCATCGTCGCGGTGAAAACAAAGACCATCCGGCTCGTGGAGGGTGTAGGTGTAGATCTGATCGCGCAGTTCGCGGGATAAGCGGAGAAGAGAGCTGACGCTGCTGTCCATCATAGTCACAGAGTAACCCGGAGGACGTGGATGAACCGTGTACGTGCCATCAATGCATGAACTCCAGCAGTTGCTGTTCTCGCTTCACCGATACCAGATGCGCCTTGAATTAGCCTTGGCTCTGCGCCCTGCATGTCAACATATACGAAGTCTAACGGCATGGATTTAAGTATTAGGATTGTATTTCAAGACCTGTACCTGGCAGCAAAAAGAAATTTGGGTGTTGCGTGGGCCGAAGTTCTATCGGATCGCCAGAACACAATCCTCATCCTCTCCCCAACCCCAACGTCCCCAGACCATTAGAACCACAAAAACAATAGCTGTGCAACTCATTGCATCGGCCGGGAATCGAACCCGGGGCTAGCCGAAACTGTCCTGTGAAGGATGGCAACGGCTAATTTTACCACTAAACCACCGATGCTGATGAAACCAAGGTGAAAGGTTGATTCACGTGATTTGATGAATGACCTTTAACAAAAAACAAATATATTGTCAGAAATTGCTCATGCAAACGGATCGGGAACGAGGCCTGATTAAAGGTGGACTTGGTAGTGGGGTCGTAGGGGAAGTTGATTAAATTCGCTCGCTTAGATGCATGTCGCATCTGACTGCCATGAAAAGGTTAGTGGCATATTGATTACTTTCACTGCAGTAAGGGCTACTGCACGCTCACACACTGTGATTTACGTGGCTTTGTGCTTGTACATTAGCGGAAGAAACGAAGAAAGTGGATGTATCCGCCAATGCTCAAGACGGGAGCAAGCATTCAGGACATCGGTGCATTGACCATTCTCTTGCGTTTGAACTACAACATTGATTCTATTCTGCATGTGTGAAAAAGGAATACGGCCATGGCTGGTTGATCAAATGAGAGCCATAGAGGGACCATAGAGGGACTGGGCTATTCGCCAGGTTCTCTTCCGATGCTTCATGACCTACCATTGTCTACCTAAGCCGCTTTTGTACCACGTTCTGGGGAGTTCAAGCCGATCAAGTCACAATGTGCGCTCCTATTGGTACTACTTTATTGCGGAGACAGTCACAATTTGTCAATTGACGAGATCGAGCTATCTAGGGCGTAAGGCCCAAGTTTGAGGAAATCGCCGGGTGTTTCCCTGACGTGATCGCATCGGTAATCTACGAGACAAGGTAGTCATTTTATAATCACATGTGATTGAGAACGCAAAGTGATTACTCTGTACGTGACCTTGAAGTGTTCCGTGCTATGAGCTCGTCACGTGCAATGGGATTATTGCCATCGAAGAGTAATCAAAACCCCCTGCCGACTGCCAGCGTCCAGCAATGAATGCGCTCCTACAAGGAAGCATAATGCGGGACGGCACGGCAGGCATCCCTAAGATCCGGCATCTGATCCGACGATCGAGTGATGACGTTCGCGCGTATATTTGAGAGACATGGAGTCGCTAACCAGTCTCTGGGAATTTCTGTTATGTATGTACTGAACCTTGTAGTAACGCCTTGTGAGTCACAACATCTGTGCCCTCGAATCTCAAGCGAAGGAGATGAAACGTGCACTGCCAATTTGGGGCATCAAATTCGGCGTTAGGGAGCCTTGGCGCACCGCTTCTCAGGTTTTCTCGGAGGCCGCGGGTGCCATCTCTGTGATCCGCGCTTCCTTTCCTTTCCGCACCGCCATCCATCAAACACCAAAATGCCTTTACACGTAAGCGTCGCTGACTATCGTCATCGGCGTTCGGTCCCTGTCGCGCGAGCACTTTCGTGCTTCGACATTTCTATGACGCTTCAGTTGGTACTTCATTGTACGCTGTAATCGGCCCTTGCCAATCGGTACAACCTTTCGTCCGCATGTTCGTACAAACAATGTACAATATGATGTACGAAAGTAAAAATGTCGCGCTGAAACGGTTCGCATCTGTGTTGAGGTGTAGCGGCAATCCATAGGGTGGATACTGATTTCGCACAACAATAAGTCGGTCTCTGGAAGTGCGAATAGCGAGCATTAAAAAATATGCCAGAAACTAACGGAGACCCTCCACGTTCCGATGGCTACAAGTCTATCTTTATGACTACCTGAAACCACGTGGAGAGCCTCTCCGACACGTTGGGACCTGGTTTGGATCGTTTTCAAGGTTTTAGGTCGCTGTTCGGTGCTTCGAGCGCGAGGCCGAGCCCGAATCGATGCTTAAGCCCTCAGCTAAAAAACGCTATCAGCAACAATTCCAGTTCCGCCCCGCTGCAACCAGCGGCCATTACGGGAGACAGGGACACTATCTGTAGCAGACCCTGGATCTAGCATCAGAGCAGTCTAGACAAATCCGAATTTGCTCATGCTACCTGAACGAATATACGGACCAATCACGACAGCTAAAGTCTGGCCGTTTGCAGTTGCACCGCCATGTCGGTCCCCGTGGCTTCCTTGCTTCGAGTAAGTCCCTGCTTCGTCCGTATCAACGATTGAAGCAGTGACTGCACACAATTCCGCCTGCGACGTCAGCAATGTCGGAGCCGACGGCTGTTGACGCCCGAGTGCCTCTAGACTCTTTTGGACGATCAGTATCCACAATAGTTTCCCATAGGCTCCTTTATATGACTACGACCCCAATATTGATTCCAGTAGTGCTTGTCCAGACCTGTCCCCTCCAAACTCCAAAGTACAATCTTTAATACCTAATTGCCGTTTCACACACACAGCAGACAATTCTGGCCAGAACGTGGAATCGACAACACAATGGAGGGCCGTAGGAGGAGCAGTGCTTATAACATACCCGCTGGCGCTGGCGAGGACATCATGCGAACAATATCTCGCACGTTTTCCGGCAAATCACGACATGACGATGATATCGAGCGAGAGCGAGAAGAAGAAGACGGCACGGACAGCGACTCTGCCAAGACCAAAGTGGAAGAGTGGAGACTAGCGAACGATGTAAAGAATATACAACAAAACGATCCTACCGAAGGGCGGAGACTGGGAGTCACATGGAGTGGACTAACCGTCAAGGTGGTGCCTTCGGACGCACGTTTGCAAGAGAACGTGCTCAGCCAGTTCAACATCCCGCAGCAAATCAGAGAGTCACGACAGAAGCCCGAGCTGAAGACAATTCTCGACAACAGCTTTGGTAGCGTACAGCCTGGCGAGATGCTTCTGGTTCTGGGAAGGCCTGGCTCTGGTTGCACCACTCTACTGAAGATGCTCGCGAACAAGCGAAAGGGGTACGCACAAATCGACGGCGACGTGCATTTCGGTTCGATGGACCACAAAGAAGCTCTGAAATACCGCGGCAACATTGTCATCAACACCGAGGAGGAACTCTTCTTCCCTACCCTCACAGTAGGCAAGACCATGGACTTCGCTACGAAACTCAACATCCCACGCACCCTACCAAAGGATTCTGCAACTCCCGAAGAATATCGCCAGAAGTTCAAGTCATTCCTGATGGAATCCATGGGAATCGCCCACACTGAGGATACCAAAGTCGGCGACGCCTTCGTCCGTGGTGTCTCTGGTGGAGAGCGCAAACGAGTCTCGATCATCGAGACTTTGGCCAACCGCGCTAGCGTAGCCTGCTGGGACAACTCCACCCGTGGTCTAGATGCCAGTACTGCTCTGGAGTACACTCGTGCACTCAGATGCTTGACAGATGCGATGGGCATTGCTACCATCGTCACCCTGTATCAGGCAGGTAACGGCATCTACGACCTTTTCGATAAAGTCCTCGTGCTAGATGAAGGCAAGCAAGTTTTCTACGGCACTCGCGAACAAGCTCGACCTTTCATGGAGGAGCAGGGCTTCGTATGCAGTGAGGGTGCCAATGTGGCTGATTTCTTGACTGGTGTCACGGTGCCCTCTGAGCGACAGATTCGTTCCGGATTCGAAGGCTTCCCACGCAACAACATCGAGCTAGAGCAGGCCTACCAACGGTCATCCATCAAGGCTGCGACGGAGCAGGAACTGTCATACCCTACGAGTGAAGCGGCAAAGACCAACACCAAGTTATTTGTCGAAGCCATGGCGATAGACAAGTCTAAGCAACTTCCAGCCTCGTCGCCCATGACTGTCTCATTCTACGATCAGGTGAAGGCCTGTGTCGCCCGGCAGTATCAAATCCTTTGGGGTGATAAAGCGACCTTCATCATCAAGCAAGGCTCAACGCTCTTCCAGGCAATTGTAAGTCTCTGTCTAGGTCTCCAATCTCAAACTTTGCTGACCTTTCACTTTTTAGATCGCCGGTTCGCTTTTCTACAACGCTCCCACAACTTCATCTGGACTGTTCGTCAAGGGAGGAGCTCTCTTCTTGGCTTTGCTGTTCAACGCGTTGTTGGCCATGTCGGAAGTCACCGACAGTTTCTTCGGTCGCCCTATCCTCGCCAAGCACAAGAACTTCGCCTTCTACAACCCTGCAGCTTTCTGTATTGCGCAGATTGCAGCTGATGTACCGATTCTACTCTTCCAGGTATCCATGTTCATGATCGTCCTGTATTGGATGGTGGCTTTGAAGGCTACAGCTGCTGCCTTCTTCACTGCTTGGTAAGTGATGTAGAAGCTTACCGCCTACATGGCCTATACTAACATACTTCCACAGGTTCGTCGTATACGTTGTTACCTTCGTCATGACTGCGTTCTTCCGCATGATCGGTGCCGCCTTCCCCAACTTCGACGCTGCCTCCAAAGTTTCTGGTTTTTCGATCACCGCTCTCATTCTCTACATCGGCTACCAAATTCCGAAGCCCAAGATGCACCCATGGTTTGTCTGGATTTACTGGATCGACCCGCTTTCATACGGCTTTGAATCCCTGATGGCGAACGAGTTCTCCGGACAAGATATACCCTGTGTCAACGCTAACCTCATTCCCAACTTCCTCCCTCAGTATCAGAACGGTGTCAATCAAGCCTGCGCAGGTGTCGCCGGAGCTAAGCCCGGCGCTACCTCAGTCAGCGGGGATGATTACTTGAGAAGCCTTTCCTACTCCAAGGGGAACATCTGGCGCAATGTTGGTATCCTGTTTGCCTGGTGGTTTCTCTTCGTCGGCCTCACGATCTTCTTCACGCTTCGATGGGACGACTCAGCCGGCTCTGGAGGATCTCTCTTGATCCCTCGTGAGAACAAGAAGAAGGTCCCACGCTCTATCACACCCGGAGATGAAGAAGCCCAAGGAAACGAAAAGGCACCCAGGACAGACGGCACCGACGAGAAGGCTACTGAAACGCAAGACCTAAGTGCCAACCTTATGCGCAACACCTCCGTCTTCACCTGGCGCAATCTGTCGTACGTTGTCAAGACCCCATCTGGTGACCGCACGCTTTTGGACAATGTTCACGGTTACGTCAAACCCGGTATGCTGGGAGCCTTGATGGGTTCATCCGGTGCTGGAAAGACCACACTTCTCGATGTTCTTGCTCAACGCAAGACTGACGGCACCATTCACGGCGAGATTCTTGTAGACGGACGACCACTTCCTGTTTCGTTCCAACGTTCCGCCGGTTACTGTGAGCAACTCGATGTCCACGAGCCTTTTGCGACCGTTCGAGAAGCGCTCGAGTTCTCTGCTCTCCTTCGTCAAAGCCGCGACACACCCCGTGAGGAGAAACTGGCATATGTTGACACTATCATTGATCTGCTTGAGCTACACGACTTGGAGCATACTTTGATTGGTCGTGTTGGAGCAGGTCTTTCGGTCGAGCAGCGTAAGCGCGTCACTATCGGTGTTGAGCTTGTTTCGAAGCCTTCGATCTTGATCTTCCTCGATGAACCAACTTGTAAGTATATTCAATCACCCACTCAGTACGCCGCTAACATCACCTAGCTGGATTGGACGGCCAAGCCGCTTTCAATACTGTCCGATTCCTTCGCAAGCTCGCCGACGTTGGCCAAGCCGTCTTGGTCACTATCCATCAACCATCCGCCCTCCTTTTCGCTCAATTCGATACCCTTCTGCTCCTTGCAAAGGGTGGCAAGACCGTCTACTTCGGTGACATTGGTGACAACGCGGCTACTATCAAAGAATACTTTGGCCGATACGACGCTCCGTGCCCTCCTGGCGCCAACCCTGCGGAACACATGATCGACGTGGTAACTGGCACGCACGGTAAAGACTGGCATCAAGTCTGGCTTGACTCACCTGAAGCGGCACGCATGCACCAAGACCTCGACCACATCATCACTGACGCTGCTGGTAAAGAGCCTGGTACCACGGACGATGGCCATGAGTTCGCGATGGATCTCTGGACACAGACCAAGATTGTCACCAACAGAGCAAACGTCAGCATGTACCGCAACATCGACTACGTTAACAACAAGTTCGCCCTCCACATTGGTACCGCGCTGTTTATCGGTTTCAGTTTTTGGCAGATTGGCAACACAGTTGCTGATCAGCAGCTCGTCCTCTTCTCCCTGTTCAACTACATCTTCGTCGCACCTGGTGTGATTGCGCAACTGCAGCCCCTCTTCATCGACCGTCGCGACATCTACGAAACTCGTGAGAAGAAGTCGAAGATGTACTCCTGGATCGCTTTCGTGACTGGTTTAGTCGTCTCTGAGATCCCATACCTTATCATCTGCGCCATTCTCTACTACGTCTGCTTCTACTACACTGCCGGTCTTCCTGGCGACTCGAACAAGGCAGGTGCTGTGTTCTTCGTCATGCTCGTGTACCAATTCATCTACACCGGTATCGGCCAGTTCGTTGCAGCCTACGCACCCAACGCTGTATTCGCCTCGCTCGTCAACCCGCTCATCATCGGAGTTCTCGTCTCGTTCTGTGGTGTTTTGGTGCCATATGCGCAAATCCAAGAATTCTGGCGCTACTGGATGTAAGTAACCCCATTCACTATCAAACCAAGTAAATAACCCTACTAACACTGTCTCAGCTACTACCTTAACCCTTTCAACTACCTGATGGGAGCGCTGCTCGTCTTCGCCGATTTCGACTGGAATATCAAGTGCTCCGAGTCGGAATTCGCCATGTTCGATCCCCCAGCTGGTCAGACATGTAGTGACTATCTGCAGGCGTGGATGGCAGGCCCAGGAAGTCGCACAAACCTTGTCAATCCTGATGCTACGTCAGACTGCAGAGTCTGTCAATACACCAGGGGAAGCGATTACCTGTACACGGTCAACTTGAACGACTACTACTATGGATGGAGGAATGCAGCCATCTGTGTCATCTTTGCTCTCTCGAGTTATGCTCTGGTCTACGGCCTGATGAAGTTGAGGACCAAGGCGAGTAAGAAGGCGGAATAATCGCGTGGCAGAATGCTATCATTGTTGGTAGTATCGTTATGTTTATCTCATACCTCAAATGTTGTCTTCTCCTCATCATTATCATCGCATCTTGGAGTTTTGGTCATCTCTAGACATCTCGACATCTATCTTTGTACTGTTTGCCTCTAAAAGTTCTATTCTCCGACCACTATAGACCTTCTCTAGACTTAGCGTTTTGTCTGGGAGTAGGGGGTCAAGTTATATATGTAAATGTATTGTAATCGCTTGCAAATACCTCGCCCGTACTCAGCCTTCAGCCAATCATAGCGGCCCACTTGCTGAGGTGCGTTCCAAGGGCTCCCAGTACGTTTGCACATTCAGTGTTCACTTCCCTGATAGCACAACTCCATTGCGACAAGTTCGTACAGCTACCAAGACTTGACTATCCAGTGACGTGAGACAGCGCGATCTAAATGGTTTGCAAGTAGAGGCAGATCCTTGAAACTATTGCAAGAAAAACTTCGACGTGAATGGTAATCCCTTTGAATTGCTGGGCAGCCCCGACCACGTGCACCGCGACTACGCTAGTGAATGAGACCACCAGACGCGTCGCACCTCAACCGCGGCCCCACCAACAATCGACAACCGGCATTTCCCAGTAACTTCAATCAACGCGCTTCAATCGCGTGTCACGACAGTCAATTGCTCGTCGCAAATTGTCTACGTAGTGGCCGCAAACACGAAATGCCTCCGAAAGCACGTAACGCGCCTGGTCGAAGAGCCGCCGCAACTGAAGAAGCGCCTATCGCATTGCCTCTAAAACGAGGACGCGCGCCTAAAGCCGATGCCGTTGAAGCCATTCTCGAGCCCCCGAAGAAGCGTGGGCGTCCCGCTAAAGCGAAAGCCGAAGAGCCCGTTGTTGAAGCCGCGCCGGAGCCCAAGAAACGCGGTCGCCCACCCAAAGTTGCGCCTGAGCCCGCTATTGAAGCACCTGTAGTCAAGAAGGGTAGAGGAAGGCCCAAGAAAGAGGTTCTATCAGCACAAGAAGAAGTGCCTGTCAAAAACCGTAGAGGCCGTCCTCGTAAAACAGACGTTATCGCAGATGCACCGCCAGCTATACGGAAGCGTGGTCGTCCTGCGCGCACTGCAGCCATTGACCTCAATCGGGTTGTTGGCTCTTCCCGCATCGGAAAGCGTTCCTCTCCTCGTACCAAGGCCAAGGCTGAGCCAGTCGCCCGCCGTCTTGATCCACGGGTGCGTTCGAAGTTGCGAATCCGTCTGCCTCCGGCCAAAAAGACTATCACAGCAGAGTCCGTCACAAAGCCAGGTCTGAAGCCAACTGCTAGGCGAGGAAGACCGCCTAATAATACTGTCCCTGCTCCAAAGGAACCTGCAGTCGCGAAACCCGCGAAGCCCACGAAGCCCGCTAAGCCTCTTGCTCCTCGCAAAATGCGCGGCCACACAGTGCGCCAAATTCCTGACCGATACGTCGCGCAAGTCGATGAATATCTGCAAGAGCTTATCGCAGCGAACGCATCTCCTGTCGAAGAGGAACAAGCAGAGGATGAAGTACAAGGAGAGGATGGCTCAATCGCTGAAGATACCGCTGAGGACGGCCAGGACGCTCTAGTGTCTTCAGAGCAAGACCGAGAGCAGTACCAAGAGTACAGTGATGATGGCGGTATTGACGTGGATGGTGCTGAAGACGCAGAGGAACTGCCGGAGAATGTCGAGTTCCTCGAAGAGAACAACCGAAATAACAAGTCGCCCGAAGACGACGACGATAACAATGGGAGAGACGAGAACGCCGAGCCGGTACAACAGGTTGAGGTGAGCATATAGGAGGATGTCGAGATGGAGCAGGGTGACGATGGCATTGTACATGCCGAGGTTGAAACTGAGATTGTAGTTCGCGAGGAAAGCGATGACGATGGCCAGGATCTTTTCAATGCCGCAGCGCAGAGGAGGGTGGTCTCATCAGCGGGACTCCTGGACCACCTGCGACTGCTGTCTTCAGCTAGGCAGCGTATGTCTGGCTTGAAAGTACATATTTGCTCTCCCGCATGTCTTGCGTAGCAAAGCGACATCCTCAACTTAGCATTAAGTAGTGGCCGCGCGACAGGCATTCTTTCACAACCAGGACAACCGGTCGATGGAGCGAGGCATGGGCTCATGAAGAGTCTACTTGTTCTATCTATGCTCATGGCGTTTACATCGAGATACCCCACCAGCGAGTTCACTTTACACCGAATACATGAATCGCAACAAGAAACTCTCGTGTATTTCTGCCTGTCCGCGTAACTGCTAATATCCTAAATAGACCATCCATTGCCCGATAGCTGACGTTCTCCAATCTAGTTTTGAACTACAATGGGTCTCCGTATCAACCTAATCTCATTCTAACAAGATCTGAGGGTATATATTACGACGCATCCCGTCAGTACGCCAATGTAAGACACGGCGAACACCTTCAGAGCACATGTTGGATACACAAATCAGAAGTGAGAATCACTTTAGTGATTTAGTACTATCATACTGTCCATATCAACTTTTCAGCTTTCGCTAACGATCAATGATCAACCACTCCTCAACGTCTCCGCTGTACCCGGTCTACTCGTCTCAAAAACACTCCTTCGTTTCCTTACCTCCTCCGTCATCAATCGCCAGCCCGTCCAACAACAAAACCCCAAACGCTCTAGTTCACAGCAGTTAATGGGAGAAGATAGAATTCCCCTCAGCATGCTCATGTCCATGTCCGTGACCATGGCTGTGTCCACCAGAAGCACCATGGTTGTGAATCGTAGTTCCACTCGACACTACCCTGGAAATGCTGCTTTTAGCGCCGCCACGAGCTCCAGCGCTGCTTGCGTGGTAGACGCTGCTGGCTGACTCCTCGAAGCGCTCCATCTCGCGGCACTTCTCTTCGTACTTGGCCATGTACTCGTCGCGTTCGCGGTCGGCGGCGTGACGAGCTGAGATGGCTCGTTCCTTTTGTTCGCGGGCTTCGTTGAGCAGAGTACGGAGGGACGTAATCTCAAACTCGAATTCAGCAGAAGAGTCGTCGTAGGTAGAGATGGTCTCGGTGATCTCTTCGTACTTGTGCTTCCAGGCATTGAGGTCAGAGTGTGCGCGGTCACGGGCATACTTTAGGTTGGTGATCTCAGTTTGGAAGATGACTAGCTGTTCCTGAAGACTAGTGATCTCACTGGTGAGATGACCGTGCTTGCCGCGTGAGTCTTCACCCTCGCGGTAAAGAACCTTGTTACGTTCGGTGAGAGTGTGGATCTCGGACTTGATTTCCGTGATGGTAAGCTCAGCGCGGCGGAGGGACTCCTCCAAGATGTTGATGCGGCGGTGGCCATCTTCAACCTTGCGGTGCTCGTCGTGTAGGTCTTGCTTGAGCTGATCGCGCTCAACGACGACGAGACGGTGGTCCTCGCGAGACCGGTCAATGGCGTCTCGAAGCTCTGTGCGCTCGAGTTCAATGTCCCTCAACTTCTCCTTGACCGAGACGACCTCGCGTTTGATGTGCTCGTACTTGAGCGAGAACTCGTTGGCGCGGGCATCAGACTCTTCCCAGCCGAGAATCTTCGCCTTTACCTCGCGTCGGAGGCCGTCAATGGTCAGGGCATGATCATCACGCTCCGTCTCGATAACGCGGACGGTCTCCTTCAGCTTGTGAAGCTCGCGCTGTACGCGGTCGTGTCGCTCAGTCAGGTCAGTGTACTCGCGAGTAGTCTCGTCGGCCCTAGACTTGGCGCGCTTCAGCTCCTCATGAAGACGATCTTTCTCATGGAGATGCTCATCCCTCTCGAGCTCGAACATCTTAATGCGGTCGGTGAGAGTCAGCACCTCCTTGCGAGTGGACTCAAACTTGGAAGTAGTCTCGTTGTACTTGCTCTTGAGTTCAGTGTGCTCACGGAGAAGCGTCCTGAGCTCATTGTGGTGCTTATCCGAGTCGAACCGAGCGGAGTCGCGCTCGTCTTCACAGATCTTCAGCCTGGAATACGCAGCTTCCAGCTCAGCCCGGGTTCTTTCGTGGTCACCATGAGTAAGTGTGACCGAGCTTTGAAGCTCATGTAGCTCATGACGAGTGCTCTCCAGGTCGCGGTCGCGATCAGCGAGCTTCTTCTTGTGATCGGTCACTTGAGTAAGTGCAGCTGTAAGCTCAAGAATGAGTTTCTCCACCTGCCTCTTCCGTTCGCCGTGCTCGTGGCCGTGATGTGAGTGCTCAGCTTCCTTACGCTGGATTTCCTCAGTCACTTCCTCAACGGTGATGAGAAGTTCGTCCCGCTCGCGAACAAGACTGTCTCGCTCAGCCATGATACGAGACCATGACTCTTTCAGCGAAGAAGCCTCTCGAGAGGCAGTAGACATTAGATCCATCAAAGCGAAGAACTTGCCTTCGGCTTGTGATGTGAGCTCTGTAGACATCTTGCTCCGATGTGACTGGAGGAAGCTGCTTGCTCGGCGTGAAGATGCACTTGTCTGGCGAGTTGAACGACGAGTCATTGATGAGCTGTGGCCAGCACCGTTGGCATGACTTCCGAATGAGAAAGATCGGTTGCCTGTGGGTGACGAGGGCTCAGAGAAGACATCTCGGAGTCCACTAGCCTTGAGCTTCATAATAGTGAGCTTTTCGGGTGTGATTTCAGAGTTGGTTGCAAACGTGTCGGCCATTGTGAACTTCGATGATGTTCAGTGTTGTTGGGAGTCAAAAGAGGACTGGAATGCAAATACCTAAGGATTGGGCAGGAGTGGGAAGTGGTACTTATGCTATAAATGCCGACAGCCAGTACCCCGCCTCACATACCACGGTAGTCCATCCCAGCAGTACATCCATACTTGCATTGGAATAGTCTGTTGCCCGCATAGACAAGGTGCTTGTGGCTTGCTGCTTGAAGAGAGCTTCCTGTATATGACGCAGCATACTGCGAGCGTCTGACGAACTAGAGAGGCTATCCCACCTACCGTTCGCTACGCTTCACCGTTACTGGAAAGGCACACGCAGCAGCTTGAAACCGCGCATGGGATAAGTGGGACCTGTTCTGTAAGGTGTCGGCGACTTGGGAGGTGGAGTTAGCCATAATAGTTGGAGGAGCTCAGCTTGATCAAGCACCGCCTAGGACAGATCAGACCCGGCGTCGCCATATGCAATGGCGATCCTTGGTAGTGCGAAGACGACCAGCAGGCATGGCTTAACACTCCTCGCTTGGCAGGCCATCTCTCGACTGGATGATGCCAAGTGCGGGTAGATCACAAGGGCTGAGTATCTCGATGCTGCAGATTGAAGATCAAATGTGGGGGTTACGGGCCGCGCTATAGCATCCTCGCCGATTCGACAGCTTCATCGCTAGACTTCGCTTGCTTCTTTCGGGTGCTACATGACGCCTGAGCTTTCGATAGTCCGAAACGGGAATTTATCCTTCTAGGCGGAACAGCCATAAGCCAATCATACTTCCTTGGGATGCTGGGTCGGTCCGTGATGTGGCAATCGATCACATCGGGGGTGGCCGAGCGATGGGATGATGACTGCCATTGGAGAACGACCCACAGCTAGCCATTGTTCGTGGAGCGGAGTTTGTGAGTGATGGTTGAAGAGCCGGCGGTTGTGGTAACGTCGGGTCGCTCGAAATCGTGCACCGATCATCGACACCGGTGGTTGACGCTACTGTAGTATGACCCCGCCATGTGAAGAAGCAACGAGGCACAGGAGTTCACATTGCTAATTCCCCGTCACTCCCCGAGGAGAGAAAGAAACAAAGCTGCAGGCTTGAGTTCGTATGGCTTTGCTGGGTGTGTGGCCGTTTGTGATAGACACTCGCAGGAACTCCACCTGTGCTTCCGTGCACACACGCAAGCTGTGTGTCAGAACTGGACGATGAGAATGGAGATGTGGCACGTTTGTTTGAGAGATTTTAGCTACTCAAGGATTTTACTCAAAGAGGTGCGAGTTAATCTGCAGCCGTTAGGGACATTTCTTCACAGCCTGCATCTGAGCCTTGCGTCTTGACCAGAGCGACTTCGCATGCTGCGCGGCATTTACCTCAGGACCACTTCTTGTGTCCGCGCATGGATGCTTTTGCTCGCATCGTATGGACCATGTTGCTATCGCGATCGTGTCCGCCCTTATGGTCGTATCGAACGCAACCAGTTGACCGTCCACAATGTAGTATTCTCCATGGGATCTCTTGATAAGCTTCAAGTCTGTCTTGTGGCACAGATGCACTCCAGTAAGCTCATATTCAGGAACGTCTGGAGTTATAGCTTAAGTACATCAACACAAAATCGGAAGCGGTATGGGAAATGTTACTTCGAGCTGAGAATTGGTGACCACGCAAAGGCAAACAATTGGTCGTACTGCACGACATTGGGAGGTAACCGTGACATACAGAGAATAAGGCAGTAGATCCAGGTTCTTTATTAGTCAACGTTTCTCAACGCAAAGTCTCAAACAAAGTCATGAGGTCGTTCCTCAGATTCTCGCCTTTCCTCGCCTTAACGATTATCATATTGATCCACTTGGCATCCGCAGCAGCATGCGCGCGCCTGTTCGACGGCTGCAAACCAAACGATGAAAATATGTGCGAATGCGATTCAGGTACCCTGGTACGCTGTCTCATGCTCTATAGTAAGAAATACACTAAGTGATACGCTCACAGATTGTGTGTATGAACATGGGTCGTCGACATCGCGTAAATATGCATCCCTCCGAGTCTTCATCGACAGACACATGGCAGTGGATGAGGAAGCAGAATTGCCCAGTACCGAGCGATGGGGGTTTGCAGTGTGTGGAGGGCAGGTGCAACAAAGGGAGGGTATACGAGGTTGTCTTGAATGGGTAGTCTGTTGAGACAAAGATGGGGCTGGGTGAATCGGAGTGCACAGATGCAAGTAACGAGCTCGGATGAATGGGATGGACTTTCAATGGTGGCGAGGATGCATGTTTGCAACACGTTGGCTTCATCAAGACGCCCGGAAGGGATGTGGCAAAGGTCGTTTAGGGATACTGCTTTCGAGCTTTGAAACTATGTCTTCTTGAAGTCTTCGCCCTTACATGCCTGAGAAAATAAGCAGTCATATATAGCTTGCCAAACTGAGGCAGCGAACATATAAACGCGCTAGGCTTATCGAGCCGCGTTTTCACCTTATCGCTCGATGCTGTGGGTATTTGCAATGGCGTAGACTTAGACGACTCGTCGATCTTCAGCCGGTTTACTATATACAGCATCTCGAGCTCTTTATGATCGACTCCGCTCCCCATTCCAGTCACCCGTCTCTCAAATGGGTGATTCAAGGCTGTCTCGGTGTATAGCACATCTCTTTATGTGGCAACAGGCCCACCGAGGGTATCGGGCGCATTACAATGCGAAAGCCCGAACCAATATCTAGGGCGGACCCCGTTTCGAAAAAAAGAGCTCCATACGTTGGTGCTTGTAGATCAGCAGGTAGCTGTCAAGAGCGCACAGGCGTGCCGGCAACTGAGTCCGAAGAGGATGCTTGCGCTTAGAAAGCGCAAGTAGATTATTATTTCTATGTAGCGTAAGCCGGCTCGGTATGGTTCCAGCCATTCAGTCTATGTAAGGAAATAATTTCGTCTTTATCGATATTTGCCACATCAATCATCAATCCTCAATCTAACGCGAAGCGTTGAGATTCTCTGTCCGCCAACGGCAACACATTGTAGTTCAAACGCTGGACATAGTAGTCATCTTCCAGCTCATGTGCCCGAGGTTTCCGTTGAACTTGGCCTAATAGAATCGGCCTGAGTCCTTTCTTGAAGTTGAAGAAGCAAATGGACCCGACGACCAGGGCACTCGTCGAAAAGACCAGCGCAACGCAGATGTAGAATACCATCTCGTCCTTCATTAAAGTTTTAGCAAGTAGCGAGTGTCCATAGAGAACGAGAAGTCTGGTGATCAGGTATGTGATGTTTGCGGCATGGAGAAGCTATGATATGCAGTGTTAGCGAGTGGCAGATTTTCGAGGTGGAAGGACTCACCAAAACAAACGCCATTCCGATTGGGCGCTCATGTCTTACACAATAGACCGCAATAGCCACATGTATAAGGGTAACCGGAAGGATTGAAAGAGTCAACGAGAACTCGGGCTCTTTGTAATGAACGTCGATGAAGTCGTATATGAATATGAATGCGAAGACAAAGTATGGTGTGATCTTGAGAAGAACAAGATAAATCTGCACAGTTGTGAGCATAGCCAGGTAACAATTTTCGATGTGCTTACCTGATAAACCATGTATTTGTTTTGTGTCTTTTTGTCAGGGCTAACGTGTTGGTATAAAGCCCATGAAAACTCACGATAGAGTCCCCTCGCTAACCCGCACATGACGGCACTGCAAGCGCATGTGACGACTACACAAACCATCAAACCAATCGAGGATTTCTTCCAGAAAGGCCAGTCATGGTCCGCAAAGGGGGTGCCATACATGTCGTGATTAAGGAGGATCCTGGCAGCCGCATCTCTGGTCTCGCCGTATTGAAGAACCGTTAAGACCGACAGGCATATGTTGGCAACGCATTGCACAAAAATTTGCAAGTGATTTTTGATCCGATATGCATCAAGCGTTAATATGAGTTGAAAAAGACACCCCAAGGAATTGACGGCCAGCGTCAGTGGCGTGACGTAGGCGAGTGGCACCTGGTATACGACTGAGTTAACCCAGTTGAGATAGACAACGAGTACAACTCTAATGATGTTTAGTGATCCTTCGAGTGCTAAGCAATGCGGGGTGATACGAACGTTTGTATAGTAATATTCGTAAGAGCTTGCACCGCAGTAGTGCCAAAGAAAGCCCATTCCAATCTCGTCTCCGGCCGCCACGAAACCATCGTTATTGTGATTTCCTATTTGAGCTCTTTGCAAGCCAAAAAAGGCAATACAAATAAAAGTGGCGTAAGTCAGCCACAGGGCAAAAGCAGTGGATATTGTGTGTGACGGAAGAATCTCTTTAGCAGTCTCGAAGGATCATAACAACGCGCGGACAAGAGCAAAAACCTTCTAGTCCTACGGGTAGCTTCGCATCTTCCATGCATGGGTCCACTAGAGTACGTCTAAATACGGGAAAGGAGCTCCCGTGCTATGCCGTATTCGGCCGGGTGCTGAACCATCGCAGCTGACATCGGTGCTACGCTTTCCCGATTTCGCATGGCGAAAGTTCCCAGAACCTTGATCGAACTTATGATTGATTGATTCATCTTGCGTCTTGCGATATGATCTTTGGTGTCGTGGAATCTCCATGTGGGGTGGTGTCGGATTAACGGCTTTTTTGTAGTATGACAGCTTTCATGCGGCTGTCCGTCTCAAGGTCGTCCCGTCAACTTGAGTTTACGACAGTTGAGGTCCTGGCTAGAATGAGAGCAATGCTTTGCTTCCAGTGACCAGGGAGTCTAGCTATCGCGACATCATCGAGAGATTATCACACTCCTATATTCACCTATGATCTGCACTTATAGGTACGCTTGGTGCACGACCCACAATCCTGGTACTTTTCGCCACTAGATCAACGCTCGAGAAGGGCTTATGGACGGTAAGATTTTGGATCAGGCCCATAATGCCTTTTTGCTTACGAATCACTTGTTGAATACAGATAGCGACTGAATGATCAAGTGGTGTTCACACGGTGGGATATCAAATAGGTCGAAGTCCTTCCAGAATACATTTTCCCGTCTTCCTTCCATCCGCTACCCATAACGAAACATGAGGGTTTCAACATCTGACCCAGTGCCGCAATATGTTCAGGTACCACTGCAACCTTCTGGGTACGATACTTAGCATCATTCCCCTCATCACCAGGGTCCTCGGGATGAATCCGAAGCCCGGTCAGTATCCATCCCGTCGGTTGATCCTCGAAACTGCCTATGTTTTGTGCTGCAATGATCTTCTAAACGCTTGTCATACTCGGGGCGCTCATTATGTCCCCTACGGTTATTATGTTGAATGCATTGTGCATGAACCTTAAGTGGGAAGGTTCAGCGCTCTTACCAATGGTTCCACCTATCCCGTTTTTCTGTCTCGTGACGTTGCTCTGCAACCTCATATGCCCACCTCTGATGAGATGCGGAAGTCCTTTGAAGGATATACGTAGCTATGAACTATCAAATAAAGAATAAGTATCTTGAGCTTGCGAATGAAGCGTTTCGGATAAGCAAGAAAGCGAGGCATCACAAGTGCGTCCATTTGCTCGAGAATGACCAATCAATATTTCGGGCGCAGGAAGCGTTATTCGAGAAGCGCTAAAAGTCGCGTTACGTACAATGATAAACCATCTAAGAGCGACGAGTTGCTATTGATTGGATATGAATCGTTTTAGCAACATAGTTTGCAGTTTTTATGAGATCTAGGAGAGGAAGCAGGCAATGCATTGATAGTGGTGGAGTCTCAAATGAATAAAGAACTGGTCTCTTAATATACTCAAGAAGTGTCATGGATATATATGCTTTGTGTTCCAACTCAAGACCGCGCGAAGATTGAACAAACCTTTAACCATGCAAACATTACGCCATCTAATCAGCTTCGCCATCGCGGCTTCGGTTGAGACATTCCAGCACTCTACGCCGTAACATCACCGCTCTTCGCTCGCTTGGCCTCCCTCTCTTCCCCGGCATTTGCCTCAGCGCGTCTTTTACCCTCGTCTTTCCTCGCTGTATCCTTTTCTTCTCGCGCAACACGTCGTGCCTCTTTATCTTGCTTCTCCTTCTCCTTCCGGAGGGCCTTGCTCTCAAACTCGTGCCAGTCGCCCTCCAACTCCTTCAGCGCATCGGCACGTTTTGGTGGCGGGGCTTCGCTTGTGAAGAAAGGATGCTCGAGCACATCTGCGGCGGTGGGTCGCGCGTTGGGATCGAAGAGGAACATTGCCTGCAAGAGCTCGAAGGCCATAGGGCTAACGCGATCCTTGTACTTCTCTTCGAAAGTCGACTGCTTCCGTTCGGTTGGGCGCAGCAGTTCGAACCACTGCATGTCGACGATGCCAGGCCAGTCCTGCACAGTGGGCGTACCCAGTATGTGGTAGATCTTATCCAGTTGATTGATCTCACCACCATCGCCCGGGAAGATAGCATGTCGTGTGAAGATCTCCACTAGTACGCAAGCAGCTGACCAGATGTCGACTGCCGGCCCATACTGGGTTTCTCCAAGCAGCAGCTCTGGTGATCGATACCAGATGGTGATGACCCGGTTGGTGTAATCGAGCTTGCTGCTCTTTGCGTAGAATCGTGCAAGACCAAAATCTGCCAACTTCAACTGCCCAGTGTTGGACACCAAGATGTTGGCAGCCTTAATATCTCGATGCAAAACACCGCGACGGTGGAGGTAGTCCAGGCCCTCGAAGAGCTGTTTCGCCAGGTCTTTCTTGTGTGATTGTTCGAGCTTGAACGTCGGGTGATTCAGAAGACCCGTAAGATCGTGGGACAAATATTCGAAAACCATGTAACAGTCGTTTTTTTCAACCATGACCTCTCGGAGATTGACGATGTTAGCGTGGTTGAGAGATTGCAACAGCTTGACCTCGCGGATGGCGGTAACCGGAAACTGATGGTTGTTAGCATTGTACTACTTTCTCTTGTTGGGTGTACTTACGCCATCGCGTTCACCCTCCATACGGATCTTCTTGAGGGCGACCATGTCCTTGGTGTAGACATGGACTCCCTTGAAGACTTTTCCGTAGGTGCCGGATCCAACTACCGACTCATTACCCGGCTTCCTATAATACACTGATTCTGAAGCTGCATGCTCAGGGACCAGAGTAGGTCGGGGTTTCATACGCTTCCTGGTAACAATCTTCGTCTTGGGTATTTGAGGAGGTGGTGTCCTTCGAGCGGGTCGTGAGTCAGGGCGCGGGTCAAATCGCCTATCGTCAGGTCTTCGTGGTGGGTAAGGCTCTCTGCGGTCTCTGATATCTCGTGGGTCTCGAGGGCTGCGCAGGTCTCGGGGGTCGCGTTCGCGAATATCACGTAGGTCTCTAACATCCCTCGGGTCGCGCATGTCTCTGTCTCGTGGATCTCGGAAGTCCCGCTCTTTGCCACGATAATAGGGAGGTTCACGAGGATCCCGTCCATCTCGAGCGTCTCTCTCACGAGGATCTCGGTAGGCCGGTTTTCGATCGTAATAGTTGTCATATCGCCGGTCCCGTTCCCTGTTGTCCCGCTCGCGGCCGCTGTCGTAATCCCTATCTCTCACGTCACGATCTCGGTCGCTCCTTGGTTCTGGGCGGCGTGGGGAAACTTCACGCGCTGCTACGGCTGCCACCTTTGCCTTGGGGGCAAGAGGAGATTCTTTGGGAGCTGGTTCTGGCCTCTCAGGTTCTTCCAATCCAAGTTTTGCTTTGCTCGCTGGTGGTACTGGGTTTTTCGTCTTTAAAGAAAAACCGAAACCTGACTTTGGTGCCGTCGGAGGTTTTGCCGGTCTCTTTTCCTCTATGGGACCTTCGTCTTCTACACGCAAATCCTTGGATGGTCGAAATGGATTGTCATCAGCATCGACAGATGCAGAGTCAGCAGATGCTTGGGATGCGACGGCCGGCTGTGGACGTGGCGCTTCTGTAGCGGGGCGGCCGCCTCTTGTGCCGGACGCTGGCGTCCATGACAAGTTTGAAAACTGGGTAGGTGCAGCGCCACGACCTCGTCCACCAGGCCCGCCAAACGGGGCATTTGCGCCTGGACCTGACATGCGTCGGTCAGGGCCGTTGAAGTTGTTACCACGGTAACCGCCATGACCTCCACGATGAGGGCTGTTTTGGAAGCCGGGTTGTGGGTACGGTTGGTTTGGGTAGTAACCGGGTGACTGGTTTTGATGATAAGGAGACTGGTTTGGGGTATAGCCTTGCATAGGAGACCTGATGATGTCAGCATGGGAATGTCCGAAGCCCAGTGAGATATGAACTGACCCTTGATTAGGATATGGCTGGTTATTCCAGCCACCTCGGCCGCCGTGATAAGGCGACTGGTGTTGGGGGGAATACTGGTTCTGCGCAGGGTACGGTGGAGACTGCTGGAATCCACCACGTCCCTGGTAATGATACGCTCCCCTCATTTTGCCTTGGTCTTTTCGGCTCTTGGATGCGTCAGAATTGTAGCCTGATCCGGGTGCTGGTGAGCCTCGACGTGAGGTGATCCTATCTGCAAGCGCAGGTTTGCTAGACTCAGATTCTTTATCAAGGCGTTGTCGTGGTCTTGATGTAGGAGAGGGCGATCGGGACGGGCGGCGTCGAATAGGTGAGCGAGGCGAACGACTCCTGCGTGGTGGCGGCGATCCTCTGCGAGGAAGACCTGGGGATCGCCTACGAGGTGGAGGGCGAGAGGGAGATCGAGCACGCCTGGAACCTCGACTGCGACTCCTTGCCCTGTCGCGGGTATTGTGGGGCTTGTACGATCGTTCTCTATGGTCTTCGAATGGCGAAATAGGTCTTCGATCAGTCCTTCTAGGTGACGTTCGCCGAGGCGATATTTCACGCCTAGATCTCCTGTCGAGTGAAACTGATCTCTTCCGTGCACGATGCGCCACTGGTCTATAATGACTATCGACGGAAGGCGAGCGGCGCCGGTTCGAGGCAGGTGGGAAGTATGTATCGGGTGTGGTTCTTCGAGGCGGTCGGTCGCGGTCGGAGCGTGGAGGACGTGGGGAGTATGCTCGTGTGGGAGGTCGACCCGGCGAGTGTGCACGTCGTGATCTTGATGCGGAGCGTACAGGGCTGAGGCTCCCTTGTCGTTTTACGCGTTTCGCTGAGCCTCTCGGAGATGGAGAACGGGCGTGGTGGCGTTTCGACGATGGAGTCGTGTCGCGATGGTGGTGACGGTGGTGTCGATGCGAGTGGGAAACCCTGTCTGCGCTGGCCTCCCTCTTCGAAGCTCGATAGCGATCCTCCTCAGAGATGCTGCGACTGCGCCGACGCGCGCGCTCTCTACTCAAACTTCTCCCGCGAGAACGTCCTCGCACGTGTCTGGCCGATGATCGGATGTGCGTATCTGGTGCGCGATGTCCGGAGGAATCTCTGGCAGCTCGTGGCACTGGTGACGATGTTCTGGCTTCGATGTTCCTCACCCGTGACCGTTCCCTAGATGGCTCCCTATCCCGAATAGACGAGTCCTCTGGTCTCCACTGGTCTATATCCTGAGCCCGTCGCAGGGCAGCCATAGAGGCAGGAAGGTCATCAGAAGTCGCAAGGTTGCAGCATCAAGAGGTCCGCGGGTCAAAGTGCCACGGCCTAACCGAGCAACAAGAAAGTCAAGCACCCTATTCTCAGCCTTACGACAAAGTAGTAATAGAACTGGGAAACAACAAAAGATGCGGCTGCGACTGAAACACACTCCCAAATGCGCTGCCGGTGATGCACTTTCCTCGATGTTGCTGTCGTGGCCGCAGACGCTGCAGCGCCTTCTCGCTCGTCGGTCTTTCGCTTGCCGCTATCGACAGCGCCAAGCCCCGTGATCAAGGTCGCCCTCATTGAGTGTGCATGGAAACCCCTCCATGCCACCAAGACTTCCAGCCTGCCCCCTGGTTTGGCATATCCATTCCGCATCTTCTATTTTGTATATCATGTTGCTGTCCACCAGATGTGCCATGCGGCTTCACAACATCTACCTAAAGCATGCGAAACAATACCACCGCCACCTTGCCAAAGACCACCCCAACCCCCGGAAGCAGCAGACAAAGCACTTCTCAGCAGCGGACCATGGCAACTGTAACAGGGCGATATTTCAGGACAGCAATAGGGGTATACACCAAGAGGTGTATTTTGGCTGATCCGGACACTGTGGTTTTGCTGTAATTTAACTGAAATCGCCGTCATCATGGCTCGTCGTGGGCATTCGCACGCTGCGACGCGGGGCAAACATGCACATGACCCAGGAACGCAAGACATCGTCTTGTGCAAAGGAGGAAAGATGGTGTAGGTCGAGTGCTGAAGCGTCGTAGACGTAACCTTGTAGCCTCAAGCCATTGGGTCTCGGAGCAGTGCACATGAGCAGCCAAACGCAAGGTGCTTCAATACGCCGACCAGGCTCACCTTGTCGTCCGAGCAGTCCTCAAAGAAAAGTGACGCGATAAACGTGTGTATGTCCCTGCGCAAGCCAGAAGCATACGCAAGTGAGCGGCATACGTGTGGTGATTGTAGCCCTGGCCCGAACTAGGATGTGAGTTGAGAACGGCGAGCAAGTGAGACAGTGCCCATCCACAACGCGGGTTAGACGCAGTATATGTCAAGAGTGAGCAACAGTGCGTATTTAGTACACGACTGCGCAGGCGTGGTATCAAGATGTCCAAGCAAGAGGCCGAGGTAACTGTGTGACCTTCACCCTTCTCCACCGTCGCCAGTGGACGTCCAGTCCTCCCTCGATGCACATCGCATTATCGTGTAGTGACGCATCATATAATTCGCAGTGGTTCGAAAATATAGATGGGCGGTACTGTAGTAGATGCGCAGTTTGCTGGTACGGTAAGGTGAAGCTGCGGGGATCAGGCATGAGCCGACAAAAAGGCCTCTTCACGGCGGTCTGCCCCTCATTCGCATCGTCGCTAGATGTCGTAAATATCAAATGGGGCGATGGCGATATTATTGATGCCGTGCGTACCTGGTAAGGCGTGTGTTGATGATGGAGCGTCGGGTATGGAAGGGGTGGTGGTTGTGTTGACTGGCGCTCCTGCCCTGCTGGCCTGCCCGCTTATCACGTGCAAGCATGGCCAGAGCGTGTGGAAGGTGTGGCGTCATTGCAAGTTCGGAACGCTAATCCCCATTCCGACGGTTAGGACAAAGTTATTCCATTGTAGTCATACAGACCGGGCCGCTGTACTATTCTTCTGCGGAAACCATGCGCCTGACCAAACATATTTGCCTGGCACTTGTGCCCTCTTTCGACCTATAGTCTGCGCATCTTTTCTACTTGGTACATACCTTTTCTCCACTAAAAAGTCAAAAGTCCAGACAAGTTCCCCGCCATCATGGACGGCGACATCCCCAAGCCCAAGTCGGCGGTTCCCTCGCATATGACGAACGGCGGATCACCCCTCAGACTCACCACCGAGGCGCGCGACAAGAAGGAGCGAGAACATCTCTTCAATGCTATAGAGACTTCTAACCGAGGCCGCCAGCCAGTAAACTTTGACGGGCCGACTAGCTACTTCCCTGCGAAGTCTTCAGTCGCGAACATGCACACTGATAGCCGACATGTCATGGCGAATGGCCAAGTAGACGCCGAAGACCCTTTCGAGGGTGCCGTTGTGCAGACACCACTCGCGACAAGTCGGGCCCATAGCCCATACACGCAGCACCCCACCATCGACTTCGACGGGCTTAGCTGGCCCAGCAAGGGCACGCGGGAGAGGAAGGAGGCGACCGAGGAGGAGAAGGCGGCAAACCTCAAGAAGCTGTCTGGCGCTGTCCGGACTATGCTCGAGTGTCTGGGCGAAGATCCCGATCGGGAGGGGCTGCTCGACACACCAGAGCGCTATGCAAAGGCGCTGCTCTTCTTCACCAAAGGTTACGAAGAGAACCTGCGCGACATCGTCAACGGTGCTGTCTTCCACGAGGACCATGACGAGCTTGTCATCGTGAGGGACATTGAGATCTTCTCTCTTTGCGAGCATCATCTAGTCCCTTTTATGGGCAAGGTTAGTTCTGACAGCCTTCTGTCTCATACAGTACTAGAGAATTCTAACTAATCTCTCTTACAGATGCATATCGGCTACATCCCGAACCGTCGCGTCATCGGCCTTTCCAAGCTCGCTCGCATCGCCGAAATGTTCGCTCGCCGTCTCCAAGTACAAGAGCGCCTTACCAAGCAGGTTGCGCTTGCCCTCTCTGAAATGCTTCAACCACAGGGTGTCGCCGTTGTAGTCGAATCGAGCCATCTCTGTATGGTTATGCGCGGTGTTCAGAAGACGGGTGCTACAACAACTACAAGCTGCATGCTCGGATGCATGCGCTCACGAGACAAAACCCGCCAGGAATTCTTGAACCTTATCAACAGGCGGTAGAAATGATGTTCGGCAAGAAGATATCGGAAGAGAGTCGGAGTGACAGTCACTTTCACTCCCCGCATCATGTGCTATCGTTGCACGACTTTGCACATTGGCGTTACATGGGATTGGCGTTTGGGTGAGGAGTTCATCACTCTCACTGGATACTAGGTGAGCGGGCATACTGCGTTGCATCGTTAGACGCATAGGCCTTTCAACAGGCGTTTCCTATCTGTTCATATTTTACGACCCACGGCCTTGTATTACGATAAGCAAATGGTTCAGGCGTCACATCTCTTGATGTTCCAAAATAACTGTATCTCCACAGTAACGAATCGCTATCTCTGGTTTTCCTTGCGAAAGCCTCCTTACCTGATTGCATAGTTATAGCTACGTTGGCCTCGGTGCAAATATCCAATTTTTCATCACGTTGATCAGTCGACCACATGTAACCGATCCAGGCGAGCTGTGTTTGCCAGAGATGCTTATACGCTCAATATGATCGCGGCTTCGGACAATGCATATGACTGTTGAATCGACATCACGCTTTCCCAATTCACAGTCGATCGCAACTCAATGCCAGTGAACAAGTTCGTCGCAGTCACGCTATAGTTTATTGATTCAAATATGCTTGCCCGCTGATGGTGGCGCGTGGCGACAAAAGTACTGGTCTTCATACCTTCCTGAACACTGGATACGCATCCCCAACCTCCATAGGTACAATACCGAAAGATACGTAAGAGTCGATGTTTTCAGGCTCTAGCGCGACAAAAGCTAGCCCTGCGTTTTTCTGGGCACTGCTTACGAAGAAACTCCCGGCGGGCAGCGTAACATCCTGGACAAGTGTCTCTGTAGTCACGGTGTTCAGGATAGCGCCTTCGTAGTACGACGAAGCGAGGCTAGAAGAAGTGATGTTGTATGCCTCAACCTCTCCGTGGAAAACCTCAGGTATGGTCTCAACTTCTAGCCCAGAGACCCTAAGGCGCTCGGCGAGATCAGCCCAAGCGCGAGGGATAATGTATCCTTCAGGCCGGGTGCGAGTCATATTGGCAGTTGCAGGCGTAGTGCTAGCGAACTCAATGGGTAGTTGGACTACCTCACCCGTCCGACGGTCGACCATGGTGTATGTGCGGTTCGAAAAGGTAGTGTAATCAGTAATCACAATCTCCTCCTCGCTCTCAATAACCTCCGCAATGGCACTTTCGATGGTTTCCTTAACGCCGGCCTCGTCGCGAGCAGTCTCTAGTACACCAAGAATCATCTGTAGTCCTGCGAGCGTGCGGCGCTTGAACTCTTGGCTCGCAATGCCAATACCGCGGGTCTCAAAGAGGAAAGTCACGCATTGTGTCAGTCCCATGGCGTTTCGCCCAATCTTCGCATCAGTGCCGGCTTCTTCGAGACGAGGTGGATTTGTTCGCGCAGCCGTGACGTAGGGTTCTCCACGTAGGCCTTTGGAAAGGAGAGATGCGTTGATGGCGGGAGCGAAGACGGTCTCGGAGAGCGTGCGAATGGATGGGTGAATGTTGAGATTCTTGGCTGCGCTGTACATGCCATCTGCCGCATTACTGTAGTTGCCAGAGTAGCGTGTTGCAGCACCGTACTACAGAGGTAAGGATACAAAGTCAGCGTATGGTTCACATGCATCTCGTACAGCCCGAACTTACCTCATGCATGTCAATTGCGATGTGTGGAGAAAAGCTGCTAAACCACTTTTTGATCTCGCGAGTTTGCTGGCGCACAAGTTTCGTGTGGTCGCGGTTTGGGTCAAAGTTGGTAGCCAAAGTACGCTGGAAGTAGGCATTTCCGTCAGGGTTGTAACGTGGCAGTACGATGATGTCCATCTTTTCCAGAAAGCTGGCAGCCCATTCTGGGTCGTTATCCATGGCGCCAAGAAGAGCGAGAGTGGCTGTAGAGGTGGAGGTACGAAGTCAGTGTATGTCTCACATGCATTTCGTATAGTCGCAGCCTACCTTCGTCTCCGGCAGGTTCATTTCCATGAACTGAGCCTTGAATCCATACCCTCAGTTTGTCAGAGGTCGCATAACCAGTAGTTGTGTTTGATCCTGACGTCGAAAGGTACGCGTATGGAAATGTCTTGCCTTCTTCGCTCAGGAAGTCGGCTACATCGTAGGTCATCCATGAAGGGTTCTTTGCCGCAAGACCGCTTATGAATTCCTCTGCCTATTGTTAGGTTTCCATGTTCGTGACTGATCTGCATCTTCGTCGTCGACATACCTAGCTTGTATTGTGACGTCGCGCCTTCTGTTCCCTCTGTCCAGCCCGGATCAAACGAGGCGTTCGGCAAGAACGCAGGGCTCAAGAGAGTCACATTCGGCGCTGGGAAAGCCGTCTGTTCCACAAGCTGCGAGTCAAAGTTCACGTTGACATGGTTCTCGCCATATTGAGTCTGCGCAAGCGCGGACGCTGCGAAGAGCGCAATTGAAGATGTACGCATCTTCATCCGGTATCACCTGAAACTGTTGATTAGGTGTAGAGCACCAGTTCGTGCGTCTAGCATGTCTTATTCTTTTTCTCTACCCCCATCTTAGGATGATAGCGCTACGTCAGTCAAGACGCGCTTTTGCCTGTTGGAGTATTTTGCCAAGTAGAAGGCCCTTGGCTTGCAGTTGCTCCTGCCGCTTCTGGTGTCGTTTCCCACGGAGATACGCGTGTAGTGCATTGCTATCGCATGTGAGCGGCATTTCTGCGGCTCTTGAAGTTCACCACAATGGTTATTGTAGGCATTGAGCTGGTGACGAGGGCGATATCGGAAGGAGGGTGCGAGGCGACGCGAAGAGATGCGGAATCCAGGCTCGGAACGGTTCCGACGCAAGAAGTCGTTGCGCATCATGCCGCACGTCAGTGGCGCCCGCAGGCTTCAATCAAAGGAAACTGTCAATCGTCCATGTAATCGTGGCTACACAATATTCAAGGCTTTTTGGGCATGATCGAATTTCCTTTCGAACTTGTACACCGACGGTGGCAATCACGAGTGGCACACCTATGCAACGCGCCCTTAGGCTACAATGGCTACCGAGGCTTCCACGGAATTTAGGCTGGCGGTACAGTATATTTGGAGAGCTTGTATTCTTCCGGGTTCGTGATGAGCACATCGCTTCAATCATGCCCCGGCATAGAGAACCATCGTGGCACTACCCCAGCTTCCCCGCCTCCGTCACAGCAATACCCCGATTATCCGATGCAGGTCATTTGTTGACCCATACCGGATACATTCCCTTCCATAGATGGTCCATCCTAGAAGATGCAAGTTAGCAACAAGCTTTGGAAAAAGGGACTAGTCACGCGGCTCACAAACGAACACTAGGAGATATTTCATCCGAAATCATGTCGCATATCCGTCCCGTATAGAAGCCGGCATATATATTGAAGCACACGTTGTCCATCCAGGAATGCGGATTGCCTTCAAACCGGAATTATGAAAGTCTTCTCCTCGTTGTTTGCGTGCTTCGCCGCGCTATCTTCGGTTGCTTCAGCGCTCTCCATTACTTCAACCAAGAACTGGAACATCACGAATGATGTGGAGGGCTCAGTGCGTCTTAATGGGCTTGCTTTCCAACAACACGCCTTGACCACATTCGGCGACTACCAATACGTAGCATTTTACAAAACTGCTTCTGGCTACGGCAAGCACTATGTAAACGTCGGACGTCGGAAGATCTCCCCTGCGCTGGGCGAGTGGCAGTACTTTGCATTCACCGATTACGTACAAACCACTCTGGATGAACACAACACTATCAGCATGGGAATCAGTGGCGACGGCAAGATCCATTTGAGTTTCGACCATCACGATGTACCACTCAATTATCGTGCGAGTAACACAGGCATCGCCAAGACAATTCCCTCTGAGTGGACCGCCAGTGCATTTGGAGCTGTCCAGCACAGTCTGCCTGGTTCAACCGGACCATGGACGCCGCTCACATACCCTCGTTTCGAACGTCTCGATAATGGTGACCTACTCATGGAGTTTCGTATCGGACAGTCTGGCGCTGGTGACTCGTACATACATCGATACTCTGCTACTACCGGACAGTGGAGCGCCGTTGGAAAATACCTGCAAGGTCAAGACAACAATGCGTACATCAACGGTATCAGCAACCAAGGTGGGAAGCTTTTCGTCTCATGGACCGTTCGCGAAACACCGACGCCGAGCACTAACCACGATTTCTACTTCGCCTTGTCGGAAGACGATGGCAAGACTTGGAAGCAGACTAATGGCCAAACCGTTGCAAAGCCCATCACTCCGTCAACACCTGGTATTAAAGTGTATTCTATCCCGCAAAACAGCGAGATCATCAACCAGGGTAAGATGTGACCGTACGAGATGTATATCAGATATACTGACTTTGTACCTCTACATCTGCAGAAGCTCAATGCGCCGACCAAAAGGGTCGTTTCCACGCCCTGATGCGTGACAATTCGACGGGTACAGCGCAGTTCTACCACTACCTTCGAAACCCAGAAGGCAAGTTTTCCAAGACTGCCATCAAGACACCTGGTCTCTCAGCGCCACCCTACCTCGCCTACAGAGGAAAGATCGCTGCCTCTGGTGACAACGTCATTGCCATCTTACCGGACCAACCCAAGATGACCGTCCAGATCTGGGGTGCGACGGCAGGAGGAGCCTACAATGACTGGAAGAAGTTGGCTGACATTCCAAACTCTGCGGGTGAGCCGTTAGTCGACGAAGAGAGGCTGGATAAGTTCAATGTCTTGAGCTTGTTTATCAGGCAAGGTGGTCCTTTCGGGACGAGGAAGGTACAGGTTTGGGACTTCGCGCTCGCACCTTGAACCCAAGGCATGCATGAGTAATTCAATAACACAAGGGTTTTAACAAGAACTTGACTCTCCAATACCCTTTTCCGTACAGTTATACCTTAGCGTTCTGGCGCTCCTTGCTTACTGCTCACATACACGACAGGATCGGAGCATGGAATGTTTCTCGGGAAGATTATGATTTGCGCTAGCACCCCTAACGACATCATTGCACATCGGTCTCGTTCATCCTAACCCAGCGTCTACAGGTCAACCTGGGCAAGCGAGAACGCACGTTCACTCTAACTGATAGTCTAGCTGAAGGTGGTATGGTTTTACAGCTTTCTGTGGGGAAGATACGTACTCGGAAGCACTGGTATGCCTCGTTTCCTCGATCCTGGTTTAACCTCATCATGCACCCACCGGCTACGGGCATAAGAAATTTCCAGTACTGCGGAGTAAGCGGAGGGACAACGGGGGAAAGATGCGGGGCGCGCTCACGCCTGCCTGTGTCGTCACGGACGATGTACAATTTTACACTCTAGTCCTAGGCGCATTCGATTCTTGGAGGAGCATAAAGCTGGCGAGATATCCATAGATGATCCTCATCGGACCGAGTTACCTCTTATCATGCCTTCCCATCTTTCCGTCTTTGCCGCCATTGGCGGTCTGCTCACGTTTGGACATGCACAGGATTCATCCAACACGTCAACGGCATCGTTTGGCGTGACGAGCGTTGTGACAGAGACTGTATCGGCTACGAGCACATCAACATACTCGCAATCGGACGTGCCGACTGGGATATCATTGCCAGGCGACTACGATGAGCCGCTTCGACCTCAAGTCCACTTCAGCCCACCTGTAGGGTTCATGAGTAAGTCTTCATTAATATAATAGATTTGATACGTACCCCCGCTAACCATCTACTTCCCTCGCAGATGATCCAAATGGCATGTACGTTGATGAAGATGGTGTATACCATCTGTACTATCAATACAACCCTACAGCAAACGTCGCTGGCAACCAGCACTGGGGCCATGCTACTAGCGAGGACCTATACACATGGACCAACCAGCCCATCGCCATCTTCCCCGGAGGTCCTACGGAGGGCGTTTTTTCAGGATCAGCGGTAATCGATTCCAACAACACCAGTGGGTTCTTCCCAAACCAAACCAACGGCGTAGTGGCCATCTACACCATCAACGTCCCCGAGAACCAGACTCAGCACATTGCTTACTCCCACGATAACGGCTACTCCTTCACCAAGTACGAGAACAACCCTGTTATCGTACCCGGCGGTACCAACCCCACGCAATTCCGTGATCCAAAGGTTATCTGGTACGAACCAACCGAGAGCTGGGTCATGGTCGTGGCGTATCCTATCGACTTCGAGATTGGCATTTTTACGAGCCCCAACCTCATCGACTGGACACCCACAAGCAACTTCTCCCACTATGGTATCACTGGTCTGCAGTACGAGTGCCCAAATATGGTTGAGATGCGCGTGGAGAATTCCACTGACAGCGATGAATCCAAATACGTCATGCTCATCTCCATCAACCCTGGAGCCCCCCTCGGTGGGTCCATCACTGAGTATTTCGTTGGCACTTTTAACGGCACGCATTTCGAAGCCGACGACTCCAGGACTAGACTTACAGACTTCGCCAAGGACAACTATGCGGGCCAGTTCTTCTACGGTATTCCTGCCGATGACGACCAGGTTACGCTTAACTGGGCGAGTAACTGGCAGTACACCAATGTCGTTCCGACTGCCGGCGAGGAAGTAGGCGATGGTTTCCGCAGCGTCATGACGGTACCTAGAGGCCACTACCTAAAAGATCTACCTCGTCAGGGTCTGTCGCTGATCTCGTACCCGTCTAACATCATGTCTATCGTCGACTCGGAGCTTGCTTCGAATGACTCTCTTGGAAACGGTACTGTCTTTGTAGACTACTCCACCGTGGAGTCAGGCGCCCTGTACTTTGAGGCCAATGTCACTGGGCTCACCGGCGGCCCTTCCCTCGCCGGATCCATCAGCTTTACTTTCCAGTCTTCAGTATCTGGCGAGTCAATCTCAGGCGGAACCTTCATCTCATCTGGTGATGTATGGCTAGACCGCGGAAAGACCGACGGTTTCCAGAGCCCTTACTTTACTGACAAGTTCACTGCTACGGGTCTTTACAACGAGGATGATGGGTCGTGGAGGATCTCAGGTATCGTTGACAGGAGCATCATCGAGATCTTCTTGAACGGTGGCGAACTCAGTGCGACTTCGGTCTTCTTCCCTACACAGCCACTTGATATGATGATGCTGAGGGTATCGGGCTTGAACGAGACGGTAACGGCCAGTGTTGGTGTTTGGGGCCTACAGGCTGCTTGGCTTAACCAAGCTGATGCTAATGGTACAGTTGCGGGTAACACCACTGAAGGTGGTAACGCAATGTTGGGAGCTGCAAAACTCTTGTAGATATATCCTAGTACATGTGCGATCATGGACACATACAATTAATGCCGATGAGTTCTTGGCTTCTTCTTTGCGTCGTGATGACTATACCTAAGGCATACATGACCTGCCTTCTTGAGCCACATTACCGTGACTATGTTCATTAGCTTATATGAACTGCACCGCGGATGCCACTTAGCCCGTCATCCGATATTTTCTCCACCCCACAACTCGTGATCAGTGGCAAGAGTGGAGACGAGCCCTTTAGCGTCCGCCTCCACAACCGAACCTTAATGGCGGGCGGAACACTCAATATCGTTAAACACGTCGTATAATACTCGATTGGCTTCGGCATGTATCGCAGTGCCGTCATACCAAGGGTTGAAAGTGTCTAAATGCGGAAGAACTTGTATGCCGAAATCTTCCGCCCCACTGCAAACCCAAAGTTCGTTCGCGGAGTAACTCCGGAAGTAATCCGGTTCCTTGGATGTCCATCACGCGCCAACTACAACTTGATTTTCTAATCCTCTTATTCGTGGAGGACTTTAATATCCCTTGTATTTTTGATGTTGCCGGCGTAGCAACTGGTTCGTCATGCAGGGGTCTTCGCTATATCTCATCTCGAAACAGTCATCAGGCGCCGAGGTAGTACTATAAGATCGTGTATACACTACCCCGCTTCCCGCATGATCCAAGAGCCAAGTATGTTCTTAGTGACAAAACGGTGTGTGCGGACGCGTTACTTGAACGAGGCACTGATATTGAGATCGTCTACTGTATTTAAGAAGAGAGCGACGATGAAAGGATGTAGTCATCAATAGCTGTTCTATTAGATACCGCTCTACGATGCACACGTCAACCTTCCTAAAGACGGCCTTAGTGCTGGCCAGCAGCTACTCTGTCAATGCTGACATAACGACTACAATCGACCCCAAGAGCAATTGGGGTACGTGGGAAGGTTGGGGAACGTCGCTGGCATGGTGGGCGCAGCAGTTTGGCAACAGAGATGACCTCGCGGATGTATTCTTCACGCTGAAGCAAACAAAGTTCAACGGCCAGACTCTGCCAGGACTTGGCTTTAACATAGTACGCTACAACGCCGGTGCGTGTAGCTGGAATACCATCGATGGAGAGAAGATGGTGGTATCACCAAACGTGAAGAGATCGAGGCAGATGGAAGGCTACTGGGTAGACTGGAAGAGTAATGATTCGACCTCCTCAAGCTGGGACTGGTATGGCACCCGCCTTCTTCGTGTGCTCCGAGTCTTCTTACTAACCACCATCTGTACCGCAGGTCCGTTGATGTCAACCAGCGAGCAATGCTTCAGAAAGCAATCGCACGTGGAGCAGATAGAACAGAACTGTTCAGCAACGCGCCGATGTGGTGGTATGTATCCCTAATATGTAAGCTATACATGATACATATACTAACTTCTTTCAGGATGGCAAAGAACCACAACCCTTCAGGTGCAGCGGACGGGAGCGAAAACATCCAGTCTTGGAACCTGGAGCAGCATGCATTATACATGGCGACGGTCGCGAAGCATTTCAAGGACAACTGGGGAGTTGAGTTTGAGACCGTGGATCCGTTCAACGAGCCAAGCGCCAACTGGTGGAAGGCAGACGGTACGCAAGAAGGATGCCACATCGATGTTTCCACCCAAGCCAAGATTGTCGGGTACCTCGATACACATCTCGCGAGCCGTGGCCTATCAACGAAGATTGCGGCCTCGGATGAGTCGTACTACGACCAAGCTGCTACCACATTGAAGACCATTGGCAGCAGCGCACTCAGCAAGATCGCCCGCATCAACGTGCACGGCTACCAATATGGAAGCGGTGATCGCGCTGGTGTCCACACACTGGCCTCGCAGGCTGGCAAGCCTCTCTGGAACAGCGAATACGGTGACGGCGTGGCTTCTGGCGAAAACATGGCAAAATACCTCTTGCAGGATCTCCGCACGCTGAAGCCTACGGCATGGGAGTACTGGCAAGTCCTCGATCAAGGAGGTTGGGGACTCATCGATGCGGACAACGATGCCAAAACACTCGGTTCATCGACACAGAAGTACTACGTGCTTGCGCAGTTTGCACGACACATGCGCCCGGGAATGCGGATCCTTGATGGTGGCCGAGACAATGTCGTTGCTGCCTATGACGCGAGCAAGTCATTATTGGTTATCGTTGCCGTCAACTGGGATGCAGCGCAGTACCTGAACTTCGAATTGTCGGGCTTCTCGGGACGTCCTTCATCAGGCGCAACCGTGTCGAGGTGGAGCACCCAGATCGGCAGCGGCGATCGGTATGTGCAGCATCTCGACACTACGATCAGCGGAACAAAGTTCTGGTCGAAGTTTGAGAAGAACATGGTGCAGACTTTCGAGGTAACGGGGATCAAGTTGTAGAGCATAGCGCATGCGATACCGTGTGAATATGAAATCGTCCCGTTGATAAAGTCGATTGATCGTTCGAGATGTTGAGTATGGGGCCGCATGACGTTATATCATCCGATTCTTTGCTTTCTTCTGACCCACACCTCTTGACCCTCGCTGCCTGTTCTTTGCTGAACTTCCCAAACCTGGAGCCTGTAGCTTCCGCGGTCCGACCGACCGGTATGTAGGTCGAAAGACCAGTCGTGCTTAGGACATTGGATTCCTGAACTAAGCACTACCCCAAAGTCTTCAATATCAAAGGGCGTACCATTGGAGAGTGGATATGAAGAGTGTGGGCATTCCTGTGGATGTTGTGGTCAAAATAGGCGCGAGATGTATGTCGCCGGATGTCGACGTACGTGGTTAATTGCTACAAGATTTCCTTTGTATTTGAACACCATTACTTGGTCTTTCGCATCACCACCGACTTCAGGGTCTTTCCAATCATCGATCGCTACCTCGGTTGCTTTGGAACTGTCGTCGCGGGGCACGTAGAATACGCGGCATCCAGGCACGTACTTTTTTTCGCCGCAAGGGCGCTGCTCGCCGACGCGCATGGAGTCGTCAAGATTCGGGTACGACGTCACTGCGCCGGCGCAGAACCACGCGTTACCAGCCTGGGATGATCGAGAAAAAGGATTGACCAGGAACGACATGCTGGGTGGCGGAGATGCCGATTTTTGAGAGACTATGAAATGCACGCGACGATGTACGAAGTACGATGGTGGGCTCCGTCTCCGCTAGGACTGGTCCGAGAACGCGCTAGACGCCTGTAGAAAGAGGCTAGACTCGGCCATGTCAACTTGTCAACAGAGACTTTCACATCTGCGCCCTGTGGTCGAATGTAGAAGTTTACTTCCTAACATGGAAATTTTAGAGCGTTTACTGAAGCAGTATGTAAACCAGATAAATATTGAAGCCTTGGGAGAAAATGTTCACATACACATCTCTACGAACATTGCACGTCATCATACCAGTCTTTACATCTCCGTCATTGCCTTTTGCACATCACATAGCTGATATCCGCGTCTCATCCACAACCCCATCATCCAACATGGCGAACATCAAGGATCCCTCAAGCTATCTTGCCAACGCGCGTATCGACCAAGAGATTTTTCAACTCCGGCCGGACTACCGTGCCATGCTCATGGTAGTGACCAACATTCCTCCAGGCCCTTCCGACGCAACTAGTGAAGCCTTCCTATCTTCCGCTGAAGCCTCAGCCAAAGCAGCTCTTGCGAAAACCCCAGTCAACGACGTTCCTCATGTCGCACAATGGAAAGAAGCCTACAAAGCCTTTGGCGCAAAGCCCAAGAAGACAATGAACAGTCTCGAAGCGTTATTGCGTCGCGTTGATGCTGGCCTACCGCGTGTCAATCGTTTGACAGATATTTATAACGCCATCTCCATCAAGCACCAGTGCCCTCTTGGAGGCGAGGATCTTGACAAGTACCAAGGAAGCCCCTTCTTGATACGTGCTAAGGGCGATGAGAAGTTTGATACGAAGTCTGGCGGCGAAATCGTGATTGAGCATCCAAGCCCGGGGGAAGCGGTATGGTGCGACGACGGCGGCGTGACTTGCAGGCGCTGGAATTGGAGGCAATGCTCGAGGACTGCATTGAGCGATGGGACATCGAATGTGCTCTTCATTCTGGATGCATTAGAAGCTATCGATGACGCGAAGCTAAATGCCGCAGCGGATGAGCTAAGTGAGGAACTACAAAAGCTGTCTGCAGATGTAAAGATCGAGCGCCGTGTCTTGACGTCATCTTAAATACCCTAGAGCATACAACAGTTGTATTATACTATAGAGATACGGTCCAAATATGCTCTAGTCTCCCTGAACTACTAGTGATGATGTCTCTACAGACTACGTATGATAATGTCGGCTGCCTGCTTGGCGTCAGCGATCATTCTTCAAAGACTGCTACTTCACTAACCTTCTCTGCAATGGCATAGGCTGTAGAACTTGTATGCGCACTTGGTAGAAAGGGCAAGATACTAATGTCGACGACGCGCAGACCAGCTGCACCGTGAACCTTCAGATCCGGCCCTACAACGCCTCCTAGACTTTTCGGCAACATCGCCGCCGTACAGCATGGATGCATGTGCGACAATACCATTGATTCCTTGACGTATGCTTTGAGGTCTTCGTCCGATTGGATAGACAGATCTGGATCGACTGCTACCGCGCCATATCTACGCATGGTGGGCGTATCCAGTACTTTACGAAGCCATTTAATATGGGCAATGTGAATGGAGAAGTCAATTGGGCTAGAACCAGCCCGGTAGTCGAGTATAGGCTGAGCCAAGTGGTCAGTCGAATTGAGACGAACAGTGCCGCGACTCAACGGATGGAGAAGAATTGGGCGCATAGTCGTCCCAGTTGCAAACGGTACTTCTACACTGGGTGCCTCGGAGTTCGCAAGAAGGTCCGCGAGGACGTGAAGTTGGCGTTCGTAACCGGCAATGAGTGTTGAGTGGGATTTGCCTGGCAGATGAGACGCCGCTGAGCCATCATCAGCTACCTTGCGCATCTCCTTGATTATCGCCATATAGTCCTCGGTCACTTTAGGAAGTGATATATAGAGAGCAGTGTTACTCATAGCCAACGTGTACGGGCCCCGTGCTGGCGTCATGTTGAACTCTGCTGCTGCTTGAGTGGCAAACGCGGGATTGAGCATATCCGAAGGCATATTGGAGAAGTTACCAGGCTTTGAGTCTGCAATGAAGTCAGTGGCCGATCAGTCTTGATCGATGAGGAACAGAGGTACCCACAATTCCATTCTATACCAGGTGACGAATGGTCTTGCAAGTTTGAGCCCACACCAGGAAGATCCAACACCGTAGTGATGTTCGTAGCGTAGAGTGAGGGTGCAGATCCGATACCGCTCCGTTGTAGGATAGTAGGCGTGTGCAATGCCCCGGCCGATATGATAACTTCGGCTTTGGCAGTCACATTAAACGTCACGTCTTCTGACAAAGACCGTATCTCAACCCGTGGTGGTCCATGCGAAGCGCCGTCGGTATAGACAACTCTGATAACCTGGTGTTTCACTAGCAAGTCATAGTTCAACCTATTGCTCTTGACCTCAGCATAGTGACCTAATCCCGCATGAGAGCGCCTCGCAGTGATCGGATGCTGAGATATGGGTACCCAACACAACCCTTCCTACGGACGTGAAGATACGAAGTCAGCGTATGTCTCATATACAATTTGTATAGTCACAACTTACCTTGTAGCCCCCTGCACATTCGTCCAACGCTCGGATGCCCATGTCTTTCCAAGCCTCCCTTGCGACGTGAAGGTCACCCCATAAGAAGGGCGGAAAACTAGAATGAATGGGTGTCGTACCTCCATACACAGACATATCCCAGGTATACCCATACTTTTCCACCAAATCCGGCATCGGCTCGGTGAAAGTCACGCTCTTCACTGCAGTTAGTTCATTGTCAGATATAAGCGGTATCTGCACTTACTCTCTTGAAGTAGGGAAACAAGCTATCCCAGTCCCACCCAATCGCACTGTAGTTGAACTCAGGATATCCGATCTGGGCCCAGGCATCGTAGTCATGTCTAGATCCACGATCGAAGTACATGCCATTGATAGCACTACTTCCACCGACAGTCTTCCCAACAAGCACCAAAGCCTCTTTGTCATTCATGTCTGGGTTAGGAAGCGAGTTGAAAGTGAATGCTCCTACTTTTGCACTCGCCCCACCCCATACCGTGGTAGGCGGGTCAAAGACGCCAGGAGCCTGTTCGACCTCGCCATACTCAACAACGAGGACTGTTTCTGCGAAGAGTATCAGTCAGGAACTCCCTTTGCTGAACTGAGGAGTTTTACTTTCTGGAAAGGCAGCGGTAAGTCGATCAGCTACTGTTAGGCCTGCTGTACCACCACCAGCGATAATGTAGTCGTAGCTGGGACGAAGCTCTGAGATATGTCGCTTGAAGGTAGCCTGTGGGAGCGCATAAGCGCAAGTAATGGTTAATCCAACGGACAGAACGCTTGCAATCATCGTTGTAGATTCAGCTTGATACAGTGTCGGCCGACCAGCGAGTGTCTCCTCTTATCATACGGCTGTGCCATCGTGTCACAGCGCAACTAACAGCCGGCAATTATCCTATTGGCGTCCGACAGTGCGTATGCGCACCTGCAGATCGTAGAGACCGCTCGTGATCGGTCTTGAGATGTTCAGTGGTTCTGACAGCTGTCTTGGTAGTAATACTCCGCAAGGGTACCTGCAGTCGTGGATTCGCTTGTGCTGCATCGCAACATGCTTCCGTATTGATATGCATGAAGAAGCGAGCAACCCCGCTCGTAGGAACATTGTTATCTACCTCCCTTCACCTTCATCTCATAATCCTCTGAATTAATATCGTAGATTCATCATGTCTCTGTTTGCGCAGCTTTACGCGGCGAGATGGTTGTTGGTATCGGTCATTTTGGCGGCCTACGCAGCGACGGCATTCGTGCGATACAAGCGGCTTCGAGCTTTTCCCGGGCCGCCCAGCACAGGATGGTCCGAAGTATTGCATACGTTTGCGATACTGTTTCGGCGTTCGCACCTTTGGTATCAGGAGGTCGGCGAACGTTATGGTGAGTAGATGACTGGGAACTGGTGTGCGGGAGAGGCGCAGTGCTCGGCCCGCCCCTGCTGACAGCGCCAAACAGGCGCGATTGCCCGCGTCGGCCCTAACGAGCTGATCACGTCGTCGCCGGATCTACTGGCGCATATGAATGCGGTGCGCTCACCATACACTCGATCAACATGGTTCAATGCTGCGACCCGTATGGAGGTTGGCAAAGACCATGTTTTCAGCCAATTAGATGAGGCGAAGCACACGAAGCGGCGCCAGCAGATGGCTTCCGGATACTCAGGCAAAGAGAACTTGTCTCTAGAACCAGATATCGACGAGCATGTACAACAACTTCTAAAATTAATCAGGTCGAAGTATCTTTCCACCGCCACGCGATGCAAGCCCATGGATCTTGCAAGCAAAATTCAGTACTTTACTCTCGATGTCAGTAAAGTTCTATGCACGAACTGCATATGAGACATGCACTAACTTCGTACACCAAACTTAAGGTCATCAGCAAGATCGGCTTCGGTAAAGCGTTTGGAGATCTTGAAGCCGATGCTGATCTCGACAATTATATCAGCTCTGGCAGAGTTGGGTTGACCATTATGACATTCATCGCCGGCCTTGGACTGACGCCTTATTTCCAATGGCCACCTATCGCGCGCATTCTCGGGCCTTCGGACAAGGACAAGAGTGGTTTTGGGAGGATGATGGCTGTAGCTCAGGAGCTCATCGACTCACGTCTTGAGAAGCCAACAAACAGTCGCTCGGATATGCTTGCTTCATTTATACGCCACGGGTTGACACGGGACGATCTTGTTACTGAGTCGCTGCTTCAGATCCTAGCAGGGTCTGACACGACTGCTACTGCTATACGCGCGACAATGCTCTACCTAATGACACATCATAGGGTATACAGGAAGCTCCAGTCGGAAATTGACGCTGCTGTTGCGTCAGGCCACGCTGCTACGTCTGATATCGTATCTGACGAGACGATGAAGAGCTTGCCATATCTACAAGCCGTAGTACGAGAAGGGCTCCGCATCCATCCACCCATCACTGATGTCGTTCCAAAGAAGGTTCCTAGTGGAGGCGACACAGTAACCATCAACGGCAAAGAGCATTTCTTTCCTGGGGGCACGAATATCGGGTACAACGTACTGGGTTTAAACCGAAACAAGGAAATGTTTGGTGAAGATGCAGACTGCTTCAGACCAGAACGCTGGCTGCTTGATGAACATGACGAAATCTACCATGAACACTTGAATGCTATGAATCGCACTACAGACATGATTTTTGGTTATGGCAAGTATCAGTGTCTCGGAAAGCCCATAGCATGGCTGGAGATGAGGAAGGTTATCTTTGAGGTTCGCCATATGACCTTTCTGAGCCGAATCGCCCCATACTGACTTGTGTATAGTTCCTACGGCATTTCGAATGGTCTCTTGCAAGCCCTGAGAAGCCATGGAGATCTGTGAACTACAGTGGTATCTTCTTACAGGATTCCCAATGGGTCCTTATCACCGAAAGAGAACCTAAGTCGGAATGAGTATAACTCTGTGATGGACCATAATCAAGTGCTTAATCCTTCTTGATAGTCTCCTGGGCTTTGCAATGGATTTCCTAGCAAAAAGAAGCGCACATAGTATATTCCGAAGTCGCGGAAAAATGACGTGTGCATAATACGTTATGCAACGGCACGCTGCGAGGCTTGCGGGGTAATGTGGAGCGAATGTCTACCCCGGATTAATTTGCATCAACCGAGTTTCATCAACTCACCGGCTAATATGGCACATCACCATCAGCTTGACTCTGCGAACAAGCTATTCAATTCACCGTGATCGCGCCGCAGGACTATCATATCGAGGTTTGGCATGCTGACACATAGCCCATGGGTTTGCTCTATGCCCAGGCGACCAAGCATCAGTTCAGCGACGCCAAGAGCACACGCATGCTTGGGGTCGCGCTGGTCGGTAAACAAATGCCGGCTATGTGGAAGGCGATGTAGCCATGTTTCCCATTGGTGGATGTTCAGGAACGACGCTTCCGTGGAGCCTCATAGGAAGGCTTGAGATGGCAGATGATGTATATGAGTGAATGCACATGCTTCGCAAGCATGGCCCAATCCCCAAGATCCTTCCGTCATGAAGCTTCGAAGATCTTGCTTGGCCGCTGCATGCTTTGCTACAGGCATCCTCGCTTCATCTCCAGTCGTCCAATCGCAAGCTGGTATCTACCAAGGACGCTACCTTCCGGAGGTAAGTTTTGACTATGAGAAATGCATGTGAGACGTACACTAACTTCGCACCTCCACATCTACAGTTTGATCAGGATCTATTTTTGGGCGTCAAGTTTGCTCCAAAGCCAGTACGCTTTGCTCCCGCCGAGCTCATTTCTGATGCGCCTGCGACATATCACAATGTCACGCAGTATGGGCTTGATTGTAAGGGTTATGGGTCCGACACGAACACCTTGGTTGCCGCCAATTTGACGAAGATGGGAGAAGATTGCCTGCACTTGAACATCGTTAAACCAAGGACAAATGAAACAGATCTCCCCGTCTTACTATGGATCTACGGAGGTGGGTGGCAGCAAGGTGCTACTAGCGATCCACGGTAACTTTTCTTCAAAAATACCCTACAGTGACATGAAATGCTGATCGACAGCAGATACAACATGAGCTATATCGTACAGCAATCAGTACTGAATAAAAAACCCGTCATCGGCATCTCGATTAACTACCGCATGGCAGCGTTTGGTTTCCTATACAGCTCCCAGGTCGAGGATGCTGGTGCACAGAATCTAGGACTTCGCGATCAACGACTCGCCATGCAATGGGTCAACAAGCATATATCGTCTTTCGGGGGCGATCCCACAAAAGTCACGGTAAGTGTTACTGTACGAACTGCATATGAGACATGTACTGATTTCGTACACTCACATTTAGATCTGGGGCGAGTCAGCGGGCGCGTACTCTGTCGGTGACCACATAGCCGCATACAACGGCGAAAATGAAGGTCTTTTCCGCGCGGCGATTCTGGAAAGTGGCGGCGCTGTTGGTGCGCCGCTCAATGGCACAGACTGGTACCAGCACATGTACGACAACCTCACTGCATCAGTCGGCTGCGCTGGCGCCAAAGATACGCTCCAGTGTCTTCGCGACGTGCCTTACGAGACTATCGCGCCATACGGCTACCAAGGTCTCGAATGGTTCCACGTGATAGATGGCAGCTTGATACCCCGATACGGCTCAGAATCCTTGCGAGAAGGCAAGTTTGCAAAGATTCCCCTCATCCTCGGCACCAATACCGACGAAGGCTTTGGTGTAAATGGGGTGAACAACGACTCCGACGCCATCAACCAAATGGTGCACTCCAAGCGCTGGAACATCAATGAAACTACCGCAGATCGATTACTTGAGCTATACCCCAACGACCCTGCACTCGGCGAGCCGTACGGATGGGGTAACCGTACATGGCCGCAGTATGGCCTGCAATACAAGCGCTACCAGAGTATTGCAACTGATCTGACAATGTATGCTCCGCGGAGAGCGCTTGCGCAAAGCATGAGTTCGTTCGTGGATGGTGTATACTCGTATCGATGGGATGCGCCGAAGTTTAACAACACCCCAGACACAATTGGCGTCAACCACTTCTCCGAGGTTAGTCGCAAAGTTCTCGTTGATCACTGATAGATTTGAAGAGCTAATATTAATGCCAGATACCTTTTGTGTTTGGAAACACGGAGCAGCAGATTACTCCTTTGGGTAACAGCTCGGAGAATATCGCGTTGTCGAAACTGGTGATGCGGATGTGGACATCCTTTGCGTATGATCTTAATCCTAATGGCCATGGTGGTGAGTTTGCCTACCTGTTATCCTTGGAGTAAATATTTTAACCTCTTCATGTAGAAAGCCAGATTCCTGAATGGCCAAGCTATGCCAGCAATGCAACAAACTTCGTATTCCGGAAAGATAAAAGTTACATTGAAGAGGATGACGATCGAGCTGAGGGAGTTGCGTACATTAACAGCTTAGTACGATGAAGTTGTTCTCCGTAAGGCTTAGACAACGTGCACATAATAGTAACAATTACTGGACATAAGCAACTGTGGATGATATCACAAGTATGATACAACGTCAGTGGAAGGAGAGTAGCTTTGGCTAGCTCGACCTCATTCAGGTTTTGCCACGATTCGAGTTACGAGTGAACGTTGGTTTCGAAGATGAGGCTTTGGTATTGCAGATGCTAGTACCCTAATATCGCACAGGAACGGGTCTACATTTTCAAAATCTTCACTCGTTATGCATACAGGTAGTTTCATCTGCCAAGCTGACCTTGGTCTTCGTCTGGAAAGAACTTTGTAATCAGCACGTCGTATGGATGGTAGATAGACATGTCGTCGGTGTTGCGCTCTGCCGATGGCGTAGCGGAATGTGCGATAATCAGATTTGGCACGGTGTTCGGGTAGGTAGCTTGGTTTCAACAGTACAACGATCAGAAAGTGACGATGTACAGTGCACAAATAGTATGGCGGGGAAGCACAGTGGACCGACGTCCCTGAATTGTCAACCGGCCAAAAGTTTTGCTGAGATTAGTGTAATCAGATTATCATGAGCGCATACACATCAGAGTTGAGCTGATGCGCCATGAGTCCAGGAAGCTAATTATAAGTGGGGGCGGCCCGACTTATCGATTACAAGCAGTTGGCGGTGCTTACCCAAGACGCAGCCGCGTCGGTCCATGGTTGTCTACGTTGCATTCCGGGTGATTGCATTTCAAACGCGTGCGCCGCGAAGTAGCTGATACACCTATACCCAGGAGTCTATTCACTTGTAAATAATCGCAATAACCTTTATTTTACCCCCTGATTCTAGCTTACAATCGCCGCGACCATGTCCACCCGCGGGCAGTTCAACACCAAGAACCCGACTATCAAGCGGATATGTATGTATCATTGGCCGTGACGGGTATTACGGAGCTAATGTGTCGCAGTAAAGGAAGCTCAAGAACTCTCTGTATCACCCTCCTCAGACTACCATGCCGAGCCTCTAGAAACCAACCTCTTCGAGTGGCACTTCACAATCCGCGGCCCACCCGAGCCATCACCCTACGCCGGCGGCATCTACCACGGTCGCATAGTCCTTCCATCCACGTATCCTCTTCGCCCACCATCATTCCGCTTCCTCACACCTACTGGCCGCTTCGAAGTCAACCGCGAAATCTGCCTAAGCATATCGGGCCACCATGAAGAGACATGGCAACCAGCATGGGGCGTGCGCACCGCCCTCGTCGCGATAAGAAGCTTCATGGACACGGATGCCAAGGGGCAACTAGGCGGCATCGAATGCAGTAGAGATGCACGTGAGCGCATGGCCAAAGACAGCGGAGCATGGAAATGCGCTGGCTGTGCCAAGAGCAACGCTGACATCATGCAAGAGAGGGAGGAGCTCGTCAAGGAGGTTGAGGAGAAGGAAGGCAAGAGGAAAGACGAACAAGTCCCGGAAGAGCTGAGGTTAGCTTATCGCGACGAGCTGGGCAAGGAAGGAGAAGAGGACAAGAAGATGGACAAGGGCAAGCAAAGGGCAGTAGAGAGTTCCGCCGAAGTCGCATCGTCGGCCTCGCCATCAGAACCTGCGGTAGCAGCAGCACCCACAATCCCAACGCGACCCACTCCGGCTGCTCCTGTGGTGAGACCTACGAGGAGAATGCCCGCGCATCCACCTCAACAGGTTGCCCAACGCAGTCCAGACCTGGCCTGGATCGATACGTGTATCTACGGAATAGTGGTTGCGCTGTTGTTCATGGTGCTCAAGAGGTTCGTATAAGCAAGTCATCCCGGATATACGGTCCTGTCAGAACATTCATCATAGGACGGACGCAGTAAGATTTGCACTAGTGTCTCGTGTCGTGATTGTTACTTATCCTATACATATCAGTTTCAGGTCAGCGGGGAGTTCTAGGGAGTTCATTGTTTTTCGCCTTCCAAGCTTTATCCATCCTTATACAGATTCCTCATGAGCCTCGTTGCTTACTACACGTACGTATTGGTGCGCAGTAATCATCATCTCTGTCACTGTAACGTTTCTCGATTCTACATACCTTCTCTACTTTTCCCAAGAAGAGCTTGATCTGTCGAAGCAGATCATCTTCACCGACACTGCCAAGGTCTCTATGGCAGCAATGAACCGGCATTATGATAGGTCTGAGGCTGTGCTTCCATTTCGACAAATACCTATTGAAACAACGTGTTCGGTCTCAGCGGAGTCCTGAGCTGACCGTGATTGTCGATTCATGTGTGCACTTCGTGAGCATCGCATGGGTGCAGTGTAAAGCGATCGCGGGCAGCGCTTCACAAACTAGAATATCTTTCTCGTAGTATTCGTAAGTAGACCGAGCGATCTCATTATCTCAGGTGGCTTGCTGATGCACCCACAGATCTCTGCGCTTTGATACTCGGCCACACCCCCCACGAGGACAGTTCTCAAGCTATTGCGCTCCCACTTCCACTTCCACTTTCACTTTCATTTTTTGCCCCCACACACCGCGAGTTCTCAGCGCCGTGTGCCCGTATGAGAAACGCTTGGCGTTGTTTACAACTCACACTCTCCACACTGCGCTCGAGAATATCGCCCACACAAGCTACGAGTTGACTAATAGCGGCAACCCATCTTCTAGGTCTGATCCTGTAGTCACAGCGACATTTCGAGAGCAACAATCCGGAACATCCCTAGTATCGACCATGGCCGGATTCAAGTCCTTTTTCTCAGCCAAGTCATCCCGCCTCAGCCATGATAACCAGTTTGCCGAACACGACCACAATAGTCGCATGAACAGCAATACCGGTATGAGTTGGAATAACAGTGCTTCCAAGTTGGACCACAAGCGCGACAGTTCCACGCGTCTTGTCACTGGTTTCCAAAAGATGTTCGGCTACCATCGTCGCAATGACAGTGTAACCCCGAGCTCTGTTCCCATGGCCTCCGCTATGCCTTCTGCGCCAGCGCCAGCTACATCTACTTCTACCCCGGAGAGACTCTACCGTTTCCAGTCACCTAAGCAGAAGAAAGTCAGTACTATGGACGAATGCAAATGAGAACAAGTATTGACCTCCCCAAAGCATGTCAACCCAATTCCATCCTTACCTTCGACGGCAGACAACACAATGTTCATGTCTAAAACCACTATGCATTCATGCATGGTCCCTTCGAGCACTCCACCCACGAGCCCATTGACGCCACCTACAAGCGCGCGTTCTGAAACATCGACCCCTAACAGTAGGCATGTCGTCGTTCCGCCTCTTATACCACTTATTAAACCTGCAAAAGGTGCTGCTGAGCCTACGAGCAAGACCGAAGCGGACATCAGTCTCATGACCGACATCGACACGCGTGCCGACTGCCAAGCCATACTCCGAACATCCTCTCAGCCTGTCGTTGTCAAGCCGACCCACGACAGTTCTGATGCTTGCACCAATAGATTTGAGGCCGCTATGGCAGACAGACGCGCCGCAGATAAGCTGCTGGCACAGTGCCATGCTGCTATCAAGCCACAAGCGAACACTGGTAAGCGCGTAAAACCGCTAGAGACCATCATCAAGAAGAAGAGCTCCAGAGATAGTCATGGTATAGCTCATCTACCGAGCAATCTCTCTCCACCTGCTCACTGTCGAGCCCACGCGAGGACCGTAAATCAGGCGATTGAAGCCCTACGACGACGCGAGGCCATAAAACATCTCGCCTTTTATGCAGCAGATGGGTGTCCCATCAACATCGATATCATGGATCAGATCAACGCCCATTTTCACCTCAAAGCCCGTCACGCTCATGACGAGATACCCGATGTCACTTTCAATGTCAACGCTATAAATATCCGCGCGAGCCAGATGCCCATAGGTTCTGTTGAGCGTAACTGGATCAAACGCTACAATGCTGCAGTCAACAACGCCGAGCTTGTCGAGCGTCGACTCATGAACAGCGAAGATCACGAGATGATTATCGCGCAGCTCTTTCCTGAGGAGCGCGGCCACATACTGAAGCCAGAGCATTTTGAGATTTTTATGGCTGGTCTTGGTGAAGAAGGCATCCTCACAAAGGCGCAGGCCAAGTCCATCGCCAACATCGCCGTCACGCACCAAGAATTTGATCAAGGCGTACATTACGTTGAGGGTTCCGTAAAAAAACACTCTCACCGTCGCAACCCCACCGAAGTCGCAATTTTCAACATTCCCCAGCAGGCCAGCCGAAGTGTTGCGTCTTTTTCGCCTCGACCGACCAACCAGCCTGAGTTATATTACTACTTGCGCATCCTAGTCGAAGCTGCAGTCTACGATCAGAAATTCTGGAAAGGTTACTTCTTCCCCAACGCCCGCAACAAACTCAATGACTACTTCCAAGCCTACAAGACCTCGCAGGAGGGCTGGCTCCTTCCCCCAAACCTAACGGACTACAAGCGCGAATGGACACACCGCGACGTGCGTCTTTTACACCGCGGCCAGCTCATCTGCGACCTACTAAAACAATACGAAGCTAACGATGTGACTGACTTCGGTATTATCCGCGCTATCCGCGCAACCTATGTTGGTATCCCAGCCCAACCCTCCTGGTGCGCCGAAGATCTCGAATCCTTCCTCTACCACCGCGTCGCCGATTCCGGTCTTGCCGTTTCCAAGATCCCTGAGATACTCCTTCTACACCCGGATAACGATATGACGTTTGCCAATTCTCGTCTTCGGCAGCAGGTTGTTGGTGGGCTGAGGGAGCGCGCTGAGCTGTTCGAGAAGGAGGAGACGGCTAGGTTGAGGGAGATTAATAGGAGTTATATGACGTTCGAGGCGGCTAAGAGGAAGGGCTTGACGAGGTGGGAGAGGATGAAGGAGGGGCTAGAGAAGGCGTTTGGGAAGAAGGTGGCTTTTGTTCCTTTTGATCCTTTTGCGCCGGAGCATAAGGTGGGAAAACAGCGGGTTATGACAGGAGGATCAAGGTTATAGTCTCGTTCTCTTGTCTATCGCTAGGGCATCGGGGTGAAATTCAGAATCTTCCAGCGTTCTTGTACGAGACGGTATGGTAGGTGGTGATATGTCGGGTAGATTCACGCTAGTATTGTAGCGACCTGGCTATGGTAGGGATAGTGTGATCATTGCGTTCGCGTAAAGTGTTTAAAGATTACCATTGTAGCGCTTAGAAAGTAGTTAACCCCTTCTTGATGAGAAACCGTACTTCTTTCTTTCTTCCTATAACAGGATGTCGGCTGTTGGTAAAACGCTTAACTGATCAGAAGGAATAGCGGTATGCATTGTAGTCTATCGAAGTGAATGCTACCGCTTCGAGCTTCAGTAGCTGTATGAGTATTTTCTCTTACGTGACGAAAGGCTGCTTGATGCTTTGGGTAAATCTTCCCTCTTGCTCCAACCCTCGAAGGCTTGTTGCCAATCTTTTACGCGATTGTCCATTCTGGGTTCGGAAAACCTTGCATACACAGCTTGTTCCATATTCAGCTCCTTAGAATATCCGTCAGTACTATCAAGGAATACCATTACCTTTGGGCTGATGTCAGCTTCACCAAACTCCCAGTTTTTCTGTATTCTACGCCAACGTCTCGAGAAAGTCGTCCAATTAGCATTCGCTAGGTCGTCGCGCTGCTCTTGCACATTCCTTACCCATGATTTAACAACTGCTGACCATTGCTCGTCAAGTGCGTCCAAAATCTGACCAACTTTTATTCCATCTTCGTCGTGGATATGTGCGAGACGTACCGGGTAAGTGTTATCGTAGAGGTGTGCAGATGTAGAAACGTAAAGCCCAAGGCCTTTACAAGGAGGCGCCGTTGCAAACATAGGCCGAACCAAGGATCCCAAGCACTTTTGTTTGAGGAATGGAGATCTGGTTAAAGGGTCGGGCTGAGGATGTAAGGCGATTTCGACATGTCCATAATGCTTTCGAAGACGGCCATCAAAGATTTCTGCAAAGTACAGATTGAGTACAAACTGGCTGAGGTCGAACCAGCGGTTGTCTTCCGCTTCCAGCGACATAGGACGCATCCGAGTGGGCGGAAACCGATAATCCAAGTTCCATAGATTACGGAAAGCAGTCCATAGATCTTCCGGAAGACAAGAGGCTTGTGAGATACGTGCAGGATAGTAAAAGCTAGTGCGATTGCATGAGGATTTCGATTCCGGATCTAAGCGATCGGAAACGGCCTGGTTTACCTCTAAGATCTCCGCCTCGTCTGGTTGCATCCAATTAAGCCCCGAAAGAATCAGCTCTCCATAGGCGATAGCAGGGCAGGGATATGCCATACGGAATTGGGAACCGAGAACCACTGCAACGATAGCTCGCCATATTGAGCACACATTGCGCACCTTCAGTATCGATTCTGAATCAAGGAATCTCGTGATACCTTCCAAGATCTCCGGGATATAGAGCGCACAGTGAGCTGTCGAAGCAATGCTCATGCTTGTGAGGTTTGTCTTCTGAGCGTTTGAAGACACGGGAATAGCGATAGGCAGATTTGGACAAAGTGATAAAGTATTGGTAGATGCCCACTTGGACATGATCTCATTGATCATACGCAATCGGGGTTGCCGCCATTCCTCAATCTCGGCACAAAGCCTAATAAATAGTATTTGGGAATCATCCAATCGGTCCAAGGTCGTGCACTCTGGAAACCACTTCGTGATCAAAGCATGGAGTCCCTCGTTGTCGACATACCTTTGTGGGTCGCCCTCGGCGGGTAGGTTCGGAGTGGTCATGCTATAGCAGTGCGAGCTTAGGAGGAAACCGACGAATTTCGAATGCTTAAGACATCGGAGCAAGTCGGAAATGGAGGTGCAGCCATACGTATATCGACCCCTTCAGGCAGCAAGCGCACAAGCCACAAAACGTGATCTTCGCTTACCCAAACTGGCCTCCACCTCGTCCACATAGATTTCTTGAACTTGAGGTAGAAACATGTGGATCAGCATCGTTGCGCACGATTAACACAAGACCCCCGTTCTATTCGAGTAATGCTCCCTCAGAGGATTCTCCACAGGCTCGTGGCATGATTCACGATCCTGAACCATGCAATATCACTCCCTCTTCTGAACGTGTTTTCTCTACTCCTGAACTACTGAAGATCGTTCTTCAATACGTAACACCCGGGCCCACAGTAAAGTTCAGGGAACATTAGAAAAACATCATGTGGCGCAATACAACTCGTTACATTCTTGTGTCTCGGTACCATGACCAACACCCTATCTCACTGGTTTCTAGACTTTCGCCTCTCGCTACTCCCCAGTGCGCAGAACGTACCACATTTTAGAGCGATTGATAAAAACGCTGCTATCAGTATCGTGGATTCTACCAAGACTGTACTGTAGATATATCTAGTCTGCGCTTGAACGGATTAGCTGACATCGACCACCATGCAGCGCGTATTTTCATCAGCGCAATCATAGGTTGCACAATCAACGAATAACTCGCTTCTACCAGCATACAGGGAATATGTCGGTAAATACGCATCGAGCTCTCGTTTTTGACAACATCGATCTTGCTCACCAAAAAAGGGCCATGGCCCTTTTGCGCACTGTACCCAATCATTCTGTCTCCACGTAGCTGAGCATGCAGCCAAGATATAGCAGCTGAATGCTCTCGCCCTCTTCACTGTCTTGCTTAAAGCGGCGTGAAGCTTAGCCGGCTGCAAGTATGTATTATCGAAGGATCCTGCTTGTTACTCTCACCAAAATCTCGCACTTTCCATACCACCACCGCCGTCGGCCTCCCTGCGCTGCTTTACGACTGCCAACACATCGACCTGAGTGATTTGCCTCGCCTCGACGCTTTCGGTTAAGCACGCTGCCGCCTCATCCTGCCTCGCCAATCATGGACAGCTACCAGGATTTCGGGTAAGTTTTTTTTTACACTCTGCTAACAAAAAGGGTGGGTAACAAGTTGGTGCCGAACCTTCCAGGATCGTTCCGGCTCAGCAGAACTGCCTAATGCGTCGTCAACTGAGCAGGCCTACGAGGTGCCTGAAACCTGGACTACAACCTCAAGCGCCTTCAATTTGAACGCAGGCTTCCATCACCATGATGCACTCCTCAATTATCATCTAGCACCTCAATCTTATGTCGGCTGGTATGACTTGGTGACGCCGGTTGCGGTCGAGAGTTCCAACGTCCCCAATGTCGCACCTACTCCCAGCCATGCTATAGACAACGCGCATACAAACATCCCGGACATGGTCTATCCTGGAAAGTGAGTCATACCAACTCTAAATCCAAACTTAAGTCGGCTCTAACGCGACGACAGTAGCTTTGCTGGTGTGGGAGAGAATCACCTTGTCTCAGTCCACGAAGCCATTAGTGTAGCAGCTGTCGGCATTGCAACACATCAGTCACAACCACAGGAGTCTTCGCGAGAATGTGCTATAAGACGTTGTCGATTTCGTTATACCACCCTGGAACAGTACGGTATCCATATGCAAGCTAGGCATCGACATGCCCGTACATGTGATCGGTGCAAGAAAGTCTTTGACTGCCAGTACGATCTAGATCTTCATATCTCTGAAATGGGTCATGCCTCTTTGGTATGCAAGCATGAGGGTTGTGAGAAGGTGTTCGGTCGGCTGGATACGTACCAGAGGCATCAGCGCACTCACCAAGAGGATGCTAAACGTTTTCCATGCAAATACTGCAAGAAATATCAAAGGAAGAACGGTTTCAAACGCAAGGACCATCTCACTCAGCACGTTCGCAACTACCACCACATCGACAAGGAAGAGAAGAGCGAGCAATATAATTACGCTCGCCACTGGTGTCCAATGAAAGGTTGCTCTGAATACAAGCCAAAAGATGCGACATGCGAAATGCCATGTGCATTCGCTTCATCGAAAGCTTGGATTGAGCACATGCGCACTGTGCACGACAAATGCGAATTTTCTTTCCCGCAACCTGGCTGCGACCGCATCAACGCTAAAGGCTACTTCCGTAAGTACGATCTACGAGCCCATCTTCGCAAAGTCCACGGCACAGACGGCTCTCTGGAGGATGATGACATGAACTGAGCGATTGTTACACCTGAATGATCTGGGTGTGAACATCTGAACACCCGGAGTACAACTTACCAAATAGAAGGTTGAGGCTCGATAGCGACTGTCTAGAAATTACCACATGGTAGAGAAGACGTAGCATCTTTTTATTGTTGTTGTTGTTGTTGTTGTTGTTGTTGTTGTTTTCTTCTTCACATACTACCACCCACCAAAAACACTTGTAAAGAAGAGGCGGCAAGCATACGGATGTCATTTCAGAAAAGCGCCCCAAAACATGTAACGACGACCATGCACTTTTCTTCCTCTCTTTGAAAAAGCCAAAAACAGCAACAGGCAACAAGCAATATCTTACGTGTATTCCTATATCTCCTTACTCAGAATGAATACAACTCGTCTTTCCTTACCACCAAGTGCGACCATGTGTGAGACCGTGATCATGTGTAAGTACCCCCACGGAAACATACGTGACTTACCGACACCGCTTACATAGCCGATATGGATAATTGAGACGCAGCAGTCCTCACCGTGTGGGATCTTGTGCGGATAATTAAAGCAAGAAGAAAGGTCGTTATCTTGGAAGCAGACACGTCATGACAGCGCTTCATCTATGCCTCGCGATTCGAATAAGATCTTACTGAATGCCATCAGGTGTCAACTCCTGACAGTTTTACGTCAACGATCAGCATCTGGACCTCAAGCTTAACAGTGAGATACTCAAATAGAGTATGTTGATCTATAAATTACTGCAAGAGATATCGCGCACCATTTTACCGTATATTGACTGTTTAGGTAACATACATCCTTGTCAACGTCAGGAGCGCGGCGATCTTCACAACAAAAGATGATCGTAGCCCAACCCTTTTTGGTTGTCTAAACATAGTACCCACGACAGAGCTCATCTAGAGCGTCACTAAGGACTCTGCTGGGTTGGACTTTGTAAGACTTATACCTAAGATCATCTCTGGACCAATCCGGGGATGAAACAAGGGCGTAGCCGGAGCAAGCTTTCTTTTCAAATCTCAAATAACAGAATATGACATCCCAAATACTGCGCGCTTTATTGCGGTAAATTCCGCTTTCTGATAGAGTTCAAGCATTGATACGGACGGATCATACGGTGGCGCACAAGTGCAGTGGCTTGCTTCCTTGATCTAGCCTTCATTCAACTTCGCCTTCAGGGATGCATCTAAGAGACGGGAACTTCAGCTGGAAACCACAAGCGGGTGGCGAAGCTGCCACTGAAAGTAAGAACTCTAACGTTCAAACAGTATAGACATCTTTCAGTTGTCGACTGGTGCAGCAGCATATGGTACATTACGGATTTGCCATAGCAGTGATGAAAGACAGTCTTTACATATAAAAGGCAAGGTAGAATAACATCCTTCCAACAGGTTCTTAATTTAGATTTTGTGACTTAATAACCTAGATAACTTAGTGTCTTGATATACGAAGGTCAAGCTCGTGTGAAGGCTGACTTGGCCGAACTCATCCATACTTGCATGCCGCCTCAATAGCCATGGATTTGAACTAGCTCAAACTAATCGCGACTATATCCAAGAAGGACTGATCTAAGACGAGGTAATGGAAGTTAGGGCTGCAAATATGTGTGCATTGCTTGGCAATACAGCTTTCGATCTTGCGATTGATCGGACCGTTGACGACTTAACCTATTTCTATCATATCGGTGAACACCAAGACATTACCTTAGGGAGCCGTAGCTGAAATAGCACAAGAAAGGTTCAATGCGGCAAGTTCATTGCGGGGTATAAGTTCCGCGCGATGTAAAACGCGGGACCGAAGATACGGTTGCATAAGCTCTAGCTAAACGAGCATCACGCAAACATCATAGGCTTCCTCTTCAGCTTCAGCTACTAGTACGAAGTCAGCCACAAAGCGGGGTTCGGCTTATGACGGAGATTTTATTATTGTTACGAACGTACCGGCTGTCGCGAACCTGATCTACATTGCATTAGCGCTATCTAGAGCAGCCATCTTGCTGATCGCCTTGGTATTATGAGTTCCCAGCCTCATAAACATGGCTAGTATGGAGGCTCTTGGCCATCTCTCGTGACCCGCATTCGACGTTTCTAATTACGTTTCCAACTGCACCTCGTACCTAGTACACTCCACGATGCTTCGTCAATATTGGAGGCGTCAAGTCTATACCAATCAGATACAGACAAATCAAAATCAACCCACTGATATACGGATGCCACATCGTATAGATTAGACTTGGATGACGATGTGGTGCTGCAGAGCAGTTTTGAAAGCTGACGGTGGCTTATTGGCAAGACTTTCAAGACAGCTCTCGATCTTGACTTCTCTTTCTAAAGTGTATTGCGAGTGTATAAATAGACAGAGATTCTCGCATTCTGAACTTGAGCACACAGAAAAGTGCAATTGTATCAAGCCTCAATCCACAATGCCCAGACTCAGTGTGTTCGCTGTACTCCTCCTCGGTTAGTATTCTGGATGCAACAGAAAGCACCCTTAGCGGTTCTTACCGACTAACTCCCGATGTAGCTTGCTCTGTTGTTGCATTCCCCGAACCACAAGTAAAAAGAACCTACGATTGTACGAGCTGGTGTAAGAGTAATTTCCCACCTTCTGGGTGGGAATGCTCCAACTGCATTTCCGAGTCCGGCAAGGGCCAAGGACCTTGCTATGATTGCGGCCCCAAGGCTTCCCAGCCGAACAAGAAGACACTGTGTGGTGGCAAGTGTGTAGAGGTAAGTGTGCGATACCGAATATGAGCTTTACATACTGACACTATGGCGCTGGAAGCTTGGTACGAACGACAACTGCAAGAATTGCGGAGACAAGTGTCAACACGGGTCCACATGCAACAAAGACAAGAAGCAGTGTGAACCGAAATGCGGGTATGGAGAAGTGCTTTGCGGTGGAAAATGTAAGAGCACCGCCTGGGGCACAGACGACGATTGCGCAAGATGCGGCGATAAGTGTCATGACGGATACAAATGCAACAAAGACAAGAAGTGTGAACCGAAATGCAAGTGGGGAGAAGAGCTTTGCGGTGGAGTATGCAAGAAGAACACGTGGGGTACAAACGACGACTGCAAGAGATGCGGAGACAAGTGCCGAGACGGTTACGAGTGCAAGAACAAGGAGTGCAGACCAAAATGCAAGTACGGAGAAGAGCTCTGCGGCGGAAAATGTAAGAGCACCGCCTGGGGTACAAACGACGACTGCAAGAGATGCGGAGACAAGTGCCGAGACGGTTACGAGTGCAAGAACAAGGAGTGCAAACCGAAATGCAGGTGGGGAGAAGAGCTTTGCGGTGGAGTATGCAAGAAGAACACGTGGGGTACAAACGACGACTGCAAGAGATGCGGAGACAAGTGCCGAGATGGATACGAGTGCAAGAACAAGGAATGCAGACCAAAGTGCAAGTATGGAGAAGACGTCTGCAACGGAAAATGCACAAACTACAAGATGGACAACGACAACTGCGGAAAATGCGGCGAGAAGTGCGATACCAAGCATGGGTATAAGTGCCAGAGCGGAAAGTGCAAGAAGTCCTGGTAATGTAGGTTGTACAGCACAACCGTCTGACTTGAAGGAGAAGATTGTTCCTTTCGTCATTCCTTTCCTGGCATACCATAAAAGGTTTTGAAAAAAAAAAACACGGGTAAAGAAAAGGAGGCAAGCACCTCAAAAAACACATGCAACGACAACAAAGTACCTTCCCTTCATCTCTTGGTGGAAAAGCAAAAGGGCTGGGATAAGCAACATCATCCATGTACTTCCATATCTTCTTACAAAGAATGAACATAGTCTTTCCTTAGCAATATGTGCCATGATGCGTGAAATGACTATTATGTGCAAGCCTTCTACTGTGAGAAACATTCCAAGATTACAAGTGGAAGAAGAGGTAAAGCAGATGCGTCTATAAACTACAGGAAGGGGGTATCGCACGCCATTCCACAATACACTGCTATCAGGTAAACCTCCGAATAAAGATAAGTGAAAAAACTCATCCACATGGCAGGCTAATCCTAGCCCGCCGTACATAACTGAAACTCCAAAGTATGCTGCATGCCAATTGCCATGAAAAGGAAATGAAAGGTGGAAGCAGTCACGACACCTCGTTCCTAACCCGTGAGGAATCGCACCGTGTCAGATGCAGACATTAACGCTAATTGTGTGAAAGAAAAAACCGCCGAGTACGTGATGGAGAGGAAAAAAAGAGACTTAGTCGTGATGTCAAGCGCATGTCATCCTGTCTCACTGAAACCTGAACAGCGTGACCACAGCCAGACAGCCAATAGCGACAAGGGTACCCGTGACCTCTGGCCGCCTGAGGAATGTCTTGAACGGATCACCAGCTTTGGTCACATGTGCGATACCTGTGACATTCGTTTCGACGAGGATCGCTTTCTGGGCCAAAGCCTTTGGTTCGGGGTGAATCGTGGGTTTCGCATCAAACTGCGCCATATCGGTACCGATCGACTCGTCCAACTCATCAACCAGCGTAGCGCAAAGGCGGAAAATTTTCTTCGCTTCCTCGATAATATCAACGCGCTCATCCGATGTGAAGAGAGTCTCCGCAGCGAGCAATTGTGTCTTGAAGTCCGCCTTGATATCCTCCCCATCGTGGGGACCGAAGAAATGCCATAAGGACAAGCCACGCTCTTCCAACGTCGTCCCTTGGCTGTCTTGTTCTGGCCAGAAGCCTGGGGGCGCCTTCAAGAGCACGCTTCGTATCCAGCGACCTCCGGAGAAGACGGCCATGTAGAAACACCAGGCATAGCTGACTAGCGTCCACGGCCTTTCGTTTACGCTCTTGCGAATATGTGTGCAGAAGTCGGCAACCTTGTCTCCGGGGTATTTTGCTAGTAGAACCTCGAGATCTGTGGGGTGAACTCCTAGAAGGTACTCCAGGTCCCTCTTTATCCGTGATGAGCGCACCAAGCCCTTCGGTCGTAGCGCTTGCAGGAAGGCAGCAAGTTGCGGGGAAGACGGTGTCGGTGCGCCCAGTGTTGATGTGAAGAGTGAAGGTGAGTCGTATGGGTTTACAAGGAGGTACGAGAGTAGTGGTGAGAATGGTGGCGACGCGGTCTCGGCATCGACTGCGGGGGGTGGGGAGGCGGTATGCGAGGCTGAAGCATGGTCGCGCAACAAATCAGCCCATAGTGACTCGAAGGTCAGGAAGATGTGCGCAAAGTGTAGCAGGCCAGTTGCGTAGAATGTGGGGTCGGAAGTATATGGCGGGAGAGCAAGCGGGAGGCGCGAGGTTATGAGGCGATTGAGATTTGTGTGGAGAGATCTGTAGATGTATTATTAGCATCGTGCTCTCACTGTTCAAATTTGACAGTCAAGAGTGAGGAAAGCGTACCGTGTAGCAGCATTAATCTCCCCCGACAGCGAGACAGGTAGCCTCGGTACGGTGTCTCTGGCCTCGTCCCGCGGCGCATGTTGTTGCTTCTCCAGCATCTTGGGCAACGACTCGACGTCAAGTTGTAGTGGTACGTGGGAAATGGAGTCGTCTGTGGTAGTATTGTCGATCGTTTGCAGCCAATTCGTCGAAGGCAGCGGAAACAGGAGGAAGGCGCAACCTTAAAACCCGATAAACACTCTACTTGCACGCGCGAGACCCACGAGGAAGGTGCAGCCCAGTGCCAGGGAACGGAAGGGCTAGACTCTCTCGTGCCTGCTACTCGTGTTGAACCCACGCGGAGATAGATCCGCGCCCCTCTCACGCCATAGAGCACCGATCTCTGATCTCAGGGCGAACAAAAGCACGCTCTTTAGTGGGGGGACCCTGGGATAGCATGCCCGTGGCGCGTCGCGGCTCTTCGCTGGTGGGAGGCGAAATCGAGGCCATGGTGGCGTTCAATGATGCAATAAGTCCACTGGCGCATGGCCGTTATGCAGGGATCGCCCACTCATGACCGACTTGTGGCTGTGAGGATGCTCATGTGCAGGACATGGGATTTTGGAGACAAGGGACGAAAAAAGTGAGATGAAAAGAGTGGATAAGTTGGGGTCTTGCTGATGGTTATGTGTAAGATGGAGATCATGGGGGGTTTGCCATGTCTTGTAGGACCGATTCTGCTTCGCGATCTGCGGAAACGCCCGTCCGGACGACCCGATCGCGAGGACCCGTGCAGCGCATGAGGCTGAACTATAGTTCTCAACACCAAATATTTAGCTTGTAGATTCGGGCAGTGACGCGTACTGAAGAAAGTGGTTCGATTCTTTACTTCTTCCGCCATATTTGGTGACTCTCAGGCCTAAGATAGCTACAATACTGTCGGCCCTATTCTTTGCCAGGGTCTCCAATTTACTTATCAGGGTTCATACGACGCTTGTGGATTGATTCTGCAAAGATTCTTATCTCGCCTTCTGACATATGCATGATATCTCGTAAGGTTATGAGATTTGTCCTACAAACAGCATCTCCAACATCCCATTCACTTCCAGCCCAGCCCCCATAACACAGGTCCTCTTCATCCCCCGCATCTCCTTTCCCCCTTCCATTGCTCTCCTCGATCTTCTCACCACGCTCATGACTGTCCCTAGCCTCATCTGCTCTATTCTCTCCTCCTACGTCCTCTTCAGCCCCCTACTCCTTCGCCCGTGGACCTGCATTAGAAGTATTTTAGCTGCTTTTGTGCTTAACGTCGCAGGCCAGATGTCATATTCACAGTCATTGATCGTTTGGAGACATTGCAGCTTATGATTGATTTACGAAAGTGCGGGTATAGCAATCTTCCATGTATTTGGAACTGGTTTCTATTATGCCACATGGAACAAATCTAGTTGCTATCTCACATTGTTCAATGCAGCCGTGATGTAGAGGCGCTTCTCGCTCGTACCAAAAGGCTACTCGTACTGTCTCACGGAAGAGTGCCCGACAAGTACGAACAAGAATCATGAAGAATTTATCTACTCCTAGGGCATCGCGCCTCCTCTACATATGACCAACACGCTACGCTGGGTCCATTGCCAGACGCATCGCAACAGGTGATAGCACAATCGACTAGTCAAAATGGCCGTTAACGTCTCGTCACAAGAAGTGTTGTCATGACCGATGATATGCCAAATAAGCAGCAGCAAACCTCCAAGTAGACAAAGTATGTGTAAACAGAGATTCGTGAACCGGGTATAGCGCCAAACATCGTGATGGGGGAACGGAAAGGCTGTCGTGAGCCTCGTTACGCAGGCGGTATGCGAAGCCCAGTACGACGTTAAAGTGCCAGCATCTCAAACGCGAGCCCAATCGAAGTTGACGTCCTCGCGCTTCGTGACTTCGGCAACGTCAGGGTCACTACATACAGGCGCCCAAACTTGAGCCTCGAATTGCCCAGCTGCAATATTATTGCCAAAGAAGGAGTAGTCTGTGCTTGTCAGAACTAGTACCATACACTCGCACGCGTTGAACTTACAACAGTAGAAGCGACCCGGCCAGTTGACACCGCTGTCACAGTGACCAAGGGCACAGCCAAGGCGTGTGCTGTTGCGCCAAACCATCTGACTGAAGTGGCCCCACGCGGGATCAAAGTGTGGGTTGTCGTAGGGGTACTTGGTCTCCTCTTCGTGCCAGCCGTGGGTGGCAGTGCGGGCAAACTCGATCCAAGCGTCGTACCCGTCAGGAGGTGGGTTCACGGAAGAGAGGTTGCTGCCTGAGCGTTTCTACAAATATTAGCAATGCCCTGTTGACTCAATGCCTACTGCTTACATGCTCGGGGTCTTTAGGGCATTCCTCGATATCAGCACGCGCGGCGTCGGCAAGCTCAGTATCCCAAACAAGGTCCTGTGCACAATGCAATCTGCGCCAATACCAGTGAGCCCGCATGACAGCGCTAATGAAGTTCGGATCGTCCTGGTGAGGAGCGTCATCAGCGACGAGGTCACGGCGCTTAATCTCGTTGGTGGGAGCGGCGACAGCTGTGGCCGCAGTAAGAGCAAGAAGGCGAGCGAAGATTCTCATGACTAGGTTCTGGAAAGACGGCGGTCGTCCGGTTGTAGCGTGTAGGGCCTAGGTTGAGGTGCAATAGGTATGAGTTGTTCGGACAGCGGGTGCAGTGGATCCGTGATAGTGTGCACAGGTCTGAGCAAATTAATGAGAGGCAATTTAAGGAATGAAAGTGATGAAACGAGTGACGAAGCAGGCAATAACGAGGTCGGCGAGGTTTATATGGTCAGGGACGTGGCTTGGGGTTCGTGATGGCGTGGTGTTGATAGTCTGCACCTGCCTTCACGTACTAGCCCCGCAAACAAACAGTTATGGAAGGCGGTCCAATCACCAAGGTGACTGAATCGAGAAGGATCAGTCCGGCACTGAGTGCCATGGGAGTGAATGATGAACGGAGGCTGCAGAACCACCGCAGCGACCGTTTGTGTGATGTCAGCCGGGGTAGACGAGAGGTAGGACAGGTCCATTGCACTCCGTAGGCGCCTTGTGGTGACACACGTCTGCTACTCCATTAGCCCCTTCAGTGCTCTTGTCACTACCCATTGCGAACTTACTTGAAGGTATCACCGAACACTGACCACGAACCTGATGCGTGCGCACTGTTTACACACCACTGCCCCTCTGCCGCAACCTCGTGGAGCCCGCTACGCTAGTTGTAATGCTATAAATCGTTAGACCGATGCACCAAATAGACATGTGAAGGATGAAAGAGACACAAGCACGCCAAGTGGCGTTCGCAACGAGTGACTACGATTGGGCCAAGTGCGTATGCACGGCACGAGTCCGCATTGAACTCTGATTGTACGATTCAATTGGTAGATACATATTCAAGGAGACCAAGTCGCGGTATTGATGCCTTGGAAGATATCTTAGCTCTACCACCAGGACTCGGACGTGGTCATGGCATCGCCTCGGCGATCGAGCTCGATCCAGGTAGTGTCAAGGGCAATTAGAGGTCGAGAAACGTCGCACTTGTATTTGGTGGCTACCTTTGACAGGCCGTCTTTCCCTCGTTGTGTATACATTACGGCAGGTAAGGCTGATTTAAATGTCTGGATCCCATCGCTGCCGTGGTAGCGCAGTCCCAGTGCCGAGACGCCGTACACCTCCCTCACCACACCGTTCTACCGCCGGTAAGAACAGGACGAGCGAGACATAAGGCGGACGAGAAGTACCACTGAGTTTACAATTCATGTCCAGGGGTTTGCGCGACCTGCTTCCACCTAGACTGATGCAACAGGGCGGTCCGCATCTGCCCGTCAAACGCATCGCCCCTGCGTCGTCTTCTGACAATGTTTCCCCTCATTGGATCGACCAGAGCCAGTACAGTGTCAGATTCCCGTCGTGTTCGTATTACAGCAGGACTAGGGTTGAGAGGGTCCCAAGATCCTCACCAGGACGCCTGTGTAAGATGACGACTCGCACAAAGCCGTCCACACTGCCAAGGCCACTGCTCATCGGTCCAGCCACGTCACACCATGCCGACGACCAGGGATGAATTTGCCGCAACGGCTGTGGTAGTATGTACAGACGGGAAGCTGCATCCCATCGCCCGTACACATTACAGAGCAGCACAGAATCACTGCGTCGAGTCTCTTCATCCTTCCTTGAGACGTTTCGCAGGACGTCCAATGATCGAGTCGTCGGGGAGTCCGCTCCTCTTGGTTCCTGGTAAGCTACCCGTGCGGATATCGTTGTCCTCCTGGCTGACCCTTCTGACGGGGTACTTGATCTTGGAATCCTCGAAACAGCTGTCGGCTGGCTTGCCATGAACAGTGAAGTATGGATGTAACAACGCTTTTTCTGCTGTGAGTCGTTTCTGGGGGTCGTACTCAAGGAGCTGTTTGAGCAGTGAGAGTCCTTCAGGTCCAGGTGTATCTGGTCCAGAGCCTATTGGATAGTGGTTGTTGTTGAGCGTCTGGTGATACCATCGTTCTAAACCGTCACCACCTTGGGGACGCGGAAATCGTGCAGCGTTGCCTGAGGCGAGAGAAGACAGCTGAGGGTATTCAGGCATAGCCGTCAATAGCGGCCATCGGTCTTTGCTTGGCATGCCCATGATCTCGACTATTTTCTGCATCTGATTGCGCTGGAATGGGACTGTCTTCTTGCTGTCCATTTTTGCTTCCTCTCCTTTGAAGATAGGTCGCAATGATAATAACTCGGCGAAGATACATCCTACAGCCCAAAGGTCGACTGCAGGAGTGTAATGGCGACTGCCAAGAAGAAGCTCAGGTGCGCGATACCATATCGTCACGACGACCTTATCGCCTGAGAAAAGGGATTGCAGCGGTTTGTAGAACAGGCGAGCAAGGCCCAAGTCGCCTATTTTGACTTTGCCAGCACTGGTGACCATGATGTTAGCTGGCTTGAGATCTCGGTGCATTACCCAGTTCCGGTGCAGATAGACTAGTCCCTGCAAGAGTTGATAGAGAATAGATTTGATAGTTGGCGCAGGTATAGCTTGTCGCTGGGGTTGGTTATGGTGATGGATGATCTGTAGTAAGTCGTGCTCGGCATATTCGAAGACAATGTAAATGCACTTGTCCTCCAGGATGATCTCTACGGTATGCACGACATTGGGATGTGCGAGCTCAGTGCACAGTGCCATTTCCCGGATGGCTGATTGGGAGATGCCCGAGTATTGAAGTTCGCCTTCCTTGTCCGGCTTGAACCTGAATGTGTTAGCACGTACGATGGCAAAAGCTCCGCTCTGCCTACTTCTTGATGGCAAACTCGCCTGTACGGCCGTTTTTGCCTTCGGCTTTGTAGACTCGTCCATAGGTACCGCTGCTGATGAAGCCGACAATCTTGTAGCGCTCTGTGACTCGCTTCTTGTTGTTGTACCCAGTAAACATGGCATTAACGGAATCTAACGGTTCTTCAAGAACAGGTTTAGTACTCGCTCTGAGACGCTGAGGTGATAAAACAGTCGGAAGATGCGAAGGGTCCAGCAAGGTTAACAAGGGGGTGATGCGGACACGAACGGCAATTGCTGACAGCAGGAACAACAATCACGCAGGCAACGACGTTCAGCCAGGAGGCGCCAGACGAGGCAAAATGAAGCGATATTGACTAGAGTAGAGGCTGAATGGTAAAAGAAACGCCGGCATATAGAAGAAGGCGGTTGCTGACTACGTAGAGAAGGCAGAGGCGTACCGTTGGAAGCTGTCGCGACGCTATTCTTGCGCGATGGGGCTCGGGCGGATGCCGCAGCAGAAGCCGACGAGACCGGCGGGGAATTGGAGAGCTGGCTCATGCTTTTGCCATGTCCTGCTTCAGCCTCTCGCGTAGCTGGTGTCTCCACGCCGGACGCGGCAGATGGCCACGACCACGACGCGCCAACGGAACTTCTCCGGTGCGCCCTGCAGGTGTGGAACGCGATCCGCGAGGGTAAGCTTCAATGCCGGACGACGCGCAAAATGATGTGTGCAGAACCTGGCTTGAAGTTTAGAGGTTTACGGATGTAGGGTGAGAGGTTCAATCATGTATTCATGGAGCGACTACCAAGTATGGCTCCCCGCAGAGCCTCAGTCTTGGGCCCAACCACTTGATTCCGCCTGTCCCTCGTCCAAGCTTCTACTAGTAATGCCACGACTGTGAACCCTCAAGCATCGCGACAAACCTAATACCTAGGTATCCATGAGGAGATAAACCAGGTCTTATCGCTCTTATCTGGGCTGTCTAAACAGGTAGGCGCGCTGCATCCATCGTCGTCATGACGATGTCACGTTGTACGAGGCGGCTGACACGTCCTTCAAGATCCAGCGACGCTCCAAGCTTCACACGTCTACCACTGTAGAACCTCACCATGGACCCGCGCTCGTGGTTCAGCAGCTTGACCGGCTACTTCGTCTACATCCTGTCCATTGCGACACTCGGCCCGCTCCTCTTCGGCTTTCACCTGGTAGGACCCCCACATACTCTACTACAGGCGCATAGCTAACATGCCCAGTCCGAACTGAACGCGCCCGAGGATGTCATCCGCTGTAAAAGGAAGTCGATCAAGTCGACCGTCGCTGGCCCGAGCCTCCCACAATGTATCGAGATGAGCCCGACCGAATGGGGCGTTGTGGGATCACTGTACACACTAGGGGGTCTGATAGGAGCGCTTTCGGCAGGGCCGCTGGCAGGCAAATACGGACGCCTCAGAGCCATGCAGATATCGACCATATTCTTCGCCGTAGGCCCAATCTTCGAGGCGCTAAGCCCAAATATTGGAGTCATGGCGTTCGGAAGACTGCTGTCAGGAGTGGGTGCAGGAGCTTCCGTCGTCATCGTGCCCCTCTACATATCTGAGATTGCACCGCCGGGCGAAAAGGGCTTTTTTGGTGCCTTTACACAGATTGGGTGCAACGTGGGCATTCTCATCACGCAGTTGCTGGGATACTTCTTGAGCCACGATTCCTACTGGAGGCTCATCTTGGCCATCGGAGGTGTCATTGGGGCTGTACAAGGTGTGGGGCTGCTGTTGTCGGTCGAAAGCCCAAAGTATATTGCAGAGCAGGGCAATGTCTCGCTCGCGAAGAAGACACTGCGCAAGATCAGAGGAGAACATGCAGACATCGAAGATGAGATGAGCGACTGGAATGTCCCAGGCTCAGGCAATGTCAGCGGTACGTTGCTGGAGCATGTGGGTTGATTGAAACAATATGCTAATAGCCATTCAGAGGAGGAGCAGACATTATTGAGCAATGAAGATGGGTCGGCTGATGCGAGGCCAAAAGAGTCCGGCAAAGAACAAACGCTGAGCATCATGCAAGTCTTCCGCCATCCTGACTACCAAAAGGCCGCCATCGCCGTCGTCATGGTCATGCTGGCTCAGCAGTTCAGCGGCATCAACAGTATCGTCATGTACGGTGTCTCGCTTCTGGCAGGTCTACTCGAGTCCAACTCTGCACTTCTCAACCTTGCCGTTTCAGCGCTCAACATCATCGTTACAGCCAGCTGTGCGCCTCTTGCAGACAAGCTGGGCCGCAAGGTGTGCCTGCTAAGCTCCCTCGCCATCATGGGCACGAGCTCGCTTCTACTCGCCATTGGCATCATCAAGTCAATCTCTGTCCTTTCCGCCGTTGCAGTTCTGCTCTTTGTATCCGGCTTTGCTGTTGGTCTTGGTCCGGTGCCCTTCATCTTAGCGAGCGAGCTGGTAGGCCCTGATGCTGTCGACGCAACGCAAAGTATCGCGCTTGGAGCCAATTGGATTGCTACATTCATTGTCGCACAGTTCTTCCCGTTGGCAAGTGCAAAGTTGCACGGACATGTCTACTTCATCTTTGCTGCACTGTCGGCCTTCTTCTTCGCCTTCATCACCTGGTATGTGCCTGAAACTAAGGGTAAGAAGAACGCGGATGAGGTTTGGGGCAGAGAGCGAAGAGTGGACTAATTCACATGAAATGATGGGGAACGGTATCCGTGTAGTATGTGCTCGCATCGGGTGGTTGGTGTTTAGGGGAGAACTAGATATGATATATTGATGCCACATTGATGGCGTAGATTTACGACGGCAAAGTTTAAAATCATGCAGGTACCTCTCCAAAGACCAATCGTAGTTTTGTGCGTTCTGTGGTGCGGGAGTCCTGCATTGCGGCTGAACAGCCCAGGATGCAATTTCATAGTCGCCATGTCGGATGGGATGATCGGAGAAATCTCGTCCGATTCCTAATTGCTGACAGAAGCGCTGCTCAGGTGCTTAGTGATTTTGCGCAGCCGCGGCTACATGTCGGCGGGTCCGAGTTAACGACATCCGAGCAGCGGCTTCGGATATGTCATGAGTGACTCGACCCCACCGTAGACTCTAGACTACCCTCACGTCTTCAATCTCACTTTGTATAGACTACCTTGCTAGAATCTCTACCTTCTTCTTTTATTTGCCGTCTTCTAGAAATCGTCCCTCCATCATGTCAGCTTTCCCACCACATTTCTCACCACATCTTTCGAGCGCCGGGCGAAATGGCTTTGACTTCCAGACGTCACAACTAGAACCAGAGACGCCGGAACGTGTCGCAAACAACGATGCACACCGCAGCCCACCGCCCTCGATAATATCGCCCGCCTTCACGCCCCCAGCGACACCGGGAGGCGCGACGCCCTCGCAACCCCGGCCACCACGCTCCATACCAGTCGATACCTCAGTGCGCACCGACACGCCGCGACCGGACCTCCTCCCCAAGCTACCAAAAGTGGAGTGCGAGGTGCGCGCGCGGATACCCACAACTACCGGGCACGAGATGTGGTTGCATGTGTATAGAAACAGCGTCGACACCAAAGAACATCTGGCAATTGTCTTTGGAAGCCAAATACGTTCTAGATCACTCGATGCAGAGCGTCCTGGGGAGACGGAATTGGACCGCATGACGAGAGGCGCATACGTAGGACGTTTGTACCCTGGAAGAACCAGCTCGCGGGTCGAACAGCTCAAGAGGGCAGAAGGCGTCCCCACGAAGCGCAAGCCCGACTCTGAGTCGGCGCATGTGGATAAGAGCAATGGTCTGTTGTCGCCAGCCTCCACAGCATCTTCAGAAAATGGAGACGTGCAGCCAGCTTCTTCACTAGAGTTACCCCTCGTCCGCATACACTCCGAATGCTACACGGGCGAGACAGTATGGTCTGCGCGTTGTGACTGCGGCGAGCAGCTGGACGAAGCCGCGCGGCTGATGGCCGATCCCACCCTGTCACCCTCGGGCGGTGCTATTATCTATCTCCGCCAAGAGGGCCGTGGAATTGGTTTAGGCGAGAAGCTTAAGGCCTACAACCTACAGGATCTAGGCAATGATACGTACGAAGCAAATATTATGTTAAGGCATCCTGCAGACGCGCGCAGCTACGGTCTAGCCACGGCTATGCTTATGGACTTGGGCTTAGATGGAGACAGAGGCATAAGACTTCTGACCAACAACCCAGATAAAGTCCATGCGGTCGAGGGGCCGAATAGGGAAGTCGTGGTAAGGGAGCGCGTAGCTATGATTCCGCTTGCCTGGAAAACAGGTGGCATGAAGGGAATCAAGAGCGAAGAGGTGGAGAAGTATCTTAGTACAAAGGTGAGTTCACGTCATTTCGCGACGCCTGCAATCGCGACAAATGCTAACATTGACATAGATCGAAAAGTTCAAGCATATGTTAGATCAGAAGTAATGGCATTTAGACGATTCGCACCGTATTCTTCATTTTCCGGAACTTCCGATAATGCGATCTACTAGAGAGAGATCAACGGCGCTGACGTGGGGCTCATAGCACCGCCGCTCGGCCACTTTGAAACCACTAAAATAATCACAACTTGCCTCATCTCACCGCATAGCCTTTGCGACCTGCGCCGCATCTTCTAAGCGTAGCATCCTTCGCTTATCTTCGATTTCCTTTAATTTGGTTTATAGCGGGTCTGTTCGATGGTCTTGGGAACGACCATCAACTCGACACCATGACGAGTCCACAACCAAGCCCGCGAGAGGAACACCCCGAGAACCCCTTTCTTAGACCCTCTCAAGATGGCCGAAGCATGAGGAGCCTCACTGCAGACTCCAAAAGTAAGCCCAATACTCAAATGTAGTTAGGTGAAATGCTTAATTTGGTTAGATAGTTCAAGAAGCATGCTACCGCTTTTGTACACCCAAGGCCTACTTGAACCACGACGAAATGGATATTCGATCAGTCTTCTAATGACTTCGTTGTATTCGACTCTATGTTCAGCCCTGTTTTTCATTGTCGCCTTAGTACAGCCCAAATACGGCCATGTCGTATCGGCGCGCGGGCGCTTTTCGCCTTCCTCGGCGGCGCTATTGACGGCTTTCATCGCCAAGACTGTCGAGTTGTCGTTCGTGATGGTGTTCTTGGCATTCTTAGGACAGGTGCTGTCACGAAGAGCTATTCAACAAAAGGGCCTCAATTTGGCCAGCGTAGAGATGCGGTCCTGGATTCTGTAAGTGGATAGTGTGTCGCATGCCAGCGCTCATGTCGGCTGACCCATCTGTGAAGTCAACCAGGTAGACTATTCAGTCAATGGCATAGCGTTCGGGTTGCTGGCTTCAGCTTTCTGGGAGTACTATCTCTAGTCACTGCTGTGCTCTCGCTACTGTATACCACTGCTGCAGGTGCACTTGGTATGCCAGCGACCCACGAACAACCGGTCAAGTTGCTAATGTATCCACAGTGCAGCCCCAGCTACGCCTACCCCCATGGGAAAAGCAAATGATGGCCGGCCAAGTAGACGGTGACTTCTCCAGTACTTTGAAGGCCGACAAGACTTGCCTAACTGCCTGGCCGGATGTGGGCGACGATCAATGGGGCGGTAGCACATGTCTCGCCATGAAGTGGTCGTCGCTATGTGGTCGCAACTTTGTCAAATACATGTCAGCCTGGGATGACGCAGCGGCCGACTCGAGCCCTCCTTGGATGTCTGAGGACTTACTGGAACGTAAGCGGATTAGTGCGTCATTAGACAACAACGTCACTGTTACTACTGCGTGGCTGGACCACCATGATGTTGCAGCTGAGTCTGAGAAGGCGGGAAGAATAAGTATGCGACCGCATGTCCCCTACTCATACGTCGTTAATCAGGCGCAGTCAACAACATCACCATAGCTGTTCCTCATCGAGGAATTCCAGCAGCAGCTCGCAATACCAAGAATGACCTGCTACAGCCAGAAGTAGGTGGACCCTGCATGCTTTATCCTCATCCTGTTAACAGTTCCAGGATCTCCACGACGGCGGCTCATACTCTATCCACGCATCAGTCGCAAGCTTTGCAATCAATGCGTTGTGCGTCAATGCTAAAGAGGAAGAACTAGCTCCAATTATATACAAGAATTGGCCCAACGCAATTCCTATGGAAGAAGGCTCCAAGTCTGTGAACTGGTGGCCTATCCTGGGCTTTCCGGAGGGCACTAACACGAACAATAAAACGGTGCTTGATGATATATTTGGTTGGAAAGACGAGACAGAAGACCATTCGCGTGCCAGGCCAATTTTTCTCAAGTATCCGAAAGCAGGGAACACGATCGCGAACCACACCCAAGTCCCTTACGAAACCGGTGATAGACCAGAAGTCTACCTCCTCGGCAAAGCCCCTGACAACACCACCTCTGACTACTTTCTATGCTCCATGAAAGCTGGTATCACCACTTCTTGCACTACACGCTACAACGCATCCTCTGGTGGCCAAGACCTCGAAGCAGTCTGCGACGACGAAAACGGAAAGCACACCGAGGACGCCGCAATCCAACCCCTCCGCTCCGACGGAGACAGAGCAGCCCTAGTTGGCTGGCGTGAACTAGGCTTCAACCTGCTCAACTCTTTGAGTTTGAACAACGGTGTCTTCGACGGCGACGCATCGACAGCAAGGATATTCACGCAATTACAGCTCACGGAACCCAAACTCAACAAAACACTACCGAGTCCTGCGGAGGCGCTCCTGAGTATGACGACATGTACAGTCTTGGACTTGACGCAGAATTTCCCTTTCCAGCCCTTTTGGGATACTACTGCTGGGGAGTTTGATCAACCGCAGATGCAATACTTCAACGCTTCTGTACGAGTAGCACAATACATGTCCGGTGGTGAGAAGGATTATCAAAAGGTACACCGCCCAACTCCGTTCCCTCATACCCTGACTAACAGCCCACTCAGGCCTTGCTCGTCGTTCTCGCCCTAACACTCTTGATTAATATCTTCATCCTCATCTACTTTGCTGTCCTCTTGCGCATACGGCTCGTCACTGACTTATGCGAACCCCTCGTCTTATTCATCCTAGGCTACCATTCTCCTCCTTCAGAGGGCTTGTTTCGGGGATTGCCGCAGGAAGGGCCGCAACGGAGGGATATGAGGGTGGATTGGATTGTAAAAAGGAAGGGGGAGCAGTTGGTCGTTGTTGGGATGGGGGAGAGGGATGGAGAGTTGGGGAGTGAGAGAAGAGGAGAAAGTGGAGTTGGGGGTGGTTTAGGATGAGGAGGAGAGGCGGTAGGAAGGCGGATGGGAGTGGGAGCGGGGAGGAGGGGAGTCCGGATAGGCTGAGGCCATGATCGGTGCCGACGAATCAGAGTGAACGTCTTTAGCTCAGACTGCTGCCTGACTTTCTTTCGCGCTAGTCATTGAGGCTGTATATTGGTCGCTGGATTGGATGCATTTATGAAGATGTTTGGTGGTACGTCTCTTCTCTCAGGCTCGCTGTAATTGACTACTGAATACTACTGCTACTTTCAACTACCAACAGTGATGATGACAGTGGTGAAAATGGTAACTCGACGCCATCAAAAGGCTGTGCAGCCTTAACGTCCACGCTTACACGTTTTAGTTTTCGCTCCGCCACACACCTCAACATTCTTGAGGTCAATTGATCAGGCTGGCATAACCCATCTTCTTGGATTCCCTCATCCATCTTGAGTTGGCCAGAACCCAGAACGTAGTCCTCTTCCTTCTCAACACAATTCACATTTCCAAACTCGCTCGCGATAAACCTCCAACAACATCACTACACGAGCGAAGCCACGATTTTCTAGCAAGACGCCATACCGTGCCTCCGTACCTCATCGCTAGAACGGAGCAATCGTCGTCCGACCCTATCCAAATCAGCGGATTTTATGGTCCCGGCGCATGGGCTGCATGGGTTATAACTCTGATTGCATCATGGATACCCCTTCTCCAAGGCGACTACACACACAACCTTCACTTCATCGGATACGCAATATACACAAATTGGGCTGCGATTGATCTTATACACCACGTCAGCCAAGTTCCTCCACAGGATCAACAGAATTGGTCAGACGCAGACAAAGCACGTTTAGACAATATCGCTGCCTCCCTTGCGGTGTTGCAAATCGGAATATGTCAAATGATTACGCAGATGTGCTTTTTTACAGGACAACATCAGCATGAAGAAAGTGCCCGTCCCAAGCTTTCGCTGGAGGCAAGACGTCGCTTGGTTTTGACCGCTGGAGCAGTTTTTCCCCTCTCAATGGTATTTTATGTTCCCCGGTTCGGTTTTCTGTTTCAATCTCTCAGTTTGGTCGTATTCATTGTGGGTGGTATAATGGGTTTCTGCGTTGTGACCTTTAATGTATGTAGACTTTTCTGGTCTTGTGCCTATATATGGGATTTTGTACTGGAGGAATATCCCTTCTCACCCATTTTCTTCATTCTCTGTCTTTGTAGTTTAATTTTCATCATCTTCTTCGGCAGTAGTTCCCGGAGGGAAGACCTGCGTCTTGTTCACACCCGTGACATTCTGCCTCCCAAACGATGTTATTTCGTTCCGTGCGCACCACAAGGCATTGGAGAGTGGGACCAAGCATTTTCTTTGCTTGTAGCAATATTTCTGTTCCTGTATGAATTTGGATACAGAATGGTCCATGTTGCGAGGAATCTGATACAGACTGTGCGCGAAACGTGGCCACGAGTTGTAAGGTGGTTCGTATGAACACAAATTTAGATTACAGTTATCGCCGTCTCCTAAACAATGGAAACAATCCGGAAAGAATACTAGAAAACAAGTACACAAATATTGTGGTAGAGAATCTAGGGGAACTGCAGATTTGAAGGGCTATCGGGCTCGGAGATAACACGGAGAGTAGAAAAGGGACAGGAATGTCTGAACCCCGTTCAGACAACGAACACCACACATACAACACACACAATATACTCTACTCACTTGCATCGAGCACACGTTCCGATGGAGAACTACCAAAACACTCCACTACAATATGTAATAACGTCGGAAATTACTGGTGCTATGTGCCTAACGTAAAAGCGATACCTCTACCGCTTTTGGCGTTGATTGTCTTGGTCCGGCTCGTTGGGTTTCAGCTTCGATAACCATCGTACAGGCCATCGTCTTGATTGTAGCTGCATTCATACTATATGAGCAATGAAGTGCTCGATGATAGCACCTTGAGCTCCGTTGACCCAGGCCTTCAGGAACGGTGCGATATTGTTCCATGTGCGTCACAAAGTATTGGAGAAATAGGCCAGATATTCTCTTTACTTGTCCCGCTTCCTCTGTTCCTCTACGTCTTTGGTTCATTCATGTACGAATTTGACTCTCGGATGGTCCGCGTTGTGAGGAAGGGAGCCGAGTTCTACAATACTTGCGCTTATCTAGGTCCATATGAAGATGTCTTCAAGGAGGAATTAGGCGGGGTCGTTAAGACCCTGAAATTATTAGATTGGAGGTTCTGCTTGACCAGATGAGCGAGGGAAGTTCTAAAGGTTGCGTACGCCTGGAAGAGCAGTACGCACTGATGAATGACCAGTGTATTTCTAGAGTTTGTTCACAAGCGACTGAAGATGTCCTTCACTTCACGTACATTCCTTAACAACCTGTCCCAACACCTTCTCATACTCCGCTACGCTCTTCGCCCCCACAAGCGTAAAATCCCTCTTCCTCCCCTCAAAAATAACATACGGCACACTATCCACACCGTTACCAACCTGTTCCCGAATCGCGGCCTTCGTCTCTCTCAACTCTTCATCACTATCCTCCACCAGCTTCTCCGCCTCGTCTTCGGCCATACCAGCCGCTACACACGCTTTGACGAGCGTCTCGTTACTGCTCGGATGAGCGCGCTGTTCAAAATACTGCCAGTACAGCGATTTCAGAGCCTTTAGCTGGATACCCTGCTGTTTATTGTTTTGCAGATACTGTAATATCCGATGTGCATGTAAGGTGTTCGCTACCATGCCACCCCTGAAATCAAACTTGACGTTCTCGGCCCTGCCCAAGTCTTCCATGGCGGCCATGTACATGTTCATGCGTTCTTCGCTGCCGTTGTACTTTTCGTTCTTGTACCATTCATATTTATCGACGCCTTCTTGGGTGGCATCGGGATTGAGTTGATAAGGGGCTAGTTTGAGGGTGAAGGTTGCTGGGGAGTCGGGGTTTGCGGACTGGTAATTGTAGAGGGCTTGGCTGAGGCGGACGAAGCCTAGATATGTCCTACACTACAGTCAAGATTGATCACGTATGTTGGAGAACAGCGTACCAAGGACAGATTGTGTCTAGCGTGAAAGTTATGGTTGATTCGTAGGTCATGGTTGATGTAGTATACACAAAATGACTGATATTTCTACGGATGCATTAGAAACCTTGTCAGAAAGATGAGATTGATTAGTAGTGTTGGTAATACTCTCAGAACCCCTGAAGGCGCTCGTACGCTTACAAGGGTTCTAGGGCTCCATGTCTCCGATTAACGTCATGCGGGGTGCGGGGGAATAACCCCCGCACTATGTGCGCTAGGCATCTTGAGCATCGCGTCCCTGTCGTACAAGTACATGGAGCAATTGCGTGGAAAGCAAAGGTTGAAAGGCAAAGATTGACACTTCGGGATTGGTGGTACCGAGAATAGGATTGAAGATTAATTTGAACAATGCGAGCCAACGTGCTGGACAGCCGATCGCTCGAATCAGCATAGCACAAAAGTCTAACATAAAAACCCAGAAGATGCTGTAAACGCAACAATGGTATCACCATACTTCAACATGTGTGACCCCGCAATCGCAGGGTGGGAGACGCAGGACCGAGCCTCCACTATTGGTTCAACTTGACGTAGTTCCCTATCGATTGGTCAGATTGAACTTCGTTGCTCAGGTAGGCGAGAATACATACCTGGGAATTGTCCTTGCTTCCCTCGTACTTTTCCAATCCACCATTCATTGTCGTTTTGCGTCCTTGAGACGATTTCTATTACATCGCCAGTCAGGAAACTGAGATCGCCTTCCGCTTGTGCCTCGTAATCGTAAAGAGCTGTGACGGTCTCCATCGCTGGTACACCGCTGAGACGCGAAGGCTTGGGCTTTGGTGGCGGGGGAGCCCCCTTGGCTTTGGCAGCGGAGCCCCATGAACCTGTTGATAGCGCTGGAGACTTGACGTCTCCTGTAGCCGCCGCAGAAGGCCCAGCGGAGTATGGCGGTGGAGGTGTTTCCGTCTCTTCCGATATCGAACTCCGACCTGCTTTGGCTTCCAGTGCTTTCGCTGCGTATTTCGACTGACCCGGGCGCGCACCAGCAACACGAGCTCCGCCAGTGGTCTTAAACTTCACAATAGAAATCTTTTCTGCTTCTTCCTGTGTGTCGCCGCGCTTCTTCTGGTAGGCGGCCTCAATGTCCAGCGTAAGGTCGAAGTAGCCGATGTCAAGCCGTTGCATGCGCTCGTGTAATGTGTAGAAGACGTTCAGCTGCATGTAGTAGAAGGACTGGAATAGAGGCTTGATGAACTCTCTCTCCAGCGCGAACAGCTTCGGTAGCTCGTCCTTTAGCAAATCGTTGAAGTAGTTGTAGTCCTGCGTAGCCTGCTCCACGTCGTTCTCAGCCTTGTACATGGCTTTCTCGTCCTTTAATGTCTTGTCCTTCTTCTCTTCGAGCTTCTTATAGGCAGCGCGATGCCTGTCGTAATCGAGTTGCTTGTGGTCGCGCTTGGCGGCGATCTTTCGTACGGCCTTGATGATGACTAGCAGCTCGTCTGCCGGGCGAATAACCCGGGATTCTATCATCTCAAGCTCGGGCTTGAGTGTCTCTTGTAGCTCCCTGACGACTAGCTCGTACTGTTCGCATGCTTCTATACCTGCGGTGTTGCCTTCGTCGTGAAACGAGTCGGGATCTGACATTCGGCCGGAGATGGGCTTGTAGATTTCGGCAATGGCTTTGGAGAACTCCATCTGGTGGGTGAGCATGCCTAGGAAGTGAGTTAGGCGGAACGTTGTGGGAGCGGTATCTAGTCTACGCACCATTTATGGCTTCGAAGTACCTGTCGCATATTAGCCAAGACGTCGAGTACAGTTGTATCGTTCTGGCGCATACTTCTTTGACTCCTCATGAAGCTTCTTCGTCTCCTTCTCCAGCTCTTGGAAGCGGCGTTCGGCATCGATGTAGATAGGGTCCTTGGTGATCTCACCCTATACACGCGCATTAGCAGTGCCCCACCCTTCTCGGAAGCAGGCGCGTAGACGGGAAAGTCTGTAGAGGCGCCTGTGGAACACGTACGAGGTTGAACCTTTGCTTGAAGGTTTGCGGTGTCTAAGCCGTGATGTTAGCAGGTGTTGGTGCCCAAAGGGCGCGTGAGATTGTCTGCCATACCCGAATGACGGTCTTTGTTAGGCCTTTCCAACTCATTGTGGGGGGATTATCTCTAAGTCTGCTGGAGATTGATACACAGTAGGGATTAAGAGAAGCCGTGGGGAATGTAGTTGCAAGCCAGCAGGAAGCGACCGAACGATGCGGGCGCCGGCGTGGCTGCTAAACCTCGACGATGACGTCGCCTGTGGCTATGCAGCACTCCTTAGAATCTGCCGGATGTCGCGGAGCGCCGAGCAAGTACGAAAGCGAGCACGAGTACGGTTGCTTGACGCCAAGAGTGAACAGTCCGCTGCGGGGGAAACAATAATAAGGCAAAGTCCGACACTTGGAACCACGCGTCGTCGCGTGAATGACTATCTCTTTCTGTATGCAGACAATGAACGATGACGAGTGGAGGTGGTTGCCGTGAACGCTGGCGGGCTTAGGTCAGCAGAAGATCTAGGCGCTAAAACTTCATAGCTTCTAATACCTCGGGAGGCAATTTGCTCTCTGAAATCTTCCACTACCTTTTCATCATGTCTAATATTGCACCCACCGTCGCGAGGCAGGCCCTGCGCATTGCCTCTCGTCGATACCCATCGTCTGCATTCTCTCGTGTCTCTAGCATTCGTCGGCACTATGTGTCAGAGTCCAAGCCGGCGCAGGCGACCGTCTCGCACGCCTCTCCGCTCGACGCAGCCATCAAGAAAGAACAGCGAAGTTTCCTCAAGGAGACTGGAGAAAGAGCAGAGGATGCAACCATGCCAACAACAGGCATGGGCGCTGATGCCATGATGAGTCCCACTGCTGGTGAGCTCCCACATTCACGCCACTCCGCTTTCCGCGAAGCTGACCAATTCAGGCATACTGAAGCAAGCCACCGTCATGGACCAGGGTTCACGGCCCATCTACCTAGACATGCAAGCCACAACACCCATGGACCCGCGCGTAGTAGACAAGATGCTGCCCTACATGACCGGCATGTACGGTAACCCCCATTCGCGAACCCACGCGTATGGGTGGGAGACCGACAAGGCCGTAGAGGACGCCCGCGCAAATATTGCCAATCTCATCGGTGCAGACCCAAAGGAGATCATCTTCACCAGCGGGGCTACTGAGAGTAACAACATGAGTATCAAGGGCGTAGCTCGCTTTTTTGGGCGAAGCGGCAAGAAGAAGCACATCATCACAGCACAGACAGAGCACAAGTGTGTGCTTGACAGCTGTAGACATTTACAAGATGAGGGCTTCTCCGTCACTTACCTGCCAGTAGGAAACAACGGTCTTATCGACATGGCTCAGCTTGAGGCGGCCATGCGCCCCGATACCGCTATCGTCAGCATCATGACCGTCAACAACGAGATTGGTGTTGTACAACCTGTCGAGGAGATTGGAAAACTCTGCCGATCCAAGAAGATCTTCTTCCACACCGATGCAGCGCAGGCTGTTGGCAAGATCCCCATCGATGTCAACAAGATGAATGTCGATTTGATGTCGATATCAGGCCACAAGATCTACGGACCCAAGGGCATCGGCGCATGTTACGTACGCAGACGGCCTAGGGTCAGGCTCGATCCCATCATCAGTGGCGGTGGTCAAGAGCGAGGACTGCGAAGTGGCACACTAGCACCTCCTCTTGCCATCGGTATGGGCGAAGCCGCACGGATCTGCAAAGAAGAGATGGAGGTACGTACACTCTTCTTCTACTTTCACGAACACTATGATTATTTGCTTCCGACATGCATGGCTTTCAGAGTGTTAGGCGGCTTCGGCCGTCGACGCGCCATGTTGACAAATGTGCAGGGGTTATGAGTTCCTTATCACACATTGTTTTGGTCACATCATTCATTAGTTCTGGATATCGCTGACCACAACCAGTACGACACTAAGCGCATCTCTGCGCTATCGAACCGTCTCCTTGAAGGCTTGCTATCGCTCGAGCACACCACACTCAATGGTGACAGGCAGCGACATTACCCTGGATGTGTGAACGTCTCTTTCGCCTACGTTGAGGGTGAGTCGCTCCTCATGGCTTTGAAAGATATTGCCCTCTCGTCTGGCAGCGCTTGTACCTCGGCATCGCTCGAGCCTAGCTACGTTCTCCGAGCGCTTGGCAGCAGTGATGAGAGTGCGCATAGCAGTATCCGCTTCGGTATCGGACGCTTCACTACAGACTCCGAGATCGACTACGTGTTGAAGGCGGTCAAGGAGCGAGTCACATTCCTACGTGAGTTAAGCCCGTTATGGGAACTCGTGCAGGAGGGTGTTGACCTTAACACGATTGAGTGGAGTCAACATTGAGCGTAGTAGTTGTTTTGATACCCCTGGTGGAACCTGTATAGTATAATGACCTACATTTTTTGGCGATTTCATGCCCACGCTCGCTGAAGCGGTTACGAGAAACACGATTACATAGCATTGTAACATGCGCAGTAGCTCTACAAAATTGAAATGTATTGAGCAAATACACGTCCCCAATTACCACTGATATGCTTTAACAATCTTGACTTGACTGTGGATGCTTGGAGTGACTGACTGGGTGCAAATGCCAATGATGTACAGGCTATCTAACTTTGTGTCAGAGGAAGAAACAGTTCATGGAGCAATTGCCAAGGTGTTGAGGGGTTCATGTCGCGAGAGTTGTGGACCGTGCTGCATGGCCATCATCTAACCAGGTGCCATCATTGATCAGTTACAACATGGCCAGCGAGAAAGTACTCAACTGGCTGTACAGCGTTTTAGTTAATGTGAGTCTGCTCATGAACGTATATCGCAATGCGCTGATAGGGGACAGGAATACGCGGATGTAAATCGCACATATCACGACGCGGCCGAGGCACTGTCCAACTGTACGTCACATGTGTCGCAGCTTCACGACAGCTATACTGACCTGACGCCAACGTCCAGACCCGTCGCTCGCTCCAAAGACAGAACCATATACATATGAGAATGGATCTTCAGCACTCCTACTACTCCTTAGCGGCACGCTGCCCGTTACGTTTCGGGGCGCAACATACGGCTTTCCAGTAGCGATATGGGTGCCTCAATCCTACCCCCGAGAACCGCCCATCGTATACGTCACGCCGGCGCAGGACATGGTCTTGAGACCTGGACAACATGTGAGCACCGATGGTAGAGTATACCACCCGTATCTGGCACAATGGGCGAAATACTGGGATGTGAGTACTGCGTGAGCTGTGAGAGCTAATGGGCGGAATGCTTGGTTTATGGGCACGAGAGCTCACATGTACGCAGAAATCTACACTATACGACTTCCTAGCCGTACTAAGAAGCATCTTCGCGAAAGAGCCGCCTGTGCGATCGAGACAACAACAGCCGCAGTACAATGCGCCCGCGCAGCAAGCACCCCCTCCAGTACCACCTCCGCCAGCCGAATGGCGTCGCTCAGTACATGGCACACCGCACGCATCCTCCTCTCCTGCTCCACCGAATCAAGCCCCAGCACCTCCTCCAAAGCCGCCGAAGCCTCACGAACAGGGCCGGTCCACGCCTCAGACGCCACAAGATCGATACGCGCAACCCCCTCCTCTGCCACCCCACCCTCCACAACATTCCCACTCGCAACAGCCCTATCAACAAGGCCAGAGCAACAGATTTGACGCGCCACAACACCGGCAGCCACAGCCTTCAGGCCAGCAGTATGCGCCAAATCGACAAGGTGGGTACAATCAAAGCCCAGCAGCTCAGCATCCTCAAACACATGCGCACAGCTACCCTCCACAACCAGTACAGAATGGCAGTCCTATCAGCCCTATGGTGCCTAACGACCAGCGAACGGCTGCCCAATTCTCGAGAGCAGGGCCTCTGCAGCCTCCGAACTTTCAACAACCGCAACAGTACCAAGGACCACCGCCATCCCAACAGCAGTATAGACAGCCTCCACCACCACAGCAGCAATATCAGCAGCCGCCACAATGTTACCCACCACAGCAGCATCCTCAGTTTCAGCAATACCCACAACCTCCGCCTCAGCAAGCGCCACCAGCCCCGAAGCCCCCAATCGACCTCCTCGATGACTCTCTCGAAGTCACTTTGCCCTCACAGTCCGGCAACCAAATTCCCCTACCGGTACCGCCCGTCCCCCCGAATCCTGAGAAAGATGCACTTCTCCGAGCTTTGAGCCAAACACTGGTTTCGCAGATTCGACAAACAGTCTCTTCCAACATGGCTGCGGTAGCACCACTTCGTGCGCAACAAGCCGCTTTACAAACCGCGTACTCTCGGTTACAGTCGGAACTAGGCGAACTTCAGCAGCTTGACGCGGCGCTTGCTTCCAACGAACAAGTGTTGAAAGGTGCCATGGTCGAAGCGGACCGGGTCATGGAAGATGCACGAAGGAGAAAGGCACCAGATGTCGATGACGTATTAGTAGCGCCTACAATAGTCGGAGGGCAGCTCTACATACTTGCTGCGGAAGAAAAGGGCATTGCGGATGCGCTGTTCGTTCTGGGCCGCGCGTTAGACAAGGGTCGGGTTAGTACTGATGTTTTTGTGAAGGTATGTGCATCTATGCCGATTTTTTGTTTTTGAAGAAGTTGTCACTGACATGACTACAGCAAACTAGAAGTCTCGCTCGAGAACAGTTCTTGAAGAAGGCACTAATTAAGAAGATTGCCAAGGGCATGGCTTTGGATGAGTATCAGATGCATTGAACGGGAGTCTCGAGAGCTAGCAAATGCATACAGTGAATTCATCGGGCTGCATATTACACTCTAGTTGAGAGCCTTTCCATGTGTTCTAGTATGGCAACGATTGTGAGAGTCGTGACGTAAAGATTGACCGGCTAGTTTAGGTACACTATATGTCGGTTTGACGGTACGATTCCGCCCCCCAATACCGTAACATGCACTAGGTACTAGACGACCCTGAGACATGTTGATAGCGTCTTAATATCTACGAACCCGTGACTAGAAGGTTGATACCTCGGCTACGAAGATGACCATGTCTAAAGTAGTTGCTGGATGTTTGTGATTGCGAAGAACTTGTTGGATATACTGATATGCCGTCAATAGCAGATCATATCGATTACGACTTCCGTGGCATGGTGAGCAGAGCGATCGGAAGTATTCATGAAGTTCGGGCTCACTCCTGAAATCCAGTCTGCTAAAAGGAGTGCGTTTGCGACAAGGTAGATGTGGTGAGCATAGAAGCACTGGCAATGCTGAACGTCAACAAAACATTTACTACCACGAGAAGAGCATCATGCTGAGATTTGAATATTGATTAGGGTTGAAACTAAACGCTACGCTACGCTTCGCTATACTGGAAAATCATTAGGGGGGTATATTGGAGATCGTGTCCTCCAGGGAGCTATCATATCATGTCGCTACAGTAGAAGCTTACTGGGAGAACCTGCTGGGAGAGTTCCTCCCAAGGTACTTCCTGTCCTCAAGATCCACCTCATAAGCCTCGTAAGGGTCAGGTGAAACCTGCTTCTCAGTCACAGCCGCTGCTGCCTCGACCTTGTTGCCCATCTCGACGAGGCTGATATCGCTACCAGTGCGGTCCTTCTCCTGCGAGCGATAATGGCCCATCTGGCTGCGGGGTGTGCTACCAACTGTGACGACAGTAGCCGCGGAGATCTTGCTGAACTGGCCGCTGCCGCTGCTGGCACTGTTTGAGTTCTGAGTACCCATGCTGGAACCCATCCTCTGGAGGAGAGAGCCCATAGACACCATGAAACTTCCCAGACCCGCTATGCTGAGTACAGGTCGTAGTTTGGGAAGGCAGCAGGCAATGAGAGCAACGTTGGTCTCAACAACAGTCCAGAAGAGACCATGCGAGGTTATGCCGATGATGTCGTAGGTGGGCATACCCATAATGTACTGCTGGTCGAGGGCAGCAGAGGGCGTGTTCTGCTTGATACAGATGACCATGCGAACGATGGCAGAAGCGACAGCGAATCCTCCGAGCAGAAAGACACCGCACAGCTGGATCTTGCGGATGGTGGGCATTTGTAGACGCCAGATCTGTTGGTGTCATGGTCAGTGACAGTTCTTCTTCTAACTGAAACTCATGTAGACTTACCCAAGGAAGTGGCAGGAGCAGGATGCACAGATCAAAGACGGCATCAAGGACTGTGAACGCGATAGTGGCTTCAAATCCAAAGGGGCAGTTTTCGGCGATGCTTGCTAGAGAGCCCCAGTTGGCGGCAAAGTTCAGGCGGCAGTCGAAGATGAAGCCAATGAAGAAAGCAATCGTGAAAGCGACAGTGAGGACGATGAAGACCAGAGAAGTCCACTGGAAGCCAGGCCATGTGAAAATGCGACGGTAGAGGAACAAGAAAGCGAGTTTGGTGAGACCAATAGCGAGCGGCTGCATGATAAAAATCATGTACACACACTGTGAGAGCGTTAGTTTAGTGAGCATGCCAGATAAGGGCAAGTAGACCCACCTTTTCTAGGATTACCAGTTCTGGTGTGGTGCTGAAGATCCAGCCCTCAATGTTGCTAGGGTCATTGTGACCGCCAATGATTCCCTTGGCCGCACCTAGAACGATGGTTAGCTAAAAGAAAGGCTTGACTCTATTTGGGTTGATCTTACCATAAATCATAACGGTGGATACGCCGATAGTCGGAAGAAGAGCACAGAGACAAAAGAAGTCATCGAGGTGCTTGCTGAAACGCACATCTCTAGATTTGATGGCCTTCTGTCCTGCCACGCCCAATCGAAGAGCGACAGCAAGAACAGTTACGACGGTGAGGGAAATACCAGTGGCCAAGCACGAAGTAACATTGATGTATTCGTAACCCATTCTGCCGGTGATGCAGCGAACTGGAGAAGATAGTATGAAGTGAATGAAATGACTGAAGTGATAATAACCGGTGGTATACACTTGGGGTTATGTACCATATGGCATTCACAGCTGTGAAAGGCGGAGATAACTCCATGCTTCAAATCGCATACATACCTAGGTACACTGACACACACCCTTCCAGCTCTGTTTAGGAGACCTAGTTGCTTCCAGGTGCATGGGCGTGCGCAAGGCTGCCCGTTGGACGTGAAAGTGACGTAGATATGCCCAACGAGGTGAGAAGTGCCCATCAACGACGTGCGGAAGATCACCCGTACCTCAGTCTAGATCCGACCCCTAATGCGAGCCTGGGGAAGAGCGTTGATTCGCAGACCCACCTAGATCTTGAGACAAATGATCTTCGATCGCAACGGACGCGGTTCCGGGATGCCGCACTACTATCTAGGTGCACGGCCGCAAACCTTAACTATACGCCGCTTCGTTAGGACTTGCCTCGTGCATCCTGCACGTTGCTGACCATCGTGACTATTTGATTTGCAGACTCGCTGCAATGTTTTCCGATCGCTACCTCTCACATTCGCCAACACCATGTTCGCTCGATACAAGCTCCTATCGTCAAGTGACCGTGCTTCGGAACATGGCCCGGATTCTCACTCTACGCAAAGACGACACTACCCAACGATAGCACTTGCAGTGCTTACAATCGCAAATGTCTGTGTACTAGGCTTGTCTATTGCCATATGGCGCACTGCGGGTGTGGCCGCTACGGTCACCCCGGAAGTTTCTTCTACACCTGCCAGCCTCGCTGTGCCCAACGCCCTCGATCCACAACCCAGCGAGCTTGCTAGGGTAGAATCCCTTCCCACAACGTTCGTTCCTTTCCATTGGAATACGCCATGGGGTGCGCCCAACGCCTCGGAAGCTGACTCGCTGTGGGACAACATCAACACTGCGCATGGTCATATCGCAGTCGACCATGAGTTCGCAGCAGAGAATCACGTGAGTTACCTCGAACCAGGTCCCTGGAAATGATGACAGCGTCGATGAACGAGTAGTGGTTAACAGCTTCAACAGTGGCCTTCGTCCATGGACATACCTGGAAAACCCGGTAAAGGGATGTATCTTCTCCAGGCCTACCATCAACTTCACTGCCTCGTACGTCACTTCTTTGATTCAATCCCCTTGTTTCCCGATCTATACACCTTTCTGACTACCACGATGTAGCGCATTGTTCGCGCTTCATATTTGGCTCTAAAGCGCCAAGAGTTCCCTCCCTTCCCCTCGCATCATGCCCTGCATTGCTTTGACGCTCTTCGCCAGCACATTATGTGCCATGCGGATAACACTCCGCTCTATGGTCATGGCGACGGGATGGCTGGTGACGGGCAGATGCACCAATGTAGGGACTGGAACGCGCTTAGAGACTATGCAACGAAAAACACGGCATGTTTTCGCGATGGCAAGCCTGGTATGAGCTTTGAGGATCGGTTCGGTGTTTGTGATGACGGAGCGGATGGTTTGGAGGAGCTTGTGTCTGTGACCACGGAATCATAATATTTTTAATATTTCGAGTAATATACTCTTTCTTACAACTTCTTCGCGATGCAAAAAACTATCGTAGGTTCCCTCTTCTTACAGTCACCCTCTTGCTGCCACATGTTACCACAGTACGTGACATTGCTGTCAATGCACGTTGCCCAGATCTCAGTGACTGTATGACTCTCACTCGTCATGTTGAATAAAGTCGATGCCGCTAGCATATCACACAGCGTGATAGAAAGCCATTTTGTGGAGTTGTTGCATTAGAGCAGTGAACCGATTCAGGGCTTCTGTGACTTTTTCATGATTTGAGTATCTTCATCGCAGCGTTCTATCGCCATGACCGAATTCGGACTGTAGCTGTCAGCCACTATGCATACTATAGAGTGGCTGTTGTATAGTGAACAGCTAGCTGAATGTTGGTGCACATCGCGGAGGCACCCGCAGTTCTACCAGGTAGAAGGTAACGAAAAAGGGTCTACCGTTCTGGAAGAACGTGCGCTGAAAACGTGGTTCTGGCCCAAAACGGAATCGAAAAGGGAGGCCTTACCTACGTACCGATCGCTTCTGGAACCGCCCAATAGTTGTCTGAGGCTGTCAGATATAAACTATAATATCTTCTTATTGGTCGGGGAGCTTTTACCGCAAGGTCCGGAAACTTCTCCGCCGGGTTAGTGCGAAACCTTAACCAGGCGATGGTTCTGGGTCTCGGTGCCCTTTGTGCCAGTCAACCCCACCGACGTATTTGCTCGCTTGGCGGCTGGGCAGCAACAGTCTTAGTGTACCTGCGTAATGATCGTGAATCTGTAACAGGGCCTGGAAGCCTCACAGATTTGAAACTCGTAGTGTGGAGTGCAAGGCGTAGAGTTCTAACAACCAAGGCGCTTCGGAGTGCGAACCGGATGGGAGCAATTAGCACTGAGTCAACCACACACAGGGGGTTCAACAACAAAAGATTTGAAAACATACCGCACTACAAGCCACCCAGAATGAGTACAAAGGGCCAGGGAATTCCTATCGTTTTAGAGTCATCAGCTTCAATCATCTCCAGCTCTTCTCATCAGCTCCTCATCTCCAGTCATCTCAACCATCAGACTTCTCTGTGACTTTGTGCTATCAATCGCTCAACAGCTTCGAATTTCACAATGCAGCTCACTACTACTCTTGCTCTTCTTGTTGCTGGTGCGACCGCCTCCCCTCTCCTCGGACTCAAGCTTGGCGGCCTCGGCATCAATGTTGCTTCCTCGAGCGCTCTTCTGGCTGTGAACTTGGGTGGAGCTAAGCCTTCTTCCGTCATGGCATCCACTGCCTCCATCACCGCAGTGCCAACCGTCGTTGCGAATGCCAACCCGACCATGCCCTCGACCTTCTCTGCCCCAGTCCAGGGCTCCGGTATCCTCACTCTCGACAACCTGCCTGCTATGCCACCTGTCATCGACAAGACTCTTGCCGGTGTTCTCGGCTCTGTCCTTGGTCTTTGTAAGTATACACCACGATTTACTCCCATATCACCTGCCGGCAAGTCGCTAACAAATTCTCCAGCGTCCGGAATTTGCAGCCTCGACTTCAAGTGCACCATTACCGTCGCTGGATCCATTCAGTCCCTGCTTGTCGATGGTGACAAGTACACGACGAACAGCACTATCTCCGCTTGGTGCGATCAGGGCCGCTGCTACGGCTCTGTCGATATGCCTCTTACGGCTACGGCTCCCTTCGTCATCACTTGCGACCAGCTCACTGGCACCAAGGCGTGCTCGGCCACCATTTCAGGTGCTGCCACTGCTATCTTCACCAACGGTCGGCAACTTGGTAAGTTCAACCGAGTATACCATTCTCCGAGAACCGCACTAACAGATCGTAGAACTCTGGGGATGGATCACACCTGCTGGTTACTGCAAGGACGGTGTTTGCGTTGCTTCCATCAGCGCTATCAGTGACCCAATGTACTAAGCACACTTTAGAGTGTGATGGCTGAGATGACTGAGATTGGGCGCCAGCACCTTTCATTCCTTCTTCTTCTTCGTGCTAGGGCCCAGGGATGGAGCTTGATTGCTTAAACTTTGGACCAGTACGGTTCGGTCTCGAAGGTCTCTTATGATGTAATGTTTTTCCGACGGGTTTCAGCGAAGCGAAGGTGTCCGTATACGACTTATTTGCGAAGTACTTAATACCAAATTCACATTTAGCAATAATCCATGATCCGAGAGAACTCGTTGGGTGTTGCGAAATGACGAAGGACTAAGCCTCGACTAAGCTTGTGGTAGCGCAGTGCTAAGTGTCGTGCATTGATTACTAAGATTTACCCGGCCGCGTCATGGTTGTTCCGCTCCGGCTCATCTAAATTAAGTGGTCTCCAACACCAATACGACTAGCCTCAGGCACCCAGTGGCGCCACGATGTTTGCAGCCGGGCGAAGTTCTCTCCTGCTGCCTGATCTTCTTGCTGTTCTTTGTGCTTTCGAAGGTTCCGTCTGACCATATACCACGCGCATGTCTCTGCGCATCCACTCGCTTTTTACTTAGTTAATAGTTAATAATGTCTTCTTCTACCTCGCAGCCTCAGGCCGTGCCACACGCGCCCAACGCGACTCCAGCTGCGCCCCCTGGTCCTGTCCCGACGCCTCCTCCAAAGTCTGTTGCCAGACTGTCCGACGCGACGAATGCGAATGCTACGTCAACGGTGAACGCAAACTCCCCCCGAACCCAAGCTTCGAGCAGCCCTGCGCCGGGTGTTCCCACTACGGGTCCTACGGCGTCGATCCCGAATACGACAACTCCACAGGCGACCGCGACCGAGACCGAAGAACACGTTTCGTTCAACGACAAGCTCAATGCCGCCGATCGGTACTGGAAGTTCAAGTTTGGCCTCAAAGCCATAGTCATCATAACAGGCTTGATCGGCATAGGTTGCTTTGCTTGGTTAATGTCCGCAGGGGACACTTCCGTCTCCGACTCCTATATCTATGGCTACAACGGCTACGCAGTGTGGCCCGGTATAATTACTTGGTCCATCTCAATAGCCTGGGTCGCGCTTTGCATCATCATCTTCCTCGTCCGCAAGCGGCCTGTGCACCCTGGCGTCCGTGTATCGATGGATCTTCTGCTCTGGCTTGCCTTCATTGTGACAGCAATGTTTGCCATCCTCGCGCTCCAGGACGTACTGGATTTTGGTTTATACGGTGGACCTGATCGATGGAACTACAATTACTCGGGCAGCGATGGAGACTATGTCCTGGCTTCCAACGGCACATGGGTTTGGGAACAGGACACCAGTTATATCAATTCTCCGCGAGACTGTTCCTCGTACGCTCAGTTCCAGAACTGTGAAGAGCAGGACGCTTATGTCAACAAGCTTTGGGCTGAGAAGGGGCAACGCTCAAACATTACGTTGACGGGTGTTGTATGCCAATTCTTCGGTTTGGTTCTTCACTTTGCGCTGTTCGTGTGGGCTTGCGTTGATTGCCATCGCTACAACCGTAGCAAGGTCAGCAAGGATGCGGAAAAGATTGCCGCCAACATCGTACAGACCATGATCGGCAATGGAGCTATCGTGCCCCCGCCAGGACAGGCACACATGAAGCCGCCACCGGGGCAAGTCATGTACTATCAGATGCCACCAAACCAGCAGGGATATCCGATGCAGCCTCAGTATATGCAACAAGCACCGGGACAAATGCAGCAATTTGGGCAACACCCACAGATGATGCAGCAGCAACAACAACGCATGGTACCTGGACAGTATCCAATGGGTCAACCTGGGATGGCTGCCCCAGCACCGACCAACGAGAAGAGTGCGGGACCGCGTTACGCTTGAGTAGTGAGCAGGAGATGTATGGTATGACTGTTTGTGCGAAAACTGGAGGAAGTGGGAGTTTGTTTCTTTTCTGGCGAGATACCCCATCGAAACATGCGTAATAATGTGAAGTTTCTATCAAATTCAACTGTTGACATGTTTTTCTACTCATTCTACGTTGCCTCTTGCGAAATGTTGAAAACGCGCAACGAGGTATCATCACTCGCTACAGCAATCTGCTGTTGCTCGCCATCAGCCCTTGCAGGCCGCCAGACAATCTGATTGATAGTCTTTGCGGGCACCAGTTCTGCTTTTACCATAGAAACCTGTACCTGATCCAAAGCATCTGGCAACGCGCTCGCAATACTGATCTCTCCGTTCTCCGTGCCAAAGGCAAACATGACTTTTCCACCTGAAAGCACACTGTTACATGCTACTGCTGTGACTGCGCTGTTAGCTGGTACGGTAGCCTTGAGCTGTACATCGTTATCGACTATCTGCCATATCTTGACACTCTTGTCCCTTCCAGCAGTCATAAAGGTGGGCAGCTCGAGAGGTGTCCATGCAGCACCCAGTATCATACGCGAATGTCCCTTTGGATTCGAGTACTTGAGTGTGTACATGGATGGCTCATCGTTACGCTCCCAGATAACCCACTGTCGGTCTCGTCCAACGCTGAGAAGGTACTTGTCGTCTGGTGAGAACTGTAGCGCCGTGACAGTGAGCGAGTGTGCCTTGAGTGCAGGTTTAACTTCTAGCCATTCCTTCGTGTCGTATAGGCGTACAACGGCGTGGTCGATGGAGCTAGCTCGGCATGCGGTTGCAACGAGACTTCCGTCTCGACTCACAGCGACTGCGGAGATTTCGTAGCCGTGTCCGTATAGTTTCTCTGTCTCCGGCCACAGCAGGTGGCGGGCAAGATGGTCTTCGAACGGTGGGTGACTAAAGTCTAGTGTCGATTTGCGGATTACAGAAGCAGGGTCAACGGCTTCGCGCTCGTCTTCATCGCCGTTCTCGACTGGCTCATCGTCCCCGACGGCTTGAATAGCTTTGTTCGAAAGGCCGAGAACAGGAATGTTGGCGGCGTCTGGGAGTTCGGCGGTGGTTGATGCCTTGATACCAGAGAGCTTCTCGAGCATATCTGCTACACCTCTAGGTTCGTCGAAGATACGTAGTAACTTTTCGTCTGCACCGGAAATGAACTGAGAGTTGGAGACCGCATCAACGCAGTTTAGATCGTAGCCGTGGATTTGGGGCCGTGAGAACTCGTGCCAGGAAGTCGATGAGCCTTCTCTTTTCCATTGTGAGTAGAGTCGACTTGTTTGATCAGAACCAGTGGAGAGCATGTAATAGCCATCTCTTGACCAACTCACGCCCTTGACCTCGCGCACATGCCCTGTAATGGCGACTTGCTGCGTCCACATATCTTCTGTGGCTGAGTACGTCCACTTCCTCCAACTTCCTGTTCGTCCAAGAGATACTACTGTGTTGCCGTCTGGCGACCACAACCCGATCCAAAATCCGCCGGCACTTCCCGTAGCGCTCGTCGAGCCCTTTTGGGCGCTGATCTCGCCTAGTCTGGTAATGCATACCCATACACCTGAGTTTGGATCGGACTCCCAAATGGCAAGTGAGTTGTCTTCGGAAGCAGTGAGAAGCTGCAGCTTTCCTTCGCGATGTCGCCACGAGGCCTGATATATCCAATCTTCGTGCCCTAGTAGTAATGCCTCGAAGGTGATGGAGTGCTTCGAGGCAGCTGAACTGATCCAATGTGCCTTGTTTGATAACGCCTTGCCCAGTCCACCCAACGCTGGGTCGTTGAGTGCACTACTCGCAGCGGGAAGCTCGTCGCCACGGTGGAGTCGCCAAAGGCGGACGTATTTATCCTGACTTGCTGATGCTAGCAGTAAATCGCTGTTGGAATCGGATGTCTCTCTGGTGAAGGCAAGCGCACGTATCCATCCTTCATGTCCAGTGAGAGTTGCTGAAAGCTGGAATTGGCCTTCTTGCGATACGAAGATCTGAATAGTAGCGCGAGTGCCCGCGACTGCTAGCACTACAGATGTATCATCCAGAGTCGCCAGTGCTAGATTCAAAGGGAAGTATTTCGGTGAGAGGGTGATAGTCTGCACCAGCTCGACGTCGACGGTGTTGAAGTCTGCATCATGGACGAGCTTCCATATCCTGACAGTGCCGTCTGAAGACCCAGTTGCCAAAGTGTCCGAGCCGGGCAGAACAGCTATTCTGGTAACGGGCTGAGTGTGTTCGGAAATTGCCTTCACACAATCAAAAGGTTCCCCCCTTCGGCCTCGCCATATGCGAATCGTATTGTCCGCCGATCCACTAAGCAGGACCGAGACACCGGGCAGTTGTGTTGGAAAGAATTTGACAGCGTTAACGGCCTTGGTATGTCCACTCAAAACCGCCTGAACGCCACGAAGACTTTCATCCTATCTCGATGAGTGAAGGGTACGTCATTGGCAAGATTGGACACACCTGAGGATCCCATAGTGCGATGGAGTTGTCTGCGCCGAACGCTAGCAGTTGTGACCCGGCTTCATCCCAGTCAGCTGCGGCGGGGTTCCGGTTGCCGCCTACGGAAATGAATTCAGAAGATGCATTCATTGTTCGGCTTAGGCGTTGTGTATGCGCGTGCACCACGTCTAGTCATCGCCATAAGGATTTCTTTGGCGCTAGTCTCGCTTAGCTGCGTTGGAGTTCTGGGGCTGCAGAGCAGGCGCAACCAGTCTCGATAGCAACACAGTATCTTGTAAACCTCAGCCACCTTGTAGGTGATCAAAGTTGGATATGTCGAACGATGACACTATCCCGATAACGATAGAGTTCAGGTAAGTGAGTCATGTTGATGTGGCAATAACACTCCCTGACCCTCTATAGCGGAGGGCTCGAGATCCTGTTCGCCAACCAGAAAAAGTATGACCTCGCCTTACCCGCCAGAGACGAATCTGGAGAGCCGGCAAACGTGGCATTTCTCGTAAGACATCTTTGCGACAAAGTCATGAAGGATCCGCGTAAGGAACTCTTCGTCCTTGACGATACGGTGTATGTTCATGCTTCGAGATGATGACAGCATATTAACAACAGCTCCAGGCGACCTGGAATACTGGTTCTCATCAATGAAGCAGACTGGGAGTTGGAGGGTGAAGACAAGTACGAGGTCCAAAATGGTGATCACATCATGTTCGTGTCTACGCTTCACGGAGGATAGCCAGAACGCATGCGATCAAGGACAAGTCACAGGCCGTATTTGAGGAATTAATTGCGACCCGCACTATTCACAACGATCCTCACACCATGCAATTCTCGTTCTTGCGTATTAGACCTGGACACACGGAGATGAAGAGTTGGCTTACGTACCCATGCGCAGATTCGGAATCGGAAAGAGCTTCCGAGTGGCATCTCAATCTAACGAACTAACCGTGTCGCGCTACAAGAGCTTGTGCTGACAGGGTGGCCTGACCCCTCATAAGTACTGACCTTCACGTAGCTGTTGCTTTTTTCTCCTCTGCTAACAGATCGCAACAATGACTCGTGGCGACGTCCTACCTCCTCATGTCGATCCCTCTATCCGTGAAGTCAATGATGTACTTCTGGGCATTGGTGGTATCACATACACCATCTGCTATGTCCTCATGACACGTCAATCCATCCGCGACCGCACGTACGCCATGCCCCTCTTCTCGCTCGCTTTCAATTTCGCCTGGGAAATCGTATTCGCCCTCTACGTTGCCGAAGATCCTCGAGAGAAGACTATGTTTACTATATGGATGCTCATAGACCTCGGTCTCGTTTACGCGGTTGTCAAGCACGGTGCAAGCGAATGGAAACATGCGCCAGCCGTGGGTAGGAACGTTGGCAAGATATTTGCGGGCATGCTGGCGTGGTGGTGCATTGCGCTGTATGCTGTGAGCAGTTGGTGGACTGATCCGGTCAGCCCAGTCAACCCGAAAGCTGGAAAATCGTATCGCGGTATCAATGGCATTGACACGGATGAGCTGGGTTTCTTGACCGCCTTGGTCGCGCAGGTTTTTCTGAGCGTCATGTCACTGGCGCAGATAGTGGTCAGAGAAAGCAGTCGCGGGTCGTCATACAGCATTTGGGCGTCGAGGTTCATTGGCAGTCTGGCGGGGCTGACTCTAAACTACGGATACTGTTGGTGGGTGTGGCCGGAGGCGCATGGGTACTATGCTAGTCCTATCAATGTGGTTATGATGGTCACTTGGATAGTGGCTGATCTGGGATACTTCGTGGTACTTTGCAAGGTACCGCAGACAGGTACGACCATGGATGGCAAGACCAAATGAGGAGATTGTACACGCTATAGGAACCACACACGTAGAAATCATATTCAATATCGCATAACCCATTTTCCACACTAGGCGCACCCCTGCTGCTGCTGTATCAGTGCCTCTAACGCATCGAGGATGCCAAGCTTTGGTCACCTGCTGTCGTGACAGCGCGTTTCCAGGGTCCCGCATGCTGGATCGCCTCCGCGGCTGAACTGATCTCATTGTTTACTCGATCATCAACGTCCTCCCGACGACCACTTTTTGGCCACCAAACACATGGACTCCGATGACGAAGATCTCAAGCTGGCGATGGCAATGTCACTGCAAGGGGGTTCGCCCCGGGCCACTCGCGACACCACAGCAAGCGTCAAGACTGAGACCATTGACCTCACATCTGACAACGATGATGATGAAGATGAGGATCTCCGGCGTGCGATTGCCTTGTCAATTCAGGAAAGTGGGAATGATAACATCCAGCGATCATCAGCGGAAATCGCTCCAAAGCCAGCGACCGTGGACAAAACTCCAGGTTTCATGGGCATGGATCGAAGAGCCATGGAACAAGAGCGTCTCGCAAGACTCGGTAAACGGAAACGCGATGCATCACCCGAGAGACCTTCGAAGCAAATCGCAAGGTTGCCTGCAGCGAAAAGCACCGCAGAGAGTCCATCATTACAATATCCTAGAGGGGCGATTAAGCGCACATTTGCGTCCAAGTACCCACGGACCGACGACATCACGATCGACGAATTATTAGAAGCACCGAAAGTCAACATCGCGGTGATTAGCTCATTTCAGTACGACTCAGGATGGCTGTACGAGAAGCTTGACCCGACAAAGGTCAAACAAATCTGGTTGATGAATGGTAAATTCAAAGGCGAAGACGTGCAAGCGAAGCGCATTCAAGAGTGGAAGGAATCTGGAGTACCAAACATGAAGCTACATTTTCCACCAATGGGTGGTATGATTGCTAGCATGCATAGCAAGTTCATGCTGTTGTTTGGGAAAGACAAGTTGCGTATTGCTGTACCAACCGCGAACATGACGAAGACCGACTGGGGCGAAGTTCCAAACGACTGGCAACCCGGCATCATGGAGAACTCAGTATTCTTGATTGACCTTCCCCGGAGAACCGACGACACTGCTAGAAAGACCGGAGACTTGACGGCTTTTGGTCGCGAATTGGTATACTTCCTAGAAAAACAGGAAGTTGGGTCGCAGGTGGTTGAAGGCTTGCTGAAATTCGACTTCACGGAAACCAGGCATCTGGCTTTTGTTCACTCAATGTAGGTCCATCACTATGTGTTCTTGTGGTATGCGCTGATTCAGAATAGTGGCGGTTCACACAAGATCGAATCGAAGCATCCCACAGGTCTCCCTGGTCTCGCACATGCTATACGAGAGCTCCGTTTAGACGACGTCGAACACATCGAGCTGGACTACGCAGCATCGTCCCTCGGTGCTATCAACGATACCTTTCTGTCGCGCATTCATCTCGCAGCACGCGGCGAGTCGTTCACAACAGACACTACGCCTCTTCCCAAGGTGCACGATGACATTAGGATCTACTTTCCTACCAATGACACGGTTGAGAAAAGCATCGGAGGTCCCGGATGCGCGGGCATCATCACGTTGGGTACCCAATGCTACAATGCACCAACATTCCCAAAAGAATGCATGCGTGAGTACGACTCTACGCGACGGGGTATGCTATCGCACAACAAACTGCTGTTCGCGCGCGGCCGTAAGAAGGACGGGAAGCCGTTCGCTTGGGTTTACGTTGGCACGGCCAACATTTCAGAATCAGCATGGGGAGGACAAAAGGTATTGAAAAGCGGACAAATGGGGAGTCTGAACATCAGGAACTGGGAGTGTGGTATCGTCATGCCTGTGCCAGATGCCAAGCTTCGGGATCTCAAGTGGAATGAGATACCTTCCATGGGTGTGTTTGAAGGCACGGTCGAGGTTCCCTTTCGATTTCCCGCGGACAAGTATGAGGGCAAACAACCCTGGTTCTTCAGGCCAGGATAGACAACATCTAGATGGCAATGATGCAAGTTGCAAGCGGTATCTCCAAAGAAGTCTATTTTCCGGCGGAACCGCTGGATCAAAGCGCGGTGAATTTGCGTTTTTGTTTCGGTGCTGAGAACAATCGGAGAGATCTCCGCATGCCTTATTGCTTTTGTGGCGTCTGCACGCATGCAAAGGGTCTACGTATACTGCTGTAGAATAGAACCAAAGGTCGTTAAACTTGAAAGTCGAGGCAGGGGCTTGCTAGGTCCCAGAGTAGAAACGTATGCGTCGTATAGAAATACATGTGACTCGATAAGATGCCTGCTGTCAATCATCTTGTGTCATTTGCTTACCGAACCCTCCCGGAGGCAGCCGGACCAATGCGGCCGTTCGGTGGACGAAACGGAGATTCGGGGACTCTGCCAGCAAAAGTTCCGATGCGCTTTCGCCAACACGACTGATGAGCCATGATGACTGTGGGTGCATACACCACGATGTTGCGAGTTCCACCATGATAACGCGACCCTGTCTCTATTAGTATCACGCATGTGTTCGCTTCCTTTAGCCTCATGTCGGACCCAAAGCGCGCCCACCTCTCCGCCGACGCGCTGCTACCCCAAGATAGACCTATAACCGCACCTCTTCATACATGGTTCACTTCGCCTGCGCGATCGCATAGCAACATTGCGCAAGCGAAAGAGCTTCCGTTGCATCTGATTCAGCTGATCCTCACTCATGTATGTTGCTCTAAACCCCCCCATGCGACCACTGGCCCTACCAAGATATGCTGACAGCGATGGAAGCTTGACGATGCTGGTGATCTTGCGCGCATTACGCGCACATCGCGTCTTTTCTACTACATGACCCTTCCGCGTCTCTATGAGAAAGTTACGCTACACTCCTACGCGGACATACGATACGTAGATGGCAGACCTGAGGGTTACGGTAATGGAAGTCCATTTGCCATGGGTCTCAACACCCTGGTGTCGAGAAACTTTGGCGAATACATACAGACATTCCGTGTCGTGGGCGACTGGCGAGAGCACGATGTAGACGACTACAAGCAAGGCCGGGTACCGGACAATAGCATGATACTGCAGGTCGTCATGCGTGCCGCACTCGACAAAATGAAGAACCTCAAGGCTTTCGCGTAAGTGTCATGCCAGAATCATACAGGAAGAACGCTGATGCGCGTAGCTGGGAGATGAACACTCCTCCATTGTGTACAGTATACCAAGGCATTACAGCTAGAACATCGCTAGTCTCGCTCACCATTCGATGTCCAACACGGCGAACACCACGACCCACCACCATCATACCCCCACTTCCGAATCTAGCCACACTGGTTGTGTACGACATCGATCCACTCTGCTATCCAGACGATATATCGCTGCTTTTACTGGGTTCCAAGAAGCTGGAAAACCTCAAGTTGCACTGGAGTCCGCGCATGCGAGCTATAGGAGAGGAGTCAGTCACTCTGCTCTCCATATTCGGTCGATGCGTCGCTGCGAGATATGCGATACCTATCAAACGCATGGCGATTTACAACGTTTATACTCGCTTCTCTGGTGATGACTTCCACCACGTTATCAACCACGATGTCCAGACAGAGATCACGGTTATCAACTCCATGGGCAATTCCGATCCTATGACGGTCTTTGCCGACGATTCCTGGCGAGTACACAACAACCATCCGACGCCCCGTAATCTAAAGATGATACGCACCGACAACACCGACAAAGAGAGTGTTGTTGTGCTGGGGAAGTTCAAGGGCTTGGAGCGAGTGTACATCGTGAGTAATAGGCGAGGCAAGGAAGCATCGAAACCAAATAGCACAGCTGCAACGCCTACTACACCGTCCACTATGACGCCGGGCATGAACGGCGGTACTAGCGCAAGCGGCACTCCCAATGCTATGACTGACCAACGCTGTCGCAGCGTCGGAAGCGAGTTCCTTGCGGCCATTCAAACCAATCACAATCACAGCATTCGCCATCTTCTTCTTTCAGATCGTTGGATACTATCTGACGACACTCTGTTCAGACTTTGCCAGTTATGTCCCAACTTAGAGCAACTCGGTTTCGCTTGCGCAATCCCACCCCTCGAGTCGGTGCGCCAAGTTTTCGCTCTGGTGCCGAAGCTATGGGCCGTCCGTTTCCTTGTCCGCCCAAGTTACGATACGGGCGACTCGATGATGGATGATTCGGAAGCCGAGATGCACGCGTTTGCGATTGGAACAGAGTTTTGGCGACCAGAGTACAGGAATATCAAGTACGTTGGATACGGCGACAATATCGTATTCAGGCTAGGTGGCGTTTATTTCCCCCCTAAGGGCAAGGATCCGATGCCGAATGGTAACGAGAAGAGCTTTAATGCGAAAAGAGCGGGACCGAAGAGAAAGATTGACGTCTTGAAGAGAGAGGATGTGAAGGATATTGAGATTTGGGGGATGGATACTACAGAGTTCGACCCGAAGTTTCCTTGAAGAGCACCAGTTGCAGGAAACAACAACTGAACATTTTCCATGATGAAGCGAGCCCATCGGTTGCCCGCTGGCTTCTGCAAAGCATTACGCTAAAGCCGCCAGTCAAGACTCCCACAGTCTTCATGGAGATTATTGCGACTTCACTCAACTAGTAACGCAACGTAACGTTTACGGTGGTAGTTTGTCATCTTTCGCTCTGATATGACGCTTTTTAGAGAGGGACAGTGCTTGCCACGAGCAAGCCTACCATGTGTATTAGTACGGGACAGTCGTTGACGATGCGACGTGTACAGTACAGCGTAAGAGTATACTATGAGGGCGTATTGGATGTTACGGAGTGATAGAGTGAGTTTTATCTCTCTCAATACTGATTCGATCATTGCTGCCAGAATTTTCCTACACTACTGTTGCATGTGCATCGATAATTCGAACCACTATGGAGGTGCGCTAAGAGCAAGCGATAGTACGCTGAGGGGGTGAAGGGCTCTTGAGACCTCTTTGACAGTGTTGCTATCCCAAGTCAAGTGACCCCTAACGTTGTGTGCTACGTATGTCGACATCAGATTCGGCTTCTTTCATTACCATAAGTCTAGGAACTGTCTTATCCCCCACATTCACTGAGTCCCTAATCGACAGCCTCTCATGTATTCGCCTCGGGTTCTACCTTCGATTGCTTCTACCAACAATGCAGACAACGAGCGATCAGCTACCTCTACAGCGGCAACCAACGACGACATGGACCTGGATCCAGTCTACCAAGAAACGAGCAAACAATACATTTCACTGCATGAAGCAGGCAAGGGCACGTGCGGAAAAGTCACATTTTGCATACGAACGCCGTCGTCGACCGCGAACGCTCCCACGACAAACCCTACAGCGCAAAGCCCAGCCATTGTAGCCATCAAGATACCTAGTCGAGAAATGTGTCGCGACAGAATAGCCGTCGAGATCACTGCTCTACGACGCATACACAGCACCTTGGCTGTTAGTACGAATAGAAATGTTGCGAGACACCTCCCCACTTTCATCGGAGCTGACCCAATTGAGGATGGCGGGTCGCGCTGGTTGTCCGTTCACCCTATCCCTGGCTTCAACCTCGAGCGACTTCGGGTCGTGGTCACCCATATAGTATCCTCCTCGTCCGGAGCCTCCGCCACTCGCACCCTCCCATTCCCTGCGATACCGGAAGTACTTCTGTTACACATCGCGAAACAGTTGACGAAAGCGGTGGAGTGGCTACACAACGTCGCCAACATCTCTCACAACGACGTCTTTGGCGGGAATGTTATGCTCGACATGTCCGCCTCAAATAAGGAATCTGGTTTCATAATGCCAACCGTCGTCTTGATTGACTTCGACCGCGCAACCTTGCACCCGAACGATAGAGAGAAAGGAATCGACCGCTCGTTTGAATATGAGCTTATACATCTGCTCGACGGTACGGGCCGAGCGTCATCACGAGAGACTGATTCACTCAAAGAAGACACCATTGTACCGGAGGGTCTGATGACCTGGTGGGATGTGTTTACGAGGTTCCTCGCCATCAATAAGAGTCAATATCTCCAAGAAGCGTCGTCGAGTTCAGCGCAATTCAGGGAACGATTCGGCGTGGCAATTGATCGCCGATTGGAGGATATAGCTGACGAGGAAGAGCGGCAGGTACAGGAGTTGCTCGATATGGTTGTCAAGAAAGAGGTTCGATTTCCAAGTGAGGAGAGGATTAGGGACGCGCTGGGGCAGTGGGAAGATGGGCAGGTGCTGGTTGTTGTACAAAAAACAAGATAAACCTATTTGTATAGTGACGGATAATACTAAATTTCCGGAGTGTTTGTTATTGAGTTTACACAAGTCGCAAATGTACATGAGATTTCTGGATGTGACAGCATATTGTAGATTTACTATCTCTGCCCCCACATCTAGCCATCCATGAGACTTTACGGCCTCAATGGTGTACTGAAATTGACAAGATGTGGATATTTTGAGATAGAAGTAAGAACTTCGTGTACTCCTCGTTCGTCCTGAGCAATTTTTCTCTAATTTCAGTGCTTCGTTGCGCGCCTTGTTCGCACTGATCTCGGTGTTGCTGTATGCTTTGACATTTTTGAGTTCCTGCTCTCGCCTCATTAGTCATACCTCAGCACTTAAATCTCGCACTATCAAGTGTCACAAGCTTACACTCAAGCTCATGATTTTCGTTTCAAAGACAAGCGTTATCAGCTCGAAGATCGTTGCATATCTCGCCTTCGTCGACTTGCTTGCGGAGCTGCCAGTACTTCTCCATGTATATCTCAGCATCCGCATCTATGAGATCGAGCTCTATGCTATCAATAAGACCTGCAATATCATCTTCGTTAGTGATGTAAGCATTTGATGGTTGTGAAGGGCGACCCTTGAGCCAGGAGGATATCGTAACGGCCATGTTGGTTTATGGTTGTTACTAAGAGTTTTTATGATATGTTTGACCAATACACCATCTTTGCTCGGCTTCAGTAAGTTTATTGTCGATGGGAGTGATCTATCAAGTCGATAAGTGTTATGAGGTGGGAATGAAAGAATATGTGTAGCACATAGTCCGGTTTCAGGTAGCTATGGGGTTGCGACATGGCGTTCTGAACGGACAATGTCTTTCCGCTCAGGCGATGACATAGACACGCGATACAATGTGAGCCGCCCACTTGGTTGTTAGTGTGTACTCGCTCTCGTTCTTAGCCACTTGCTAAACACTCTGTATAGCCGAATTTATACACGAATAACGATGAGCATGCACGTACTGTTAGTACTATCGCTCGCATATCGGGATCTGGAAAAGTGGTCGAAGTAATGACTTCCGTCTCCACTGGCATATCTCATTCATATACCAACAAATCAGCTAAGACTTCCAACATCCTCGTTCTGCATCTTTGCGTTCTTCTCCTTCCCCAGGAAGATCTCCTGCTCAATCCTACTCTTTCCAACATCTACGAAGAAGAAAAGCCATGCGCAACTAACTAAGCTCAAGGCGAACAAGAAATAAAACGGACTACTGTTGTTGCCGGTATCATCGATAATGGCAGAGCTCACCAGGGGCCCAATAAAAGCACTCGTCTTACCAACGATAGAGAACAAGCTGAAGAAAAGAAACTCTTTGCCTCTCGGTGTGACCTCGGAGATCATCGTCTGCGAATAGCTGTACCACGGACAGACAAGCAGTCCATAGAAGACCTGATACAGCCATACTTCCCATTTGTTATGGAAACCAAACTTTTGCGTCCAAATGCCAATCATTCCCCAGCCGTCAAGTAGAACAATGCAGATGGCGACGACCATGAACATAGTCTTGGTGGACAGACCATAGTGCTTCTGAATGCGCCAGAAGGCACCAATCCCGACCGCCTGCGCAGCGATACCAACGATGAGCAGGTAAGTAAGCTGAAGACTGTTGTATGCAACGATCTCGTTCTGCAGGGTTCCGATGACCGTTACGGTCGTGTTGAGACTGTCACCAAGCAGGAAGTAGCCTGCCAAATAGGCCAAACTTTGACGTAGTTGCCAGATCTGACGGATCGCATAGCCAAGCTGTTTGAGACCTGCTAGGACTATGTTCGCGCGTCCTGGATCCTGACCGGGCCGCCTCTTCTCTAGGATAAACCATGGAAGAGCGCACAATATCCAAACTCCTGTTGCAAAGGCGATGAGTACCGAAAGACCCCAGTTGTTATTCTCCGCGCTGTCATTGACTTTCAGACCGAACATGATGCCCACAATGACTGCTAGAATGAGGATCTCAAAGACCGACTGAACGTAGAATGCCGTATTTGAAAGCTCGTTTCGCTTCATCATATCCGCAAAATCGTACTCTGCACGGGTAATCGTCCCATCGGCGAACTCTTCGGCTTTAATTCGCAGCTCCTTAGTGTTTCTTGCTAAGCCAGGGAATGCAGCGGTCCAGAAGGTGATTGTCGTTTGGTATGCAATGAGGCCCACGATGTAGAGCCCAACACCAGCATGCCACTTGTCCTCGGTATGAACTCCGAGCCAGCCAAATCCGATTCCAAAGGCAATGATGGAGAGTCCTATCAGGATATTGGGGCGCCATGTACCAAAATCGGCGAAAGAACCCAAGATGAGGAAGACGACAACCTGGATGGCAAAGCTGATGCCGTTGCAGAGAAGCACGATTGAGTTGATAGTACGATCTCGGCCCATGAAACGTAACACTTCGGAGTCTCCTGCAGCTTCATACATGAGATTCTGGAAAGCTGTGGGGCCGAAGTTGAAAAGTGTGAGGCCGTTGTCACCGACGTAGTAACTATTGGCGGATTCCGATATCAGCTTTGGCACAATTGACGGACTGCGCTCCAAATGACTTGATGCGTTGAGAGATCTGCATACCAATAATACGACCATATCTCCCACTTCGATGTCTCGTAACGTTCGTCAAACTGGTCAGGTGCAACAGGAGTGTCGGTATCGACAGGTACGCCGATAGCACCTTTGATAGGGTCTTCAGCCGGCGCACTGAGAGGCGCAAGGCCAGGCTCATTCGAAGCCATGGTTGAGCAGTTGAATGAAAGGCAGTGATTAGAGAAGCACAGGAAACTCAGCATCGAACGTTGCGCGACTGAAAGCTTTTCTCGGCCAGGTAGTAGTCGCTTAGTGTACCCTAGCGATTTGCCATGTTCGGAGATAACCTCCTAACAATGAATGGGAAAAGATGCGCCTCGAGCCTAGGCCCTCCAATGGTGCGGAAGGTCGGGGTGATCATGACCGCGATGGATGTCCCGCAAAAGCAGAAGTGCCAATGATTGGGAAGATGCACAAGTAAGACGTGCAAGCTATAGCCAAGCCGAGCTTGGTACGTGGATGATGTGGGGGTAAAGTTTGAAAAGCCTGAATACGTGATAAGCTAGATTGTATGCGGAGTAGCGTGTGTACGCCACTGGCGTAACCACCGCGCCCCCATTTTCCAATTGCCGACGCGCGCCCGGGCGCGCGTCGCGCAAACCTCACGCGCATATCGAGATGTCTAACACACGCGGCAGGGAGTACACGGGACGACAGACATCATATTCCACTTTGCAGAATTTTCCAAGAACACCAGTAAAGTATTTCATCCATCATACGAACGCTTGAAGCGGCTGCAGCCGTGAAATCCGCAACACCACCACTTCGTCTTTCCCCGGTCGTCCTGGATAGCAAGACCTGAAATCGCGCGTCCTTTACCAGTTGATGAGTCCAAGATAGCCTTGATTTCACACCTTTGACCGCCTCCATCTAAGCGCTTGCCACCAACCGCTTACCTACCAAGTCAGAATCCAATCGTAGCACCAATCTGCCAATGAATCCGTGCTCCCCGACACTGGAACAACAAGTGCAAACGACTCTGAAGTTATAATTGTCGATCACTACGTTTGTGGTGACAGAATATCGCTAGGGATGCTTCTTTGCCAGCACGCTACCATGACCGGACTCCCAGTTCCGCCTATGGCATCGCGATGTCTCTCGAGTCAAGTACCACATTCTGCTTGGGAATTTGATCACTCTTAGTCTTCTCCCCGCTAAGCTCAAGACTGTTCATACAGATCCCCACGTCTTCAAAATCCTCGTTTACAAAGACGTCAGCAGGAGCATATGACGACCTTGAGTATCATGTAGCACGCTGATATCTGGTTCACACGTATCATACATGACATCTCATGAGCGAAACCACTTGTGAAAAGGGCAGTATAGGCAGCCTGTGCTCACGTGGACAACTGCGCCGGATTGGTATTTGATACTGGTTAAATTGCAAAAGTCATACATACTCAATGCTCCATTGCCGTGAGAGTAAGCGCGATAAGTCACACCAGGAACAATAAGAGAAGCAGTTCATTGTAGGCTTTCCGAGCCTTATGAAACGCAGTTGTAAGCAAATGCATCGATGCCCTAGATTGGACCAAATAGCTCGATAGCTTCTTAACCCTGCTGTCTCATGACCGGCGCCGGCGCCGCTTCTGCCTTCTTTCCAAGCCGTTGAGGCCGCTTGCCCACCTTCACTTGGCCAACCAGGAAACTGTCATCTTGGTATCGCTCGTCGCCCTCGTGTACGTTCGGACACTTGTTGCCCTTGTCACAAGTGCCGGCAGGGAAGTGGAAGCACTTCTGCCGCACACATTGAACGCCCTCTGCAGCACAGTTTGAACATGGCTCACCTTCGTCGCACTTTTGTTCCCACCAATGACGGTAGCAGTTCACACACGGGACTTCTACTGGTTCAGAGGGACCTGGAGTTCTGCGTCGCGAGCGTCCAATGGGTGCGGGTGTAGGACGAGAGGAAGCCCGAGTCTCTCGTCCCGAAACTGAGAGCTGGCACGAATCGTTCATGTGCATGTTAGGCTCATTTTGGGCGCCGTTGGGACCGTAAAACACGACCCTCGGACTACCCGTTTGTAGCTGAGAAGGGTCGATATTATGGTACTGGAAGCCGCGCTGCTGGGGTTGTTGGTTATCGAATTCCTGTATTTTTGGTGTCTCATTCGAAGGGAGGGTCGTCGTGAAGGTCATCGGAGTAGGGCCTCGCTTGGTCTGTTCATCTCCAGTAAAAAGCCAGCTCTCTCCAGCGTGTGTTTCCTCCATAAACAGCTTTTCTTCATCAAAGGTAGTCATCATCTCCGGGTCTCCAATGTTGGGAACGTATCGCCTGCTCGCTTCCTGGTTCATGCTCGGAGGCTGCACATCGAATGATATAGAGCATTCCGAAGGTACTTGCGAGGCGCGAGGCAGAGGTGGCGGCATTATAGATGCTGAGCCATACGAATGCGTAGGCTGCATCTGTAGCTGCATCGTTACTGGGTTCTGTGCCTGGGCTTGTGATTGGACTTGTTGGCGCATCTGTTGCAACCGGTGCGCCTTGAAGTCTTGCATCTGAGCCGAGCTTAGATTTCCGGGCTGGTTGATCATTTCCCGACCATTTCTCATTTGTTGCCGGAGCTGAGGAACATTGTACGTCGGGTAGGGGCCATATGGGGCGGATGTAGGCGACTGGCGGCTTGCATTGTTCGAAGCCATCTGCTGTCTAAAGTTTCGCTGCTGCTGCTGAGGTGACACGTTCAATGACTGTTGTGGAGACGACATGCAGCTCTGCTGGTGCGGAGGTGCGACGATGCCTGTACCTTGCTGTTCCGAAAGGTGTTGTGCGGGTGCTATCTGAGCCGCTGAGCCATTTGATTGCTGCGACGACTGTCGCCTATGGATGTTGTCAGATGTCCTCTGAGCCTGTCTCTGCATTTTCGCGCCGTCCATCATGGTATCGCCGTTTGTATTCGTTGCTGATCTCGGGTTCATAGCGTTGGTATCAGAGAGGAGGGAAGCTGAGCGCGTATGTTGGAAGTCTGGCGTAGTGATGCTAGCAGCACTGTCTATGTCAGTTATGGTTCCATCCATTTATGTGATGTCTAACTCACCCGTAAGAGTCAAGCCTCCTTCGCTTGCTGGGATTGAACATCTCTTGTGGCGAGCTCTGCTGATCGTGTTTGGCAGGCCTCTGATGGCTGTGTTGTACAGTGTCAGATGCTGTCTCCAAGTGTTGCCTCTCTAATTTGATCTGCTTGTTGGCTGTGAAGAGCTTCCATTCCAATATGGCCATTTTCTCTTTATAAGCTTGTTCTATTGGGCGCCATTCGTCCAACTTTGTCTGTAGAAAATGCTGCGCCTGCGCCTGCGTCTGCGTCTTATAGGTCTTAATGGTAGTCTCTATGTGTTCTTTCATCTTAGCTTTCATTGCATCGATCTTACGTTGTGATATTGCAGTAGCGTCCTTGAACGCCTCAGCTCTGGCACTAGCGATCTGAGCCTCCATTTGCTCCTTGATAGGCGCATTGGGTACGGCCTGCGTTTTCGTTTTCTCTACGTTGAGTTCTTGTCGCAAGTTCACAATGACACTTTTGAGGTCTTCCAGCATCTTGTCGGCAACCTCCTTTTCGCTTCTGAGCTCATTGATAGTCTTGTCCAACACCTTCTTGTCTTCTTCACCTGCGACGAAGCCAGCTTGCAAAACGTCAATCTGCTCTGTGAGCTCTTTCGCCCAAACTCCATTCCCCTTCTCTGCATTGAGCCGGGAGATTTCATCTTTGAGACCTTGGAAGACGCTCGTTGTGCCAGCGAGGAAGTCTGCACGCTCGGACCTCGCATTCTTAAGCGCTATCCTAAGATGTCTGGTCTCATTGTTGGCATGCAGCTTTTCTGTATAGCGGCTTTGGGCGCGCGCCTTCGCTGCGTTCGTCTCGGCTTCAGCGACGGTAGTGCGCTTCTCGGCTTCGATGGCGCGTTGCTTTTCGTTCGCGGCCTGGGTCTCTGCGTTTCGGAGTCGTTCTGTGAGGCGCTTCTCCACCGATTCAAGTCTAGCAAGGCGCTGCTTAAGGGCGATGTTCTCATCGACCAGTGAAACCCCAGGTGATGCATTCTCGTGGGAAGATTCGAGCGTTGGATGCGATGGCTTTGCGGGTACGGCGCTCAAGGCGCTCTCCTGCGAGGAGTGATCCAAGGGCGGCATGACTATAAGGGCGATTTGAATATCGATGATTGTTATAAAACGAAGACGTAAGACCAACGTGTGGTGAACGAATTTGTAGTTTATGCGGTAATATGGTAGGATGATGCTTTGGCGAGTGGACGAAGAGCAAGGTGCAGGAAAGTGCGAGTAGAGTCAGGAATGAGTCTGCGATTCAGCGCTAGTCTCAGTATTTTAGAGAAAGTACTAGTGAATGTTGAATCGAGTTCGTCTGGTGAAGGTGAAAACGATAAGACTGCTCAAAGCTGGCTGTTGGATGCAACTGTCCTCGTAGGGTTCGGACAACATTCGCTGTAGGTGTGGCCGAGTCGCAAAACAACTCGAGGTGCTGTTCGAGTCACCAAGAGCGATAAAATGATTTGGTGTTGAGTGCGGAAGCGATAGATCTGAACTATGGTTGAGATATTGTGTGCGATGGTAGATGCAGGCAGCCCATGATCTTCAATATTACAGTGCGCGAACGGCAGTAAGCTCTGCTTCTCTGGCTTGTGGTAGGAATGCTGAGCTAGAATTATAGATCAGAGGCCTTCGGTGGTGTGTAAAGAAAAGCTGTCCTAGTGAAGGCATCACGAAAGGGACTGATTGGCGGTGGAAATATTGTAAAGCTTGCCGCGTGACTCTAGACCTACGGGGATGATGTTGGCACACACATACCGCGTCACGGTCTCCTTGACATGGATTTGAGCGCAGGATAATACAATAGCCGTTAAGTGATTTCAGAAAGAAAATTTGAAGATCTGGTAGCACGAGACTTTCATGCACTGCTCGTACGCCTTCCTTGAGACGAGTTGAAATACTCCAAAATGGCCAGGCGATTCGAAACCGAGAGAGTGCCAAATCATACGCACAGAGTTTATAGGAAATAAAGGTGACAAAAAGACGGACAGAACAAAGAGTGAACAATGTCTCTCCCACACGTATACAGCGCTGTGCGATGAAGAGACACCCGTATGTGTGTTATCATACTTACTATGCTGTGGATATCTTCAGAATCTCGATGAATGCTTGAACAGCAAGAGATGCAGAAGATGTTATCTTTCATCAACCAAGTCACAAAAGTGTGCCGGCACGTACGGCGCCATTCCGGATTTCTTGCGCACAACCATAGAGATACGTGCCATGTTCTCATTTTCAGCGCACTCCAATTATCCAGCAATCACGTTCGGCCTGCACATGGTAGACGCGAATACAGAGCTCGCATCGAGTCCTATCCTCGTTCTGACCTGACCCACAGTGCAACTCCCTGGAGGCGTGTGAAGCTAATGTCCCATTATAGCATACACCCAGCACCAACACTGAGCAATATCATGTTTGTATTTCTATCCATTGCGAGCATGTGACAGACCGTTGGCAATTTGCATGATCTCTCAGGGGACTTTTGGCGGGTACCGGCGGAACAGAACTATCGGTATCGTATGCGTTGAAGTGCCATCACGCAGGCAAATGACTCAACAAAAGCAAAGAATTAAGACGCATTGCCTGATGAAGGAGAGCAATATGAGATAAGAAGACGTGAGGAGAGGCGTGTAGCAAGCGCGACGACGCGACAGAACAAGGTTTGCCGATCCCCTTGCCTACCCCGCGTATGCGCGTCATCTCTGCGAAACATTCCGTGATTGGCTGGGTTGTTTCATCACTTTTGGCATGCATGTCGTTCTTCCTGCATACCTTCTATGACCGGCCATCTCGCTCATTCTTCCCTACCGCCGACCTTCACAGCATGTGTGTTCGCTGGACTTTGTTACCGAATCAGAATTATGTGCAGCACAACCTACCGACAGCGTTAATGGCTATCGCACGTCGGGAGAGGTGGATACACTTTCCGAGCACAGCGCATGAGCGTTTGGGCCGCTAAGTGCGAATGTGTATTTCACAACCTTACTGTTCAAGTGTAGGCTAGTCGAGTGATACGCACGAGAACAACTCACATGTCTTAAAGTAAGCCAGGTCAAAGTAAGGACCGACATCAACCGTTGCTGACCACATATGTGGACGAGGATCCACACGGCATCTTACAAAGAACGTCAGTTCAATAAGGCTATATGATCTTAGCTCCTTACCAACATAGGCGGCGCGTCTGGGCCTCACACTGACTTGTGCATCTGTGTCGGCCATTCGCCATGTCTTTACTTTGCTGACGGCTGCCTTGTTGGTAAGCTTACGCCCCAATGTAGCAACCGCATCAACACGCTCTCGACTGTTCGAGAGCTAAGTAGCCGATCCATGCTTGCGGATGATGGGATGTGATGGTATAAGTATGCATGCTCGCATCTTCATCTGATCCTCGTCTTTTCCGAGTGCAATCATAATCCACCCCAGGCTATTCCAAGATGACAACCAAACGCCCGATCAATGCAGCAGACGTCGCAAAACTTCGAGACTTGCTGAAAGATACAGACGCACACTTGGTGACATCAGAAGAAACTGAAGCATACACAAAATCGATTCAGCGCTGGTCAAGAGCCGCCGAGAAACCCGCGGGAGCATGTCTGATCCCAAAATCTGCAGAAGCAATCTCGATTACCCTCAAATATGCCTTAGAACAGGATCTCGATATTGCTGTCAAAGGTGGCGGGCATTCTACTGCTGGCGCATCATCAACGAATGGCGGATTGCTCATCGATTTGAATACGCACATGCGAACCACTGAAGTCGATGTCGAAGGGAGAACCATCAAAGTTGGTGGAGGTGCAGTGTGGGGTGATGTTGACGAGGCTCTCGCACCGTACGGCCTTGCGACGGTCGGTGGCACCGTCTCAGATACCGGGGTCGGTGGTCTCACATTCGGTGGTGGCTTTGGTTGGCTCACAGTCAAACACGGCCTGGTTGTCGATAACCTCATTTCTTGTACGGTCGTCTTGGCGGACGGTAACGTTGTCAAAGCCTCCAATGAAGATTACCAAGATTTGTTTTGGGCTCTGCGTGGCGCAGGACAGAACTTTGGCGTTGGGGTTGAGTTCGAATTTCGCACCCATGAGACGGGCGACATGTGGGCCGGCTTCATGATGTTTGCGCCAACGCCAGACAATATCAAAAAGGCTGTGAACGCCTGCAACGACATCTTCACACCTGATGCAGAGGGCAACTCCAAAGCAACTGGCAAAGCCGCAAGTGCTTTCGGCTTCGTCAGACCCCCACCCGCCGGCGGCCAGGTCTTGTTTTTCGTCGCGGCGCTCTATCATGGACCAGAAGAAGACGGCAAAGAGCTATTCAAGGAAATCGTTGCACTCGAACCATTGATGAGTACCATGGCAATGATGCCATACGCCAAGGCAAACAAACTCCTGGATCTTCCCATAGGCGCGCGTGTCTCTCTCAAGGGTGCTAGCTTTGAGCTTCCCGTCCGAGGCGAATTCGTGGTATCCGTCCTGGAAGCGTACACCAAGTTCACTGACGAGACACCTGAAGCGATGGGTTCCCAGATTATGTGGGAGCTGCTCGATCCGACCAAGATTCTTGCTGTGACTAACTCTGAAACTGCCTTTGCGAACCGCGGACGACACTTCAACGTGGCTGTTGCGCCGTTGTGGTGGGATGAGAAGAATGATCCGAAGTGTAGGCAGTGGTCGAGGGACGTCGCGCTGTTGTTCAAAAAGGAACTTCAGCGTGGCGGCGCGGAGACGAGCGATAACAGGGACGGGTGGATTGGGAAGAGAGGCAGTCACGGGGCGACGATGGTATACGGAAATTATGATCGTACGTACCCTCCACCATGTTTACTCTTTCTGCACATCATGCAAACATAGGTAGTCCATCGCTTCTCTGAAGGCATGCTGACATCGAATAGAATATGAAGAGAAGTCCAGAGACGTCTTCGGCGACAACTACGAGCGTCTGCAAGAGCTAAAGGCCAAGTATGACTCGCAGAACATGTTCAACAAGCTCTTTGCTGTAACCCCGGCAACTTCCACACCTTAAGTCACTCGTGGTTAGAGTTGTCGAATATCTACTGCTGTTTCATTTGCGTACAAAGAAGATTATTATGAACAGAGCCCTAATCATTGGCCTGATGTCTTATATCCGCCTTCAGTAACAGCCTCCTTACTGAATCTCTCCTCTACGTGAACTGTATCCTGCACCTTCGAGCCCGGTTTCATTTGATCAACAATTCTCGCCCATTCTTCCTCATCCAGCACGTCTCATTATTGCTTTTACCCACGGATCTATCCGATCCGGTAACTCTTGTCGCCCAATCCGACGCAAGTCATCGACTATACGTCTCTTTCCAACTTGCTTCTCGAATCTCATGGCAGCTAGGAGAAGCAAAGCCTCCAAAGCGAAGTTCGCGTCATTGCCAGCACAGTGGAGCCTGGTGTGTGGACATCCCAAGACCCTCAGTAACTCGCCCAAAGACCCCACCCAATCTTTCCGCATCTCCCTATCAACCTGCAGAGTATCCATAACTGCTACGAGATTGTTTGGAAAACGAAATTCCAGCGCCTGAAGAGCCAAAAGATCGTTCGTTACTCCGTGACCGACAAACACCACATTTCGACCACGGGGAACGAGAGATTCAATGCGCTTCACTAGCCTCGAGGGTTCAATCATGATCGTCTTTCCGAAGACGAACCTGTTCGAAGTTTCTGCAACGTACGGTGGCGTTCCTACGACAAAGTTGAAGGTCCTCAAAGGCTTGCCAGCGGAGGCCTTCTTCATCTCTCTGATATCGAGAATGGCGATACCTGCTTCGCAGTTCGTTTCGACAGTAAGGCCACTTTTGATATTGCAGGTGTTCTCGAAATCAATCCCAATGAGAACAACATCGGAAAGACTCGATGTCATAGCATACGGGTTGCCGGGGTTGAAGAACTCGTGTAGCTGATGGATACTGTTCTTCGCAGGCTTTGGCAGTCCAGTGTGAACGTTCTTTGCTGAAATACTATTATTCGATGATAGAGAGCTATTGGCCAGGCCATGTTAGTTGAAATAAGTTCAATATCAGGCAAAACGACTCATGAGATCAACTCACTGGTTGGAAGACAACGTTGGGACTGCCCTTATCCAGGTAGCGCAACTTTCTAGTCTAGCACATTTCGCTCTTCCGAGGTTGTTGAAGACTAGAGTGGTCCGGTGCATCTTGACGTGTGTCGGATGAAGCGAACGGTGTACCTACAAACCACTGTAGTCTACTTGGGTTTCAGTTATATGACTTACTACCGGACAAGCTTCTTTGTCTGACAGCAAACATTAGGTGAGACCGGTCTCAACATGCTCCCGCCGCAGGAAGCGACTTGCGGTTTTGGTCTTGCGAAAGCATGTAGTCATAAACTGAGCATAGCAGCATGTATCCTTGCCCCGCTAGTTGCAAGCTACTGTCAACAGCATGTAAGTTATCGGAAGCCGCATATTCATAGACACTACATAGCATCCAAGACTCGTTGAGGATGCAGTTTTTGAAGAATTGTATTTTGTATCATGATGCCTTTGCATATATCTCCTCAGTGGCAAGTACATGAAAGCGGATGTACTATACTAAACCCAATCAAAGTCTATGACAACGTACTTCGGGGAAGATGTAAAATCCGAACGCCTCCGTCAAAGCACATTCATCGTATCCCCTTCTGTCTGCCATTCTCTCGGAACTTCCTTAACAGTTTTCGTCTGATGCGGTGCGAGCGAGCGATCGTGCGTCCTACCACAAACCCAGACGGTCGAGCTCAACGGGACTCATCCGGCGCCCATGACCCCACGCCTTGTCGTATGGTATCTTCCTCTTGTGTTCATCTTCCTCATGTGCAAAGTGGCAATGTCTGTCTGGACACACATTTCTTTTGTAGCGTTTGCACATGACCCGTTTGCAGCCCGGTCGGATACCTCGCAACGAGCAATTTGTACATGGAGCCTTTCCATCGCACTCCCAGTTGTGTGTCATACATTGCGTACAGTGCGCCACACGTTTCGAGTTGGCTTTGGGTGGCTGAGATAGGGGACTGGACTGTGTGTCAGCCAGGAAGGGAACGAGAGGTGGTCAGTACTTACGCTACGCTCTTCCCCATCACAGCTGCCTCAGAATGTTTGGGTACTTCCACTTTCATGACCAACGCCCCGAAGGCTGCTTTGCCCAGCTGGTTCTGTAGCAGTACCCTCTCGTCGATCAGCCTTTTGATCTGTACACTATACATGTCGTGTATGATTGTGGCCTCATTGGACTTGGTTTTCACTTCGACCTCAAGACACTCTTTTATCCTGACGAGTGTTTTGATCTCTGTCGCATGTTTGCGGCGGAAGTCGACTAAAAGTTTATCGTGACTGTTGATTGTGGTCTGCAACACTTGCCTCTCAGCTGTGAGATCCTGGATCCGAGTACCGAGGCTGGTGCGGATATACGTGATAGTCTGCTCATGAGTCTCTGCTAGCATCTTTGTCTCCGCTTCTTCATCCTTTCTTTCGACATCCTTCTTATCCATCTCATCCAAGAACGCTTTCTCGAAGTCTGACAGATTACCGTCAAGCTGCGATATCTCATTCTGCTCGTGCGTATGCCACCAGCCGTCTTCGCATCCGATATCTTTGGGCTTCCTGAGACCGGCTTGACCAGGGAATGGTGTTGGCGAGATGTTGTGTTTGGGCATTCTGAATATCGAATTTGTGCTAAGTGTGTCGAGGAGGCTGGCAGGGTATCTCGAACTGTGTGGTGGCGGATGCCTAGTGGTGCAGCTTAAAACGATGCACAGGTCCTTCGTTCGGATGCTCCTTCACTCGTACGCGCGGGTCGCGCCTGCAAGCGAACAAACAAACAATACCGCACCTGACGAGAAAGATCAGTAAGTCTTGTCTTGCTACATCACTATCACAGCCCGCACCTGCTACCTTCCTCACTCCTCTGCCATCAACCTTACCACCCAACGTCTCTTTGTAAGTGCTCTTGCCCGCAACCTCTTCGAACCAAAACACTCAAAACTTCAAGTACATCTCCCAATCACTTGCCACTCTATCTTCAGAGCATCGCTGACACCGAGACCAAGTGTCACGACTACGATGTCTCTTGCCAACAATGCAGTCGATCCAATCGCCCGCCTCGAAGCAGAACTAGCTCAAGAGAAAGCTGCTCACGCGTGCACAGCAAAAGCGCTCGAGTCTATCACCCATCTTCACGCCAACCAGGCTATTACCATCAGCTCTCAGATGAGCATCATCAGGTCGCAGATTCAAAAGCATCCCGAGGATATGTCGGACATCCAGAGAGAGGCCAGGGAGGCAGAGGACAAGCGACAGCGCAAGACGTCGGAGACGAGAGCAATGGGAATTGCGCCGTAGAGTGCTGGACGTGTGCACAATAGGATTTCTGGACAGCTATGCGGATTATTTCATGGAGCCGAAGTAATCGCATGATGATGGAACTGAATCATGACTAAATCATCAGTCTCATACAAAAACAACGGCAGGAAAGTTGACCAAATAACCATATTTACAGAAATCGTCATGTACTCAATGTAAAAGTCAAGATCTAAGCGTCGCCGTCGAGATTCAGAGCCGCCGCTCCGCAACGCAAAACATAGCTGGGCTCCAACGCTAGGCGATTTGGGGAGCTAGATGATGTCACAGTCTCATTGATTCCTCTAGCTTGCGCCTGCATTTCGGCGTCTCACAGCTCGTTCTGGGATGCCATGCATAGCCGGTCCGGTTACTGAAAGGTTCTCGTATTGTCACACAGCTGCATACTCATTCAAGTACTGCAGCCGTACCGGCAGTGTGTCGGACTGTTATCCATGTGATGTCAGCAGCGCTGGGACCTGACGCATTCATTTTGTTTCGGCGTTTTGAACAGTTAGGTTCGGAGTGCAGATCGCTGGAACTGACCTTCAGCCAAGCCCAGAAGTTCTCGATGTCTTCATCCCGTGAGAAGCGCCTTCCAAAAAGCTGCCCAGGCACACGCCAAACGCTTTGAGTATGCTCGAAGATTGGTTGATATATGAACGTGATTGCCCACGAGGAGTTGTAGGCCCATCAAGTCCCGGGTGTTTGCAAAAGACGTCAGCAAATGTGGTGAGTAAAGTTGAACTGTTGTGGAGCTAATCGGCCCTGACCCTACAACCAATTCCCCTCTCGAGATGCTTCGGACATTTGCGATAGTGCCGTTAGCTTACGCAGAATGATTACTTTGATCCCAGTTGCGAAACTGAAGCGGGATCTGAGGTAGAAAAACTAGGACGGAAAGGTCACAGTGTATCACAAGTTCGAAAATCAGGACATTCTCAGCAATATAATTACGATTAACAAACTATGCTAAACGCGTCTCAACTCTACATGCAACAACGCCCTCAGCTTCGGGTATCATCCCCCTGTCAACACCGCAACACCACCCCTGTCAATACTACAAACTTCCAATCTATAGAGGAGGAGCGTTAGGGTCCATCATGCACTGGTCGACACGCATAAGCTGCTTGCCAGTAGCCTTGGCGATCTGGATGAACTCGCGGAGGTAGCTGACAGTGCTGGGGTAGAGGTAGTGGAGAACCACAAGGTTACCACCCTTGTCAACATCACGCTGGAAAGCGACCTTCTGCTGCTCGGGAGTGTCGGTCTCGGCCCACAACCAGTCCTCAACGTCGACGCTCCAGTTGACAATGCTAGCGGTGTTGCCAACGGCCTTTGTAAGACGCGAACGCATACGGGCACCCTCGTTACCGAAAGGAGGACGGAAGTAGGTGGAGGTGTAGCCGTTGAATTGAGACTTCATGGCCTTGACGTCCTCGTTGTACTCCCAGTCGATGGCTGCGTAGTCAGGGAGACCCTCCATCTTGGGGTGAGTGAAAGAGTGGAGAGCGAGCTGGTGGCCAGCGGCCATCATCTCCTTGTAGACGTTGGTCAGGTTGGTGGAGGCGTCGAGAAGGGGAGCGCCGACAGTGAAGAAAGTTACCTTGACGTCTTCTTCGCGGATGATCTTGAGAACCTCCTGGGCAAGGTCGGGTTGACCGTCGTCAATAGCGAAAGCGAAGGAGTTGGGGCGCTTGCAGGCGAAGACCAGGTTACCAGTCTCATCCTTCTTGGGGATTGTAGTGCCGGCTGGGACAGAGGAGACGATTTCGATGACAGAGAGGGTGACGGACTCGGTGGTGTGGAAACCCTTGAGCGCGAAACCGACGACGCGAGAGAGCTCAATGTTGAAGTGGTTGATTGGGATGTAGATATGTCCGTTCTTGGCGTAGCGACTGGCCTCAGCGGAATCCCAAGTCTCAGGGAAGGGAGCAATCTCGGTCTTGCACTGGCTGTTGTGTTGCTGGAAAGCAACGGTGAAGGCAGTGGTACCGGTGTAGGCGATGTGAAGGTAAGATCCCTTGTATTTGGTGAAGTCGGCACAGCCACCAGACACCTGAGTGTAGAAGGAGTAGTCGGCATCGGGAGAAGTGATGGTGAGCTTGCCGCTGGCGTACTTGAGAGTCATGCCCTCGTCACCACCATGCCAGTTGCCCATGGCGTTGGTGTTAGCGTTGGCGAACTTGTCAATCACAAGAGCAGTAGCCGATGGGTTGCTAGGCGCAGGGACGGTAGCAGAGGCGCCAGGGTCGGCAGAGGTGGGAGGCACGACATACTCTCCGGAGTTTCCACAGTAGAAAGCCATGGGGCCAAAGGAAGTGGTACCAGAGAAACCAGAGAAGAGGATAGTGGTAAGCTTCTCGGTGTTGAGGCCAGCGAACTTGCTGAAGGGAATGGTATACAGCTTCTCGGTGCCATCGAAAGTCCAGCCAAGGTCAGTGGCAGATGCGTAGGTAGATTTAGGGTTAGTAGGGTCGCAGTTGTCGGAGGAGTCGAGCTGGACGGACAAAGTGGCGCCCTTGGGAGCCTTGATGCGAAGAGAAATACCGGTGTACTTGTTCTTAGCATTGACACAGGGGAACTGGGTGTAGAAGTACGAGTTGGCCTTGGGAACGAACTCAACCCTGTTAGTAGCAGGCTTTCCAACGGTGACTGAAGTCATGGTAGCATCATCGGAGGTGGGGTAGCCCATGGCGTTGTAGAACAAGAAAGTCAGACGAGATTGGGAAATCCAGTCATCGATCAACAAAGGAGAGCAGGTTCCAGCGGAGGCGGTGGGAGTCGAGATAGTTGTCATGGTACTGCGGACCGAGGAGGTAGTGGCTACCTTGGTGGAAGAAGCAGAGGTAGCAACGGAGCTGCCACCTGCACTGCTACCACAACCAAAGGCGATGTTGCTCATCTGCCATGTAGCGGTAGTGGAAGAGAATCCAGCCCAAACGAGACCAGTGACGGCATTCGCGTTGGCACCAGTGAATTGAGAAAGAGGAATGTTGATGGTCTGGGTGTTACCAGTCAATCCAGTGATCGAGACGTACTTAGAGGTGTACGTGGTAGCCGAGCAGCTGGTCTTGGTCTGGATCTCAAGAGTGGCAGAGCCACCAGCGGGTCCTTTCATCTGGAAGCTGACGGAGTTGTATCCATTGGAGCTGGCAGCCTGGCAAGGGAAGGTCTCGTAAAAGTAGGATCCCGACTTGGGCTTGAAGGATAGGACGCCACCGCTGGCCGAGATGGAGGTCATGGTTCCATCGTCTGGGTTGATTAGCCATGTTCTCGTAGGAGATATTTCTTTAAGACATACCGCTGGTCCACTCGCCCAAGCTGTTCTGGTTAGAATTCTGCTTGGAAAAGTCGTCGATGTTGAGGGGTGCGCTGCAGGCTGCGTTGACAGTCTGGCTGGCGAGTCCGGCCACAAGGCCTATTAGAGTAGTAATACGCATGTTAAACGTAGTAAAGTGAGTGTAGTGCAAAAGCGAATGTACAGAAGTCTACGACTTCCAAAACTGATGAGTCTCGACACCCCGCGAGTTGACGATAAGGGCGATGAGTGGCAGGCGATAACTCGTGGAGATCCTCCCATGTGCAGAGGTCCTCCCTAGATATAACTTCCGCTCCGACGCAGCGGCGCCAGACATGACACAGGTGAGATTAAGTTAGCGGCCTCGGCGTGCACGCCTTTGCTTAACAGCCCTGTCGCTTCGGGTGCCATACGGTCTATTTTGGTTTGCCAGACTCTGGGCATTGGTAGATCACCGAAGCGCTTGAGCTGCATTAAGGATAGGCCTGCTTACTGTTCGGCTCGGGGAGCGGCTAGGGTAAGGCGGCCCCTGAGCGCGATGCATCGTTTTCTGGGCGTTTGTGGAGCACGGCATCCCGCGTGGTAGGTTTCCCATAAGCTACTCGAGCTAGGTGTCAGCAGTGGATATACTTCGTTATCACCCGTCAACGGTGCGACTTTGGTTTTCGCGATGAGTGATCAATCACCCGAGTGTCGCCGTTATGATGTCGGTAGGCAATGAGGCATGGCTTCATGGATTCTTCACGCACTGGATGTACTTGGGGCTCGGCTGAAACGACCAAGTATACTACAATTCTAGTCAACGCCTCTGGTTCAGCTCGACGAAAGGCATCCTACAAGATACGAGCGTCAATACTTGGCCTTACGAAGATTGCGATGGCGTACTTGGCCATTGGCTATGCCGAGCGTGCCGTGCAAACCACAACAGCGGGGTTGCATGAGGAGAGTTTGCTGGTGGCTGCAGGAACCGAGTGACGGCGTGCGCCGCCTCCAGGAAAAAAAAGGAACAAGGCCCAACGCAAACCAGCCTTGCCACTGCCGTAGTAGAACTGCATCCTCGGGTTACCCGGCGCAGTCTATGAGAAAGCAGAAGAAATATGAGATAAGGAAGATCTTGCGCAGTTCTAGACCACGACGCCGACGCAGTTAACCTTACCGGTCGTCGAAGGTATGATTAACTCTTGTTGGTGGTGAATGCAACAATCAAAAAGTCGCATGACATGAGAGCGTATGGCCTGAGGCTGCATATACGGTGCGAAGTGGGACAGCGCACAGTTTTTTTCCTGTTGTGGTGGCATGCACCGGTGATGCTGGTAGCATGGGATTCATGCGGCTTGCTGCGAGTCGGAAGCATCGCGATGCGGACACGGCGTAGATTGACAGCCTACACTACCAACTTTGGAAGAAAAGCAGTCGAGCCCAGCCATCTTCACCCAGCAATGTCGCCTTGTCGCAACACAGCATCCGTACTACATGTCAACATGGAAATCTGTTACTTGCAATTGCCGCTGACTTCCGCAGCTAATGCTAATGACACTGTGGCGTTATAGATGCAATCTCCCCTCGGTTCCCCTGCCAAGATGTCGCGCCTTCAGGCCACCGCGGATTGTTTCGTGTTTACCAGACACGCCTCGATAGAGTTAGCATTCTGTGAGGGCCAGCGATATATCGGAATCACGCCAGGGTGCGTCTTGGCTTTACATGACTAGTGCTTGCTTTTCTGAGAGAGTCTATTGCGCGCTTTTGAGGGAGTCTATTGCGCGCTTCTGAGGCTAGCGCATCCCATGAGCACCGACCATCTCGATTTCCGTTCCATGGTACATCAGGTCACTGGTTTCCTGGCAATACGCACATGTATGTCAATGACGATGGCAACTCTGAAAGCTCTTCGTCCATCTGAGCTTACTCAATAGAAGACGCGATGGCTGTCAGTACCACCTGTGCATCTTGTCCGAAAAGCGCCGCTGTCCGGTCGGCCAGACTCTATATGTAACACGCGTAAACAGCTTTTCATGCGTCGCATGAATTCCTTGAAGATTGGTAGTGAAGGAAAGGAGTTGGACAATCTCTAATCTGAACTAATCTCGACCATGACAACAGTCAGATTTGACAGTACGCTGTATACGGCCTCGCGGCATGTACTTATACCCCTTCGACGATAGCAAAGGGTACTGAGGCTTGCAAGCTCACCTGCAGTACTGGCGGGTTACTTCCAACATTCGATGTTGTGCGATCCCACGCTGCGAAAGTCGTAGTATACGTGCTGCGGCTATCGTTGTACGATCGGCCGCACTCGCTGACAGGCAGAACGTGATAAGCGCGAAGAAGAGTCTAGAGACGGCGTCACAACACAGGGTTATACAAGACTACATAAGGATGTGGTGCGATACTCCAGCCTTAAGGTCGAAGGCAGGTTGAAGATTGGACGGGCGTCTATATTATGGATTTTGACAGCCAGTGTAGAGCCGCTGCTACGATGTCTCCTTCACGCCATCGACATAAACTTCCACCAGCTCGTTGTAAAAGCACATATATCCAGCAATGGGCGCACTCTCCGAGGTCGGATATCGATAGTACCATACCAGATCCCTGTACATCTTTTCCCCAACATTGACATGGTAGTATTCCGCGCGCCCCTTGTACGGACACAGTGTCACCGTGTCGCTCGGTGTAAGGTGTTCCCAGTTGACGCTTGTGGGCGGGAGGTAATGCCTCGTTCTTAATGTGGTCTCCAAAAGGAACAAAGGGCTTGAGCTTTCCGCAAGTGTAACGCCATCGATGGCTACTCTGACATTGCGAGAAGAAGGCAGAATGTCGATACGCTTGTAGGGGTCTTTGGGATGGCCATATATCTGCATGTCTTCCTCGAACCATTGGTCGACAGCTCTAAAGTCAACTTTCACAAGATCTTTGAGTTTGCCGCTGTTGAAAATGAGGATGCGGTTGCTGGTGCGATTACCGACTGTCAGAATTCCTAGGTCTGCGCCTCCATTTGTCCCATCAACGGCAGAACCACGCAATAGCTTGGTGTTGGAAGTGAAGCTTGAGATCGGTACGTAGTATCTTTGGAATTTTTAGCATACTGGGGTGGTCCTTCGGTGGGCAGTCAATACTGTGGGTAGCGCAGTTCCAGTTCCCAAACATGATGCGCGTTGAGAGTATCGAACGCATATCTCCCATTGAAAAGACCTCGTACACGGCGTGCCGTGTGCTCTACCCTGCAAGGTCCGTCTCGAACAAGTCTCTGTGCTAGTCTTACGAGACTGCGTTCGTCAGCTGATTGTTCCTTGAGACATCGGAGAGCGGGTGAAGACGTAACTCGCTAGTGTTTGCCATCTTATGTGGTGCTTGTATGGTTTGAGTCCTGTATCGTATCTAGGAAGAATAGATCTTGAAAAATGGTAGGAAAGATATCGTGAGCACATGCGGAGGTCTGATGTGATGATGTAGATTACCTAGGTACCGGAAGCGGGGCCGCATGGATTGGCAGGAATAGCCGGATGCTTACCAACCTCACCGAAGACATCGTTCACTACATACACTAATCACCATGTTCGGGTCAGCAACATGCATGCGGCGGTGTCCAGGATCCTTAAAACTATGACTCTCACCTGTCTATCCATGACAAAGCCAGGAGGCTCTCAGCGGACTCATTCCGCGAAATGTACCTATCTTCCCAATGTGTACCCTGGCATGCCATCAGTACTTCCTGAACATTCAAACGACTGGCTGACAATTCAATATGGCAGTCTACGAAAGACCCTTAGCTTGTAGAAACGTCATAAGATATGTGCCGCTATGGTGCCAGATCCTCGCGAGCCATCCATGGGTACTTCCGAAGAGAGCAGTGCTTAGTAACCTCGAAAACTTCTGCGGCTGTTCTGCTCGCATCGACAACATACACATAAGCGACAGCTAACTTCTTGGCCTCTTCGTATCCACTGCCCTTCGCCCTGCTGTTCTTCTGGTGGTCCCCAGCTGCGTTCATTTCCTTCGTCTTCATCGTGGCTTTCGCCATAATCCGGTCGAGCAAGCGTTGACGAGCCTTCTCCGAACATCAATATCATTGTTCCTCGCCATCTCCCCCATCCTTCCGCCCACGAAGTCTGGCTTTCCAAGATCATCTCATTCGATACCTTCCCTGCCTCTCTTCCGCTCCGTCATTCTCTATATCCCATTCCCGCTTTTTCGTCTTATCATATTTTGCTATGTTACTTTGCTTCTTATCGCCATCGTGTATGATACCGCGTATCACAAGAGGTTCAACGTCGATGGAGAGGTCTATGGATATTTATTATGGCACTATGAATATCCATAGAATTCAAGAGAGGCATTGATGGTCAACTACGTAAAGGATCTGGTATCCTTTACACCCAAATAATTCTCTATGTCATCACCCAGCTACTGTAAGATTGTAAACTAGTCACCGTCCTCCCACCATCGTTCTTGATCCGTTTCGGTGCATACATACTACGCGTCCGTTCGTAGCACCTGCGTTACGGCCTGGCATCGGCATTCATCCAGTATTCTACTTCCTGCAAATGTATGATGTCTCGCGGACGTACCTGCGGAATCACGAAGGCATCACCACCTCACCGATCCCCTTCCAGTCTTGAAGCCCTTGACACCGTCATCCGTATGGACATGATCGTAGTCCTGGCCACAAACAGCACTGTGTCGCGGCGCTTGCGACGATATCGTGAATGTCAAGACACATCCATGAATATATGTACCTGCATTCAGACTACACCAGATGCAATCGAAGCCGCTGGACAACACCAAGAACTCATCTAGAATTATCTTGTATTACAGACGCGAACACATATGTGGTAAGATCAGCACAGCTCGACCATTACATGTGTCTAGCGTGGGTTTATGGAAACATTACCGTTCAATGTTTCGTGCGAGCGAATTGAGCCCAAGGTCATATCGTATCGCAAGTCTCAGAGCTATTTGATACGTGTCGAGGAACAAATAACCACCTTCGTTAAGCCTCGCCACAAAGGAAAGGTACTCGATGAAAATGTCCGTCTCACGATGCATACTCTATCTGACACCAGAGCTGCAGGCGTAGGGTGATGTACAATCCAGTGCGCTTCTTCATCGCTTACATGGTCGCAATCATCACGTACATGCGACAAACACATCAGAATTGCCTCCAAGCCCCCTCCCCCAATACATTGAATGCAATATCGAAATAACGCAAGCAATCGCATAATCGGGAATGAGATAGACTGCGGGCGAAACATCGTGAAGGTTGTTCAGACCTGCATCGACGTATGAATCTCTGGCGAACGTACCAAGAAGGTAGTTCCTCGCACCAGCCCCCAAACGCAGCGAAGCACCCAAGTAGACGCATGCATGGATAGGAACTTCCAAGGTTGTGCATACACCGAAGGAATCATCCTTAAGAGTTCTGAGAATCCCTTAGAGTGACTCCAAGCTAATCGGTCGTTGGAGAAGGTAGTGAGCAACAGCTGGAGAAGAAAAGAGAACATTGAAGGAGCAGGCCAAAATTAATATAGGTTTCCGGAGCCGCTAGAAGCTTGACGCACTAGTAAGCACGTGACGTTCATTCCCTGGCTAACGGCGGGGGTTGGTGACGGCGAGGTGAAAGGGCAGTGTACACATAGAAAGTAAAACGAGGCCAAGACTCACTCGAGAAAAGCCGCCATGTTGCCCAGCTCGTTGACCCCGCCCCTATTGTCTTGCCGAAACCTCCTACAAATCGAGTTGGTCGCCGCATCAGTCGGCGAAGAAGAAGATTTAGAGGCTGCATACTGGTTTGCTATGTACAACAGGGACGGTTATGAGGGAATGTGTACATCTGGCTATAGTTTAAGCAAATCGAATATAATGGCAGAATTTTACGTCGATGCCTAGGGCATACTATTGGCAGTTGGATATAGGGTCACATTTCTCGACATTAGCGATGTTGGGACGAGTTTTTGCAGCATCGGTTGATTGATATGAAGACTGGAAGATGGTCTGTTACCCCTAGTGAATAGCCCTCGGCGATTATGTACCAATGCGTCCGTGAAACAAGCCCAACGATCCGCTGTGGGACTCGCTCTTCTATACTGCGCTGTATTCTCTCATATCCATCACGATATTTTGGCCATTGACACACACTTCAACTGCACCGCGAATACTATAATGAACAAGTTCACAGAATTTATGCGCTCGTTGCGTGCTCGATTACCGACGTCAAGATCCGGAATGAACGATAAGTCTGCGAAGTCGCGCAAATCTACTTCCCTTACCTGTTTCGTACGAACCAGTACGAGCACCGGATCTGGACCAACTATAGACATCCAAGCGACTACCTGTAGTAACTTGCAAACAATGTCGACTTTCCCATCGGTATCCGACGAGCGTGTCTGCTCGGTAACTGCAGCACTGGACAGGACGATGAGTAACCTTGGGCCTATTGAAGACCGGGTCAATGCAGACACTGGTAACATAGACGCACATGCAGCACTCGAAGCCAATGTTGCCATGCTGCATTTAATGGGGAGGCCACCGCTTGATGAGCTGCAAGTCGTTGGCCAAGGATCGATGCTCTCCTTGTTTCCAAAAGATGACGATGCGATAACTAGCTACTCAAGCTGTTCTTTTGCATGCTGCTCTGCGAGACGGACTGAACGAGACCATGCAGAGCGCCTGTATGAACACGATGGATGCGTTGCGGATGAGCAGATTAGTCGTATGGCTTCGAAAATCGCGGCAAAACCATCCGCGGACTCAAGGGCGCCAAGTCTGACCAATAAAGAAAACAGCTTCGCAAGCTCGCTGGCATTGCAATCCGCGCTACAAACAGAGTGGGAATATACACAGCGGAAGCGTGACAAGGACGGGAATATGTTTGGCGGCTTTGCGCGTCCAGTTGACCGCGAGAAAGTCGCAATCTGGCTCAGTCAACAGGAAAGCATCAAAACGGAGATAATGGACTATATCTCAGATGTACAGTACCGCAGCGTTGTCCATCCTCCATTTAGGCAGCCTACGACGAATGTGACAGCGAATATCCAGCAAAAATCTGCTGATATTGAAGACGGTGCATTTACCACTGGTCACGGCTTCCATCGGCCGACTGTGTATACGAAATGCGCACCTGCCTTGACAAAGCGGTCAGCCGACTCTTGCAATATCTTCCTAGAGTGCATTGGCCTTCCAGTTTCCAAGGAAGATTATCGAACAATCACCAACAAAGAGGTCGATAACCTGCCAAACTGGTCTGATGCTGAAGATGATCCGGGATACGATGTGTTCGAAAAACGGCAGATCCAACGGTCTAAATCAGCGATTTCGTGGCCGTCTAAGACTCATGTGAAGACAAGTAATGTGACAACCGATAATGCACATTCACGGCGACACTCGATAATGACGGACGTGGAATTTGAGGCGCTGCCCGACTGGTTCGATGTAGAGGACGATCCAGAATACAACGAAGTCATGGAGTGGTCGCTTACAAATAGTTGTTACTCTTCCAAGAGCACACAAGACGTGCCGGCTATGGTATCCCCCAGCAGTGGACGCGCTCATGGCTTCGAGGTTTGCAGGTGGTAAGACACACCAAGCGCCGGCGACCATTCCGCTTTGGTCACTAGCGGATTCGCGTGTCAGGAGCCGGGCTGGACTCGCGCAGGACGACGGTTCAGGGCCAATGCGCGCCATCGTCGTCGTCGACACCTCCACCCAACACGAACGGACTACTTAATGCCACGGTGACGTCGCCTACCTGCCCATCGCAATTCGTGCAGCATAGTATCGCTCCTTGTCGGAAGCGACTGTACGGACTCCCCAGCGACCGATCAACCCCCACGGCCGCAGCGACGGCAACATGTTGAAACCGCTGGCTGGCCGTTTGGCACGGCGGCCATGGAGATTTCTCTTTCCTGGCCTCCTTGTCTTCTTTCTTATATACACACTCTCGCATCGGAGAGGGTCACATCCTCAAGCCCCGGTACATAAAGCAAAGACGAAGTCGTTTTTCCCGCCCCTCGAGACTAAAGCCGCCAATTCAATCGAGCTCGACTACTGCCAGAATTTCCCTACAAAGCTACTAGAAGAGGTGCAGGTCGTCCTCAAGGTGGCATCGGACGGAGCACACGAGACGAAAGCACACCTCAGCACTGTATCGAGCTGCATCACGAACCTGATCATCGTGGGTGATCGGGAAGAGCGATTGGGGGATAGACACGTTATCGATATCCTCGCGGAGCTCCCCAAGAGCTACGAAAAGGATAACGTGGACTTCCAAATCTACGTCGAGCATAAGAAGGCACACGAAGGTGGAGAAACGGTCAAGGAGCAGCAGCGGTCGTTCAAGCTCGATCGCTTCAAGTACCTACCCATGGTGGACAAGGCATACACGACGAACCCCTCAGCAAAATGGTTCGTCTTCATCGAGTCGGACGTCTACTTCTTCTGGGACACCCTGTTCCGTCTGCTCAGCCAACTTGACGCTTCGGAACCACACTATTTGGGTGAACCGCACAAGGGATCCGAAGGCCGCCACTTTGCCTACGGTGGCGCAGGCATTGTACTCTCCCAGGGTCTCCTCAAGCAACTGATTCCAGCCAAGAGTGCAGGGTCGACCGATATCCCGCGTGAAAACCGACTAGGTGTCCGGTACGAAAACTGGGTTAAGGAGGAGCAGCGTGGTGACGCCGTCCTTTCCTATGCCATCCAGAACGCCACTGGACACAAGCTGGAGGCCATGTACCCGACCTTCGCAAGCGATATGATCAAAGACGTCACAACTACACGCGACAAGTGGTGCGTTCCGATGCTCTCCCTGCATCAGCTCAAGCCTCAGCAAATGGAAGACTTGTGGAGATGGGAGAGGACACGGCCATACAATACTGTACGTATTCCGACAGCTCCAACTCCTGGTATGCAACCCGGCTAACACTGCTACGTAGAAACCATTCACTTACTCCTCGTTCCTCTCCTACACTCACAGCTTCCTGTCACAAGGTCCCTCCAAGGAGTGGTGGAATAACCTCTCCGAAGCCCCTGTACCGAACGACCACCCCGCACATCATAACCCCGGCTCGTGTGGTTCGGAGTGCGCTAATGACGGCAACTGCCTGCAATGGACTTACTCGGAACAAGTGTGCCGTCATGCAGATTATATAAAGCTCGGAGATGCTGTAGACAGGGAGAACGGTGGTCGAGGCGAGTTTGTCAGCGGCTGGGATGCCGGAAAGCTACGCAACATGGGCTTTGGTGTTGAGAGCGAAAACGGCCAGAGACAGTTTTACGAGGGTTGCATTGAGGCCACCTGGTTGACCCCGCAGCCGGTGTAAACAGATCATTGGTCGACAGTCTATAAAGGCGGACTTGTATTCAAGACCAGTGACACATAGGGAGGCGTTGCGGTTGCTTGTCACCACGTTCATGCATGGCGTTCTGGGTTGGCACATCATTTTGGATATGTGGAGTGTCGAGAGCAACGTGTTGAGCAAGCGCCATGTTGACAGGAAGATGGAAACCAGGCCGATGGACCTCTTGAGCGACCATAATATGAACAGAGTTTGAGCATGGACTCAAGGCATAAATTCACCAGGCGCAATGATACCGCGGGAGTTAGAACTGTACTGTATATGATAGTAGCACAAATCTTCTCACTGCACTCAGTGTCCCTTGCATGTTAGATCGATAATCGTCAAGTCCGGGGGGTTGATGACGATTTTGACCAAGCCGGTACAGAATTTCAGGCGGTGGCCGGACAGTTAAGCAACCACGATACCGTGGGTAGAAATGGACTTTATTCGCTTGGGCCAACTGATCGCCGCTGAACGGCCGTTTGCACTTCTCACACACCCTGGCAAGACGCAATACTCACCATGTTAAGATCATGCCCAGCGTCGCGAACCACTCTAGAACCACGTCAAGTACATAGCCGTTCATTAATGCTGGTTCAGATCACTACGACTCGGTCGCATTCCCGGTGTTGATGAAACTGGGCTGCAATGGTGCGTTTGACGGCGTCATTCGGTCGCTTTCTGAAAATGTCGGTTTGCGTTTTTGGTCCGCGCATGAAATTGCGCTCCGAGTACTGAAGACGTTGCTGGTGATTGGGAGCGATAGCGACATAAAGAAGAGCTGGATTGAAGTACAGCAGCTTACAGAACACCGGCTTCGTCATAGACACTTGTGTCGGCGAGATACTCTGCTTACTCTTTCGGGGTTCCCAAGCACAGTATCGGGATGCCGGACCGTCCGGTAGTTGACTAGTAGCCGTGCACTTTACCCCATATCCCGGTTGAGGAGCCTCATGACAGGAGTCTCCTTCAGCTATATTAATGCGGCCTTACCCTGACGTCGTCGGGCCTACTATAGAATATTCTATCGTTCTTCCCCTTCCCCTGCCATTGGTCAACTGGTCCACCTTCTGCAGTAACCCAAATGAAAGCGCAAACATCCCTATATTCCGGGACGTGGATAATGCCGGACGCGATGGCACCCAAGTGTCCATCTAATACGCGAACAAGCTGGGATGGCGCTGGGGTAGACATATGTTCAGTCATACGTTTTAGAGCTGTATAAAGAGTTGTCTCCACCTGCCATCTATTGTCTCATCCACTTCAAGCGCATCCACAGTCTCGACGACATTCTTCAACCATCATCATGTTTACTCAGTCACTCTTTACTCTGGCCTCGGTTGCCTCTAGCGTACTGGCTGCGCCCTACCTTCACCCCCACCCCCACGCCAACGCCGTTCGCGCTGAGCTCAAGTGCCCCATCGTCTTCGATGGCCGTGTCCCTGTCAATACCACACCCACCTTCTTCGACTCGGCTTCCACCAACACCATCTTTAACGCCGACTTCGTCAAGGGCAACAACCTGACCTGGTCGCAAATTCTCAAGTTCCCCAACGAATCCTCGCGTTTCGACGGCACCCAGTTCAAGGCTGTAGAGGTCACCATCTCCGACGAGTCCATCTTCCAGAAGCAGCAGGGCTTCCGCCGCGCAGGCCTCCAGTTCCTCAAGGATGCCGCTGACGGCGAGGGAGGCAAGGGCGTCAAGACTCTCCACTGGAGCGTCAAGCAAGACCCTGCCAGGCCATTGAACCTCACCCATGAGTACCTCAACGTATGGCATGAGGCTGCCGACTTCAGCAACAACCAGATCCAGTTTCAGACTGGATCTCTTATCGGAAAGAACGACGCCGACAAGAACCAATTCAAGATTCTTGACCGTGACAGCAAGTTCCTGTGGAGCGTCCCGATCGACCAGGCTCAATGGCAAAACTTTGCTATGAAGCTTGACTACAACAACAAGTAAATCTCCTTGTCACGAATTGAAGATTGCAATACTAACGAAATCTCTAGCCAAGTAACCATCTTCTACTCTGCCGCTCAGGCACCACTCAAGCAGGTCGCTGGTCCCCTTTCCGTCAACCTTGCTGGTGGCGGCCAGTACCAGCTCGGTATACTCAAGAAGCCTACTGGTACTTCTGATGTCGCCAACGCTGGGTTCCAGGAGAAGAACCTTGACGAGGGCCAGATCTATGGTGGTCTGTTCCTCGAGGACTCTAGCAACGGCTGTGTCTCGCTCTAAGCGTTTCGCGAACCGAATTGATGTCCTTGGAGGAATAAGCATCGATGGGGGTTGTATATAGCAGGGAGGTGAAGACTGTACATATTCGTGTGTTTTTAGTTTGCTCGGCCTGTGGCCTGATTGAATCGCATGTAATTCACTTCTTCACATGGCGTGCAGTCCAAAAATATGAAATGTGTTCCTAGCACTTCGGATCAGCCCAGATATTGCCGCAGTCACGGAGCGAAACCAGATTCTATTGCTGGTCAGCGAACATTACCCCTCCTCCATACATTGTTTCTTTTTGGGCCCCTGCACCTCGAGAACCATATAAGTTGTTGATTTGTAGCCTAGTCACACGGCAAGAAAATGCATCGCTTCCGTTGTCCGGATGTTGACACTGTTTGCGCTGCGCTGTTGCGAATTCGGAGACAGGTGGACATACGGCACCGCGGAGCACAATGACTCATTATGCGTAGCTCGGCTAATTCTAGTGAAGCCACGAATGATTTGTTCGAGCAGTAGGACGATGCCGAAAAACTTGAGGCTGAGATGAAGTGCCGTTAAGGTCTAGGATGCTGCCTGCCTATCTCGTCTTAGCGTGTACCCTGGCGGAATGATGCGTCACTCATGTCGACTTGGAAGTCTAGCCCACCGAAGTGACTCCACTGCAACCAGCCTACAAAATGTAGTCCCCTCCCACCAACAGTGTGACAGCCATTCACACGCAATCAAGCATTACAATGTCCAACGCAGCCAACACTAAAGAGATCGCGCCGTCAATCGACGTAAAGAACCTCAGTTATGCCTTTCCAGATGGTTCAAGTGGGCTGAAGGATGTGTTCCTAGACCTGCCTCCCGGCAGCAGAACACTTTTGATCGGCGGTATGCCTCAACAATGCCAGCCCAAGAAGATATTAGCTAACAGTTGCAGCCAATGGTGCGGGTAAGACGACGCTTCTTCGCCTCCTCTCCGGCAAGCGCATGGCCCCCTCCGACACCGTCCACATCGCGGGTATCGACCCTTTCAAGATGGGTCTTGAAGGCGTGACCTACCTTGGCCTCGAATGGGTACTCAACCCCATTGTCCGTACCGATATCGATGTCCCGACGCTTTTGTCCTCCATTGGCGGTGATCACTACACAGAGCGCCGCGACGAACTCGTGCGCATACTTGATATCGACCTCAGCTGGCGCATGCATGCCGTCTCGGATGGCGAGAGGAGACGTGTACAACTTGCTATGGGTCTGCTGAGACCGTGGACCATCCTGCTGTTGGATGAGATCACCGTTGATCTGGATCTGTTGTCGCGCAGCAACTTCCTCAACTTCTTGAAGAAGGAGACGCAGGAACGCCCATGCACTATCGTATACGCGACGCACATTTTGGACAACCTCGCGACATGGCCTACACATCTCGTGCACATGAGCTTAGGCAAGGTCAAGAAGTGGGGCAGCACCGAAGAGATGGATGTCAAGGTCGAGCAGGGCGAGCGCATGTACACCGGAAACAGCCAACTGGGTGAGCTGGTGTTGAAGTGGCTCCAAGAGGATCTGACTGAGAGGGGACCAAGGAACGGAAAGGGCGAGGGGGCTACGTACCAGAATCTAGAGGGCAAAGGTGGTTATGGAGCCGAGAAGAGAGTCGAGGACAAGTGAGGATGAAGCGGATGACAACACATCTCGACGCGCTTCAACAATGCGCGTCGATGAAGTTTCAACAGGCGTTTGGGCGGCACTCAACGATGATACCCCATCAGATTCAACAACTAAATTCCATTCAAAACTACATTTCGAACATGTTCCAACAAGTTTATTGACTTTCAACGCTGGCCAACATACGCGTGCTCGTGATTCTCTTGTCCAGACTTTCTCACCAGTCGTGCCATGCTTCTTTCCTCTAGAATGGCCCAAGGGAGACTTTCAACTAGTACCGAAGAGGAAAGGCGCATCCCCGCTTGACGCTAACCAGCATTTTCGGCCACTCATTCATTCGTGGCCCTCTCCATCATTCCGTCGGATGCATGTTACGGTTCGCAAGAGCGTTCAATAAATACAAGATGGCTAAACCGCCGCACAAACCCCTTATCACTATTGTGGGTGCGACAGGTACCGGCAAATCAGATGTAAAGCCCGCATTGCTCATTTAGACCATATCTTGCTGACCACAACAGGTAGCTGGCTGTAGAGATCGCGCGAAAGTACAATGGCGAAATCATCAACGGAGATGCTATGCAGCTGTATCGTGGGTTGCCCATTATCACCAACAAGATCACGCAGGATGAAACGAAAGGGGTTCCTCACCATCTCCTCGGCTGCATAAGCTTGGAAGAAGAGACTTGGACTGTGGGGAAATTTGTAGGCGAGGCTTTGAGAACAGTATGGCTAATGATTATTCAATTCTGTATCAGGACTGACGTGCCTAGATCGACGAAATCCGAAGTCGAGGCAAGCTACCGGTTTTGGTTGGTGGGACTCACTATTACACGCAATCACTTTTGTTCCAGGATGCGCTAGCCGATGAGCCTGAGCTTAATTTGAACGAGAACAGTAAGCCTCTTCCGGTGCTGGGAGAGTCGACTGAAGTTCTGCATACGAAACTGAGAGAGGTTGATCCTATCATGGCCGACAGGTGGCATCCGAACGAGCGGCGCAAGATCCAGCGCTCACTTGAGATATACCTTAGAACGGGAAAGCCAGCTTCGCAGCTCTACAAGGAGCAAAAGCTTCAACGCGACGCTCTTGCTGATCAGGCCAATGGAGCGGCATCTGATAGTCTTCGCTTTGAAACTCTAGTTTTCTGGGTGCACGCAAACAAGGACGTGCTGCATCGCCGTCTTGATGGCCGTGTTGACAAGATGATCGCTAGAGGCCTCCTGTCTGAAGTCAAGCAACTTAACAGCTTCCGTGAACACCGAGAATCCAGTACTGGTACAAACATTGACCAGACTCGCGGCATCTGGGTATCAATAGGATACAAAGAGTTCCTGGACTACCAAAGTGCTCTCTCGGGCCATGCAAAGACGGCCTCTGAGCTAGAGAAGTTGAAGATTTCAGCCATTGAGAAGACGCAAGCTGCTACACGACAATACGCCAACCGCCAGATCAAGTGGATCCGGATCAAGCTTCTCAATGCACTGATTGGTGCAGGCCAGGAGGACAACACCTTCCTTGTTGATGGCTCTGATATATCGGAATGGGAGGACACCGTTGTGAAGCCTGCTTTGACCGTCACCGAACGATTCCTTTCTGGTCAATCCTTACCTTCACCCTCAACATTATCACCAGCAGCAGCAGAGATGCTGACACCGAAGCGTGAATATGATCTGGGACAGCGACCAGACCTCTGGCAGAAGAAGGTCTGTGAGATATGCGGTACGACAGCTATTACTGAGAATGACTGGAATCTGCACCGCCAAAGCCGCGCTCATCGACGTGCAGTAGGCGCGAGAAAGAAGCAGGAGAATGCACACAAGATGCGAAATGGTGGCACCAAAAGTCCTAAAGAAGAGGTGGTTGATGTTCTCGAACACTATCTGGATAACCTCTCAAAAGGACAAGAGCTCAAATGAGGGGTGAGCTGATGTGTCGGCTTTGTGGAGCCAACTTCGCCCTCATCTTCTCCTCGCTTTCAGCAACTACATCCGCAAACATCCTCGTCACAAATAATGCAGGCGCCATCGCGGAAAGGATCGGACTTACAGTCCTTGTCGTGCCCATTCTTACAAGTTATCCAATCCCCGTTACCTCTTTCCAGAGCCAGCTAGCACCATTCTCCTTTGCTGCTGCATTTGTCCCAGCAGTAGCCGTCCTGGCATCCATAGGAACGTACAGCGCAACCGCGTGTGTGGACACCTCCGAGATTCATAGGTTGCTCCAAAGGGTGGATACGTTCGGGAAAGCGATCTTCGTGAACGACGTTGCGATTGACGTCGCCTGGGGTCATGTAGGGTGAGGAGGGGATAGCTGTGGCAGTGCCAAGAAGAATGGCGAAGGTGATAATGAACTTCATAATGGCAATCCGTCTAGTGACGACGTTAGTAAGATCGCACACTTATGACCTGAGCGTTAGCAATGCTCCAACATCGCTCTTACCACTTGGAGAGTGTCGTAAGTCTCGGACCCGGGTGTACGAGATGCGCTGACGGGTTAGAAGTCCCGCTCGAAGAAGGAAGAGGAAGCATGTTTTGTATTGCTGTACATTCTCACTCTCTTCTCAACTTTATATACAACTTCTCATGTCCTCGCAGGATTCGGACTCTCCAACAACGCATGCAGCATTCACCCGATATCATGGTCAATCCGCTCGGGCCTGTCGCACTTCTTGCGGTGTGACCTGAATAGAATCCAACGGAAACGAGGCAAAGCTGTGTCTACGATGTTTTCGGGTCTTCGTTTCCTTATCAGGTGTTCAGCTTCGACGTCATTGCATTGTGGCTGCATGCTTACCTGCATACATATGCCTTGGCCAATCCGTGCTTTTCGAGTACGAGACATGCCACATCATACGACCTTATGCTTATCATTTCAAAAATTGCTAAGGGGAGGTTATAACGCCTGTGTCTGGTTTTCGCTTATAAAAGGCCTATCCCGTTCTTGTGTCATTTCAAAGAGCCATAACGAATATGCTAAGTTCTTATGGATCTTGAAGCTTTAGTAGTCTCTCGATTCAAACTTGTTCCAATCGGTATTCGACGACATCAGCCGGACTACTTCGAATCGACTAGGTACCGAGGCACAGTACGACTCAGAGGCGAACAGCTACCATGGTCACTCACGTGCAAAGGCAAAAGGTGCGCAGCCGCGAGTCGATGATGGAAGTGTAACTTTCGTCAGGAGGCGTTGTTAGTTATCGGTGGTAGCTATACCGGAGTGTTGACAGTAAGTCTTGATAGGTTCGGTATTCAGGGCTACTTAGGCAACGTACAGGAACCATCGACCTAGCCCACGCTAGAGCCCTTAGCAATTGTCCCTTGCACGCTTGCGCCTCCGGATTCTGGTTCACAGGTGGAAAATTGATAATAGATTCTATTAGTGCGGCGCGGGCGTATCAGCTTCGCGATATATCCTCAATCTCTACCACAGTTGCGAAACATAACCACCGCTACGCTCAGCACAGCTTACGATCTTGACGATAATCCCAACGGTATATATATCTATACTCTTCTCATTTGGTCCAGACGTCTTGTTGCCCTTCTACACCCCTTATTCCTTTGCTTCTATGTCGCAATGATGGACAATGATATAGAAATGCCAAGGGATGAATTGAATCGACCTACTCGAAATCTTGAAGGTTTACCTGACGAACTACTTCTCAAAATCTTGGGCTACCTCCGGCCTAATACTCGATTCTACCCTACAGATATCGTGTTCCTTCTGCGAGAAGTCGACGCTGAAGGAATACGTTCCTTACTTGATACTTGTTTGACATCAAAACAGCTCCGAAGAGTTGCACAACCTCTGCTTTACAAAACTGTACATTTTTGGGGATGGGGAGAGTATTTCGACGACGAGGATCAAGAGGAAGAGGAAGATGGAGAAGCCAGTAACTCGATTTCGCCGGGCATTGTTCATCAGTTGACTTGTCTTCTTCGGACCATACGTGTGCGTCCGGATTTGGCCAGATCTGTCAAGATAATACGAAGCCCTCATCGTCTAGGTAGAAGACGGCAGGACAGTGAATGGTTAAAGGAAGAAAAGGCTATGGAACAAGCGACAAAAGAAGCGATCGATGCAGACCTGAGAGGTATGGTGCGGGAAATAAGCAACACTCATGCGGCAGAACTTTGGTCCAAAATGTTCTATGAAACTCCAGGACAAGCACAGATGCTGCTATTGCTTTGGTCAAGTCCGAACATATCGGAGTTGACGCTGGGTGCCTACGACGGCTCGCTGTGCCAACTCCTCGGTCTCAAACTTGCGTCCAACGTTTTTGATTTCCATGGATACAAGAGGCTCGACACGATCAATATTAACACGGACGAAGGAACCATGCCTCATCCCGGTGGCCGCAAGATACCGTCTTCATCATATCCAAATCCTGAGCCATACGACCACTGTATCTCTTCATTCGAGTGCCTTCCTGCATTGCGTCATTATCGTCATGACTACCCAACCGACGTACACGGCGTACTCAGCAGATCTAGTATACGTCTAGATTTCAGGGGAGATGGGCTCCGGAACTTGCGTACCCTGCACCTTGTCGACTGCTTAATCTCTATGGAACAGATTCTTGATACTGTACGATCATGTCGTTTCCTGACAGAGTTTCGCTTCAGACCAGCCAATATGGTGATCAACCCCAACGACGCCAACGAAGTCACGCATCTGGATTTTGCAGGCCTTTGCGAAGCTCTTGGTCAAAGCAAAGAATCACTGCGATATCTTTACCTCTCTATGGGGCGCAACAATTCGTATGTCTCATACGTGGACACCTACACGACTCTCGCAGCTGGCACGTTGGTAGGGTTTTCCGAGTTACAGACTCTAGTAGTGCCAGCTGCTATCCTTACAAGAAGACCTGAAAAGGTCGACCCTGATGATTTCCACTTTGACGAACGCAATCTGCAAGTTATCAGCCACCTACCCACGTCGATCGTATCATTAGGTCTCAGCAATGAACAGCTGTATCGAACGCGCGAAGAAGATGAATACAAATCGCTAGCAAGGGAGGCTATTGCACAATTAGCGAGTGGCTTAGGAAGACTACCAAAGCTTCAAGCCATACACATGTTACACCCACGTAAGTCAGGAATAGTGTTTTCACAGGAGTTCCAGCGTCGTTGTGCAAAAGAAGGGATAGAATACGTGGTAAAGGCCTCTCTATTGGACGACGAATTTTTGCTAAGGTATTATGGGGTCTCCGAGTACTCGGATGGATAGACTCTTCCGTTATCTGATCATAGATGTTATTGGCTTGTCGCTTGAGTATTTCCAACAAGGTCAAGGTCTTTAGTGTGTGCACTGTAGTGATATTGTGCATTTCGCAAGAGCTACTCGTCATCAGAGCAACATATTCTAGACGCGTTGTATGAAGGAGTTGGGCTTCTTGCTCAAAAGCAACAGGGAGCATCAATGGATTCACCCCCATACGTCTCTAATCACTCAAAAATAGAAAGCAGCAGGTATTACATATGAGGAGTGTTGATGCACAGGCAGGGCAACACAACGCGATCAGATAACTCAATACAATAATCTCAATGCAGAAAAGCAGCAGATATTTCCAGGATACATTATGGTCTATGAAACATTGTAAAGGGATGAGCTTATTCGGATGCTACTTAGGTAACCTGGCAACTTCATCTTGTGATCTCAGTCGTCTAGCAGTCCGAATCAAGTCTGCGCAAGAACACCCGACCTCTCAACGGTAACATTATTAATCACCGTCTTGCAGTACGTACAATAACATGCCCTAAATACCCCCTGCGAAGAACCGTGAGATTGAGAGCTGACTTTATTCGGCAGCAATTGCGTGTGATGAGGGTGTAGCCTAGCATCACGTTGAGGTGCTTCTTGCGTTGTAGATTGAGCGCAATATCCGCAGCGAGCACGGGATACGCTAGCAATGTCTTTTCGAAATCAGCCGTGTGAATCTTGTCGACATAATTGGCAAGAATCACGGATACGATGACGCGTCCCATAGGTGTATCGGCTTTAGGTTGGTTCTCGTAGTATTGGGTGGCCATAGTCGATACGAATTTCCAATTGCTCGCACCGCCAAGAAGAAGCACCTCGAGATCTTCACATGCGGGCTTGTAGAGCTTTGGGACGTCATACTTGTCGGCAAGACCGTAGATGTTGCTGGATAGGAAACCGCGCTCGTTCATATCTCCAGCGGCAAGCTTGGCCAAGACATCCTTGTCGTAGTTGTCGGAGTACATGAACTTTAGCATAAACTCAAAGAGCTCGGAGGGATCGTGGTGTAATTCCATGGAGCTCTCAGTTGCTTCCTTGAAAGACGATCAGTCAATGAGCAAGTTTGACAATTGTTTGGTCAAGAAGCACCTTGAAGCTGCCTGTAAATGCCTTGAGAAAAAAATCCGGATTCCTTGCACAAGATCGCTTTGTGAGCATAGTACTTACGCACTGTGTCTTTGTAAATCTGCTTGAGCTTGATGTCGGAAAGTATGTGATTGTTGAACAGTCTTCGCAGGATCAGTAGGTTTGTGATTGTAGTAAATTCTGAATACTTACGTCGTCGACGACACGCTGAAAGTATTTGCCATGATAGATAGTACTAGTTTATAGTTTTCCAAAGTGCAGTAGCAGTTGGGAAAGTTGTAGAGGAGAGCGATCCCATTGGAAAGAGTGGAATAATAAAAAAGTGCCTTTGTACTTCTAGGGTTTTTTTTCTAGCGTGGGTTGTACCTGAGTGGCGACAGAGTGGGTGAAGGTGACATTGTGGCACAAAGGTAGTACCAAACCACAGCACTCGGTGAATGCCTTCAGAAGGCCGTGCTTTTCCAAGACCTTATATGCGCAAGCAAGGTGGACAAGCCATGCATGAATTCTGTAATTTCAGTGTACCCGAACTTAGGGAAAGTAGTCTTGAATGAGAGGAATGGCAAGTATAATGTGCTAGTGTAAAGGAACTCGCGACGATGCTCGAAGTCGAAAAGTCATTGCCGAAAATCTCGAAGATAGAAGTGAACCAATATAGAACGCTATGATGAGATATAGTACTCGAAATGTACCTTTGCGAATTACTTATATATGCGCATGCTATGGCCTACATCACCAGAACATCCATAAGGTCTTTCCAACCATCTGCTCGTCTCAAGACCGGGTCTGATCAATGCGACCAGACGCTCACAAGTCGTCAATGAGCGGACTAAGACCCTGTGCGGTGCCAATCTTGTCCTCATAAAAGTATCTTATCCTCTCGAGGTTCGCACGATCTTCCATCCACGAAGCAAATGCGGGCGCATCCGTATTAGGCTGCTGAAGGATTGTCTCCGCGCCTTCAGGCGCCGGGACGTCCTCAAGAACACTCCAGCCACCGCCCAGTTGGTAGTCATCACTAAGCATGAAGCTGTGCAGCAGCTTTGCGCCTTCGGGGTGCGGTGCATCTTTCAAGATGGCGCCGGTCTGAGCCCAAGAGACAAATTTGGCATCGCTAGGAAGCGCGTATCTAACAGGTAGCCGGTCTTCAAACGAGTAGCCTCCGGTGAAGGTCACCGCACTGCTGCTGTTGGCGGCGCGGATGAGTGTGTCGGGGGTTTCTGTGCCACGCACCCAGTGGGGGTTGTTGGCTAGTAGGGCGTCGAACCATTCTTGGCCGAGCTCTTGTATGCTGTGGATGTTTGTAAGTCAACCTGTTTACCCAGTATGGGGAGATGGTCATACATAAGTTCGAACTGGTACATAATCGCATCATCGTCGTTGGGGTAAGTCAGGACGATCTTATCTTTGAACTCGGGTTTAGTGAAGTCTTGATATGAATTTGGCAAGGTGCTCGTCTTGTTCATGTTGGCAGAGATGCTGTTCTTCTTTAGCTTTTGTAACGAACGGCATACCGAGAAGTATCATACCCCCAATTGAAGATGAGCAATCCACTGTAAGCTGCGTCTTTATCCTTGAACTCGGGATAGACCTTGTCGAAGTTCAACGGTGCGTAGTTCGATAGAGCACCTTCTTTCTTCCAGCGTGGATAGTCGTGCAGCGTCTGCAAGACGATGCTGTCGACATAGACATTGTCGGCTGCCAGTTGGGCGTCAAGATTGGTATCGTGGTACTTCGACAGATCGACGGTGACGTTGAGCGTCATGTTGGGGAATCGTGCTTCAAAGGCGCTCTTCAGGCCATTCTGTTGATTCTTTTCATCGCCGCCATGCCAAAGAGTGACAACACCGCCTTCGGCCAGAGCTGCTTGGTAGATCTCATCGATAGTGCGCGTTTCCTTCTCAAAGGTCGTGGTGTTTGGGGCATAAGCTGCTAGAGAGGCCCCGGCGAAGAGTGCCAGGCTGGAGAATGTAGAGCGCATGGTGACTTGTATCGGTCGATTTGGTGGAGTGCAATCGAGGCACAGCACATCTTATACTGGCAAACTCTACTCACAGACCTATACGCTAACGATACTATCACTACAGGTTGATTACGATCATTGCTTCCTGTTCCACATGAGTAATCGCGGCAGTGTTCCGTCTTCGGTCCTTTAGAACTTGGTAGCGGGCCGAATCGTCGTACCACAGCTTTGCACAGACGTGACGTATTTGGGTAGTGCGGACGACGTTATGAAAGCAGAGAATTTGTAGTCCAAACCTGCAGCAGTATGGTAAAGAGCTATCGATACATGCGCCGTCTATCACCTAGCACTTGCCAAGACTAGTTGACGCGACATCAGCAAGTTCCCCCAGCGCGGGCCGTGTGGGTATGATGACGCTAGGTAGCTCTCCTGCTAAGCCTACACCATGATACAAGCAAAAGAACTGGAGCAACGACATGGCAACCTTGTCTTGCTTGACTCTGGTTAGCCTCAAAGAGACTTCGAGGTAACAGTTTTGATGAGCGGGATAGAAGTGGGGACAGAGTGTTTGCGCGCGGCCACCGGGTCACGTTAACGTCTAACCCCTCTCGGGTAAGGTCGGCTGCGCCCCCTATTGCGTGATGCCCATGTCCCCGGCTGTCGGCATCGTTATCGAAGCTTCACCTTGTTCCAGTAGTCTGGAAGCATATCATCGCAATCTCGTACACCTTTGCGACCGATGGCGCAGCCGGAGAATGTCCGGAGACCGCAGGTTACACGTATCGGATGATGAACGCACCATGTCGTCCGAGGAGCCGCCTGCCAAAAAGCAACGAACGCTAGCCTGCCAGCGATGTCGCTTTCGGAAACAGAAGTGCGAAGACAGTCGACCATGCCAGAATTGTATCAAAGGAGATGAAGAATGTGTACCGACTCAGCCAGCACCTCGCCCGCAAGTCGAAAGCGAGTATGTGCGCATCCTAGAGCGGCGTATCGCTGAGCTTGAGTCTCTGGACCCGCAACAAAGTCTTGATCACCTAGGGAGACCCTCTGACAGGCCCGTTCAAGAGCTAAACCCCGGTACATCGCCAGCAAGCAGTGGAATGCCGAGTAGCGGTGTTAGAGGCGCAACTGCCAGTCCTTCTGTTCAGCGGATCGCACCACCGCGACGGCCGTCTATTCTTTCCGGATCATCGCCAGGTTATCCAATAGCTTCTGGTCTCGACGATGAGCCAGATTTGAATCATCTCATTTTTGGTCTTATTGCATCTCCATCAGCGCAATTTCCAGTTCACGATGCTACTGTCAGCCCGACAAATCCAGAACTGGGGCAGGCGGTACTACACAGCGCCCATGCATTGTTGGGCAGCATGTCTCTAGAGATGGAGGAAGTAATGTTGAACGCGTATCGCGAACGAGCTCAAGCGCAGTATCCCTTTTTCCACTGGGACACATTCATTACATGGCATTCAGAGTGGAAGCATTGCCTGCCTTGTGACCTTAAAGAACGAGCCTGGCAAGGGTTCTTCATCAATCTCGTTTATGCGACATCTTTGGTACTCCTGCGTCAACAGTATACGGCAACTCTCAATGCGAGAGAGTTTTACAACAGTGGAATCTCGCTACTTCCAGCTGTGCTACGTCAACCAGATAGAATTCTTCACGTACAAGCGTATCTCCTGCTATCTATCCATGCACTACATCAGAGTTCCACGGAACGCATCATTTCTCTTGCCTCCACAGCTATGAGACAATGCGTCCAGCAACAATTACACCTCGGTGAGATGGAGCCGCCATCAGCGAATGTACAGACGAAGCTCATGATTCAAGTCCGTCGACGATGCTTTTGGTGTGCGTACTTGCTCGATCGATTAGTTATGTCATCATTCGATCTTCCCCCATCCATTCCAGACTACATGATCACTGTAAGGCCATTCGCTAACATCGATGACCATGACCTGGAAGAAGCTGCCGCGATAACTCCACCTAGTCAGGACTTGGCTGATTCTCAGCAATACACGTGCAATTCTTCAGCGCTTCACATACTCCAGTGCCGGCGCATACAATCCGAAATTAGTGCTGTTACACTTCGGTGGGATTATAACGCTCAGTTTGAGAACGCTTCAGACTGGCGGATAAGAATTCTTACAGAGCTGGAAAACTTCAAGTCTCGCGTGAAGAACTTCTCAGATCCAGAATCGAAGGGTTACACATCGCAACGCTGGCAAGCTATGATATACCACTATACATTGCTCATGCTATATCGGCCGACGAAAGCGAATGTAGTCGGATCCGCTGGCGACTGGTCTGTTCAAGCCAGTAGTCAAGCTTGTTTGATGTTTCGCAAGACCCAGATCGATCGTCAGATTGCTCAGCCATGGCTTGCAGTGAGTATGACCCAACATCTAATGACGCTTCTGCTAATATGAGCAGCTTCTTGTTCAGTTTCAGTCCGGTATCACACTGCTGTACTGCTTCTGGGCTACTCCACCGGAACGCAGAACCGAAAACTACTATTCTCTCGATGTTCCCGACGCGCTACGTGCCTGCTCCAATATTCTCGCAATAATGGCAGATCGGTGGGCGAAGGCAGAATGTCTGCGAGACGTCTTTGAACTACTGGCGCGCGAGATACCGCTAGTCGACCGACCGAACAAGCCACCGACCCGGTTATCGGGGAAAACGGTCACGACGATTCAAGCGCACCTTCCGCAGGTTCGTGCACTAGTAGTGCATCGTCCGGCGTTGCGCATGATCGATGAAATGATAAACGAGGACTTCCCCCGCTCAGCACAGCCTTCCCAGCCCCCATCAGTCGCTGGCATGCTCGCTCCAATCCAGCAGGAACCTGAGGATCATTTCGACACTCAGCTACAACAGATCAATGCAAACTTTCAAATGCCATTCTCCATGCAGCAGCCATTTGAATACGGAATTGCGGAACCTGGACTTCACGATCTTGATATTGAGGGCCTGCTATCATTTCCTGGCGTTTTCGACTTCGAGGGCTGGACATGACGATCGAGTTGAAGACGGAGAATTATTAAGGCTGAATTACTTGTGATATTACAACTATCAATGTCTCTAGAAGTTGGCTGCTTTTCCCTTCTCTACGATCGTTTCTCCCGCGACTGTCTCGAAGAATGCATCCGCCAGGTACCCACCGCAATAACTCAACTTCTCAAACCCATCAGTCATAGGCTTCGAGTTAAGAGCCGGACCTTGGACCGACTGCAAGTAGCCAGCGATGCCTTGCTCCTGCCACATCTTCGCAAATTGCACCGTCACCATGTTCAGACCTTGTAGACTCCAGATCGGCTGGACCTGCCATACGATGCCTAGCTTGGCAAGGTCAAGATGTAGGTTTTTGATCTTTTCGTCGTTGAAGCCGGCTTTTGCATAGTCGTAGTCACCGGTGTAGCCAAAGGCGAAGAGCCGGTCCGGGTACACCTTACGAACTTCCGTATGAAACTCGACAATGTCTCCCCAATTGGGTGAATCCATACGCGCCCAGGTCACGTCCCCGAGTGGCGCAGCGGCAATGGCACGCTCGACGATGCCTTTGACGCAGCTCTTGAGCATATACTGTCCCATGGCTGATCGCGATAGCTCCCAGTCGAAGAACACTTCCTGTTTAACGGTCTTGGCTGCGATATCGCGACGATGAGACAGGGAAGCAAACTTCTGCTTCGACAGTTCCACCTTGTATGCGGCAAACTCTTCTTTTGAGGCAATGGTCTCAACAGCCTCGTCGAAGGTCTTAATACCCGCCTTCGCCTTCCACTTGTCCCGCGTAGCCTTCAAATCTTTGCCTTCAGTCTGCGCCGCCTGAAGACAGTTCTGCAACGGCTCCACCTTCTTCGTCGCACCCTGCACATACTCATGGTCGCGCTCATCAACAACACTGGTGATGAATTCGGCATGGTCTGTGTCACAGCGGCATAACAGTAGCGTCTCCGCGCTCATGACGTCAAATTGCATCCGCACAGCTGTCAAGCGATCGAGATACTCCCGAGTCGGCACGATAGTCCGTCCTTGACCGACCGTGAACTTTTTCATGCCGATGGCTAAGTCGTCAATGTGTATCATCGCCACACCAGCGTCCACGAACTCGCGCGCCATCTTCATCGTACTTGTCAGGCTACCGAAGCCCATATCGCCATCTGCAACGATAGGTGCCATGTAATCCCAGTTCTCCAGTCTTTCTCGCTCCTTAATCGGATGTCGCAATCGGTACTGCCGTTGTCGCTGATCATGCCAAAGTTGGCTCTTGAAGATCTTTGATACAACCTTTGGAACAGTATCCCAAGGGTAGTCCGCGTGGTCCATCCCCGGGAGTGCGACCTCGGAGAATCCACATAGAGCGCCAGATACATAAACGGTTTGCTGGTGTTTTGCCATCTGCGAAACCGCAACGGGATCCGTGGTACCAAATGTCAATTCGCATGTTCCAGCTTTGTTATGCGCGTGCAGTTGGTGCCAGAGCTTGATGGCTTGAGTCGAAGAGGCGTTCGAGGGTGCAGGAATAGAGGCTCGGAGCGCGGCTATAGTGCTTGCAGAGTATGGCCTAGGAACGGGATCAGCTCAATTCGGTCGCGAAACGGCTTTACAGTTGATGAAGTCCTACATACCGCTTCAAGTGCGACTGTCTGGCAGAGCTCCATTGCTTCTCGATCGTAGCCACATCAGCTTCGAAAGCCTTTTGCTCATCTTGAACGGATATATCAAGTTTTGGCATGGTGATAGATGCGTCACGGTAATTTATGAGTATGGCGTTTTTGAATTTTGTAGCTCATGAAATGGATTGCTTGTATCAAGAGGGTACTTCTGAGCATTTATCCCTAAAACATCGCTCCTCTTGGAGGAAGCCTACTCAACGTTCAATGCGCGACGAGCGTAGCTGCCCTAGTCATCCAGCTCATGCAGGGTACCCGCCTTCTCCACTATACGAAGGCGCACGGTCCGCGTGTTGTCGCACTTTCGCACTTTGGAGTCCGACAGAGGCCGTTATCGGGAGATGAGCGACAGCCACGAGGTGCTCCACTTTTGGAGTGCGGAGGCACACGATTGATCGGTTCGCGACTTCCGAAGAATGCCCGCTCCGTTTCGCTAACCCAACATGCGCTTTTCGCGTGCAAGACATTGAGTACTATTATTGCAACAGATAGCTCTGTGTCATTTGGGCGGAGATGGCAATGGCTGTTGTTCGTAAATGCGTGAGATCACGAATTGCGCTACTACGCATGTATCAATGTTACAAGTGCATCGGTATGCTCAAAACGTGTTTGTTTATGAAAAATATTTCCCTAATTCTGCAGACTTTGTTTGCATTTCGTTCCGTCTTCCGCAAAATCTACCATACGTATCGAAAGTGCACGTTCTGCTTGTCAGTCAGATCACGGAAGTCGGTATCTGCGTGTACCCTTCCACCCTTATCGAAGTCAATGCGGTCGCGCCTACGATTCTCATACCAACAATACGTCGCATACATGGCGATCGTGATCATCGATAATACGTAGCTCCCCAGAACAGCGCCCATACCAAGTGGATACAGCGGGGCCTGGTCAGCCTTGAAAAACTGCGGCGCGATGATATTGCTAACACAGTAGGCGATGAAGACCAAAGCATTGACGGTGACTTTCTTGGTGTGGCCCGCAGTGTTTGCCGTGTTGATACCGAGTGCAACGATGTAGGGACCAAGGTAGAAGTACGAGCAGTACAACGCTGCGAGACGACCGTTGTAGTTGTCGAGAGGTAGAACATAGAGAAACACTGCAGATATCATACCGACAACAATACCGAACATGACCCAAGCAGTTCGCAGCTGCTTCGCGGGGAAGTACTTCGCAGTCAGGAAGACACCGCCGTTACAGACGTATGATGCCACAGTCTGCAAGATACCGGTAGGCATTGTGAGGAGCGTTGAGCGCTGAGAGGTGTAACCGAGCCCCTTGATGATTAGAGGTGTAAAGTTTGTTAAGCCTCCATTGGGGACTCGGACACGTCAGCTTATACTTCCAATAATGATAGGTCGAGTTTGCTTACTGCTGATCCAGATATGGAAGAAGAACATCAGCCATGTCTTCGGGTCGAGAAATGCTTCAATCATTTGCTCCTTCTTAAACGTCTTGTTTTCCACTCCCGTCTGATCCTGCCGGATTTTATCGATTACAATGGCCTTCTGCCGCTCCGTGACAAACTTCGCTTTGACAGGATTGTCAGGCAAGAAAATTCCGATCACACAAGCCCATACAATGGTCATTGCGCCTGTGATCCAGAACATAGCGCGCCATTGGTGTTCGCCTGCCAGGAAACCGATTCCATACCCGATAGGACCAGTGAAGCATACAGAAAGACCAGTATACATTAGACCTGTTCGAAGTGGTTGTTCACGTCGAGGATACCACATGCCGATGATGAGGAAATTGCCTGGGACGATGGGCGCTTCGAGAGCTCCAAGCAGCACACGTAGTGCAATAAGGGTGGGGAAGTTATTCGCAAAGCCGGTTGCGATGAGGATACAGCCCCAGAGGAGTTGCACGACGAACATGAGTTTGGCTATCGGAAAGCGCTGAAGTAGACTGCCGCTGGGTAGGCACCAAAATAGATAACCAAACTACTTGCAATATCAGCACTGTGGATGTGGTGCAAATTAGAATTGCTTACATAGAAGGCGCTGCCGACCCAGCTATATCTATCTCCAGTCAAACCGGTATCAGCTCGGAAGCCATACAAGGCAGCGGTAGCAGTCGTCACTTTGTCCATAGCGCCTAACGTGATGTTGACTGAGGAAAGTATCAGCAAGTGCTTCCCATCAACTTCTCTGGCAAGTACTCACACCATAACAATGGCACAAGACGCAAGTCTAGCTTCCATCGCAAGCGAGTTGCTTCCTTTCGTGTGTAGGCATTCTCGCCCGTCAGATGATGAGCGTAGGCGGCGGCTACGTCAACATTGGCTGAAGCAACTTCACCTATCTTGACGGAATGCGTGTCTTCGACGTCGGCAGACGACATAACCTTGTTGTCGTCGGTCATGTTAGCGATAGATGGAGTGGAGGCGGAAATGCAAAAAGGAGCTCCCGTTGGGTGTTTCGAACACTCTCAGATGTGTGTTTTATAAGAGACCAAGGTTAAGACCAAGACCACGAACCATATCACGAATGTGTATCTTGGTATCTCGTTGGGTGTCGCTATCTCCAACTAGACAGCGGTTGAACGGGATATGGACCATCAGAGCCCAGCTCGATAAGACTATCACTACGTCCTTGACTCGTAGACGCTGTTGTTCTCCGCATTTTGGCGGCGGCAACGATCAACCGGTTCGTATGCCCATGTAAGTTGCTTAGCGTCAAAGGAACAAAGAGCTGATCCTTCGGACTCTCAAGTCCGTTGGTGGGTCACAGCCGATGGTGGGCTGTCAGGCCCTCGCACCATACCTCAGTAGTGCTAGCTCAGAGTTTCCCAAATCCCGAGAACTAGGATTCGTCTGGGTAGACGATGTACATATGTCATGAAGTATGGATGCAGTAAGACGATGGTCTAAGGAACGCTGGGTTTACACAGAACGTATGGTCCGGTAGTTCCTCGTCTGCACATTAGCGCAACGATCGCGTGTTGCGGCGAAAGAGAACATCTCGACGACCATGTTTGAGACGTCTTGGTTGTATTCGATCGAGGTAGGTTGGGTTAGTAGTCGTCTGTGATGGAAGACGTGGCAAATCGCGAGATAGTCGCGAAACATCAACCGCTTATCGGCGGCTCTCACGTGCACCGCCGAATTCGGACGCATATCCCGAGAACGAGATAGGCAAGACAGGTGTATCGATAATAAAGACTTGTTTGGTGGTAAACAAATACTTCGAAGCTGTCATACTTGTTCTTTTGCAACTATGGCACAAATTTTGCGTATCTGCATGCTCAACGCCGACGCACCAGTTCCAGCGGTGGCTGCCGAACGTGCCCCCACTTATGGGCGCATCTTCCACAATCTTCTCTCTTCCGCCGTTGCCAACACCAAGTCATCGCGACAATCATCAGAAGACAATCTCTATATCACGTCTACAGACTTCGACGTCGTGAAGAACGAATATCCCGCTTCTGTAACTGAATTCGATGCTATAATTATCTCTGGCTCGGCGAATTCGGCATACGACGATTTACCTTGGGTACGCAAACTCGAAAGATGGACGAAAGAAGTATATGAGAACGAACCCAGTGTAAAGATTTTTGGAAGCTGCTTTGGTCATCAGCTGCTGTGTCAAGCTTTGCTGAAAGATTATGGTGTCACGGTGGAAAAGGATCCAAAAGGCTGGGAACTAGGGGTTAAGGAAATTACACTGCATCGGCGGTTCCGCGACGCCTTTTTGGAGCATGACGATGAAGTCAGAACGGGTAGCCTAGAAAAGATGAGGTTGCAATTTGTGCATCATGACCACGTGGTTATCCCAGACCTAAACGCCCTGCCGCCGTCCTGGATGATACTAGGAAACACTCAGCATTGCGCGGTACAGGGAGTGTACGAGCCTGGTCGTGTCCTTACTTTCCAAGGTCACTTCGAGTTCGACCGTTTCATCAACAGCGAGACGATCAAATTCTTCTTCCCGAATTGGCAACCAAAAGCCTTGGAGGAGACGCTCGATGCTATTGATGCGGATGATGATTCTGTAACGGCAGCTGGTATGGTCCTTGATTTCTTCCTTGAGGACGGCATTGGAAAGCATGTTCCGTCACATGCTATTGTTGGGGGGTTGATTACACCACCATCTAGGGAGTAAACTTTAAATCTATGAGTATTGTGATGTGGTTCAACTACATAATTCATGGTTGAGTCTGCTTGCCAGCTCCCTCAATCAACGCACCAAGTCTTCTGATACCCTCAACAATCTCCTCCTCCGTGTGCCACGCCCATGACAAACGTATGCCATTTCCGTAGCCCTTTGCAGCACGGATGGCGGATTCAGGCTCACCTTGCACTTGCATCATGTCTCCATAGGCAAACTTCAGGTCAAAGTTCTCCAGAGCATTAGCAGCTAGGTCCACACCCTTCTCAGCCAGGCTTTCCGGCAGCAATAACCAGATGAAGTACCCGCCAGCTTGAGTGGGTTGCTCCTCGTGATCTTTTCGGACGCCATTCGCATGTCGTAAGGATTCGGTATAGGGCTTTCCGGTAGAGATTGTAACGCCGAGTGGAGCCAGATGATTGTTTATGGCCTCGAGCATAGCGTGATAGCGAGCTCGAAAAGTTGGAAGAACTTTTGTGTCAAGGTGTTTCTGCAGCATCCCAGACTCCAGCATTTCGTGCACGAATGAAGCGGCGATGTGCGCGGGGCAGCCACCAGATCTCGTCGCGCCCACTTGTGACAGTGCAAGTGTGAACGCAGGCGTTGCTTCGGCCCATCCGACTCTTACACCTGGCGCTATGATTTTTGAGAATGAACCGTTGCTCACAGCATTCCCCCACTCGTCTTTTGGGCCTCCTTCAAAAGTGCGATCAACATCGACAAGTCGTGGAGGTACATCACCGATGTCTTCGAAGTTGCCCTCTTTGTCTGCTGGCCAGCGTAGTATGTCATACACATCATCGGTAACTACGAGGGCGTCAAACTCTCGCGCTAGGCGTATAAGTTCCTGTCTTCGCCGTAGTGACATGGTCTTCGCACTTGGGTTCGAGAAGGTTGGGACGCAGTAGATGATGTGTCGGTAAAGCTTCTTGTATCTGTCACCCGTCTTTCGTGCTGGTGAATCTGACGTTGGCGATGCACCCGCTTCCTCAAGGTTTCGTCGTAAAAACTCTAGGTCCAAGCCTTCATCGTCTTCGGGCACGCCTCTCATCATTCCTTGGAATCCATTGTCCATGAATATCGGACACGCCAGAAAGTAGCATGGTTCAACCATCCATATGTTTCTTGTGTACCCTGGCTCGGTAAAGCGTGCAAGAACATTGTCCAGGTTTCCCGATGCCCCGTTAGTGACACAGACGCGATCTAACGAGATCATCGAGCCACGTCCATATATGGAAGCCAGCCATTTCGCGATACTACATCGAAGTGGTTTGTAGCCAGCGTCTGGTCCATAGATTAGTGATGCTGCGGTTTTTGCTTGCGAGTTGAGTACATTGGTTGCACCGTCAAGTAGTTGAGCCGAGGGAAAGAGAGTCGGTGATGGCCACCCCAACTGTAGGTTGATGCTTCCAACCATGTTAGATAAACCGAAATGTGAAGATGGTGATATTTTCCACAGCCGGACCACAATGACGCTGCGATGAATGGTATTCAGTTTATCCTGCGCCTTCGGTATGCGTGTTGCGAGTCTACACTCATGATCGCGTGAACGGTTAGCATGATGTGGAGAACATGATACCGATCCCTATCATTCTATCGGACTTTGGAGTCCGATGACAAGGTATGTCGGGTCTCACTATGAAGGGTTCATTCATGCCACGCTAGTCATGTCTAGCGTGACGCCGTGGAAGGGATCGGCAGTCGCGCGTCATCCGCGTCCAGTGTCGGCATCCCAAGCTACTCAACCCTCAACACAACGCGATAGGCATTACGAACCCGCATTGCGATGGATTCGGAGCGATATGGCCTGCGGCTTTGGTATCGTTGCTGCCAATGGCACGCAGCCAGTGGTGGTTAATCAGGCGGCCGCTGCTTGATATCTCCAAGCCCTGATCTCTCGACTCTGACACCATCGCAACTCATTTCACTCTATAAGATCCATCGAGAGAAGCAGTAGTCTTTTAGTACCGTATACCACAATTGCCCTATTTTTCGTTGCTTTTCTCTCCAAACTTCTCATAAAAGATGCCATTCGTTGAGCAGCCACTACAAGGTGCAGGCATCCGCATCGCAATCGATCGTGGTGGTACCTTCACGGATTGTCTGGGCATTGTTCCAGGAAAACCGGATATACTGGTCAAGCTTCTGAGCAATGACCCGACAAACTATTCTGACGCGCCTACCGAGGGTATCCGCAGGATACTCGAACAGGCCACAGGCGTATCGATACCACGCGGCGAGAAAATCGACACGAGTAATATCGAGTCGATCAAGATGGGAACGACAGTGGCTACAAATGCCTTGTTAGAACGGAACTCCACGAAGTGCGCGTTAGTCGTTACTAAAGGCTTCAGAGATCTGCTTCGCATAGGTGATCAGACGAGACCGAAATTGTTCGATCTCAACATCAGGAGGCCGGAGACCCTTTTCGATGATGTGCTGGAGATCGATGAACGCGTTACACTTCACGATTCGACTGAGGACAATTCGACGCTACGAGACTCGAAGCGTAGCTCTTATGAGCTGGAACAGGGTGTTGGCGGCGAAGCCATTCGCGTCCTGCGGCCAGTTGGTTAGTATCCGACCTTGGTGCGATCTCCTCGCTGACAATACAAAAGATAGCACACATGCTCGCGAAGGCCTGCAGAGATTGTTCGATAAAGGCGTGAGGTCCTTGGCCATAACTCTTATCAACAGCTACACGTTCCCAAACCACGAGCTTCAAGTCGCCGACATTGCCAAGGATATTGGCTTCGACCAGATATCAGTTTCATCGCAAATCTTCCCGATGATCAGAGCGATCTCGAGAGGCTACTCAGCCACAGCAGACGCCTACCTTACACCTTTGACGCGCAACTACATTGATGGCTTTCGCAAAGGCTTTGTAGGTGGCCTGGAAGACTCTCGGGGTGCTCGTTGTGAGTTCATGCAAAGTGATGGCGGACTAGTGGGATGGCAACACTTCAGCGGTCTCAAAGCCATCCTTTCCGGCCCAGCTGGGGGCGTTGTCGGCTTCAGCAAGACGTGTTTTGACACCGAGCGGAGGAAGCCGGTGATAGGGTTTGACAGTAAGTCTAGTCGATTGTTCGAATGTCGGACGAATGTTGACACTCACGCAGTGGGCGGAACTAGCACTGACGTTTCACGGTATGCGGGCACGTTGGAGCACACGTTTGAGTCGATCACAGCTGGTGTGACGATCCAGTCCCCGCAATTAGAGATCGATACTGTAGCTGCTGGTAGGGAGTATCCCCGATGCTGGACCGAGAAGAGTCACTGATTTATCTAGGCGGCGGAAGTATCCTTTCCTATCGAAATGGCCTCTTTCTGGCGGGTCCCGAATCAGCAAGCGCACATCCTGGACCAGCGGCATATCACAAAGGTGGACCTTTGACGGTTACGGATGCCAATCTTGTGTTGGGACGTCTACAAGCCGAGTACTTTCCAAAAATATTTGGCAAGCATGAGAACGAGCCTCTGGATTATGCAGGCGCAAAGCGAGGCTTCGAGGAGCTACTCGTTACAGTCAATGCCGATCTATCTCAGACTAGCGGGAGAACGAAGACTGTTGAGGAGCTTGCTCTTGGCTTCTTGGAAGTTGCCAACGAGACGATGTGCCGACCTATTCGTTCGCTCACTGAAGCCAAGGGACACCGAACGTCTGATCATGATCTTGGGGTCTTCGGTGGCGCGGGTGGCCAAGCTGCCTGTGCCATCGCGGCCAACCTAGGAATCGACCGCATCTTGGTTCATCGTTATTCTTCCATCTTATCGGCGTATGGTATGGCATTGGCTGATGTCGTTCGCGATGTTCAAGAACCATGCTCAGTGTTACTCCAGTCCTCTCTCGATGAACTTGATGAAAGACTGTCGTCACTGGAGAAGAGAGCGGCGGATCAATTGGCAGACGATGGATTTTCTGGCCAAACCATCGGCTTCGAGCACTTTCTGAATCTGCGCTACGAAGGCTCGGATACCACGTTCATGGTCTCCCGCCCCGACAAGGGCACGTGGGACGAAGCGTTCGTCGCCGAGCACAAACGCCAATTCTCATTCATCATGCCAGGACGCGACGTCCTTGTTGAGAATGTACGAGTTCGAGCAACGGCTCGGAGCCCATCGGTCGAGCCTGAGTTCATTCTCGATGAACAGCTTGCTGGATGCCCACTGTCCCCTGTGTCGGCTAAGAAGATTTCAGACAACGTCCCAATCTTCTTCGAGGATGGTTGGACCACGTCTCGTTTGTACCACCTGACAAAGCTGGCCAGGGGCGACGTCATAGACGGACCTGCTATCATCCTGGACAGCACACAAACTATCGTTGTCGCACCACGCTCCCAGGCAACTATCCTAGAGCGCCACGTGATGATTGAGCTTGACCGTACGACTTCACTATCCAGCACTGAAGTAGTTGCACCTCGAACTGTTGATCCCGTCGAACTTTCCGTAATGGCTCATCGATTCATGAGCATAGCTGAACAGATGGGCCTCGCGCTGCAAAAAACAAGCGTGTCAGTCAACATCAAGGAACGCCTTGACTTCAGCTGCGCACTATTCAGTCCCGAGGGCCGCCTTGTAGCTAATGCTCCTCACGTGCCAGTCCATCTTGGCTCGATGGAACAGGCAGTCATGTACCAGCACAAGAAGTACTTTGGCCACCTCCGACCAGGCGACGTCATTGTCGCAAACCACCCGATCTCCGGCGGTACGCATCTTCCTGATATAACTTGCGTAACACCCGTCTTCGACGATGCAGGCAAGACCATCATCTTCTACACAGCTTCAAGAGGCCACCATCAAGAAATTGGTGGAATACTACCAGGTTCCATGCCTGCTGGCAGTGTCGAGCTACACGAGGAAGGCGCTATGATCGTCTCAGAGTATCTTGTTCGTGATGGAGTCTTCGATGAAGAACTAGTCACGAGAGTGTTGCTTCACGACCCAGCTCGATACCCCGGATGCTCAGGAACACGCAAGCTCGCCGATAACATCAACGATCTCAAAGCGCAGGTTTCAGCAAACGCCAAGGGCGCCGCATTGGTAGCCGACCTTATCGCGGAACGAGGTCTCGCCACTGTGCACCTCAACATGCATGGAATCACCGCAAACGCCGAGTCCTGCGTGCGAGACTTCATGAAGCGTACCTACCGCGAAACTGGATGCAAATCCCTCGTAGCACTCGACTACATGGATGACGGTACACCGATACGACTCGCCATAACTATCAATCCAGACGACGGCTCAGCACATTTCGACTTCACCGGAACAGGCGAAGAAGGCTATCACAGTTTCAACGCCCCACAAGCAATCGCGCGGTCTGCAACACTCTACGTTCTCCGCTGCCTCATCAACCAAGACATTCCTCTCAACGAAGGCTGCCTCCGTCCTCTCACGTTCACAATACCCGAAGGAAGTATCCTGAACCCCTCGCCATACGCTGCAGTATGTGCCGGAAACCCTATAACGTCCCAACGCGTAACCGACGTCGTGATCCGCGCCTTCGAAGCATGTGCCGCGAGTCAAGGTGACTGCAACGTCTTTTCCTTTGGCATAAACGGCGATCACGACGACGCCGGTGTACCTATCTCAGACTCTGGGTTTGGCTTCGGAGAAACCATATGTGGAGGTAGTGGTGCGGGACCTGGTTGGCACGGGACGTCTGGCGTTCACATTCATATGACGAACACACGTATTACGGACCCGGAATTACTGGAGAAGAGATATCCTGTGCTGCTCCGTGAGTTTAGTATCCGCGATGGGTCGGGTGGCAAGGGGCGCTGGAATGGTGGGAATGGGATTCGGAGGGTGTATGAGTTTTATCGCGACATGAATGCGAGTATCGTTAGTGAAAGGCGGGTAACCAGGCCTTATGGTATGTTGGGCGGTGAGGACGGGAGTAGTGGGGTAAACTATATTGTGAAGAAAGTTGGTGGAAGGTGGTGTAGATTGGGTGGACGGAAGGATTTTGCAGTGCAAAAGGGGGATTGTTTCGTTATTGACACGCCCGGTGGAGGCGGATGGGGAACAAAGGATGAGACGGAGATAGAGACGGATGGTGTAGAAAGCACGAAAAGGTCGGCGCTGGAACGGAGGTTTGTTAGTCAGTTCCAGCTGGCACAGGAAGCCAGTAATTAGATACGACAATGTCATTTTTCACGTTCCACTCCAGGTGACCACTCATCCTTGAACCGTTCTCTTATAGTCCATGCCCGTCTCACCACGCGCCCTCCCTCGCCAAAACATCCCATCCAACAAGCCGCCAAACCTCCTCCTTGTACCAAGTTTCCACGTCCTTGTCATCGATTTTAGCTACGTTTTGCATAGAACCAAGTCGCATGGCTGGAATGGGCTTTGTAAGAACGTCCAGAAACTCGTCATCGGTATTATTTCCATACATACACGCAACCAGTGTTCGCTGCAAGCGTTCTCTTGCCAGAGGGCTCAAGCGCGCCCTGGTGCTCGTAACAGGAGTCTTGGTGCTCAGCGTACGGGCGGGGCGATTCGATGCAGAGCTAGGGCGAGGCTTTTGAGGGTTCATGTGGTTTGGAGCTAGACCCATCGCACGTTCGAGAATCAAGACAAGTGCTTTGACTTCAAGACGGGTCGCAAAGGCGTCAGTATCTCGTCTCGCCGCCTCGACAGCATCTCTTGGTTCGGTTGGTGGCAAAATATTACCTTCGATGGACGTGCTGCGATGTTGTCCAAAGGTGAAGTAATACAACCTCTTTCCGACACGTTCGAACAGAACGAAAACAAATCCATCAAATATCTTTTGATGCACAGGATCGGTTTTCTCGAGAAATCCGAGGAAGCTGATCAGCAGATGGGCAACTGCTCTGGCTGGACTAGACTCTTTCACTATAGGAGGAGACGTCTTGGTCTTGGTATTCTTTTGTGGAGATGGCTGGGTTGAAAATGTCTGCGCTGTTTGTCGAGCAGAGGTTTCGATTGATAGCAATGCAGCCTTGAACATGTCCGCTACCTCACATACGACCATACTCGCGAGTCGTGCATCCGCGTTGCACTCCAAGAGCTTACTTGTACCAACAAGCAACGACATAAAAGCCCTTGCGCAGATGGATAAGGCAATGGCGAAATCGGATTTGTCCTGATCAAACGACATCGCTTCTATGCTTCTGCGCCCTTGCCGCGAGAGTTGCTCGTGATTTTGGGCGACAACAAGTATGACTTTGCCGATACCTAAAGCGATTTGCACAAGATAGGAACATAGAGTCTCAGCATCCGGTTCGTCAGACCTGCACAACGTGTGCGTAGTGTATAAGGCTTCTGTGAGGTTGGAACCATCTTTGCCAAGCACTTCTAGGAAATCCAAGTCATTCTCGATGGTTTCCTGGACAGCGACAGCCGGCTGCCGGGATTTTTTCTGTGTTTGTCTCGGCGGCTTAGACCTCGCGGGCGATGTTGTCGATGTTTTGCGCTTGACAGTGTGGGCACCTGCATCAACATCTGAGATAGGGCCGGAGAGACTCGATAGTAGGTGATTCGATCTTTCGAGCTTGATGTTGATGCCTCGAAGTTTGCCGCATTCATCTTCAGCTTGTTGACATCGCTCCTTCCAGTACGTGATCTGATCGATATAATACCCAGCATTCTCTTGCTCTCTGGGGTCTGAGCCGCGCTTGATTTGAGCACGAAGCTGTAAGGCGTAGTCTAAAAATGTCAGAAGATGTGAACCCCGTTGAATAGTTCAAGATTACCTCGTACCTTTGCCCCGACTGGCTTACTCCGAACGATAGCAAGAGCAAGCGCTATCTGTTGTTGAGATGGGAGGAGGGGTGGGCGCGAAGGTACATTTTGCGTCATGGTATCCGTGATAGAGAGAAAGCGAGACACGTGGCAGTACAAGACAGCGGAGGAAGCAGCGGGACGAATATAAATGGCGATTGCTGTGGAAAGGGCATGAGATAGAAGGAAAGAGTAAAAAAGGTGAAGCAGGTCGACAGAGGATTGAAGGGACGAGCTTCACAAGTGAACTTGTGAGCGAAGGAAGGAATCACCCCCAAATGTGAGGCTGGAAAGAGCGACTGCTCTTGGCGTGCAACTTCTCTAAAATCTCAGCATGACATGCTACTACAGAGAGAGCGAGAGCAAGTCTATGCAAACCTTTTATTGTTGAGTTTAGTGCAATCGCTTTCGTCGCTGCTTCAGTGCTCTGTGTGACTTCTGCTATACACGACGCTGTACACACCAAGTACGTGATACAGACAGGTCGAAGCTGCAGCTGCCGGTTCATCGTATATTGTACATATGTCTTACATGACTAATACACTTACTTTCTTCTACCTCAGCGCATGCGCTCAGTGCGCCTCTTGTAGGGCAACGGCTCGACTCTCTTCCTCTTGAACTCTACGGCAATCTGGTCCTTTAGACCAGCGCGCTCCATAACGCCAGCCATGCTCTCGTCCCACTTTGTCCTGAATAGCGTAGCTGTGATTGCACTCAACCTATTCGAATCGGCGAAGCTGCGGAGGTTGAATCCCATGCGCTGAGTCTTGCTGAACTTGGCAACATCGAGTACCTTACCCTCGTTCTGCTCAAAGACAAAGATGCCCAGGCGGTGGTATGGTGCTCCCTTGTGGGCCCAAGGTGCGATCCAGGGCAATGCGATCCTTTTAGCACTGGGGTCTTCTGTCTTTTGGTCCTCTTGGGCGATGCGCTGGAGTGGTATCGAGGTGTTGCTTGGCGAAATGGAAATGTTGGAGGCGATGAAGTGGCATCGGTAGGCAAAGCCGTCCTTTTCTGGGATTGGTACGTCTGCGTCTACTACCACCACAGTGACCAGCTTCTCACCGGGTGTGAAGGTCTGGACATTGAGACGAGGCATCTTCTCACTGATGGCGGAATCTACGAAATCACCAGGTGCCACTGGCTTTCGTCCGAAACCAAGGTCGATGTCTGCGACCAAGTCAAGGGATGGGAGGAGATCCGGGATGATGGCAAGTTGTGTGATGCGTTGTTCCAACACACGACGCTTGAATTGGCGCCATTTCCGGTCGGCAAGATAGCGGTAGATGGGCTTGTTCATGTTACCTTGGAAAGTCAGCCATGTCCGTAAAACCTTGATTGACACGACGTACCCTGTCCGTCCTCAAACTTCCGCTTCACAACCGGGTCGTTGATGTCGGCCAGAATGATCAATTCTTCCAAATGTTTCCTCATACTCCGCAATCTATGCGCCTTTGCCGCCTGACCTCCACTGATGCTTGCGTCCTGGGCCTCCAAGTTCTTTATCCGCACTTGCTGGGTTTCGATCTCCTTGATCTTCTCCTGCCTGTCTTCCAACAAGACCTTCCTCGCCTCCTGGAAACATTGGTAGGGCAGCTGTTCGAATGGGACCTCGTCAGCCTTTTGCAAAGTCGATCGACGAAGGACGGCACGGCGACGACGGGATCCAACCGGCTGCACATGTTCTCTCCGCAGCAATCGGCGTTCCTGCTTCTTGTTCTCCACCATCTGAGGGTCTAGCGTGCCCCATTTCTGCATGTATTCCGGGGCATCTTGGGAGCCAGTCTTCTGTGCAGCGCCTTCCGAGGGGTTTGAGGGCGGTGGTGGTGGAGTCGCATTCGTGGGTTGTGTCTGCACCTCTTCACGAGCTACTGCCGAGGTGGAGAGGAGGCGACGGGTGCCATTGGCGGCTGGTAGTTGTCGCACGCATCTCAGACAGGCGCTGAATTGGCGCAGGGTAGGCGTGGAGGCCATTGTGTTGATGGTCTCGACGATGTTCAAGAAGGATGGTGCCCGCTGGAAAATGTGGTGATCCTCACACTAGCGCTTTTCGTAGACCTCCGCCTCCAACTCCGACGACTTGAACAATTGAACCACCCCGACCGGCATGGCTTCCACGAGGATATCCGCGCCCATGCGTGGCGTCACACACCAATTGAGGAGTCTGTCGATACGGCCGAATGCGCTGTGCACGCGCTGTGCCGTAAGTAATTTCGCCGTCATTGTATGCGACATGCTAACGTCGTCAAGAAATCTCTATGCACGCCCACCACCCGCTCAATAACGACATCTGCGCCCTCCAAAGCCACGCTATCGTCAATACATACCAAGACCTATGCTCCTGGATATGTACCTGTGAAGCCTTTCGAGGAGCAGACAGTGCTCGCGACTATCCACCAGTTCCCTTCCCTTGAACCGCTCCGATTCGAACAATACCCGGCAAACCACCTCTACCTACCCACACGACGAGACATATTACACCGCGCTGTTGTCTACGAAGGAGATAGTGCACGGTTAGGTACTGCTTCTACAAAGACAAGACATGAAGTACGAGGTTCAGCAAGGAAGATCCGGCCACAAAAGGGAACAGGTCGCGCTCGTCTGGGAGACAAGAAGTCGCCCATGCTGAGGGGTGGAGGTGTCGCATTTGGTCCCAAGCCCCGCGACTTTGCGACGGAACTACCCAAGAAGGTCTACGACCTCGCATGGCGGACAGCACTCTCGTATCGGTTCAGGAAAGGCGAGCTGATCATTGTGGACAATGCAATGGAGATTGAGAGCCCGTCTATAAGGTTACTAGGTGACATCTTCAAGTACCATGAGAAGCTGCACGGCAAGGGCAGGAGCTTAATGGTCACATTGGAAGAGCGACCGTTACTTGAACAGGCATTGGTAGAGATGGATCGCGGTGAGCAGACGCTCACATGGGAGGAAGTCGACGTCAAGAACCTCCTCGAATTGTCGCGCGTCATCATCGAGCGTGACGCACTGCACAACATTCTTCTTTCTCACGAGGAGGACCTCACACACAAAGCCATCACGCCCTGGCACAAGAGCCTCATCCGATCATCGCCACCCACAGAACTCGAATCAACCATCGGCTGGGAAGAGTTCCGCGAACTTTCCCTCTCCGACCCCAAGGAAAAGGACAGCATCCGCGCTGGAGTCTACGAGAGCGTAGCCGGAACCCGCTACGCCTACGCTGAGTCCCTCCCCCAAGGACCCAAGCGCTCCGAACTAACAGTTTCCGCCTACAACCTCCTCGCCGAAGCCAAGGAACTGCAGTTCGCAGAAAGGACTGGTCGCTCTTTTACCGACTACCTCAGCGACCCAAACAATGAACAGTGGCCCCGTATCCAGGCTCTTACCTACCAGATCGACACAAAACATGATCTCGCTGGTAAGGCTTTGAACACGGAGAGACTCGAGTCTGAGGAGATTATGATCGATGTCTGGCAGCTTCAAGTACAGAAGCAAGAAGTAGAATACGAAGCCGCGTTACTCGCAGCACAGATCCACGAGCACCGCTCCGAGGCGCTTCGTCTCATCGGCGACGAAGCGAGTGCCGAAGAGCAGTTGGAGTTGGCCAGCGGTGAGAGGAACAATGTCGATAACGCGGAAGTAGTGCTTTTGGAAACTAGGGTTGAGCTTGCCAAGCAGAAGAACGTCGCTGCTACGCTCAAGGGCCATTTCGCTGGACAGCAGAAGACAAGGGGGGAGGTTAGGCTTTGTGAGGAGAAGCTAGAGAGTAAGAGGGCGGAGATTGCGGCTGAGACTGCGGAACTTGAGAACATTGAGGACGAGGAGGTGCAGGAGGTGGATGTTGCGACTGGAATCGAGACGAAAGATGAAAAGGTCAAGGAGGAGAAGAGGTTATGAGGTTTTTGATATGTGATATTGTACAATGTATCTATAGATGTTCATGAATCGTTGCACCAATGTGTGGTGTTGTATGCTGTACAGTATGCTACATGCACGGAAACTTTTCACGTGCGTCCTTCATTCTTCGTCTTTGTTCCTTCTGTGCCGGTCCCAACTTTCCGCGGCTCGGTAATCGGCTTAGGAGTTCAAGGTGGAGGGGTTTAAGTTTTGCTTGTCCAGTTCATGTCAAACCATCCTCATGCCGCCTCGTCTTTCGATTTGCTCTCCTTCTCCACCTTCTTACCCTCGTATGTGACCTGTAGAATACCCCCAACCTGCCCCTCACTCTTAGTCTCCCTCGCACCTTTACACTCGTCCACCGCTTCAGTAATTGCCTTCATAACCGCACTCGCCTCTTCCGGCGTAGCCTTCCTGCCATGCTTCTTCGGTCCAAGCATAACCTCAACCTTGCGCCCCTCCTTCAAAAACTTCTTCATAGCCACCAGCCTATGCTTCAAATCTCCCGGCGCAATCGCCCAGTTCAATTCCAGCGACTTGGATGGAGGCCCCGACCCCGCACTCTGGCCCTTGGCTTGTCGTCGCAGCGTCTCGAGTTTCTTTTGGTGTTGAGCCCGAAGATCGATCTTAGAGATGACACGACATGTCGGTAAGCTCTCTGGATCTGGGTATCCATCTTCGTCGTACTTTCCTGGTGTCATTTGTACGAGATGGTGAGTGACTTTGTTAAGACTTGACAGTGCCTCGTCGAGAGGGACGTTTTTGTGGAATACGCCTTCTTCATCGACGAGGTTTATGAAGTCGGCTTCAATGGCCTTGTCGATGACGTAGTAGTCTGAGATTGCATGGCGGCGGGTGTCTTTTGTGTATTTCAGTCCACGGGTTGAGGTTCGGCTTGTGAGACTGGGCGTTGACGAGGAGAGGGAGTTGGGAGACGATGTCGGCGCAAATGCTGGGGCGTAGAGGAGTGGGATGGAAGTTGTGTTGCGCAGGTTTGGGGCGATGAAGACGCGGTAGAGGGCGCGAGAAGTACCGGAGATGTGGGTGGGTGGCATGTTGAGCGATTGGGTGCCAGTCGTGACAAATGATCGAATGAAGAGTGAAGAAGTTTAAGTTGTTGTAACATACGATAATTCGAGATCCTTCCAAATCCACGCTAGCAGGGGTGGAGTCGAATCGGAGCAGTGACGACCTCCGCAATCGTCCATGGTGACCATCCTCAGCCTGCTCCATGTAGCAAACCACCATGATAGCGATAGAGACGACTTGTAAATCTCTGGACTTTACGCAACCTTACCTACCGCCATGAGTGATCCCCTGGCGGAATACTTGGCTGCACTGGATGTGCGTGACGCAAGAGAGAAAGCGCATGAGGAGTACATCAACGCCTGTAGGTTATAAAGTACGGGGTGCGCGGTATCACGGAAAGATGCTTATATATATATGTATAGATACCAAGCTCGCAGACAACACTGCACAGTTTGCAAACCAGATATCCTCCGCGGACGAGCCAGTCCCCGCATCCAGCGCATCTACAAAGACCACCACATCAAAGGGCAAAGGCCCAGCAACAACCGACATCTCCTCTCCGTCTTCTATCGCGCAACTTCGCTCCGAACTAGCCATTACGCAGCGTACGCGCGGTGACCTAGAAACCCAACTGAGCACCGTCACCGCAGAGCTCAGAGCCCTCAAAGCGTCAGACACGCAACAAAAGCAACGCATAGAGCAGCTCGAGAAGATTCGGACACAACTGGAAAGGCGAAGCAAAGACAGGACGGAGGAGCTCAAGGGGAAAGGGAGGCTTGTGGAGGAGGTGCACGACGAGATGGTTGCGCTGAACTTACAACTCAACATGGCAGAGCAGGAGAAGGAGAAACTACGCAAGGAGAATGAAGAGCTGACTAAGAGGTGGGTTAAAAAGATGGAGGAGGAGGCGCGGAAAATGAATGAACGTTCGGGATGGGAGGACCAGTCACGGAGGAAGAAGTAGAGATGTGACCGACTCGATCCTGGATTACTCTTCTTGACGTTATGTGGGAGCTTAAATGTATCCAAAATATCTTAGTATCGATCTCCATATACTAGTTTCACTTTAATTCATCATCTTGGGGACTGCCCTCTTGTTCGTTGATGCCTGGTATGTCTTGGCGCTGGAGCTCCCCGCAATGCCGGTAACCATACAGCTCCCGCCTTGCCTCCCCACCAAACAACACCAAACTCTCCCAAACAATCTCTACGCAGTCTTCAACCATGGGGACCGCACTGAAGACGTGGGGTAAGTCTGACTCTGCTTCTATTCATATCATATCTATCACAACACCATGATACCCCGCCCAGAATCGCATGGCTAATAAACATCCTAGAGCTGGAGAACTCCGTCAAGCTCGTAGACCCCAGCAAAGACGCCCTCTACAACTACTCCTCCTCGGAGCAGAAAGCCATCAACAACGCGCATCCATGGCGAACCGACCCCAACTACTTCACCTCAGTCCGCATCTCGGCCATCGCCCTCCTCAAGATGGTCATGCACGCGCGATCCGGCGGCTCAATCGAAGTCATGGGCCTCATGCTAGGCAAGATTGAAGCACACACATTCGTCGTCACCGACGCATTCCGGTTACCAGTCGAGGGTACAGAAACACGAGTCAACGCACAAGACGAGGCAAACGAGTACATGGTAGAGTTTCTGCAGCGCGCACGAGAACAGGGACAGATGGAGAACGCCGTCGGTTGGTATCACTCACATCCTGGCTACGGCTGCTGGCTCTCCGGCATCGACGTCAACACACAGAAGACTCAACAGCAATTCCAAGACCCCTTCTGCGCCATCGTCATCGACCCCGACCGAACCGTCTCCGCGGGCAAAGTCGAGATTGGCGCCTTCCGCACTTACTCAACAGAGTACGTCGAAAACCAGGCAAAGGCAGGTGGTGGTTCCAAGAACACAAGCGGCGCAGAGAGTGACGGTTTCGAAACCATCCCGCTCGGCAAGATTGAGGACTTTGGTGCACACGCCAATCACTACTACCCCCTCGAAGTCTCGCACTACAAGTCCTCGCTCGACGCCAAGCTGCTAGAAGCGCTGTGGAACAAGTACTGGGTACAGACGCTATCATCCTCGCCTCTCATCTCCAACCGCGACTACGGCACCAAGCAGATCTCAGACCTCGCCCGCAAAATGCAGCAGGAGAACAACAGTAGCAAGCGCTTCAAGGGCGGAGCGGGATACGCGACGAATAACGAAAGCAAGAACCAGCTGACCAAGCTGGGTGCGGCTGGAAGCAAGATTGCGCGTGAAGAGGATATGGGTCTGCTGGCGGCCAAGGTCAAGGATAAGGTGTTTAATCTTTCGAATGGAGAAGAGACTAAGAGCCAGGAGGTTGAAATGGAGACTTCTTAGATATGCAAGGATGCCTATTGTAGAGTGCAAAACATGGCATGGCAAGGCGTTAAGGGCGCGGGCGTACATGGGTTGGGATGATATCACACGAAATGCCATCGATACGAGCTCCTCTGATCATGAGTAGCATTGCAACAAGAATGGCATATATACTCATGACATCTTCCTTTCTATACTATCATTACACATGTTCCCTGACTTACACATACACTATCATACATGCCTCTAGTTGTTGATCAACAACCCCAGCCGTTTAAGGGTTTCGTTCCGTCCCAGAATGACAAAAACATCGTACAACCTCATGCCCTGCTCCTGGCCCGTAACCGTCTTCCTCAGATAATGGTACACATCCTTGCTCCCCTTTTTCCCCTCAGTCCTCCCATCAATAATCTCACGCACCTTTTGCATGAGATTTTCTTTATTCCACTCTTCCTCTTTGACGTCTGCTAGCATCTGCGCACGCATGGGTATATCAGATGTAGTCGTCATGGGCGGTTGCTTGTCAAAGGGGCGGATGGGAGTGAAGAAGAAGGCGTTGCGGTAGAGGAATTCGTTTGCGTTTGTGTAGTTTTCTGCATCGACGAGGACGATGGAGCGGATGTAGTTTTCGGGGAATGGACTTCCGACAATGTTTCTCCACTCTTTGTAGGGCGACTCCGGGTCAGTGAGTAGTTTGGCGACATTACGGACCATCTCTTCAAGCTGGGGTCCACCGGTCGAAGCGCGTTGGAGGGCGTGTTTACGTTGGAGGAACTGCATTTTACCAAATGTCACCGTAGTGTTTCCCTTTGTGAATTTGAGACTGAACTTGTCGATCAATGTCTTGAGATCCATGACATCGCTCTTCTCCTTGTGGCTCCATCCTAGCAGCGCGGCGAAGTTTGTCAGGGTCTCAGGGAATATTTCCATCTCTTTAAAGGCGGTGATGTCGGTGTCAAAGTTTCGCTTGCTGAGCTTGTTGCCGTTCTCGTCAACGAGGAGGCCGACGTGGGCGAATTCGGGGGGTGTCCAGCCGAATGCTTGGTACATGGCGATATGCTTGGGGGTGCTGGGCATCCATTCGCTTCCTCGAATGACGTGGGTGATCTTCATGAGGTAGTCGTCTACTACGTTTGCGAGGTGGTATGTAGGTAGGCCGTCAGACTTTAGTAGGATTGGATCTTCATATGCGGATTCGGTGACATGGCCGCGTCTCTTGAGCGGGCGAAAGGAGCCGTAGATGAGATCCTTGTACGTCGGGTACTGGTCTGGGACTTTGAGGCGTATGGTGTGCGATTCGCCCCTGAATGCTCTATCGTCGCTCTCTTCCTTGGATATGGCAGGCGGGGCGCATGTGCGGTCGTAGTCTGTCGCAATACCGAGCTTGTGTCTGTGTTCGGCCAAGGCATTCAAGCGCTCCGAAGAACAGAAGCAGCGATATGCATGTCCTGATTCGAGAAGTTGATTCGCATACTCTCTGTATGTCGCGCTCCTCTCTGACTGTTTATACGGTCCATACGGCCCTCCAACCTCTGGCCCTTCATCCCATTGCAGTCCCGCCCACCGTAGATCGTCGAATAGTCGCTGCTCGGCGTCGGGTATCGTGCGCTTTTGGTCTGTATCTTCTATTCGTAGTAGGAATTGGCCGCCCGTTCGTTTCGCGAGGAGGTAATTGAACAGTGCCGTCCGTAATGATCCAAGGTGGAGGTAACCCGTCGGCGAAGGTGCAAAACGCGTCCGTGCAGGAAATGTTGGTAAGGCGGTATCAGCTTTCTGCCTCCCCTCTTTTGCAAACTGGGCATTTTCTTTCGAGGTGATTGAGCGTCGTGAAGCTCGTGAAAGTCGAATTAGACATGACCGGCACGTGTAGGACGATAATTGTGGGCGGAGTAGTGAAAACGACATTTGGGTGTTGATGCGACGCAAAGGGTTCGAGTTCGCGGTTGAAAATGACGTGCAGGGATTCGCTCGACGTTAGTGGGGGCCGCGCCTCAGGAATTTGGCCCGCATTGCAAGTGATCGACAAATCTGGAGAAAGTTTGTTGCCTTCACTCCCACTGCACAAGAGGCTAGTTACTTCGTTGCGCCCGCCTTATTTCTTGTACATACTTTGACAGTTTGTCTTGTTTCCACCTCACGACTCTCAGCCCGAAAGTAGCCCAAAAGTAGTTATTCCCGATCAACTACATCACGACTCTCTGCTAACGCGATGCCAGTGAGTGAAGAAATCGACCTCTACGGTGAATACACTGGTCTCCCGGCTACGAATTGTACTAAATGAAAACAGAGGTCCTCGAGATTGAAAAGGGCGCAAGCAAAATTGAGATTAAGAAGGCATACCACAAGGTTCGCAGGCAACAGCAACGCAATCACGACCTCACGACTGACATACATTAGGCCGCACTAGCACATCACCCCGACAAGGTCGCAGAAGAAGACCGTGCAGAGGCTGAGATCCGCTTCAAGTCCGCGAAACAAGCCTACGAAATCCTCTCCGATGATGACAAACGGCATCTGTACGACACCCACGGCATGTCTGCCTTCGACCCCTCCAAGGGCGGTATGGGCGGCGAAGGCCCGGATATCGACGACATCTTTGCGCAAATGTTCGGCGGCATGGGTGGATTTGGCGGTATGCCAGGAATGGGCGGTATGGGAGGCATGCCCGGCGGACGAAACGTGCCGCGGAAAGGACGATCAGTAGAGCAGGAGTACGAGGTCAGCCTGGAAGAGCTGTACAAGGGCAAGACAACCAAGTTCTCCAACACGAAGAACATCATCTGCAACCTGTGCGAGGGTAGCGGTGGAAAGAAGGGCGCAAAGGCCAACTCCTGTGCTTCCTGTGGTGGGCGGGGTACGTCAATCTTTCATCTTGCAGTCTACAAGTATGCTAACTTTCTCAGGTGCAAAGCAGGTTCTCCGCCAGGTCGGCCCCGGCCTTGTCACCCAAGAGACCGTTCCTTGCGGTAACTGTCAAGGATCTGGCCAAGTCATCCCCGAGAAGCAGCGCTGCAAGAAGTGCAAGGGCAAGAAGGTTGTCGAGACCAAGAACGTTCTCGAACTCTACATTCCCCGTGGTGCACGACAGGGCGAACGGATAGTTCTTGCAGGAGAGGCCGATCAATTACCCGACCAGGAGCCAGGCGACATCATCTTCACGCTTACAGAATCGCCACATGACGTGTTTGAGCGTGCAGGTGCGGATTTGAGGGCCGAACTGAAGGTCAGTTTGGTGGAGGCTTTGACCGGCTTCAACCGCGTGGTAATCACTCATCTCGATGGACGCGGTCTCAAGCTCAACGTACAACAACCGAACGGAAACGTACTACGACCAGGGCAGATCCTTAAGATCGAAGGCGAGGGCATGCCAATAAAGCGCAGCGACGCAAAGGGCGATCTATACCTGGTAGTCGATGTCGAGTTCCCAGAGGATGGATGGTTAAAGAACGACGCCGCGGTACAGAAACTCCGAGAGGCATTACCGAAGGACGAGAAGACCGACGAAAAGCACGAAGAGGAGGAAGAGGTAGACGTCGAGTGGGATGCTGACATGGAAGAGTATGGTGCAGGCAGCGGAGACCCACGCGCAGGAGGCGCCGAGTGGGAAGACGACGAGGAAGCAGAGGGTCCTCAGTGTGCGACGCAGTAGAAGGTTGCATGATATGATTGACGATTGCATGGCTTGGCGTTAAGAGAACGACGATTATCCCGTATCTTGCACACGCGGAGAAGTCGCGGATATAGACCGGTTATACGCCGTATACGAGATGCTTTCATTCTTCATCTCTGACACCTTTGGGAAACGAGCTTCTGTGTATATCCTCATAGAGTGGCTATGAGAATCGCGCTTCTCTATTCAGGTGAGGCGCCAATGCTGCGAGAATATCCAAGAGTTCGCGAGAGCTGCAATGCTATCTTCGGGAGACTGCTGGTGCGGAGCCGACACATCCCTAGCGAAGACTGTTCGTACTTGAAGACCTGTCTAGAAATTACATCCAAGTCCTCGGCTCGTACCTACGCATCCCCCCAAGTGTTTTTTGGTGCTCATTGGGCCGATCCCGCAGCCCCTTCTTCCAATCATCGCAACCCTTTCCGTCGTTACTCGGAGAACGATTTCGTCATCAAATATCCTTCTACATAGCCGGTTCGTATTGATACCGATTCTGCGGTTCACGAGCCCAAGAGCTATCACGCGTTATCGTTCTGGACGTCTGGTGCCAGGCAAGATGGCTCATGGGATTGTAAGATATCACTTTCAGTCCGCTTTGACGCTACCAACCTCTTTCGGTAGCGGTCCTCATAGTAGATCCACCAGTCGGGGACTTTGTCAAGTGTCTCTCGCAAAACATTATACTCAAATTCGACCACTGTTCGGAGCATTACGCGTATTCCCGATTGCATTCACTTGACCCCGACTTCCATGACATGACAATACTACCATGAAACCCAGGCGACTGGGGCGAAGGATTGCAGCGCCCACAGTATACTTCTATGTTTAACGACATAGTCGCAATGCAGCAAAACACGCCACCAAAAACAATTGGTCCACGTACATGCACCGACACCGCTCGCAAGCTCGTGATGTGCTCGTATCTCTCACATCTACGAAGGCGAATCCTGAACTTGCTGCGACTACAGACAGAACCTCTTGCAGAAAAGCTGCACGTCGATCGCTTGGGCTATCTCAATAGATTTGGACATGGGATTCTGGAAAACTGGCGGCACGAGGTCGTCGGTTACATGACCAATGTAAAATTTGCCATAGGCGTTGTGCTCTTTGAAGCAAAAGGAGACTTTGAAGTGCTGGGATTGCACCGTACCGGTACTTCTGACGAACTAGAATGGGAGTGAGACGGGTGGCTTTCGATACAAGACTACTGCGGCAAGCTTATTGGGATGGCAGACGCGTTCCTGCAGTCTGACATGCAGTTCACTACTATGCAGGAAGCACCGGCTCCTAACAAGAATACTTTGAATCTGGCTCATGTCACCAACCTGATTATGGTCTTCATACCGCTTTCAACTATTGCGGCCACCGTCTCCATGATCGATAAACTCTTGCCGGGGAAGACAAAGGGTTAGATGTTCTGGGTCACTGCGCTGCCTGTGTGGATCGTTACCTTTGCCATTACGACGAAGGCACGAGCATGGTTGAACCAGCACTGGAAGATGTGCACAGCGAAGCGAAATCGAGTTCACATCACAAGCAAATATATGCCTTGAGGAGACGGCAACCTTCGTATTGGAGACCAAGTAAGGAGACATTGATATACATTAGATTGATCATCCCGTCCGTCACTAAAGATTGCGAGGTTATGCCAGGCTCTTGCCACATTAGAATTCAATGAGTATGCATTTGGATCACACCAAGAACGGCCGCATGATGCTCAATATATTGACCGACCCTTGGTCCAGGGATATTAACCTCCATTCGAATTTATTGCCGTTTGATGTTCTGAGGCTTTCTTCAACAAATCGTCTTTTCAATGGCGTCGCTCCTGTTCAGGTCAGCAACTGTGCAGGCTCGTTCGTGCACATGTCTCTTACCTCAGAGTAGGGTCTTTCATCCGCGATCGATACCCGACGTCTCCTTCGCGTGTCTTCCACAGGTTGCCTCTCTGCCGGAAGCAGATACTCGTCGCCACGCCACGTCCCAGCGCTGTGTAGCCGATACCTGTCCTCGCGTTCTGGTTGCCTCAGCTCTTGGAGTGGCCTTTCCATATCAAGTGGTAAAGAGCTTGGCTCGAATCGCGGCTGCCTCTGATCTTGCAACTCCTCTCTGCTGTCGAATCGCAACTGCCTTGGACCATGCGACTCCTCCCAATCTCCATAGCGCAATTGCTGCTGATGAGGTTCGTCGAGATCCGCGATCTTCCTCCGATCGGCCAATTCGACCATTTTCTCTGCTTCATAGGCTGGAATCGGGAGTATCGATCCCCATTCGCCTGCCGCATCGCAGAAGTCGATGATGCTCATCCTCTCCGCTGGGCAATTTTAGCCTCTGCATATGATTGTTTCACCATTTTACTCACCATCAGTCATCTCCCTCAGTCGCTCTATCCCACGCCCTCGCCATGCTTGCTGCGTTGATTGATCCGGATTCATCTGCATGACCGCACGGGGTACTTTGATTGCTTCTTCATGCGCGAGACTATGCTCCGATACATCACAAGATAGTCATCTCTTCGAGTACCTGAGATTTTCGCCAGTGCATAGTCGTTGTGGTAGGGCGCGAGGAAGTTGACAAGCCAGATGATGTCGGCATCGCGGCCTGGGTAGTAATTGAGGCCCTCGATCAGCCGCTTTGTGAGACGTAGCGCGAAGAGACCGACGATGAGGAACTCTGGAGCGGGAGGTGGTGGAGAAGGACGGCGTGCAAGAAGCGGTGGTGCGGACGGACCGCGCATGATATCTGGGAGTGGGGAGAGCGTGGATATCTGTTGTTGTTGCATATTGACGGTGTTACAATGAAGAGTGATGGTCCAAGGGAGGTAATACTGCTCAGGTTTAAGATGTCGATTGCGTGCTCTTGGCGGTAAACGGTCATCGCGATGCACCGTTTGGATGACGACTGTGAAAACAGGCAGGTCCTCTTCTCCCGCAGACCCTAAAATGCTGTCGCGTTCGAAACATCTCCTAAGCCTTCTAGCCTCCGATGTGTTGTTTGTTGCTTCAATGAGGTTGCAATAGTGTTCTCCGCTACTTGACCATCGTGATCTCCCCTACGGGTCAGGGTGGAAGAAGGAGTGTGTTTGAGGGCTCAAAAACCCCCAAAATGCCACTTTTAGTTAACATCTGGATGTAGAATTATACACATTTGCATCCTATTGAACGCAATGATTATGTTGATGCGATGCACTTTGACAACCCGGCGGCGATGCTCGGTTGACTTGCGCTCCTACAGTACGACTGAATAGGAAAGAGCGGGATTATATCTTGTTGGCTGCGTTGTCTCACAGGTAAAACATGGCAGAGGAAGTCGCGGAATGTCACTTCAATGCCGCTCACGAGGCTGGTGAGGCTGATTCGCGTATTGATGTCACGCTAATCACTAGCGCGGATGAGTCGAAATGATCATTGCAATTGGGAGTTCATAGTGACTCTACTGCCGTGAAGTTAAATATCAAGTGAGCCGTATACATCTTCACCTTGCAAAATCTCGTATCTGCACCACATTTTGGTGTCATCCCACGAACTTCTGCCGACGAGTGAGCCAAATCATGGAGTACCCACAGATAACAGGAACCTCAGCACTTCCCTACCCAGTCCTACCTCCCATATCAACCAAGGGGCCGCTACCAGAAGCGCTGACTTCACCAAAGTCTCCTGGTTCCGGCTCCAAATCCATCTTCGCATTTTGGCACTCTGGTATCCATACCCTACCTCCCAACCTTCTACGTAATGTCATCGCTTGGTACCGCCGCTTCTCACCACTGGGATGGACCATCTACGTGCTTGACAACGTGCCAAATTCCACACTCAATGTAGCCAACTATATCAATACCAATTCGCCTTCAGTGGTACCAGCAGCGTTTACGCACGGCACCTTGAACGGGCACTATGCCGCACAACATACCTCAGATCTCATCCGGTATCCACTCTTGCTGAAGTACGGTGGTGTATATCTCGATGTCGGTATTTTGCAATTCGGAGATCTGGATCGGTTATGGGCCGAACACATTGTCAACCCAGACTCGCCATACGACTTCGCCGGATTCACAATGGGTTCAGATCTGCAGATTGTCAACTTTGCGCTCATGTGCGGTGCGAACAATCCGCTTGTGCGACGAGCACATCACATATTGCTTCAGGTCTGGGAAGGCAAGACGAACACAACCGGTGCACATGCACATCCATCTGTGTCGCATGTTCCGCTCATGCGTGTGCCGCAAGAGGTAATAGTGGAGGATGAGGGCCAGGAGAAGATGGTCATCAACGACGAGGCAATGACCGACTATGCAGTCCAGATTCAGTGTATGAGATCTGCGCAAAGCTGGGTGAATGAAGCAGATGACTGGGATGGACCAAAATACGTCAGAGAAAAGTGCTGGCTGTTGAGCATGATGGACGGGGCCTTCGCACACGAGCAGATGACAAGTTGGAGCGGGCAGCGACAATTCGACCTTCTAAGCCTTCCATTACCCAAGCCGGGCGAGGCTGAGACAGAAGATCAAAAATTTGCGAGGCGCATCGTAGAGAAACTGGTGGCAGATAGCTGGTGTCTGAAGCTCGGGCACGGCTTTTCGGCGAAGTTGTTTGGGGGTGACACATTGGGCATGCTTTGGAGGAAGCATCCCGGCAGTGACTGCGCACATGGAACATACGCTGGATGGTTAAGATGGGCAGAAGTGAGTTGTTGTCGCGACGAGGAAGTTGTACCTATGGAGGTTCCGGTATATGAACCGACCATGCGAGCGAAGCTGTTGTTATAGCCTATTGGGCAGAGGCTCGAGATGCATGAGGAAGCTGCTAAGGGGCAGCTCGAATAATGATGGATTACTTAGCATATCGCCTAGAGGCTTAGTGCAAAACTATGTCATTACATGGCCGAAGCGACTGCGCATCCAACCAGTCTCTTCGATCGTGAATCTCAACGCCATCCTCTGTTTTCAGGCTTTCGAAAGCTCGCATGTCGACTCGCAGGCATTTCGTGCACATATGCGGCTTCATGCGCCATCATCTCCGACGGCTGTCGTACCACTTGCTGTACCGGCGAGTGTGGCTGGCCGTCAATCTCGCTGATAGGAGGTTCCTTAGCGCGGCGATTCCGCCTGAACAACAGAAAGCCGATGGCACCAAGCAGAGCAAGTCCTGCGACACCTCCCACGACGCCGCCTGCTATGGCACCTGTATTTGTGGACTTCTTCTTGGGTGTTGGGGTAGGATCTGCAGGCGCCGTGTTGGTAGGTGTACAGATCACGGTAGGGTCTGGCGACACATCTTTCGCATCGGCTGCGACGGCTGGAGCAAGCTGGAACTCGCTTTTCGCATAGTCTACTAGAAGGTAATTGAAAGTTAAGAAGAGTCCTCCCAGGGTACTGTCGACATCACCCGGATCGGATGCTCGCGTATCCGACACGGATGCTTCGAGCGTGCTGTCGTTGGTGATTGCATAACGGCCGTTCTTGTCAGATCCACGCAGTGGCGCAAACAACTCCTTGTTGGGTATTCTTGATTGATAACCACCTGCTAGTGTCACAACGAGATCGCCCATCGGACGGCTAGACACATTGTAATGCATCTTGCCCGGATATGCAGTCTCATTTTGGCCAGTATATACGCCGAACGCCTGCGCGATCGCTGGTGGGAAGACGAAGCGCTGCGTCGATGGCTCGATGCAAGCGATCAGCTCATTACTACCATCGGGTATGAGCAGCAAATCTTGGTACGTCAAGTTCGTGACTGTCACTTGCAAAGGACAGGCCCGTTCAAGACTCCATTCGCCAATCGGAAAGGTGGTGAAGTTGGATGCTGGATCAACCCGCGCGCGATCGTATCCTCCTACTACAAGCAGGCCATCGTGTGGATCAATGCCTCTGCTACCGCTCCAAAGACCGAAGACTTGGGATGGCGCGACACCACCAGCAACTGCAGCGCGGAGGAAGGAAGAGTTCGTGCCGAGTGGCAGACCGGATTGCGCACCTGTATCCAGTCAGCCTCGTCTACTGCTTGCCAATTCGGATCGAAGAGGACGTATTCATGAAGAGCTTACCTCCCCATACCTCACTATCCATCACTAAAGGAAACCCGTCGACATGGCCATTCTCCTGGAATGCGACATCATCATTGAAGTAGACGTAGGCTCCTGTGCTATCTTCATCGTCGATCTGGCTACCATTCCATTGACTTTTGATCGACACAGCATACGAACTTGACTTTGTCGAGTCAAAAGCACCGCCTAAACCCCCAACACAGCTGTCGTTACTCGCAGAGCCACAGTTAACAACATTGTTGATACGCGTATTGTTGAGCGTAGTCGACGGCCGGAACGCGAAGATCTGGTGTGGTGATCCAATACCGAGTTCAATACCACGAGCGACACCGAGACCATCTTGTGTGACGGTGATGTTGGACCAGGTGAGCGTAAGAGGCGGTATGTCGCATTGCGCTGCCACGAGTCGAGGTTGAACAATAACGAGCGCAGCAAGGCTGAGCGTGAAGCTACTCAGTATGCGCCATGATGAAGCCATGACATTGATGCGAGTTAGAACATGTGCAGGACAATTGACTCGTCTCACAGGAGTATCGAGGTGAAGTCGTTGGGCAGAGAAGGGGGGGTAAGCAGACAAAAGCGCCCAAGAGTGGAAATTAAGCAGGGCGTCGGTTGTGCCTCGTGAGGTGGCCCCCAAGGAGATAACTTGGCAACATGCTGCTGTTATGCATCGTGATAGCAGCGGTTGTCGTGATTGGAGTTGCACACTGGTGGCGCATCTCATTGGGCCTGGATAGCTGCATGGTCAGCTCGAAACATCGGTTAATAGGGCTGCTTACATGCCGATCCCATCCTTCATAAATGAGATCTGAAAGCAGTTCGTATTCCTTGAGCCTAAATTTTCTGGCGTCGTGCATGTGCGCCACTTCCGGACAAACTTGAAGGTACGCGAAACCACCTCGCTTTGTGCTCTTACCACATCGTGCGCAATTCACGAACGTTGAATACGAACTAAGACATCTCCATGCACGGAGCATATTTTCCTCCATTCGTTAGATTGACATGCGATAGCGATGGCGCTCAATATTGAGTTCAAACGATCTATCCACATTGACATTGTGGATTGTGCTCTGGTCAATGGGTGCTGACCATGCAATCAGATGTTTCTACCCATCTCGATCGTTTGCCTGCTCGCAAAACAGAGTCTAGTCGAGCTACTCGATAGTTGAGAGCCGATAGTGCCTACAAAGCGTTTATGCTAGAACTGAGACTACGAACTCCCGCCCTTGCCTAGATGAACTTCGATGATGTCTTCGAAGTCCCGGCCCCGGAAGCCCTTTACTTCTTGGGCATCCCTTTCAAGATCAGCTCTGACTTTTGAAAGAGCTTCGATTTTCTCCCTGAGTAAAGCATGGAATTCCTCGTCGTGTCGGTTCAGTCCTTTGCACTTGCAGCGCTCTTCCGGAATCAGTTCAGGTAGAATTTCGTCTACTCTCTGCCATCAGTGCGCCTAAAAGCTTCTCAACGTTTCTGGATATTCGCTTCTGAGCTGTTCAAACGCTTTCATGATAGTGGTGAGTTGGTCCTTTGAAAGATAGTCCTCCTCTTCCAATCTTCTCTGTTCTTCACCCTCTATCCTCCCTTTTTATTGTCCTGGTGGTGGTATACATGCAGCAGGTGTGAGCCATATGAAGGCGGTCGAATATTTTAAGGTGACCCACCTCTTGATAGTATAACCTGGTGTGGGTTTCGTCCAATTGACAAACTTGAACCCAGTTCTCCAAGATCGAATTGACTACTGCTGTGGTCATCAACTTCCACTCCTCATTTTGGTTACTGTAGTGGACTTGGCAGTATTCACTTGGCCTCCAAGATTCTTCGCATCTTCTACTTGCCGCTTCTATGCCAGCCCTGGACTTATCGGCTGCTTTTACTTCTTGCGTGATGTAGACTCTTCTCATTGTAGCACGACGTAGGATGTCTCACCACACAGAGACAGACATCAAAGGCAAACTGGTACGCTGTGCTCGGATTTATCTACCTACATCACTCGTCTTTGACTTAATACGAAGAGCGGTGGTTGTAGATTTTACTTTGTGTGGTTCGATAGACATTACTCGAAATCAAAAAACCTTGACCATAATTTGAGAGGAACGAGAGAGCGCGGTCCTAATACGAAAGCGCCTGATGTCGATTTCAAATCCCATGCCCAAAATCATTAGCTGCCGTGTCGATTGTCCATCCACCAGCAACCCTTCCATTTGGCGCCATGACTGGTGCTATTAAGGTATTACCAGCCTGCTTGAGGATCCCTAAGCCCCACGGGCTAGTGACGAGAAGTTCAGCCTTCCCATCCGCATCGAAATCAACTGCCGTGCCCAAGCGATTATCTGCTGTGTTCAACAGCCAGTCTCCGAACCTTGTTCCGTTTTGCTTCATCACGATCGGCGTCATTGTGTCATTGGTTAGTGCGAGGAGAGCCATACCCCATGGACTTGTTACCAGTAATTCCGCTTTCCGGTCACCGTTGAAATCGCGAGCGAGACTGAAGCTGTTGTCCCCAGTGTTCAGTAGCCACTCCCCCATGCGAGTCCCGTTTGGTTTCATCATCGGGACAGTGATCTCGGATCCGACCAGCTTCAGCATACCAATACCCCAAGGGCTAGTGACAATGATTTCATCGTGTCCATCACCGTCGAAGTCACCGACTGGTCCGAATCGATTGTCCGCTGTGTTGAGAAGCCAGCCCCCGAAACGCGTACCGTTCGGGGCCATTCTCAATACTCTGAAAGACCCACCATCATACTGCAGGATACCGATGCCCCAAGGACTGACAACGAGAATTTCTTTTTTCGCGTCGCCGTTGAAATTTCCTACAGGGCCAAATTCGTTGTCTGCAGTGTTAAGCAGCCACTCGCCAAAGCGAGTGCCATTGTGGGCTATCATGAGCTGAGACATGGTAGTGCCGTTTTGCTTCAAAAGCCCAATACCCCAAGGGCTAGATACAAGCAACTCTTCTCTTCCATCGCCGTCAAAATCTGCAGCAGGTCCGAAGGAGTTGTCTGCAGTATTGAGAAGCCATTCTCCGAATCTTGTGCCATTTGGCTGGACCATGGATGCTGACAAGGTTGAGCCTACTTGTTTCAAGATAGCTATGCTCGATCGACTGGTCACGAAGACTTCGGCACGTCGATCGCCGTCATAGTCCGCGACAGGACCAAAGAAATCTTCGGCGGTGTTCAAAAGCCATCCGCCGTTAAGGGTGGTACCATTCCCGTGGGTCGCAGTCGATGTCAGGATTGAGCCAGCCTGTTGCAGTAAAGCGATGCCAGTGGGACTGGTAACAAGAGTTTCCGCCCGACCATCGCCGTTGAAGTCAGCGCTGCGGCAGCGGAATCTTGCTGCGGCAGGGATAAGTGCGCGCAGGTCTGGTCTGCTACCTATCCTCTGACGTGCTGGGCGACTGGGCTCATCCTGCTGCGCCGAACCGCAACTTCGCAATAGTATGCGCGCTTCAGGTGAGGTGAGCAGGCGGCGTCCTCTTGCTTTTAAGACGCCCTGGACACTGGTCAACGCGCCCGTGACAATTGGTGAAGCGCTGGATGTGCCGTTGAATGTGTCTGTGTACCACACATCTTGGCTAGAACCACTCTGAAGATAACCATACCCAGTGGTAGTTACCTCTACCCCCCAGCCTTGGACATCGACTCTCGATCCCCAATTGGAGAAATCACAACGTGATCTGTCTGGGAGTGTAGCTCTGCCATGTGTTCCTGGTGGGCATTGACCTGCGCCAACAATAATAGCTCCAGAGGATGGATTTTGAGGACTAAAAGGATTTCTCCAACTTGCGGGAAAGCCGGTCATGGGCGTGTTATAGATGGACGAATCCAAATCTTCAAATCCATTTCCTGCCGCCGCCACGACCACGATACCTTTTGCGACAGCATACTGTACAGCTGCAAAGTCATCGGGCCACCACTCGATGGCAACGAATCCAAGCTGGCTTCCGGGAAATGGAGGAGGGTTCGGTGCATTCGGCCCTGGTCTATGCCCCTCGAGCAGAATGATATCACCAGGGCGGAGCTTGTCTGCAGCCGCCTTGATCGCTGCAGCACTTGATCCCGAACTCCACGAGGACGCGCTTATAATTGCATCTGGAGTAATGCCAGTAATACCGAAGTTGTTGTCGTCGCCACTGATGACGCCGAGTACGGCAGTGCCATGATCTATATTGCTTTGAACAGAAGAGGAAGTACCGGCAACAACGCCGCCTTGGTTTGCCAAAAGGTCTTCGTGCGTGAATCGCCAACCGTTCTCGCAGTCGATAACACGAATGTCTTTGCCTTTTCCTCCTGGCACAGTCCACGCCAGTTTGGCATCAATGCCACCTGGTGCGACGTCTAAATAGCCCTGACGATCGAGAAAACTCGGCGTGACAGCCGGCGCTGGCACGGCGGCACTAATTCGAGCCGTGAAAGCGAGCGGAACTGAGACCGGCGGTTTTACGTATGCAGCCTCGACATGATCGTTTGCCAGGAGTTTCTTTGCCAGCTGCTCAAGCCGTTCCTGTGGCGCATACACCCTGTGGAATCTCGAAAGATCGGGGACTTCGATTCGACGTTGATCTACGGGTTCTGCTGTAGCTATAGAGGCAATGCCAGCCCGCTGTTGCTGGAGGCGTTCCGAACTCAGCCCGAAGAGGCTTTGACTAGAGGCATTGTATTTGTCCAGTATGGACTGTATCGGAGATGTGTTGACAGATCGCAGCGTAAAACCATGCACCGCTGCAGCAATAGCCGCCTCTTCTTTGAACAAAACTATGAGCTCTGAAGTATCCGCTTGCGAGGTGGAGGTCTCTGCGGCCATGATATTTTAATCAGGATACAAGAAGGAGCGGTACTATCTCAGGTATCAGTTAGCACATCAATAGACACTTATAAGCAATTCCTATCTCTCACCCGCTATCTCATCTAATTTGAGAGGCTACGACAAAGTTTGGAACTCAGCTCTTCAAGACAGAGAACGAATTGGATAGCCGTATTCGAAGGTTCGTGACGCTTAACTCAGCCGCACCTGAAGAGCAAAGTGGCATTGTTTCATCGTCTATTGGACGCCATTCTGTATGCCTTTAGCGCCATTTTAAAGGGAGGAGCTTTCTGTGCATCATGTGCTGCAAATCCTGATGGTCCTGGCTCAGCTGAATAGTTCTAGAAGGGTGCGAGCGAGTCTGACATTTGGCGTACAACCAACAACGCATTGAAGCGCACCGTTGTACTGTACAGTATAACACGTCAGGAAAAAGCGTTATCCTTTGCCGCGTCGTGATCAAGGTAGCTTAGGCTCCAACATCAGACAAGGGCTCCATCGATAGGACATGTTAAGTATCCGCATTAGAAGTAGCAATAATGACACATGTTCTCGCTAAGGGGACGCACTGTACTGGAGTTGGGATCTAGGAGTTTTTCCGCGAATCCTGTCGAAGTACTGGCACATGATTTGAGATTTGAAGATGGGGACCAGAATACTGTTGACGCAAGAAGTTCAAGGCTGAGCAACGCGAGCTCGCTACCAGCCATGATCCACTCTCACTGGTAACAGCCTTGTCGTTACCTATGCGGGGTAACTACTTGATCAACCAAAGGTTGGCGATGAAGGACAATGAGACGGTCGTTACTAAGTGCCTCAATAGAGTCAGATTTTTAGGTTCTAAGGTGGTGGGAAATTGAGTGTTAGTACAATCGAGTGCGATTCTCAAGCAGCAATAGTGCCTTGCAGGCAGTGTGTAGAGTGTTCATACGCAGATGTGCTCAAGGTTGCGCCATGCGTGACTGCACCACCACATGCTGGGTAGTTTGAGGTCTTATCAAGTGTTGGTGGTGAAGACGAGATATGGCTATAGTATTGTAGTGCGCATGATCCCTGTCAGACTCGTCAAGCACATCAGCCCCACCGGAATGTCTGCCCCCTTACCCCTCGCCCCTCAACACCGTGCAAGGGAATCAAACCTCATTACGACACGCGCTTCCAAATCGCCACAATATCTTGCATCCGAACGCAGATTACTGTCTTGCCATCTCGCACGGAAAGACGAATATAATTTGGGAAGGTCGGATAACGTATCACAGCTATTCTACCAACCATCGTGAGCCACCCTCATATATCATCGTCATGTCAAAGCGGACGACGACCATCACCAGCCATCGACGGTGATAAAAGTTCACATACGAGTTTGCTCCCTTCCAAGCCCCCACTCGAAGCGCAATTTCATTCGCCATGGCATCCCAAAGTAATGATTTCGAGCTGGTATGCGCGGGGCACAAGTGTGATCACTGCCAAAAGACTTTCAGCAACATCAAAGATTTGCGGCAAGATGCCGGACACCAATGCCCGCTGTCTTGTATACGGCTGGCTTGTTTTGAGTGGGCCTCAGGGCAATTGTCTCAGGAAGCTAATACTGGGAGCTTTGCTTACTACGGCCCATCTCACTTTAGAGTAATCCAAGCTTGGGGATTGTTCGACCTGGAAGTGTTTGAGCTTGATCGTGCGTAAGAAGGGAGATGTCAAAGAGTGTCCACTAACTCCACTCAGCAACTTCTTTAGCATCAGGAAAGCTACTTCCCGGATCGACTGCGTCGAATAGCACCTTCTCCACTATTGAGAAGTGGCTCGATCAATGTGTGACAAACCATCCAGAATGCGCACGATCCCTAATGGGTGCAATTTCCAACCGGCACGGAGGTATCAGATATCTAAAAATTGAGGAGAATAGACTGTTGCTTGTTGAACATACAAGCCCCGCGCGCTACATCTGTCTGAGTCACTGTTGGGGTAGCGGAGAGGGTATAATCAGGACAACTACGTCTAATTTGCATGCCCACTTAGAGGGTGGCATCCCTCTAACTACACTTCCAGCAACTTTCAGGGATGCCGTCGAAGTTTGTCGATCTCTCAAAATCTTGTACCTTTGGCTTGACAGCCTTTGTATCGTCCAAGACAGCGATGAGGATTGGCGTGAGCAGTCTGCTAAGATGGCCGACATATATGCAAGTGCGTCCATCACAATCGCGGCTTCAGCTTCTGCAAATGCTACGAGGGGACTCTTTCGCGACACCGATCCGAAGTACTTAGGAGGGCCTCTTCCAGGACATACAGGAGTGTATGTCCGACTTGAGACTGAAGCTGGAGAAGAAACCTGGCCGCTACTAAGACGGGCATGGGTGTTTCAAGAGCTTGTACTATCTCCTCGCTTAGTACATTTTGGTACGAACGAGGTAGTATGGCAATGTCAACGCATCGTGGAACGTGAAAGCCGGCAGCTACCGTCGAATACAAGTTTCTCACACTCGACTAGATACCTGCAGAAAATCATTGATACGAAACGACTTCTGCAGTCTGAGCATGCCGATCTCACCCACGTATGGCATGGGGTTGTGATGTCATATAGTCGAGGGTGGCTCACGTACAGCAAGGATCGTTTGCCAGCAATCGCAGCTATGGCGGGGATAATGCAGTCATTACGACCCAATGATGTATACCTCGCTGGGTTGTGGCAGTCGAATCTTTATCTCGACTTGTTGTGGCACTGTTGGCACGGGTCGGCCGAACATAGCGGTGATATACCCACTGCAACCGAACGGCGCATCACTGTTGGCGTCCCGACTTGGTCATGGGCGTCCGTGAATGCGGAAGTTATCTTCAGACCATTGGACAAAGTGCTTTCTAATGTCGAAATTCTTGAGGTCAACTATTCGGTGCGCGGGCCGATCGTATCCGGTGAGATAACTGAAGCTTCGATCACTCTTCGTGGCCCGCTAATGAGTTACCGTGACATTCAAAACCGAAAAGACATGTCACTTTCTTTCGAGGATGCAACAAGTGAAGATCCGTCATTGGCCACAAGCGAATTGAAGCATGGTCCTGAACTATGGGACAACTGGGGCTGTGATGGCGACGATACCGTACTTTCCCAGCTTTCTCTACTATTTTTCGCCGTGAACCCAGGGCCGTGGACTACTGGGCAGTACACGCTCATATTGGTGGAGACAGATCGTCCAGGCAGGTATATTCGCCTCGGTTTTGTGACAATACACTTCGCCGGCTGGTGGGCTATCTATGATACTGGAGAGTATGAGCATCTCCACAACTGGCAGATGGAGAGATACAACATCCGCTTCATCGCAATGCTTGAAGAGATGGATACACAAGTTGTAGCGTTAGTTTAGTCACACAATCTGTAGGAGGGAAGTTTTAGAATGCGAGGCGCCGATGCTTTTGAACACTGGGCGCGCCGTAAGCCATAATTAGTCTTCTCAATGAAGACGCTGCAGTAGTGTTGATAGGAATGATGGGTAGTTGACCAAGTTAGACGAGTGGATGATGTCGTTAATCAGCGCGATGACACCAGCCCCACTGCACCGCCACTAGAACCCCACCAAGACACCCCTACGCGTGTCCCGCCTCCAGCTTCCAGCCCGACCACTAGCCTCAGCCTCCACCAGACGCCTTCAAAGCAAACAACAAGATCGTTCACGTAAATACTACACACTTGGTTTTTATCATCATCAATCAGACAAGATGGCGCCCTCGGTCTCACTAGTCGTATGTTCCATCAAGTTACAGAACGCTGCTACTGTGCCTGGAAGCTAATGCGGGGCAGAACAAGCTCAAGGTACAGCTCAAGCTGTCAATATCGCGCCTACGTATGGTGCAGCAGAAAGATAGCGCAAAAGTTAAACAGCAGAGAAGAGAGATGGCGCAACTGATTGAAGTAAGTTTTCGACTTCCCACAGCCCATTGCGCATTACGTCGCGCGAGCGCAAGGCAACCGCGCATATCCAGACATCGCCGTATTCTCCTTCATGTCACTCATATTGATCTTTCTACAGGTCGGCAAAGTCCAGTCGGCGCGCATACGCGTAGAGAACATAATCCGCACCGACATCACCACCGAACTACACGAAATCCTCGAGCTGTACTGTGAACTCCTACTCGCGCGATCCCAACTCCTTGAATCACAAGTCTCCTCCTCAAATACTGCTTCCTCCGCGTCCACATCGACACTTCTCGACCCGGCCTTAGAAGAGGCCGTCCGCAGCATAATATATGCCGCGCCGCGAACAGAGATCAAGGAACTACATACTGTCAGAGCGCTATTGGTGGACAAGTTCGGAAAGGATGTCGCTGTGGCTAGCATGGAAGGAGAAGGTGTTGCAGAAAGGGTTATCAAGAAGCTGAAGGTTGAGACACCGAAGGAGGAGCTGGTCGAGGCATACATGACGGAGATTGCAAGATTCTATGGAGTACCGTATGGAACAGCTAAGAGTGAAGATGAAGATGAAGATGACGACGATGAGCCATCGGGCGGCGTGGCCGAGAAGGCGGAAGGCGAGCTCGAAGACCCCATAACTACCGACGACGCCGACCCGAGCACGAGCAAGAAGGCAGAAGAGAGGGCAGCGCTGGCAAAGGCCTCCACACCCAAGAAGCTTGGCCCACAAAGTCCGCTGCGAGTCGTTCCACCGAGCCCAAGCACAGACAATGTAGCGCCGAGATTGAAGTTGCCAGGAAGTGCGGCGGCGAAGGTAGCGAAAAGCGAGTCGAACACGAAGAAGCCGGTCAAGAAGGAGGATGGGCTAGGCAGGATACCGGACGTGGATGAGCTTGCTAAGCGGTTCGCGGAGTTGAAGCGATGATGTGTGTCAGTAGGAGGAACTTTGTCGTTTAGCATGGAGTTCAGTCGAGTTGTTAGATGAAGGTCCTTCCTCCTCATATCAGAGGCTAGTACATTGAGATCGCGCTTCATTGGGTGCATCTGAACGGAGTACAAGCATAGACTGTATTATCTCGTCAAAGCAACGAGCTCAGAGATGAAGAACAGCGCGCAACAGCCACGGATACAATGTTCATCTCTTACTATCTGGAATAGCCGACTACCCAGCTCTATGTAATAGCAGAGAAGCTACCGCTCCATGTACCCAAAAGCCTCAGGTAGGGTACCGTGCAATCGCCGCTCTCACATGTTCAGAAGACTTCAACTATAATACTGAGGCGGCGAAAATGTGTTGTATCTATACATTATTGGTATCACGCTAATACGCTTACGATTACAACTCCAGCTACGATGCATTTGCAAGGCGTAGATAACAGCGCTTTGCTACATCCCAAAACGGCGGTCACTTGCCTGCTTGAAACTTACAAGGCTCGAATACCCTTGAAGAACCCATTAGCCATAAGCTCCGGGTTCCCTTTGACTAGCTCCTTCATCCTCTCTACTTGTTGTTTCTTCGTCAGCCCCTTGCTCTGTACCTCTTCCTTCCACTTCGCTAGTACCTCTTTCAGCATGCGACTTCCCTCCTCTACTTCCTCTTTACTCGCTTGTACATAACCTTCCTCGTGCTTGCCCGCAAAATCTTCTAGTTCATCCGCTTTCCGCTTCGCCATGTTGATGACTTTTTGTGGGAAACGGACGAGCTCTGCGACATGGATACCAAAAGATTGGTCCGAGAATCCAGGTTCTACTTTGTATAGGAGGGTAACTTCGCGTTTCTTTTGTACGGCGGAAGCGTCCATGTCGACGTCTGCATCTGCATCGCCGTTGACAGGCGCGGCACTGCCTTCAGAGATATGCGCTACCACGTGTAGATTTTGAACTTGTGGATATGTGTCCACCAGCGCGGTCAACTCGTGGAAATGCGTGGCAAACAACGCAAAAGCACCAATCTCCTTGACGATGTATTCGGAGATTGCCCATGCCAGGCCGAAACCATCGTATGTGCTTGTTCCGCGACCGAGCTCATCGATGATGATGAGTGATTCTTTGGTTGCAGATTTGAGGATATTTGCTGTTTCTAACATCTCGGCCATGAAGGTCGACACGCCTTTGATTTGACTGTCACTTGCACCGACACGGGCGAGTATGCAGTCAAAGATGGTCAACTCGGCTTCTGAACAGGGGACGAAACATCCAATCTGTGCCATGAGGGCAATGACACCGATCTGTCTGATGTACGTAGATTTTCCGCCCATATTGGGACCGGTAATGATCAAGAATTCGCTTGAGTCGCGCACGAGCGAGACGTCGTTTGTGATGAAGGATATGTCGTCTTGCATCTCCATGCAAGGGTGTCGCGCTTCTTTGAGGACAGTGTTGCCGGTGCCGCGCGCGTGCATGGTTGGTCGGGTGTAGGATGTAGGTGCGTGGACGGAGACATGAGCAAAGGAGACGATGACATCAAGGTGTGCGAGTACGGCGGCAAGTTTCTCGACTACAGGGACGTAGGATGATGCTACTGAAACGACTTCGTTCACGAGGCCGGACTGCGTGCGGTTGTAGTTCTCGGAGAGCTGGTCGAATTCTCTGCGCTTTTCTTGTAGTGTGTTGGTGGTGAAGTACACGCCGTTCTTCTGTGTAGAGATCTCCTGGTACTGTTTCTTTTGTCTGATACAGCCTGCTTCGTTGCGGGTTAGTCGGAAGCACCAGCCGTTGACCTTGTGGTTCTCGAGGAAAAGCTTTTTGTCGGTGTCTTGGTTGAGGTCATCGCCCACACGCATGTGCTCTGATTCCATGTCACGCTTGAGCTTATCCAAACGCTTCCGGATGGTCTTCAGCGACTCATCGAACTCAGGCTTGATAATGAACTCGTGGTTGTCGAGCGCTTCGAGATCCACAGTAGTCTCCACCATGTCTTGTAGGCCTGCAAATGCTGTTGTGTATTGGCGGAGCTTATCGGTGTACTCTGCATCGAGCGGCTCCTTGTACTGCTCGTCCATAACCGCCTCGAGGGAGCTAAGAAAGCCCGGTAATCGAATGACGACTTGATATGCGCGTACGACGTCTTCCAGATTTGCGACTTTACGCTGGAACTTCTTCGCTAGTCGGTAAAGATCTGGTATTGAGCGTAGGTGCTCTTCTTGCATCGTCTGTCTCAGCTCAGTGTCGTTGACGAAGGCTTCCACCAGCTGCTGGCGTCTCTCAATGTCCTTGACGTTCATTAGGGGCTGTTTCAGCCATTGTGCTAGTAGCCGGCTACCAGTGGGTGTCTTGCAGTGATTGAGCAGTCCATACAAGCTCATATTCTTTGCACCGTCTCGTGGTCCAGGCATGAGGTTAAGTGCCTTCAGGGCAGCAGCATCGAGCTTCATATATTGTGAGAGGTCGTGTTGGTAGAGCTGGTATTGCCCGAAGTTCGATGAGTCGGACATGACGCCCAAGTAGCGGATCAGGCATGCCGCCGAGCCCATCGCCAGCTTCAAATCTGTCAATGGCAACGAGCCGGCCGCTCGTTCGTCTTTGAGTAATCGCGGGAGATCCTGTTCGATGTCTTTTGTGCCAAAGTCCGTTGCTGACCGCTCTGCTACGGCGCAGCCACAGTTGTCGGCGATCGTCCTCAGCTTGCCCAGCTCCACATCCTTCTTGCTAGAATCAACCTGTATCAAGCACTCCTTGACGCCGAGCTGAATGAGCAGGGATTCGAAATTTGAATACAGGTCGTTATCGAGGAACTCTGTAACGCCCAGCTCTCGCACACTTGCGTCTGCGAAGCATACACCCACATTACGTGCCTCTGATGCTTTTGCTGATACTTTGACCGCTAATATTATAGGCGCATTCTCGATCTGACCGCCCAATTCATCTTCCAGGTCTTGCAGGTTGCCTGGCGAGGCCTGCTTGACCACCTTCCAGTCCATGCGTTTACCTGTTGACTGCCATATCTCGATACGTTTGCTAAGTCTGAAGAGTGCGTCGCGGAGGAAGTTGCGGAAAACGGTGATGGTCATGGTTACGGATTCGAGGCCTGGTTCTCGTCCCAGCTTGCGGATAACGGCTGTGGTTTTGTACACCTGAAAGCATGTCAGTATCTTTGCTGCTCACTTATTGAGGTATGCGCGCTTACTGTGTTTGCGATAAACTTGGCATCTTCGCCGTGGGCGCTGTAGTAGTCGCCGCGGTCGAAGATGCGCACCGTCTCGTCATCTTTCTCAGGCAAGTTACGGAAGAACTTGCAGAAGCCTGACTCATCCTCCTCTTTCATCTCTGGTCGGGACGCCATGTCGATATGCTGTGGAAAGGCTGGTTGGGGGTGGACTGAGGTGCAACAGAGTGGAAGTTGAGACGATTGGGCGCGCCTTCCGTTAATTGATTCGAGGCGCGTCGACGCGTCCAGTCAGTCCACGCTAATTCTTATCGATAACGCTAGAGCTCTTCCAGTAGCCATCATTCTCTCCTTCATCATACACACTTCTGCACCATATACGCGAGCGTCAGAGGCATCCTTTGGCTCAATACTCTCGTGCTTTTTTTTTTTCGTCTACTTAAAATTTGGCTACATCTCAACATTCCCACAGCCACTCCTAATACATCTAAAGAAATGTTAGATCTATGCCTGCTTCAAAGTCGATCGATTCAATGCCCGAGATGGCTTGTGAGAAGACATGACTAGGTGGAGTTCCCAAAGGATGGAAGTTGCTGAACCATGTCAAGCAAGGAGATGCTGGAAGTGGTACTTAGGTACGCTACGAATCAGGGAGACCTATGATGTTCACGAAAAGGTGTACTCCTATCACAGGATCTTGATCTTTGAGGCTATCACAGTCAAAAACTTGTCACCATAACACTATTCCACTACTCGGGATACAGCCATGTCAAGGTAAATGCGCGATCTGCAAAATCACTGCTAGAAGCCGAGACGTCGACGGAAATGAGCTTCATGCCACGTGTAAGATTCTTCTACGTGAATGCTGCTTACATTGTACCTAGTACCTTTAGTCTGCCGGAGACGTTGTAGCGTGATTATATTGGACGCTCCATAACAAAAGTGTGCAAGGGAATTGGTATAGCGGTTAATGATTACTTAACCTTGTCGTACGCCATGAGGCGTTATATGCCTGTACAGCCATGTCTTTGTTGTACTTTCAGAGTGTGTGCGGCTCCTAGCCATGTCCTAAAATTGAAAACAACACCACAGTTTCTTATCGCAACGATGAGAAAAAGTTCCAAATGTGGAATGCGGTACCGCACGCTTGCGACTCGGCCCAAGACCTTGGCGATTCAACCAGCGTCAATGAGGCCGAAAAGTTCCTCGCCAAGCTGCCTGGGCGCAACGACGCGCGAGAAAGAGCCGCAACCCTTTGTTGCTTAGTCGGGGTTATGCCCGATAGTTCCCAGCTTGGGCGCGACGAGATTGAAAGACGTGACATCCGTAGGTAGTTCGGTTTTCGGAGATGTGCTGGGGATCGCGCGGATAGATTTCGGAGTGGTAAAACAAGACAGTCTTATGGGACTTACTGTATTTAACTCGATGGAGACTTCCATTTGATCGTCGGTGTTGAAACTTTGATCTCTTTGCTTCGGTCCTGCTGCGCATCATAGTCGTGCGTCTCCTTACGAATCGCCTCAGCCACGACACCAAATATGGCCCACAGATCAACATCACCAAGACATGTACTGCCTCATAGCCTCTTGCCAATGCATCTCCAATCGACCCCTTCCTCTGGGACAGCAACCCCTATTAATGCTGTCCCAACGACTCTTCCATCGATACCAATTCAACAACAACAAGTTTACACCATGCACCAATCACCGAACAATACATACACTCCTCAGGAGTCCTTCGAACTTGTGTCACGCATGGGCGTCAAGAAGGCGTATATGCGCATCGACAAGAGCTTCCTTAGTGCCTGCTCAGCTGGCATGATCTTATCCTTCGCATGCGCAACGCTCATCTCGACAAATACGGCACCATGGTACCAGGAGAACGCTCCAGGTCTCATCAAGACAATTGCGGCACTTGTGTTTCCATACGGGTTAGTCATTGTGCAGATGACAGGAAGCGACCTGTGTACAGGCAGCTTCATGTACACGACTGTTGCAGCACTGCACAGACGACTCAGCATCTGGCGGATGTTGAGGCACTGGGTTGTAACTTTCTTTGGAAACCTCGCCGGAAGCTTGTTCGTGTGTTGTGTGATCGTTGGATGTAAGTCTCCGATAGTGACAGTGATCAAAGATACGAAGCTGACTTGGTGTAACAGATGGTGGACTGTTCGAGGGGAAGTTGTATCGAGAAGAGTCGCTGCACTTCGCGTATAAGAAGCAAGTCGAACCAGAGTGGTACCAAATTTTCCTTAAAGCTATCGGTGCGAATTGGTTGGTATGTTTAGCATGCTTTCTTGGGTGTTCGGGTCGCGACTATGTGTCCAAGGTGGTAGGGATATGGTGGCCAACGTTCGCATTTGTATCCTTGGGCTTCGGTAAGTATCACGCCTTCGTACCTAAATTCGCAAGTAAACTAATTACGTGTACCAGATCACGTTGTCGCCAACATGTTCTTGATACCGAATGCCATCTTCCATGGCTCGCCCGACATCACTATCGGCATGTATATCTGGAAAGGCATTGCTCCGTCACTACTTGGGAATATTGTTGGTGGCGGTTTCTTCGTCGGAGTTCTCTACTGGTATCTACACATCCAGGGTCAAGACGACACTCTCATTGACGGTCATCGCTACGAATCGATAAGGAGGTCGTCGCAAGACTTGGGAAGATGGGTGAGGCTAAAGGAAAGAAAAGAGGTAACAGAAAGCCAAGAGCAGGTCTGCCGGGAACAGGTTTAAAAGTGGCTGTAGTATGGTTGCAGGAAGTAGTCGACGAACCTGACGCCACGATTTGGGTTCCTCGTAGCCAAGCAATTGACGTCAACGCTGGTACGTGCGCGCATCGATTGGATTGACTACGAGAACACCAACATCGCTCTTCATCCTCACGCACAAGCGTGTTTACTTCACAGATTTCTACCACTTAGAAGCATCAATCAAAATATGTTCGTTCATTGTTCTGATCGCCTTCGTGCCTATATAAGCTAGATCTGGGCTGAATAACCGTTTTCTATTCGCGTCATCGCATTGAGGGTCATAATTCATGACGAAGCTATGTAAGTTGCGACATTGCCATATTTAACTCAAGTCTGGGATGGGGAGTGGAGGCTGGGCTCCCGATCCTTGTGCGCGTCTTCCTGCTCGCGATACGCTAGCCTGACGTTTGTCTCTACCGGTGAGTGAAGGTGCATCTGCAGATGTAAAGGTATGGTGTTCTACAAGCCCTTTTCCAGCTTCACACGCCATATTTCTGACTGTACAACGGATTGTGTTGAACTCATACCGCGGTCCTGGCACCTCCGCTAAACACATAACAACGCCCATCACCGCCAATGTTGCATGGAGTTCAATGAGCCTGTCAGTCACCGCATAACTATCGGTCACAGTGATTACGAGGTCATGGTGCTGTACATCCTCTGTGATTGGTAGCTAATGCTAGCTTTTGTCTTCATCTGAGCACGGGCCACGCATTCGCACGATGCACACGCGGCGCCACAACGCTAATCCGACAACATCGAGGCATCAATCTAGAGAAGCCCTGCCATTGAAAATTTGGAAAGGCTTGGGCCCGGGTGACTGGCCTTTTCGGTATCAAATGCTCCGCGATGCACGGGAAACCTGGCCAAGCTGTCGTGGCACTCGACAGCACGTTGCTAAGCCTTTAGCCGGAAAGCGTGTATACGCCATGAAGCTTGTGTTGCGATCTTGTAGTGAGTATGAGGATGTTGCTTAAAAGCACATAAGGCGCTCCATTTTGCAACGTTTTTCATTACGAAGCCGATCGTTTGCCCATCTTTCCTACATCCGCTCGTTGCTGTACTTTCTGCTTTCCAGTCGGTCGTTTTTCTATTTCCCTTCTGAAATCCCTGCATTGCTCTAAATCCAAGATCGTACCCTACTATGACCATGAAGACCGATCTCTGGCTTCTTGCCGCTATCTTCTTTGGCGCTGCTGAGGCTGCGGTCTCTTCGAACTATACTGAAGCTATACTTAGCTCTGGGACTAGTACGCACCCTTCTAAACACATTGAATATCTGCTGACGATGTACTGTAGTCAAGCTCGGTAGCTGGCAGAACGCATACGAAAAAGCTTCCGCATTTGTTGATACCCTCAGCGCCTCCGATAAACTCTCCATCATCACTGGTAGTAGTGCTGGCAACTTCTCCGGTCTTGAGATCCTCGATTCGTCTGCCAACCCCATCAACTACTACTATGTTACCGCTTGGCCAGCAGGCATCGCAATGGCCATGACCTGGGATAAAGCCATTCTTGAGGGTCAAGGTCAAGCGTTGGGGGCAGAATTCAAGGGGAAGGGAGTTAATGTTGGTTACGCACCCACTGTTCAGCCTCTTGGACGTTCACCCTGGGGCGGCCGAGGAGGCGAGAGTTACGGCCCCGACTCTTATTTCTCTGGCATTATGGGCGGCGCATTAGCCAAAGGAATGTCCGCTAGTGGTGTCATTCCTGGTGCAAAACACTACGTGCTCAATGAGCAGGAGACCAACCGTCAAGGCTCGAACAGTATGGGCGGTGGAATAGGTGGAGGTTTCGGGGGCCCTGGAGGCAACTCCACAGATGGTGGCGCTGGTGGCGCTGGTGGCGCACCCCCGAGCATGCAACGTCGTCAGAACATAGCGGTTAATTCTACGATATCTTCTTCGGAAGCCTACAGTGTCGTGGTCGACGATAAAGCTCTCCATGAGACCTACCTCGCACCATTCTACGACACGGTCAAGAACGATGTTGGTGCTGTCATGTGCTCAATGAACCGTATCAATGGTACATACGGGTGCGAGAACCAGGACACGCTTTCAAGGCTTCTCAAAACCGAAATCGGCTTTCCCGGCTTCGTCAATCCAGATGCGGGTGCTCAGAAAACCGGTATCGACTCCGCCAATGCGGGGCTTGATTACGGCTCATCGTCTTCCTGGAGTAACGATACACTTATCGCTGGCATAGCTAACGGCACCTTCACAGAGGACCGTCTCAACGATATGGTCATTCGCAATCTCATCGGCTACTTCCGCCAGAAGCAGGATGTGAGTTACCCCACGCATGCAGGATACACAGACCATGTAGATGTCCGTGGCAAACATGACGAATTGGCGCGCAAATATGCAGCAGAGTCATTAGTGCTGTTGAAGAACACTAACGGTGCTCTTCCACTGACCAAGAACCGACGTGTCATATCCATCTTCGGTAGCCACGCCGCTCCTCGCAACGTTGGACCGAACACGGCCCTCACCGTTCAGTCTGGTGTTGCCGATACCATGGAGGGTCATATGACTCAGAACGGCGGCAGTGCAATGTCTTCGAACGCATTTCTGGTCACTCCATTCCAGGCTTTCAATGAAAGAGCTGAATCAGAAGGGCTCATGCTCAAATGGTGGCTTAACAACACAGTTGTCGAAAGCTCGGGTGGGGGTATGATTATTAGTGACGGTACCGGTACGGAGATTCAGGAGACCACTCTTGGTATGGCAGATGGCTCGGATGCGTGTATCGTCTTCATCAACGCGTGGGCTGGTGAGGGAGGAGACAGAAGTGAGCTTGCGAATGCGGAACAGGACTACCTGGTTACCTACGTAGCGAATAACTGCAACAACACCATCGTCGTTGTCAACACCGTCGGCCCGCGCCTTCTCTCCCAGTGGGACGACCATGAGAACGTTACCGCTATCCTCTACGGTGGCCCACTCGGCCAATCTTCCGGTCACGCCATCAACGAAGTACTTTTCGGCGACGTGAACCCTTCCGGCAAGCTCGTACATACGCTCGCGAAGAACGAGTCCGATTACGACTCGAATTTCCAGATCAGAGAAGCATCCGAGATTGACTTCACGGAGGGCAACTTCATCGATTACAAGTACTTTGATCAGCAGAATAAGAGCGTGGGGTACGAGTTTGGTTACGGAATGAGCTACACTACTTTTGAGTACGCATCCAACGTCACTGTCACTTCAGACAGTGAGAAGCTCGCCCAAACCTATGCGACTGGTGCACGTGCTGTTGGCGGCCGCGAGGATCTATGGGATATTGTTGCCACTTTCAGCACCACCATTACCAACACAGGCCGTGTCGCTGGTGCTGAGGTCGCACAGCTGTATGTCGAATTCCCCGCTGCAGCTGATGAGCCGGCCAGGCAATTGCGTGGTTTCCAGAAGGTTATGGTCAAAGCTAGTCAGACCAGGAAGGTGCAGTTTGAACTTCGCAGGAGAGATCTGAGTGTGTGGGACGTCATTGCGCAAGAGTGGGCGGTTGTGAAAGGAGATTATAAGATGCATGTCGGAGCTAGCAGCCGGGATTTGAGGACTGTGGCAACGATGACGGTGTGAAGATGCAGTTTGGTTGTAATATCGATTAGTTCAGTCGGTTTCCTTCCTAGTATGTATAGCAGAATATGCCTGATCGTACGTTATGAGCTCTCAAGCCTTGACGTCAGGCGCCAGACCTCCAAGTACGCGTCGTCATATCTCACGACAGATCAAAACCGGTGTACCCGCTCGCTGCCGTCTCTTCAATAGTCTTGTAATAAGTCGGCACGCCGCCGAGGTAGATCAATGGCTCTCTGGCCTTTCCAGGGATGTTGGTACCCATATACCACTGTCGCAATGTCAGTATACTGCGTTTTCCTCATCTGTTTCCTTCATATGACTCACCGAATCTACGCTGGGCAGTAGCGACGCGTTAGCGAGTTTCCAGATGAGCTCCTTCCACTGGTCCTCGCTCTCCTTTTGCGCTACCACCTTGCGTAAGGACTTCTCCTTCATGTGGTTCATCGTCTGCAAGATCCAGTTACCCTGGAGCTCAGCGCATGTAGGACCATTGCATAGTGCAGTCGGAGCTTGTGGACCGTAGGTGAAAAACATATTGGGGAAGCCTGCTACTGCCATACCGAGATACGTCTTTGCGCCCTCCTTCCAGTGCTCGCTCAAGCTCTCACCTGACGGACCACGGATATCGATCTGTTTCAGACCACCGGTGATGGCGTCATATCCGGTCGCACTGATTATATAGTCGAACTCGTGTTCCTTATTCGCGGTCTTGATACCTTTCTCTGTGATCTCTTGGATTGGTGTACCCTTCTCGCTGATGTCAACAAGCGAAACGTTGGGCTTGTTAAACATCTCGAAATACTCATTCTCCAACGAGATGCGTTTACAACCAAAGGCATACGGTTGCTCCATAGGGGCTAGGATGTCTGCAACTTTGGTGTCATTGATCTTCGCTCTTGTCTTGTCACGCCAGAAGTTGTATGCTTCGCGATTGGCTTCCTTGGCGAAGAGCATATCGTAGTACGTCGCAAGCCAAAATTTGAAGTCACCCTCTGCCCACAGCTCTTCATATGTTTTCAGTCTCTGTTCTGGTGTATCGTCGAATGTTGATTTCGGCAGAAAATTGAAAGAGAAACCGGAGAAGCTGTCTGGGCGTCCAGCGAAGAGATCAGGATATTTGGGCTTCGGAAGAGCTTGTTGAGGGAGGTCGTAGTCGACTTGTCCCATAGGCAATGACATATTTGGCGTCCGCTGAAAGACTGTAAGATGGCCAGCCACCTTACTCAGCTCTTGAGCTAGCTGGATGCCAGTGGACCCTGTGCCAACAACGGCCACCTTCTTGCCACGAAGGTCAGGTTCCTCATGAGGCCAATATGAAGGGTGTAAAAGTGTTCCTAAGCGGCGTTTAGTACGGTTCACAGCATCGGCAACGTTGTCAAACCTTTGAACGTGTCGATCCCTTTCCAGTCGGGAATGTACCGCTTCGCCGCGAAGCCGGTGTTCAACAACAAGAACTTCACTTTGTATGTCTCGCCAGCCTTCGTCTTCACCGTCCATCTCGCTTCCTCATCACTCCATATCGCAGACGAAACGAAGGTGTTGAACTGCGTATCCTTTCTCAGGTCCCAAACCTTCGCCACGTGATGGAAGTAAGTGCGGAGCTCCTGGCCACCTGAGAAACGCTGCTTCCACGTCCAATCTTTCCAAAGTGCAGGATCGGAGAATTCGTAGTGGGGAATGGAGCTGTCGACACGTGCGCCAGGATACCGGTTCCAGTACCACACACCTCCGTAATCTGATCCGTGCTCGACAAGTTTGACACTGTAGCCTGCATCGCGCACAACCTTCAGCTGGTATACACCGCCGAAGCCTGCACCAACGATCAAGGCATCGAGCTCGTTTACTTGGGTTCCGTTTGTTCCATTGGTGTCGTTAGAACTGCCGTTCAATGACAAGTTCTGAAAATCGTCGATAGAGCCCATGTTGTGTTATTACTCCGCTTCCCGACACACTGGTTGAGACAGAGTATCGAGGAAATATGCAGTCGATATCACTGCAGGTGTCGCTGACAGAAAGAAGACAGGGAGTGAACCAAATGAGTGGAGAGAAGAGGATGGCTTGGACCTCGGAACGCAGGGCTCCTCGCGTACCTTAACTGTTTGAGCTGCTACTCATTGGGCGTTGATGTGCATAGCGCATTACGCGCGTGCAAATAGTTGTACAGCTTTTTATTTTCGTTCCTGGAAGAATACTTTGACGGATCCTGGCAGCAAGCCTAAAACAGAATAGTGACAGAAGGTAGCACTGTAAGCCCCGCTTGCTTCAGTGCAGGGTTCCCCTCGACTCAGGCCATGTCGGAGCTGTCAAGGCCCTTGCGGTACGGCTCGCCCGTTTCTTAGCTAACGGTATTTTGTGTAGCGAAAGTTTAGACTGGGATGATGTTTGTGAAACTTGCTGCAGCCCTGACAACATCACGAAAATTACCTAGACGCATACATGGCGTGCTCACCACGCCTTAGATTCTGCACAATCGCGGAGTTGGGCTCCTAGAGTCGATGTTCAGTTGCACAATTGCACGTGAAGGATGCGGGGCCCTGCAATGTTACATGCATGGGCGGGAGGTTCGGGCCTTTTATAGAGGGGCCACTAAGTCGGTTGTATTATCAAGGAAAGACGACGCGGGCGCTAGATAAATCGAAAAACTTCATTTTTTGATCATATCGTGTATTGAAGAAGCCCTTTTCGCTATGTGTTACAAAACTGGCAGGTCATACCACGTGTGCTTACTCCATACCATTCGAATTAACAATGCATTCGATGACGGCCCGTGAGGATGACCGGAAATTCAGGTTTAAATTTCTGGTCTATACTTGCAGAACGATATGTATATTAGCAGGATTGTTTGTCTGAGAAAGGATTAACAGTCTTGAAGTCTCAGGTTAGTGGAGACGTGGGTGTATCGAGCGTATTAGGAGTTCAGTCAGTTCGTACAAAAGGGCCGACGTCACTGACGCAGCGCCGCTACGTCTTGCACAAGCGGAGAGTCGGGGAAAGGTTTCGGGTACTACGGCAGTGCAACGGCTCTCATTCAGGAGACTCGTGTGGCTGCAAGTGGGGAAACTGTCCCGAATGGGGCTATCGCGGGAGAAGAATCTTCTTGGGAGGAGTGAAGGACATGGATCGGGGCCATCGGGCCAACGTCTTGAGCATGGTCGAGGTGCTCAATGTTCGTTGGCGCGAAGCTTCAGGTACAGGTTACTGATTACTCGTCCATGAATTATTACAATGATTGGCGGAGGCATGCTCGTGTGTTACAAACTGCGAAGAGGTTGGAAGCACAGTTCGGGAACATCCGTTTGAGGGCTTTCTCATATACACCTCGATATCAATTCTCTTGAGTGCTAGTATAACGTGGTGTAATTTCTTTTGGTTGTTGAGTGTAAAATTACTTGCTTCAACAATTGGCGAAGCCTCACTGTTTTTCTACATACCAAAACCATGGCGATGAGTCCGCTGGAACAGGCTCTCATCGAGACATGGACTCTTTACGCATTTGGAAGCGTCGCCATCATGCTGAGAATCTTCTCACGCACGAGAATGGTCGGCATCGCTGGATGGCATCCTGACGACTATCTGATCTTCTTTGCATGGGTAAGTGAACTCGTTCATTCAAAGAGAATATGCAAAAGACACTAACATCTGCAGGCATGCTACACAGGCATGACGATAGCCGCTCATATTGTAGGCGGAACCGGCGATACTTCGCACCTGACGATGGAGGAACAACAGTCATTCACCCCTGAGCAGGCAGCCGCACGCCAAAAGGGTAGCCAGTGGTTCATGGTCGGTTGGTTCACCTACATCGGCCTGATCTGGACTCTGAAGTTGAACATGTTGTTTCTCTACAGACGAGTGGTTAGTGTAGTGTGGGTAAAAATGTTCATCATCCCCACGATGGTATTCGTCGGCGCAACTGGTATCTCAATCTGGATTCTGCTCGGCACAGCATGTCGACCTTTTCACAAAATATGGCAGATTTTGCCAGACCCAGGCCGTGAGTGACTCTGCACCACTTTGAGGCAATAGTGAAATCGACTGACTTTGCCAGAATATTGCATACCGCAAAGTCCAGCATTTTTGGTAACCATACTGGTGCTGAATCTGTTCACGGATGTATGCATCATGCTCATCCCAATCCCCATCATCATCCCACTGAAGATCTCATGGGGCCGCAAGATTGGGTTGATGGTCATGTTCTCTGGCGCAATCTTTATCATGATAGCAGCAATCTTGCGGGTTTACTTCGTTATGGCGGTAGGTGTCTCTAACAAGAAGAAGCTTCGCCTGCTAACAGTCGGTCCAGCTCCAACAGGGTCAAACAGCGGCCATCTGGTCCTGTCGAAAAGACATCGTCGCAGTCATCATTGGTTAAGCCACCATCATTCGTCCTCTATTTACCCGCCGGTTTTGGAGCAGTAACTACAATAGCCCCTCTTCGTACCCGTCGAACAAGCCATCAAACGGCTACGAGTCGCACGAATTGTCCGGCAGTGGAGGCGACGGGTCGAAGGCGTCGCGCCTGGGGTTCCGCAAGCCAAAGGACCCGTACAATATTAGCGTGCTCCAAACGGCGCAAGGGAATGAGAGCCAGGAAAGGATCGTCGGGATACAGCAAGACGCTGGGTACGCGACACGGGAACCAACTCAAAATAGTGATCACAGCGGCCGTGGTTTGGATATTACTGTCAAGAAGGAGGTTGACGTCTCAACGTCCGCGGGGAAGCAGGAATTTCATCACTCTTGGAAGGCAGTATGATGTGTAAGGGAGTGATGAGCTGGTATGAAGCCTGGTGCATCGCGATCATAAGCATGGAAATATGGTCAACAGCATGCCACGCGTGACGGGCATGCGGGTTGGAGCCAAAGGCCATGACTACATCTCAAAGGATGAAGGCCAAAAGCCACTAAAGGCTCCGGCGTCGAATGAAGGAGGAATATGCAAGAAGAAAGGCTTATTCAAAGGGAAAGCTATCTCAATATACTGATATGATAGCTGTTATAGCGACGCCTAGTCCCAGAGGTGCTTCCAGATTTGTTCCTTAATAGGAATACTAACGATGTTTGTCAATCTCTTGAAAGTAGCCAAAAGCCGTGACATTCGACATGACCTTTGATTTAATCAGGATATCAGGGAAACGAAAAGGTTATGTAGCTACCCCCAGTGTCCCTAGTAGCAGTACCTCACTCCGTAGTCTCTGTCTTCCGGGTACCTACCGTATGGTTGGTATACCTTCACCTCTAGCAGGCCCTTCATCAAAAATACAGACACAGATATCATACCAGAAGATATCTGCATGGAGCAATCATATCGAGATGCACATTACCCAAGAGCATAGAGCCTGGGAGAGGGTGGAAAAGGTGGTGAGAATGCTTGGCAAAAAGAAACTTTCACCAGAGTCAACCATCAACTTCTAAACGACGACAGCATGGTCAACTGAAGCGCAAAAAGAAGAAGCCCGACGTGGGGGTCGAACCCACAACCTTGAGATAACCAATCGAGTCTGATTAGGACGTGAAAGCTAAGAGTCTCACGCTCTACCGATTGAGCTAGCCGGGCGATGCTGTTGATTGATGAAAGAAAGTGGAAATGAAACAGTATTATCCGCAGACATTTGAGTTTGGAGAATAATCTCTAGACCGGAGTGATCCAAGTATGGCTCTTGTTCACGTTGCTGAAGTTTGGATTGGTGGTTTGTGGTAGCAAAGAAAATTTCTTGCGGTTGTGTGGGGCCGACGGCGGCGGCGGCGAAGGACCGGCGAACATCATGTTCATAACCTATGGGAGCCGTTAACCAAGATCGTTCAAGCGGATACTCTTCTACACTCGGATTCGTTATCTAAATGTTCCGGACAGCATGTCGCTTGTCGAATAGACCGCAATCGCAGGAAGGGGGTTGTTGCACGCGCAGTCGTGCAGCGACGCCAGCCATCACCAACGACACGTTCAGCTTTCGGGGTAAAGCATTCATGTGTCGACGCCGAAGATACGCAACCTAAAATACTGTTACCGGTTCTAAGCTTCGAGCCCGTTTGCTGCTTTGTAAGTCCGGACTCATAACAAGTAGTAGTACTGCCCATCACTCCGACCTCCTGAGGATACGTAGGTAACCCCAAGTTCGGCTTGAGCGCTCTCCAACGCCAGGTCGAACTTGGGTAGATGCAACAATGTCATCGGATGGGTAGCATATATTAGGCTCTTGATGGAGTAGGTCCCTAGGGGGAGATGGAGACAATGACGACGCAGCTGAGCGCGGCTCAGCGTAGAAGATCGATTACGATGAAGGAGCAATCAAGACCACAAGAATATCGCATATATGTCGTTACGATTGAGACTGAGATGTCAACCTGGTGTTGAGGTATACATGTAGTGTTACCACCTGTGGACACCTTACACTTCCCAGCTGCAGCCCGTGATGACGTATTCATGTACCTTCGTGCACAGACCACCATCCTTTCTCGGAACAGACGGCCTCATCCCAACCACGAGCCTCGTTCTTGTGGCAATCGACGTTTAGACAAGCTTTCCGATCAACGTCTAGTGTGAGGCTGAAGTTTGACATCCTGGGGACGGTGGTCAGCCGGGTGCTAGTCCAGGTACCACAGCTACCTTATCTGAGCATTGGCATGGGCCTTTACTGAACGTGCCGCCGTGCAAGCACTCTCAACAAAGAGTTTTCCTAGCAAATCTTAAGGCGCGATACTCGAGGAACGCTATGATGTTGATGAAATAGATTGATCTTTCGTTATATCATTTGCTCATACATCGTAGAAAGAAGGACTCGTAATATGCGCCCATGCAACTTTGCCGTCCCAAAAAGGTATAATCGCGACCCAAACGCCTCGCTGTGGTACAAGAAACACCCTCTTAAGCACAGTAATATCGCCACAATCGCCGCTTTCTCATCGATAAATCACCTCCTCCCTAAGTACGCTTCTTGGTGGACTAGGTGCTCGTGGCGCAGGAAGACTCAACCTCCTCGTCTCAACCTTGGCTTCCCTCAAGTCGATTTCTCTCTCCAGCTCGCTCACATCATGGTATGTTCCCACATGCTTGACCAGGCTGTCTACTGTTCGGCAGATCGCATCTACATCCCTGCCCCTGCTACAGATTGTGCACGCGTACTCGCCATCCGGAGTATGACACTTGATAACGAAGCGCTGGGCAAGGCGAAACTCCCGAGTCTCCATGATATCGGTTTCGTATCCAGACGTCTTGTCGAGAATGGTGACTGGTGTTCGCTTCCCGATCATCCAGAAATCTTCACTGGTGACGTCGAGACGAATGCCGCATGCGGGACATGCGCAGCTGCCTCCGGGGGCGAACGTGGATGCCAGTGGTTTACCGGGCATGTGTTGTAGATCGAGAGCGTAGCGGCAGAAGAGTTGCTCCGGACCATCCATAATCGCACTAGGTGCGTGTTGCGAAGGAACCAAGGAGCGCGCCGGCGATGCGGGGCGAAACTCGCCGCCACCTACTTGCGAGCCTCCTAGACGCTGTTGTGCTTCTTGTAGGGCTGCCATAGAGCCTTCTCGGGCTTGGTTCGAGGCGGCGATGAGCTTGGCCATATCGGCACGGGTCAATTGGCGGTCATTGTAGAGGGCGTCTTGCAAGACGTTGATGACGGTTTGCTGGAGGGAAATAATCTGCGCTTGCAGTTGGTTCTCCACGATAGCTGTGGGGAGAGTCAGTATTGTAGCTGCTGTCGCACTCAGGAGACCTACCATCGCCCTGCGCAAACCGGCTGCCCATTCTGCCATAACCCTGATCGTACATTCTTTGAATCATCATGCCGTCCCTCTCAAAGTTGTTTCCTACGTCATCGCGCCCTCCCCATTGTCCGCCTCCTCCACCGTTCTTCAGTCGATCAATCTCCTGTTGTCTGCCTTCTGCTTTTTTCTGCGCGTCTTCAAACTGCTGTTTCAGCTCCTTGATTTCGCCATCTTGCTTCGAGTCGCGCTGTTTCTGTCGGTGCTGTTCACGCCTATCTGCGACGCGTTCCCACAGTCCCATAGACGCCGTGAACGTGCCGACCAGTGTAGACGCTAACGTGGCGACGATGAAGGTTTTCTAAACCGCGTGGGTTAGATTCACAATCACAGATAAATCCACAATGTGTGTACCTTGAGCTTCTTCTCCTCAATCCATGATGCGTAGTTCATTCTCGCGTTGGTGGTGATGAGCAACTAGGCTCACACGTCGCTCCGAATCGTAGAAAGTGCCGAGTAGATTGCGTACTCTCAAAGTCGCAAGTTCGAAGGACAAATATTGCGCGATCGACAGATGCTAATATCCAACTCTTGTTTTTGATCTGGTAGAAGCCACCGCCTTTTCAAATATCGAAAGTACAGAAGAATAGGGTAGGAAAAGAAAAGCGCGGAGAGTAAACCCATCACCCCTCCGCGCATCCTCAATGACGCACTCTGTCCTCCACCTAACCTGTAACACGCGCGAGTCGCGGCCCCAAACGGCGCCCGACCCCAAGATCACCCGTGCATGAGCAAGTACGACACCTGATTGCACCAAACAAAATGTCGCGCAATTATTCGGGTGGGTGGGCATGGGCGCAGTTCACTGACCGCTGCTTTCACGATGCGGATGTGAGCCGCGCCAGCCAAAGTGGAGGCGGCATGTGCAGTGATGTCATGCGGCTAGCCGCCTTGGATCTAGGCAAAGCGCAGGAAATGAGACGCCGTGTGGGCGATGAGACCTCGGGAGTCGGGAACCGCGACTTTCTAGCGTGAGCATTACCGTGAGACGTCAGAATAAACTGGATAAACTTGTTGACGATGGCGCACGTCTTCGTAGTTTGGTTACGTCCACCTAGGGGAGAAATAAGCGTTTCCGCCCCATGCCCGCCAACAAACATCGTGTTCTCTACGACCTCCGCTTCCATACAAACTTGCGAAACCGCTTTACGGTTCATATATGTATCCATATATGTTGCTAACGGTCCGCATACAACTAAGTTCCTGTCGTCAACGGCCGCTATGTGAGCTGACTGCATTCCCCTTTCCATAGGTGGATTACTATCCGTCTAGCGATGAAAATGCCCAGGTACCGTTAGATCCTGTTCTGATGTTGTACAAGATACGGAGCTCTTTATCATGAGAAATTAGATGACAAACTTGGACTAGTCCGCCTCAAATTAGATGGGAGTTTAGGCCCTTGGTATGTGCAGGGCATGAAGTGAGCATACGCCCTTCGCCAGACGCAGTTTTGCCCAACATCAGGGTCTGCTAGCAGGAATGCATGGATATGATTACAATGATGGGTTGAAGAGTTGATAATGTCCAAATGACGGCTGCGGGAGGGGTGCTTAGGTAGGTAGGAGTTATACAGTGTTGTAGGTTGCAAGAACCGCGCTAACAGCCACCGCAAGAATGTAAGCACTGTATGGGATCGGAGAATGTGGCAGATGTTCAATCGTCTAGGGAAGGAGGGCAGACGTCCTTCATGTATGAAGATGCCCAGGTGCTGTCAGTCATCAGTGGGACTGGTGCTGTGATCACATTCATCCAGTCGCTTCCTGTTCATTGAGTACTTAAACGTAGACGATGCTAACGTCAACTCTTGCACATACAAACGTGAGACACTAGAAATTAGTTCCCTTATCCGTTTAGCATAGATCATAGCGCTACAACCAGTACCTAGGTATCATCGAGTTCCTTGCCTACCTAAGTAGGCATTCTCATCAAACCTTGGAATCGTGTCTCGTCCTTCTTTCCTGTTATATAACTATAGGTTGTGAAAAATTATCACAAGACGCTACATGAAATTCGCGGTATGATTGTAACACGAGATGGCAAAAGCTGAGCGAGGAGGACGATTATGGTCCCAACATGTTTGCTTCTCCCGCTCGCGCCTTGGCCTCTGAACCTGCTCATAACCTGCGCTCCGCGCGTCAGGAGATTGACAAGAATTATTCTCACGACCTCCCCACCTAGTGTAGTAATCCAGAACTTTCCCCCACTATTCTCTTGTAGTGTGAAGCAAATACTATTGCCTATAACTACCCCTCACAATGATGTACCTAGGTACCCAAGATGGGATGTCACCATGTCAGCATATCACGTGGTAAAGCGGGGTTGCGATGTCCCGCTTTTCTGCTTGTTAGTTTATCTAGTTACAGACTCGAACACCGTCTTATCCTAAACAAGACTAGTTTTACCCCATCATTGTCTCTGTTCATATCTTCATCCATCTAGTTCGTCTATTCGGACTGCTCCTAAGTGCTCAAGGTTTCTCAGGCTCATTACCATGCTTTGTGCTCTTTGCATTTCTATGTTCCAAGGCCTGGCAGAGAATACAGAGGGTGATCACCATGCAAGTTTCGAACATCTGACCTTGGCGGCGAAATCAGGTTGCAGGATATGTAAGGGTCTATGCCATTTGCGCGATGATCTTGGACCTGATGAGATCGGTGAGTTGTGCACGGGTCCCTTCCTCCGGTTTCGCTATAATCACTATGGCGATGCGTGTCCTACAATCGAGTTCCTTCACGGAAAAGCACCCTCTGTCAGCCAGGCTTTTTCGATATCAACCTGGCTGAATGGAGGTACTGTTCACCCAAGAATAATCGAACTTCATGTCTCTGGCCCTATAGCAACACCCGATTGGTGGTCGGAAGGCTTGAAGAAAGCCAAGGCCGATCTTCTCGATGAACCTTGGCATGTTCAAGAGGACAAACATCCTCATCGTTATATCCCTTCGGATACTGGCGATCCAGAGGTACTCAAGCTTGCTCTCGAATGGTTGATGTCTTGCGACAGCGACCACGAGACCTGTGAGAAGATTGCGAGATCACCAACAACAAAGAGATATTATCCTCCGCGTCTGCTTGACGTTGCGCCGTCATCTTTTGACATCTACCACCTGCTCATCGTCGAGAATGTTTCACTTGACGACACCGGCTACGTAGCACTCAGTCATTTTTGGGGGGAAAATCCGACTTTCTTGGCCTTGACAACTGCACAGTCCGCAACAAGCAATCTGGATTGAACGGATTGATTGACTTGATTGGTTTAACCAATCTAATCAATCCAATCCGTCGCTTCTTGAATTTGCGCCAATCTGCAAGCAAATCAATCTTAGACCTTCAGATTGATTGATTAGATTGGTTAGATTGGTCAGATCGTTATTCCAGGAATGTAGATTAAGATCGAGTAGTCCGCCTGCATTGTCTGTGACATCACGTGATGATAAGAAAGTCACGTGCATATAAGCCGATGAAACAGCTCATCACGAATTCGGCATCTGCCTCGGAGATTCGATAACTCCTATGTATAAATTAACCAATCAAGTCAATCAAGTCAATCTGAGCTACTTCAAAATAGCTTCAATCAATCCACAATCAATCAGCAGCTAGGCTGCTGACAATCAAGTCAATCGACGACTCTGAGATTGATTGGATTGCTTGTTGCGGAGTCTAGACAACTGAGAACATGGTTGAGTCACAACACGGTGTATTGGCTTCATCACTGCCAAAAAGTTTTGTGGACTCAATCCAGATAACTCGCAAATTAGGGTTCCGATATATTTGGATTGATAGCCTCTGTGTCATACAGTCAGGGCCGGGGTCGGAGACGGACTGGCAAATACATTCGGCCACCATGGATCTGATATATGCCAATTGTGACTTAAACCTCGCCGTGTCTTGCGCAGCAAATGCGCAGGAAGGTGCCTTTGTTGAACGAGATCCAGAATTTCTACAACCCGCCCATGTCTATGTTCCCCTATCAGTGGATTTACGTCATACAGAAGACCGACGCTGGTCTGATGCATCAAGCGCCTCAACATCGAACAGTGAGCAAAGAGCTGTATCAGACGAGGGACACACTACCAACGAAGACATGGATGTCGCTGTACAATCGCAGTTAGTGACGATATTCATGGGGCAATACGATTTCTCATCGTCTCTCTGGGACCTTCCTCTACAAAAACGGGGATGGGTAGTTCAGGAAAGAATCATGGCTCCGCGTACGATATACTTCGGCAAAGACCGCATCTACTGGGAATGCAATGAGAAGCTTTTGAATGAACATCTCCCCTGGGGAACTCCAATGTCTGGCGAACTGTTCGACTACCACTACAAGAAAGAGTTTTCCTTACCATACGTGGTAGCAAACCCCCCAGTAGCGCCATTAGCCGATGGGACCATTGGGTCGCTGCATCTGAATTGGCATTCGACTGTTCAAGATTATAGCGGAACGGAGTTGACTTTTCCGAACAAGGATAAGCTTGTGGCAATTGCTGCGCTGGCTACCAGATACGGTCGAGTTTTCCAAAGCCCGTATGAAGCCGGACTGTTTCAGTCGGATCTCCCAATCGGGCTGTTGTGGACTGAAAATCTCCCAGAATTGCGCAGATCTTGCACAGGAAACGAATGGACATACGAACAAGGTTGGCAGGAGCAAGTTCGGCCAGACAGCCGGCGGAATCCTGATTTTCGAGCACCTTCCTGGTAAGTCAATACTTGCGTCATATCCGCTGGTAAATTGTTTGACATTCTGTTCCAGGAGTTGGGCAAGCGTTGACGGTAGGGTTAACTTTTATTTTTCCAATTGGGGCTATGGTGAACTCAGTTGGTGGCAAGAATCACAGAAAATATTGTCGTCTGTAGTGAAAGTGAATAAGGTCCTTGTCGATGTGAGGAACCCCTACGGTCAACTCACATCAGCAGCCATAATAATCGAAGGTCCAATCTCGGCATTGAGACCATTCGAAGAAGGTTCAAGGGGCCTTCGCGTAGAGCCACAGATGCACGATGCTTCCAGCCGACTTTTCGCTTTCCACATTCTTGAGGAGAATCGAAGGAAGAAGAATGTTGGTATTCAACCAAATATACATGGACTGGTCCTCGCTTCGAGTGATCTGAAAACATATAAACGCATTGGTTGTTACCACTGGAAAGGTCCGGTTGGATCACGATATCCAGCCGCTAGGTTTGAGCGAACTACCATTACTATCATCTAGTTATACAGCAGGATATATCTAGGGTGTCCACTATATGAGCTTGCCTAATTATAATATGGAGCACATCACATCTGGTTGCCCAACCACTGCTTTGCTGCTTCCTCTCTTATTTCGCTTTAGTTTGGTAACGTTGTTTCATCCTATACGTCGTCCGCATAAGTAGCTAAGCTTTGGAGCGATCTTGTAGGCTACAGAAGGCTGTAGACCGACTCTGGCAGGGCCGGAGGCCTTTAGTGGGTCAATTTGATGCAGGAAATCGAGTTAGTTTGGCCGGGTTTCTTTCCATACAATCATTATTTGGGATATTAGATTTGATTTCACCATTTCCTTCACATACGACCATGTGACACTGAAAACACGCTCACGTGTCCGATCCGTCAAAATGTTGTTACGCCGCTTATAGTCAATTTACTGTTCTTTGCTTACTGAAAACAGAAATCAGTTTTGACATAACCTGAACAGCGACCACCATTACTTCGCTCCAAGCCCTTAACGCCTGCATCAGAGTGATATGTATGATACAATCGACCACCTCTATCACATACGACCACAAGAGACGACTATAAACTGTTCAAGCAACAGACGCGTATCCTCCTAACTGCTGATGAATGCTTCCAAACGCTGCCTGACGCTCTCCACGTTATAAAAGCCAAAACAGAATCGATGAAGAAAAAAGTCAATGCTGAGATTTGTCGACGAGGGAGGGCTGGAGAAGGTGTTGGATGGGCCGCCGAATTTGTGGGCTCCGTATTGGAGGGCTAGCCAGTGAGAAAGCCAAGCAAGAGATAAACAAACTCATGATCGAGCACGACTACTCGATATAATCTCATTGGTACCCCAAGCAAATGTGATGTTTGTTCTTGGTGCAGCTAGCTGCTCAGAATTGGATGTCCCAACGCCACTGGTTGTTTGTACCTGAGTCGTTGGAGGGGGGAACGGGACTATCTGTAGGTGCACTTCCGTTCATAGTGATGGAGAAGCTTACAGTCTCGAAGGCATCCAGCGGAGGCAGTGTATGTGGCAGACTGGGTACACGTTCAATGGATAGAATATTTGGAGAAGGAGTCGGTGACGGAACAATTGAGGTTGCTTCTGCAGTGTCCTGTTGTACCGATCCAGATATGGCCGCTGTGGTTTCAGGTTGCGTCTCCCGCAGTGGGACGACCGGTCTTGTTGCCCTTTGCCAGCGCACCTGTTCCTCGGTGAGGACACGAGGCTCGCTTCGTGGGCGTGTAGCATCTTATCTCACGACGCCAGGCCCAAGGCGATAAGCGACATAGCCCTCACTATGTCTAGTGCTGTTATTGTATGCAAGCGAAGGAGTTTCCGCAGGCGAAGAGTCAGCGAATTCATGTGTTGGGGCAACGGCCTTTTCCGACTCAGTATCACCAGGAAGAATTGGTTGTCGACCAGAGGCATATGGAAGGGGTGGGCTGACGACAGAGTCTGTTCTTCGGCTAGCTTGGTCCCTAGGGTCCGTGTAGAGCGAATCAACTACGCTGACGATACTCAAAGATCTATTGGAGGTATGACTGCTTTGGTTTAGACGAGCGTTGGAAGAGCTACGGTGAGTCTGGGATGACGAGGAAGGTGCTGTAAAGGTCTGATTTGCATCTAGTTCGACTGGAGATCTTGGAGGTTGACTGATAGGGGGAAACACGGCTCTTGAGTCCAGTTCCCAAACGCCCGGGGTGACAGTCGCTGAAGACCTTTGGTACGCCAAGTTGACATTGGAGTCGTTGACTTGCGATAGCGCCTCCGCGGTCTTCTTCATCTGCTCACGTGTAGCGTACCCCATAACGTGATTTGGATCGAAGTAGTGAGAAATTGTCTCGCGCCGGGATATCTTAGACCTAGATGGAGGAGTCCACTAACTCCGTTGGTAGTTCCTGCTATTCGATCTTCCAGCCCAACGGCGTGTGTTGATCGCTTGAGGATGTAGTGTTTCTGTGATTGTCAATAAACCTTCAGATTCTTATCGCAGACATCAAGACTTACTAGCTTTGTCGTTCTCATCATTGAACAGACAACGAGGAAACCCACTGATGGAATGCTGTTGCACATGATTCAGATAGAGATAAATCTCGACATCAGAGAGCTTGTTGCGCAGTTGAATGTGCATCTTACGCATTGGGAACTTGCCCTGATTGATCATGGATCCAACGATATCCGGACTTAGCTCCCGTGATTCAGATTTACCATGCATGCCTTTCTCCCGTACGAGAAAGAATGGGTTCTTGTCTCGATAGGACTGAGTGCGAATGAGCTTTCCCAACTCCTGCATCTCGAGAGAGCCATCTGCGAAACGGCAATACAAGCGACCTGTATTCTCTGCGTTAGAGAGCTAGAGTATTCCTGTTTTGATGATACGTACCTGATGCGCATACATGGGCAAATCGATATGCTTTAGCGTCGATATATCGATATATCGATATCGATATGGATTTTGAGGCTGATTTCGATATCGATATCGAAACTCACCCGTTTTCGATATATCGATATATCGATGAAAAAGCTTGGCAGCCCTTACTGTAACACGGGACGGCAGAGGCTGAGCGAGGAGGACGATTATGGTCCCAACATGTTTGCTTCTCTCGCTCGCGCCTTGGCCTCTGAACCTGCTCATAACCTGCGCTCCGCGCGTTAGGAGATGGACAAGAATTATTCTCACGACCTCCCCACCTAGTGTAGTAATACAAGAGCTTTCCCCTACTATTCTCTTGTAGTGTGAAGCAAATACTATTGCCTATAACTACCCCTCACACTTACAACCTAAATATCTCTGCAGATACGTACTTTTATCCCTTAATATCTATTAACAAGCCGTTTTTTAACCTAATTAGTACTACATACCTATTACACTATAGAGTCCTTTTTATTATTAGATGTCGCACTATCTAGCTCTGCTAGCAACCTAATTAAGTTACCTAGTAACTTCTGGGATGTTATGGAACGACGTACCGTACTGTAAGGCAGACTTTACGCGCAGAAGAGCGAACTGGTTGAGTAGAAGCTTGTATTCGGAGTAGAGAAAATAGCAGACGCAGAGCCTAGAAGAGGCAGAGCGTACGCGTACTTATATAGCCTAGAGAGAGAAGCGAAGCGAAGGCGTACTAGACCGTAGAAGGTCTAGTAGTTTGCGCCTTCGTAGTAAGACGTAGCCTTTTACTCCTTAGCTCTAAACCTCGTAGTAAGTAGTAGCTAAGGAGAGGCTATGTCCTTACACGTACTAAGCTAGAAACGTAGATCTTAAGGCACTCAAGAGTTTATATGCATAATGCATCCTTAATAGGGCCCTTAAACATTAAAATCTAATGCTTTATATTATTGTCGCACCTAGCACTTATTATCTTAGCAACAGCTACGTTAGCAGCGTTTAAACGACGCAGATACGTTATTATCTTAAGGCCTTTTACCTTTAACCGCGGCCCTACATCGTACGTTTGATAGGGAAGCCTACAAAGAAGCAGTAGTTGGATTACTTACCTAACGGCGCCTACTATTTAGCAGTGTTAAGTAGCTAGAGATGCAAGCTCTACTTCTAGCTGCTAATCCTAAAAGTAGCTATTTTCTTATTAAGTCTTAACGCACTGTTATACGTCTTATAGCTGCTAGTTACGTTATGTACTAAGATTAGCTTCAAGATACTCTTACTATAGCTCGCAGCCCGATTTACTTACAAACAGATATCTAGACGTTGCCCTATTAAAAGGGCATGCTTGTAAGGAGTAGTTAGGCAGGCACTAAGATATTAGTATAGGCTTGTATTAAGACGAATCCTTAAGGGGCTATCAAGCCTCTTAGAGGGATGATATATACCTACGTCACGTAATTGTAGCTAGTGTAATCCGACGGTGCCCTAAAGGGTTCTTAGTAGCTTACTAGTCTGTAGCTAGAATCCTGTAGTAATGGAATATCGTGACAATAGCCCCCCCCTTCTTAAGAGTTGTCCTAACTCTTACAACAGTCTTTATAATGTTAGCGCAATACTTTTACGCTTAGAGCCTGTCTGCGCTTTACGTTACCGTGTCGCTGTTGGCGTTAGTCTAATTACTGCCTGTTGTTATCTCGCGACCTAAACGCTAGGGGCATGTAAGGGGCTACGCTTAGGGAGCTATCACACAGGTATACTAGAGTTGTATTCGATAGAGAAGAGAACTACAGGTAGCTAGGGTTCTAAAGGTTGTTTAGGGGGCGGCAGCTTAGGATAACCTTCTGCTAGGCTCGCTTGCACAGAATCCGGGTGCTTAGGGGGGGCACCTGGAATCTGTAGACAGTGCGCCTCGCGCACGTAACCGAGATATTATCGAGGACTTACTAACTAGGCTCTAGCCTATTACATTACCCCCCTCCTCCCCTCCTTTTTAGGGGGTATCTTGTTAAAACCCTTCTAGTAGGCGTCCGTCTTCGTCTTAGTATTCTCTTGTATATTCTTCCTATTAATCTAGGGCTTCTGTATTCTCTAGGATTTCTACTAGTTCGAGGGTTGTCT